TTCGGATCTTGATCTCTTTATTAACTCATTACCATCTAGTTCATCATTCTTTCCCTCTCTCGGTTCTTGCTAATATGGTGTTGACAACTACCACTGCTGCTGGTAAATCTGAAAAAAGGAAGACGAAAGGCAAATCTAGATACACAATACTTACCACTATCATTCTTTTTTTTTTTATACAACTAGGACAAGTTGAATGGACATGCATCAGGATCAACGGACGGAAGGTAAAAGAGAAACGAAACAAATGAATAGAGATGCAGCTGGATCAGATATTGTACATGAACATGCGATCAAAAGCAGTGGAATACGGACAGCCATATAGTGACAACATGACAACACGGACAAACGACATCAACTGAATGGATAGACTATCGCACTTCACTTCACTTTGGATTTTATCGCCATCGACTCTTTAATGGATGGGTTTAGTTACATTATAGACACAGTATTCTACGACATGTAGTATAGTATATTAGCTTCTTCAATAAAATTGTATTTATATTATATCATTGTGTTTATCCGTGTCATCATTGCCTCTATCGTCATCAACATACTAATAATGCATCAACTGGTCCAATTATACTACGTAAACATTATAGATCGTAAGCAATTAATCATTCTTACTAGGCATATCGTTTTATATGATGGTACTTTGATCTTCTTTTTTATTCATATTATTATCATCATCATCCTTATTTTTTTTTTCACTTCTAATGATCGAATGTTTATAGAATACCTATTTTCATCTTGAATATCAAAAAAAAAAAAAAAGTTTCCTATTATAATAAGAATTTGAGTTGTTGCACTTGGTAGGCCATTGCAAGTGAAAATACGCAAACGTTTTGACACGATGATGATGATACGGCGTTCCCTTTTTTTTTTTTTTTTTCTTAGTACATGCATGATCATGTTTTTTTTTTTAACTACTGATTTCGGTAGGTATTCTTTAAAATGCTAACAGGCTCCTTTTTTTCTCGTTTTACTCCTGCTTTATAGATACTCTTTTTTCATGTTTTACCCCTCCCTTATAGGTCTTCCTTTTTTTTTTTACCCCTCCTTTATAAATACTCTTTTTTTTACGACTTCTTTATTTTCTTTTTTACAGATACCCCGTTTATAGTTTTTTTTTTTTCTCACGTTTTCTTTCACTTAAAAATGAAGCTTGTGCCAGGCATCCTTATTCTCTGTGGGATTTTCCAATTGGTGCATTCTGCAAAGAAAAACCAGTGCGTGATGAACGCTCACCTAGGGAAGCATTGTGTTCGTCCTGTGAACTATATTAATTGCCTTTTGGAGGTCAACGACTTTTGTTTCCTTTTCTTTTATTCCATAATGCATTTTTATGTTTATTCAGTTGATTTCATACAAACATGTCAAATAAATGATTGTTTTGAATTACTTGTCTTTTACTATCGATGATATTGATGTTGATGATGAATGGTTCCGTATAAAGATGAATAAAAAAAAATATCATCAATCATTGTTAGTGTATCTCTGATACGAATAACGACAGTAGTGATTATTAGTGTGAAACGATAACAAGAACGACAATGATGAATAAATGGTTCAAAATAAGTAATAGTTTTTTATTGTAAAAATGGATGATATAACTACTAATGCTGACTATATAACATAAGAAATCGGATGAAGATATTAATCAAGTATATGTTTGTACCATTCATCTGCTATTATTGTCCAGGTCATGTCTTGTTGTTGCTGTTGTAATCCATTATTATCCAATTGATCCTATTATCCATCCATTTCATTGATCAATGCTGTTATTCATCCAGTTGATCCTGTTACACATCTATTCCGTTTATTCTGATGTATGGCCACCTAGTTGTATTCTTCTTGATATAAAATATTACAACAACAGTTAATTCTTTGTGTATGTATATTCCTTTTCTTTTCTTTTTAGATATTACCTGTTCTTTCATATTCTAGTAATAAAATTCAAAAGAAAGCTTGACGTATATCTTTGTGTACTATTGACTAGCAAATAATTTTGGTGGAGTAAGGTATTCCCTTTTTCGACCGTTAGGTGATATGAATGATCTAAGAGTAAGAAGAGAAAAAGTGTTAGTTTTATTCAATATATGAAGAAATAAACACATTACCTTTGCTTGTATTGGTGTTTTAAAGAAGCAAGAGTTTCGCTTTTGTTGTTAAAGATTACTTTCAGTGATTTAAGAGAAAAGGAAAAAAAAAAAAAAAGATATACGAGTGAGTGATAAAGTACGTACAATATAATTTGTTTCTTACCAGTAGTTTAATGATAAAGATAAGCATGATATGTATTATTATGTTTGATGAGGATGTTAGTTTATTGTATTGACGAAAAAAAAAAAGAAGAAGAAGAGAAGAGGATAAAGAAAAAAAATAAAAAAAAGGAAAAAAGGAAAAAAGGAAGAAGAAAAAGGCAGTGTGCGTAACCTGAGGGGTTTAACAAATTGAAGTGCGGCATTTTGTTTCTATTTTATTTTATTTCTTTCCTTCTCTTGCGTATTTTTTTTTATTTTATTTTTTTTCCCTTTTTAAGTCCAAACTCGACCTTATCAATCTTTTACGTTTCTTCATCTTTTAACAGCATCAGTCCTAAGAACAGCATGTGAAGGTGTTATAAGGCATATACTGATAACATTGTTGAAATATATCTTTTTTTTTTTTGGAACTAGTCCTGGACACTTACTAGTTATCAAGATAACCACAGTGAAACAGATACTTGAACTTGAATCTCTTGCCTTCGTGAAAGATATAGAACAGTTAATGCTTATATGTAGGTAAGACATAGAAGGAAAACAAAAAAAAAAAAAAGTAAAAATAGAAAAATACAATTGACGACTGACACTTTGATATTTTATTATTATTATTATTATTATTTATTATTATTATATTGTATACACGTTGACATTAATCTAATACAACTGGGTGGAACGACATATGATTGGACTTGACTGAAACTCAAAAGCGAGTCAATTGTATACCTTTGAAGGTCTTCTTTTTCCTAATTAGTTGGTTTCTCTTGGACATAGGTTGGACACAGGTGGATTTTTCCAACGTTTTTTTTTTTTTTTCCTACTTCCTCTCTTTGTACTCCATGTATAGATGCTCATTTCAATCTAGACGTTATTCTTCTCTTCTCTCGATTTTTTGCTATTCGATATTGTGTGTGGGCAGTCAATACTAATGGTAAATTAAAAAAAAAAAAAAAAAAAGAGATGCAAGGGAAATCTAGATACACAAATACTTACTACTGTCTTTTTTTTTTTTTTTTAAAAAAAAAAAAGTAGACTTACGATTAGGATGGATATACAACAGGGTGAACAGCAGATGGAAGGTTCAAAGGAAACAAACTGGATGGATGGACAGGCAACTGGATCAACTAGATGAACAGGTGATTAAAAGGAATGGAATGCATAACGATCATAGGGTAAATAACACGGAGAATGGCATCACATGGATGGATAGACTACAACACTTTTGTTTTCCACTGCTGACTCTTTGATGGATGGATGTAATTATAGATATGGTAGTGTTACGATGTTTAGCATATCATCTTCCTCAATAAAATTATATTCATACTATGTATTTATCGTACGTGATCACTGTTTCTATTGTCATCAACAAGTATGATTAACATACTAACAGCACACCAACATGAACCATTAAACTACATGAATATTTTATTATTCAGAGATAGTAGCTAACCGTAATTCTTATTCTGATATTCGTTTCCTTTTTCTGTCAATTGTTATCATTCAGCTTTTTATCTAGAAATCATGGGTGAAGTTCATATAAACGGAGATGCCACATTATCACTCCTTAATAAAATCACTCCTTTTTGAAAATTTTATTTTCCTCCTTAACACGTTGAAATAAAGAGATATAGAGTGATCCTCTTTTTTTTTTTTTTTTGTTATTATTGTTATTACTATTTTCTTTCTTCCCTTTAACAAATTAATACTGATGATGATCACGATAAAATCCTTCCTTTTTATATGTATTATTCTTGGATGGCTTTCATTACACTGTGTTTGTGATGATACACCATCAATGAAAGATCAAAATGGTGGAGATGATGATAGTAAAAGTGTGACTACAGTGGATGAAAAAACAGGTGCAGTTGTGAATGTAGAATGTAATGGACTATCTACTACTGAATTTCCTGATGCCACTTATCTCTATAAGACTGTCCTTGCCAAAGATGGTACAGTGGAATTAAATAAAAATGGTTACTTTGTTGTGGAATACAAGACAGCTGCAGTGGTGACAAAACCAAAAGAAAATCAAAAGACAACGACTCATAGTAAATTGTTGATTGGTATCCAGAAGATCATGAGCAACTGTAAACCTGATGATGGAAAGATATCTGGATTCTATACCCCTGAAGATAAAAATGATTACAGAATATGTTTAACTGGTAGCGAGGAGACAGATGATTGTTAATTATTATTTATTTATTTATTTATATTTATTCTTTTATACTAAGCAATAATAATAAAAAAAGAAAGCCTATTATATATATATATATATATATATAGATATTTTTTGTGTTTATTGCAAGTGGCATTGTCAAAGCTTATTTCCTTTTTTGGCGTATTTTGGAACTCCAGCTTGATTTTATTTATTATTATTTTTCTCACCCTCCTTTTTCCCTCTTTCTTTTTCTCTCCCTGTCTTATACACATATAAATATCATTTACATATATACCTCATAACCTAGGCTAATGACAAGATACCAGCAGGTAAAGATATTCATTATTCGCATAATTTATTCCTGAAAACTCAATTGAAGAAAAAAAGCTTTCTACCAAAGATGACATCAATGAAATAAACCACCTGGATACTCAGCCAAATACTTTTCAAACTGAATTGGAAACAACATTTAATGAATCTTTGGGCGACGATCAACATGGTCCTGTTACAACTGAATCTCGTCTTCTCTTACCTTTATCATCAGCACCCTCCTCTTCCAACTCTACAAGGTTCACTCGTCCTTTTTTTCCCCGTCGGCCAAGGTTGTTCTCCACCAATGATGGCGTATTTGCAAACATGTCAGCCAAACCCGAATTAGAAAAGGAAAGAGAAGAAGAAACGCCTCCAGTAAGTATAGATAATATAAAGAAAGTATTTATAGTGAATGATTTATTCCTCTTTCTTTTTTTTTTTTTTTTTTTTTTTTTTTTTTTTTTTTTTACATAAATATAAATATATATATATAGAGTTACAATGATGCTGCTCTTGATGTGACACCACCTTATTGGCAAACGACAGTGATTGCTCCTATGGGTATGGGAGATATGATCCTTGTGGAAGGGTTACCTGTAGGATCTATCTTTGTCTTTTTTTGGAATTTATTAGGTATGTAAAGAATAAAAAATATATATGGATAATTCGACTCATTTAGATGTGAATCCAAGTCTCTGCATCTTTTCAGTTTATAGGCTTCATTTTGACTCATCTTCTTCATACTTCTCATGCTGGTAAAAATGGATCACGGGCTGGTCTTGGTGTGTCTCTTGTTCAATTTGGATTCTATGTTCGTAGTCGTAAGTCGTGAATTCCATCTTGGTATCCAATATGAAAATATTGATTATTTTATTATTATTATTATTATATTCTATATGCATTGATGAATATATATATATATATATATTCAAGATGGTTCTTTGGATGGTCTAAGTGATGAAGATGATCCTGACGATGATGATGGTGATATAATAGATGGGAATATGGGTGCAGATATAGTGGCCTATTTTATTATGGTTCTTGGCTGGTTTATCATTCTTCGTTCAGTGTCCGATTACCTGAAGGCAAAGCATATGGAAAAAATTATCATGACGGATCCATCAACGACGGCAACTCTGGTTATAGATAGAACTGTTTGATTATATTATTTTATATACCAATTAATTCAATAAAGAATGCAATTATTATTATTTTTATATATACAATTATAAAGTTAAAGTTGTTTGTAATATGCCCACAGTGTAATGAGCTTGATTTATTTATTATGTAATAATAGAGAGAATGATACAAAAGTAAGAATAGAGAAGGGTGGTTGAAAAAAAAAAGAATGTCAACATATATGTATGTGTATATAATTTAATGTTATGTGTATGAAGAAAATGTGTATACAAAGTGAAGAAGGGGAAAAAGGGTAAGGGAGGTAGACAACAAGGGTAAAATCAGTTAATCAAATGATAAAAGAATGAAGGACCATGAATGGAGAAAAAAAAAGATCTATTTTTTGCTTGGGAACACCCACTACTTGCGATAGTTTTTGGATTCCTTTTCCAAGTTTTCCTTGAAGGCTTTTGAAAATTCATTGGCATGTTTGGAACCTATAACAATAATAATAAAGTTAAAAAATAATTACTTGATATTTAATTTAATTTACCTTTTTCAGTCAAAGAAGAGACATGTTGGTGGGTTTTAGCAGCAATACGATGGAAAGTAGGACTGGCTAAAAGACGTTCAGTGACAAAAGTTTGTACCCAAAAATTGACAAGACGTTGAAACATGATAAAAAGAGAGAGAGAGAGAGAGAGAGAGAGAGAGAGAGAAAGACAAAGAAAGAGAAGGAAAAAAAAAAAAAAAAGAAAATCATTAAATAATAGATTTAGACACCGTCACACCAAAGAATCGGATAAACTTTTTTATTCTTTATTTGAATCTAAATGATGATCTATACTAGGGTCTACAATTAACAATTGTTCATGCACTACATTCAAAGCTTCCAATGCGTTGCTACCATCTACTACACAAGAGATATTGATTTCAGAGGCTCCTTGAGAAATAATTTCAATACTAATATTGGCGTTGGCCAAGGCTGTAAATAGATTTCCTGCAATTCCCACTGTACTTTTCATATGCTTGCCTACCAGAGAAAGGATCGCCATATTATTCATCACATCCACCTAGATAAATAATAATAATAATAATATTAGTCATATATGAATCATCCATTATCACATTCGTCTACTTACTGATCCATGTTTTGCAAGTTCATTGACGGCAATATCCAAACTAGAAGAAACCATTTCAGCATTGAGAGCCATAGATACATGTACTTCTGAGGTTGAAATCAAATCCACTACTATTCCATGTTCATCTAGTGTTGTAAATATATTGGCTAAAAATCCATGACTGACATTTTTTCTATTGGAGTGGACATTAAGAACACAAATATTATCCTTGATGGTGACAGCTGTAGGAGATCTTTTTGATACATCGGAATGGAATCCATTTTGAGCCAAGATCGACATTGGTAGAGAATCATTATTTTCCTTGTTGGATGAGAGATCAGGAAAAATCACGGTACCTGAACCTGCAGGGTTTTCTACATTCTTGATTCGAATCGGGATACCAACACGTATGACTTGTTCCATAGTAAAAGGATGAATCACTTCTGAACCATAATATGTCAATTCAGCCACTTCTTCAGGAGTGATGATCGGTAAAAGACGAGCTTTTTCTACTTTGCGAGGATCTGCTGTAAAGATACCATCCACTTCTTTCCAAATGTGTAATTCGTTTGCATGTAATCCAACTGCCGTTAATGCTGCACATAAATCAGTATATCCATGGCCAATAGTTGATAACAGACTACCAGGTACATTTCCAAAAAATCCTTCAAAAAGTGAAATTGATTAGTTCTAGATATAGATTGGATCGATTTTTTTTTTTTTTTTTTTTACCTGTCAAAACAGGAACCTTGTTACCACATTCTTCCACAATGGTGGCCAATCTAGTTGCCAAGTAATCATAAAATTCTTGATTCAAATTATCGAATTCTTTATCAATCATATTGTTCAAATTGATAAATTTACTATCAATACCCTATATAAATCATTTTCATGTTAGTATATAAAAAAGGAAGTAGAAACGAATAGATAGATTACCTTGTCTTTGAGAAGAGCTGCTACTATTTGACAGGATAAAGTTTCACCCATACCAACAATGACATCCCTTGATCTTGGTGAGATTTCTTGAATGATCTAAAAGATAAATATAAGTAAAAGAAATGGAGGAGTTTCAAACTTACTTCAGCAGCTTGTAGAAAAGAACGCAATCGACGACAATCTCTATCCAATTGAGATTCCAATTGTTGAAGAATATCTTGATTCTGAATATACTGCCTCGCTACTTCCATGTGATCCAAAGTCAATTCCTTGACAATATCTAAATGAATCGTTGATCCTTCTTTTAGAGCCTCTTCGGCTGCTTTTAGTAACCTATAAAGATTTTTTTTTTTAAAAAAAAAGAAATGTTTAGTATGATGAAAACCAGATTTTAATTTTATCTTAACCTTTTCGTTGTTCCTAGTTCTTTTGTTTTGCCACTTCTTGCTGAACATACAATGACAACTCTATTCTTTTCCAGATATGAACTATTATATAGAATATATATATATATATATATATATTAGTAGTTGGTTTAATAATAATAGTAATAAAAAGGAGAAGTACTTACGGTATAATGTCAGTAGCAATAGTATCCAAATATTTGCCCACACTAGTTCCACCGTATTTTTGTACAATCCATGGTAAATGTGGTTTGTTTCCAACAGTAGTATTAGGTATAAAGGTAGAGGAATGAGAACAAGTTTGCATGTACAATAAGGCAAAGAAAGAAAAAAAAAAGACACAAAAGAAGAAGGAAAGAAAGAAAGAAAGAGAAATTAGAAAGAGATGATCATTTTGCGTGATAATGCAACTCCGCTAACTGCTTATTCGTGAACGCTCAGTCATTGATCTTTTGAATTTGTTTGAGTCATTTTTTTAAAGATTTTTTTTTTTTTGTTCCTCCATTTTTTTGAAAAAAAAAAAAAAATGTCACCAAGACTTTCCTTTTCTTTCTTTTCTTCTTATTTTACACACAAATGTATATCATATCGATATTTACACCATGAAATACGGAAACCAAAGAAAAAAGTAGCTCTCTTTATTGGATATAATGGTTCTGGTTATCAAGGCATGCAAGCGTAGGTAGATATCTTTATTATTATTATTATTATTATTGTTATTATTATCACTAACAAGAGTTCATATTATTATTATTATTATTATTATTATTATTATTATTATTTTAATTAGTAATCCTGGTATTCGATCAATTGAAAAGGATATATTCGATTCGTTATGTCAAGCTGGTGCTGTATCCAAATCAAACTCGGTAGATTTAAAAAAGGTACAATGGGTTCGCGCTGCTAGAACAGATAAAGGTGTTCATGCTGTTGGTAATGTTGTTTCTCTGAAAATGATTGTCCAAGATTCCGATATTATTCAAAAAATCAATTATTATTTACCTGATCAAATCCGTGTATGGGGTAAGAAGAGCAAAAAAATAAAAAAAAAAAAAGACAGAATATGCATATATATGTACCATTCACTTCCTTTTTTTGATATGATTAGGTTATGTGGAGACTCAAAAGTCATTTCATGCAAAGAAATTATGCGATTCAAGGAAATATGAATACCTTTTACCAACTTATACCCTGATGCCACTATTTGATCAACAGCAACTACAACAACAAAAAGAAGAAATATGGAAATTAAAACAACAATTTAGAATATCAAAAGCTCGATTGGATCAATTTAAACAAGTCATGACAAGGTTTATTGGAACCCATAAATTTCACAACTACACTATTAAACATGATGACAGCGAAATGTATGTGAAGCGACATATTAAATCTATCATTGTGGATGATCCTCAAGTGGTGAATGATAATCAAATGGAATGGATACGAATTCATCTACATGGTCAATCCTTTATGTTACATCAAATACGAAAAATGATATGTAAGTAAATAAATCAAATAATAATAATAATAATAATAATAATTACTAATTTTAATTCAAATGATGGTAGCGATGGCGATACTTACTCTACGAACGGAAACTCCTCTATCCATTATTGATCGAACATTTGAAGATGGGAAAATCAACATTCCAAAAGCTCCTGCATTAGGATTATTATTGAATCAACCGGTATATGATGGATATAATGCAAAGATTGATCTTGACCAAAGAGAACCTATTCTTTTTGACAAATACAAGGTAATCATAAAGAAATATAGAAGTAAAAAAATAATGATTTTATTATTTGTATAGGTTGCCATGGAATCGTTCAAGAAATCATATATTGATGATACTATTTTCAAGACAGAAATGGAACATAGAATGTAAGCAATGGAAAATGAATTGAATATTTATTTGGAACTAATAATATAATTTTAATTCATAGATTTGATGAATTTCTTGATACATTTGATAAACATTATCCTATAGATTTAGATTATAGTTATTTGAATAGACAAGGTGTTATTCCCCTTACCGCTTATATTACATAATAAAACACTTTTTACTCCAGATTTTTTTTTATTTCAACTACCGGTTCTCCCAGTGTGTGTACTCCCTAGTTGTACAACGGAAAACTTTATTCTTAATTCCCGTATTCACTGATTGGCTGCTTTAAATTTTTAGTCCCATCTTTTTTTTTTTTTTTTTTTTCCTCTTTCGTTTTTTTTTTCTTTTACAATTTTTTGATCCTTTCCTTCAACTTCTTATATTCAAAATGTCTAGAGAACGTGCTCAAGAATCTATTGATACTGTTAATCAATTGATTCATGCTATTGCTGCACTTGCACATATTGAACAACCTTTGTATATGAATCGTCTTGCCATACAAAAGTTAAAGATTGAAAAGGAACCTCTGGATACTGCCTATCAAGAAGCAGAAACAAAACTGTAATACTAGTGAACTATAATATTATATATTCATCTCAATATTTTTTTTTTATGTATAGCAATGTTTGGAAGACTGAAGCTGGTTATTTAGAATCTTGGACATGGCAATGGCTTCTTATGAAATTGACGGTAAACTTTTATATTTTTTTTAACTATATTATACTCATATCATGTTTTAATATAGTGTGGATTGGAAGAAGAGAAGAAACGTACAGCAAAGGGAATTGAAAAAGCTACGGCATTGGTGAAGGAAACAAAGGAAAATTTGGATGTGATGGAAGGCAAAGTACGGGAACTGGAGGAACCTAATGAAAAAAATGAAGTGGATCATCGGACATTGGTAAAGTACCGTGAAGATGTTACAAAATTACTGGATGATGTAAGTATTTAATAAAAAAAAAAAAAGATAGTACATATTTTCTGAAATTCATTGACTTTATAGATTTTGCAAGATGAACATTTTAAATCAGAAAAAGAACTCAAGGAACAAGTAGACGATATCGAATTATCATTGCAACAGGTAAAAAAAAAAAAAAAAAAAAAATGTGTTGATTGATAAAAAGTATATTTTTGTTTAATTTTTTTTATCTTGTTTCTATCTAGGTTGTTGATGATAATGAAAGAGTCAAAAAGGTACGGGAATTGATCAAGATCAGTGACATGTCATTATTGGAAGCTATTCTCGATTTACGTCAATCCAACAAAGAATCAAGTGTTGGAAAAGGTCAAGTTTATTTTCCTGAAATTGCTTTTCAATCTTTGAAAGAAGCTCGTGAACTATATCCTGATCTACCTAGTGTTGAACCTCCTCAAGAGTAAGTATCCAAGTAGAGGGGAGTGGCATGATGGACTTGCTAATATATATAATTATTTATTATTACTATTATTAATGATAGATATAAGAATGAAGCTGATGATACTGGTGCTTACTATTCTCCTATGCAACGTTATCTTTGGGATGTACGAAAACGATTGACGACGTTGTTGGAATGGTGCGATAACAAAGTATTGGATCTTATGGATCATGAATCGAAACAATTAGTGGCTTTGGGTGAAAAGGTGGATCAATGGAATATGGAAAGACGTCGCTTAGTGTTAGATATCATTTCACAATAGACATTTTTTTTTTACGATTTACACTTATAGTGTAAATTTATTTTGTTATTATCATGTTATATGTACATATCAACAAATTAATAAAATGGAAATTGTCATCGTTTGGTTTGGTCTGTTTTTTTTTTTTTTTTTTTTTTTTTTTTTTGATACTGATGAGGGTAGTTCCTTGATGATACCAATTTCTTTGTGTTAACAGAGACAATGATGATATTGAAGCTAGATGAATAAAAAGGTTTTTAAATATAAAGAGGATAATGATGTATCAAGAATGGTTGCTATGGATAATAAAATCAAAAGTAGAACACAACAAAAAAATAAACAATAATGTATTTCTTTGCCTTTATTGAAGAAGAATAAGATAAAAAAAAAATACTAGGTAGATACAAGGTACATCAAGCACGATTGAATCAAGTAAATGGGATATTAAAAATAAATTATTTGACAGGAGCAAATTGAACGGTAGGAGAACTAGATTGTTCAAACACAGTATAGACATTCTTCAAGAAGACATCACCCAAGATAGCAAAAGGAATGGAACCAGCCGATGCAAATCCAGCATAACAAGTACTGCCTTCATTTTGGAAAATAATATCCTTGCCAGGAACAACAAACTTGGTACCAGCAATACTGAAAGTCAAATCCTTGGGAGTTGAGCATGGAATAGTGAAAGTGCCATCACTGTTTTGTTGACCACCATATGCTTGACCGAGAGCTTGAGCAACACTGTCTTCCAACAAAATCAAAGTGGTACCAGTATCGACGATAGCATTGAAGGGATTTCTGGAAGGACCGGATCCAACACTAAAACCATCCACCTTGATGGACCAAAAACCTTTGAATAAATAAATAATAAAAAGTAAATGAATCAGTATGATATCATAAATTAAATAAATCATGACCTTATTTAAATATATATTTACCTTGAGAGGGATCCACATTAACAGTGGTAAACTTGCCTCCAACATGATCATTGTTGATACCACCAAAGACATATTCTATTGAAAGCAATAAAAAAAAAAGGATAATAGATTATCATGAGTATTTTTTTTCTTCATTCAGATACCTCTACTAAATAGAATCCCACAACCTTTATTATTATTATTATTATTTCACTTTACCACCACCACCACCAGTAGATTTTTTGCCAAGGTAGACACCAAAGATAGGTTTGGAAATGAGATTTTGAGCAATCAAGTTATCCACAGGAGTCTTGGTATTTGGAACAGAGGCAATTGTGTTGAAACCAAGACCAAGTAAACCATCGTTAGGACCTTGAGCGAAAGAGCTGGATTCTTGTTGAGCCAATTCAATACGTTGGTTCTTGATGGCCAAACCACCAAGAGTAACAGTATCAATACCAGTAACACCATTGGCGTGTGAACCGTCACCATAACTAATCTTCCAGGGTTTGCCTTCTTTTTTGTAAGTGCTAGACTTGCTGGGGTCGTATTTGTGTTGTCTTGAGCTACAACCCGAACATAAAGTAGAAGCTATTAAAAAGGAAAAAGAGAGAGAAAGAATGAGTAAGAAAAAGAAAAAAAAAATGACAGCGTAGTTTTAAACTTTTTTTTTTTTTTTTTTTTTTTTTTTTAGGGAACATACCAATCCATAAATCACTACTACCAGTGTCAAAATCCAATTGAAGTTTTTGAGGAGGGGTACCAAATTCAACTGTACCATAATATTCAACATCATTTCCATAATCAGTCATGGGTACTGTACCAGCTGAGGATTGAGCAGAGACAGAGAAACGAGCATACTTGGCTTGAGCTTTGAGAAGAGATCTGGTAGCATTTTTGACATAATGAGGATTAGCTTCCAAGGGGAAAGAAAGATGTTGATCAGCAACAGGAGCAGCTTGAATCAAAGCAACTGAAGCCAACAAAAGACTAGCGTAAGTATATAATTGCATTAGAATAATAGAGGGTTAATGAAAAAAAAGGAAAAGATTTAGTTGTCATGGATGTTCTTTATATACCTTTTTGATTTCAAAGTGAAATAAAGTAATAAAAGGGACTTCAAATCTACGTTTCTTTTTTGGGATTGATTTCCTTAAAGAGGATAGCGGAAGTCAAAAGCCCCAGTTATCTATATTATCTAAAGAGATCACGTCTTTTGGATTACCAATAGAGACATATACCGGGTAAAAATAAAAAAAAATTAAAAAAATGAATGGTAAATGATCATTGTATAACAAAATATAGAAGAGATTAACAATTTCGGTAACATTCTCGTTCTCTCTTTACATTGATCCATTTTTAAGGAACAGCATTGAATCTTGTTGTAATAATGTGCATAATTAAATGTTACTCGAAAGTCAAAATTCAATGAATGACAAAATTTACTAACCAAGTATGGGAAATCAGTCCTTTCTAGAGCATGATTATACCAAGTTTCTTTTATTTCTACATGTGAGTATAATCTATATAGCCGTAAAAACGGAATAATAATAATAATAATAAAAAAGAATGCCAAAAAATAGAAAAAAAAATAAATAAAACAATAATAATGAAGAAATGATGATGATGATGATGATAATACTAATAGAAAACAAAAAATACAAGAAAAAAAAAAGAAATATCTATAATCTAAATAATTTGTTCCCGGAAGTACTTTTGTAACTTGTTTGCTTGCATTCCCACCCTTGTCTTGTAATCTTGATGAATCCGTTTTTCCTTGAATGCCTCTGTTGATTTTATTACGCCTCGTTTTCCATCCGTGATCATTCTTCGTTGATGACTTGAACTGAATGAGCGTAAGGATTCAAATACATTAGAATCAGAGTATTGTCCAATCAATTTGTTAATCAAAATAGAATCGCGTGTCTATACAATAATAATAATAATAAGAATAATAATAATAATAACTATTAAGTAACATATTCTCTTATTTTTTTTTCATATAAAATAGTATCAACTTACTTCTTCAGGTCTTAACTTTTGATCGTAGTACCGTTTCATATGACGATGTCCTACCACAGCACCAGAAGGTAATACCAAAGATAATTCATCATCTGCCAAGTGAAGTTGATTTGTAAGTTCAGTCAATTCTTCATCAATATCTACAGTTTCACCATCTTCCGGTTGAGGATAAGAAGTAGAGAAATCATAAAAGTCCACTAAATCCACAGCATCATCTTCATCTTCATAGGCCAATTTACAATGTCCTTTATCAGTCTATATATATATATATGATTGGTTAATAAATAATATCAAAAAAAAAAAAAAGAAAGACTTACCATATGTTTTCGAACAGCATCCATAGATGAAAATCCTTTTCCTTTACCATTGCAGAATAAACAAATGTTTCCCACACTGATCTTTTCACCAAGATATCGAATCAATCCTTGTAAATCCACCAAGAATTCAATGTCGGGTATAAAGAAGCTATGTACCTTTGTCATATGAGTCATGTTTTCCTCAAAATCAATAGAAACATGTTGACAGAATAAACAGTCTTTTTCAGTCAAACGAGGAGCAGCCTTGATTTTTGCATCAATCTTGGACATGATTTCTTCTTCTGTTGTTTCTTCAGTAAAGGTCATATCCAATGGTTTTTCTTGTACTATGTCTTGATTCTTTTTTGCTCGAGGTACATATTTGGCTAGCGAGTCCTTGTGTTTTTTGGATTGAATATGATTATTGTATTGATTTTCAGTTCCAAAAGATTTTCTATTTAATAAGATAACAAAAAAGATATATATATATATATATATATATTTGAGATCCAAAGTACAAACTCTTTTTATTTTTATATAAATCTTACCTGCAAGCATCACAATAACCTTTGAATACTGGCTTTTCTACTTGTTTTTCAGTTTCTTCCTTTCGAGCTATATATATATATATATATGTATAAAGTATAATGAGAATCTATATCGATATTAATGTTCTTATTATTATTTTATTTATTACCTTGATCTTTTTGTTCAAATTGTTCTCGAGTGACAGGTGGTAGATCAGCTACTTTTCGTTTCAAGTTATACCGATGCCAATCTGATCTGTAATGAAGTCTTTGAGTTTCAGCAGATTCAAAGGCTACTTTACAGGAAATACAAGTATATAGTCCTGAGGATGGTACAAGGTTTTCTGACATGACACACTGTATATGAAAAGTAGATTGGGAGGAAGAATAAGCTCTTTTTTATGTAAAAGAAAGAAAAAAAGATAAAAAAAAAAAAAAAAGGAAGACTGGGAAAAAAACCGTCACCGCTTAGGTGCAAAAAAAAAAAAAAAGAGTAGACCGCAGATGGGTACCCCGCCTTTCCAGCAACTTTTTTTTTTTTTTTATCTCATATAAATAATTGACAATGGCAGCTGCTCGACCTGTCAAATATCAATACCTTATCTCAAAGTATTAAAAAAAAAAAAAACTTAACAATAAAAATAATAATTCTATTTAACTAATGACTTTTTTTTTATATAATGTCAATAGAACGGGAGACATTGTTTTCTCTGTAGCAGTAGGCACCTTTGCGTACTTTATTAATGAAAAAGAAAACCCCAATGCACAAAATGGAAAAGGACTATTAGATCTTATGGATAGAAAACGTCAACGTACCATTGAAATCCGTGAACGTAGAAGACTAGAAAAAGAACAACAAGAACAATTATAGTACTAATGAACAAAATAAAAGGCCAATCCAAGCAAAACTCTGTCGGTCTCTGAATTTTGTCCATTCATTTTCAAGCAACAAAAAAAAAAAAAAAAACTTATTGACTCCCCTTTTCTTCCACTTTTTCTTCATTCTCTTTTTTTTTCCTCTTCTTTTTTTTTTTTCTTATTTACCAAATAAATAAATAAAACTTATTTTTTTTCCAATAAAACAAACCCCCCATACATCAAACAATTTTTCTTTTTTTTAGTATGACTTCAACATCATCTGTTACTTCTACGGGTGACAATGTTACTGCCACCACTACTACTACTACTACTACTTCACCTCCTTCTACTCAACAACAAGAACAACTACCTTTAACAAGTTCCTCTTCTTCAGGTGCTAATGATGCTATCAATCCTTCTGCTTCTTTATATGTTGGTGAATTGGATCCTTCCGTAACTGAAGCAATGCTTTTTGAAATGTTCAATATGGTTGGTCCTGTGGCAAGTATTCGCGTTTGTAGGGATGCCGTTACTCGACGTAGTCTTGGTTATGCTTATGTGAACTTTCATAATATGGCCGATGGTAAAAACTTGTCTATGACTAGGTCTATGACTAGAGCTTTTTTTTTTTTTTTTGACTGACGGTTGGAACACTGTATACTAATCTTCTCTTTCTCTCTCTCTCTCTCCTCTACTTTTTTTTTTCTTTTTTTTTGATAAAAGGGGAACGTGCTTTGGATAGTTTAAACTATACTCTTATCAAGGGAAAACCATGCCGTATGATGTGGTCTCAACGTGATCCTTCGTTACGAAAGACTGGAAGTGGAAATATCTTTATCAAGAATTTGGACTTGGCTATCGACAACAAGGCTCTTCATGATACATTTTCAGCATTTGGTAACATTTTATCTTGCAAGATAGCTACTGATGAAAGTGGAAATTCCAAAGGTTATGGATTTGTACATTATGAGACGGAAGAAGCGGCTGAAAATGCTATTAAACACGTCAATGGTATGCTTTTGAATGATAAAAAAGTGTAAGTACCCAAAAAAAGAAACATAGACACGCATAGCGCCGATCCCTGGTTGGTGGCTGAGTTTTTTTTTTTTTTTTTTTTTTTTTTAAATGATAGATTTGTTGGTCATCATATTGCAAGAAAGGAAAGACAAGCTCAAATCGATATATTACGCTCCAAGTTTACCAATGTATATGTGAAAAATTTGGATGTAGATATTTCTGATGAAAATCTTTATGATATCTTCGTCAAGTATGGTCCTGTGACGTCTGCTTTGGTGTCTCGTGATGAAGATGGTACTTCGAAAGGTTTCGGCTTTGTCAATTTTGAAAACTCGGAAGATGCACACAAGGCAGTGGATGATCTGAATGAAAAGGAAATCAATGGCAAGGTACTTTATGTGGGTCGTGCTCAAAAGAAATCTGAAAGGGAAGAAGAATTACGACGACAATATGAACAAGCCAAATTGGAAAAATTAGCCAAGTACCAAGGTGTTAATCTCTATATCAAGAATCTGGATGATGATATTGATGATGAAAAATTAGGTCAAGAATTCTCTGTATATGGTGTCATTACAAGTGCAAAAATCATGCGTGATGAAAAGAACAACTCGAAAGGTTTTGGATTTGTATGTTTTTCTTCTCCTGATGAAGCTACCAAGGCTGTTACTGAAATGAATGGTAGAACGATAGGTTCCAAACCAATCTATGTCGCTTTGGCTCAACGAAAAGAAGTTCGTCGATCTCAATTGGAAGCTCAAATGAATCAAAGAAATCAAATGCAAATGCAACAGGTAAAAAAAAAAAAAATTGTAGATATTTCGATTAATAAGAGATGGATTGATTTTATTTTATATATCTATTGTAGACCGTGGTTGGAACACCTGGTAGCTATATGGGAGGAGCACCTATGTTTTATGCTCCTGCTGGTGGATTTCATCCTATATTCCCTCCTAGTGGTAAAATGCCTCGTCCACGTTGGGTACCTCCACCTCAACAAGGTCATCATATGCCTGGCTTTGCTGCTCCAAGAGCATATCCAATGCGTCCTCCTTTTGGTCCTCGTGTTTATCCTCCTGGAGTTACACCATCACCACCTTCTCTTCAACAACCAGATCATCCTAGTTTGACGGCGAAACAATTGGCATTGGTCTCCCCTGAAGAACAAAAACAAATGCTTGGTGAAGCTTTATACATGAAGATTGCCCCAAAACAGCCTGAACTCGCTGGAAAGATTACTGGGATGCTATTGGAGATGGATAATAAGCAACTACTCGATTTGGTGGAAGATCAAAAGGCTTTGGAAGGAAAAGTCAATGAAGCTTTACTGGTGTTGCATGAATTCAAGAATACCGATGGATTAGAAACTGCTGATGTTTAGTATTCATCTATCATAACTAGTTACTCGTTTTTTTTTTATATATATTGTTTATTGTTAGTTTTTCATTTTAGTTTATCCCATTTCGAATTTTTTTTTTATATGTCGACTGAAATATAGAAATAAAAAACGATTCTCTTTTTTTTTTTTTTTTTTTTTGTCCTTAGTATACTTCTTGATAAGTGATCATAAATGGATGATTGATATGTAATGATTGAAAATCAAACAATAACGATTACTATTATTTTATTTGGCAGTGATGTTGCTTATGATAAAAGAAGCTGTGTCTGTCAGCTGTTCGTACAGTTTATTCACTTTAAATGAGACAAAAAGTAAAAAAAAAAAAATATAAACAAAGAAAAAATAAATTTGGGGATGATGGAAAATAAATTTGGGAGTGAAGGGAAAATCAAATTGGAATATCATGGGGTGCTATATTTAAAAGATAAAATAAAAATATATATCAGTTAGTACATCATCATTATTAAAAAAAAAAAGGATTACCCAAAACACGTAACTTAGACCGTTTTAACTACGGTCAGGACGATAAAGCAAAGAGGAAAAAGAAAGACTGCTATTGCTGACAGGATGATTGGAGAATTGGTATTGGTTGACGGGGGAACATCCAACATGATACGTTGCTCGTTTTGCTATTAGTTGTGCATAATGTAGTGGTGCACAGATGGATATTGCATTGGTCGTTATTCCTATGTGGTAGCTTAGACCCAACGCACATCAACACGAACCATAATGATTATAAGAGGAGCACAGAAGGAAAAGGAAAAGCAGACAGACAGACATGATTGATAAAAAACCTCTTGCCTTGAATAAAAAGTATAGACACACCAAACGACCACACAGATTAGCCCTAGAGGTACCTCTTGATTAGATCTACAATGATGATGATTTTATATTAGATGATGAAAATAGTTATCTTATAATAGCAATTGTTACTTACTTGTTTTTTTGTTTCTTCTTTGGAGTATTGATAAAAAAAAAGACATAAAATAAAAAGAAAAGAGAGAGGAAAATTCACTTTGCGAGTTTAGAAAAAAAAAAAAAAGAAAGAAAGAGAGAAAGAGAGATGTGCTTGAAAGGAAAAAGGATAAATCACAATCATCCCTCTTTTATACTAAATCAACTGAAATGGACAACATTTTCTTTGTTTTGCCTCTTTTTTTTTTAGCTCCCCCCTTTTTTGAAGGTAATAGTAATGAATCAACGAATAGATGTACAATGATGTAATGCACAGTACTGGTAAACAATTAAAATAAAAATAAATAACTTCTTTTCTTTTTTGACAACTTCACTTTTCTTCTCAAATTCTTAATTAATCTTCTCCATATTTATCAAACAACAAATGAATCGATGAATAGATGTATACTATTAATCAATCAAAATGAAAATAAATGGTCGTCTTTTCTTTTTCTTTGTTTTGTTCATTATTTGGCAACTTTCTTTTCACTCTCATTGGTAGAATCAATGAATAGATAGATAAATGCAAATAGGATGACATGTGATGGAGTAAATAAGGAAGGAATCCAAGGGAATTTATATGAATTAAATCATCATCGATATGTCAATCATCAAAGTTCAAAAATCAATCATCAACGTCATTTATTTCCATAATACAGAAAAAAAGGATCATCGTAAATACGTTCGAACACTGGTGTAAATAGGGAACAGCGCAGACAAAAGAAGAAAAAAAATGCAATCCACAAAGATCAGTCTTGACCAATTTAAATGCCGATGGCTACCAGCCTTTTTTTGGGAGGGGGGATTTGTTCCCTGGTTCTTTTGTTTCTTTCTTTTCTTTTATATTCTCTTATTGTTCCTTTCTTCATGTCCGAATCAACGAAACAATCAACTAATAAAACGACATCAGTTGCAGCCCCTTGTGATCACAAACCATTACAAGAATGTCTATTAAGGAACAACAATGATCGATCAAAGTGTATGAAAGAATGGAATGATTTTCAACAAGCCTGCCAAAGGAAAAGGTAAATACTTTTTTTTTTATATAAATAAAAAGGAAAAAAAGGAGGATAAATTGATTATGTTAAATAGGAAAAAAAAAACAAGTAGTATGTTAGTTTACTCACCAGAGATTTCTCTTTTGTTTTGGAATGGACGGGATCGTAGGAAAGAAAACTGTGAAGCTTGTCAGAAGGATTGATCATTGAACCCATTATTATAGATTAGACACTTATATCTGTACACACACACACATACACTCACATAGATAGATATCGTTACCCATTTATTCACACTTGTTTATATAATAAAGGACTTGGTCTCTCTCACACTTTGTCCCATATTTATTTATTTTTTAACTTTGTCACTAAACTTATGGAATGAATTGTACAACATGTTATAAAGAAAAGATGGATCGTCTTCTGGTTTTATCTTTAACTATTTCATCTTCATCTGGTCTGGCAATAACAACAGCGCATGGACAGTGATGAACACAATAATCACTTACACTTCCTAGGAAGGCTCTATATATATACAAACAATTTTTGATAAGATGATCAGTTCCATTTTTTTTTTTTTTTTTTTTTTTTTTTTTACCTTTTGATAGCACCTAATTTTCGAGAACCCATTAAAAGCACATCAGCTTTAATTTCCTTGACTTTACGTATAATTTCTTCTTCAGGATCACCAATTAATGCAATGGCTTGACAGGCAATATGTTGATCACGGAGTTTTCTTGCATTTTCTTTCAATAAAGAAATACTTGCTTCTCGTTTACTACTATCTAATTCTTCAACAAAGCCAGATGGATTTACATAAGGACCTACTGCAGCATCAATCCTTCTTGTATTGACAAGTACTACCTATATTTAATCAATTATTAGTTATAAAAGAAAAAGATCATCCTTTTTTTTTTTTTACGAGATCTTTTTGTGGTTGAATAAAGTTGATCAATGCCCATTTTAAGATATAATCAGCTGATGATTTATCAATAGAGATCAAGATAACACGTTCCAATTTTCGTTGAATATCAGGTTCATGACTAAACTTTTCAATTAATTCATCATGTTTACTTTTTGTACTTTTATCACTCATAATTGATGTTATAAAAAAAAAAAAAGAAACATAAATGAAGCGGGATTATTCGTTTTATTTATTTGATGGGTAGATAAATCAAATGTTTTTGATTTCCCCATATTCTTTTGAAACCCCCCAATAGGAATGATTTATTATTATCATTTAACTATTGAATTCCTCAAAGAGAGAGAGATGGAAGTCTTCCTAATTCCGAAGATGTCTCATTATGCTCCTCATTTTTTGATCACTTGATTATTTCAAGCAAGACAACCCATTACTAAATATGGGAATATAGATTTTTTTTTTTAAAATAGAGCCCAGCCAAGCTGTTTAACCAACAGGAATCATCCTAGAGATAAGACAACATCATCCAATCATATCAATTGATAAGAAACTTTAGATAACTCAAAAAAAAAAAAAAAAGAGCGTGCAAAAGATAAAAAAGATAAAAGATTTTTTTTTCCTTTTTATTTTTTTTTCTTTTTTTTTTTTTTTTTTTTTTTTTAAAAAGAGATTAATAAATCATGATACCTGTTACTAAAGTATGTAATTTCCCTTTACGACGACATGCTTATCAGTGTATGATGATGATGAGTACTCATCATAAACCCACCACCATCAATACCACTGAAACGTTTACCAATGGACCTCGACTTCGTGCTGAAGATATTTTGTCAGATTCATCTACTTTATTTGCTCCTTCTGAATCCAGTACTTTTATCTCTACTATGCCTGTAGAAGTTTTGGCTCAAGTCATTACTGAACAAGAATTAGCTTCAACAGCTTCTTTGTCAAAGAAAGGTAAAAAAAAAAAAAAAAAAAAATACTATGTCTTTAATCACATAGAACTAAAAATCATTCTTTTTTTTTTTTTTTTTTTTTTTTAATCTTAGTCAGTCAAAAATGAACAACTCACATGCCAATCTTCTTCCTCTCCCTGTCGTTTCCCTCTGTGATTAAACTCCGCACTCACCTTCTTTTTTGGAATGAATCCCTCCTTCTTTTCGTATATAGTTTCCCTTTTATCATATGTTTATGTTTTATTCCCACTTTTCATCATGACCCCTTCAATAAGAAAAAAAAATATATATATATTTATCTATATCTATCAATGAAAAAAAATAAGAATAATATTTTCTCAATGAAAATAAAAAAAACCGCTTACTTTCTTTCTTTCAATTTGATTTGTCCTTTTTTTTTTTTTTTTTTTTATCTATGATCATGATCTTTTTTTCATTATCTATCAGTTTTGTTTTATTATCATTTAGACTAAAAAAAAAAGAAAAAAGAAATCATGTGGTCAACGGAATAGTTGGTGTAAGGTGGGTGGAACGAAAAAAAAAAAAGTATTTTTGTGTCACTTTTTTTAAGGGCATAAAAATTGACACAGAATGCATATGGCTACCTCCCTGATTTTCAAGTCTATGACACAATCCTTTTTTTTTCATTTTCTTTCGAGACTTAGAGTCCATGGTAAAAAAAAAAAAAAAAAAAAAAAAGACTTTGAATACATGGTGTTATATTTGCTTATACTGGTTCAGGTTATTTTCATGGTTTAGGTAAGTCATTATTTTGCTATCTTCACGCTTACCTGTACCTTCATTTTCCTTTTATTCCCTTATTCTGACTTTGTCTTTCATTTAAGTAATATCTATTGACGATTGTTTGTCTTTTCCTTTTTATTGTGAACATTTACAGGAAATGATATTTACAGGAATATATATATATATATATGATTAAACCCACTGAATGGATGTACACTTGGATCAACAGGTCGATGTTTAATCAGATTGATAGAAAGGATATACATAGAAGAGAGAAATCTACGATTGGATCGATTGGACGTGTAGATACAAAAAGGAATAGACTGGGCAAATCAATAGTACAGAAAGATGTTTATTATTATTATTATTATTGGTCCCTTTTAGTTTGACTGACAACTCCCTCTCTCATTTGGTTTTATCGTGATGGTTCTTTTATTGCTAGATAGAATTAGTCTTAGTGTTTGTATTATGTATAGAACATAGAATCTTTTTATTTTTTTTTTTTAATAAAGTGATCTTCATGCTCTTGTTATCAGTATCGGCATCGTAGTTGTTTAAGAAAGGAAAAAAGAAAACATTGTCTGCAATATTCTCGATAGCCATAGAAAATCATCCATTATAGTCAACTTTTATCTTATCCTTATACCGTCATCAATCACAATCTATCGCGCTTCACACTAACCAACAACATTAACCTTTCATCGCCGAATAAAACAAGACAAAGTAAAATGAAGAAGAAACGATGATTATCTTTTTTTTTCTTAGGCATGGGAGTCTTTAATATGAAAGGATGATGTTTACTCTTGATATCAACTCATCATAATCACAACGTCAATGAATACGCAACTCCTGCTCTATAAATCAAAAGTCTCTCTCTCTCAAAAAAAAAAAAAAAAAAAAGAAAAAGAAGAAGAGGGTGACATACAGACACATATCATTATCTAACCTCTTCAAATCAAAAGCCTTAGTGGCAGCCGGTTGATGATTTTTGTTTTACTGTCCTATGTATCATCCAGATTTTCAAGTCGCTTCCAAAAGGCATCCATTACAAACAATAATAATAATAAGATATGCATCTTTATTATGTATATATATGTAGAAAAGAAGAAAAGTACAGCTAACTAGTGGTCAAATTCTGAAAGAAAATGACAAAGTGTATTCTATTCCAGTCAAAGTATAGACAAACAAAACTAAAAAACTAACTAAAAAAAAAAAAAGACTAAAACTATAAAGAAAAAAAATATGTATAAAATGCACAAATATATATAATATATATATGTTCGTAAGAGTGTAAGTAGGCAAGAGTGAGAAAGTAAGTGAGTGAGAGTATGTTTGTGTGTGTGTATAAATTATATATATATATATATTATTTTATATATAGAGACGAGTAGGACAAAAGAAATAAAAAAAAAAAAAAAAACTAGGAGAGCATCAACGTTCAAATATAGGAGGGAGGTATCTTGAGTTGATCGGCAGGGATAGGGTCAAAATGATGAATATCGATATCTCTGGATAACAATTCTTGTTCACAATGAGGAGGTACCAGTCGACGAATCAAGTCAGGTCGAATAGACAATTCTATAATAAAAAAAAGGAAAAAAAGAGAAAAGCAATATAAGATAATGTAATAACAATATAACGTTATATCTTACCATGTCTAGAAAAGTTCAATACAGGAGGAAGAGGTTGTCCATTAGGTAAATGAGTATTTGGATCTCGTATATCATCGAAGAATGGATGGCATAATGCTTCAATAGCAGTGATTCGTTGTTGAGGATCATATAATAACATCCGAGACAAAAGATCTACTGCTTCTTCACAAGCTCCAACAAAGATCTACAAAAAAAAAAAAGAATGAATCATATCCATTTAATATCCATTTATATATCTTTACCTTATTCAAAGGATGAGGTTTGATTTGAGGGAATTTGTGTTCAACATAACTTGCATTCATAGCAGCTATTTCTTGTTTAGAAGGAGTACCGAGAATCTTGATGATTTCTACCAATTGATCTATGCCACTATCACCAGGGAAGAAAGGTTGACCTAGAATCAATTCAGCCATAACACATCCAGTAGACCATACATCAATATTCAAAGTATAGTTTGTAGCACCAAAAATCAATTCAGGAGCACGATAATAACGAGAACAAATATAGGATACATTAGGTTCACCTGGTGTGAGGATTTTGGCACTAGAAAAATATTTAAAATAATAATAAAAAATGAATGAATGATTCATTATTTTTCTTTTTCCTTCTTACCTGCCGAAATCACACATTTTACAAATTGAAGAATTGGGATCCAATAAAATATTTTGAGGTTTGATATCACGATGACAAATACCCAAAGAATGAATATAAGCTAAAGAACGAATGACTTGATACATATAAACCTTGACTAATATCATGGGCATTGATTGTTTGGATTTGGTGTAAAGACGAGTAGCACGATATAAAGTATCAGGTACATATTCCATCACCAGGTTCAAATAAACTTCATCTTCCTATTAAGTAGATTCATAATAAAAGAAAGTGTTAATATAGAGAGAGATATCTATAACACTTTCTTTCTTTCTCTCTCTCTCTCCTTTTTTTTTTTTTTTTATTATTATTATTATTTTTTTCTTATTACCTTTTTATCCACTTGTGTATAAAAGTATGATTTCAATCGACAAACATTAGGATGATCCACTAATCGCATAATTTGTAATTCACGATTCTATAATATATACATATATAATATGTTAGTATTTGACCATAGAAATAGAAAATGAAAAACTTTTTTTTTCTCTATCCGTTATTTTTTTTTTCTTTACCTTAAATCTCCTGTCTTGAAGTACTTTTTTGATTGCAGCATCTTCATTTGTGTCCACAAGACGAGTTTGATAAACCACACCAAAAGATCCATTACCAGTGATTTTTTTATTAACATAACTGATTTCGATTTGTTTTCCCGTAGATGCATCTTTAGCTAAAACTCGTGCTATCTTAGTTTGATCGCTACCTAATTATATAAAATAAAAATTTTAAGTTTTTTTCATCAGTTCATCTTCCAAGCGTGTGACACAACTCTCTCTCTTTTTCTTTTCCCTCATGTCAAATTTACACATTGACTTTTTTATAAAATAAAATTATTACCTGACATTATAAATCAAATAGAGAAGGTAAATGAGAGGAGAAAGATAAATATAAGTTTGGTAATAAGTTTAAAAAGAAAAAAATAATAATAATAAGAGAAAAGGGAAAAAAAAAAAGAAAAGAAAAAAGGAGAGTCGCAAAACACCAATGAAAAGGTTCGTCTCTTACGGAGATCAAAATTTTCTATTCAATTCACCAAAAAATCAATTCACCAAAGAAGAAAAAAAAATGATGATCATGCTAATATTATAATCCTATTGATTTTATTTCTCTTTTTATTTCTAATATATATATAATCTACAATTGATGTATCATACCTGAACCTATTTGAAATAATATAAAAATTAAGTTTAACTATTTTATATTTTTATTATACATTTCATATATATTACCATCAATTCCATTATAAAAAAACCAATTTTGTACTGGAAGTTCCTTTGCTGATAATACTTTGATCACCTCTTGAGCTAATACTCCCCCAACAATAGCAGCCACAGGAACCAGTTCTGTCTGATATAAACCAAGTTCTCTATATCAAATATAATAATAAAATAAAACTAAGAAGTTTCTCTTTATAAATATATATATATATCTTACTTACTTTAATAAAGAATCATCTAGAACAGAACCATCATTGATACCCAAAGCTTGTAACCAAATATCTTTTTCTTTTATCAATTTGTCCACATCCAAATCATTAGGATATCGTCCATTTTTCAATTGATATTTCATTAAAACTATAAAGAATAAATTCAGTTTTTACTTGATAAAATATGAAAAACTTACTTTGAATTAAAAACGCAATAGGAGTCACCCTCTTCTTAAGAGCTTTTGTTGACATATTTGACCAGTTTTTTTCCAATGATTGAGCTAGACTTTGATAGATTTCTGTATGTGTTGATCGAGTCACAATAGGTTCTTGAGATTTATCGCTTCCTGGAGGAGGTGGTTTACTTCTTTCTCTATAACATAAAATCAATTTTAATATATATATATAAAATGTTTTGTTATACTTACTCTATAAATGTATGTTCCACCAGATCGCAAAAAAGGTATCCAATCCATCCAAATGCATCTGCAGCATAAAAAGGTTTCTTGACATTACGCCTAATTTCATTAATTCTGATCTATTATATATATATATATACATATAAGAATTCAATTTCATTATTATATATATATAAATTTAAATCACTTACTAATAATTGAATATCAGAATGGAAGAGACAAACAATATCAAAGGATTCAAAATAGGTATCTGGTTTCTCTTGAATGTTTTCTTCATCAACTATAACTTGAACACGTGGATTCAGAGTTTGTAATGCTGGACAAGTAGCCACGGCTTTCTAACAAAAATATATAAAGAAGAAGAAAAAAAAAAGAAAAAAAAAAAGAAAGTGTGAGGTTCTAACTAAAAATGATTGATTTAGTAATATAAACTTACGTTCATACCAATATGAGTTTGATCAAAGAAGAATTGAGAATCCACTTCAGCTTTATCCACTAAAGTATGGTCCAATAAAGTGATAGTACCTATACCTGCCAATACAAGGTTCTTAGTCACTTCATTACTGATAGCACGTAAACCAGCAATTAATATATTGGCATTGCCGATTCTAATACAATAATATTAAATATTAAAAACAAAAGAAGTTTTTAGTTTTATTTATTTATTTATACCTTTGTTGTGCTTCTAAACCCCATAGTCTGATTTGACGATCATAGATAGCAGCTTCGTCTAATAATAACAATAATAATAATGGTTAATTTATATTTTTCTATTAAAAATTCTTCTCTTTTTAATATTACCTTTTGATATATTCTTTTGTGTCATTACTGTAATTTTTTTTTTTTTTATAAAAAGAAAACCGCGTTTTAAAAAAGTAAAGAAAAAAAAAAATAAAAAAAGAAAATTCAGTAAGAATTGCCAGACGGAGTTGAATTGCATTTCTTTCGAAAAGGATACTTTATTATTTTACTCTTTTTCTCTTCTTCATTCTCTTTTTTTTCAATGATTACATGATCCATAGACAACTCAATCCAACCGGTCCTTAAACCGTTTTCAACATTATATTTATTTTACATTGGTTTTCCGGTTTTGATACCGAATTAGAAAGGTAAATAATAATAATGATAAAAAAAAGGGCTGGCATTTTGCCTCCATCTTGATTGAAAGACGGACAGGTCCGCGCAAAGTATAAAATATATATAAAAGATCTCATTCTTATTTTATTCGGACCACTTTCTTAGTTTAGCATATCTTTTGATGTATTCCTGGTAGAAAGTTTAGATACAAGGACGAAAGAAGGGCTGAAAAATAGATAGGTACAATAGTAATGGTGGCGACTCATGCAAGACAAACAAAAAGAACATTGGACGTTTGAATGACAGTTATGGAATAATGAACATGATCAATCTTGGTTTAAACTAAGCCTTTTTGTTTGTTACCTTTTTATTCTACGTGTTGATAGTTTATACGGCTTATAAATGATAGAATAGGTTTTGTATATTCATTTTGAAATAAAATCAATATTGATCATTTGAAATGGTTTTTTTTTTTTTTTTTTTGATAGATATGGGAAAAAAAAAAGAAAAAAAGAATATAAAAGGTTAGAATGATGAAGGGATCTTATTTGATTGAAGTATGTTAATATAAGTGCACTGACCTTTTTTTTGTTTGAAGATGATAAAGAATAATCTCGATATGTTAATGGATGGTGTGATGGATTCTATTCTCGGATACATGATCGGAATCATAGGATTAAACTAGAAAAGATCTTCTTCTTAATAGAGACGATAAAAAAAAAATATGTGGGCTTTGTATATTGTATATATATATATATATATATGTGTGCGTGTGTGGGATTGATATCTAGCCTAAGTCTCCATGACAACTATTATATATTATAATATATATATATATATATATATATATTTCGTTATGGCTGCAAATAAAGAAAGAAGCCGACTTTAATATTGTAATTATGCGCTCATTCTCCCTGCTCTTTCCTCTTGATTCTTTTTGAGTTTTGTTTTTTTCCCATTCACCCCTCTTTTTCAAATTTAAAGGCGATCTTCATTTCCTTTTTTTTATTTCCCTTTTGGTTTTTTTTCCTTTTTGTTTTCCTTTTTTTTTTTTTTTTTTTTTGTCTTGTCATTTTTTTTTTTTAATTTTTATACATTATAGTTTCTTATACTATGAACAATGAACGAATGAATAGGAAATTACCATCTCCATCTACCTCATCATCACCGCATTATGCCGCTAGTATTCATAGTCAGATCACTATAGGTCGTGATTCGAACCACACAACGTTAACGCCTACAGAAGAACGACATGTAAATAAAGATATCGAGAAACAATCGGAAACTTGGCCACATCAACAACAAGATGAAAAACCATCATCATTTATTGTACCTCCTGTTAAAACATACCCTATGGCTTGGGTTGCTCTTTTTTTTCTCGTGGTATTAAGAGCTGCCGTGTCGATTTACAATAATACATTTAGTCCAATTCCTACTGTCACTGCTCAATACCTCAATGTTGACTTGACTTCTATCAATTGGTTATTCAATATACAAGCTGTTATTTTTATTATAGTTAGCTTTTTTACTTCATGGTTATTCGAAACTCTTGGTGTGAAGAAATCGGTAAATCATCTACTCTTTTTTTTTTTTTTTAAATACTTCAAATTATTCTCTCTATATTCATTTCGTTTCTTCTTTTATGTATATATTTATTGATGATGATTGTATGTTGATGATGATTATACCAATGATGATTACATAATGATGATGACTATACCAATGATGATAGTTAATTATCGCTGGATTCCTAATATCAACTGGATGTTGGATCCGTTGGGTGGCTGTCAAAATAGAACCTCATTCTTTTGCCCTATTGATGTTTGGTCAAACTATTGCTGCCATCAGCAGCCCCATCACATTGAATATCATGACAAAGGTATTTTTTTTTTTATTTTTTACTATGATATAGGCTGATGATTTATCCTCTAAACTCATCTTCTTCTTTTTTTACATATATCGACTTTTTAGTTTGCCGCTGTCTGGTTTACAGAAGAAAGAAGAGCTACAGCTGGAATGTTTGTTGGTAAAATTCATTGTGATTTCTTTTTTTTTTTTTATCTCATCATATCTTTCCTTTTTTTTTTTTTTTTTTTTTTTTTTTTTTTTTTTTTACTATAGCATCCAATTATGGAGGAATCATCGCTATGTTTTTGATGCCGGCTATAGCTACTGGTGCAGACAAGATTGAATTTACAGTAAGATGATCATCGATAATCTTTCTTGTTCAATTTTTGTAACTCTTTTTTTTTTTTTTTTTTTTTTTTTAAGATCATCATGGTAGCAGTGATTGCAACTGCAGCAACTATTCCTCAATTATTATTACCTGCTCTTCCCCCAACACCACCATCTATCAACATGATATCAAATGATGATGATCATCCCATGACACCCAAGATCACTCTTTGGAAAGGTACTTTAGCACTAGTAAAAAATATTCATTTTTGGATTCTTTGTGGCATCCACGGCATCAATGTTGGGTTATCCATTTCCTGGGGAGGATTGTTTAATCAAGCCATTACACCTTATGGTTATTCCAATGCTGAAGCTGGGAACATCGTGGCTGTAGGTTTGGTTGCTGGCACTTTTGGTTGTTGTAAGTATAATGATAATTTATTGTTATTATTATTATTTATGGCTTCTTTAGTATCTAACAATATATATATATATATAATATATTTCATTTCCGTTTTTTTTTCTCCTGAAATAGTAATCGCTGGTCCTGTTCTTGATGCCACCAAGAAGCATAAACTTTTTTTAAAATTGATGGCCCCTTTGATGTGTAGTACATATATTGCAATGATATTTATTAGTAAGTATGCTGACGAAGGATGATGACATCGATCATCTAGTTTTATTAGTTTAATGTCATATTTGGATAACTTTTTTTTTTTTTTTTTTTTTTTTTTGCAAGTCAAACGTGATTCCTTTGCTGCCATTCTTTATGCAAATGGCTTAAATCAGTTTTTCTTATCTTTTATGGTGCCTGTTGTTGTTGAACTTGGCGTTGAAGGTAATATCATAAGATTAACCAAAAAAAAAAAAAAAAAAAAAGGTTCCATCATCTTAACCTAAACTTCTCAACTTTTTTTTTTTTTTTTTTCGATCATCAGTGACTTATCCAGTACCAGAATCCATTTCTACATCAATGTTATGGCAATTGGCACAAGCTTTTGGGTTTATTCTTGTTTTGGTGATGGATACATTCAGAGATCCTCAAGGTATACCAGCCAACAATATGGATCGTGGCTTGATTTTTCAAGCAGCCATGTCAGGGGTATGTGTGATCCTAAGTTTTCTATATATGGGAAGAATGATGCGTACTGAAGCCTATCAACATGCTACTCTTCTCAACAACAATAAAAAAAAGACAATGGCAGATGATGATCAATTCATCTCCTCTCCTACAATGTATCTTTCCACTCCACGTACCGATAAATCCCCTTCTACCTGGCGACCGGATCATCTTCGAGAGAATAGTAGTACTGAAACTATCTCGGTTTTGGTCAATGAACAGAAAAGATGATGACGTTCGTTTCCCTTTTTTTTTTATTATTATTATTGTTCATATCATTCCTGTTTTTTAGTTGCTATTTTTTTTTTTTTTGGTGTGGAACTTGGATGGTTTTTTTTTATGACATATTATTTCTTAATAAAAAAAAAAAAAATACTGATTCCTAAATATTCCTTTTGTATCCTATGATGATGATGATGGATGACATGCGTTGATCATCCATCTAATTGTTTTCTTTCAGTTTTTGTCTGTAAAAAATAGAAATTGGGAGAGTAAACTTGTCTTTTCATTTCTTGATGAAAAATGATCATCATCGCATCAGATTTCAATTGAACATGAGATATTTTTTTTTTACTTGCCTAATAGCAATGTATAGCTTATCGTCCAATTTACAGAGTAAATTAAAAATAAAATGTCAATATTGTCATCCCTCATTCAATAATGATCATCATCCAATAAAATTACCACCATTGCATTCCTCTCCAAAATAACATCATCTAACAGCATTGTATTGGTTACCATTGACCATCAAAAGATTTCATCGATCTTTTGAAAATCATCTGACAATCCCCCTGACGATCGATTTTTTATACCTAAAATTTGGCTGAAGCATTGAAAAAAAAAAAAAAAAAAGATCCACAGTCCTGAATAATCATCCTAAAATCTATTTATAAACTTAAAACTATCATTATACTTTATTATCTATGTATACTTCTTTTGTTAGTGTATCAAAAAGACAGCCTGTCGATAATGCGTAGAAAATCGCAAAAAAGCTGGTCATTTGACAACTAATTATAAAGAATTCTTCAAATCGCATTTTGAGATTTAAACTCCCCCAATCATACCACAAAACCTATAGTAAAACATGTATATCATCTATGTTTTTTATTAACCTGTCAAAGCACGTTTACCACTAAAAATATCGTGTTAAGTTAAAAGAAGAAAAAAAAAATAATTTTGTTCACTCATTTTTTTTATCTAAAATCACTCAAATAAAAAACTTTTTTTTTTTTTTTTTTTTTTTTTTTTTTTTTTGATAATGATGTGGCTAATGATATGTACATGCCAATGACATGCTTCAAGCAGCTGGGCCAGATATATATATATATATGTAGATTTTGAAAATGGATCGTCTACTAAAATCACATTTTATTTTTTTTTATTTTTATTTTTTTTTTTTTTGAAGAAACGAATGATCAGATTTTTATTTTAAGGGATTTGCCTTTATTTCAAATGTACAAAGAGAAAAAATACTAATAAAATAAAAATGAGAGGAATAAGAGAAACTATGTAACAATGAATATATAAAAAGTATATAAAAAAAGTATAACAAATAATAAAAGCTAAACTGATGATTTTGTCTCTACAGCACCAGCTGATTCCAAAGCTTGTTGTAAATCCTCCAATAAATCTTCAACATCTTCGATACCAATACAGAGACGAATGAGATCTTCCGGAAGAGCGCGTTCAGCACGAATATGAGCAGGAATGGAAGCGTGTGACATACGACAAGGCATACTAATCAAAGAGTTGACACAACCAAATGAGACCGAGATACTCCACAGTTTGGCCGCTTCCACAATACGTTCTGAGATGCCAATATCACCGGTTTCGAAACTAAGCACCGCGCCAGGACCCGATGCAATACGTTTGTGAAGTTCATATTGAGGATGTTTCTTGGACCCTGGATAATGTACCTTGAAGCCATGACGTTCTAAATAGTCACATACACGAATTGCGGTTGCCTGTTGTTTATCCATCCGTACCGCCAATGTTTTGATTCCACGTAGTAATAACCATGAATCAAAAGGTCCTAATCCACATCCTGTAGCATTAATGATATAATAAAGTTGCTAACAATAAATAAATAAAAAAAGTAAATAAAAATAAAAAAAAAATAAATAAACATATATATATATATTACTTACATCGCCTACATCATCACTTTTTGTTCCAATGACACCAGCCATAAGATCATGATGTCCAGAAAGATATTTTGTTCCAGAATGATAAGAGATATCGGCTCCCATTTCAAGAGGACGTTGAAGATAAGGTGACATCATAGTATTATCCACGACAACCAGCGCGTTGGGACACTTGTCATGTACATATTGAGCAATGGTAGGAATATCCGCGATTTTGATCAAAGGGTTTGTAGGTGTTTCTAATAATACCAGACGTGTCTTGACAGGATCCAAGTAAGGTAAGATGGCATCAGCCCTAGTGGTGTCGATATGATGCGTTTTGATATTTTGAGATTTATTCAGGAAAGATAACAATCGATTGGTGCCTCCATAAAGATCATCCCCAGCAATGATTTCTTCACCAGCTCGAACAAGTCTTGTAATCACATCTAAAGCACCCATACCACTTGTCACTGCTAAGGCTCTTTTGGCACCCATCACTTTGGCAAGATGATTTTCTACAAATATATAGTGGATAGAATATATCAATGAGTAAAAATACTTTTACAAATCTATATAGTATAGAAAACGTTCTTTTTTTTTTTTTTAACTTTACCGAGGTGAGTACGAGTTGGATTGCCACTACGAGAATAGTCATATTCGCCACCAGCTGTTGCACTTTTTTGTTTAAATGTAGCAGACTGATAAATGGGAACAGAAGCAGCATTATGTGGGTCATCAGGATTGTCAACAGTTACTACTTCAGTGGCAAAACGATATTTTCTACGTTCAGTGGTCATAATGGATAAAAAAAATAAAAAAATAAAAAATAAAAATAAAAAAAAGGAATCAAAGAGAAAAGATAAAAAAAAAGCTGGGAAAAAAAAAGAAATGAAATTGGTCAATTTTTTAAGATGATCAAGTTTCAGATCCCTATTGACATGAACCAATCAACGTCGAATAAAATGACTCCATTCATCTTTATATTGACCATGATTCAGAACCTAAAAATAATATCATAGTAAAAAAAAAATAAAATAATAAGAATAATAAATGATGATATTTTTTTTTATTATTATTTGATCAAGATACTAAAAAACTATACTACAATTCTATATAAAAACATCAAAGGTTTTGTGGTTCTTCCATTTTTACAGCCAAATCATCTAATTCTTGTAATAATTCAGGTGTAAATCGCATGTCAAACGCTTCCAAGATGAATTTTCGTACTGGTGATCGGAAATGATAGCTACCTAATAATTGACATACTGAATAATAGAGTTGTACGTTCTTGAAATAATCTGGATGTTTTTGTCGTAATCTATTATTCAAAAAAAGAAAAGAAAAGAGTTGAGTTTTTTTTTTTTTTTTTTTGTTGTGTCTTTTCTTTGTTTTATCTTTACTTTCTCAAATTAGATGAGGCTTCATTCGCTAGAATATGATTGCTCATATCACCAATATTTCGAAGAATATCTGTACAAATGGTATCTTCAGTGATTGATTTTGGTAGCTGTGGTGGATCCGATAATGTGGGTGTATATTGCCAATTTCGTATCTATAGAAAAAAGTATTATCAGTAACATCATCATCATCATCATTATATATATTCATTGATTACTGTCAAAAATCCTTGTAATTTCAAAGGTACACAAAGTCCTTCAGGATGTCCATTTGGTCCAACAACACTTTCCCATCCAAGTTCTCCTAAAAGTTCCACTCCTTGTTGAGTTTTGGCTATGAGTCCCAATACATAAAAGCATGTTCTATTTTCATTATAAAATATAAATCAGTTATAATTTTTCCCTTGGATTCATCCTCTTTCTTACCCTTTCAAAGAGAGTACTTCACTATTTTCCGCCATATAGACAATATCCTTAACAATATCTTCTTCTTCCAGGAATGGTAAACCGTTTCGAGTAGATCCAATATTCCCCACTGCCCATAAAACAGATTTGAGATGTTGAATGACTTGTGCGTCTTGTGTTTCCAATGCATAACTCCGTATATAATCAGTAAACAACTGGAAATGTCCATTTTCCCGTAGTAAAGCGCATCCTTCTTCCGTTTTGGTCAATTCACCATAAAAATGAGGAGGTGATAACCCATCGCCAGGTTGCCTAGTAAAGAAAATAATAAAAAAATAAAATAAATAAATAAATAAATAAAAAGTATATTAACATCTCCCCATATAATCATCATCCTAAAATTATAATATATTAACTTACAGTAATTCAAAATCAAGTTCACTATCTACACGTTCTTCAAATGGATTGATCTTCTTTTCGGGGGAGTTGACCAAAGCTCTCGCCAGCGAGAGTTCTAGTTGTATCACATATTGCTGATTTCGATACTATATAATAACGAACGATACATCATCAGAACTATAACACAATCACTCTTTTTTTTTTTTTTTTTTAATACCTCAAACCAATCATCCATTTCTTTTTGTACATAATCCAAATCACTCAAATAGCGAAACCCAGTGGATGTTGATAAAAATCTATATTAATATAAAAATAAAAAGAGAAAAATAAAAAAAAAGATCAATCATTAATTTATATACAATTATCTTCATTCTCTTTCAGTACCTTAATAATAGAGGATTACCAACTTCACCTAAATGACCAAGACTTGGACGACATTTGACTAAAAGTTCAAGATTAGCTTGTTTTTCACAAGCTTCATCCAACAGATTGACGGCGATTTGAGCGACTTGGAGGTGTGTATCATAGAGTTGAGTAACCAATAACCTGATGATCCAATCATTGTAATAGTCGTTGTCTTCGGCTTGACGCATAATGTGGCCCAAATGTTGCGTAGCAAATATACGGATAGGGTTGTATCCTGAGGTCATGATCTTGGATAAAAGCACTCGGGGATGACCGTCCAGTGTATAGTCCATATTCGTGATCAATGCCACCTTGAGATCATCTCGATTGCGAAGTTCCGATAATTGATAAAATGAGCTGAATAGTTTGAATTTTTCCATGATTCGAACACCATCCTTGTGCTTGGTAAACACGCCTAGGAATGTAAAATAACCGCCACTAAGAGTATTGCTCATCCTTTCTTTCGAAAAGATTGGTTCAGTGTCATCAGAAGATACATCTCGCTGTTTGAGAGGATCCAATTCCACCAATGCTGCTGCCACTTGATCCAATAACTTGTTTTCTTCCAAATACCGCACACCATCTACGTTGCCCAACAAAGTCGATAATAATATACATCCTGTTTTCACATATCGAATCACATTCGCCTTGGTACAATTGATATCGGAGAACTGGTGTTTAAAAGGTCGATAGAATGCCAAAAGTCGTTTGATGAATTTCTTACCACGCATTGCCTCATCTAAACGTTTAGGATTGAGTAAAGGTCCTTGTAGTAATTCCACAATATGATCCCAGCTCCATTTGGTATAGTCTTTGGTATTCAACACCTGAGAGTCCAATAATAATTGTCGAAAATGAGCATCATCAATCGCATAACCCATTTTCAACTTGACTTCATGCACCTTTTCTTGTGTTGTAGTTGTTGTTGTTGTTGTCATCATCATAGACCCATTGTTGACCATTCTACGTGTTGTACTAGTACCCCTATCCCCCGTACTATCATTTCCACCAGTACCATTAGCACCACTACTGCCACCAGTTCGAAGAGGATGAAGTGAGGATGAGGATGCGGCATAACGAGCACGTGCGCGAGTCAGTCGATCAATATGAGCCAAAGCTGCTGTTGCATTATGTCGGACCAGTTCATCATCAAAATTGGACGCCAAGGCAAACAATTTAGGAAGAGATTGTATCTGAATCCCCATTAAAATAGGAAGAAGCCGGGTTGATAGTTGTAATATTTCACCAATTAAAAGAGTTGCTTTACGTGAGATGTAAACGTCGTCACTTTTCACCATATCAATCAAAGCCATCAAAATATCAGATTCAATAAAGATAATCAAGACAATACTGAGATGCTGATCCATCATTTTCAATCGTTCTGAATTACTTGCTGTTGTTCTACCATGACTAATATTGGTTTCATCGCTAGCCATGGCTGATCCGGTCATTTCACCCATCATCATATGTCCACCCATACCAGAGACTGAACCATTATGTAAGTGAGTTTTGGATAAAAGGGAGTCAGGTGGACACATGGTCACAGTATGTTGTCGTCCAGTCAAAAAGTTATTATGATCCTTCGGTAGTTGCACGTGGAAAATGTCAAAAAACATATCGAGTACCATTTTCTATAAAGTAGATAAAGAAATAATAAAAAAAAAAAATTGAGATTGAGTCAAAAAAAAAAATGAATAATAATCTTTTTTTTTTATTACCTTTGTTTCCACCACGGGTGTCCGTAAAGCTTGAACCACTGATCTTGCTGCCCGCATACTATTCGCACACATATATAAAATACCGGCCCAACTTTTCAAAAGAAGAGTAACCACCCTAGCACTGTTTTTGAGTCTATCCTCATAATTAGCACCTTTGCTTGATTCTGTAAATGGAGCAATAATTGTTTCTAATTCTACGCCTGGTCGTAAGTAAGTACGTCTTTCTGGAGTATCCAATATATAAAGTAGAGCATATGATAAAACTTCAGCCATATTACGTTGTCCATCCAATAATGCTTGCATTATTACACGTAATCCACCAGAACGAACTGTTAATCCAGTGTCAAGAATGGCTAAAATCAATAAATAAATAAAAAAAAAAAAAAAAAAAGAAGGAATGAGTTTCATTTGATAGCGGTTTTATGAAAGTAATAACATACCCAATTCTGCAATGGTTTCTAAACATATATTCCGTAATCGACAATCAGTTTGTTCTGCCACAGCCACTACAGCACGTACAATATTTTGAGATAAATAGCAGGTACCATTGTATTGGAGAAAAGCTCGAACTAATTTCATTGTTTGTTCCCTTTCTGGTTCATAATTATCAGGTTCTCTTGACATTGCCCTTTTTTTTATTAAAAAAAAAAAAGATTAGAATATATTTATAATGTTATATATCTAAGTAGATAAATTTTACCTGACAATAAATATATCAATTTGCATTTGCATCATCAGTTCCACATCAACAGGATCATCCACTAAGTGTCGTAATGCGCGTAAACCAAGAACCCGAACTTCTCGATGAGGACTTGCTATACATTGTCGTAAACTAATATTATTATACAATCCATGTGAGTTATACATCATCATTATTCATATTAATGAAATTATTTTGTTCCCTACCATGCAATCATTTTCTTCTTTGGATAATACACGTCAGTATCATTTGTAGTTTTCAATATACGTACTAGAGTGTCTAATTTCTCCACTTTTGATTCCTTGATAGCGTTAGATTCCATGGTGGAAATAGTTGGTTTCCATTCATCTACTCCAAGTTGTTCCATAACATGGTGTAGTCGTTTTCCTAATGGCCAAGCATCTATTGATATATTGTAAGTTCTTCTATTTATCTTTCCACTTTTTTATTTTATTTTATTTTACCATCGTCACGGAAGGATATACTTTCTTGTGATCTTTGTTGTTTTCCTTTAGGGAAGCTATTAGATCTAGGTTTTCCACGTTGCTGTTGTTGTTGCTGTTGTTGTTGTTTCAGTGTAGTGTTTGGTATAGATGCCGGAAATGAAGTATTGAAGGTATATTTGTATTGCACCAATTTTGTTGTTACTTCGGTCGAGTTTTTACCTATATGAAAAACCAAGAATTGAGTTATGTATTTTTTTTTATGGAGTTAATGACTTTACCAGCTAACATTCGGATACGTTCTATATTTTTGGCGAGTGTATCAATAGTTGCGTTATAGCTTTCCAATTGTCCTTCCAATTCCTTTGTTCGTTTTTTGTCTTGTAAGTAAGCTTCCAGCATATTTTCGACGCCCAGTTTCATTTTCTTCTCTCGATCTAGTTGTATGAGCCATTCTTCTAACTATTATATATATATATATATATATATTTACATTTGTATAATTAAAAAAAAATAAGTGAGTAATGAGTACATCTTGATTTATTTAATATAATCTATTTGTATTGGCTCTATAGTTTTTTTTTTATCTTTATTTTACCTGAATAATGTCATCTGCGGATACTTTTGAAGGAAGAGATGGTGGTGGTGGTGGAGGAGGAATAGGAGGAGGAGGTGGTGGCGGTGGTGGTGGTGAAGAAGACGGTGATGACGTAGAAGCAATGACTTCATCTACTTCAGTAAATAAAGGATCTTCTGATGCTGTTGCAGGTGATAAAGAGGGTATAGTTGGTGATGTAATAGGTGGTGTACAAGACATGGATGGAAAAAAAAAAAAGAGAAAGAAACTGAGCAAAATCGACCCTGACTTCCAAAGCAAGTTCGTATTTTTTATCTGGTGTGCGGAGAGTGAAAAATCGAGAAATACAATAAGACATTTGGGCATGATCATCTTTTGCAGTCATAGTAATGCATAGAGAATCCATATATATACATATATATATGTATATAGTATTTCAAATTTTTTAATGTGATCATCTGTATTGACGACAGAGAAAGGAGCTTTGAATGAATTTGGAGTATATCAAAATAATCAGATCAAATGAAATTGATCATCATGATAGAAATCATCATCATACAAATCATCATTTCATCATACTGCTAAATTTTGTAAATTAGCTGTTAATTGCACTATTTCTTTGATGTAGCATATCTATTATGTGCATATTGACAAGAACAAGTTAAAAGATAAGAGACAATAAAAAAAATAGAGACACTAGTTAGTTGGTTGATTACAATCGCCTTCGAGGACCGACGATCTATGTAATTTTTTTTTCCGTAACCCTTATAATAGAATGAATCTCGAATCTCAAAGATTCAAAACAATGAGAATTAAGGTCTAACATTTCCCTCACATATATTTATTTTACTCAATATGAACTTGTCTAAAGTTTTCAAAAATGGAGTGAATTTATTGAAAAAAAATATGCTGGGTGATAAAGAATAAATAAAACAAGCTAACTAGAAAGAGTATAGTATATGTAGATATGAGAGAGAGAGAGGGAGAGAGAAAAAGAAATGTAAAATAAATATTAAGGATTAATCTATTCATAAGGACCATTCATAGGAGTCTTTGGTCGAGAAGCTGTGGTAGGAGAAGTAGGATTCTTGAGCTGTTTGACACCACCTAAAAAAAAAAAAAAAAAAAAAAGGATCATCAAATGAGAAACTATCCCTTTAAATCCAATTATCACTCTCAAATTACCTTGCAAAGATAAGTTTTCGGCCCCAATAAGACTATGATGGACATGTTCAATGGACTTGAAATATTTGACGGTCTATAATAAGGAATCAAAGAGGAAAAAAAAAAGGTCTATTCAGTAACCTTTTCCCTTTGAGATTTCCATTATTAATCTATTTTTTTTTTTTTTTACCTTGACATGTAATTCCAAAGTAGAATCTTCATCACATACAATCAAACCCTTGGGATGTAATTGAATTGCTGAGACAGTCCACATATGGTTAACACCTTCTTCAATACATTTGGCTAAAGCAATGGCCTATATATATATAAAAGAAAGAAATAGATTTTCATTTAGTTCATGATCGTTCATTCATATATCTTCTTTTCCTCTTCTTTCACCACTTACCTTGTGAGCACCAGTAATAATAACTACTACTTCACGAGCATCCATCACAGTACTATTAAAATATAAAAAAAAAAAAGTTGATGATAAGTGAATCAATTCAGTTCCGTTCTTTTCTCTTTTTCAAACTTACGCTACACCGACTGTCAAAGCCAACTTGGGAACCTTGGAAACATCACCATCAAAGAACCGAGCATTAGCAATGATAGTTTCATAAGCCAAAGTCTTGACACGAGTACGAGAAGTTAAAGAAGAACCAGGTTCATTGAAAGCAATATGACCATCAGGACCAATACCACCCAAGAAAAGTTCAATACCACCAACACGATCAATTTCAGCTTCAAATTGCTTGCATTCTTCATCCAAGTCAGGAGCATTACCATCCAAAATGTGTACATTTTCAGGTTTAATATCCACATGCATAAACAAATTCTTCCACATGAATGAATGATACGATTCAGGATGGTCACGAGGAAGTCCAACGTATTCATCCATGTTAAATGTCACCACGTGTTTGAAACTAATGTCACCGGCCTTGTAAAGTTCAACCATCTTCTTATATACACCAATAGGAGAAGAACCAGTAGGAAGACCCAATACAAAAGGACGTTCAGCACTTGGTTTGAATTGATTGATACGTTCTTTAATGTAGTTGGCTATATATTCATTATGAAAACAAAAAAAAAACATTTAGTTTCATTACTGTTTTTTTTTTTTCCTTTCTTTCTTTTTTTTTTTTCTTATCATTACCAATATATCCAGACACTTCTTCGTAATCTTCTCTGATAATCAATCTCATGTTTTAATATTATTTATGTTATATATAAATAAAAAAAAAAAAAGAAAAAAAAAAGAAAGGAAAAGGGAAAAAAGGGAAGACCACCCTTCTTATAACCTTCTTTTCTGGAGCGGAATACTAAAAACCAAAGGAAAAAAAAAAAGAGATCTAATGGCCTCTAGCCAATGAAAGACGCTCAAACGACTCCATGTTCTGTAACAGCTCGAATTACAACCAGATTAAAAAAAAAAAGAAAAGAATCTTGTTTCAATATACACAAAAAAGAGAATAATAACAACAAAAAAAAAACAAGAATGATAACAAGTCAATATTGATCATCATCTATTTACTTTATTTTTTTTCCTTTTTCTTATTTTTACAAGAATGAAATATATCAAGAGTTAATTTCTTGGGGGTCGGAACTGAGTGCGAAATAGTCTGCTTATGAAATCATCCTGTTTATCATTGGTTAACATGGCTTACATAACCCATTCTGAACCCTGTTCTAATCCTTTTTTTTTTTTTTAAAAAAAAAAGCAGCCACCGAAAAGAAAAAAAAAAAAACTTTTTGAAAATGAAGGTGATGACCAAAAATGAACGAATAAAAATAAAATAGAAATGACGTGTGATTATTAACTTTTAGTCTGATCACGTTATTCTTTTTTTTTTCTTTGATAATTGTTCTATGATAATAATAATCAGACAATGTTGGTACTTTTTTTTTTTTATTAATTTCATTTTCTACAATAATAAAAGGTATACAAAGTAATATAAAACACTAAACTATATAAATAATAAATAACTAAGTTTCATCCGCTTCCATAGTAAATATAGCCACTTCAATCTTATCAGTTTCCTTGATCAACTCGCCGTTGTGATAAGAGATAGTAACATGAAGCAGATCTTTTCCTCCATTAGCCACATGTAAAGAACTTGGTAAGTAGACAATACTATTCAGTAGAGCATTGATATGTTGTTGTGTGACGTCTGTCAAAGTAATGGATGTCTGCATAAAAGGTTCACCGAGAGGAATACCAATTTGAAGTTTACCTACGACAACATCTAAATCGATTGTCACTTGTGCTAGACGGGGAGGACCACCACGAATATAAATCACATTAAGACCTTGTAATTTTCCAGGGACAGATTCCAATGAAAGGGATTGAGAAGAAGAAGAAGGAAGAGAAGATCGAGCACGATAAACATAATCTCTAGGTCCAATAAGACGTAGGGCTACATTTCTTGAACTTGTTGAGCTGATGATTTTTCCTGTTTTTGCATTGATGTGAGGTAAATCTAAATCAAAGGCACGTAATACAAGATCTACAATACTACCACGCTGTACAGATAAATGATTTGTCATTTTACCAAACAAGTGGATATTCCAAGTTGTTGTCATCAAATCCGTTCGTAATTTTTGCTCTGCAAGAGGATCGGGCAATAGATAATTGCTGATTTCAAGATAACTTGAGGGATACAAGACTTCACGTGGTAGAATGGTGAATCCAGCATTTTCCAAAGAAGAGCGATGTTGTCGTGCATAAGTTGTGATTGCTTTAGGTCCACCACAATTGAAACATCCGGGATCGTAAGTATAAGCAGAGAATGCACTTTCGGCCATTTCACGGAACAGTTTCCATCCGCGTTTGAATCGCATGACACCTTGAGGCAAGTATAATCCTTTATCATCCAAAGTCCATTGTCGATCTGATTCAAGACTTGAATAATCAGATCCAATAAATTCCATATTTCGATCAGGAGGTAGGCGAATCCATAGTGCATCCATATCCATATATGTGCCACCGTAATTATACAAGAGTAAACATCGAATGTAATCAGTCAAATGCCAATAGAAGAATTGTCCTTTTTCCCAGTTCTCCCAATTACTCAACCAATCGCGTGTACCGGGTCCAAAATACCATTGCCAATTCAAAAGATTTTCCTTGTTAAAATGAACAACTTGAATGTTATATCCATACTTGGTGTAATCATCAAAGAAGGCTTGAGGTAATGTATTTGATATCATAAAGATGACTGCCCTTGGTTCATGTACCCATACCAGTTCCAAAGCACGCCAATGTCGTTCAGTAAAAGTAGAAGGCTCACTTGTCCAGCATACCCAATAAACCAAACTCCAGTCGTCACCATCAGAATATTTGGATGTTCGTCGAGAGAGAATACCATCAATAATCCATTCATCATTTTCACCAATCACAGAAGGAGGAAGTGTATCCTTTACCACACCATCAGCTATTTGTGCATATGCATTTTTCATTGGAGACACACCTTTAAGCTGATCACATTGAAAGTTGAGGTCTCGCCAATCATTCTTTTTACCGTAACAAGGATAACATACTGCGCAGTTTTCCATTTTCAATCCTGTACATTGAGGTCGTTGTTGAATGATATTGTCGTACATTTTTTTCATTAGAGAGGGTGATGATGTAAAAGGTTTTGCCAAAAGATCATCTTCACAGACATTTTCTAAATCCTGAATTCTTGCATCATGTTGAGGTCGAATATCCACACCAAATAACCAAAAAGAGAGATTTTCATCTTCATTGTCTGAATAGCGACGAGTAGAATTATGTTGAACAATCCGTTGTACCATATCTTTTGATAGAGTATATAAAGTACCTGATGTAAAGGATGGAAGAACTGGTATGGCATAATCGACATTGGTTGATTTCTTGATATTTCGAAAATTCCATGGCATATTCCTATTTAAGAAGTTTAAAAAAAAAAATAAGATGAGAATACTCATTCTTTTTTTTTTTTTTTTTTTTTTCAAAAAACAAGAAAAAATTACCTGTAAACCAATCCTTTCCAGTATTGTGTTTGATGACCTTGAGAGATCAATTCATCAGTAAGACGATCCCATCGAACAAAAACATCATCAATTGTTTTAACAAGATAATCATAATCGATATCAACAGACCAACGTAAAGCAGAAAAGAGTTTCCAGCTTTGATGAATATCCAAATCAGAAGTAGGAATGACCAGCATATCATGATATTGATTTGATTCATTTATCAGAGCAGCACCCATAGTTGCTTGAGCCCATGCCGAAGGAGGTTGTCCAACCACAAAACGATATGTTACAGATAGAGAATTCTTATTGTTAAGAAGTTGTAAAGAAGTATCACGAAGTATTTGGCGTCTGATTGCGGCTTTATTTGTCCAAGAAGATAAAATCAATATTAATACTGAAGATGTTGTTACTGAAGTATCCAAGAGATAGGGTTGATGTTGCATTAATTGACTAGTAGTGTATAAAAGTGTATTTGTTTGTTGAATTCCTACATACATAGTCCAACAAGTAACAACCAAGAGAGGTAAAACCAAAACTTTGACAGCAGTTGACTTGAGATTAATACGAGGAATGGATACGTCTTCTACTTTTCGATGATATTTTGGACTATTGGCAATGACTAGTTTCAAAATATTGCAAACCAAAAGAACAAAACAAATGGTCATCCATATCTTGGTTGGTGAACCACCTTTAGAACTGATAAATGCTGCAGTTGACCAATTGAGAACTGTTAAAGTAATAAGTCGTACAATGGCATTATTGACTTCATAATGATAAAGCCATCTTCGTGTCATACTTGTCATGAGAATCCAACTCCAATAACCTGCCAAAGCACACTATAATATATATATTTGATATTAGTTTAAGGTGATATATATAATTATTATTATTATTATTATTATTATTATTACCCAGAGAGTGGCAACAAAATAATTTGCTTTTGTATTGGAAAGATAAATAGCACCACCAGCATCACGTTCGTCAACATGCCAAGTAGCTTTTGTATTGTAAGTAAAACCCAAAAGAGATGGTATCAGACTAAGTGCACGAAGTAGAATAACTGGTATACTATAACGTCGAGGAACATTGAGACTCGATAGAATCTTGTTCCTAAACATGGGAGGTGCACCAGACTATATATATAAAATATTTGTTTTGGTCAGTATATAAATATATATGTATAACATATAAAATTTACCGTTTGCATATAAATATATTCCACCTTTTTTTTTCTTTCTTTCTTTTTTCTTTCTTCTTCTTCTTGAAATAAGTGAGAAAAGATGGTAAAGAGTGAAACAAGAGTAAGAACAAAAAAAAAAAAAAAAAAAAAAATGAAAAATAAAAAATAAAAATAAAAAAAAAATAAGATTTCAAAGACAGATAGAAACTTTTTTTTTTTATTCCAATATTTATATGATCTATCTATTATTCTTGCATATCATCATCTTGTTTTTCAGGTTGTTCAAAATCCATATCAGAATTAAGGAATTCACTAACACTTGGATCATCATCATCTTGTCCAGTATTCACCATTTCATTAAAAAAGTCATTATTATCATCAGTATTTTCATCGAAATTAGTAAACATATCCACATCATTATTATTTGTTTCATTTCCTTTTTCTTCTTCTACTTTATGTTGTTGTTGTTGTTGTTGATTTGGTGTTCCTTGTGATGAAGTTGAAGTTGAAGGTTGATGTGGTGTTTGAGGTTGTGTTGGTGGTAAGATAGGTTCTTCCTTCAATCCGGGTATTTGAATAACATTGACATTTTCTGTATTATGTTCCACTTTACCATTGATAGTTTCTGCCATTGCTTGTGCTGCTTTGTCTATGGCCTATTTATATAAATATATATATAAGTAAAATATATATATATAAAAATCAATTTTAAATTTAAATATATCTACTTACTTCAATTGAAGTAGCTTCCTTGAGATTTGCTAAAGATTTCCAAAACTGATCACGTTCCTGTCGAAATTGATCCAATCGATTTTCGTGTTCTTCTTGTTGTTCTTTTGATTTTTGTTTTTGTTCGTCCTAATAATAATCATCATCATTTTAATAAAAAAAAAAATAAATGAAAAAATTGTCATTATTACTTACAATAAGTCGTAATAACTCTTCTTTGCTTTGTGATATGTCTAGTGGTGGTGGTTCAATGCTATCTAATAAAAAAAAATTATATTTTAATACAAATAACATATTATATATATATTAATATATATATATATCTATAATATTTCTACTTACCAGCATTATATGGTGTAAAGATTTCGGAAAAGTAATCGTGATTTCGTTTATATCTTGCCATGGCTATATCCCTTGCAGAAATATCGTCCAATTCATCTATATAAAAACAAAGGTATTAGAATGAAATACTGTTCTTTTTTTTTTTTAAAAAAAAAATAAAACCCTTACCACCTGATGGTTCATTATCTTCTTGTTGTTGAGGTACAGCTTGTCGTGATGAAGACTATCAAAAAAAAAAAAAAAAAAAAAGATGGTTGATCAATTGAATTTATTTTAAGATAAATGAAATATTTTTTTTTTACTTTATGTGATCGTTTGCGAGTAGTTTCTTGATGTATAGGATTTCTATAAGGAACAGGATTTTGAACATAATGCTGTTGGGGAACAGGACTTCCACGTATTTGACCAGGCATTTGCATATTTCCACCTTGTCTATAATAATGAGCAGTTTCCATAATTCCTTTCTTTTAAAGAAAGAAAGAAAAAAAGACAATAGGCGTGAATTCAAAATTTATTTGGTGACTATTTTTTCATGTCACAGGAGAAAGTGAATACGCGGCCCTTCTTTTTTTTTTTTTTTTTTTTTTTATCTCTTTTACTCATTTCTTCTTCTTTTTATTATTATAATTTGAAATAAAACATGACATCTATTGGTACCGGTGTAAGTTGTTTTTTTTTTATTTTATTTTATATTTGATACCTTATATTTTAAATATGCTAACTTTTTATTTTATTTTTTTTTCTATACATAAAAGTACGATTTGTCAGTGTCCACGTATTCCCCTGATGGACGCGTGTTCCAAGTTGAATATGCTAACAAGGCTGTTGATAATAGTGGGTATGTATAAAATAAACAATCAAATTCAAAATATTAATCCCATAATATATAGTACTGCTATTGGTTTACGAGTGAAGGATGGTGTTGTTCTTGGTGTTGAAAAGTTAGTACAATCAAAACTTCTTGTAGCTGGTGCCAATCGCCGTATTCAAAGTGCTGATCTTCATATTGGCATGGTAAGTTAATATTTTAATATTAATTAATTTATCTTAAACTATAACTTCTTCTTTTATACCTATATATATATTAGGTATCTGCAGGTTTACTGGCTGATGGTAGACATTTGGTGAACAGAGCTCGGGATGAAGCTCAATCATGGAAAGATATTTATCGTCAACCTATTCCTGGAAAGGTAATAAGATAATCACTATTATAAACAATGTTGATACTTAATTCGAATATTATATACATATAGACTATTGCTGATCGATTAGGTCAATATGTATCAGCTTATACTCTCTATTCAAGTGTTAGACCTTTTGGTTTAGGTACAATCGTTGCTACTATGACAGATGGAACTCCATCATTATATATGATCGAACCTTCTGGTTTATATTGGGTAAAATCATATAGGAATAATGAATGAAAATATATTTATTTTTATTTCTATATTCTTCTTAATAGGGATATCGTGGATGTGCAGTAGGAAAAGGAAAATCAGTGGCCAAGACCGAAATTGAAAAGTTGAATTTGGATGAATTGACTGTACGAGAAGCCGTTAATGAGATCACTCGCATGTAAGTTAGATATATACATATGGAACGGTTTTTGTTTTTAGATGAACTTATCTTTTTCTCTTTCATATAGTATTTATACATGTCATGATGATGCAAAAGATAAAGAATTTGAATTGGAATTGAGCTGGATTTGTGCTGAATCACAATTCAAACATCAATTTGTACCCAAGTCTCTTAAGGATGAAGCAGAACGATTGGCCAAGGTATTATAATTAATATATTTTTTATATCTATTATTGAATGTTACTAATCATATATATATATATATATATATTATAGGAATCAATGGATGAAGAAATGGAAGAATAGAATAGTTTTTATTTTTTGTTTTTGTATACTTGACACATCCTCTCTTTTTTTTTTTTTTTCTTTTTGTCCACATGAATAATAAAGAACTTAACTTTGAAACACCGTCAGGGTCTGAACAAAATTGTTATGGGTCTTTTTTTATTCCTTTTTTTCTTCTTCTTTTGTTGATTCTAAATTAATTCTTCTTCTTGTATCTATTTACTTTGTTTTATATGTTATATTTTTATTTCTATTTTATCTAAAATTCTATTTATTCTCAAAAAAAGACGGATGGTACTGGAAAACAGCATCGAGACGGCACCATTGACTCAGCAGTCTTCAAGAACTTCTTATCAATCTTTCTCAAGTAATACGTACGATCGTACTGGCTCTAGTTCTTCTTGGGATGTTGAAATTGATGTCAAAAACCAAGTAAATACTGGTATTACTGATGAAAATGAACCATTTTCTTGGAAAAAACTTCTCAAGTACACTGGACCAGGTAAGAACAAAAAGGAATATTTTTCTCCTGTTTTCTTAAACATATTTCCCATTTCTTTTTTGTATTTAACATATAGGTTGGCTCATGTAGGTATTCTGATTATAATATGAAATACATTCCCTACTTAAAAAAAAACCCTTGTCTTTTTTTTTTATTTTATTTTTTATTTTATAAATTAGGGCTATTGCTTATCTTGACCCAGGCAATTTGGTAAAGTTATTTATAATATGGATCAGACGACAAAGAATAAACATGAATTGTCACTAAACTTTATTATTATATTCATTTATAGGAGGTACACATGGATTGTAACACATAGGGGGGTGGGGAAGATCTGACCTGGAAGATGAAGAAGAAAAAAAAAGAGAGAGAGAAAGAGAGAGTGTGTGTATATATATGATTGGATGGATGGGTTTGTAGGATATTAATTATATTTCTACTTTATTTCTTTTTTTATTTTAACAATAGTCAGATCTACAAGCTGGTTCTATTGCTGGTTACAAACTATTATGGCTGTTATTTTGGTGTCATGTTGCAGGTAATATATATATATATATATATATAAACAATAGAAGAAGAAAAAAAGATCACTAAACGATATTTCATTCTTGTTCAATACAGGATTGGCCATTCAAACACTAGCTATCCGTCTAGGTGTAGTGACAGGAAAACATCTTGCACAACATGTACGACAATCATACAATAGACCAACCGGTATTATTATTTGGATGTTTACTCAAAGTGCTATTATTGGATCCGATATACAAGAAATTGTGGGAACAGCTATTGCATTACGGATTATCTTTGGTTTCAGCATATGGGTTGGTGTATTAATCACGGCGACAGATACCTTCTTGTTTATGTTTTTACAACAATACGGAGTACGGAAAATCGAACTCTTCTTTATCACATTGATTGCTATCATGATATGTTGCTTTTGGATTGAAATGATCTCTTCTGGTCCTGATATTAGTCTTATATTAGAAGGCATGGTTATTCCAGAAATCCCATCAAATGCTGCTGTTCAAGCTGTTGGAATGATAGGTTGCTTGTTGATGCCTCATGATATGTTTTTACATAGGTAAAAGTAGAACAATGAAAATGAATATTCAATATTTAATTCATTTTTTTTTTAAAAAAAAAAAAAAAAAAAAAAAAAAAAAAAAAAAGTGCATTAGTAGGATCAAGAAATTTAGGAACACAACCAAGTATTGCTAAAAAAAAGGAAGCCAATTTCTATTTTACTTTGGAATCTGGTTTGGCATTATTAACCTCTTATTTTATCAACTTGTCAATTGTTGTCGTATTTGCTCAAGTCTTTTATCAACCTGGTAAAACTATCACTCAACTACCTGGATTATATGATGCGGCTGAAGTACTACAAAGATCTCTTGGAGGATTTGCTCGTTATTTATGGGCAGCTGGATTATTGGCGGCTGGACAAAGTTCGACAATGACAGGAACATTAGCTGGTCAATATGTGATGGAAGGCTTTTTTGGTGCATTCTTTAAAAAACAGTGGCATCGAGTGGCAATTACAAGGGCTATTGCTTTGATTCCAAGTATGTTGGTAGCTGTCTTGGCTGTAGATCGATTTGATACAATGGGTGAAATTTTGAATGTGATACAAAGGTAGGATGGAACGTAGAAATCAAAATAAATTATATTAACATATGTATTATTATCTTTTTTTCTTTTTTTTTTTTTTGTTTAGTCTCTGTCTTCCTATGGCAGTCATTCCTTTACTGAAATTAACATCCTCTAGTGACATTATGACGAAACAATTCAAGAATACTCGTACTTTGGATTACATTTGTTGGTCAATATCTTGGATTGTGATTGGATTCAATGCTTATGCGTTTCTGACTTTTATCGAAAGCTTTGGTTTTAGTCTTATATTGACTGGATTCAGTATTGCATACTTTGGATTCATTGCCTATTTAGTCTATTCTCCTTTATCATCATGTGAAGCTCTGATCAAATGACTAGTTTAGTTTTGATTTTATGATAGAAATTTTTTTTTAATATATGTATATCCACTATTCATTTTTATACTCTCAATAAATGTTCAAAATGGAACTTTTTGAAATTCAATAACGGTACAACAAAGTCAATTTGGAAAGTAAGATCAAATTGGATGGATTCAATGACAGGATTATACCTAAAAAAAGAAAAGTACTTCTCTTTCTCTCATCTGCCTTATATCATAATGTAGTTCTTTTATTGATAACTGATGAGAAGTGTATTTACATTCTTCCTTAATAAAGTAATATTTATGTTTCATCGATGTCCTTGTTTTGTGGTCCGTTCGTTCCTTCATCCATTGTCAGTAATGAATCCTGTGATGATAGGAGAAAGTATGCAAGTTCTATTTTTTTTTTTTTTTTTTTAGAGTATTCATCACCATGGCATGATAGATTCAGGATGGAGGACATAAATGGAAAGTAAACAATGAACAAAAAAAGAGGTGGGCATTTCCTAATATAGAAGACGTGTTTGACAAAACTGACAAAAAGAGATCGACATTGTGAGTATGACTACATAAGTGAATGAAACCTTGCGCATTTGATGTATAAAGAAAACTAGTATTTATTTCATAATATAGATATATATATATATATAAATATATAAAAGAGAGAGAGGGAGGGACTAATCTGTGCTGATGAAAACTAGCAAAAAATGTATTTAAATTGAAGTCGGATGAATGGATAAATAGGAAGAGACATGTAGGGATAAAATATATTATATATATATAAAAAAAGGATCATCGTTATTCTTTTTCGGATTTCTTTTCTGTGACATTGACACCAAAGCGACGTTTGAGTTTGACAATATTCCAATAGTATTGCCAAATAGCGGAGATGATACAAAGAAGGATAACAAAGGCTAACATGACATAGGTAGGTGTTTCGATAATATATGCATTATAATGGTTTGGATTTGAGTCGAATAAAAGGCGCCATGCATTGACAAATCCTGTATGGGCAAAAAAGTCCAATCCCATAATGAATAGATATGCTCCCAAGAAAGCTGTAGAAAGGATCACTATATAACATTCCAATAGATAGACTGCAAAGGCTAACACTACACCCATACCAACTGTAAAACAAATACGTGCTACTTTCTAATAGAATCATCATTCATCATAAGACATACCAAAAAAAAAAAAAAAAAAAGGGTTAGCTCATCATTATCAGTAATAAAGGAAATAATAATTTACTTACCACTTGGATCACCAATGATTCTCTCCAGGACATAATAAAAACAGCTAAGAACAATCCAGCAACAGCTATATCATAGAAGAGAGATTGAGAAATCAGGATAAGATCGAAATGAAAATAGTGATGATGACAACTTACCACCAACAAAATAGAGAGCAACATTAAACATAAACATGAAGGCAATAGCACCTATAATACCAAGACCAATACTGACACAAATATAGACAATTTCAGGATGAGGATATCCCATAGCAGGTTCATTATTGGCAAGACCAATCCAAGTCATAGAAGCTGTATAAAGAAAACAGAGAGAAAACTTTAATCTTCTTTTTTTTTCATCTGTCATCACCATCCTTTTGACTTACCAATAAATATAAATCCAACCAAACCCATAGTAGGTCTGAAGAAACGATATCCAAACAAACCAAGATAAAGTCCGATGATGATCAATACAATACCAGTAAATCCTTGAGCTACACTAATACTTGATCCATAAGTATCTACAAGATAGTATCACCAAAAAAAAAAAAAATCAATCATCAAATAATAGAGATCTTTTTTTTTTTTTTTTGATGTAACATTCACTTACACCATAAATAATCACTCCAACATTTATCAACACATTGATAAGGAGCAGGATTGCCAGTATAAACGGTAGCGGTGGCAGTAGCAGTGATAGTAGTTGTTTTTGTCTTGATATATCCATTACCACAATTCACAGTGGTAGTGATGGTTTGCCATAATTGTTGCAAAGAAGGATTGACTACGTTCACCTTGGCATTACTATCATCATCATTGCATATATCATGCCAGTCTTGATAGAGTTCCAATGTCTGTTGTAATTCACGCTTGACCAATCGTCGATGTTGTGGGGCTTCAGTAGGATATAATTGTGGTTGTTGTTGTTGTTTTTGTGGAGTTGATGGTGTTGGAGTGGGTTGAATCACATAACCATGCACGATCAATATACCCATCATCACAAGTACTAACATTGGGAAACATGATTTCATATTCGTGGTATATATATTTGGAATCTATCTATAATAATAGTCCTGCCTTTGGAATAAATAATAATAATAATAATAAAAAATCGAATAGATAAATAAAAAAAAAAAAAAAAAGAAGAAGAAGAAGAAAGGAGCAAGAAAAGAGACGAAGAAAAAAAAAAGAATTGCCCTTGATCTTTCATAAGGCAAAAAAAAAAGTGATTTCCTTTTTTGGGCGGTTGTTTTGTTGTTATGTTTGTATCTACCTAACACTGTTGTCCAACTAAAACTTTAGCAATACAATCATATCAACTCAAATGAATTTATTTTTATCTTCTTTAGATCTAGACGTACCAATAAAGAATACATATCACTAATCTGGACCCTAAAAAGGAAAACCTAAATTAACATACAAATTCAAGATCTACATCTAAAGGATGACTACAACTAAGTTGGGGTCTTTGTGAATATTTTTCACGAAGAATATCACGAACGCTATTCAAGAGTTCTAGATAAGACTGCCTTGGATTTTGACGAAGAGAGGCTAATATAATAAATAAAAAAAAGGTGAACATCGTTGTTATGTATCATCAATTATCATCACTTACTGATAAACGCATAAGACATGGCCCCTGTACTTTTCCCAGCTTCTTGAGCATCAGCACTAGTTTGGTCATCCTTGCAACTAATCAAAAAAAAAAAAAAAAAAGATCAGGAAAAACCATATAGAAGATAAAAAAAAAAAAAACTATATTTACCCAGAAAACATAACCACATCAGCAACAGAGCTATTATTTTCCCGGTTTTCATTTTCAACAGTCTTTGAGTGATACAATTGCTTGCCAAGAGATAAAATAGAGGAGAGAGCACGATCCTTGTCACCAGATGCATAGGCAATACCTGCAGAGAGTAATCCAACCCCAGCATCCTTCAAAAGATTTTGTGATTTGATTGCTCCTTTGGTTGAATATATATAAGGTAAATCAAGTGCCGTGCCACTATGACAACTATCAAAGATCGCAGTCAATCGACATCCTTTTGGTAATGGCTTGACCATGTAATCATGCAAAACCTAAAACGATCAAAAGAAGAAATTGTGAATTCCCCCGCAAAAAAAGTTTATTATTATTATTATTTTGATCTTACATCATCAATAATTTGACCACTTTCACCTTCATAATCTTCAAAATCCACTGGATAAATTGTTTCATCATAACCATCATCTTCGTCGCCACTAACATCTACAACCTAAAATAATAAAGTAAGTATAAAAAGAAGTATAAATCATTCGTGACGAATTTAAATATATACTTACGCTACCACCATGTCCACTGTAATGGAAAAAGAACCTTCAAAGGAAAGACGGGATCAGTATATACCATATACATCTATACCTATCATTTGAGGATTCTAAAAACTTACGAATCATTGGGCTGAGCATCATGAACTAGCCATTGCATTGCGCTCAATATATTGGCTCTTGTAGGTTTGAATCTAGCTTCTTCTTGGTCGTCAGTCAGAATCACCATATCTTGCTGTCAGGCGCATATAAATAAAATACGGAGTTAAGTTGGGAGTTTATTTTCAAAGTCATGATGATATCTACCTCTTGGAATCCATATTGTTCAATCAAAAAGGTCTTGATATTATGAACATCATTGATACATCCATTCAATTGGTTTTTTGTTCCAAAGTAATTGATACCAATCAAAAGAGCTCGTTTTCTACCTTGACCTATATAAAAATAGGAAATGATTAGAAAAATTTTCAATGATATTATTATCCATTTTTACACGCGTGATAAAAAAAAAAAGTGAGATATACTTACAATTGGAGAGTTCATAAGAAGGAACAGGTTTGTTTTGTGTCTTAGGATCAACATGTAAAAAGACATCATGAGATCCGTGTTGGTTTCGTTGTTGATCGTCCGAGGAATATTCATAACTAGTAGTAGTAGTAGTAGAATGATAAGAAGACGTCACATAAGATGAACTGGTGCCAATCTAACCCAAAAAAAAAAAAAGGTATGTTATAGAAATACGAGAAAGTTTGGAATGTAACTTACGCGTTGACCATTTTCATCAAAATGATCCACAGTTTCAACTGGTTGTTGGGAATAATAATGTTGTTCCTGAGAATGATATTGTGGAGGAGGGTATTGTTGTTGTTGGTATTGATAATTTTCATCCATTCTATCCAAAAAAAAAAAGAAAAGGTCGAAGAGAAAGAGAGAGAGAAATAAAAAAACCCAGGAAAAAAAAAGAAGGGCTGTCTTTATTGAGAAATAATTATAATATAAACACAGGTGAGGTTACACATTTCCATTTAAGCGAGGGCCCGCCACCACATAAGTCAAAACAACCATCAATAATAAGAAAATGATCCTATGGATGAAACAAAATATAAATTTTATATTCATAATAATAATTTTTTTTTCTTTACCTTGTCCATTTTGTGTATCCATGTCTTGCAAAAATGAAAAATCCGTATTTTTGAGAAATAATTGTTGCCAAATATCTTGACTTACAATACTTTGAAATTCATCCATATTAGTCATTGTAGCGTTATTATCCAAAATATTGATAGTAGGATCCAAAAGGGGTATAGTCTGTTCTTGTTGCATTGTGTCTTGTGATTTTCCATTGTTATCATCTTTACAGCATTTGTCATTACTGGATGAAGGTGTTCTTGTCGTTGGTGTTGATGGTGATGATGATGATGATTCTTGTAATCCTTTAAGTTTTAATATCGTTGTCGCATAATGAAGAGGTGAGAAAGAAACCAATTTAGGTGCATAGGGGTATCGGGTTTCCAGGCGATTCCACATACTCTTGATTGTTGTATTCATACATTTGTAAGCATAATCCGAAACCTCTTGTTGGTCGCTTGTACAATTATACATAAAGATAGACACAACTACTGACAAAGCATAGACTAAGATGTTCCAACTAAAGTGAGCAAGACTTGACATATCCAAAAATTGGGCAATCTTGTGAGCAATGATAGCAGATTCTGTACACCATTTGGCACTTTCTGGACTGAATAAGACTTCGTTGTCGGGAATGATAAAAGGTCGATGCAACAGAATGGTGACAGCATAGTAGCATATTGCCAGGGGAGCACCGAGTTGCCATTTCATGCTTTCTAGTAAGATTTGCTTTTCCTTCGGATCCATAGATTCCACCAGAGAAATATCATCTTCAGTTACACGACAATGAAGAGGCAATTGGGAATACCATTCCAGTAAAAACCTTTGCAAAGAATTCACCATCAGACGTGTTCTGGGTTGATCAGTACCGAGGTTGGCTTTAGCTTTTGGAGAATAGATTCGTCGTTGAATTTCACCAAGAATACCAGATAATTTGACAAATTGAATAAAATAAGTATGTTCCAGTTCTCTTTCCACATTATCTGTTGATGATTTTGCTATTGCCTTTGTTGAATCCCCACATATTGCTGGTTGATATTCAGGTAATTCCACATTGCAATCAGCATCTACAATGGCTAAAGGCCGGCCTAAAACTGCGCATGACCATCGATCCATAATATAAACACTGTACCAAAGTCGTTGACTTAAATCACATGTCTTTTTTGAATAGGATGTGTTTGTCAATGATCTATAAAGTCCAAGATCTTGACTCTAATATATATATGTGAATAATAGTCTAATATATTTATATTCTTCTTTCTTTTCCTTACCATACGAATAGCAATTCCCGTTCGAAGCCAGATAGCAGTAAAAGAGGAAACATGTGTAGGAAGACAACAAAGTATAATAATGGCTTGGATATTACTAATGGTTGGTGTCAGAAATGCTGTGCGTAATAATTCATTTTCCTTTGCTGCTAACTTTTGAATGATTTTTTCTCTGTTGATATCTTGAGAGTTGAATATTGGATCATCCTTTGGTGATACCATACAGACGTAAGAACAAATAGAACAGGTCAAGAGTAAATCATCTGTATGATTTTGTATTAATCGTAATATAGTTGGTTCCCTAACGATAGGTTGCATACTAGGTCGTAAATCCATGAATCTAAATAATAATAATAATAATAATAAGTCAATATATTAACAGATCTTTCATTTTTTTTATTTTTTTATTTTTACCGTCGAAGAAGTTTTTGAACCAAAAATCCAGAAAGAATCCCATCAATACCATCGATTTGTGATTGAGATGTTGGAAGATCGTACATCACCATAAGATCATTATTGTCTTCATCATATACCAAATGTAATTTTTCCCCTTGCGGAGTAGAAACTATCAAAGGATTTTCTGTATCATGACCAAAAGAAGATGATAAAGTAGAATTTCCTTGTTGATGTCGTAATTGTTGAATTTCTTGATGTTCTTTTCCCATAAGATAATAAGCTGATGAACTTCCAATATGTCTCATTATTCTTATACTTTTCTTGGATTCTTGTGAAGATGTTGAAGGTTGAGAAAATAAATTTATAGAATCCATGTTGTTAGTATCTTGTTCCTTATTGTTGTTAATTGATGATTGTTGATCTTTCAATAACCGTTCCATTTTACGTAATCGCATTTCAAGACTTTCGATATATCTATTATTTGTATAAAAATAAAATGAATTGAATGAATTATAGAAATGATATTCTTACCCTTTTGGTGGTTCACGCTTCTTTGTTGGGGCCTAATGAATATGATATGATGAGTAAGCAATCATTGACCTGATCATTTCCTTCTTCTTTTTTATTTATATTTGTTTGTTCTCATACGTACATCAATAGAAGTACATTCCCAATGGTATTGATCACAAGAAGAACATGGTATTCGTTGATCAATATCACACCTACAAAAATAAAAAAAAGGAATAAGTTAAAAGTGAAAAATATAAATAATTTTTGTTGTTTTTGACAATATCATACTTTATCTTTTTTCGTCTACAAAAGTCACCTATCAGTTAAGATATTATATTATATATAATCAAATTGGTATTAAATAATAATAATGAATTTAGTAAAAAAAAAAAAAAAAAAAAAAAAAAATATACTTACAAGCTCGAGATACTCTTGTACGTTTAACTCGTTTAGTAGTGGTATGAGACTCTGGGGTTGTAATAGTTGTTTCAAACTGAAGAGAATTGAGGTTACTTGTATCCATAGTTTTCACATAGATATAAAAGAAAAAAAGAAAAAATAAACGCAATTCAAAAAAAGAAAAAAGAATACATAATAAAAAAAATTAAAAAAAAGGGCAAAAAGCGGAATATGAAAATGCCCCACAGACTTTCATGTCAAAAAACCTCACAATGAGCCTAAAGCATTTCAATGTATCACGCTAACGAGGAAAGCATTATTTATATATTACAAGTTAGGATTTTTTTTGATTTACATATTGTATTCAAATTTAACTTATTTATTATCAATAAAAAACAATCCTATTTCTAAGTTGATTTTTTTTTTGTTTCGAGTTTATGTCATTTACCATATTTAGTATTGCAGGTAAGACGAAAAGATTTTTTTTTCCCAACCCAACTTTCTTTTTTTTCCCCTTTCTTTTCCTCTTTTTTTTTTTTTTTTTTTATATAATATCATGAAATCACTCAAGGAACAACATTCTTTTCAAGTACCTTTACTTTCTAGACCTATCAACTCGAATACAACTTCCTTCATTTTACCTAGTTCAACTCAACAAGGGTCATTCAAAAGACACCGTACTGAAAGAGCCTGGTAAAAATAATAAGATAAGCTGATCAAAAAAAAACTTGAAACTAAACTTTATAAATTTTAGTGATACTTGTAGACGTAGAAAAGTAAGATGCGACATACCAGAGGCTGGACTTGCTTGTAAACAATGTCTTCGTAATAATGGTGTTTGTATCTTTACCTCAACGTACGTAAAGAAAATGATAGTCAACTTTTTACTGCGGTAGTATATAATATCTATATATTCTGATCCCATTCTTCTTCTTGTTGTCATTATTATTTTTATTATTATTCTTATTATTAGTCCAAGAAAACGTGGTCCTCGAAAGTAAGTTTTTTTTTTTTTTGATTCTAACTATATTGACTATATCTTGTCTGTATCTTATATCAAATTTAGTGTGGCCATACTAGAAGAGCGATTACAAAGAATGGAACGTCTGATCATTAGTTATCAACAACAACAAGTGCAACAACAGGAACAAAATAGTAAGCAACATGACAAGCAAAAGAATACGACTTCAAAAACAAGCATGGATTTGATGCGACAATATTTAATTCACGTGGGGCGTCTCCAACCAGAAGAACCGATCAATGGGATTAATGATTGGATTTATAGGGTAGCTGGAATTGATAAACAAACTAGTGATGAACTGATGAAAGTGTAAGTTTTGGTTGATATTGGAAAAAAGGAATAAGAAATTAAACTATCTATTTTTTTTTCTTTTTTAAATAAATTTATTAGATACTTTGCATATGTTTTTCCGGTCTTCCCAGTGATCAATAAGGCAAGATTTTTACAAGAATATAGGCATCAAGTATCTCTTTTCCCTAGTCCTCCTTTATTGTGTGCCATGTATGGTGCTGCTGTACGATATATTGAGAGTTGTAAAGCCTTTCGAGCCGACGATCTTCCTTTACCACTTATTGATGCCGCAAATCAAAGGTCTTCCGAATCCTGGGCTCAACTTCATATGAAATATGTCAAGGCCAGTCGTGGTGCCAGTCTTTCTGTTGTCCAATCTCTTATTATTTGTATGCAACATCGCTCAAGTACCAATCATCAATGGTCCAAAGTCTGGTTACTGAATTCTATGGTAATGTAACTAATATTCTCTATGTTTATATATATATACTCAGTTGTTGATTCATAGGCAATAAGGATGGCTCAAGATATTGGTTTGCATCGAAATACTCAAGATTGGGCTTTATCTGATGGTGATAGGGAAACAAGACGACGAACTTGGAGTTTATTATATATATTGGATAGATGGTTTTCTGCTGGTGCTGGAAGACCTCTTACTGTATTTGATGAAGTAATTATTGAAATTAGACATTGATTATACATAACTCACTTATTTTGATATTATTAGGACTGTGATCAAACTTATTCAGAAACATTTGATTTTGCTGAATTTTTGGATGATCCTCATTACTTTACAAACAATACTAGTTCATTACTACAAGAACCAAGATTCCCCTCATGTATTCCGTGGCGAAACTCTTTTGAAATGATAAAATGTCCCAAACTTCCGATTTTTGAATCATTGATACAAGTGGCAAAACTCTCCAAGATAGTGGGTAATATTATACAAGGTCTATATACACCAATGGGCAGGAAAAAATGTTTGGAAACTGGTAGTAACGAAATCGTAACTGTATTGGAACACTCTTTAACTGAATGGCGTGCTAATCTACCGTCATTTTTACAAGTGGTTGGTATTCCCATGGTCCAATCTCATCCTTCTTACAATGATGATTCTATGATGGTATTATCTGGTAAGTTAAAAAAAAAAACAAGTATGATCTTTCTTCTTTATACTCATCTGTTATTGTTATCATAGGTTTTCTTGGAATGTCCTATTATACAGCATTGATTTTACTTCACCGGGTCTTTATTTTATCCAAAAATCCAACCGCATCATCCCAACTATCTCTTCAAATTTGTACCAATGCTGCTATTCGATGTGTGGATCTTGCACGAAAAATTCAAACACGCGATTTTATCTTGGTATCATGGGGTTTTACCATTTATCCTCTTTTTATCGCATCCTTGATTCATGTTTACAATGCTAGTAGTGGTGACAGTATGGTCGCTGACGTTGCCAAAGCAAATCTTTTACGTGTCTTAGCAATTCTACAACTTTATGGAAAACTCTCACCATTAGCGGAAAGTCTATATGCAACTCTTTCTTGTGTGGCTCAGCATCATTGTCATTTATCTTCCCAATCAACAACGGTTTCTTATTTACATCAATATCACAACAATACTAATGGGACAACAACTTTTCTCAATAATAATGACGATAATGGAGACAATAGCAATGTCTTTTCGACCACATCATCAGAATCATCACCAACAATATCAAGAACCCATTATTCTCAGAGTATGATCGAGTGGTTGGAAAACGTATGTGCCCCTATACCTGATACGAATTACGGTAAGTCCAAAAAAAAAAAAATAGTCTTAGTAATAGTTGATGATGTTATGAATTGTTTTTCTCTGATCATCCTCTTCGTTTTTTTTTTTTTTTTATAGAATCTACTGACGCTTTTGGATTCCAATCATTTGTTCATTTTGGTGTACCAAAGTGCCCTTATCATTCTTCAACTCTCGATCAACAACCAACAATATCAGTATTATCTTCATGTAAAGGAAATAATAGAAAGTATGATGATAACGAAATGATTGACTCGAAAACGACTCCACCTTATGCTGATTTCTTGCTATATGGTGACAACTTGAGTGACAACACTTCTTCGACAACAACAGCAACATCACCATTATCATCGTCAAATGAATATTATCCTGGGGATGTTTTTTGGCAAATACCTAGTGGAGTAGAATTAAGTGAATGGCCATCATTTCCTGTTCAAGTTGAAACTGTATAGTTAGTCTTCTATTTCCCCCCTCCTTTTTCTCTCTCTTTTTTTTTTTTTATTATTATTATCATATTTATATATCCATGTATTTATTACTTTATTAATGACTCACCATCTTATTATATAATTTAATAAAACTTTTATGCAATTCAAGGTTGTTAATGCGGTGCTTGAATCTTCAACAATCGCCTCAAAAGCAGATTTTGGTCCCCCTTTTTTGTTTTTTCTCCTTTGCTGATTGACGGTTATCGATTATGGTAAAGACTTTTGAACAACAGGATTAAATGAAACGAAATGGATAATGACATATGACGGATGCTGAATGAAATAAGATTGGATGGATTAAAATGAATTGGATGGATGGATGGATGGATGGATGGATCGAACAGAATCTTCAAAAAAAAAAAAAAAAAATGTGGGGTGGGACGGAGTATAGATAAAATGTCACTCATCGATTCTTTCTTTTTTTATCTTCTTCTTATAGGTTAACATTCCCAAGACGCGAAACACCTACTGTAAAGGTATCAAATGCCGTAAACATACACCTCACAAGGTGACTCAATACAAGGCTGGTAAGGCTTCTCTTTTTGCTCAAGGTAAAAGACGTTATGACCGTAAACAATCTGGTTATGGTGGTCAAACCAAACCTGTGTTCCACAAGAAGGTAAGAACGAATTATTATGTGGAAGAATGTATGAACTGATATGATATATTTTTTTTTATATTATATATGGATTGAATAGGCCAAGACTACCAAGAAGATCGTACTTCGTTTGGAATGTACAAAGTGCAAGTACAAGATGCAACTTCCTATCAAGCGTTGCAAGCATTTCGAATTAGGTGGTGATAAGAAAACCAAGGGAGCGGCTCTCGTATTCTAGATTCGATTAATTAACGGATGGGATGATTGGATTTTTTTATGTATGTATATGTGTTTTTTATATTTTGAATAAACTTTTATCTTTATTTATATCATCATATGTAAAAAGATCTACTCGGAAATAAAAAACTTGACTAGCAACAAGCATAGGAAAGGCGGAAAATTTTCCCTTTCCGTTATTCTTTTATTAGGATTCATTTCAATTCAATACTTTCTTTTTATTTATATTATATATTTTGGGAGGGGAAAGGCAAATGGATGCGGTCGATTCAACAATTAGTTTGGATGAAACGAAATCAAGAGAAAGTCGACATCATCATCATCATCATCAACAATGGGAAGCACTGTTTGATCCACATTATACATTTACACCAAGACGTAAATACTATGTAGATCCAATGATTACCCGAGAACAAGGATTAGAAAAACAGGCTTCATTTTTATTTTTACAGAAAACACAAAAGCCATTATCAGACATTACGAATGACAAAACCATTCGTCATCCATTAACTTGTCTTCATCATCAATCATTACCAAATATGTTTAGTAGAAGTACTAGTCGTTTACATCATCATCAGAAATCATTGTCATCACCATCACCATCATCATCATCGTCATCATCATCTTTCATGTCAATGTCTACAGCTTCTAGTCCAGCTTTACCTCATGTTGAGCATCTAATGTTACACGATCATCCTACTATAGATCAACAACATCAAATTGCCATTTTACCATGTCCATCCCAATCATTGAGTCAATTACAACATGCTCATGCCAAAAAGATGGAAAAGTTAAATGAATGGAAAGATCGATTAAAAATGTTACAAACGATACATCAAGCAAAAGAAAATGATGATGATTGTAGAAAAAAAAAAGTAAATGTTACACGTAAGGATTCTTGTAGGTGGAATGGTCATATCCGGAGTTTTCATCCGTACCGTCGATTTCGGGCGAAGTGGATGCGAATAAAAGAGGAATCCAAATTGCCTTTTTTTACTACACAATTGATGATATTACAAAAAGAAGAAGAAGAAATGAAAAAACATTCACAAAATGGTGAATCGTCACATCATCATCATCCTATCAAAGAATTATTTTCTTCTTTACAAGAATATAGACCTTCTTTTTTATACTTCCTATTTGGGTTTCTTTTCCCACCCTTATGGATCATTGGAGCTCTTTACATGAAACGATCAGAAGATAAACTAGCCAAAGCGGATCTTCAATGGAAGAGACGATCTCAACATGCATTGACTTTATTCTTATTGGCCGTATTGTTAATTATACTATCTATTCTAATATTTAAGCCCAGTGCGCTTGGATGGAGGAAAAGCAACAAGCAATAATCGTTAAAAAAAAAAAATATCCCCCCATTTCTCTATGTAGCATTTGTAGTATTATTTATTGTTATCATTACCCCAAATCATCTCCATCTGTCCTCTTCATCAACATATCCCAAAAAGGAAATAGATGAAATAAAGTAGGAACATACTGATACATCGAAATAGACAAAAAAAAATCATTAAATAAGAAGGAAAAAAAGAATGAATGATCTTGTTTCTTTTTTTATGTAGTAATAGAATGATCTTCAGATTCCATTACCATTGACAATTTTTTTTTTTTTTTTTTTAATAATAATTTACTTGTAGTAAAAATGCATAGTTTTCTCTTTTAGTTTTCCAGTTTCCTTTATAAGCTTTAAGTGGCGCCAAGGGGGTTACCCGAGGAGAGAGAGAGAGAGAAAAAAAAAAAAAAAAGAAGCTTCTGATATGATTGACCAACCTATCATATGATAACAGGATTCCTTTTCCTCCGTTTGCGTTGATCGATTACCCTATTTAGCCACCCAGCGTTGTGGATTCCATTGGATGATTTAACGTTACCTCATTGAAGGTGCCACTATTTGCCTATTTCGGCCATCCGCCAGTCTGTCACATAAAGAGTAGAAGGTATAATGGGTGTGCTGGGTTATAAATATAGGAAAAGGTTTCCCTTTTGATTTTTTTTTCTTTGCTTTTCTTTCCATTCTTCTTCACTTTTTTTTTTTTTGATAATGTATCCTGTCAATCCAATTTATCAAATGCAACATACTACTCCTTCACAAAATTGTGATATGAATTATTATTCTGATAATTCCTCTTTGATTCTTAATGATTGTTTTCCCAATCCTGATTATATGATGATGATGTCGTTGATGAATCATCCTGCTTCCAATTATCATCAAGATTCTTTTCATTTTTCATTGAATGGATATCCTTCTTTTTTACCTGAAACGATGTCTCCTATTGATCAACAACAAACAACTGGTTGTTCAACTTTATGTCGATGTGTATCACAACAGTCTATATATTTATCACCAGCAACAAATCATCATCCTCTTCCTGTATCACCCATTTTATCCATGACCTCATCTTCTCCCTCTCTTTCGAATGACAGTTCTTTGGAAAATGATTATATCCTTCAACAGATGCTATCGCCACCATCATCACCTATGCCAAATTTTGAATTCAGTAAGATCAATCATCATGACATTATCATACATCAAGAAGATATCAGCAAGAAGAAAAAAGTGATAGAAAAGACCGTTAAAAAACAACACAAGAACAAGATCAATGTACAACAACAAGGTCATTTTGAATGTGATTATGAAGGATGCGGCAAAGTATTTGGAAGGAAATACAATCTCAGTTCTCATCGTATTACTCATACTGCGGAACGCAATTATGCATGTCAAGTATGCTCCAAGACATTTGTCCGTCGTCATGATTTGAAACGTCATGCTCGAATCCATACTGGTGAAACTCCTCATAAATGTCTTTACTGTCATCGTGGTTACGGTCGTGCTGATGCTCTTCAACGTCATTACAGTGTCCATCCTGTTTGCTCCATCAAATTAAAACAAGATCCTCTCAATCCTTTTCATCTTCGTCGTAAACGTAAGGTTCACCCTACTGGTTTTGGTGTCAAATCTTAGTTTTAGATTCCTCCTCTCCTTTTTTTTTTTTTGCATAGTTCTCTTGTATTTTTTTTTTTCTGTCTCACTCTCTCTCACACTCTACCTTTTTATATATATATACATATATTTTTTTTTATTTATTTATTTATATATTTCACCTTTATGATTATGATTCTTATACCCTTCATACTCTTATATGCTCTTTATTTTTTTTTTCATTGTATTGTTATTTTTTTTTCTTCTTCTTTTTCTTTCCGTAGTTTATTCAATAAATCATCCTTTTCTTTTCTTTTTTTTATCAAATAATAATAATAAAAAAAAAAAAAAAAAAACAAACTATCCGAAATGAACGGATGGAATTTAACCGCATTGTGCTACTCAAAATTTGATTTCTTCGGTCCGTCATGGGCTATATGCCATATAGGGTAAAATGACGAAACACAAATGGTTTATTTTTTTTGCGCTAGTACCATCATGGATCTCCGGATCTCTCCATTTAGGTAACAAGTATGCAGAAAAAATAGTGCGAGATTGAACGCGCAGCATAATTGATGGAACAAAGAGAAATCATCATCCTTTAAAAAAAAAACTCTACTGTTGGTCAAGAAGGGTTCACCATCCAAAAAAAAAAAACTCATATTAGTCTAAACAAATTGACCGATGACATATATAAAGATTGAAGATCTTTGTTTTCTTTTCTTTTTTTTTTTTATTACTATTATTATCATTTGACCAAAAAAAAAAAGTATATATATATATATGTAAAAGAAACTGGGAATAAAACATGCATCAATACAAAAAAAAAGGGGTAAAAATGGAATATCGAAAACTTGATTATCAGGTTCTCTTGAATCGTAATAATGGTGGTAAAAGATCGACAGGTCCAGCTTTAGCCAAAAATTCATGCTACCCAAAAAAAAAAAATAAAAAGATGAGCATGAAGTTTTCATGAAGATATACGTACCTCTAGTAATTCAGCGGCAGTTGCTCTTGATTTCACATCTACACAGAGACATACAGCCAAGAAACTCTTGAGTTCACGAGACAATCTTTCCGGATGTTTTAATGAAGGAGTACCATTGGTGGCAATCAAGTAGAGGGCTTTGAGTGGTTCTTCATCCAAATACGGTGGTTCATTTTCAATCATTTCAATGGCCATAATTCCTAATGACCAAATATCTACTTTGGATCCATATTCTTTTTGTTTGACAACTTCAGGGGCCATCTACGTTATATTATATAAAGATGATATAAACAAATGTCAAGGTTATAATTTTTTTTTTTTTTACCCAATATGGTGTCCCCACCATGGTAGCACGTTTGTTTTTTTGATCCGTTAGTTTAGCACAATAACCAAAGTCACCTATATATATATATTCATCAACAGCCACAAAAAAAAAAAAAAGCATCAGCCATCAAGATCATAAGGTTCAAAATGAGAGAACAATAAAAAAAAAAAAAAACTTACTAATTTTAACCTGTCCCTGGAAATTTAACAATACATTGTCAGACTTGATATCCCGATGAATGATGTTTTGTGAATGTAAGTGATGCAATCCTTTCGTAGTCTAAATATAGGTATATAATGAGTACAAAAAAAAAAAAAAAAAGGACCCTTTCTATTTACCTCAATACACACAGTAGCAATTTGTTGTTCCGTCATTGTATTGTTTTCTATCACATCCGTTAGAGCACCACCTTCCATGAATTCCATGATCACCCATAAATCACCACGTACTAAAAATGAATCCAAAAAGTTGACAATATTGCCATGACGAGATTCTTGCATCACCATGATTTCATTGACAATCAAATCCAATCTTGATTGTTTGTTCAATTCCATTTGTTTGATTGCTATCTTGGTGTTTGTTGTCATATGGGTTCCCAAATACACAGATCCTGAAGCTCTATCAAGATATTTCCCCACCATAATAAGAATAATAATAATAAAAAAAAAGGAGAGGATATCAATCAATCCATTCTTTTTTTTTTTTTTTTTGGTAATTACCCTTGACCAATTCGTTTGTTTCGTCTATATAATAAACTAGGATCTCCATTAGAAACAACTGATCCTATAATATGATAAAAATGAGTGAATGAATCAAAAAAAAAAAAAGATACCCTTTCAGTCATCACTTACTTAATCTTTCCATAATTTGGGCATTACTCATAGTACTGATCCTTTGTTCTTGTCGTTTGGATGGGGAAGCTTGCTTGGATGTTGTAGGTACCGGAGTGGAAGATTGTAGAGCTGGTTGAGGTGATACAGAGCTTGATATTGCGGTGATTGCCTTGTTGCTACTAGGGGCTTGTTTTTTGGTATCTGATTTGGTTCTTGTCAATGTTGATTTTGAATCTTCTGATTTTGTATTTGCAGTAGTATTGGTTGTATTTACATGAGGTTGAATACGCGACGATTTTTGTTGTTGTGATTGATCATCCTGGGCTAATGGGCGTTGATAGTTATCTTTCTTGATGGAGTTACTGGTATTGATGATCTTTCTGCTAGTCGTTGGGTTTGATTTTATAACTGACGTTGATGTTGATGTATTACCGGTAGAACTTGTCGAAGTAGATGGTAGAAGACGATGATTTTCCAATTTATTGGGATTCCCTGATGTGGAGCTGTTTGTCGATTTCAAATGACTGCTGATAGATGATGATGTCGATTTTGTCATTTCTGGATCATTGGGTGGTCGTTTATCTTTTCCGTATTTCTGTCTGTCCAATAAGGGTACGGGAATCGTGGATGTATCTTTGGTTTTTTCCTTTTCATTCTCTAATCGATCATCCTTTTTCCTGCTGCTGTTACTAGACCGAAGACTTGATGATGGTTTCAAAGTACTGTTGTGATTTTGTTGGTTTGGTTTTGTAGTTCTACTTGGATGACTTCCAGTGGATAACGTGGGTTGAGGTGTAGGAGGAGTTAACCCTGTTCTTGTATTGCTAATAGATGGTTTTCTACTGGGGAGGGCACCAACGGAACCAGAATGTTTGTGTGACTTTTTCGTAATAGATGATACATCTGATGTACCTGATGACTAGATAAAAAAAAAAAAAGGTGAATAAACGATCGTAAGTGTAATATAAATATTCATATGTTATTATACGCTTGATTACTTCTAATTTTGATGGTTTTGAATCTACAACTTTGGATTTCTTCAAATCAATTCGTTCCCTAGAAGCAGATTTCTAAAAAAAAAAAAAAAAAAAAAGGTTAGAAAAAAAGATGATATCCATGTTATTGTCTAAAAAACAAAAAAAAAAAGAGAAAGGATTACCTTCAATTTATCCGTTTTAATTGGGATTTCCTTGCTAGTTGTTGGTTTTGGTAAAGAAGGTCTTGGAGGAGGATCACGAATTTGACCTGGGGCAGGAGAAGATCTACTTGGTTTTGGAATAGGTTGTTTTGATTTAATTTTTTCATTATCTTGAGATTGATAATACCAAGCATCGTCTTCTTTATCAGATTCTTCAGATTCATATCCTTGTTTTTCCCTTCGAGTTTGTTCGGTATAAAATTCCAGAGCTTCTAAAACAGCTTGAGGATTTCTTGCAGCGTCTTCAGGAGTAATCTTAGATCCTTTCAATAAGGCATTCCATTGAGCAGGTACACCCTAAATAAAATAAATAAATGAATCAAGTATTATGATATAATACAAAACTTACAGTAAAAGCTCCAGTGATAGGATCAAAACCAACATGAACTTTATGTACAAAATCAGTTGGACCAGAAGCACCTAACGGAGATAACTGCATATGCAAGTTCAAATGATAATAATATTAATATAACACAATTATCCCTTTTTTTTCATTCCTAATCATTAACTTACGTTATATATTTCATCCATCCATGAATATAATTCTTCATCATTTCTACAAGCAATATAAATCTTCTTTTTCGATGTTTCCAATTCAAAACAATGTTTTTTTGATTCTGATCTATTAACAGCTTCTACCATTTTCAATGCAACCATAGCAACACATTGTCCCAAATGCTAAAATAAAATAAAATAAAATAAAATAAAATAAAGAAAATATTATTAAACAATAATAATAATAATACAATACAATACATATATATATATATATATATATATATATATAGATAACTTACTTCACTTCTATGAATGGTTAAACATTGTTCCCTTAATACAAGATATCTTTTTCGCCATCTCCAAGCTCGTAATCCTTCTTCCTTGACATCTACAAAACCATCTTTCTTGACCGCGTCTAAAGTCATTATCTATTTATATAAATAAGTAAAGAAAAAAAAATATAAAATAATATATTATTTACCAAATAGCTTTATAATCGGTTGAAGGTAAATAATGTAGTCAAAGTATAGAATGAGTTGAGGTCAGTCGATGGGGACCAAGAGAAAAAAAAAAAAAAAAAAAGAAAAAGGAAAAAAAGGAGATATTGACTGAGAAGACCTATGAAAAGGAGAAAAAAAAAAAAGAGGGAGGGGAAGGGATTTTTTTTAGTGCCATCTTTTCGCCTAAAAGGGGAGAAAATTGGGCTATTCCGATAGGTGACACAATGCAACAGCATGATGATGATGAAAAAAACGCGCTTACCATGAATCTACTCAGAAATAATGAATAGTGGATGATGGAACACAAAAACGAAGCAAAAATCGTAGCATTTTCTTTTTCTTTTCTTTTTTAAAACAACATGTAATGCATCATCATCATTCCCTTTTTATGTTCTCATCTCCACTTTCATCAACTCAAACTTAAAAATAGAATGAATCTTTTTTTTTTTTATTATCGTCATCTATCCCATTATCCTACCTTCAATGTTGGATTGATTTCAAAGGTGGCAAAACATTTTGATTATCCCAAGGAAGGGCAGATGGCCATTTCCTTTTTCGGAACACCCGTTGAATATTTTTTTTTTTTTTTTTGATTGATTGATGTTGTTTATATTTTTTTTCCCCATAACCCAACAAAATGATGAACCTTTTTTTTTTTTTTAACTTCGATCCGTTTGCTTAGTTAGGTATGCAGGAGGTGTTGGCGGTTTTTTTTTTGTTTTTGTTTTTGTTTTTTTTTTTCTTTTACAAGTGTATTTATACTTTTTGAATGAAAAGATATTGAGGAAATGGTCATATTCTAACCTACAAAGTTAAACTATTCAAATTACATCACATGAGCAATCAGTCAAGTTAAAAGAAGAAAGATCTTCATCGTCACACATACAACATCAAGGGATAAAGTGATGACAGCACAAGTCCGCTGAATTTCATTTTGGGTGATAACATCATTATCTTTTTTTTTTTTTTTTCTCATAATGCATTATGATTTTATATAAGGATGTCGTCAAGATCCTAATATTATTTATTTTATAATCAATCATCAGCTATATGTAATTATTATCAAAATAAAATTTATAATATAAAGGAAATGCAGTACCGGGATAACTAGAATCTTCTTTTTTTTTTTTTGATTTTATTGATCGTCAAGCCTTCAAGTTTAAATTGGGAATAAAAAATCTTTACATATATATATGTGTGTGTGTGTATGTGGCTGTAAAGTTGATAAGTGAACAACAACTAATAATCATCTATATATATATATTATATTATATTAGTTATAGTGACTGAAGGGAACTCTCCCTCCCTTTCTTGTACGCCCCTTGTTTTTTTTTTGTTTTGAATGCATGATGAACAAACAACTTCAACACTAATTGGTGGAGGGGGGTTAACGGAGTTTAAAATATTGTGTATTCACTTTTCTTTTTTTTGAATGTGCCTCTGTCCTTCCCCTTCCTCCCTCTTTTCTTTCTTTCTTTTCTCTTCACCTTTCCATTACTCTATTTTTCCCATTTTTCTCTTGTTTTTTTTATTTTATTATTATTATTATTATTATTGTATTATTATTATTCTTTTGATTCATCCTTTTCTTTTCTTTTTTCCCTTCTATTCTTCGATTATCTTTTTTTTTTTTTGACTTTCACCTTTTATACTTATAACACAACACACATACCATCAAACATCAAACATCAATCCCCTTTTTGATTATTTATTTATTTTTTTTTTTTATATTTTTATACTTTTCTCCTTACTTTTTTCTTTTTTATTTATTTATTTTAACTTCTTTTTATCTTTGACATCATGTCATTAAAAGAAGAATCATCGAACAACAACAATTTTGGTATGTCCAAGCCTACGAACGAAAACGAAGCGAATCGATTGGCACTGATTGATGATCTCAAGTTATTCTTAGCTACAGCTGCTGATAGTTGGGATAAAACTAGTTCTCCATTGAAACGATTTCATTTACCTACTGGTGAATCTATCTCATGTGTCCTTTGGAATGATCTTTATTTTGTGACGGGTACTGATATCGTACGATCCCTGACTTTCCGGTTCCATGCCTTTGGTCGTCCAATCACTAACGCTAAGAAATTTGAAGAAGGTATATTTAGTGATCTTCGTAATCTCAAACCTGGTATTGATGCGCGTTTAGAAGAACCTAAATCTGATCTATTGGATATGCTTTACAAGAACAACTGTATTCGGACTCAGAAGAAGCAAAAAGTATTTTTTTGGTATTCAGTCCCTCATGATCGACTCTTTTTGGATGCCTTGGAACGTGATCTTAAACGTGAAAAAATGGGATTAGAACCTACAACAACTGCTATTGCTGAACCTGCTACTTCTACTTCTTTGGATACAACTCAAGAATTATTTGATCAACTACGTAAATCCATGTCTATCTCTGCTGCTGCTACTGCTCATGCTTTGGAAGAAGATTCTACTTGTATTGGTAAATAATAACAAAATTCTTATAAATAAAATGAAATTAACTTTTTTTTTTTTTTTTTTTTTTTGTGATAGATACTATTAAGTCACCAAAATCGAGTTCATCTATGGAACAACAACATTTGATTCCTTCTCCAACTAAAACAACGACTTCAACGACTCGTCTTAACCTTGCTGAGCGTGTACAAGCACGTCGATCTCGTGTCAATTCTGTTCCTGCCGACTTTGGACAAGATCAAGATCATCTCAAGCAGGTATTACTTCAACAACAGAAACATCACCATCAGCATTATAGAATGAGTCATGGTTCTTATTTTGCCACTTCTCCACGCATATCTGCATCTTCTTCTCGACCATCATCACGCCAACGCATGAATAGTACTTCGACATTATCTAATCATCATGATGATGGTTTATTGAATTTTGATGATCTTGGTTCTGAACGATCTTCATCTTCTTCTCAAGATACTTTGGTAGATGGAGTTTATCAATTGGATATTGCGAATCAACGAAGAGCACATCATCAATCTCATTTGAATTCTCATCATCATCATCATCATCATCATCATCATCATTCTTCTCATCAAAAGAGTCATGCAAATCAACATCATCATCAACGTTCATCTACTGGTGGTGTACTTCCTTCAAAATCATTGGATTCTAACACTTTGAAGAAAACAAAGACGATTTTTGGTGCATTGTCATTATTTGATGGATCTCCTACTTATAAGCAAAGAAGACGTCGTGCAGCATCTGTTTCCTCATCTGTTAACCAACAACAACAACAACAACAAGTGATCGTTGGAGGCGGAGGACCTGACCGGATACGCCGTCACACCAATTGCCATCTACGTACATCATCTACAGCCTCTGTGCATAGCAACAACAACAACAACAACAACAACAACAACAACAACAACAATAGCAATGTCAGCGGCAGCAGCAGCATAAGCAGCATCAACAGTAATGCAGTGCAGCAAACCACGAGTAGATTGGCAATGGCAGCAATGGCAGCTGGTTTTGACGGAAATCATCAAAACAACCATACACAACAAAATCAGTCATTGCAACCACTACATCATTCTATTCAACAAGTTCGACATGAAATGTATGTTCAAGAAAGTCCTGATGCTTCCGATCTTATGACGTCAACTTGGTCTGCTATGATGGATCCTTCTTTCCGAGGAATGAATGATGACAACTCACTTACTTCGACCTCTTCTCATCCATTCGAATCAACTCATCGACCAGCTCATCATATGTGTAATTATTGTGGCAAATCCTTTCAATGTATCGATGCTTTGAATGAACATCATTACAATCAACATGATATTACGAAAGAAGAAGAGGATGGAAAGGATGATTCATGTTATTATCAACAATTATCTTCTATTCATGGTGATATATTATCCAATATCAATGATTCAAAAGTGACAAGTCACGATTATCCTATGTTTCAACAACAACAACATTATGGTCAAACGGAATTTTTTGGCGATCGACTCTCCTCCTCTTCCTCCTCCTCCTCATCATCATTATCATCTGTGAACAAACTTAATTTTGATGTGGATCGATCTGGTATGCTTAGTCCTATGGAAGATATGGATTTGGAAATGAAGGATGTGTTATATAATCAACAACAACAACAACAACAACAATATCAAGCACCTTATGCATCGCCAGGACAATCGGATCATGGACTTACACCTATTGTGACAGGGAATAACAATCTATCAACCATGTTATCTTATTCGGGTTTATCTCCAGAAGATGAAATCTCCAGTACATCATCATCATCATCACCAGGTTCCATTCTTCAATATCAAGGTTATTATGATATGTTAAGTCATCCTTTATCTCAACCTTCTTCTTCTCAACAAAATACTTCTATGTTACTTTCACCATTCAAGCCAAATGTGTACCCGGGACAACCAATTTATTCTGTACATCAACATCAACAACAGCAACAACAAATGGCTTTGATGAATGATGATATTCAATCTTCATTCTCTTATCATCCAACAATGACTACTTCGGGCCCATTCTCATTTTATACCAATACTTATCAAGATTACACTCCTTTACCAACACATGATATGACCATGGTTTTCAATTGAACAAAACTTCGACTTTCCTTTATCCTTTTTGTTTGTTTGTTTGTTTTTTATTTATTTATTTATTATTTATACTTATGCATCCAATCTTTTTTTCTTTTTTTGTATATGATTTTATTTTTTTTTGGCGCAATATTCTTTTCCCTCCCCCCCATTTTAAGCTAGTCCTTTTATACATTTTTATTTGTTTGGTCCTTTCCCCATACTTTTTGAACCTATTGTTTTCCTTCCCCCCCTTTTTTTAAAAAAAACTAACTTATGTGTCTCTTTTTTTTTTTTATATATATATTTTTATTTTCAATGCATTGAAAACTCTATATTGTTATTAGTATATATATATATATATATATATATATATCTTTTTTTTTTTATCAATCTATCTTTACACGGCAGTATTCGATTATTATTTATTTATATAGGTTATGAACTCTCTCTCCCACATATATTCTTTCAATAAATTGGATTTTGATTTCTTCAAAAAAAAAAAAAAAAAACCATCTGATCAATAACTTTTATGTACCTTTTTTTTTTTTTTTTTATTGACTTGACTTTAAACGTCATTGATTGGTTTAGTTTAGTTTGATTTGATAATGTGGTAAGAATGATCTCATGACCTTTACTTGGATGCCCGGCTAACCAAAAAAAAAAAAAAAAAAAAAAAAAAAAAAAAAAAAAAGAGGGATATCCTTTTCTTCCTTCTTTTTTTTTTTTTTTTTGACTTGATGATGATGATTATTTATTTATGTTTATTCTTCTCTTTATGCCATCCGATAGCTGCAGTTCAACCGGAAGAAAGCTTCCGAAGAACTCAAGTGGTGGTGTTAGGCGCTGGCGCCAGTGGGATAGCTGCTGCATTGACGTTGCATGATATGAATATCACTGATTTTATACTTGTGGACGCTCAGTCTTTCTTAGGAGGTCGTGTACAACATCATCCCTTTGGTCAAACCAATGTTGAACTGGGTGCTAATTGGGTAAATATAACATAAATGCGAACAGTTTTGTACTCCGGTACTTCCATTTTTTTCTCTCTCTCCTTATTCCCCTCTTTTTTTTTTTTTTTTTTTTTTTTTTGAAATAGATTTATGGAAAGGGTCGTAATCCTATTTATCAACTTGCTCAACAACATGGTTTGAAATCAATTCCTAATGATAAGAAAAATGTTGTGTATTTTTCTGAAGGACGTATACCTCAAGACCAAGGCCAGCGTATTTCTGATTGGTTCGACTCTACCATGGAACGAATGGTGCAGTTTGCTGGTAATATAGAAAAGATAATACACTTTTTATTATTTTAACATATTAGTTTAGATGAAAGGATGAAACGAAACCAAGTGGATCTTTCAAGTCGCACGGCATTACATCTTTCTGGCTGGATACCTGATACTCCTTTGAAGGCTGCAGTGGAATATTTCGCTGTCAATTGGGAAATGGCAGAACCTGCTGAACTATCTTCTTTGGATTATGCTACTGGTACTGTTGATACTGTCTCTGGTTCGTTTCCTCTTGGAAATGATTTTGTGATAGATCCACGGTAAGGTCTTTATATATGTATATATCATGTTGATTGATTTTTTTTTTTTTTTTGGGTAGTGGATTCAATTATATCTTGGAACAAGAGGCGAAGACGGTTTTGAATGATAATGATTCTCGATTGCTTTTGAATACGCGTGTGACGGATGTGATCTATGGTGAGGAGAATGACAATAAAGTGACTATATTGACGGCCAATGGAACAAAAATCATTGCCGATCATGCTCTTTGTACCTTTTCGTAAGTAATCAACTTTTTTTTTTTTTTTTTTATCAAGAGGATCGACATGAAAAGTATGTTGACTAGATTTGTGTACTGACTTTTATCGTATAGATTAGGTGTATTACAACATAATGATGTCCAATTCAAACCAGACTTCCCTGAATGGAAAAGAGAAGCCTTGTATAGTTTTCATATGACTACATATACCAAGATATTTGTCAAATTTGATACCAAGTTTTGGGGAGATTGGCAGGTAAAAAAAAAAAAAAAAAAAAAAAAAAAAAAAAAAAAAAAAAAAAGAAAAGTTTTATATGACTTGATGGATAATCATTTATTTATTTTATTTTTTTTTTTTGTATAGTTTGCTCTTTATGCCAGTAACAAAACACAACATGGAGGTGATTATACAGTATGGCAAAATCTTGTATCGGATAGCAAACATGATAACATCTTAATGGTAACAACGACATTCAAGGAATCAGAACTGATAGAAGGCAAGACGGACAAACAAGTGAGTCAGGATATTCAAAAGATATTACAACGCATGTTCCCAGAGGTCCATGTGCCGTTCCCTACAGATATATTGATTCCTCGATGGCATCAACATCCTCTCTTTCGTGGTTCTTATTCCAATTGGCCCATTGGCATGTCGGTTCAACATCATGACAATATGCGAGCCCCTCTTCCTTTGACAACGCCTCATTTATGGTTTGCAGGTGAAGCCATGTCTCGAAAATACTATGGATATCTACATGGCGCTTGGATGGATGGACAACAGGCAGCTACGGCAATAGGACAATGTATTCTACTCAAGAATTGTTCACATTATCATCATCACCCTTTGGTCACTGGTTGCGCTAAGGAATCCCATCTGAATAGACTACAAAGGACAAGTCGATCAACGGATAATTCAGCAAGGTATCAACAATATTCTTTTCTTCCCGTGCAACATCAACAACATCCATTCCTTCAGGATCAATAACAACCCAAAATAGAAAGGAATAAGAAAAAAATGGATTATATAGGCCGGTTAGATTAGAACGTTTATTATATATTTATATCTTTTTTTTTTTCTTTGGACTCTTTAATAATAATAATAAAAAAACACCAATATTCCACTTTTTTTTTTTTAAAAAAAAAAATGAAAGACATCCATGCATACCATAATTATGATTATTTTCAATAAAATATCAGTAATAATAATAATAATATAAAATAAAGATCCCAAATGTATTTATTATCTGTATTCATAATGTCTATACTAAATCCATCGGGTTCAATCCCATCTCCGTTTCCGTTCTGATCGTTGTTGGTTGGGTCCATTCGGTCGATTCATCATAGGTCGTTGTCCATTTTGGTGCGCTAGCATGGGTGGTGGTGGTGGTGGTGGTGATGGCTGATGATGTCCATAAGGAGTCATAGAACGAGGTGGATGATGTTGTTGTTGTTGTGGTGATGCTCCAGGCATGTTGTCTTGTCGACGAGGATATGGTCTTCCCATATTGCCGCCCCGACCTTGTTGTCTTGATGGTGCTGGCATACGTCCACCAGGAGGAAATCGATTTTGTTGTTGCTGTTGTTGTAAAGGGAAAGGGGGTCGTAGATGATGTTGTTGTTGTTGTTGCTGTGGCTGTGGAGGTCGAAACTTTTGTTGGTTAGGAGGAGGTCTATATTGATATGGTGGTTGTTGTTGTTGCTGTTGCTGTTGTTGCTGTTGTTGTTGTTGTCGTTGCTGTTGTTGTTGTTGCATTTGTTGCTGTTGTTGTTGTTGCATTTGTTGCTGTTGTTGTTGCATTTGTTGCTGTAATGGAGGAGGGCGAAAAGGTGGTGGATTATTCATTGGTCCATTCTGTTGTTGAAAGTCTTCCATCATTTGCTTTTGAGATGGCAATGCTGGTCTATCAGGTCGCATGGTTGTCACAGAGGGTCTAAAAGGAGGGGGTTCCATTGGATGTTGATTGTTGACGATGTTGTTGGGTCTAAATGGAGGTGGTTCAATATATTCTTCCTCTTCCTTTTCATCACGATGAAGACTTGCATCAAACTTGTCTGTACTTTTATCGCCTGGTCGTGGTCGAGTCCAAAATCGAGTAGTATGATCATTCGAACCTGTCACCAAAATATGTCCTACTGGATGCCAATCAAGTGACCAAATATTGGAATCGTGTGCTGTTTCTTGTTCACCAATAGGTTCATCCTCCCTATTCAAATAAGAAATAAAAAAAAAAATCAATATTCTTTAATGTTTGTTTCCTTTGTTTTTTTCTTACTTACCCTGCTAACCAAAACATCAGAGATCCTTCTGATCCACCTGTTGCCAATAATCGTTCATGTTGTGGGTGCCATCGTGCAGAGCATACTTCTTTTTGATGTCCTCTGAAGATTTGTAGTTCCTTCATAGTGCGTATGTCAAAAATCTTGATCAATTGATCTCTTCCTGCTGTGACAAGCCAGTTGCCATTCTGATTCCATTCCAAAGCCAAAATTGTATTTTTGTGACCATGTCTGTTAGTTTAAAAAAAAAAAAAAGTAGTGTTATTCAAAAACTTGATCATTAAAATAAATAAAAAAATAAAAATAGGATACTTACAATGTCGTGATATTTTTGGCAGATTTTGGATCCCATAATTTGATTAGATTGTCTTTGGATCCCGAACCTAATAAAGCCTTGTAAGGATGCCAATCCACACATTTGACATCCCAACCATGCCCAGATAATGTTCGTTCTTCTATACCAGTATTAAAATCCCAAATTTTGATTAAAGAGTCATCTGAACATGTAGCAAATCGAGTATCAGAAGGAGCAAATCTTATCAATGAAAAAAAAAAAAAAAGGTAAGTGATTTTATCTTTTTTTTTTTTTTTTTTTTTTTTTTTTAAAAAAAAAAGACATCCCATTCTTACGTTAAATCTCGGATGGCTTCCTTATGCGCTTGGAACATTTTCAAATTGCTCATATTGGATTGCCAGTACTTGATAATACCACTATGATCCCCTGTCACCATCCAGTTGTCATTATGAGACCAATCCATAGCACGTACAGCTGAATCATGAGCCTAAAAAAAAAAAAAATAAGTAAACTATAACTATTTTATCATATAAAAGATTACCTGTAGAATAGTTTCGAAATTGAAGGTCAGACCATTCCATAGAGTAAATTCACCACTTGAAGATCCAGTAATCAAACGTCTGCCTTCGGGAGTCCACTTCAATAAAAAAAAATAAAATAAAAAAAAAATAAAAAAAAAAAGAGACATATGTAAGGAGAACGGATCATTTCATGTTCGAGCATATACAAAAAGTGATAAACTTACTCTAACAACATTAATTGGGTACCGGATTTTGTTGGTTGACGTGTGTATAAATTTGGTGGTGACAGCGTTTGTAGGATGATCGAGGTAACCTGCTGGAGGTAATAGCTAAATGATATATATATATATATATATATATAAATGGGAAAAGTTTGTTAAATCATCTTCATGTTCAAAAGAATAGATTGATCAAACTTACGTCTAGAATGAAATTGGAATCAGTCCGTAGGTATCTTGTATCTCGTCGATTACGAAAACAGGTGCGCTCCTAAAAAAAAAAAAGAAAGGTGAATAATTATATTCTTTTTTAATATTAAAAAAAAAAAAAAGATTTGTTCTTTCAGTTATTTTTATATTCTCCTCACTTACTTCCATCCACTTGATCATGCTATGATTGTAATCTACAGTTTGGCGTTGAATGGCTTTCCTCATACGTTTCCCATCGAATACCATTTTTGAGAAAGGTGTATTTGATTGTCTACCACCTAGACGTCCACCAAATTCTCTAGATGGAGGCTCTTGCATAATGAATTAAAAAAAAATATACAAATAAATATGAATCTTTTAAAAATCAAGAGAGAAGTGTGAAAAACGAGAAAAAAAAAAAGCTAGGAAGGAACACAAAATGGTAGAGAATGAAAAAAAAAAAAAAAAAATTGGAAGACCGATTTTTTTTGTCTTTTTATTTTTGCACACGGTCTTCCTTTTATGCAAACATTCTATCAAGCAGATAATGGTGATGATGATTAATATTTCTATGATATGATAATGAACTTTTTCTATCGATATGACATGAATTTAACCATGTTTTTTTCATTTTTTTTCATTTTTTTTTAAAAAAAAGAGATCGGCTTGACCATCCTCTTTTTGAAAAGAATTGTGTGAGTTGATAAAAGATTAACATGATGTATATGATTTATTCAAAAGTATAAGAGGGAGAAAGTAGTATGAATAGAGAGAGAATAGGCTAAAAGAAACAATATAAAGATGATAATTATGCTAAGCAAACGAGTTTCAATGTTTGGAGGAATCAATTTTCTTTTCATCAGATTTTTGCGCTGTTGCCACTACATCTATAAAAAAAAAAAAAAAAAAAGAAGAAAAGAAGATCAATATCTAATTATTTCACTCTTCTTTTTTTTTTTAGTTTTTATTTACCTTGATCTTCTTCATCATCCAAATCAACCAATCCATCATCAGAGTCATCATAATCTCCAATAACATACGATCGAGTATTGATGTCTTCCTCCTTTTTGGTATCCATCTTTTTGACAGCATTCAATGGCACGTTTTCTATGTAAAGGAAGAGTAAATATCTTTAATATTCTATTGTTTCCCTTTTTTTTATACCTTTGTTATCTTGTTCATCATATTCTTCCAAAGGAGAGCGAGGTGCTACTATAACAGTAGGGGATTGTTTGTTGTTATTCGTCATACTTGGAGAGTTTTGTCTTGGAGGCATAGGAGGTGTTTCTTGTTGCTGTTGTCTCTGACGCCATAATTCATCATCTTGAGCCAATTGTCTTGCAAATTCTTCATCGGCCAAGATCTGGGCTTCTTGACTTTTATAGATATTGGATCGAGGTGGTGGACTATTGACATGAATTACATTGGAAGGTACAGAGGTATCATTTGTATCAAAGTCGGATCCTTGATAGTCATAAAAATTCTTGGCTTGTCGTTGTTGTTGTTGTTGTCGGCCAGTCTGAGTATAAACGTCGTGATCAGAAAGGTGTAAAGCTGTCATATCACCTGATAACAAATCATCATCATGATCGCTTGGCAAACCTCGATAGCGAGCATTGGATGTTGGCATAGAAGATCCAGTAGAATGGCCAGGATTGTAAGCATTGTCATCATTGTTCATTCGATTGGTTTTGACTTGATTATACCAATCCATGACCTTTTTCTTGGCAGCTAAGAGTAAAATGTGTTAGTTCATCCTTTTTTTTTTGAATATATATATAATGATGAATTACCATTTCCAGCTTCTATCATTTTCCCTTTGATTACTGGTAGTTCCTCTGCATGACAGTCAACATATATATATATATATATGTGAATATGAGTCATTAATACATATATGTAAAGTATTTTTTTTCTTTTACCTTGTAAATCTTTGATGAATTCATCCATAGGTCCTTCATTTGACTGTTGTTGTTGTTGTTGTTGCTGTTGTTGCCTGCTTTCTATCAAATATATAAATAAATGCATAGGTGCATATTAGTATGGTGATTTTTTTCCCAAGTTTCTTTCCAATCTCTTTAATTTCTTTTTCTTCATATACTTACGATGTTGTCTCATCCTTTGTCGTTCATCTTCCAAAGCGAGTTCTTTTGCATATTGTTCATCCATTCGCATCTGTTCTTCAGGACTAAGAGGTTCCTGACGTGGTCTAGGTGGCATAGGTGGAGCTCCATCATCATCTTGAATGGTTGTACGTCGTGTTTGTTGTTGTTCAGGTTGATAGTTTGGATCAGAAATATGTAATAGGTCTTCAAAAGATCGTTCTACGTTTCCGCCGTGACTATCCAAGATGGCCTCGATCACATCAATATCAGTATTGGGAAAAGCTTCTTTCAACATAACCACTGACGGTGAAGAGTGAACTTGTTCTTGAGGAGTTGTTGATGTTGGGGAAGATGTCATTGTTGTGGTTTGGTGGTTGGTCGAGGTATCATCAACGTCGCCCGTAGTTGTTGCCGCTGTAGTATGATTAGCAGTATCAGTCAGTGCATGTTCACTATCAAATCCGGAAGCATTTGTAGTGGTAGTAGTAGTATTAATTGACTGTGATTTGTTTTCCGAAGGAGAAGTATTTGCTTCTTGTGACATGAGAATGGATATAAAAAAAGCTAAAGAAGAGAAGAGAGAGAGAGAAAAAAAAAGGAAAAAGAAAAAAAAAAAAAAAGAGAGAGAGAGAAGGCAGGAAGGAAAAAAGAAAGAGAGTTAATATTTCAAACGGACCACCACACTGCGGCCGTTGAAAATAAAGCCTTGGCACACACACAAAAGAACAAGTATGTACGCAATGTTACTCAGGACAAAAAAAAAAGATACTAAACAAAAGAATAAATGATTTTGAATGAATAATCAGGATATGTTTTATTTCACAAAAAAAAAAAAGATATATGATCAACCGGTGAAAAGAAAAAAAAAAAGAATAACTAACTAGTCAAATCGTAACAATAGAATGGAGGAAGATGATGATTTTCTTCTAAGATGCAGTTGCAGTATACACATAAAGGTCATCATCATCATTGTCCAGATTGCTACCAAAGAAATTGCCTTGATGATTGAATTGATCCAAATTGATAACAGGGGAAGGTACAGGAGCATTGCGTTGAGCGAGGAGATAATCACGTCGAATCCGGTCGAAAGCATCCTTGATATTGAGAATAAATGCAGTATCTTTGTAAAGGTTGTAGATGTTGGATCGTTGAATAACAGAAAAAAGTTTGAATAATAATTCATAACCTTTGTTTCGAATATCGTCAAATTCTGATTGTAGAAGGTATCTATGAATATGGGAGGCCACCAAGATAGAGCGCAAGGCCGGGTAACAGTAACAGTCAAAAAAGTCAGGATCATCTGCCCATTTGGTCAATACATCCACCATCAATTGTCCATGTTCAAAGCAACGCATAAATGGAAGTTGAATGATTTCACCAGGTTGGGGTAAAAATATTTGATAGAGGTATAAAAAGGTACCATGCCATTCAACAAGAAAATGATATCGTAATCGTCGAATCCATACTTCATCCAATGTACGTTTACAAACAGGATGTGCACGGCTGTGTACACAAGGATCGACACTGGGACGGGTAGCAGGGTGTCCAAAGTATCCATCATATTTCGATAATTGTACAGATTCCAAAGGTTGTCCATCTGTCACCCAAGTAGGCAATTCATGATAAAGATCCCATAATTCGTTTTCGAGTAACTTGATATCTTGACCACGAATACCATTCCCAGATGAGGTATCACTAGATGGACTTGGTGTTTGAGTTGGAGAAGAAGATGAAGCAGATGATGATGATGACGAAGATGATGTAGAAGGAGGTGTTGATGATGGTGATGATGATGACGATGATGATGACGATGGTGTACGTTTGTAACAAATATCATCAATATGGCGAATGATATCAGCAAGTCGGCAACGATAATAAATATATTCTTCTTTGAGACGATCAACTGGTTGAGCACAATGTTCAGAAGGTCGTTGTTTATCCACTTGCATATAGGAGCTACATATAACGTGAGTTTGCATTTGTAGATTGTGTCTTGAAGCATCAGCCGTAAATATTGCCCAAAATAAGTGACGAAGAAGACTTTGTTGCCAAACAGACATTGTTGAGTATTGTTTATGAAGAGAATCGATCATGACGGACATTGATTGTCGTGAAAGTGTAGCTTCATCCAAATATCCATTTTCGGCTTCATAAAGCATCAAGTTAAAAGTGGTATGTAAACACATGATATCGGGTTGTTGTTGAAGAGCTGTCATTCGTTTCGAAAGGAGGTCTCTTGTGTAATGATAGAAAGCATGAGAGAGTTGCTGATGATTGTCAACTTTCATTGAGTGTAAATTGACAGCATGAGAGAGCATCAAAGTCATAACGGAACTAAGAAGTAGATCATAATCACCATTGTCATCCAGATGAGGAGTAATAAATTCAGGAAGAGAAGAGAAGGAGTAACAATCATTGTATAGAGCAATTAACATATCAACTTCTTCTACAGATACCATAGCACGAGCAATATCAATAGAGAATAATTCACTTGTATCCAATGACCTAGGTAAAGGAGGAACTGTTTCTTTGTACAAATTACTTGTGAGAGTGATTAATCTTGAGTTTCGTTGAAAAACAGATTGATAAACACCATCTTGAAGTTGCCATTCAGGTTCACCAGGAACAGTAATCTTGACCAGACGAGCAGCAGTTTGTTGACGTAAACTATCATACATATCAGCTTCCATTCGAATATTTCGTACTAAATGTCGTTTGTTGTTTGCTAATACTACTTGAGATTTCCAATCTTCAGTTTTATTCATATATTTTTTTAACAAGTCATATTTTCCTTTTGCTTCATAGAGTAGTCGTTCTAAAATAGCTGCTTGTTGTTCTTGTGATAAATTACTATAAGGAAATTCTTTGGCGTAAAGACATTTTCTATTATTATCAGCACAATTTCTACAAGGATAACCTTTATCACACTGTTTTCTTGATGACCGACAACTAACAATATAAAAAAAAAAAAAAAGATAAGTAATAGAATATATATATATATATATATAACTTTACTTGATACAAGTTTCACATTGTCTTCTTCGTTTCTTTGTAACACGTTGTGTACTCATAAGTATATGAATAAAATATATATATAAAAAAGAAAAAAAAAAAAAAAAAAGAAAATAATTACAAATTTCGGACTCCTGGACCTTTTTTTTTTGTCTTCAATCAAGCTCGTTTTTTTGGTGTTACAATCGATCATTGAAACTCAGAATAATTCCACCCTTCTTTTTTCTCCCTTCTTTTATTCCCTTTGTAACTCTTTTATCTTTACTTTACAATTATATATTATTTATTAACCAATGACTCAAAAACGTCCTTTAAAAGATATCAACGAAATGGAAAGAGAACCTCCTCAACGTTCTAGTAGAGAATCAAAAAAGTGTAACGAGTAAGTTTTTTTTAAATAAAATAAAGGAGATAAAAATAATATTAAAAACAATCTCCTTTCTATTATTTAGATGTCGAAGAAGACATGTTAAGTGTGATGAACAAAGACCAAAATGTAGTAATTGTATTAAAACCAATGCTGAATGTAGTTATTCTCATCGTGGTATACGTTATGATCATATCTCCAACAGACAAAAAAGGGACGATATGTATACAGAAATTGACGATTTATCGAAAAGAGTGGAAGTATTATTAACAAAACTTCAAAAAAAAGAGGTAAATATAAATAGGAATAATCAATTATCTTTTTTTTTGTTATATTGAATTTTATTCTTTTTATATATATATAGTCTAATTGTGATGATGTTGCTCGATTGGCTATCGATTATGGTTGGCAAGTCACTCTTTCTCCTGATGGTCAAAAACAGATTATCACCAATATTGAAACAACTTCTCAATTAGCAGCTCTAGTTCCAAATGCATTAGGAGAAGTTTATATACCTAATCAGTCTCGATCAGCTTCTCAGCCTCCATTATCTTCCTCTTCTTCTTCCTCTTCCTCTTCAGTGAGTGCAACATCATCTTCTTCTGCAACTTCTCCTCATGATTATGCAACCTTACCAACACAATCCATCAATTCACTTTCCAAAGCAACTATCATCAAACCTCGAAAAACAAAACGAATAACCTTGGAACGATATGTCGCAGCTTATACAAATCCATCTATTCATGTATTAAATACAGCCATTGCCACTTGTCCATCACTTTTTACCGCCATCATGTCGCCACGATTACTTTCTCAGTTTGCTGGTCATCCTCAGTTATCTATGCTACATACTTCTGCATGTTGTACTCTATCACTCAATTCATGTATTCATAATCCACAAGGTTTATTCACTTCCTCAACTTTGGCCTCCTTTGATTCACCTACTCACAACTCTACAAACGGTCCTGGTATTGTCGATTTGAATCATATGTCCAATTCAACTCCAAAAAACTTGTTGAATTGTCTTGGTACTGATGCGGAAGAATCAAGTCTTTTCCCCTTTCAACCTCGTTTTGCTGAATGTACTCTAGCTAATCTTTATTGGAATCTTTTGAAGACAGCAAAGTTACTGGATGATGGAAATTTCAGTCAAGCCTATGTGAATCTTGGTGTCATGATTACAAAAGCATTTAATCTGGAACTTCATCGTCCTAGTGGATACATACAATTCAATACTGCTTTAGAAAGGGAAGCTGCGAAACGTATATTCTGGTCTATTTGGCTTTTTGATACCCAAATGCCTCTATTTCAAGAAGGACGTCCCTCTATCAAGTTAGAAGATATCACCATTGACAAACCTTGTAGTTTGAAATACAGCATAGAGCAAGGTCTATTACCAACATCATCATCATCATCATCGTCATCGAATGTTGAAGAGGATGAAGAAGATCTTTCACATGCGGATTGTTTACGTTATTTAGTGGAAGTACGCTATATTCGTGTAGAACTCGAAAATACACTTGCTTCATTTCAAGGATGGGATGATGACAAGGCTATTCTTAGTATGATCATACAACAAATGCGAATGTTACGACGTTATTATGAACATCTGGATGATGATTTCAAAATGGAATCTTATCTCAAGGATACAACAAGCACTGGATGGAAACTACGAGCCAAATCAATCTTATTATTAGAACATGCTATGAACTGGTTGGTGCTCTTCGATCGATTTTTACCTTTACGAAATGAAGAAAAGCCAGTGACCCCCTTCCCTGCCAATCTTGCCATTCATTTTTGTCGAGAGGCAGCGAATGCGATGACCTTGGTATTTGAAAAATGGCTTTCTACGCAAAATGATTGTCAATTCCGATGGTTTTTCAGTCACTTTGTCAATTGTTTGGAAATTCACAAGGTATTATTCAATTTTATGAGGATGATATAGAATGAATAGATATCTCATTTTTTTTTTTTTTTTTTTTTTTGTATTTTGATAGTATATTGCTACTTATTCAAATGAACTTACTGTCCGCAAATGGAAAGCTTATGCATCACTCAATTTTATGATGTATTGTCTACGTGAAATCCCAGTGGTTGATCTTCCTATGGGGCGTCGTGTACATAACGATCTATGTCAATTGGTGGTAACTCTTCGTGATATTGTTGGCAATTGCTGGAATCCTACTGAAGAACATGATTTGATTGACAGTTTTACTAAATACTTTGCTGATTGGCGTCCTTCCTTTGATTCTATGGATACAAATGATAGTGGATCCTTGTTTGCAAAAGAATCATCCACTATGTTTATTATCATCCATATGCAAAAGAAAGGCAAGTCAATTCCTTCTGTTCCTTCCTCTGGCTCTCCTTTGGCATCCATATTACCATCTTCAGGTACCACCGGTGTGACTGTGGCATGATTTTTCCATTTTAGCAAGCCCGCCTTTTTTTTTATCACCCCTCTTCTCTCTCTTTTTTTTTTTTTTTTTGAATAAAGAACCTCATTTATTTTTATACCATGTCAACTCGTTTGGATCATCGTACTGATAATAAAGAATTACGTGCCTTTTCAGCCTCCCAAAATATTTTGAATAGAGCCGATGGATCTGCAAAGTTTAGTTTTGGTAAGGATAAAATGCATTCTTTTTTTTAAAAAAATCTTTTAGATCAATGACCGATCTCTTTACTCTCTCTCTTTTTGATAGGCGAAACTTCAGTTCTAGTATCAGTATGTGGACCTATGGATGTATCAGTTCGAGATGAAAAATTGGATGAAGCTACAGTGGAGGTAGTTGTACGTCCGGCTACTGGATACGCGCAAACCAAAGAAAAACTGATTGAAAACATTTTACGAACGACTTTTGAACCTATCATTCTTTCTGGTATGATGCCTCGTACTTTGATTGAAATTGTCGTACAAATTGAAAAGGATGATGGATCAGTAAGAACAAAAAAGAAAAAAAAAAATCCTTTTACGATATAAACTTATTTTTTTTTTTAGGCTCTTTCAGCTGCTGTTAACGGTGTAACATTAGCTCTTTTGGATGCTGGACTTCCGATGAAATATATGGCGGCAGCCGTGACTTGTATGATAGATAAAACAACAGATGAATTAGTACTGGATCCTACAGCAAAGGAATTGGAGGTAATAGGACAGATAGATAAAATGAAATGATATCATCATCCATGTTCATATTTTTTTTTTGGATAAATAGAATGCTGCGTCCAGTCATACATTTGCATTTGACAGTATAAATAAATCATCTCATGTCTTGTTATCAAATTCAAGTGGTCAATTCAGTGAAAATCAAGTAAGGAAAAAAAATTATTAGTAGAATGATGTCAATTCTATAACTAACTTTTGTCTTCTATTTAGTATTTTGCTTGTCATGATCTTTGCTTTGAAGCGGCGGATAAGGTCCATGGATTTTTACGTGTATCGGTAGAATCAAAGAAAGAAAAAGAATATCAACAAATTCATCAATAAAAAATTGTAGACTTTTATTTATATATCATTTATATAGCCCATTAATTATTTTTGTCCTTTTTATGCAGTCAGTAAAGCTCTTTTGAGTGACTATAATGATGAATTTTGAGATATGGTTCATCATTTGTGATGACTGATTATTGCTGATGATAACGAATAGTCCTTCTTAGTATAAAACGCAAAAGAAAATTCACACCTGTTTCTAGCTTTGTTTCAACCGTGATAGAACGATGGTGATGGTTCCATAATGCTGATATCCTTATCAATCCCGATCACGATAATGATTATACCGCCTTTTTGTTCTGTTTCTATCACGTTGTCAAAAGTGATGCTTTCTAGGAACTCTTATTACGAATTCATCATCAAATAATCGTAAAAAAAAAAGGATGGTTTTTATTAGAGGCGATCACTAGCTGATGATCTTTGAAATACGAAATAGGAATGCTACAATCAAATGAGACAGTTTTTCAATTTTAGGCTATTCAATATCATCCTAATTATGATAATAAAAAAAATTTGATATCTTCTTTATTTTCTATTTTTTTTTTAAAAAAAAAAAAAGAGCCAAGTATGTTTTGTAAAGAAAAATCACAATAAAATAAATATAAGATAAAAAAAAAAAAAAAGTAATCTAAACTACTCAGAATCCAATGTCTTTTTCAGTCAGTAGCGACACCCGCACGTCTCTTGAGAAAGGCCATCACAGCAGGCGTACCTTGAGCAAGCAATGACGGTTGTGGCACACGGAATCGATTCCCATATGCAGTCAGTTCACGTAGAGAGTCATTCAGACCCAAAGCAGGAGGTAAAGCAGTGATATCGTTGTTTCCTATATCCAACACCTCTAAATTCGTCAGACTCGCTGGGTCGATACTTTCCAAACGATTGGAGTTGCAACGTAGAATACGAAGAGAAGGTAAAACACGTGTTGTCAATCCAGAAGGTAAGTCGACCAATGTATTGTGGCTGATATCGAGTTCGGTCAATGCTGGAAAGCTGCTGGTGTTATTTCCATCGTCTTGTGTAGATTGATCAAACGTGATTTTTTGAAGACGATTGTTGGCCAGTGTTAACGTTTTCAATGCAGTGAAAACACAAGAGAAGGATAAGGAAAATGATCCTAGTTTATTTCGTTCCAAGGACAAATGAACCAAAGTATTACTGAATCGAGTACAACTAAGCATGGAGAAACTTGTCAATTCATTGTGATCTGTATGCAGCAAAAAAAAAAAAAAAAAAAAAAAAAAAAAAAGGAATCAAGTTAGAAAAATCATACCCTTATATATGTACTAATCAAACTTACGTAATTGAAGAATTTGGACGCCTGAATGTTGAGATATTAATCCTTCCTGTAATTCTGTCAGTTTCTGATTGGAAAGATCCAGAGTGCGAGTGGTAACAATAGTTGCGGTTTGTTCACATTTATTAGTGGTATCGATTGACTTGTTTTCACCATTCATTTCATTCGATTTGCTTTGGTTGCTTTCATTTGTTGTAGAAGAAGAGGTGATGGATGGTGTCGCCTTGTTTTCATGTTCTGAAAGTTGAGTTGCGCGCAATGATTCAATCAGTTCAGCCATAGTCATATTCCTTGGCACCGAGCGTAAAGGGTTACCTTCCCAATTCAACGATTTCAAATGTGATAATGATCCCAAACCAGAAGGTAAACTACGTAGATTGTTGCCTCCAATATCCAATCGCTGTAACTGTGTCAAATTTAGTACTTCAGAAGGGACATCGGTCCATTGATTCGATCCCACATCAAGAGTCAAAAGTTCCTCACAATACTGAAAGAAAGAGTAATCATGCATCGCAGAGGGTTGATCATCGACATCTTCATTATTTGTTGCTAATGAGTTTCCAGCCAATAGTAGCTCTTTCAATTTTGGTAATTGGACATTTGATGTAATTTTGCGTAGGTTGTTTTGGCGAATATCCAATCGTAATAGAGCTGGTAACCTGCATTCCGTTGATATATCATCTATTATTATTATTATTATTTAAAAAATAATAATGAATCGTCAGTAGTGAATGATAAATAAAGCTCTTCATTCAACCCTCTTTCTCTTCATTCTCTATTTCCTAAATTCTTACCAGAGATAAAACAAGTCAATCTATTGTGAGATAATGATAGGTCATCCAATCTTTGCCAACCAACTGGGGAACAGGAAGGTAGTCGTGTCAAGCGATTGTGATCCAGATTCAACTTGCGAAGAAGGGTCAAAGATATCAATAATCCATCAGGAAGAGTTGGACCAATGTGATTGTTGCTAAGATCCAAGATTTCCAAACGATCTATTTGAGCTATAGTGTCAGGTAATTGCTTAATTTGATTATGTGCCATATTCAGTTCACGTAAATTCGGTAGATCCAAGATCACATTAGGTACATTTTCAAATCGATTATGAGGCAACTGTAAGGTGGTGAGATTTTGTAGAGATGCTAAGGAAGAGGGAAGATCTTGTAGACAGTTGTTCCGAAACTATAATTTTTTTTTTAAAAAAAATATACATGAGTAAAGGAAGGGTTTAAAACGTGATTCAAAAAGATGTCATATTCATTCTTCCTTTTTTATTTATTTACGTCTAGGAGTGTCAAGGCGCCAAATTCAGTCCCCAATCGATCATCTATTTGAGTGATTTCGTTGTGTGCAGCAATAAACTTGGTCAAATCCATATCATTCCACGCACCATCAGATGATGAGCTAAAATCCACAACAATTGAATTTGGGTCCACATGGTACCTAGTTATAAAAATGAATTGGAAAAAAAAATTTTTTAACACCATTTAAATAAGGATAGTATATTTCACTTACATTTTTAAAATTTGTTCAGGTATGCTTTGCAAATAGCGATTGGAGATATTCAATTTACCAGAAGACTTTGCTTGTTGAATGACAGATTTCAAATTGGAGGTATCAGGACCAGATAAGTTGGTATTTCTATCTTGATGATGATCGGTATAGCGCTGAGCGCCTGTCAGGACTTGACCAGATGGTTTCTTGACATTCAAAGTGTCCACTTCTTCTACTTGGATTTCCTTATTTTTCTGAAGACGAGAACGTTGTTGACACATGAATGCTCGTACTCCTTCGGAAGCACGCACATTTCGAACGGATGCAGGAGTAGTGGTTGTTGTTGTTGCTTTTGTAGTGACTTTTCGAGTTGGAGAAGCATCATCCAAGTTGGTACTCTTACTTTGGAATGAAGAGTTACGTAATGCCGAGGCCTTTGTTTGTCGAGGTTGTACAGTGGTCCTTCTTGGTGTAGATGACATTGCAGAACAAAAAAGGCGGTATAATGAAGTTGGGATTGGGTATACAAAGTTGGGAAGAAAAGAGGGAAAAATGAATGTTCGTCTTCTCTTATTTTTATTTTTATTTTTTTATTTTTTACTGTCAAAACTTTCAAACTCCTCAATGTCAATGGACACATCTTCTTCGTAAAAGGGGTAAAATTCAGGAGTTGCCTAGTAAGAGCTTGGAGAACCTGGGCAAAAAAATGAAAATATCAAGAGAATAGCTCATAGGAGGTAGTGGATAATATTAATGATGAACATCATCCATTATCTCATCATCTCATCATTCTAATTTTTAAATATGACAGAAATCTATTTGAGTCGTATCATTATTTTTTAAGTAGTGATTTTAAAACCTGAATGAAATTTTAAATTGGAGATCCATTACTGTTTTGTAATACACTGTTCCTGTTCCTTCTTTCAATAATACACTTGATGATGATGATGATGATGATGATGTTTTTTTTTTTATTATTATTACGCACATAGAAAAAAAAAACAAATACATATACACATATATATATAAATCTACTAAATCTACAATTCCATTTTTCTTTTTCTTTTTTTTTTTAATCCAAATAAAGTATATGCTTTTGTGATTTCTAAATTCTATATATAACAATTAAAGAGAATGGGGGGATAGGAGGAGATGACAGTTAGGAGAGAGGGTAAATGACATAAAAAGAGGAGGGTAAACTAAACTATTTCTTTTCGGCTTCCTTCTTCTTGTATTCTTGAATGAGTTGCTCTTGGACAAAAGTTTGCACAGGTAAGTGTTCCTTGTATTCCATAGTAAATTCACCTTTTCCTTGAGTAGCAGATCGAAGTTCAGTAGAGTAGCCAAACATATCATTGAGAGGAACATCAGCAATGACATTAAAGTAATCTTCTTGGACATCAGTATCAACGACAGTACCCTTACGCTTATTCAAACCACCAATCACAGAGCCTTGGAATTCAATAGGGGCAGAAATAGAGACGTTCATGATAGGTTCTAGAATGGTTGGTTTAGCCTTGGCGAAAGCTTCTTGGAAAGCATTCTTGGTAGCGATACGGAAAGCCAATTCAGATGAATCCACAGCATGAGCAGCACCATCTTCCAATACCATACGAATACCATTGACAGGATGACCAATCAAAGGACCTTTTTCCAAACCATCATTGAATCCCTTTTCACACGCAGGAATATAATTGGTAGGAATGTTGCCACCAACAACACGATTATCGAAAGCGATATCCTTACCAGTTTCTTCATCCTTTTCCATAGGTTCCAAATAGCCCATAACACGACCGAATTGACCAGCACCACCAGATTGTTTCTTATGAGTATAGTTGAATTTAGCAGGTTGAGTGATTGTTTCACGGAAAGCAACTTGAGGTTTGCCAGTCAAACATTCCACATTGTATTCACGCTTCATACGTTCCACATAGATTTGTAAATGAAGTTCACCCATACCAGAGATAATTGTTTCTTTACTTTCACTATCAACATGGACACGGAAAGTAGGGTCTTCTTTCTGGAATCGATTCAAAGCTTTGGAGAAGTTGGGAGTTTCCTTACCCTTGGGTACCAAAGAGAGAGAGATGACGGGTTCAGGAACAAACATAGAAGACAAGGAATATTGAAGAGAACCATCAGTAAAAGTATCACCACTTGCACAATCCACACCAAACATGGCACCAATTTCACCAGCACCCAATTCATCCACATCTTCCATATCAGCAGCATGCATACGAACTAGACGAGGCACCTTAATCTTTTTTCCAGTCTTGACGTTGGTGATGAAGGAGCCCTTTTTTAGAGAGCCTTGGTAAATACGCATATAAGTCAATTGTCCATAACGACCTTCTTCAAGTTTGAATGCAAGACCGACAAAAGGATTGGCAGAGAAAGGAGTGAGATCAACAGGTTTTTCATTATCCTTGATATCAAGAGCAGTGTTAGTGACTTCAGTAGGATCAGGCAAGTAATCAACGACAGCATTCAAAAGAGGTTGAACAGCAGTATTTTTGAAGGCAGAACCCATAAGTACAGGAGTAAACTTGAGACCAATAGTAGCACGACGTATAGCACTCATAAATTGTTCAGCAGTTGGTACTTCTTCCATCAAATAAATATCAGCGATTTCATCATCGACATTAGCCAGTTGTTCAATCAATTCCAGACGTTTTTCGGTAGCAAGAGGCATCAATTCTTCAGGGATATCCTTTTCAGTCAGATTTTCACCACTTTCACCTTCATTATAATAAGCTTTCCATTTCACCAAATCTACAACGCCACGGAATTGATCTTCAGCACCGATGGGAATTTGAATAGCAGCAGCAGTCAGTTTGAGTTTGTTTCGCAATTGATCCACAATACGGAATGGATTGGCACCAGCACGATCCATCTTGTTGATAAAAGAAATACGAGGGACATTGTAACGACGCATTTGACGATCGACAGTAATAGTTTGAGATTGTACACCAGACACAGAGCAGAGAATCATAACAGCACCATCCAACACACGAAGAGCACGTTCCACTTCAATGGTGAAATCAACGTGTCCTGGAGTATCAATAATATTCACATTATAATCACCCCAACTAGCATAGGTAGCAGCAGATTGAATAGTAATTCCTTTTTCCCGTTCTAAATCCATTGAATCCATTTTGGCACCGACACCATCACGACCACGGACATCATGAATTTCCTTGATACGACCAGTGTAGTAAAGAATACGTTCAGTACAAGTAGTTTTACCAGAATCAATATGAGCAGAGATACCAATATTTCGAAGTTTTCGTAAACGAGCCTATAAATGAAGAGAAAGAGAAAAAAAAAAGGTCAACAAAGAAGAAGAAATAATAATAAAAAAAAAAAAACTTTTTACAATATAATCAAAACTTACAACATCAGCAGCATCAGCATTTTCATAATCAACAGCAGAAGCACTTTGCCAGCGGCGTAATACTTGAATCGGAAATAAAGAATGGGTCATTTGAGGTTCAGTGAAGGTGGCAGCATTTCGTAAAGCCGAAGCCTTCACTCTACCCACTCCACCAAGAAGAGAACGAACGAACGTCATTCTTATAAGAGAGGAAGAAGAAAGGGAGACGTCTGAGGTTCAAAAGAAGAAGAAAAAAAAAAAAGGGAAAGAAAAAGACAAGGGGTCAAAAGGAACAAAGACCAAAAAAAAAAAAAAAAAAAAAAAAAAAAAAAAAAAAAATTCTATATCCGCCGAACATTTGAGTGGATGTGATCAAGTGACGGTTTATCCTTCCTTTCTATAAGGAAAAAAAAACCAAATTCAGGCACATATCACAGTTCATACATACTATTCTTTATCTTGTGGATCACGTTTTTCTATATTCTCTGCTTGATTAGAGATTTATTTATTTGCCTTGAGATTCGATCATTTATTTATGGTGATCCGTTTTTCTATATTGATAATTGATGATGGATAATTAAAAAAAAAAAAAAAAAATAGATTACCGACATCGGATATGGTAGGTGATTGATGTATACTTTATGGATTCATATCCGCTATCATCATCATGCATTGATTTTTTATTATTATTATGACAGTAATTGATGACTAGTTTTATTATACAACAAATAGAGTAAATACTAAATAGGACAATATATATAAAATAACTAATAATCATAAACTAACTAAGACAAGGGACTAAGGATGACCAAGGGAGGAGTGGATCAAAGGAAGAAGTACATCAGTAGATTCTCCACGTGTCACAAATGGATGTTGTAATAAAATTGCTGCGGAAGATCGTTGTTGAGGTTCCAGGACAAAACATTGCTGTAAAAAATGACGAAGAGTAGATGAAAGTCGTTGAGGGTATAATAACGTTGGTTGCTGCTTTAATTTTAACATGGTAGTCGCCCGTCCGGGATTACTAAAGTAAGGTGGTTTACTTTCAATCATTTCAATCACAGTTATACCAAAAGACCAGATATCTACTTTGCATCCATAAGGTTCACTTGATACAATCTCTGGAGCCATCTTTGAAGTTATTATCCATATATAAAAATGAAAAGTAAGAATAAAGAAGGGATCAGTGATGAATGTATTATATTTTTACTGTTCATTCTCTTACCCAGCAAATGGTTCCTGCTAAAGTCTTTCTTTGTGGTTGGTGATGACTAAGTCTTGCACAAAAACCAAAATCAGCTAATGGAAATAATCAATAAAAAAAAAAAAAAAGAAAAATGGGCAAGTTATTTAATATATGATAAAATTATCCTTTTTTTTCAAACTTACATAACTTGATATGACCTTGACGACTTACTAGTATATTATCACTCTTGATATCGCGATGGATGATCTGATTTGAATGTAAATAATCCAATCCTTGAAGAACTTCACGACACACTACACTAATTTCGTTTTCGAATAAGTATCGGTAGGTAACAATATCAGTAAGACTTCCACCATCCATATATTCCATCACCATCCAGATATCATCAAGCCATAAATACGAAGAGATGTATTGTACAATATTGGGATGACATTTTGACGATTTAGCGACGTTGATTTCATTCCACAACAAATCGTGTCGAGGATGTTGGTTTAGTCGGATTCGTTTCACTGCTACTGCTATTCCCTCTTGATCATGAGCCTTGTATACAATTCCCGATGCTCTGTATAATAAAAATAATTAGTATATACGTTATCAAAAGTCATATTAGCTTACCCTTCACCAATTCGAGACCATGATTGATAAGATAAGGCTGGATCATCCATTTTACAAGCTTGTTTAATACGCAAAACAGTTTGTTCATGAGTCGAAGGACAAGAATCTATGCCATTATATTGTTTCAATGTTGTATTCCAAGTCATTTTCAATTCGTTGTATAGTTGACGAATAAATAAAATCAGTATTTCTTGTTGATCGCCTAGGATACTTTGTATTATTGAGTCAATTACAATTCAACATTTGATTATTGTTTTTGTTTTTACTTACTAGTCAATGTTTCCATCAATTCTGGATAGCATCCATCCCAACGCCATTCATTTGAATTGATGTCAAAGTGTACATGATTCACATGTGTTGCATTGTAAGGTGGTGATATATTTATTTCACTCTTTTTCCCCCATAATCCTAAAAATAAAAATAAAAAAATTAAAAAAAAAAACATGTGAGACACAATCCCCACAAATCATCAGGGTCCGGTTCTAAATTCGGTACATACACATCCATACTATATTGTTTGTTTGTTTGTTTTTTTCTTACCTTTTAATGTGTCAATAACAGAACACATAGAATCATTTCGATGATAAGAGTGAATGGAATTGGGCTGTGTTGTAAAAATCAATTTATTATATCTTCGTATCACATCAGCTTTAGATCTTGATAACATATTCAATCGTAGGATAAATTTTGGAAGATAAGCTTGTAAAAGTGGATTTTAAACTATAATAGGTCGAACGAAGAAGGTTGTTTGAGGTAGTATCCAGGTCGGTCGTACTATCTAGAAAGAATAAATAGAATGAGGCAACAGAAGAAGGGAGAAAATAAAAGAAGATGTATAAAAATAATTTTATTTTATTACCTTGGTTTCTTAAATGCTTCATTGAATGACGTATCCTTCTGAAAGCATCGTGTATTAAACCGTATGATAAAAAGTGAACAAGAATAGATCTATTTCCAAAGCACAAATGTAAAGAGAATGGTGAATAAATAAGGCTCTATCTTCGGTAATATATATTAAGTCTAATAATATTTCATTATCATATGAATATATATATAGATATATACCTGACATTATTCCAGTTGACAAGATTCAAACAGAAAAAAAAAAAAAAAAAAAGAAAAAAGAAAAAAAAAAAAGAAAACGAAGAGTATATTTGTAGCGGTGTGCAAAATAATAAAAGTGCATAGGGGGATAATTACCTAATATGGGTAACCCAATTCTTGAAAATATCAATGCAACGATAATAGGACTATATAATAGTTCTTTAAGTATAAAAAAATCTATGACATTTCATTTCATTTCTGTGTTTTTTTTTTTTATATACTGTAAAAAAGGGTAGAATGACAATGACAACACTTGTCAAGGTTTATACATACAGTTTTATCAAAAAAGAAAAAAAGGAGTGTATGGCGTAAATGTTACCATATAAACTTTAACATATTAAACGCACTACAGTATCATATATCTGTCTAATATCTTATAGTATAATAGATCTTTAAATAAACTTATTGATAATTGAATTACTTTATTATCTATTAAATAAAGATTGTACAAGTGAATTTCATTTTTATAATGATGATCCAATGTAATAGGCACGGAGTTTGGAAATAAAGATCAAATTGTCTCCACACTATTGTATTTCTTTTTTTTTTCTCTCCTTAATTTTCTCTGTGCTCCTTTCTCATTGCTTTATATCTTTTCTTTTTTTTTTCCTATCGTTTTTTAATACAAAAGGCTCCTATTGTTATATTTGGTTGTCTCCTCAAAAAAAAAAAGTTCACAGGTATATATAAAACATTTTATCTTCCATTATATCTTTTTTTCTTCTCTTTTTTTTTTTTTTTTTTTTTTTTTTTTTTTTTGGATCTGTTTGCTAACAGTTTTATATAATGTTAGATACTGTAGTTCCTCGCCTCCAACTTTTTATTGATCAAGAAGGTGATAACCAATATACTCCTGTATTCCGACCTGGTGAAAATATTACTGGCACTCTCAAGATTATTACTGAGTTTCCTCTTCAAGTTTTACATCTTCGTGTCAGTTTTTTTGGACATGTACAACTTCACGGTGATAAACGAGAAACACCATTGACAACTGGTATCTTTGACTATCACAAAAATAGACAACTTATTAGTACTGGCATTCGTATTGCTAGACGACCTTCACCCGTGGACGACTATAATACAGCTCCAAAGGCAGAAAGTAGTAAAGATGCGATGAAAAGATTATCTTTATCAACTCAATGTGGACACCGTACTATCAATAAATATTCTACTGTGAACAATATCAGCGGGATCAGCAAAATGAGTGATGGCAGTACTAGCACTTCTAAGGATGAAAAATCAGCATTAATCAAGGAAACGGAAGCCCTTATACGATTGATTGCCAGCAAAGAAAAATTACAAGACACATTAATCCATCCAACATTGAAAAACTTTGATTATCCAGCCTCCCATGTTTATGAATTGACCAGCAAACACAACAAATTACAATATCGTGTTCCTATTCCAAAATCAAAGTTATTACCTGGTACATTCCATCATCGTCATTGTCCTATTTCGTATTATACGATTGCCATCATGTTATGTAAGGATTTGGATTCAGATACTTATTATGTGACATACGCCAAATCACCCATCATGTTCAATCCACAGGTCAACGTTCTTTCGGCCACTTATGCTGGTTTACTTCGTGAAAATTATCGACTCTCTCTAGGTAGCGACTCTCTTATCGCACGATTATTGAACACTACTCATCGTTATCGTCATCGTCACGCTCGCCCACTATTATTCAGAAATTACTCAAATCCCTCCTTCACAACCGGCAAGTCTTCTTCTAATGTACCACTCATCAACAATAGTAGTGATTTCTATTCTAGTGGTTGTGTCGATAACTCACATGGTTATATATCCAAAGGAGCAATCTCCTCTTTTTCATTTATAAGTGATTGGTGGTGTCGATTAGTTCAACAACATTCATGGATTCCTCTTGATCGACAAGGAAAATACGATAAGGTTTTGGATTGTACTTTGGAACTTCCTCGTCGAGCATTTTGTCGTGGTCAAGCATTACCATTCTCAGTCAGACTTATCAATGGTGCTGGTATCAGGATTGCCATGGTAACTATTGAAATGAAGTTGATCCGACGAATCATGGTGACTTGTACTTTTGAAGAAACTGTGGCTACCGATGTGGAATTTGAAACAGCAAGCACATTTTATGGTGATGAGGTCGATGTACCTGGATTACATGATAACAATGAATCAGTGAATGGAACAACAGAACAACAACAACAACAACAAGAAAATGATACACTTACACCACCATCTACACCTCCATTAAAACCAGAAGAAAAAGAAACAACACGTGAACCTTTTTTTTTATTCACCACCAGGGAAATGCTATTCGATCTTTCATCTGTGGCACATGTACCTCAACATTGTCCATGTACCATCATGAGTGAACTGACAAGGGATACTTTTGAAATGACTTATGAATGGAATGTCAAGGTCAAAGTATTGGAAGCCAAGCATGGACCTAGACTTGATGCAAGTTTGGATGATCGTGGGGATCACGTTACCAAGTATTATGCAACAAAGAATCGATCTCTTGATATTGGTGTTCTTTCTTCTGATTATCGAATACATGTCTTGGAACCTCCTAAAATGAACATAGTGATAGGAAATGTGGCTTGTAAAGTATGATATATTTTTCCCTTTACTTCATATTGTATTAGTTATAATTATTAGTTTTATTCGTTTGTCTTTTTTAAGTTTCCACCAAATAAATAAGTAAAAAAAAAAAAAAAAAATATTATTTTCAAATACCGATTATTTCGATTTTGTTTTTTTTTTTTTTTTTCTCTTTTGTCTTTTTCTTCTTTTCCCCTTCTTGAGCTATCACATTCTTTGTTGGTGTTTATCATATTATTATTATTATTATCAGTATTTATTCCTTACGTTTTTATTCCCTCTTCTTCGTATTCTGAAGTATGGCAGAAGACATTGATACTCAAAAATATTTCGATGAAGGTAAATGAAGAACAAAAAAAAAAAAAATGAACTTCACACCCTGGCCTTTTCTTTTTTTTGTTTACTTTTGACTAACGCTCTTTTTTTTCTTTTCTTTTCTTGCGCGTTTTTCTATTTAGCATGTGTTAAATCAACTGGATCAAAAGTAATTATAACATAGAAATAGAAAACTAAACTGTGATTAGTCTAACAATTGCCGTATTTTCTTTATTAGTCTCTTCATGCCATTAACACCTCAAATAATGATACCGTGATATCAAGACCTGGAAAACACTACAACACGTTGGAATCGTCTACTGCGTCACTCTTTGACAACAATATATATTCAGACTATCGTCCTTCTTTGTTAAGTGACAGCGATGCCGACGACTCTGTACTCAATGCACACTCTTTTTATGAACAACAGGACCATTGTTCATCCTTATCATCCAGTCCACTTTTACCGAATTCTACTTCTTTCCACCAAGAAGTGATTGACAATGGCAACCACTACATACCTGATCATATTGGTCCAAACTATTTCGATACTCCTTTATATGAACCTACTCTACCACTGCAACAACAACAACAACCTCTGTCCGAACATCTTCATAATAGCAATCATTCTGAACACAATACCAAGGATACCATTACACAACAACATGACACTCTTTCACCATATATATCCGACTTTTCTGAGCATTCTGATTCAAGTCTTTCAAGTTCTCCTACGTTTCAACCTCCTCCTATGAATTTTATGCAGCGACTGCATCATCAACGAAAGCAACAACAACAACAACAACAACAAGAAGAAGAACAACAACAATCATTACCTGCGCCAATAAATAATGAAAAGAAACCTGTAACATTTTCCTCTTCTCCACCTGTGGTATCTGCAAATGACGATATTGACACTGCACCTTATAACGCTTTTGAATTGAATTCCCATAAAGGTGATGAAACCAATGATAAGACTAAAATGTACGAGAGCCAGGAAGCAACAGCAAGAACTGATGAAAGTACATCACCCCTTGAATTGGTGTCAACACAACAACATTGTACTGATGATTCAACAAATGAGAATGATTACCAGCACACTGACTTGGATCTTGCAGAAAAAACGAATGTGGACGGCGTCAACAGCAACGATGATGTTTCTTCAGATGATATATACCATTTCAATGAACATAGAGTCAAATCACCAGTTTATGACAGTTTATCAAGTGATATTTTAGCGAAGAATGATTTATTCGACTTGACCGATAACGACACTGACGACAACTTGGATCTTTCATCTAGCAATTGTTTTGTCTTGGATAGTCAACCTGAAAGTAGTTATGTCATGGGGGACGAATATGGATTTAGCGACAAGAGTCATTCACCTTCAAGCGATCAACAGCAATTAACAACGACAACAAACGATGAATCAACAAAAACCAGATCACCTGTGCTTCCGGAACATTCTATTGGTCATGACGATAACAGGTCTTCACTTGATTTGATGATTCATTGTAGCAATTCACCACCAAAGATTGGACGATTACAACAGCGTGATATATCTGATTTTATGTCTTCTGAACCGGAACCCGTATATCAAGAATCTGGTAAGGAATGAGTGAATGATTTTGTGGTTAAATGGAGAGTAACCCTTGTCTTCTTTTATAATATAGTTGAAAAAAGACGCAAACTTAAATCACCAAAGAGGGAATTGGATCGACAACATCAACGACAATTACATCAAACGGAACTTGATGTGTTTTATTCCCAATTGTCTTCTGGAAGTAGTCTATCGACAGCCAAATCATTCTTCGATGATGACGATGATACTCAACTGTCCAATACCAAATCATCTCAAACACGACAAAAGGATGCCAATACATTATCATCATTGGAACAGCTACGTGTCGAAAAGCAATCAAAAAGATCAACACAATCACCCAATGAAAAGCAACAATGGATGAGTACTTTATCGATGCCGCGAACAAAGTCGTCACTATCTCCGTGCACTCAACAAAAAGATAATAAATCACAAGAAGTAGAAGAAGAAAAAGGGATGAATAGGATGAAAAGGAACACAAAAATGGCAACAACATCTGTGATGACTGATCCATCCAAGCCCAGACAACGCAGTTATGGTTTGTCAAAGCCAAGGTCAATATCTTCAGCGAAAAGAACAACACCAAGTATATCAGCATTAATAACAGGTCAACATGGTCCGTCCTTACAACCTTGTGATGTTATTGTGAAAACTGGGAAAATTGGTTCAAGAAAGAAAACGTTAGGAATGACACGCCGGTTCAACATTTATAAATGATCTCCTTTTTATTAGTATTTATATAACACTTTTTATTTTGATTATCTCTATTTATGTCTTACAAAAATGATTCTTTACAAATGTTGGTCCTGGGGACAGTTTTGTGTATATACTTTTTTTTTAATATATATTTTTTTGGTCCGAAGGGTTCTTGGTATGCAACGTGAAATGTGGGATTTCTTCTTCAGTAGTTTAATTTATGTGATATACCCAATTGACTCTTTGAAATAAAAGGTCTCTCTCTCTTTTTTTTTTTATCTTTTTATTTTATTATCATGACGGATGATTCTGAAGCACCCTATATTGGGCCCGTATTATGTTGATGATGCGATAGACAACGGAATTTTCAATCTTTTCTTTTTTTTTTTTTTTTTTTTTTTTTTTTTTTTTTAGTGCGAAGAAGTTTTGGTGGGACTACATAACGAGAAGTGTGGGATTTTTCTATATTTTTTTTTTCAATAGTTTAGTTTATTTAGGTGAAAGATCTCTCTCTCTCTCTTTTTTTTTTTTTTTTTTTTTTTTTTTTGTTATTATTACTACGGATGATTCTGGATCATATTACATTGAAGCTCATACTGTGGATGATTCTATAGACAAAGAATTTTCTTTTTTTTTTTGTAGGCATTTCCTCATTTTCTAACTATCATACCCAAAAACCATGACGATAGGCTAAAACAGGAATGATTTTCATGGTTTCTAAAATTGTAGAGCGTTACATTCAATCGCGGACGATGAATTTTTTTTTTTTTTTTTGGGTTACTAGTGAGGATGGGGGAAAGTAACGACAAAGATAGACAAGTGACGTTATTGACAATAAATGCTTCACACACACATATAGAGATATATACCGGGAAAAACATTCTATCATAACCCCATATACACAATTCATACACACAACACACATGATAACTTTCCCATCAAACAAACACACACATACACATGAATCATCCTGTTTATCAGGAGACAGTAAAACCCGAGAATCATGATAAGATGAGAATGCTTTATTATATATATAAAAAAAAAAAGACAAAAAAGGAATCCAAAATAAATAAATAAATAAAAGCAGTAATCAATACTGAACTAGAGAATACAAGATGGTGTACAAAGCTAAATCGTTCGGAGGAGAAAAAAGGGAATATCTTGCAGGGGTGAAACAAACCCAATGATGGTGAAGAGTGGGGTAAACAATAAACTATCTACGTCGTGAAGATGAAAATGCAGGAGTTGATCGAGATACCATCGGTTGAATATTTGTTGGAAATTTGTTGGTATTTGATATCATCATTGAATCTACTTTTAAAATGGCGTATTCAATTAATAGAATAAGAGAAAGAAAAAAAAGAATGAGTATAGGTGATATTTACATTGATGATCAATACTACATTTTCTTCTTCGTAGTATGATGATGATGGGTTACTTACGATACAATTCGGTTGATGGTGATTGGAAAACAACTAAAAATAAAATTAAAACTATTAGTTCTCATTTTCTCACCCATTCATTTTTTTTTTGTTTATTTATTTATTTTAGTTACCTGGATCCAAATCTTTTCTATCGTAAACATGATGAAGATCATCCATAGAAGCATATGTATGACTAGTCAATGATGGAGGACTTTGAGTAGATAACCAAGAAGATTGAGGTGGAAGATCGTACAAAAGAGATTGATTTTGTTGTTGAAGTTCAGGAATAGAAGTTGTTGTAGTAAAATCAATAAAAGGATGTCGAATGGATGATGATGAATGAGAAGATGCAGTAGTAGTTGAAGGTGAAGGGGTAACATTGGGTTGTTGTCGTTGATATTGCAAATGATGAATTTCATTAGTAGTAGTAGTAGTTGGAGTAGATATTGAAGTTGTAGGAGAAGTTGAAGAAGTAGAATTGGCCATAAGTTGAGCTAATAATCTTTTGTTTTCTTTTTGTAATTGAATGACCTGATATCTATATCTTTCTTCACGGGAGATACTTTTCTTGACCCAATCCAATGCTTTTTCCACAATTTGACTTTTAGAAGGTCGACGATAATTCATCAAATTTGGTAGCGCCTGCGCCAATTGTTGGAATTTGTTATTCAAGCTTTCACGTCTTGCTCTTTCAATAGCATTGTGTTCTGCACGTCGTTCCGCTTTACTTAACGTTCTATATATAAAACAATAAATAAGAAACAATATATGTACTACTGACCGGGCATTCAAAAACTTACTTTTTTGTAAAAGAAGGACTGGTTTCATAACCATCTTCATCGTCAAGTGGTGGCATGTTAATAGGGTCATCCAAATTAGCATTTGTAAAAGGAAAAGGGTCCACGTTTAAAAAGGAATAGTTATTCTTTTGCATGGCATTGTTAATATCAGTCGAATACATGAATTAGGTATAACAAGTCGGAATAAATGAAGTCAAAAAAAGGGAATAAGAAAAAAAAAAAAAGAAAAAAGGGAAGAAAAGTATAAAAGAAGAAGAAAAGGGCGATAGAAATAAATAGAAAACAACGGGAAAATTTATTTATATGCAAAATCTGAGGACGCGATCTGATTGGCTAATATTAACCATTCAAAGTAACCATGACTTGCAAAAAAAAAAAAAAAAAAAAAAAAAAAAAAAAAAAAAAACTTCTTTTTATGATCTCCCATCATTTGTAACCATTCACACACACACACACACATATATATATATATATATATATATATGTATTGTAATTCGTAACCCATGATCTATCAATTCTGTTCAACTTTGACATAAAGCTTTAATATAGTTAGCTTGATTCATCTTTTTTTTTTCATATAACAAGAAAACAATAAAGGAAACAAAAAAAAAGGAATGCTTTTTTCTGTACTTTTTTTTCTATTCTCATTTTATTATCATCGTTTATATAACTATATAAGAACTTTTTTTTTTATTCTTTTCACTTTTTTTTTTTAAAAAAAAGTTTTTTTTTCTTATTGTTACTCTTTTTTTTTTCATATATGAAAGTAAACAATAACAAAAACTTTTTTATTTTTCCCTTGTCCACGCACAGACAGAGCCAAAAGTTACACATTTACATTCTAGTAACTACATATGAATCGCACTTGTTACCTAAAAAAGTAACATTAGGATATGCAAGAGAGTCTCGCCTTATTTTCATGAGAATCACGCGTTCTATCTAGAAGTAGAAACGGAGTACGAGATTGAAATGGTAAAAAAAAAAAAAAAAAAAAAAAAAAAAAAAAAAAAAAAAAAAAAAAAAAAAAAGGGAAAAAGCATCGATTCAACCTGAGCTTGTAGCTTACATACATATTTTCTACCGATTACACAAAGTTTTACCCTTAATTTTACAAATGCTTTTTTATACCCCGCTACCATAATCAGCATCATCATGGAAACTGTCATATTTATACTATAAATATGTTATCCTCTTTTTTTCATTTTTTTTTTATTTTGCTGTATACAGCTTGAGTTGGTGGTAAATAATAGATGACTAAGGTTTGACAAAGTGAGAAAAAGAAAAAAAAAAAACTGTCATACCAATTTCATAGATATGGTTATCTTTTTTTTTTTTTTTTTTTTTTTTGGTACAGATGGTAAGTAATGGATGATCTCCAATCAGAATGTACTTATTGTATTTTAAAAACTATTATTATCGCGTGATATAATCTATTAGAGAAAACAAATTCGCTTTATGCATTATGGATGATGATTTATCAATCTTTTTATTCCTTTTTGAACGATAAGTATACTACTATCATCATTGAATAGAAAAAGCTATACTTTTTCTTTAATTTATAAAGCATGGTATTTAATTAGTATATATATATTTTTTTTTTTCATATGATATGTCAGTAATAAAGTCATCATTATCTTGCTTTTTTTCATACAGGATTTGCTGTGTTACACCGGCAATGACCCATGACTGAAACATCCTCTGTCTTCCTTCAAGTTGTTCTTTGTGTCACACCTCTTTAGATCCAAGGGAACGGTAGAAAAAGAAAAGAAAAGAAAAGAAAAAAAAAAGTCTCTATCATTGTTCTCTTCCCCTCATCTTGTCCAAAGCGGCCTAATGATTATCCAATCGTTTGTTTGAACGACTCCTATGCCATGCAGGGCAATGTTAATGATTGGTTGATTTCCATCACCTTCTTCCGAAGATATTATAAAATAAAACAATCATCACTTTTTCCTGAATTTCTATATATATATATTGATATAATCACTTACCAAGCAATTGATCTCTAGGAGTCCGACTGAGTAGTATTAAAACATCACCAAAAAAAAAAAAAAAAAAAAAAAAAAAACCAGTAAAGAAAAGAATTTAAAGAAGGTATCATAAAAAAAAAATAGTTGCTCCTGTTCTATTTTTTGAGGAAAGGGGGTATTTCATTTTCCGGATAACCCCACTCGATTGACTCACCGAAAAGACATCTTGGCAAATAGCGGATAATTATAGATTTTATTCATACAAAAAAAAAAAATTAAAGAGGTATAGGTCTAAAATAATAATAAAAAAGTCTAACTAAATCTAATGAAGATAAAAAAAAAAGAAAATCAGTCTGCTTGGAATTTGGCACGTAATGCAGACACTTTGGATTCAAATTTTGCATATCGATCAGATGATGATGGAGGTGATGATTGTGTTATTGATGATGATGTAGATGGTGATAATATTTGTTCATGTCGAGATCCTTGAGATCCATTTGATGTCACACTAGTTGCTGATGAAGTGGATACAGAGGGTTGTGGTACTAGATAACTTGGAGGATTTCCACCTGGTAAAGCAAATCCACCTGCATCCATACGTTGATAAGATGATGATGATGATGGTGATAATGGTGATTGACCAACCGATTGTCGTTGTTGTTGAGGTGATGGATGAAATACTGCTTGAGGACTGAGGATGCGAGACATTTCTTCATAGGACTTGGGAGGTGAGTAGTTGGTGTAAAATTGATATAGTTTTTGATGATCGGGTAATCCCTAAATGTTTAACAAAAAAAAAAAAAAAAAAAGAGTGTCCATTAACATATGTTGATCAATATATCTATATTCATCTACTTACCAAATAAACCGTAGAAAACCCACCAGAATGACCATGAAACTGTTGTTGTTGAGGTGATGGTGAAAATACTTGAGAATAATCTTGAAGAGTGGCAGATTGAGGTCTTGGAGACATGGGGGCCAAAGGTAGATCATCATCATCGCGTAAATCTTCCTCTACAGCATCAGGTTTATGAAGTGAGCGAATCGAATCTTGTTTCAAAAGTGATGTTGGTTCTTCTTCTGGTTGACTTGGCGATGATGATGATTCTTCAATATTGTTGTTGTCAAGGGTACGATCATCATTACTATCTTGAGAATCAGTAGTTGCATTGATAGTTGTACTAAGTTCAGATTCAACAGGTGCTGGTGGTAAAGCTTTGTTTTTGGATACCAATGGGTTACGACCATGATGTGAAGTTAGAGTTCGTCTCACTTTGGCTCCATCAGGTTTCCAGTGTTCCATAGCATAAGAAGCATCACTGACAATTCGAGTTGTTTGATCCGATCCTATCAAAAAGAAAGTTGAAAATAAGCATATAATAACCTTTCTTTTTTTTTTTTCTATATTATTTGTCATTTTTTACCTTGATATGGTTTTCGTTCTTCACCTTCTTTGACAGGTGTGACATCCAATTCATCCACAACATATTTCCCAAAAGATGAAATAACATCAGTCTTACTTGCCATTTCATGCATCCCATTAAGTAAAAGATAAAATGCTTCACGCATTGCCATTCGTTTGAAGTTGTCCATTTCACGTTCATCTACTTCAGTTGCTTGATTCAATTCCGCTAGTTGACGTTTCAAATCTGTCACTTTGTCTACCGCGCCAGGATGATCTTGTTCCAACTTGTCAATACTTTCTTGTAATTTTTGTTTCTTTTCCCTACTGTTATACAGCGTACTCTCTCTTTCAGCAATTGATTTTAATGTCAACTGGTATTGGTCGTAGCTACCTATACAAACAGCACAAGATAAAAAAAAAAGGATTATTCGTACCACATATGGCTAAGCAACTCTTTTTTTTTTTCTTTTTTTTCTGTATTTTCCCGCAGTACTTTACCTGCAAAATTGGCAAGTATTTCTGACCATTTTGTCATAAGGCTTCCTAACTTGCTAGTAACGTCCTATAAAGAAGAAAAGAGAAACAAGATATATATATATATGAAAAAAAAGTATCATTAATGAAGAGTTAGCTTAACTTACTGTTAAATCATCACCCAAAGGTCGACCATATATAACCAAGTCATTCGCAGCAATACGTTGTTCATCCCCAAGAAGTAACCATTGAGATGTCATCTTCTTTCCATTTTCCAAGAGTTGTTGAAGACCAGGATCTTGTTGATTTGATTTACTTGTAAAAGAATGAAAAGGATTAAAGGAAAACATGTTATGTAGAAAAAAAAAAAAAAACGAAAGGAAGAAAGAAAAAAAAAAGAAAAAAAAAGTGTGCCTTTAATTATATATAAGTTACTTTGTTTCCACCAATGACATCATTTCTTTTTTTTCGTGTTCCCTTTTTGGGAGCTACGAGCGCAAAAAAAAAAAAAAAAAAAAAAAAGGATTTTTCATACCCGAAAGCGGTTTTGCATATTTTTTATCTTTTTTCTTTTCCTCCTTTCAACCATGGCCGTATCACTTTTAGCCTACGTTGTTACTTTTTTTGTTTTTACTTGTAGTTATATATTAACCATTCTTGCTTTAGCTCTTCCTAAATGGTAAGTTTCCCCTTTCTCTCTTTTATTTCTTATTACTAACATGTTATTATAGGTTAACGTTTATCACTCCAGCTCCGTTTTACACTGAAACAAACTATGGTCTTTTCCAGATTTGTAGAAGGTAAGTTTATATTTACAAATAATGAAATAACTCATATCTATTCTTTATCCTTCTTTTATATAGTTTTGCAAAATGTCGAGCTTTCCCTTCTGGTGATAATGGAGACTGCGGAGAAGGTAAAATGAAAAAACAATTGTATTTTCCTCGTGACATACTCATCTCATTGTTTTGTTTATATTCCTACTTATTCAAGATGGTTTTTGTGAACTATGGTGAGAAAAAAAAAAAAAAAGAAACAATATATATATATATATATATGTATAGTAGTAGTAACTTCGATTAACTTCTTTGGAATTATATTATTATTAGGCGTGGAGCAGCAGCTGGAATGGTATTATCAGCCATCCTTGGTGCTTTCGTTTTACTTGCTTTACTTGGAACAATGTGTAGTGGACGACGAAAAAGAGCAAAGGCTTGGATGACATTAGCTGGGTAAGTTGAAAACATTTGATTGAAATAAATAATATTGAAATGATTTTTATTCATCCTAATCTTTTTATTATAGACTGTTTGTAATTTATGGTAAAAAAAAAATTGTATTGTTATTAGAATGAAAACGTTATATATTCTTACATATCTCGTCTTCTTCTTATTATTATTATTACAGCTATTCCACAAGTCTTATCCATGGGTATTGTTGCGTATCTATATAATTCCAGTTCTACCTTTTATATTGGTACCCGTTACAATGTATCTTTTATTCTTTGTATCATTAGCTGGTGTCTTAGTATCTTCTTGGCGGTGATTCTCTCCATAGTTGCCTTTGTTGGTCCTCCTGAATATGCCTACAATCCAATTGATTCCTAAAAAAAAAAGTGATATATATATATATATATATATATATATATATATATATATTGTTGACATTATTGATTCCCATCTTTATTTTTTTTTTCTTCTTCTTTCTACCATCATTCTATAGTCAAAATAAACCAATTTTTATTATATTATTCAGATTTATTTGAAATATCTATTTTGTCAATCTTTTCATTCAATAAAAAAGTCCATACCTAATAGGTCAATAAATAATTTTATTTTTTCCAAAAAAAAAAAAAAAAAACATTTCATTATACTAAACTACTGAAGATTCAATAAACGTATAGCATTTGCACCTAAAATCCCATTCTTTGTTTCTTTATCCAAACCAGCTTGATCTAAAGCATCCAAATTACTGTCGACCGAGAGCCATCTTTTATCTTTCTTCATGTTTGTATCTTGAGTATCTAAGGGAGGGAAGAACGGATGATCAGTACCAAACATAACATGTTGAGGATCAGCAAAGTCAACAGTGGCACGAATCCCAGTATCGTGATAAATCACAGCATCATAGTATAATTTCTTGAGGTACCAAGAGGGAGGATGTTGTAATGATTGAGCAATAACAGGATCATGGGCCACACAAGAATCAATCCGACCAGCTAAAAAGGGAAGTGTGCCTCCAGAATGAGCAAGTAAGAGCTTGAGATGAGGGATTTTATCGAAAATACCAGATAAGATCAAACGTGTCACTGCAATGGTCGTCTCCATAGGAAATCCAAGTGCCAATTGTAAAGCATGTCCTTTGTTATTGCCGGATGTTTGTAAAGAATCATCTTCCTTGTTGATGGGTATACCATAATGAGGATGTAAAAATATAAATTGATCATTGTCAGCAATCGTTTGAAACAAAGGAATCAACTCTGGAAAATCTAGTCCTTTACCACCACAACCATGAGTCCCCATAATAACACCACGCATAGACTTGAGACTAGTAGAAATACGTTGCACTTCATCTATGGATGCTTTCACACTGTTCAATGGAAGTACACCGAAAGAATATAACCTTGTTGGCGATTGATCACACATGAATTGGATCTCGTTGTTGATATTTCTAGCCATATCATATGTTGCCTGAGTATCGGGTAAAAAATCCAACCAAGGATTTGCCAAACTGATCACCGAGATATCTATTCCATGTTGATCCATAAATTTGAGCTTCTCACCTATATGAGAGAAACCTAAAGTCACTGGTCGTCCATTCGCTGTGCTTGCATCCTTGTCTTCACCAGGGAGAATGACAAGTCTTTCCAAGGATGACTCGTCTTCAGGATCCAAAGGTGGTAAAATACGAGGAACTTGAGTTCTTTCACGAAGAAGTTGAAGGTAACTTGGTACGTACACGTGTGTATGAATATCCACTACACTATTAAACGAAAAGAAAAAAAAAGCATTGAGTGTGTGAACTTACCTTTACTTGTTCTTTCTGTCTTTTTTTCTGTTTTGTTTTACCATTGATTGTCTATAGTCATTGTTGTGTTATGGTGATAAGTAGAAAAAAGGCTCAAAGGTAAAGAAAAAAAGAAGGTCGTGTGAACGAAAGGTAAAAAAAAAAAAAAAAAAAAAAAAAAAAGGAAAAGGAAAAGGAAAAAAAAGTAAAGGGCGTCAATTTCAAAGCACGCTTCTTTATTGATGATCACGGCAAATTTAATCATTTCCTGAGAACTCTCGTATCATAGATTATTGTTATCATCTAGCCATTATCGTTGGTATGTCTTACAATAGATAGGATCAAGATGGAGACTTCGTTTGGGACACCGCTGCATGCATGACTTTATGCCCTTATTCTTTTCTACTTTCACTGTATGATATGAATACCATTACTATCATTATTTCTTGTTAACGTGCAACATATAATACTTTTATTATATATAATATTAATTGTTTATTGACTTTTTCTATGCGAAGCGCGTTTATTTTTTTTTTTTCACTGTAGACGAGTAGGGAAGAACATCCGGTGTTTGAAAAGAAGAAACGGAAAAATGGTTAGTGCCATGATCAACCAGTTATTTCATGATCTGATCGGAGTGACAAACCGTCAGTTACAAGAGGTGGGTGGCTGCAAATTTTTTTCTTTCTTTCCTGTTTTAACTGCAAAAAAAAAAAAAAAAAAGATGCCTGAAGTAGATCAAAAACCAACCATTGACATTGAAGCTATTGCAAAGAAGACTCCTGAAGAAACCACATTTGCTGATTTGGTAAATATTCATATTATGACATTGAAAAAATGACTAATTGATTATATATAGGGTGTATCTAAGGAATTATGTACTGCTTGCGAAAAACTCAACTTTAAACATCCTACCGAGATTCAAAAGGAATCTATCCCTTGGGCTTTAGAAGGTCGTGATATTATTGGTCTTGCTCAGACTGGTTCGGGTAAGACAGCTGCCTTTGCTTTACCTATTATCCAACGATTATGGGACAATCCTCAAGCTTTTTTTGCCTGTATTATGGCTCCTACTAGGTAAATAATAATAATAATAATAATTAAAATACATTGATTAACGCTATTTTGTTTTTTTTTTCTTTTATTTATATAAATATAAAGAGAATTGGCATACCAAATTGCAGAAACGTTTGAAGGACTTGGATCAGTGATAGGTGTACGTTGTGCAGTCATTGTAGGTGGTATGGATATGATGGCTCAATCTATTGCACTCTCCAAACGACCTCATATTATTGTATGTACTCCTGGACGATTACAAGATCATTTGGAAAATACAAAAGGATTCAGTTTACGTACTCTTAAATACCTGGTGATGGATGAAGCCGATCGTTTACTTGATATGGATTTTGGACCCAAGATTGATCAAATTCTCAAGGTTCTTCCTCGTGAACGAAATACATTCTTATTCTCGGCTACCATGACAACTAAAGTGGCCAAATTACAAAGAGCTAGTTTATCTAAACCTGTCAAAGTAGAAGTGGCTACAAAGTAAGTTACCATATGAAAAAAAAGAAGTTTTATATTAATGTTTTTATGTTTAGATATTCCACTGTCAAGACATTATTACAATATTATCTCTTTTTCCCATTGAAACATAAGGATGTTTATATGGTATATCTACTCAATGAACTTGCCGGCAATTCTACCATCATCTTTACTCGTACTTGCAATGATACTCAAAAGATCGCCATTATGTTACGAAATCTTGGTTTTGGTGCTGTTCCTTTACATGGTCAACTTGCTCAATCAAAACGTTTAGGTGCTCTCAACAAATTTAAATCCGGTTCTCGAACTATTTTGGTAGCTACTGATGTTGCTAGTCGGTAAGGAAACTTATCATTTTTTTTTTTTGTCAATGACTAATTTTTAATTTTATTTTATTAATAGTGGTATTGATATTCCTTTGGTTGATGTAGTGATTAACTATGATGTACCTCAATCTTCAAAAGATTATATTCATCGTGTAGGACGTACAGCAAGAGCCGGTCGATCAGGGAAATCTATTACATTTGTGACTCAGTACGATGTGGAATTGATTCAACGGATCGAAAAGGACTTGGGACGAAAATTGGATGCTTTCCCTGTGGAAAAGGACGAAGTCATGATGTTACAAGAACGAGTTGGTGAAGCACAACGTATTGCTACTTTGGAATTGAAGGAAAGAGGTGGTGCTCGTGGATCCAAACGTGGTGCAAAGCCTGATGATGACGATGATGATGATCTTGAAGAAAAGACGGGTGGGCAACACAATAACAAGAAATTCAAACAAAAGCGTCGGCATTAAGTGTTTAACTTTAGTTTGATTCCTACCCTTATTATTATTATTTTTATTTTCATCATCATCAAAGATCATATCTATAGACTTTATCATACTTTACACTTTTTTTTTGAAAAAATAAAATAAAATAAATCATCTTCATTTTTTTATATTTACAAGTACAATAAAATCGCTGTCTTTATTTGATAATCATCTATTACGAATAATGGGAATTCAAAAAAAAAAAAAAAAAAGGACTGTATCAGTTCAAATCAAAAGAGACGATGATGCATAACATTACTATGATATAATATACACTAACAAGAATAATAACAGAAAATAATAACAGTAATATAGAGAGTTATGTAAAACAGTACAGTATCAAAAAAAGTATATATATTTTTTTTTATTCAAAAGGCAAATAATTAAGATATATTAAGGTAAGGCCGCAGTCCAATCCCATTTTTCCCAGTTTTTCAAGAATTTAGTTTGTCTTGTCCTGTCTTCTTTTCTTTGATAATATTTTGGTCGTCTCCAGAGTTCAGGTCCAACATCCAACATACCACCAATGATTTCCTAAATAGAAGAGATCAATAACTTTTTTATTTTTTTTTTCTTTTCTTCCTTTTATTTACCTTGCCAAACCAATAAGGAAATTCTTTTTCATTTTCAATCACATGACCATATCCTTTGTCCAAACCACACCAAACATGAAAGTATGGAAGATTTTTGACCATTGAATGTCGGAATCCACGACTCGAAGTATCGATCAATTTCTTATGTTGAGACCATTCTTCTCCAGCTTCCATGATTCCTTCCTAAATTATATGAGTGATGTCAATTTGATTTTTTTTCTTTCTATTCAATTTATATCATTTTACCTTGAAATAAGCAGGAGCATCTTCATAAAGTCCATATGGTACAGGGATAGCTTCAATCACCGTATGTCTGTGAGATCGAAGACTTGTTACTGTTTCCATAAATACAACTCCACAATTTTGTTCATCAAACATACGTAGCAAACATTTTTGGAAGTTCTAATAATTGCAAAAAAAAAAAAAAAAAAAAAAAAAAGTCAGTATATGTCTTACCATCATTCGGTTTTTTTTTTCATGTTACCCTAATTTCATCCCACACTTCATCATCACATTCTAAAGTAGAGCTGACATGTTGTAAAGGAACAATCAAACAATGACCGGGTGTAAGTTCTTGTTGATTAGGAAGAGCCAAGTAGGTCTGGGTAGCCAACGAAATCATTGCACATTGAGGAGGGGCATCATCGTGGTAACAGAAACGACAACTTTCCAAAGCTTTTTGTGTTCTTTTATGATCTATATATATAAATTGAAATGAGTCACTTTTCCAAAAAAAAAAAAAAAAAAAAAAAAAAAAAAAGATAAATCATATATCCATTTTTATGGCTTACCAGAAATGGCATATTTCATCTTTTGTTGTTCTGACATTCCTTTCTTTGCCGCCATGACATCAGCTTTGTCATCCATATAATCTAAGTTGTTCTTGATAATACGAATCAAATATATAAAGAGTAAATCAGATTATCTATTCTCTTAGTATTTACTTTCAATTCACTTTACCTCAAATGAAGCATCCGCAACAATCCTATTGGCAAATTCCATATCCATGTTATTGACTCTTCGACTTCCAGCTTTTTCTTGTCGTACCATATCCATCAAAGACATTCCATCGTCAGCAGCACTATATCTGAGTCGTTCACCAGTCGCTTTGTCATGCGTTCCTTCATATTGTTTCTTGCCCTTCAACTGTGTTGAATCTTGTATTTGTCCACCTCCTGCTAGTGCATATTCGTAAACTTTTCCTTCTCTATCAACGGTTGGTAACATGGCCACATTCTTTCCACTTGGTGTCTAAAATATAGGAAAATCAGGCAAAGTCAGATATCATCATCTAAATAATACAACACTTCCTTGCTTACCGTTTCAGTTTCTGTCTCTCCAGCTTCAAAGCGTTCAACCTGGGTTTTGTATTCTTCTTCAAGTGCAGCAGCTTCTTCATCATTTCCCATCAATCGAGCTTTAACAATCCGGGAGTTAAGTTTGTTCAATTGATCACGAGTCATGACAGGCTCCGTTTGAGGGGTACTTGGTACTTGATATGGTGTGATAACAAGAGGTGTTGTTGAAGTATTAGGAGTCAGTGGAATAGAAGAAGTTGGACCTATGGATTCATTGGAGACGATTGGCTTTTCTTGTACACGTCCAGGAGTGGGTGAGGGAGTTCTAGAACGTTTTTGACGATGATCATTCCTTGATTTACTGTCACTGACGTCTTTTCCATATGATGATGATTGTTGAGCTGGTCGACGGAACTGAACATTCTTACTGTCAGTGTCGGAAAACATAAACTTTCTGGAAGATCTGCTCTCTCCATGATGATGGTGATGATGGTGATGATGTCTTGAAGATGTTGATGATCGATCCTGGTGTCGTCCTCTTTCTTTACGCTGATCAAGGTAAGCTCGTTCATCTAATGCTTCTTGAAATTTCTCTTTGGACTAAAGATAATATATTATGCAATTTTTTTTTTAAAAAAAAAAATAAATAAAAGCAGTGAGTATAAAAAAGTAAAATACAACAGTCTATTGTAATGCTCATTGTATCACTTACGCCATATCGTTCTAATCCGACTTCTTCTACCGATCGTCGTTCATCTTCAGCTTGTTCAATAACTCGTTTGAGTTTCATCATTCGCCAATTAGATCCAGCATCACCGAATTTGATCGAGCTTTTCTTTTCTTCAGGATACTCATCCACAGCCAGTCCAGCCTTGAAATGAGCATTTAGTTCACGATCACTGACTTTGAGCTACAATCGATATTTAGAAACAAAAGCATGTTAGTATTTTTCATTTACATATAGTTTGATCATTTTACATTATCGGGATTCGGTTTGTCATCTTTTGGTTCTGGTTTCTTGGTCCCAAAATCAGCAAAATCAAAGGAGGAGTCAAGCATCCAACCATGTCGAATTTCCTGTTGTTGTTGCTGTGGTTGTACAGATGGTTTTTCTACAGATTGAGATATTGTAGTTGATGTGATACTTGACACGTTGTCTTGATCGGTTTTCTCAACCCAAAGAGAAGGATCGGAATAGTCAATCTCCATAGTATTTTCTTCATGTCGAGAACTTTTGTGTTTTTTGTGTTCTCTTCTGTGTTCCTTATGATCTTTCTTGGATGATTTTTTCTTGCTATCTTTTGATTTGTGTTTGTGATCACCCATTATTTTCAAATTACACAATAATAATAACAAAATAATAATAATAAAAAAGAACAAGCAAAAAAAAAAAAAAAAAAGAAAAGTAGAAAGCATTTCCGTCCGAAATTGAAACTCAAACTATTTTCACTGAAATACTGACTGCTCTTAGGTAAAATAAACTATTTCATTTTTTTCATTTTCTTTTTTTTTCACCTTTGAATTGTTATAAAAAGTTATGCCTCGTCATTCAAAAAACAATACTGCAGGAAGTGTCTTTACATATCACGAAGCAAAAGCATTAGATTATGGAACGAAAAGGGTAAAGAAGAAGAAAAAAAAATAATATATTTTTCAAGTCAATCAATACAAAATAACCAACCACTGTTTTTTTTTTAATTAGGCTCGACTTGGACGTGAATCATTTCGAGACTTTGATGCTTGTTATTTATGTTTACAAACTGCTCGTGAACCTGTCACTTGTTCCAAAGGTCATTTAGCTTGTCGTGAATGTTATTACGAATCATATCTTCAACAAAAACAAGCCATTAAACGAGAACAGGTCTTATTGGAACAAAGACTTGCGGATCTAGATGATCAAAAATTAAAAGACGACTTGGCAGCAAAACAGGCTCTTTTGGATGAATTTGAAAAAACACAAACAAGTGTACTTGGACGTAGAAATAATGGCAACATGGATACCAACTCAACATCTTTGGAACCTGGTAAAAAAAAAAAAAAAAAAAAAAAAAAACTATTAGATCTACTTTTTTTGTACAACTTTATTCGCATAAACGTTTTCGATACTCATCAACCATCACACCATTCCCTCAACTCTTTGTCTTTCCTTTTTTTTTTTGGATATCATCTAGGATCACCAACTGTAGGCTCAAAAAGGAAATTGGATACAACGGAAACACAAGACAAGAAGCAAACATCCAAAGAAAAGTTAAAGTCAAGTTTTTGGTTGGTAAGTGATTTTAAAATATATTAAATACCATTAATTCAATAAACTTGACTGATTCGTTTTTTTTTTTTTTTTTTTTTTTTTCATCTTTAGCCTACAATGACACCCGTTGCTGATACACAAAAGAAAGATGAAATTAAACCTATTCAAACACAACCTCTTTGTCGTGCAACCAAAGATGACCATCCTCTCAGGTACAAACAAAAGAATAAAAAAAAGATGAATATATAGAAAGTTGAAAAAGAAGGATTTACTTTTATTATTATTATTATTATTATTTATATTAGTATGAAAGGATTGATTGAAATTAAATTTGAAAAGGATAAAGAAGGGAAATCAATATGTCCTGCTTGTTTGAAAACATTATCCAACTCCTCAAAACTATCAGGTAAATGACTTACGTAGAAATATATGTAAAAGAGGAAGAAATGATATACTGATTTATCTATTATTATTTCATCATAGTGATGAGGAATTGTGGACATGTAGTTTGCCATAGTTGTGTGGATATGTTTATTAAGAAAACCAAGAAATGTTATGTTTGTGAAGAAAAAACAAAGTCCAAAGATATTGTCAATATGACTTCAGAAGGTACTGGATATACAAGTGGAAGCACAATGGCCATGGCGGAACGTTTTGATGTGGCATTCCAATAAATCAAATGGGATAGTTGTAGTTAGATAGTTTTTTCTTTTTTTTTTTTTTCTATGAAATATGCAGATGATTTTAATAAAATTGGAACAGATGATTTTTTTTTTTTTTTGATTTATTTGTAATGATGCGCATATGAAGAAAGAAAGAAAATGGGAAAGAATGAATATACTAAAAATGGGAACACTATAGAATGGCAAACAAAGATAAACAAAATATTTTGTAATGTAATATAAAATGAAATAAGGAATATGTAATGCATATATACTCTACAGGAAAAGTGGAGAATTGGGATAATAAACTAAGCTAAAAAAAAAAAAGTATCAAGCATGGGTTATATAAATCTTGCCATTCATGTTGATACCGTCATAGAGGTAGAGGATTCTGTTTTGATCTTCTTGTGTTTCCTATGCTTTGACTTATTTTTCTTTGTTTTGCTGGACCTTTTTTCTTTGGTAGTGGTATTTGTTGCTGCTACATCTTCCTTGGATCCATTTTTACTTTCGGATTTGCTGGTTGTTGCTTGCTCTTTGGTCTTCTTATTGTTCTTGCGCTTGTTCTTCTTCTTTTTTCGAGACTTGTTTTCACCCTTGTCCTTGTTGGCCGTGCTACTTGAAGCTTTGGAAGAATGTGTGGTGTCATTTTTGTCTTTGTTACTGTTGCTTGTTGATAATGATGATTCAGTGAGTGGTTGTTTCATATCATGAGACACATTTTCCTCCTTGTGATCCTGCTGTTTTGTTGAAGTGACTACATTGCCTGTTGTTGTCAAACTAGTGCTTTCAGCATGTACAGGTATAAAATCATGATCATCATCCATTTCATCATCTTCAGTATCAATGGTAATAGTCATTCGTTTCCTTTTTCTTCCTAGAGAGACCTCATAATCGTCGTCATCGTCGTCATCATTGTCATCATCGTCATCATCATCATCATCATCGTCGTCATCATCATCATCATCATCATCAGAAGAGATCCAAGAGGGAGTTTTGCGTTTCTTTCTTTGGCTATTGATACGTACAGGTATATCAGGACTGGAAGGAGTAGAAGAGGTAGAATCATCAAGATCTTGAATATCTGAATCATCATGTATATCGGTTGTAAGATCCACGCAATCTTCGTCGTTGGATTCATCACTGTCATCGATTACTTGTGTCATCATTGCATCGTCTTGATTGTAGTTGTCACTATCGTCATCGCTGTCACTGCTGTAGTCTTGGTAATTATTGGGGTTATCATCAGAACTATATAAAAGAATAATTTAAAAGATTAAACATTGGATAACTATCGCCATTATATACAACATATCATATTGTACTTACTCTTCGTATTCGACATGATCATCATCCACAACAAAGTCCAAATCAGAAACACTGTATTCTTCAGCATCATCGTCAGATTCTTGATCAGAGTCGACTAACACGGGCATACTTTGTTCTTGATTGATTTGAAACTGAAGTCCGCAGTTCGTGCAATCACCATCAGGTTCCAGTTCAGTAAAACAAGAGGAACAACGAGCCCTACATTAATAAATATATATATATATATATATTATTGAGTCCAAAAATAATCCACATAGAAATATTTTTTTTTTTTTTTTTTTTTACTTACACGCCATCGTCGCGATCGTCAAAATAACCCAGAGGATTGTGGTTTGGAAATAAATCCTTCCATAACATCATATTTGCTGCGCCAGACGTGTTGGAGGATGTCTCTTTGCCAACAATACTTTTGAATGCAGTGACTAAACGATAAGATATATAAAAATAAAAAAGGTCGAAATTAATATAAAATGTAGAAGAAGAAAAAAAAAGTTTGTTTCAAAAAGTATTTTCTTACCTAGTTTCTGAAGAGCATAACAAGGACTAGGTTTTTTTGATACCACAATTCTGCATTCTGGACAGGATTTCTTCTTGGTTAACCATTGATGTAAACAAACTTCACAATAAGAGTGACCTATATAAAAAGAGTAAAAAGAAGATTTATGAATAAAATACTCAAAAGATCTTTAAGAAAAAAAACAACTTTACCACATTCCAAAGTATAAGGGGTTTCAAAGTATTCAACACAGATCAAGCAACTTAAACCTAAAAAAAGTATAATAAGTATTCACTACCGTTATATAGTAAAAACAAATCTATATTTATTTACCATCACTAAGTTGCTTACAAGCCGCCACCTTTTCCACAGTAGTTTGATCCATACTGTTTTTTTAATGAAAAAGAAAGAGAAAAAGAAAAAAAAAAAAAAAAAAAAGAAAAGGCGACATATTCGGCCATTAAATTAATTTTGTATCAAATCATTGCTATATTAAGTGTGTGGCATTTTGTTTCTTTTTTTTTTCAACTTCTTTCCTTTTCAAACCTATTTTTCATTTATTTCACCAAATGACAAACGAAACCCATCAATCTAATGCTACCAGTGTTATTCAACCTATTGATACTACCACAAAAATAGGTAAAACTACAAAACATCCTTATGGGGCAATTCCAGAATTTGTCAAAAAGTTATTTAGGTATGCAATTCATATTATATCTGCAAGTATTTATTGTCTTAAAAAAAAAAAAAAAAAAAAAGAAGCTCACCAATAGCAATTTCTTTTTTTGGAATAATGATAATGATGATTGTTAGGATGCTTGAAGAAAATGCCTTTCCTTCTGTGCTTCGATGGGGAACGAATGGAACTACTTTTGTTGTGGTGGACCCAAATGAATTCTCTAAATTGATTTTACCTCAACACTTTAAACATTCCAATTTTGCAAGTTTTGTCCGTCAACTGAACAAATATGACTTTCATAAAATCCGTCATAAAAATGATAGTCATCTATATGGGAAACAGGTAAAAAAAAAAAAAAAAATCGAATGATTATCAACAACAAATGAAATATAGTAATGAATCTTTCATTGTTATATATGAAATGATTTTGATTCATACGTCATAGGCTTGGAAATTTCAACATTCTCACTTTCAATATCAAAGAAAAGATCTTTTATATGGTATCAAGGTAGCACATCAATAATATTATATATATTTTCTAATTAATAACTTTATCTAATCTTATATTAAAATTAGAGGAAATCCACTAATAAACCAACACAACGATCATCATTAATACAATCAGTATCAAAGCGACAACAAAAACAATCTTCGTCAGCATCGAATAATAGTATGGACAAGATGTCATTAGATATAAAGGTACTGGTTCAGCAATTAACCGAGCTTCAGGAATCACAACCAACATTATCAAATAGACTCAGATCATTGGCTGGAAATCATCAATTGATGGTCGAGACTCTTTCAACTATTCAAACCACGATAAAGGCACAAGATGATTTTATTCGAAAGTTGCTGGCAGGTATACAATGATGATTTTTATATGACATTGCACGTGTCATTTTTTAACTAATTTTTTTTTTCATAGGTCCATCCTCCTTATTATGCGGGCATAACAAAGACAACGTCAATAATATTACAACATCATCAATAACGACAACAACAACAACTGAAAAAGAATCAACACATGGTTTACTTGAATCGTCATTTGATATAACATCAAAGAAACAACAAGCTAAATTAGCACAAATGACACAATGGGTGGAAAAACAACAACAACAACAACACTTTTCTTCACCGACGAATCATTCTGGTCAGGGTCCGTTACCTGTTCCGCCTATCATTGTGCCACCGACACTATCTGTACTTGGAAATCCTTCCATACCATCTGGTCTGCCTACTAATACAATCATCAATACCACCGCTCCAATATCCAACTTTATGTGTGCTACAACAGATCCTTCACTTCCTGATTTCCAGTGGTCAGTGGTACCTCGCATTTTATTGGCTATCAACGAGAACAATACTACACACAATTCCAAAGACCATCCACTCACACAATGGTTACATTCTTTTGGTTGTATAGTGGAGCTGGTAACTTTGAATCAATTAGTTCATTCGATGAACTCAGGAACCCGATATGATTTACTCTTTGTAGTAATAAAAAAAAAAAAAAAAGGAATGAAGTGTTGGAAGTAGATTCTTATTTAAACACTTTTTTTTTTTTTTTTTTTTGGTATTTTCTTAGAATGAAACCCTTCTCTCACAAAATATGACTCTATTAGATTTACTTCGACAAAAAGATCCATGGGTACCATTGATTTGTCTTTGTCAAGTCATATCTGATCAAGTACTTTCGGAATGGGTCAAACATGGTGTGACTGATATCCTATTAGCGAATCCTTTTAATCCCATGACTTTGTATCCCTTGGTGGACAAGTATTGTTCTCATATGAAGGCAAATTCTATGTAGATCATCACTCTATTTTTTTTTTTGGAAATAAACAACTCTTTTTTTTATTATTATTATTATTTTGTTTGACATCTCTGTTATTGTTTATTTGATCTTGTACACATCCCTATTTATGTGACACAAATGTGTTTCTATGAATCTATTTACTTTATCAATGCATATGCAGTATACATGACTTCAGTTTCGTTGTAAATCGATGAATGGATATCTCCATCCTTCTAAAAGATTATATTTGACTGTATCCATTTTCACAAGTGAAGAGGATTTTTTTTTTTTTTTTTTTTTTTTTTTGGTTGTTCTCAAAATTCAGAAAGAAAACACCATACCAAGTTGCTCATGAATAATAAAACTACAGATGATTTTCTTGTATAGAAAAAAAAATGTATTTATTTGTTTTATTAAAAAGATGATATAAGAGATGAATACACAAAAGATAAAAATAAGACTAATCTAGAATAAACTAATACTACCAAAAGAAAAAAAGGAGATGATAAACAAACAAGTATGTAACTGATTAGACACAACGAAGAGCCTCCTCTATACAATGGTTGATAAAATCTTTCCTTGGAGTCATGTCCATTCCAAAGTGACGGCCAAGTTCTTCCCTAACTTGTTTCTTCGTCATGGTTGTCAAATCTGCTGTAGTAGTAATCCTTTGCACTTCACGTTGTATATCTTCGTCAGGGATATCCATTGCTGTTAATGGTTGATGCTGTTGATGAGGATAAGGCGGTTGCTGTTGGTAGCTGAATTGACTTGGATTGTTCATCATTGGTGAAGATGGATAAAATGCTGTATTGTGAGCCACGAGAGGTGCCGTTGTTGTTGGATACATCATCATACTTTGGTGCGGTTCACTATAGACGGAAACATTACCAGGTAAAATGGAAGATGGGCGGAAGAATTGTTGACTTTGAGAATAACGTAACATACTGTTTGTATCCGATTGAAGTTGATGAGAAGGAGGTGGCGCCATTGAATATATCCCACTTGCAATCCCACTAGACATGGCTGCCATCATCTGTTGTTGTTGCTGTTGTTGTAATTGTTGAGATCGTCTTGAGGTTGCTGTGATATCAGTAATTTTGGTTTCCACCGAATTAGTTTCCCAAATTTCATTTTCATGATCTTTCCATTTCTTGAGAGGGATACTTCTTGGATCAAATCGACCTTCATCTGCTGGCATTGCTTTTTTTTGTCCACCTTCACCAACCACTACACGAGTATTTCCCCAAGAAAAGTCATCAAAATGCCAAAAGGAGTAGATCGGCATAAAGAATGAAAAGAGTGGAATAGCTAGAATATAAACAATCATCCATCCAATATGTTCCCACTTAAAAAAAAAAAAAAAAAAAAAAAAGAAAAACCATTTAGTCTGACCTGTAAATATATATATATTTTATATATGCTTACCTTTCGACGTAGAATAAAGATGATTGCTTGTAACCCATAGACACCACCAAGAGTAATGATAGAGATCATGGGTACTTGATTGGCGTCTGTGACCAAGCGGTAAATCAGATAAATCAAATAACATACGATAGCAGGCATGGTAAGTGTACTGAGAAGATCCAAGATAACAACAAATCGCATTGAAAAACAACAGAAACCACAAAGTTGAGGTAAAAACATCAATTCACCCAGGTTGTGAATAGTCGAATTGATCCATCGCCGACGTTGAGATAACAATATACTCCATCGATCAGGAGCATTCGTAAGACAGCCCGCGTCCGCCGTAAACTTCGTCTTGTATGTAGGAAAATGCTTGAGAATCAAAGTAGTCAAATACCGATCTTCACCTAAATGTAACAGATTCTTTTGATGAAGAGTATTGACCCGATTTTCAGAGTAATCTTGAATCACTTGATTGCTGATCAGTAAAGGTTGTTGTTTAGCTGGCGATCGCACACGATACATACAAAAACATCCGGGAAGACAAGTCACCGATCCAAACAAAGATTCAAATGCCTTGGCCAAGAAATGAGAGATATAGTATTCATACACCTGAATCATCGTCACCCAGCTATCCTTTTCATTTGCCAGTTTTGTTTCCCCACATAGTCCCACAATCTTTGAATCGTGTACAAAACAGGAAACCATCCGATTTAACGAGTCAGGAAGAACTTCAGTATCAGCATCCACCATGAGCACAAATTCATAAAAGCTAGGATTCACACCAATAACGTTCTTGATTTGATGATACATTTCCAATTCCATAGGAGCCATGGCAGATTCAAAATGTACCTTGTTCAAAAATCGTAAAAGCACCATTTGAGAATCACGTTTGCCTCGATTACCAGGTTTCTGTCGCTCACCAGGACCACCTACTTTGACTACCACCAAATAAGGCACCACATGACCAGCACATTCATACAGTCCAGAGTAGATCTTTCCCATATTGTGTTGTTTTGCACCTTCACCTAGCGAGAAAAAGGAAAGAGGTTCAGGATCGACATTAGGATCTACACCTAAAATATCCAAAACAATACGAGGCGTCGGTCGATCATTTCCACTACCAATAAGCATACCATCACAGACTAGTAAAATCAATTTGCGCTTATCATCATACCGTAAAACAGCAATGGAATCAATTGTTTTCCGTAATGATTCTTCGCTTTCTGTATAGCATGGGACTTGACATACAATAAACTTGTCATATTCTTCAGGTTCACGTTGAGTTCCTAACTGAAGAGCTGCCAAAAATTTGAAGAGAATCACCGCACAAAGGAATCCAGTGACAATGAGTAAAAAGTATTCAGAGAATTGACATTGGAAGGATCGCCGGGTATCGACCTTGCCTACAAAAAATAAATTGCGTAGACAGACTAGTTGACGACTGCGAAGCGCTTCATCGATGGGAAGTGCGTCAAAATGTTTTGAGATATCTGTGCCCGCCAATTGTCGAAAGAGTTCCACAATACCATTGTCCATAAAGTTGAGATTGATGTTCCCACTCAGAGGTTGTCCTTTTGGCGCACGAGGAACACGACCGCCCATAAGATAGTAAGTCAGATCATAGACATCACCATGAAGAATAGCCCATTGTCGATGAGTTGAAATGTCACCTACATTCACCACGTTTGTTGCTTGTCGTAGGATGTCGCGTGGTTCATATCCCATAAAACCAAGTCGATAATTTTTTCGCATATACACCAGCTGTTCAAAATACCAATCAGGGCGATAATCATTTGTAAAGTAACGGAAATCATGATAAGCAGCATTCTTGTCTGTCAAATTGACTTGGAAATCCAACACCACTTCTTCAGAGACATGACCATCCGTCCCATCACATAGAGCAGATACTTGAAGTGGAAAAAGATTGGTAGCATCCTTGCCAGCATAATCAAAAATAGCGTCTTCAGGAATAACTTCTGATGCCCAATGATGAGGAGCAAATTTGGTAAGATCAAATACTTCGCCACGTATAGCCACATATGCACTATCCTTGTCAGATTTGCCTTGTAGTTCATTAGAGGAGAAGACATCTTGATGAGGACAAATCAATGGACCGAAAAAGATAATGAATACCACCATTGAAGCAGACATCAGAAATATGAGAATACATAGAGTCACCTTTTCACGCCAAGCCAACCGAATATCCTTTCGCTTCATGCCACCACACCAGTTCAAAAAGGGAGAAGGCACCCACCACGTTAGTAACCACACTAGGATCAGCCATTTACGTCGAGCACTAGTCATTCGATGGACATCTTCATCTTCCGGTATAATATCAGCTAAACCACCATTGGGACTTTTATGTTGTTGTTGATGTTGTTGACGTTGTTGTTTTTCATCCATCATCATCATCATCATTGGTGTAGAATGTATATCGGACACATAATTCTGCGGGGAACTGTTGTCATCCATATCATATGCATCTTCAGATACTGCAGAGGAATATTGATCTTCATTAAAGGAATAACCATCATAATTATCCCGCCGAAGCATTGGTGACAAACCTATATACATAACAAAATATAAAATAAGATACTTGTTTAGTTGTTTGTCTCTCTTTTTTTTTTTTTTTTTTTTTTTTGTATTATTACCAGTTGGAGAAGATTTATTCTTCTTAGATTCAGCTTTTTCCAATCCACGCAAGTCGTACTCCAAAATACAAAAAGCTTGATTTGATAAGTAAATCTAAAAAAAAAAAAAAAAAAAAAAGAAAAAAAGTAAGAAAACTTCTCATTTTAAAATAGACATACTATTTTTCTTACCTTTTCGCGACCAACGCCTACTTTAGATTCATTCCATTGTAATGACTGAAAGATGGAAATACAACGATCTCGTAGAGCCAAAGTATTATCAATAGGAGCACCAGTAGTAATTGGAAGAGAAACACAATACCGATCCCAAAAGTCTTGTAAAGAAAAAACCGTATTGTAATAAACTTGGAGGCGTTGGGCTAAAGCTGATAACTTGAATGCAATAGTTTGACTAGTTAGTTTCCGGGCATCACAGGAATAAGCCAACATCATATCATTAGGTCGCATACACAAAACAAACCAAGGAACTGTTGATTGAAGTACTTGCTGAAGTTGTTGAACACCCAGTAGTAGTTGATCACCCATTGTTGGTACGTGATCCCAGGTGGGAGAAGAAGGTGATGACAAGGTTGGTGGGCCACCAGTCATGATAGGTGTACGATGTTGAGGTAAAACACCACGCTGAGTAATGTGAACGCGGTTGTTATTGGTTGCATCATCGCCAATACTAGATTCACTAAATACAGTCGCCAAGAGCCCATTGGTTGTTGGAGTATTGTATGCATTTCCTCGGAATAAGGTCACAAAGTCGCTACAAAGGTAATCTTCATTTCGTTCGGTAAAACCAGATGGATCATAATTGACAGGCCCCCAATAATGTTGAATAGTGAATGAGTTTGCATGATTCGCCTTTTTGAATTGAACACCAGTGTCGTTACTTTTGTTAGCACTAATAAAATGATCCATCACTACATCATCTTTGGACCGTTGTTGTACACGACCAGCTTGAGTATTCAATATAGAGAAGATTCCTTTTGAAGGGTGATGAAAGGCATCCATGACAGCGTTGTTGTTGGTCGATTTTTCCATTTGATGACTTGCTGGTAAAGTTAATCCTTGATCTTGATAATCTTTCATATCGCGCTCAAAAATATTAACTAACATAGATTGATGTAAAGCTTCATTGACGAAATTCACAGTGAGATCATCCAAGGTTGCTGATTGAGAGAGTCGAATATTGGGTCCCCAACCATCCAAAAGAGCGATCCAACTATGAGCTGTTTTTTGTTGTTTCGATAACTTTGTATTGATATGTTCGACCATCCAAGAAAAGACCACCACATATAAGGATTGAGCTAAATCATCGCGTTGTTTTGAAGCCATGATAGGATCCAAGAATAAAGTAGTAATATCGCGTTTAATGAGTTTGCTTTTGTAGGTCAATGTGTTCAAGAGAGATTTTGAATCCACACCCAACAAATCGGCTATAATGGTGAGAGTATCCATATTCTTGACAACAGCAGCATCTTGAGCATTGACAGGGTCTTGACAGAAAATAAGATTTCCTAGGTGAAGAATGGCGGCTAATATCTGAAAGATTTGGACAATCATAGGACGAGAGAACCCTAAAATCTTGAAAGCTTGTTGAGCATTTTGATAGAGTTGAGTATCATCAATAGAAGCAGCACGCAAAGTAGAAGTATGAGCCAAATACATCATATTTGAACCATCACCAGATAATGCCAGTCGTTGTTTTTCTTCCAAAGGAGCAGCCAACATTGCATAAAAGATATGAAAGTTGCGTTCATCTTGAGGAGCTTGTGTAATCCTTGATTTGTCCAAAAAATAGGGTAAATGTTGAGCACCTATAACGCGACCCCTTTCAGAATAATAAAGTTCAATATATTGAAAGCAACGTGAAGCGTTATCATGTACAGTTGATTTTGCTGAAGTCCAAAGATTGATTAGTATTTGAGCATATTGGAGATGTTGTTGTAGTTTCGTTTGCTTTTTATTTGATCCTAAAGCAACACAATGAGCCACAGCATGTTGAAATTGTTGTGATTTGCCACTAGCAGCTTCTCCACTAACAAGATTGAATGAACACGTACAAGGAGAAAGAAAAAAAAAAAGAAGACGAAGAAGAAAAAAAAAAAAAAAAAGGGAGGTCAAGCTTCTTTTATCACAAGAAATCCTGATTTTTTTTAATAGCCGCTGACAATACTTACCAAAATAAAATGGATTGATTTAAACTTGTTCTACGCATATGATGGTAAGCATGATTTACCAATTGATACAGATGAGGATCTTTTTGTTTAGATTGAGGATCTTTATATGCTACCAGATAATCATTACTGATATCCTGATCTAAAACTGGATTAAATGATATTAAAGCCGTATCTCCTATACTAGTGTAGAAGTGATCTTCCAAGTAGCGTTGTCGAAGAGTCTCGGCAATATGATCAGGCGATATGTCTGATAATTGAGTTAAATCTTGAATGGTAGTCATCTATTTAATATGATAATAAGAGGATGAATATTAGTTACTACTTTGTCTTTTTACTTGGAGAATTGCCCTTGATTTAAGATCTCAGCTTACAAAGGCATAAAGTCGTTTGTCTGTTATTTTTTTTTTTTTTGGATTTGATTTGCTACAAAAAAGAAAAAAAAGATAGATTATGATATAGTGAAAAAAAAAAGAAAATATGGTTTATGTGTTCAAGTATATACAGATGGAAGGAAAAATGATATTCAGTACAAGATAAAAGCTATATAAAAAAAAAAAAAGAAAGAAAGAAAGAGGAAAAGAGGAAAATCTTTCTCTTTGGTATATTTGCCTATACGTTTTGTAGTCTCCTTACCCATTAAAAAAGAACGTAAATCAAGTACTTCCCCCCCTTGAACATCCTTTATTTTTGTTTTTTTTTTTTTTTTGTCCCCTTTATTTCTCTTTTAGTAGCTCAGAGAACCCCTCGAAAACAAAATGCAAACATTTAAAAATATAAACAAATAGCGTTCATGTATTATCTATGCATCATAATATATAGCATTGGTAGATCATATACAATAACTCAATCTCCTGAAACTTTTTCATTTTTTTTTTTTTTTTCGTATCAGTTTCGATGCGTATATTATGGTGGGGAATAACAAATGTAAATCCTGCTCCACTGATTGTTAATTTGTGATTGGTTTATTATCTAGGTGTTGCATCCATAGTAAAAAAAAAAATAAAACTATAAATGCAATCACGACAAAAAAGAAATGCTGTATTGATTGAGAGATAATGAAGTAACAAACAATGTTAAAAAAATTACTGAGAGATGATGAAGTAATAAACAATGTTAAAAGAAAAATCACAACGTTGTCATTAGAGGCAATCGTGTCATTAGATGAATTGTGATATACTATAGTAGTCATCTATCATACCATCATACCAATATCAATAATAATCATGATGATGGCAATAATGTGTAATACTTTCACTTCAATGTATGACGGCTTACATCATACAGTCTTTCGGTCCGGATGCGCGGATTTTTGTCACTCTAATAAAGGAAGATTGATCAAAAACAAATTAAATGAAAAGGACACTCCTTTACCACGGTAAAAAAAAAAAAAAAAAAAAAAAAAGACGTGTATTGGAATTGACTAGCCATCAAGGAAAAACTGGTGATCATTTTTTAATAAGCAACGAAAAAAAAAAACAAACTTAGAGAATCATTTCTTTCCCACTTTTTTTTCACATTATATCAGCAAGGTCAGTTGTGCTACTGCTACTTAAGAAAAAGGGTTCATCAATCCCCTGTTTCTTTATATCATTTCCCAAATAGGATCAGAAGGGGATTGCAAAGTCAAAAAGTTTAATCCCGTGTTACCATAAGCAATCATTCATTATCTGAAAGAAGTTCTTTATTCCTTGAAGATTAAAAGAACTTTATTCAGAATTGTAATACAAAAAAAAAAGGCTTTGGATTGTATTCTTCTTCTTACCTAAGTAACGATCAGAGCTTGAAAGGGTTTATCTCTACTTGTGCGAATGTTCCCAAGAAGATCGGGGAAACAAAAAATTTTACCCGTTTAAAATCCTTTTTTGGGTCCATCATCTTCCTTCGCCTCAGGGCGGTTATATAAAATAAAAAAAAAAAAAAAAAAGAACCAATCCTTCCTTTCTTTCCTTCTTTCCTTTTTTTTTTTTTCTTCTTCTTCTTTTATCTTCCTCTTGCCATTTTTAGGTCGATCATTCATCAACATCAGTAATATGGTATCACATCTCGATAGTAAAGGCAGCAGTTATACCACAAGTACCATCAGTAATGGAACATCCGAACATACGCTATCATCACATTCTTATATGGAGGATCCACTTGGTTTATCTCTTTTGAACGAACAGTTAATGGATGATTTAGCTATCATTGATGATTTATATGATATTTATGGTCAAGAATTAGATTGTCCCGGTAATTTTTTTTTTTTTAGAAAAAAAAAAAGATCATTAAATTTCTTCTCAATATAGACAAAGAATCAGTGGCTATGATAGCTAGAAATGTCGCCAACAAACATAAAGTTCTTCAAGACCTTTATCAATCTGAAATCGACTATATTCACGATTTGACACATTTCCAACAACATTATATTCATTTTATCTCACAATGGTTGGATGATCCTATTCATCATAAAATCGATAAACCATCAGCAAAGCCGCTTTTTGTTTATCAAGATTTGATTTCTATTCATCGCCAGTTTTTACGAAATTTGAATGAAAGGTAAAAAAAAAAAAAAAAAAAAAAAAAAAAAAAAAAAAAAAAAAAAAAAAAAAGATCCAGTGGTTTGTTTATGTGTTACTCTTTTTTTTTTATCACGTTAGACTGAAGATTTGGGGACCCACACAACTTGTTGCTAATCTGTTTGCCAATCTTGTAAGTCATCTATCAAAAATCACATGATATTCCCATTTCTTTATTGACATCGACATTTTTTTTATATATATTATGATGATGATGATGATTTTATAGCGTTCCATGCTTGATGTGTATCATATCTACTTTTCCAATTATTCCAATATCATGATGACTATTAGTAAATTATACTCTTTTACTCAATTCAACAAATCATTAGAGGTCCGCAAAATTTTTCTCACGGGATGAAAATGGAATGATAAACTAACTTTTTCTTTTTTGTCTTCTTTATAGAGTCATCATCATACTGGTACTACTGATCAACCTACTCATGATCTCTTATATTACTTACGTTTACCCATTTTCCGGATACAAGCCTATACTCAAGCACTCGGTCTTTTGTTACAGTTCAGCGATCCTTCACATATTGATTTTGAAGCCTTGACTTCAGTCTCACTTTCCTTCAAACATCTTATGTCTGAATTACAAGAAAGGTAAAAAAGTTCATGGTGATTCATTTCATATAAATCTCAATAATTTTTTTTTTAAAAAAAAATTAGAATGGTGGATGCTCAAACTCATTTTCAGGTACTGGAAGCTTATCGTACTATTAACAATTGTCCTGTACAAGTAACTCCAACGCGACGATTATTATTGAAATCCCGGATGATCAAAGTAGATTTGGATGATTTGACTTCAGTAGCCGATGTACGCACCTATATACTTTATAATGATCAACTTATTTTTTGCAAAAAGGATAATAGCAACAAAAAACAACAGCAACAAATGACATTACAATACAAAGGTGATGTGGATTTGATTCATTGTGATCTTCGTGTATTATCACCCGCAGTATGTGCCAAGATGGTAGAAGTGAAGCGTTCGGTATTATCTTCTTTCCGCTCCTCGAAAAAGACATCCGCGGATAACACAATCGTACCACCATCACCTGCATATGGTTTTGAACTCATCACTTCAGAAAACTCGATGGATATCATGCCTAACAACTCTCAAAACGCTTCTTCTGCTACTAGTGGTGCACCAACGAAACGTCGACATATCATTCGCACTCAATCATTGGAAGAACAAAAACTTTGGGTAGATACTTTGAAAAAGGTCATGCAACATATTAGATGGTTACAAGCAAACAACAATAATTAATTGCTGGACAACTTGGTTATTTTATTCATCATTCATTTCATTCATTCATTCATTCATTTATAATGGTAGTAGTAGTAGTAGTAGTAGTAGTAGTAGTAGTAGTAGTAGTAGTAGTAGTAGTAGTAGTAGTAGTAGTAGTAGTAGTAGTAGTAGTAGTAGTGTTAGTATTTATTATTTTGTACAGATTCCTTTTTTCCTTTTTTGTGATTTTTTTTCCTACTGTTATTTTTATACCCTACTTTCAGCCCCATTTTTTTTTTTTTTTTCACTTTAGATAATCTTTATTTGAAATAAAAATCATTATACTATCTATTATATACTTTGAAAAAAATTTTGTTATTTTGATGCGATCAGATCGATTTGGAAAACAGACGATCCGTCCCTCCCCATTGCTATCTGAGGTGATACAAAGTTAACAGTTGTGGAGTGGAAAACCAAAGATGGTAAAGGCTAACGTTGTCCCTCGGAAAATGATGGCTCCCCCAAGAGTCATTACCAACAAGAAAATAAGCTTCCTTCCATATCAGGCAACGGATCACTTATGCGGTGTTGTTTCATGTTTTTCCGTGCTTCGAGTTCAATCTTACAGTGCCTTGATATCTTCCGCTCTTTTTTTTTTTTTTTTTCTTGATGTCTCGATTGACTAGATGATAAAATATCATAAACTTAATTAAAATATAAAAACTCAAAAAAAAAACTGGAAATCATAAGTATGTATTACACAAGTTATAAAAACGTCCCTCTTTTGAGAATGTAAGAATCAATTATATTAAACATTTAAAAAAATAGTAACACAATGAACAAACCATATCTAATGTAACTTCTTTTTGTCAATATGTTTGTCATCCAAAACTTTAAATCATCTCCAGTAATGATGAAAGGAAATAAGGAATTTGAACCATACCAAAACAAAATAAAATAAAAGAGTATCCTAAGAAAACTATAATTCATTTTATTTTGCTTATCTAAGCTAAATACAATAAATAAAACAACTACTCTAATTCAAATAATGTTTCTTGATCAATCATCCACCTTGTTCGAATATCTTTTTCCATCATCAAGCTTGTCCAATCTAATAGATCTTGATTAGTCATCGTTCGATTGAAATGTTGTAATCCATATAAAAATAAATCTATGTTTGTCCAAGGAATAAAACAAAACAAAACAAAAATAAAATAGAATAAATTTCTCCATGTCATTCAATTTCTTTCCTTTTTTTCTCTCTCTGTTTTTACCTTTGGACCATGGACAAGCACGAACAGACCGATACAACAATGTTTTGGCCTTATCCATATTTCCCAATCGTAATTCATGTTCAATATAAAGCTTCCATAAAAGAATGGATGCTCTGGTCCTATAAATGAAACATCATACTGTCAGTTTTCCTTTTTTTTTTCCTCTATTGTAAACGGCCTTTTTTTTCCTTCTTTTACCTTGGATGTTCAACAGCTTCTTCAAAAATAGTTCTTATCAGATTAACATCATAAGGTTGCTGCCTATGTAAATGGACAAATGTATATCCCAACCACAGAATAATATTCGGATCCCTATTGTATCAAAACAAGAAGATATTAAAAGATGAATGCAACTAATCATCCATTTTTTTTTTTTTTTTTTTGGTCATCTCTCTCTTACCTTTCCAGATTTCTTGTAAAAAAGTCCTGTACTCGATTATATATCCATGTTCTTGATTCATTCCACATAAACAATCCCAAAAGTATCGTGTTATTAGGAAACAGCTCTAATCCACTGGAACATGCTTGCCGTAATAACCCTGGTCGATATCCATTTTCTTTTCTTTTCGTTGAATGTCGATGTAATAGTTCCACATAAGCTACCCATACCTTTTCACTGAAAAATCCACGTTCGATATGATGTTGCCGAAGATAGTCCAAAAGATCTTCGTACACTTGTACAGCTGAATCTATACTATCCACAAGATAAACAAATAATCCATAACAAACCAATGACTCATATGCCATTGCCGTTGTAGTTGCATTATCCGTTTCAGTCAAGTGCTGCCTAGTCATGTTACTCTCTTGTTTAAAGTACTATTGATATGAAATTGATGATGAGGACCCCTTATATTCGTCACATACTTATATCTTTCACATATCCTTTTGACACTTACCTCTTTTGCCTGGAGAAGACGTGATTTCGTAGGACGATCACTGTTCTCAACTAATAAATTATAATGAAAATAAAGAATTGAATATTCATAAAACTAGTTTCATTTTCGTTATTGATTTACCATATTGATCACCAGTTGCTAAAGAGAAAATGATATTCAATGCTTCTTCAGGTCGATTGTATTCCAATTCCATTTGTGCATACATTCGATACAGTAGTGGTATATTTCGACGTTCATTTGGAGAAAAATCTTTTGCTGCTGTAAGAGCCAATTGGTATACTTTGCGCGCCTAAAAATTTAACATTTGAAATATAAAGCCAATATTACATGATCATTAATGTATATCCTTTCTCTTTTATCATCCGAGTCACTAGACTTACTTCTTCCGGTCGATCATGGCTTTTTTCCATTTGAGCATAGGCATTCCATAATTTGATATTCGTTCGTTGATCGTTCAAAAGCCGTTTTGCCAATTTGCGTCCACTACACATATATGGATATATTGAAAAACGATGCATGAGTTTCATATTCTTTCTATATCCTATTCTTTTCTTTTTTGTTGTTGTCATTTACGCTTTATATCCATAACTAGATTCAAACGAGAGGTAACACATTGCGAGATGAGAATCATTTTTCTCTATATTCAGTAACTGTTCAAAAGCATATCTACAAAAAGAAATAATATCAGATTAATAAGCATACTATACATCAATCATACTTCGTACCTTGTAAACTTGATTTCTTCTTCGTTTGTCAAGTATTGCTTGCCAAGACAGTGGAACCATTGATCATGCCTTGCGAACAATTCTTCAACATTCACAGGATAAGAGACTGGCATGGAGAATGGAGTTTGCTGACTTTGTTGCTTTTCCTTCATAGGTACACCATCTACATAGCATATCTGATGTTGCTGTTTTTCGACAGACGGCCAGTACCCTTCAAGGTATAGATCATTGCGAGTAAAAGTATCCGTACTAAAATGAGTGTTGGTACCGACACCAGGTGGTGAATAAGGAAGACCAAGAAAAACGAAGATGCTATAAATAAGACTTTTTCGTGCTGCTTCAGTTGTAATGTTGAATAAGATATTTGTAACATCCTCTGATAATACCATCCGAAAGGGATCATCATCGATAGATATTTGTTCAGTATCTATAGAGTACAAAATAATTAGGCTCATACCGAATCAATCATACCTTTTTTTTTTTTTTTTTTTTTTTTTTTTTTTTTTTTTTTTTTTTTTTTTTTTTTTTTTTTTTTTTACCTTCCATTCGTCTAGGTAGTACATGCCTTTTTTCTTGTTGCTTTTCTTGCTGGAGCCAATCTTCAATGGTTTCGACTATTAAGACAATAGAAAAAAAAAGTTATACGAACGGTGTGAACTCCTTTAAGCTTTTTATCATTACTTACTATCATGTTGCATGTGGTCATTCTCAGAATGCTTAGGTGTTACAGTTGGTATTTCCTCCCCATCTAAATCCAAGAAAATAGAAGGAATTTCAATATATATATAAATATTCATTTCGTATGCTTCTACTTACTTTGCCTTTTTTCGTAATATATATGCCATCCTTTTGCTTCCTATGTAGACGAAAAATTAAAAAGAAAAGTGAGATGAAATCATTCTTTTTCTCTTCTTTTTTTTTTCTAGTTTACCGGTTCTCCAAATCTTGGTACTTCGCTATCCCAGAAATCGGCAAAATCAGCTATCATTCTTGAAAGTGATATTGATGAAGACATTTGATAAAACAACGGTTGGAATAGACAGAACTCTACCAGGGCTTGAATGGAAGCAAATGCTCTTTCTTGATATCCTATATTTATTAGTGAAATTGATGATAGTGAATATCCCATTATGTCCATGTATAACGCCTATTGAACCTTTTTTTTTTTTTTTTACCTGCTTGTTTCATAAAAAGACATAAACGCAATACTACATAAACCATCAAAGATTCGATATTTTCGAGTTCTACAAGATCGTAATCAGAAAATTAATAATTAATTGATTAGACAGTTACAACTTTCTCTATAGTCCCACCCACTATATGAATAATTCATATTATTACCTTCCAAATGATCTTGCTCGTTTTTGTTCTCTAGCTGGAGTTTCCTCGACACCATATGAAGAGTGTGTAAACAGTCTTCAAATACCTTGACACAATCATCGAATGAGTAACTTATAAAACTGGTTTGTCGTAGGTTGATATAATCTGCCCATAATCGAATAGAATTTGGATTTCGTGCAAGAGCCTTGTCCCATTTTTGTAATTTTGTCACCGTACTATAGAAATAATAATAATGATGATAATGGAAGACATAGAGGTAAGTTCAACAATAAAGAATGATCCCCATCTACTTACTCCCAAACATCTTCACCACATCGTAAATAAGCAAGCCATAAATCTTCATCTTCAGGATTGTGTTCCAGCGCCTGATCAAAAATACAGAGCTTGATGACATTCATCGAGTTTTTATTTGTCCTTGATTGGTTTTTCATTTCCATACCACGTCCACTTGCAATTTCATCCTGAAAGTCGATATATGCAAGCCAGTTCTTCACATTCGTTGGATCCTACAAAAGGAATTAAGTGAGCATATCAATAAATAATAATTGATTTGCTCTGTACCTGTGATAATTCATTGTTGTATTGCACTGTTTTGTTTCGCACGTAATTATCAAATGTTCCTATATCTTGGTTTATATCCTGTCTTGTCGTATCTGACTTCCCTTCAATAGTACGATAGTCTAATCCACTAGAAACAAATTGATGCGTCTCATCATCACGAGCTATACCATCCATTTCGTCCATATCAGCCATATCCACAAAATCAAATTGACTAGAAAATATATTGTCATCTACTTCGGTTTTCGGTCGAACTAACTGCCTACTCAGAAAGAATATATATATATATATATATATATATGCGAGATAAGTACCATACGAGATGTACGCAAGTTGAATTCCTACGAGTTGATATTGCTTTACCTATCACTTGGCCAATTCACATCACGTCCAATCCGAGGTAATAATTGTTTCTATACGCCCCCAAAAAGTAAAAATGAACAAAAGTGAGTTTCATGTTTCCTTCTAATACATACTTTGATGAATGATTTCTTACCGATGATTTTGTTTTTTGGATAATGTCGAGAGATTTTCCAGCTTTGGCACTTTCAGGGTCAATCACACTTGACTGCGACAGTCCAATCACTCTTCCCCCTTGATATTGAGAAGTATGTTTGTAAGTTAAAAGAAAGAATGGAAGATAATATTAATAACATTTCATCGAGGATCAAGAGTCACAGGCATTTTTTTGTTCTTTTTTGGTGAAATCACTTACGTCCAGAACGATGATAAATAGGAGTGGTATACAAATTGGGACCATATTTGAGAGTCTCAGGATCACCTCTTTTGTCAATGTAAAAAGCCAAACCAGATTCCAACTTGTCACTATTTTCAACGTATAAGGATAAGTATATGGAAATGCATATAAACACGTCTTTTTCAACTTACTACGGTGGTGGAGATGGTGAGCGTCTTGAAGATCTCTAAAAAAAAAAAAAAAGAAAAAAAGAAAAAAAAAAGAAAAGAAAAAAAAAAAGGAGAGAGAGAGAGAGGAAAAAATAATAAGCATTCAGTATTTATATCCAACAGTGAAACGTTTCTTACTTCTTTTGATCGCTTTCGTTTCCTAGGAGACTGAGATCGAGAACGCTGGGACTTGGATCGATGGTGACGAGATGGTGATGGGGATCGCGAACGTTTACGAGAATGACGTTGTTTTTGTCGTCGTCGATAAGAAGGTGATTGTGATCGATCGCGTCGAGGACTACTACTACTACGATTTTTTGTTTCTTTTTCTCGATGTGATGCCTGCTTCTTGTCAGTTTCATTCAAATCTAATCAACAAAATAAAAATAAAAAAAGGTAAATCGTTATGATATTTTTTTGTTAATAAAACTATTCTTTGTCGAATTACCTTCTAATTGTGGAGCACTTGCAAACGAAGGTGTTGGTATTTCTTTAAAGATATCAGGCGCGGTCTTGAATGAAGGCGGAGGAGGTATGCTTGGAGATCCCTATCGTATATAACGATTTTTTTTTTTTTTAAAAAAAAAAAAAAAGAGAACAATATGTTAGTGGTATAAAGTAAATTACTTAGTTTGAAGGCTTATTATGTATTTAGATAATCAATTGTATCTTTTCTAATTACCATGTTGTTGGAGAATATAATCAATGAATACAAGAATATGTTAAACGAAAAAAAAAAAAAAAAAAAAGGCAAGAATCAAGAATCGATTATCCTTTGTACAAAGAAATTGATTTCCATCTCCGAAGAGACGAGAGTAAAACGTTTGGATTGAAATAGTTTTATTTTTATTAAATGCAAAATATGTAAAATTATACAGTAAAAGATGATATGGATTATAATAGGGGTAATATATAAACTAGTAATAATCAATGTCGCTGGATTCTTCATATCCATATTCTAGTTATATATATATATATAAAATCAAATCTTAGTGTACATTCATCATATTCTTTCATTTGAATTGATTGGCTTACGTTCTTCATAATCTTCATCACTATCTTCTTCATCAGGGTAATCATTTTGATAAAAATCTTCAGCTATACAAATAAGGAATTAGTATAAGAAATTGTCTGTTTTGAAGGTTTTTACTATCTTACCATTGGAATCTTCATCTTCAATATCCCCAACTTCACTGTCAGTGTCATCGTTCAAGTATTCAGTGTCTTGATCGAACCATACCCTAAAAAAAAAAAAATTACATATATATATTTAAAATCGTTCTTTTTTCTCTCTAATATAATTTATACTTACAGAGAGCCAACGTTAGGTCCAGCAATACCAGTAGCAGTAAGATCAGTTGATTTATCACAGTAATACACATCATACACATAATCATCCTCTTCAGGTTCTTCTTCCGTCCTGTCATTCACTAAAAGAAGTCCTATCAGTTTTTTTTTCAGTTATTACTGTTTTTCACTTACAAGTGAGGTATTCCTTCACCATTGGAATAAAATTGCACATAATATCATCGGGGTTTTCTTCTTCATCATCTACGAATAATCTAGTAACAATAATAAAATAAATAATTAATAGATGAAAACAAATTATCTATTTCAATATAATCTCTTTTCTAAATGTTCATACTTTGGTCCAGGTTCACGTTTTTCATCTTTCACAGCTTCATACATTTGGAATAAATCTTCGGCTGCTTTTTCTGATGAGCTTTGAACACTGTAAAAAAAGAATATAAAATCAAAAGGATGAATACATCTCAGGAGGGATGTTGTATACATACACAGGTGGTATATTCTTGTCTGATTTTGATCTATTCTGATTAATCACTCGGTATCTGGCTTGCTTTGCGTTGTTCTAAAAAAGAATGAAAAAAAATATGATATGTAAGAATACAAAGAAATATATATATATATATATATATGTTGAGTACATACTTGTAAAGTTTGTGTTTTCTTATCGCGTTTTGCTTCAATGTCTTCAGTGTTTACATTTTGTTGATTTCCAAGGAATGAACGTCGACTAATACGTTCCTACAAAAAAATACACAACAGATAAATCAGTTTTATTCATTAATGATTATAATAATTAAAAATAGGTATACCTTCAGTTTCTTTGCTTCCTTGATATTCTTAAAACTATCTTCTTCTACAGTCTCAGCCAAACGAAAGATCCTAGGTAAAGCCATTGCAGATACTAATATTTGAGGCAGAGTAAAAGTTAGTTGTTTTTTTTTTTTTTTTTTTGTGATTGTTACTTTTACCTTTAAGAGTTGAATTGTTTGTCAAACTATTCTTTCGTAAACGTTTATCATTCTTGACATCAGGTAAGTCTTGATGTTGTACCACTATGGAGATTAATCGTATAAAAAGTATAAGAGAAAGAAGTATAGATAATAATTTACTTACGCAAAGCATCCAAGGGTTCTTCAGTCCTTTTACGTTTGATTCTTAACAATAATTGAGGAGCTTCCTTTTGTTGATCCATCACTTTTTAATAGTATATGAAAGAAAAAGAAAAAGGGAGGCAGCTTTTACATTTCAAATAACATATTCGAAGCGGAGTATCAATCGAGGCAGTCCAGTCAAGTATTTTGAACAAATTTTCGCACTTTTTTTTTCATTTTTTTCCTCGCACTCTCTCTTATTTTCTTTCTATTTTTTTGCTTCTCTTTATTATAGTTATACCCTGTTGTTTTTTATATGACAGACCGTTCTCAATCGCTTTTATCCTTCCCTGATGTTCATAAATCGTCCATGTCTCGCGGTACCAACAGCAATCGAACAAACCTCCAGACATCGACTTTTGACGAAAGGTTAGACACATAAATAATAATAATAATAATAATAATAATAATAGTATTAATAATATTAATAATAATAATAATAATACATTAATGGTATTCGTTTTATAATTATTGTAAAATATATTGAAACTAACCAAACTTTTATTATTTTTGACGTTTGATGATAACTTTTATAGTTCTTCAGTTGAATGTGCACCGGAATCACCTACACTTCCTCCCGATATGACTCAAGATGAAGGTTTTACCGACATTGCTAATGGAGACGAGTTGAAACTAGGACAACCTGAAACTACTCAGACATATGTAGCATCATCACCATCTTCAAAACATAGTCATATTCGCAGTAATCACAACTTTACAAACACAGGCTTATCAGTCAACTCGGATAGTACAATTTCTGGACAAACTACTTGTAAGTTTGGTGAATAAAATGTAGAAAGGATAAAAAGTCTTTTTATATACTGGACATTTGATAACTAGATATATATATTTATATATGTATACTCATTATACCTCTTTTTTTTTCCGTCAAATTTTAATGTTTTTTTTTTTTTCTAAAAAAAAAATATGATTTTATTAGCTATAGCCAGTCAAAATGTATCACCACTAACAAGCGGATCTTCGGGACATGATCGTAATAGATCAGGATCAGCATCACAAGCATCATCAAAAAGACGTCCTAGTCATACTAACCTTCGTCATACATCATCATCCACAGCCTTACAACAACAACAACAACAGCAACAACAGCAACAACAACAGCAACAACATCATCATCATGGTGTACGATCCAGTCGACGACAGTTACATTTATCAGATCATATGGCAGCTGCGATAGAACTTAGTACTAGTCCAAATGTACCTCCTGCTCCTGCTGCTGGAATGTATTGGTCAAGAGCTATATCTTTTGGTCGTGGTCCTTCTCGTCCTTTACGAGCTCATACTTCTAATTTGATTGGTGAACATTTATATGTATTCGGTGGTTGTGATATTAAGGCTTGTTTTAATACATTATATATTCTGGATATGGGTAAGTATGATATTGATGTGAAATAGGATAATTTTTTGATAATTTATTTTATTTTTATCAAAATTAAATAGATACATTGACATGGTCTAAACCAAGGACTACTGGCGATATTCCTCCACCTTGTCGTGCACATTCTTGTACAACTGTAGAACATGATGTGGGTAATGGAAGACGTGTCCCATTTCTTTATGTTTTTGGTGGTGGTGATGGACCCAATTATTTTAACAATCTTTATGTGTTGAATACTGGTAAATAAAAAAAAAAAAAAGAAAGAAAGAATAGGGAAATTTATTTATTTATTTTTTGGATAGAAACATTTACTTGGACAAAACCAAACACTGAAGGTATACCACCTTCTCCTCGACGAGCTCATACTACATGTTCATGGAATAGCAATATCATTGTTGTTGGTGGTGGAGATGGTGCTCGTGCTTTGGCTGATGTACATTGTTTAGATTTGGCAGACCCAAGTCGTCCGGTATGGTCACAAATGGAACCTTCGGGTACGGCTCCTATTGCAAGAGGATATCATACAAGTAATTTGGTCAAGGATAAATTGATCGTTTTTGGAGGTAGTGATGGTCATGAATGTTTTAGTGATGTATTTGTATTGGATCTAGGTAAAATATTATTATTATTATTTATGATTTATTATTAATCTATTATATTTATGTTAGTGGCAAATAAATGGAGTCAAGTAGATGTAGATCGTGCAATACCTAGATTAGCTCATACTGCAACACAAATTGGATCTTATATATTTGTCATTGGTGGACATGATGGCAATAGATATTCAAATGATGTTTTATTATTGAATCTTGGTAAATTTATTTTTTTTTTTTTCATTTAATATTAGATTTGTTTGACTGACTATATATATATATATTTATTAGTAACAATGAGTTGGGAATCAAGAAAGATTTATGGTGGTGCACCATCACCTCGTGGTTATCATACAGCAGTTTTACATGATTCTAGATTATATATATTGGGAGGTTATGATGGAAAGAATGTATTTGAAGATATTTATCTTTTAGAATTATCTTCTTCTGCTTATTTATCTCAAATCACTAATTTTGATATTGATGTTTGAATATTTTAAAAATATTCTTACTACTTTTTAGACAATATAGATTCCTCTTTTTTTTTTTTTTTTTTCTTTTAATGTAGTATATATTTTTTTTTTATTTCTTCCTTCTTTCAATATAATAATAATAATAAAAAATAATATTCTTATAATCATTATTCAAAATCCCCATTAAGCGGTATCCAAAAATGGAAAGACCTAGTTTCAGTTCAGTTCAATCTTTTTTTTTTCCTTGGCTTCTTTTTTTTTTTTTTCTCTTTCTCTTTCTTTTCCTTTTTATATATATATATATATTTAGGTTTTTGAATCTCTCTCTCTTTTTTTTTTATTTTTTATATTTATTTCTATATTATCTTATCAACACATACTCACAATATATTAACATGAGTGGTAAAGGTGTTGTACGTAGTATGTAAGTGCACAGATTGAAATAATTCCAATATATTAAAGTAGACTAATATATATCATCTAACTTTTTATTATATAGTAAAAACTATGCAAAAGGGTTTTCAGATGTCCAAATCAAAGTACGAGAAGCTACTTCCAATGATGCCTGGGGTCCAAGTGGTACTTTGATGAACGAAATTGCTCAAGCAACTTATAATCAGTAAGTAAAAATAATATACATCTGTGCTACCTTTCTTTGCGGAACATCCACGGAAAAAAAAAAAGAAACTTATATACAACAAACTAGTTTATTATTTTTATTCATTAATGGTATCATATTTCCTTTTTCTTCTTTTTTTCTTTTTTTAGACAAGACTTTGTGGAGGTCATGGATATGGTGGATAGACGATTGAACGACAAAGGGAAAAACTGGCGTCATGTATTCAAGGTACAAATTAATTCGCATACATAGTAAATAGTAAATAGTAATGGCATATTCACTATTTTTTTTTTTTACTAGGCATTACTTTTACTAGACTATTGTATTCATGTTGGTTCTGAAAATGTCGTTTTATATGCCAAAGAAAATCTCTACGTAGTGAAAACATTGAAAGAATTTCAACATATTGATGATAGTGGAAAAGATGTGGGATCTAATGGTAATATAATCTTTATTATATGAATTACTTTATCATACTTATCCAATTTTTTTTTTTTTACTTAGTCCGACAAAAAGCAAAAGATATCACAAGTTTATTACTAGATGACGCAAGACTCAAGGAAGAACGTCATAAACGAACACAAATGCGAGACCGTATGTCTGCAGTAGGTGATTACATGAACGAAACTATTTTGGACGGTCGACATGCAAATGGTGAAAATATGTATGAAAGACCTGGTTATTTGGATGAAGATGGCGATTTAAGAAAAGCTATTGAAGAAAGTAAACGACTGGCACAAGAAGAAGCGAAAAAACGAAATCAAGGGTAAGATAATAGAGGGAAAGTAAAGAAAATTAGAAAATATATTCATTTTTTTTTTTTTGATAATATAGTGATGAAGATTTGGCAAAAGCTTTACAACTTAGTGAACAAGAAGCAAAGGAAAAGGAACAAAAACAACGTGCTAAATTGGAACGAGAAAATGAACAAAATTTATTTAGTATTGGCAATGATACTCAAGGGTAATAACTTGATTCATTATGATATGTGGGATTAATTTTATTCTTTTTTTTTTTTTTTTAAAAAAAAAAATAGTTTCCAAGGATTTCCTCAAAATCAAATCTTTTCTTCTTCAGCTAATCCATATACTCAACAACAACAACAACAACAATGGCCTCAAAATACTGGTATGACTGGATATTCATTTACTGATCCAATCACTGCTCAACAACCAATGTTCAATCAACAATCTGCTTTTGGTAACCCATATCAACAACAACAACAACAACAACAAGGATTCCCTCAAACCCTTCAAGCACAGATGACTGGTATGCCTCAATCACTTCAAGCACAAATGACTGGTATGCCTCAACTACAACAACAGCAACCTCAATATACAGGAATGGCGCCTTTTCAGACGAATCAATTCATGGCTCAACCACAACAAACTCAATTTACCGGTATGCCTGCTTTTCAAACAAGTTCTATGACAGGTACCAATCCTTTTGGACAGCAATCTCAAAGTCCATTACAACAGCCAAGTATACAACCTCAGCAAACGGGCTTTTCCAATGCAACTCCCAATTTTGGTCAATCTAGTACAACTTCATTTGGCACACCCACATCACAATCTGTTAATCAACAATTAACTACTAGTAGTCCTACTATATCTAAACCAGAAGATCCTCGATATGCCAAATTGAACTCATTGCTTGGAAATAGAGAGTAAGTGATGATTGGTTTGAAGATTTTTAGTATACTTATCAACAACTTCATTTATTAACTGTTAGAGATGGAATGGATACATTTGGTAATACTGGTAATCTTCGAATTCCTTTGTAAGTATGACCGAATAATAATAGAAAAGAAATGGATGGATTATATTATATTTTTCCTTTTATAGTGGTACAGGGTATGCAAGTACTCTCCGACCGGAAATCAAACAAACTGGAAATACCAATGGAAACAATAACAATAATAATAATAATAATGACACTTCCTCCTCTTCTTCCTTTTCTCAATCCTTTGGTCAACAACCTAGTCGCAATCCTTTCGGTACAGGAAACACGTCAACAGCTGCTACTACGAATAATAATAATAAAAGTTTGCTAGAAATGATGGCCGAACAAAAAATACAACAACAGAATCAACAATTGCAACCTCAAATCACAGGATTCCAACAACCTCAAGTCACAGGATTCAACAATGGTTTCCAGCAACAACAACCTGCTTTTGGTCAACAACAACAAAGTGGCCCTTTCTTTTAGAAATAGATGAATGATGGTTGATTATTTTTTGATCTTTCTTACTATTGATTGTCTGATGATGATCTTTTTTTTTTTTTGTTACTTGTAGTATATTATATAAAAACTCTTTATTCTTATTTTTTTATTTTCTTACAAAACTGTCTATGATGCATTACTACTATGTTTGTATATGTGAGTTTTTCCGAATACGGACAGGTTATGCCTGGGAAATGATGATAATAGCCATTCCTTTTTTTTTTTTTTTTTTTGAAGTCAAAAGATCAAAATTTCCATAAAAGGCAGTGTAATGTCTCTTTGTCAAATTGATGATGATTCAGCTTTAGTAGTGTACTGTAGTTTTATCCAAATGATGATGACAATTACTTCATACAATTTTTCACATTGTCCTTTTCAAGTTCCTTCCTTATCATAACATTCTCTCTTTTTTTTTTGGGTAGTAGTAATAAGGATGATAGTTTTATTGAGTGGATTGTATAGAATAGAGTGTAAGAAAAAAAACAATACATAGAATGAAGATAAAAAAAAGGGAGGAGAAAATGTTGAATGCATGGTAAACTAATAATAACAATGAATAATAATAAAAAAAAATGTGATGATGGATGTAAAATAATCTAAATACAGTTCATTATTTTTTCTTTTGCATGATTTGCTTATATTGAGCTTTTTTCCTTTCGGTGGCATCAAAGGTCTTGTAAGATCTTCTTTCATATACCTTGAGGGCATATTTTCTCTTGGGTGTCTTGAAGGGTGATCTTGGTTCAATGATATTTCGTTGTTGAAGACTGACAAATCGATCCTTGAAAATACTACCTTCAGGCTATATATATAAAAAAAAAATCAATATATCTATCCTAATTTTTTTTTTATGACTTGACTTACCTTGAGTTGACGTAACGTTTCACTTAGTTCATCTTCCAATTGAACTTCCATACTCATATCTTGCACATGGAATTGACCAATACGATTCATTCCTTCTCGTTCCTTTCTTTCTTTGGTTTCAACACGGTTCTTGGCCAACTTGTCAATAAGCTTGGTACGTTCTTCCAATTCTTTTTGAGTGATTTCTAATCGTTCGATTTCTTGCCGGACCTTCTTTTCTTGTTGTTTCAAATCGTAAACTCGTTGAGCTGCCTTGGTGCGAGCTTCCTTGTGTCGTTGTGATGTTGTCTTGCGTTCAACCTTCTTTTTTTTCTTGTTTTCGACTATATCTTCTTCTGTATCACTTGTTTTATCTTCTTCTTCTTCATTCCCGTCTTCCAAGTGTTGTAATTCATGAGGAAGTTCTTCCAATTCCTTACGATACGATAAGATTTGATCCAATTTCTTTTCTTCCTTATACTTGGCGATTTCCACATCCGCGGCCTTTTTTAATAATGCTTTATGATCTTCTTCAGTAGGGTTGTAAGATGCACCTGCATGAGGAACCGTAACAGCTGGTTTGTGTTGCATCACTTTAGGTATCCTGGCCATTGTTACTGGTGCCTAAATACAAAATGAATGATAAGTATGAATTCATTCTCTTTTCTTTTTCCTTTAAATGTTTTTTTTACCTTGACTTTGCTAGGTTTTGTAGGTTCAAGATAATCATTGTTGTCCATAGTTATTTTGTCGGTTTCTATTCACATGGTATAAATTAGTAAAAAACATACCACCATATATATATATATATATAAATATATAAATATTTACCTTCTTCATCATTCCACATATCATATGATACTTTAGCCTTCTTTTTGGTCTTTGGTTTGGGTGCTTCTTTGAGTTTTCGTTTAGCAAGTTGGTTGACCTTCTTTTCTTGATGTTTAGATAGTTCACCATATACAGGTTCAGAGAGATTATGGACATGACGACCTCCAAGAGCAGGTACAGCGGATCGTTGAGCCAAGATTTGATCCACACGTAAGGGTTTGCTAGTTGATCTGATCATATCCTTCACTATAAAAAGATAAGTTAACTAACATTCATAAAAACCTTTTTATTTTTCCTTTTATATCATACCTTTTTCATCACCACCCAAATCAATAGTAAAGTGTTCTTCTTCAGGCAAGTCATCGATCGTACCACTAAGATAAAAAAAAAAGTAAGTATGCAATAGAATCTTTCCTTTATCTTTTTATTTTACCGCACACGTTCTTCAGATCGAAGTGATTCAAGACCACTTTCTAATTCTTCAACATCAACATTTTTGCGCCATGCTTTTTTGCCTTTACGACTAGGTTGTGATTTCTTGGGTTTTTCCGTTGTTGGTGTTGTTTCTAATACATCTTCAGGTTTTCCTGACATTGTTAATAATAATAATAATAAAAAAACAAGGATATCGATAAAAAAGAAGGACTAAAAAAAAAAAAAGGAAAGTGAAAAAAAAGGGAAAGTCGGGTCGTCAAAAAAAATCAAAAGCCACCCACCCACTTCAACTGCACACACACACACACAAAAAAGAAAATCTACATGATCCATACAATGCAACAAAATGCCATGGTTCTTTATTTTTATTTTTATTTTTATTAAATCAAACAAAACTATACTATTTCCTATCACGTCGATGATATCTGTCTCTACTTGAATCCCTATATCTATCCTTTTTTCGATGACTTTCCGAGCGATGATGTCTTGAAGATGATCTATGACTACTCGATGATCCTTGATGACGATGATGACGATGGGAAGATCTAGATCGATGGCTGTTTCTACTACTGTCACGATGACGGCGGTGGCGGCGATGGTGATGATCATCATCGTCATCTTCATCATCATCAAAGTCATCATCATGATAAACCTTGCGCTTCGTCTCTTCTTGTTGTTCCACCTGAGCTTCAAAATGATCATCATCTTCATAATCCACAATATCATCTCCATCTGAGTAATGTCTTGAGGAAGGAGAGTAACTTGACCGATGATGTTTCCGACTGTTAGAGGTACTGCTACTATTGCTGTATCTTCGATGACTGCTGGATGGATCCCGACTGCGAGAACGACTTCGTGTACGTTTCCGGCTTTCACGCGTAGACTTTGATGAAGGGGATCTGTGTCTGTATCTTGTTGAATCGCTTTTTCCAGAAGTCTCCTTTGTGTTGTCGCCACTTTTTTGTTGACGATGTGAAGAACGAGTCTCTCCATGAACATCTTCGTTGTCGTCCTTACTATTGTTGTGTGATACTGACTGTTGTTGATTGGTTGATTCGTTGAAATCTTCACTTTGTCGTCGACCAGTTGTTGAATGTTTCTGATGTTGCTGTTGTTGTTGTTGTTGTTGTTGTTGTTGTTGTTGCTGTTGTTGGGTATTTGAAGTTCGTCCACTACGACTGCGACTAGGAATGCCACCAGGACGGTAATGAATGGGACCACCACCAGCAGGCGGAGGGAAAAAAGGAGGAGGAGGTATACCACTTACTGGAAGAAAATTAGTATTTCTACCACCAGAAGCATTAGTAGAGAACATCCAAGACATGTCAGGGAAACCAAAAGGAGGCATAGCATTTCCATTTCCACCCATAAAGAGAGTAGGATTTGGCATAAAAGGCATACCAGAAGGAGCACCACGACCCATGTTATCCATTCCAAAAGGTGAATCCATCATCATCATGTTTTGTTGTTTTCGCCCAGCTGTGTTACGGAAGTTGTCATTTGATTCGAAGGGTTGTTGATGTTTTTGTTGATTTTGACGATTGTTTGATTTTGGATGGTCTTGTTGGGAAGACGGTAATGGCGATGATGATTTTGCTGGTGACTATAAAAATAACAAAAAAACGAATAATAATCCAACAACATATTAGCTATAACGCACGATGACCTTCATTTTATGATTTTTTTTTTTTTTTTACCTTGCTCTCCGATTCATCCATTTCAGTGCTTCGTTGCTGATTTATTTCCTCCCCAGTTGTGTGTTGATCTTGTTGATTGTCATGTTCAAATGCTTCCTTAATGGACTTGCGATCCTCTTGTAAAGCATCAATGATTTTGCGTAATGTCTTGTTGGGGACAATTTGATTCGAGGAAGTATCTTTTCCACAATTTGGACATTGATGTGAGTCACTCAAGGCAGTGGTAATACCTAAATATCATAAAAAAAAAAAAATAGTAAAAAGTTTAATACATATAAACCACACGCTTGACATGTAAAGGAATAGTCTTACATTCATCACAAAAAGATTTGCCACAGCATAATGCCATGGACGCATTTCGAAAGAGATTCTTGCAAACAGTGCACGTCAATTCATCAGGATTTGTATCTGTTCCCTCGTTCAATTGTGGTACGGTAGGTGGATGATGGGTTGAGCTATAGACACAAACGAAAAAAAAAAAAGGTTAATACTGTTCATATGTACATAAGATATCAACACTTGCCTGATTTGTCGAGGTACATATTGTCCTTTTGGAACATTGGGACAATAATAAATCCAGTGACCTACAAAAAAAAAAAAAAAAAAAAGATCAGTACAGAGGAATAAATTATGTCAACACCATAATGACGTTTTAAAAATAGGGACAAAGCCAAAGAAGAATTACAAGCATTACCTCGTTGTTGACATTTGAAACATACATATCCAGGTGGAGGCTTTTGTGATGCGGATGGTAAAATAGAAGATCGTTGTTGTTGAGATGAAATGGGTCTAGCCATACTGGCTTGCTGCATCATGAGTTGAAATTGTAATGGATTCATCATACCCATATTCATCGCCATCATTGGATCGAATATATTGCTGTTACTATTGTTACCTTGGTTCATAGAGTAATTGGGCATGTTTCTACGAAATGATTGAGGTGATCGATTGTCTACTTGACTGGAGAAACAAAAAAAAAGAAGACACACATAATATAGAAAAAAAAAAAATAATCATAATAAAAAAGAATGAATTAATATACAAGTAAAACATTTAATTTTATTTCAATCGTACGTTTCAGTTTGCCTAGGAGAATCTATACGACTATTTTGTCTATCTTGATGTGGTATTCGATTGTCGTCAGTTTCCATTGTATTCATTTTCTCAAGAAAAAAAAAAAAAAGGTTAAGAGCAACCGAAAGAAAGAAAAGAATCAGTTTGAGAGAAAAAAAAAATAATAATAATAACGGCGTCGAATTTCAACCACCGCAATAAAATGAATTTGTTTTATTTTTATTTACAAGGAATAATAAGAAGAAAAATGCATATCATAAAACAAAAGATCTATCTACTAAATCGAATCTTCAACACGGTAAGCAACAACAGCATCAACCTTATGTACCGCAGTTGAAAATGAACGTAACCGAATATGTTCACCACCACCAGGAATCAAATTAGCATCACTATCAGTCCAAGTTATTGGTACTTCCACATCTTCAGAAGCATAGACTAGAACATTGAATGTACCTAAAGTAATAAAAAAATCATAAAAGTTAAATTATCATCATTCCAGAACTGTTTTCCTTCTTTTTTTTACTTACAATCATCATCAAGAGTAGGTAGAAAGGATACACTGGCAACAATTTGACGCATAATAGATCGAATTTCTTGAGTTGTGTTCTTGCTATCGTTTTGAGATGAAGTATCATCCACCCTATAAATACCAAAGATCAGAATATATTCCTTTTCCAATTTCTTCCTTAAATTTTACCCATGTGTTGATTTGTTCACGTTGACATCGAATTGCCATCGTTCTAAGGTTTCATTTGTGTCCTTTGATTTGATCACCAAAACAAGTTTACTGATTTTGTTTGTTTGTAACCAAGCTACAATGCATAATATAAATAATATCAATTGAAACTATAATAATAATAATAATAATTCTTCCACTTTTTTTTTTTACCTTTCAATTGCTGTATAATGTCATCTAGATAAGCATTCAATTCTTCATTAATAGACATCAGGACTGAGATGCCATACCGTTTCTTTTGTTGGAAATCTTCGGGTGGATAGATCCCTCGTTGGTATAAGATACTATCATCAAGAAAGAAAAAAAAAGATATTATTAATCAGGTTATTAGATCGAGTTAAATCACTGTTTCATCTTTTCTTACCTATTCAAACTACATTCTACATAAAAATAAATAAAAAAGAAATGAAACGTGCGAAGAAAACTATATCAATATAAAAAAAAAACACTTTTTGGCCATTGGTAGACGAATATAATAGTACTTACCAAAAAAACCGACAACTAGATCTGAAGAACCGTCCAATGCAATATGAGAATCAGACCCCATCAATGTATTCAATTGCTAAAAGAAAAGAAAGGACGAAAAAAAAAAGGTCGAACAAAGAAAGAAAATACGAGTGCGAAAGCATCTTAAAAAAAAAAAAGTGTTTTCGAATCCCGTCTCTTGTGCTGCTGATAGACCTATGAAATTTTTCTCTTAAACTGGTACATCATGCATGATGATTGGACAGGACCACTGATGTAAATCGATTCAAAAAGTTCAAAGTGGTAAAACACCAGTTTTTCTTTTATTTCTTTGTATTTTTTTATGATGATGTCAGTTTCTTCTGGTAGACCGACTTCCATCCATTATCCTCAATAGACCAAATTCATTGACTGTTATTTCAAAACATATATAAATAAAAGATTGAACATGCAATTTTTTGTTTCCCTTTATTCAATAATTGTTATTGCTGAAAAAAAAAGACTAACTAGACTACCAAATATGAAATATACAATAATAATAATAAAAAAAGAAAAAAGAGAAAAAAGAAGGGGAGGAGAAGTAAAAAGAATCAAATGAAGAGTTATAAACTATATACGAATATAAAACCAAGGTACCCAATAAAAAAAAAAAAAGGAAAGAGAGTGAATCAAATATACATTTCATGATGGAATATCTATCGCACATCATCATCATCATCACTACCACCAATATCGATTTCTTCATCTTCGTCCTCATCGGATAAGCTTGATTTGGTAACCTTGACAGTTGTATCAGGTGCTGGAGAGAAATTCTTTTCATTTACCATCGTCGTTGCTAAGGTTGTCAATGGTGATGCTGAAGAAGATAATGATGGTGTTATAGAAATAGACAGTCCACTAGGTTTTGAAGGTGTCGTTGTCGTTGTTGATGCTGTTGTTGTTGTTGTTGTTGTTGTTGTTGCTGATGTAACTGTCGACGTCTTGAGTAAAGTTTTATCATCATTGTTACCTTCATGATGTTCTACGACATGATTGCTATTGTCATTTGGTGACTCTTTTCGTTGAACCTTCTTACGTTTTGATCCATTGTTGTTTGATTTCTTCGTTCCAGGGATCACCACATTGTTGCTACGAGGTAAAGGAAGTGCACCATTCCAAGAAGCTGATTTTTTAATCATTGAAGTCGTAAGTTTACCACCTGCCCATTTTCCATTGGGTGCACCATTTGTTGCCACCGTAGGAGGTCGTCGTCGTCCATGTGGTAAAAAATTCGCCGGTTTTCTGAAGGCTGGAGGTACATTTCCTTCTTCATCAATGTCGAATAACTTGCGTCTTTTGAGAGATAGTGTAGTCGCTGAATTTGAGGTTTGTTGGTTTTGAGATAAAGGTCCTCGTAACTGAAGAGTAGATCGCATAGGTTGTACAATAGGTCCACTAGCTCGGCTAAGTAGTTCCTCTAAATCCATTGATTGACCAGTTTCCATAGCATCAATAGCTGCATCACGCATTCGTTTCATTCGCAACCGTACTTCATTCACATCCGTATCCGATTCCGTATCAGCATCCGAATCGTTGGCATCCATATCCTCATCGTTCAGAATATCAATATCTAGATCCCTTTGTCGTTGCCGCTGGTCATTTTCTGTCAAGTCAGATAATTCATCTACACTTTTGCTGCGAGGTCGTCGACTGTTGATGATTGAAATGGATCGTTGTTGTTTCAAATCGGATGTTCGATCAAAACTACCAAGAAGAGGAGCTTTCAACATACCAAATGAAGATGATGAATTTCCACCTCCAATTTTCAGTGTCTTGTAAGGGTGTGATAACAGTAATTGCTGAAGTTGAGTTGATGGTGGTGGTTTGTGATGATGTGTTCCTGATGTTGCTGTTGCTGACATCATGAGTAATGACTTTTTGTTTCCCAAATCAGTACCACTGGCAGTTCGTCCAAGACCCAATATTGGTTTGCCGCTACGTACACCAGATGGTCCACGAGAAATAGGTATAGTAGAGGAGAAGTAGCTTTCTATACGATCACTCAGGAAAGGTCCTAATCGATTTTGAATAGAGCATGTTACCGCTAGTTCTTGAGCCCGTCGTAAAGGAATCCAAGTGCCACATAGTTCACTGTCTCTGTTTGGTATACGAATGCGTTCCAATTCAAAACTAAGAATCATACTTCGTTCCCGTTCGGTATCGATTCCTCCTGCAGTGAGTAAACTTGTACCATTCACAAATCCAGTATCCAATCGCCGCAATACTTTGTACGATTTTTCGCCATTTTCATCTGGTACACCCAAGGTTGCTACACAAACTGTAACATTATCGATGACTGTAATATACATTGGTGGATTGGTGGGTGTTGTTGGATAGATCTTGTTGGTATCGGTTGCTTGGGGTGTTGTGGGTGTAGTTGGAGTAGATGGTGTTGATAATGTTGATGGTTGAGCTGTAGTCGTATTGGATATTAATGAAGATACCGGTGAATCCTTCTTGAATAAAGCGTCCAGCGCAGGAAATCGAGCCAAGGCAGATTTGAGATCAAAGGCAAGTGAAGGTGAACTACCGGATGAATTGGAAGGCTGTGATGATGTCGATGATGTTACTGAGGATGATGATGAGGATGATGATGCTCCCGTTGCTTTTGCCACTGCTTGCATGTAGGAGGCTAATGAACGAGCAAGATCAAAACTAGGAGTCAGATGTGACAGTCCAGGAATAGCCGATGTCAATTGTTGTAATGCTGTCAAATTGAAATTCGGTTGCGGATTGGTTGTTGTTGTTGTCGCTGCTGTTGAATTTGGATTTGTAGATGGTGCAGGAGATGCTGTTGGATTGTCCTTTTCATTCAAAGTGTGATCGATCGATGTAGTAGAGGTGATTGGCGCTTTTTCATCTTCTTCAAATCGAACAAATTCATCATCATCTGCTTCATCACCAGAAACAGGAGCAGATAGAGATCCTAGTTTACTTGTAGCTGTACGGGTATTAATCAATGATGCTGGTGAGGTCATTCCAGAATCTAAAAAAAAAAAAAAACGAAATTTGAGCACATGTATATCTTTTTTTTTTTTTTTTTTTTTTTTTTTTAAAGAGAGTTTGACTTACTTCGACGAGCTAGAGATTTGCGTCTAACTGAGCTTTGATGGTCACCCATTGGATCATCACCAAGAAGTTTGGCCAAACCAGGAGAACTTTCAATTTCAAATTCATCAACGAGTTCACGTGCACGACTTAGTGGAACCCTATATAAATTACCAAATAAAAAAAAAAGAGTCAGTACATTATATATATATATATATATATATATGATGTCTTACCATGCGCCACGACATTCGATCGGTCCTTTTGTAATAGTAACTACTAATCGACCTTCTTCTGCTTCAGCTACAGCATCAAAAAATCCCTTCCCCAAGACAGGACGAGCAGCTTTCCGTAATTGAGTTGCGTTCACACATCCTTCCACCAAATAAAAATGTTGACTGTTTCGCCGTTGATCATGTTGTTTTGCTGTATCTGCATGTCTTGTTCGTAAAGCGACATGTTCACTTGCACCATCATCAGATTGAATAAATCGAAGCACTTTCGTATCAGGTATATCATCAGGTGAGTCCAATTCGTAGCACTGAAGGTTTCCCAATACCTTTCTTGTAATAGTAAACTGATGGCCATGTTCTGAATACGTTTTGCTAGTCGGCGGGGTATCCACAGTTTCCATATCTTGTTCCTTTTGATTCAGAAAATCCTTTTCCCGAGATATAGTTGTTTTTTCCTTTTCCATTGTACCATCTTTGTTATTCTCAACGTTCTTGGTTGACTGTTGATGATCATCTTCGTTATTGTCACCTTCATCATCAGCTTCTCCAGTAGTGTCTTCCAGTGTTGCCACTGTTGGTTGTCCTTGTTGTTGCTCATGTAATGTTGTTGAACTATCCTTTGAGTCACGTCGCATTGATAAACTTTTGTTGTCCAAGGAGGAGGTAAAATCTGATGGTTCGTCCATTTGAGGAGCTTCTGATGCTATGAGAGGCCATGATTTGCGTCGTACTGGTATTTCCACACTATTTTCTTCTTCCTCGTCTTCTTCATCGGAAGCAGTTGTTTGCATTGAGGGTTTACCACGAATAGAATTGGCCAAAAGAGCCTTTTGTAATAATGAAGCTTCTTTTCCATTTGAAAGAGTACAAAAGCTTTTTCGACTAGTTCTTGCACTATTATTGTTGTTATTATTATTGTTATTATTATTATTATTGTTGTTGTTGTTGTTGTTTGAAGATAGAGTAGGTCCACCAAAATATAATTCCAATTCAGTTTCAGAGATAGATTCAGGAGATACAATATTCAGAGGTATTGGCTGATGGTGATGATGAGAAGTGTTGTGTTCAGGAAGATGTAGAGTATCGTTAGTCAAATCTTGTTCAAATGTGTAAGGCGTCCAAAATTCATTGTCACCAAGTAAACCATTAAGAGGTAAAGAGAGTTTTCGTCCCACCAATTTCGGAGAATCATTGTTGTTGTTGGAGCCATTTGTTGTAATCGTTGTTGTGGAACCAGAGTTGACATTGCTTGGCCGCCGAAAGATAGATGATCGTCGCCTTGAGACTTCAATGTGAGCCATAGTTTCATCTCCTTTCATCATATCTTCATAATAATCCGAGTAATCTGCTTCGCTATCTTCTTCTTCAGAATCCATTTTAGACATCAAAGGTGAACCATCTGCTGCTGCTGTTGTTGTTGTGGTGGTGGTGTGGTTATTGTCCAGTGTGGTAGGCAAGGCAGAAATAGATGATTCTCTTCTTGCACGTTTTGGTTCTGGTGATTCATGATCTGAATCAGTATGATGATCATCATCAATTGATCCACTACGTCTTGTACGTCGCCTCCTTCTAGTGGTTATCGTTGTTGATGGTACTCGAAGAGTATGACTTGTAGAAGGTGATGATTTACTACCAGTCATGGAAGAAGATCGTAAAAAATGTGCAGGTTCAGATAAAGTTGATTCCTTATGTCGTTTCGATGGTGAAGGATGATCATGTTCTTCATCAGATGAAAGATTGGAAGTGTCAGATAATACTTCTTCTTCTTCTTCTAGATCGTCATGTTTATGTGATGATGATAATCCATGTTGCTGCGCCAGTGGATGTTGTCCTTGTTGTGTTGCTGTAGAACCCGGTGGTAGATTTGATGAAGTAGATGATGATTTTGAAATAGTTGAAGAATTATCACCAGGTGTAATAAGACTATAATTGATTTTCCGAGAGTGTTTTTGATCAACATGCTTTGCTAATAAAGGTGCTCTTGGTGGATTGTGTTCAGCAGCTCTTTTGAAGTGTTGTGATATACGAGACGAGACAGTAGCAAAAGGTGTTGCGCCCCTATAGGAAAAAATAAATAAATAAATGTCAAACCAAAAAAAAAAAAAAAGTATATATTTTTTCAATTCATTATATTCATTTCATTTTTTTTACCCTAAAGTTGCATATTTATGTTTAACAATGTCATTTGCTAATTCTTTTGGTGAACTTGGTTTATTTCCTTTCTTGAGTAAAGCTTTTAAAATAGCAGTGAAAACTTTGTCTTTAGCGTCGTCAGGATGTATATTCGGTAAAGCTGGTTTTCTTCTTGAAGCTCGAGTATTTATTGTCGAACTTTTATCGTCATTGGAAGTTTTCTTTTCTGACATCCGAAGTAATGTTGACTAATAATATGAATTAATGATATAAAAACCACAAAACTGAGGAATGAAAAAAAAAGAAGACAAAAGAAAAGAGAAGAAAGAAAATGAAAGGAAGAAAAGGAAACAGACATCCAATTGAACAGTTTTTGGTCTCCGATTTTTTTTTTTTTTTTTTTTTTTTGAGACAAAAGAGTTTGAAATCAGTTCAATAAAGCAAATCCTACATATTTTTTTTTTTTTATTGAGGTGACACTTTTTTTTGGTACTACATATGTAATTTCATAATAATAAAAAAAAAAAGGATGATTTTGTAATAACATATCAATGATAACTAAACTTTGAAATATGAGAAACGAAACTTAAAGTATCACCTATACAATCCCATTTCGATATGAAAGAGAGAAAAAAAAATTTTTTTTGTGAATATCCGACTTTAAACGTTTAACCGCCGATCTAATGAATTACTTTTTTTTTTTCTTTGACGTATTGATAATACACCAAACTTACAATGGATTTTTCCTGTTGACTTTATGCCAATAATTAGATTCAATTTTACAACATTCAACGCAAGGTTCTTGGTATGAAGTGGAATGATGATGATGATGATTGCTTCTTGCCACCTTGACAGATCCATCTTGTTGTATGTATACTATTCTTTTTCGCCCATTGACCTTTTCACTAAAATTGGGAAATAAAAAAAAATATCATTATTATTATTACTTATTCATTATTTACCATCATATCATCATTGTCAACTATCATCTATCATAATATCATCTCTTCTTCATCCATCATCACGTGTAATCATCAATAAAATAAAAAAAAAATACTTACTATAATCCACATGCATTACAAAGTAATCTTGATCCTTCCATACTACGACGCCAAGAAGGTGTTTTTGTAGCTCCACAATTTGAACATTTCTTCTTTTGATTATCCTTGATTTTTAATTTTCTGGTAGTTGTGGATTTACTGTTTGTTATAGTAGGACTGGTAGCAGTGGCAGCAGTAGAAGGAGTAGCAGCAATACTTGTACTAGCACTAGTAGTAGCAGTAAATGGTGATGACTGTACCAACTCGCAAGACGGAGACTCAACCAAATTCAAATGATTATCCTTCATAGAACTGGATGCCATGAGAGGAAAATCAGAACAAGATGATGACATAGAAGGAAAAGAAGTCCAATCATGTACGAATCGATCATTATTCAGATTATCAACAGAATACCATTCCATAACTGATTGATTATATATCTCGCGATATCCAGATAATTCATGATTTACAGCCATATAATCAATAAAATCTAAAGAAAATAGTTTATCAATGTTATATTTCAATAGATTTGATATATTATGATTTATATTACTTACAACTCATCTTTTGTATTTAAAAGAAAGAAGAAATGAAAAACAAAAAAAAAAAAACGATTACGACAAAGTTCTCAAATTCATGCCTTTTTGCTGTTTTTCATACGGGAAAAATGGCTGAGCTTTTCAATGATTATATCCTTTGACATTTGAAGTTTGCCATTTTTAGATAATTTATCAATTCCTAGAAGGTCCTACTCACCATTATAAAGGAGGAAATTTGATCATCTGCTTTGTACTGCAAAACAAAAAAAAAAAAAAAAAAGACCCCTTTTGCTGTTTTTCAGCGGACATCCAATACCGCGCATATCATGGGGACAGAAATTTGCCTGTTTGGTGTTTTTCTTTTCTTTTTTTTTTTTTTTTTCTCTTTTAGATTATGATGGCATCTATTTACCCCTCTTATTTTTACAATATATTCCACAGTATAGAACCTTTAGAGTCATATGTCAAACGAAAAATAAACAAGAATTGGACTGGTCTTGAACAAGTTCATGTTGCACTTCCTTTAACTTTGCCTCCAATTCCTCCAATATCCCTTGAAACTGACCCCTTAGACATGGAAACTGTAACTACTTTTTTAATTGACTGACTTTTTTTTTTTTATCTCATTATGAAATTATTTTTATAGGTTTTAAAACTTGCTACTGACCATCTCAAAATACATCGTCAACCACCCCTCATGGTTCGTTATCTTCTAAGAAAAACCATGATCATTTTACAAAACATATCGTCATTAATTTTTTTTTTTTTATTTTCTCTCTTTTCTTTGGCGTTTATACTAGTGTAGTGACATCTTTCGAACGTACGACTGGAAATTACTATTCTGTCATATTGGTGGAAACAACATGTTACATCTATTACTTAATACCATTCTATTATTGAAATCTCAAACCGAAGTTTTTTACCACTTGTCAGGTACGAGAGAAAAAAAAAAAAAAAGGAGAAACCTTTGTGATATATTAATCTAATACTATATTTGATGTAGGGTTAACTATCAATATCAATGCGGAATTAACAACTCCTCCGATAGTGACATATCAGCAATATAATAGATACAAAGATACCTTCTTACACGACCTGACAATACCAAATAGTAGTCTATCAAATCGTATCATCAAAGAATTATCATCAGGCACCAAGCGACGTTCCAGTACCAATATATCTGATTTGTCTCCTGCAAAACGAAGAAAAGATGCCACAAATACGAACTTTTTGCCATCATCAGAACAGATCACAAAGAAAACAAAACGGAAAAGAAATCGACATGGAAAGAGTAAAGGGAACGATCCAGAAAGGAAGTCACTTTCAAAGCTTTCTTTTACCAACGTTAAAAAGACTACACCAAACTATATCACTATTACTCCTTATACCTCTTCTACAATGGATATTCCTTCTACTACCTATTTGGATCGCCACCGTATGTTATATGCAGAACCAACAATATCCAAAGATCAAGTGCAACGTTTTACCTATAGAACAGCTGGTAATACTTTCTAAAAGAAAAAGAAAATGAAAAAAAAAGTTTACTAAATTGATGATATATATATATATATATATATCATAGACGTATTTGGTCCTCATCCTATTGACAGTCAAATCTACAAGCAAGCATCTACTCTGTACATATTGAAGAACATGTTCCCAAAAGAATTCAAACGGAAATATGTAACGTATCGTATTAAAAATAAAATACATCACTTATATATGTGTACTCACTCGATTTCCCATCTGATTTCCATCGTTGTTCGTTGATATCTATAGGAAAACCATCCTTATTTGCCAAAGCGTGTCCAAAATGCAGTATATATTGTGGATCATTTGACAAGGAAACATCCTGCAAAGTCATTGACTAGAATCCTCAACAGATGGTGTCCACGGAAGGTAATTGCAGGAAATACAGAAAAGATAGGTTTGTAAAGAAACCGAACAGCAATTTATTTATTTATTTTTTTCTACTTATACTAGAAAACCAGTCCATCCATTGATGAATTATCTGTGCCTTATCGACAAGTGTTTTTGTTTGTGAAAGCCATAATGGAACAAGTACTTCCTCGCTCATTTTTTGGATCTGATCAAAATTGGCAAGTGTTTTTAAAAGGTAATTATGAAAAATGGTCAATTTCTTTTACAACTATACTGTCTTCTTCTTTTTTTTTTAATTTACTAAATGATTTCTATATTTATAGGTATATATCGGTTTATTACCATGCAGAAAAGGGAATCCTTCAGACCAGTGGATATATTAAAAGGTTATCGAATCACTCATTGCAGATGGTTGGACCCAATATCATCAGTATCAGCATCAACATTAGTATCATCACCGTCATCATCATCTTTAGAATCATCAGCATCTTCAATATCTTCAATATCATCAGCATCATCAATACCATCTTTAGCATCATCATTAACATCATCACCTGAATCATCACCATCATCGTCGGTATCACATCTATGCTCTCGACAGTCACCACCACTGAAAGAAATAACATCAGAATTAGCAACACAGAAACTTAACGAAGCATGGGTATCAGATTTATTTGTACAATTCCAAGAACAGTATGTGTCCTCAACTGACACCTCGTCACATGAGCCTCAAACATCACAGGCCCAGCCAACTACGCAACAGTCATCATCTCGTCTATCATCATTATCGTCACCGCTATCAACATCATCGTCGCGATCAATTCGACTCGTACCTTCAGATCTGGAAAAACGCACGGATATGATGATGCAAATTATTCAATGGATTTTCAATAAATATATTATTGAGCTACTCAAGGTAAAATGGAAAACATATCAAAAAGGTCAATTTTCATGGATACAAAATAGACTGATTCATTTACTGCGTTAGACATGCTTTTATATTACTGAACGCGCGAATCACAACAATCAACTATTCTATTTTCGACAGGATGAGTGGCACCAGGCATCGATTATTGCTGCAAGACAATCTCTACAGAATGGATTCATACAAATGGAGAAGGTATTGTGTTGTATAGAATCGCACAGTCGCAATGGGCCTTTTTTTTTTTTTGTACTCACAGATACGCTCGTTGTAGGATCCCATACATCATTTGATACTTGGATCATCATCTATACGACTGCTACCAAAGGGAGACGGCGTACGAATCATCACTAAAATGAAGGATGCATCTAAGGCGGTAAGAGTATATACAGATTTCAACAGGAAAAAATTGTTTGATATCTTTTTTTTTTTTATTTTCGACTTTGCAATCTTCCATAGATGACGACAAAAAGTGTGGATGACAAGGCTGCAAAGACCGACAACAATGACACTCTCAGAGGTATTCAGAAGGCTCTACAATTTGAAGTGGTAAGTTAAATTTATAGATATGAAAAGCCAAACTGCAACCAGATTGACATCGTATTCGCCTCTTTTATATATATGTATATACGTATTAGAGTCGACAAACTGATTTATTGGCAAGTGGAACTACAAGCATAGAAATGATAGTCGACCGTATATCCAGCTACAAGAAACAAGTGAAACATGCCTTCAAGGCACCTCCTACGTAATATTAAAACATAAGAAAGTGTCATCATCCCTAGCTAATTCAATTACATATATAGGTTTTATATGGTCAAAGTAGATATCAAGCATTGTTTCGATACTATTGATCAAGATACCATTTTGGATGTATTAGCTCATATTTTCCTGGATGTAAGTGAAAAAAAAAAAAAAAAAAAAAAAGAGAGAGATAGAAGAGAATGATTGAACTTTTCACTTTTGATTACACAGGACGGCTATATGGTACGGAATTATACTACTGTCAACCAAATTAGGGATAGGCTTGCTTCGTATTCCAAATTATCAGTCTTTGGCACTGGTAAGATGATGTGATTGATCTGTTGATTGTATGTTATCTTTTTATACTTTCATTTTATATTACGTTTAGATCAAGATGCGAACCCAGAATTAAAGGAAAGACTAGCTCCTAGATCAATCGTTGTTCTCGGTGAAGTAAGTAACATCTGTCTCCTGAAATAGCTTATCTACATTAAAAAGAAAACAAACAATTACTGCTATTTTTGTTCTTATATTTCTCATTCATTTCATTCTTTAGAAAAAATACCAATACGACTCCGCCAAAGCAATCTTATCACTGATCGAAGAACACATCAAGAAGAATACTATTGTGGTAAGAAAAAATACAATTATGATTTATATGGATTTAATTGTATTCATTCATATATACATAGTTAGAAAACCATTGCTATCGACAAAAGTCTGGAGTCCCTCAAGGATCATGCATATCGACTATACTATGCAAGTAAGACTCTCTTTTTTTTTGTAAGAAATCGAAACTAGATTTGTTCACTGATATATTATCTATTAGTCTTTTTTTAGGTTACCTGGAGAAACAAAAACTACAATCACTCAAGAAAGACAAGAATGGGGTAACAGAAAGACATTTTAAGGAGCACAGAAACATTACTCACCATTTTTTTTTTAACAGATATTGCTACGTTATGTGGATGATTTTCTGTATATCAGTACTGACCCTCATTATGTGAAAGAATTCGATACACTTATGACAAAAGGTAAAATAGTCAAACAAGAAAAGAAGATATTGCTCACCTTAGATAACTGCTTTTAGGATTTCCCGAATATGGTTGTTATATCAACACTAGAAAAAAGATCAATACCTTGGACGCTCATTATACAGGTATACAGTAAATAATAGAACATCGATAACATGTTCATTCCTTAATTTTCATCTTTTATTTTTGATATAGAAATCTTATGGTGCGGCTTACGACTGTCAACGACAAATCTGGATATATTCAATGATTACTCTGGTGCAACAGGTAGAAGTATGTCTTCACACCCTCCTAAGAAGAAAAAAACAGTAGATTGGAATAAAAACAAGTTACTAACTTTGATGTATGAATATTAGGCATTCGGAATTCATTGACTATTACCCCCATCCGCCCTGGTAGAATCATAGTGGAAAAGGTGATGAAGTAAGTTGCTAATATATATATAGTGTCGTTTCCTTTTTTTTTTCTTATATGCTCGATATGTTATTTTTTTTTCTTCAGTATAATCAAGGTAGAATTGAAATGGACGCGTCGATCAAGGAACACGGTGGATGCTAATTATCAGATTGTCTATGAAGCAGTTACGATGTGTGCCAAAAAAATGACGATTTATTGCAGGGAACTGACCAAAATGACATCTGAACCAATCAATCAAAAATTCATTCTAGGTAATCTATACTGGAGCAAAAAAAAATAAAAAAAAAAAAAAAAAAAAAAAAGGAAAGGAAAGGAAGAAAATGATTGATGTGATTGATGTGATTATTTTTAATTCTTGATTACTAGGTGTTATCTTTCAGGTTTTGGGTATTGTCTTGGAATTCTCCACGGATTCAATGTGTGAAAATAAAGTCATTTGGTAAGAGACAATATAATAATATTCATTGCTTCTCGATATACTTATCGTTTTTTTTTCTCTATGCACTTAGGCTTACTCTTCACGCATTTCAATCAGTATTGAAAAAAAGTCAACAATTTGGACCAGTCAATAGTTGTTTATCAATATGCAAGGCAAAATATGGTCCTGACAAACGATTGCAGAAAATGGTCAACAAATGGCAGTCATAGATGATAGTTGTTAGTATAGTTCGTTGATGCTCTTTATCTTGATTACACATAATAAAAGGAAAATTATAATCCCACAAGTGCCCTTCATATCCGTATACAAAGAAGTTTTTTTTTTCTTTCTTGACTTGTTTCAAATATTGAAGTTTTATCATTTGTACTAACTATTTGTTATTTATTCATTTTAATTGCCAGACAATCTCCTTCTCTTTACTTTTTAAGTTTTGATTTGGAAATCATTTAGAAAAACTTGAATTTTAGAGTACTCGTTCGTGAAGGTTGAAATTATCATGTCAATGACAGTGATGGCGATCCTGATGCTCATTTTTTTCTTCTAAATTTACTCTATAAATGCAATGATATAAAATGCATATGGTAAAGTGAAAGAGAATGGATTGATTTATATGCTGTTCAAACGTGGTATGATGATGGTGATTTTTGACCGAGTTGCAAAGATATAAAGAGGTACGTCCATGCGATGTTACAGTGTGTAAAGACAATCATGGTTTTGCATTCATTTAAGCTGAGGAGTTTTAACTTTTTTTTTGGCGGTTGAAACAATTCAACATAAAGATTCTTTTTCTCGTTTCTCTTTTTTTACTCTCGTCATCTTTTCTTTTCTTTTTTTTCCATCATGGCTACTGTAGCTGCTTGTGAACACTTGACCATGTACATTGTCGTGCGAAAGGATCTTGCAAAGGTAAATAAAGAAAGATATTCTATATACTCACTAGGACTTTCATTAACATTGTTTATTCACTTAAAATAGACTTTGAAGTGGCCTACTGGAAGGTAAAATAAAATATTAGTAATAATTGTTTTATACACACCTTTGTTTCTTAGCATTTTTTTTTTTTTGTTCTTTCTTAGTGTGATGGCTCAAGCATGTCATGCGGCAACAGCTGTTTTACATACAACTCGAAATGATTCAAATACCATCAAATACGTAGAAGATCACGAACGAATGCATAAAGTTGTATTAGAAGTAAGTATATTTAAAGAACAAGTGATGTTAAGGGACTCATTTTTTTTTGGATAGACAAAAAATGAAGAAACGTTGGGTGATCTAGTAGCATCTTTACAAGCACATAATATTCCTCTATATCGATGGGTGGAACAACCTGAAAATATCCCTACTGCTATGGCAACAGCACCTATACCGGAACGATCACCTGAAGTCAAGGATTTATTCAAAAAATACTGTTCTCTTTATAGATAAATTTCTCTTTATGAATTTTAATTCTAGTTTTGTATTCTAGTTTAGATCAAATAAACTTTTTTCTTTTGGTGCCTTTAATAGATGAATGTGATCAAACATGCATAAGGTGGCTTTTTCTCAATGCTGAGCGGGATACAAATCTCCAAAAAAAAAAATGTAGATGGCCATTTCGATCAATTTTTTTGATGTTTCCGTTTTTTTCTCTTCTTCGATTTTTTTTTTTTTTAACAGAGCCTGTGTATGTACAAGAGGCTTCTTTGTTACTCAAAACAGTCCAGAAATCAACATTTATATTTTACTTTGACATTTCCTCTACAGTCTCAACAACGACGTTATTATCGCTATAACACTATGGCTGATATTGATATTTCACTTTACAACACAGTGACGGAAGGAAAGGCCACTATCCTTTTCCCAAAAAGCAATGAAGTGTTTTATAACCCTGTACAAGAATTCAATCGTGATATGTCTATTGCTGCCATCCGTACTTGGTCTGAAATCTTTATGCAAGAAAAACGTGCTCGGATAGAAAAGAAACTCGCCAATGCCAAAACTGAACAAGATAGAATCAAACTTGCTGAAGTAAATATTTTTATATCGACACCAAAAAAAAATACATGTGACTCATTTATCTTTTTAACTTTTTTAGAAACTCGATGTTCAAATCAACCCTCATAACTTTACTATTCTAGAAGCTTTAGCAGCCACTGGACTACGTTCTATTCGATACGCCAAAGAAATTCCCAACCTGAAACAAGTGGTGGCTAACGATTTATTAGATGATGCTGTGGAATCCATTCGACGCAATACTATTTATAACAACTTGAGTGAAGATCTTGTTCGTGCCAACAAAGGTGATGCTATGTAAGTTACATTATATATGTAGAATAAAAAAAAATAACCTTTTTTTTTGGTACATAAATTGAATGATATTCTTTATGATAATAGGCGAGTGATGTACGATACAGTGGGAACCCAAAATAAATATGATGTGGTGGATTTAGATCCTTATGGTTCTGCTGCACCTTTTGTAGATGGTGCTGTACAAGCAGTATCTGAAGGTGGATTACTCTGCGTGACATGTACTGATCTAGCTATTCTTACTGGTTCCATGCATCCTGAAACTTGGTAATGACTCAAATCACCTTATATCTTATATATTAATATTTTTTTTTTATGTAGCTTTGGTAAATATAATGGTATGCCTTTGAAAGGAACCTTCCCTCATGAAATGGCTCTTCGATTGGTCTTACAAATGTTACAAACTTCTGCTGGTCGCTATCGTCGGTATATTGTGCCCATGATGTCATGTAGTATTGATTTCTATCTTCGTGTTTTTGTACGGGTATATACCTCTCCTAATGAAGTAAAAAAAGCTGCAAGGTAAAAACATATCACCAAAAATAGAAGACTTGTATTAAAATCTCATTCTTTTTTTTTTTTTTATTATTATAGCAAAATCGGTATCATTTATGAATGTAGTGGATGTCATGCATTTGCAACTCAACCTCTTGGAAAATACGATGTCAAGGATAATGGTAGTGAACGACATACCCCTGGATCTGGTCCTCCTGTGAATGAATTTTGTGATCACTGTGGAAGTGTACATCATGTAAGATATCAAAAATTGAATAAGACAATATAAAGATTGAAAAGTATTTATCTTTTTTTTTTTTTTTTTTTTTTTTTTAGGTTGGTGGACCAGCATGGATTGCAGGATTACATGACAAAACATTTGTAGGTAAAATGTTACAACATGTCAAGGATAATGAACAAAATTATGGTACACATGTGCGTATGAAGGGAATGATGTCTGTGATTCAAGAAGAAGTAGATGAACCTTGTTATTGGACTCTTCAAAGATTATGTGGTACTCTTCATTGTAATTCTATTCCTCTTCTGGATCTTTAGTAAGTGGTTTTCAATTTATTACTGTTGAATACTCATTTTTATATACTTTTAGTTCTGCCATTTTGAATGCTGGTTATAAAGCTTCTGCTTCTCATTGTGGTCCTCAAACATTGAAAACCAATGCTCCTTCATCTGTTGTTTGGGATGTACTACGTGCATTTGTCAAGAAACATCCTGTAGTAATGGCCAATATTGCTGAAAACTCTCCTGCTCGAAAAATCTTGGCAAAAGAACCATCGTAAGTGAATAAAAGAAGAAAAAGAAAAGATGAAATATTAAATATGTTTTATTTGATCTTTTTCTTTTAGAATCAACGTTGATTTTACAAGACATCCCGATGCAGTTGCAGAATCTAGGAATGGTGTACGCTATCAACTCAATCCTACAGCAAATTGGGGACCAAAGGCTCGTGCTGGCAAGAAACGAAAGACTGATGAAAAGGACACTGAAGAATAAGGATGATACTTTTTTTTTTTTTTAGTTTCTATCATTATCTTACTATTGTTTCATCTATGATACTATTTTGCATATATTCATGTATATATATATATATGTATGTATGTTTTTGTCATTGTTTTATTTTCCCTTTCTTTTTATTTTAGATTCATATAATAAAAACAAAATCATTTTGCATTCAATTAAATCATTTTGGCTCTTGTTTTTAGAAAAAAAAAATAGATATTATGATCAAACAATGTGTATTATTTCTTTGATATGTCACAATGTATCGATGTCTAAAAAACAAAACGAACAAAACTATATAATCATTATCCAAGTGGAAGCCATCACATCATATAAATATCTTTACAGAAATTATTACTACAGGCAATCATTCTTTTCCTAATCGATGCTTTGTATAGCGAGATATATCATCTTTTACTGGAAAGTTTCTTGTCATCATGCGGAGGTCGAAAGGTGTGTCTGGTTACTTTGTTGAAGAATGACAATTTTTTTTTTCTTTCCTGCTTTTTCGATTCTTTTTTTTTTTTTTAAAAAAAAAAATAATTATGGATCGTCTATCTACATTATTCGCCCAACAAGACGATAGAACGAAATTCACACTGACAGCCATTGCAGCATCCATATTGACAGCGTCTAGTATTATTGGATATCAAGAACTTCAACGACAAAGAAGAAAGCATGGTAAACAACAGGTTTCTTCACTGGACCATGAAGCTCGGTTTATGAACAATATCAATACACCGGTTTTGAAAATTGCACCTACTCCTCATTATATCTCAGGTGAACAAGCTATTCTAGGCGATGACAAGACGAAGCAACTCCAAGATGCATTTGTAATTGTGGTTGGAGCTGGTGGTGTAGGCTCATGGGCGGCTTTGATGCTTCTACGTGCGGGTGTACGACGGTTAAGGTTGATTGATTTTGACCAAGTGACACTGAGTAGTTTGAATCGACATGCAGTAGCCACTTTGGACGATGTGGGTACCCCCAAAGTCAAGACCATGCAACGACATTTTGAACGTATCTCGCCTACTTGTCAATTGGACGCTCGGATCGATCTCTTTAATGCTGATAATGCTGACGACCTGCTTTCCGGTCATCCCGATTATATCATTGACGCTATCGACAACATCAATACCAAGATCGACTTGATCCGCTATTGCTATGACCACAACCTCAAAGTCATCAGTTCTATGGGTGCTGGAGCAAAGGCTGATCCTTCTCGTATCCAAATCACTGATATTAGCGAAACTTTAGGTAAATGAATTCTCTTTATATGACCTATTCACTTTGTTCTAATTTTTATATTAATTTTAGAGGATCCTTTGGCACGTACTGTTCGACGACATTTGAAAAAATATAATATTGAATATGGAGTACCTGTCGCTTATTCAACAGAAAAACCTCATCATGTCAAACTACTGCCTCTAGGTAAGACAAAAAAAAAAAAAAAAAGAGAGAGAGAATTCGATTATACTGATCATTCAAATCTTTTTTTTTTTTTTTGAATGATTAATATAGAGGAAGATCGTGTTGAGGAAGCTGATGATTTTGCTGCTCTACCTGATTTCCGATCACGTATTCTCCCTGTTCTTGGTACCATTCCTAGCATGTTTGGTATGGCAATTGCCAATCATGTGATCTTAGAATTGACTCAATACCCTGGCTATCATCCTTTACCTATCAAACTTCGAGAAGGACTCTATGGTCGACTTTATCGTGATTTGATTGTGCGTGAATCCAGAGAATTTAATACAAAGTAAGATAAAAAAAAAAAGGGGATGTTATAAAATAAGAGAAATATGTTTTATTAATTGTACTCTTTATCGTCATTATCTTGGGTTGATGATAGAGTCTGTCCAATGGATGTGAAAGATGTTGCATATATTTTTGAAGAAATATGGCATGGTAAAAGTGTACTTACTGGTCCTCAAAATCAAATGGCACTAGTCCGATGGGATAAGACAAAACCATTGAACTTTATGAACACGGTAGTGATGTCCAAAGAAGAAGCCCGTCGTCATGATGCTTTGTCTTCTGATGTGGATCTCTCCCAACATTATGGCCAAGGTAAGCAATCAAAGATGATAAGTGAATACATATCTAACTTTTTTTTTTTTTAGATATCTGCATCATGATTGAAAAAAGACTCAAGGAAGAGGAAGGTTTACGGAAAATATGGGATAGTGCATTATAATGTATATTTAGTATTAGAATCATAGGACGGACGACAAACAGCATCCATCCAACAATCTAGCTTAGATTTCTTTTTTTTTTTTTAGAATATCATCACTTTCAAATCAATAAATGTCCCTGATATTTCCATTGGAATTTTTTTTTTTTTGGAATCAAATGTGTTTGCCTCAACCATTTTCTTTTTAGGATATAGGTTTGTTTGCTTAATCTGGGATCTGTTAATCATATTGTTAATAGTGTCAAGCTCAATTAGATAAAGGAAGTAGAAAGAACGCAAGATGATATGGGTGTGTATAGGGTATTCAAAAAATCACAAGGTAATCATCATTGGATGTAAAGGAAATAATGAAAAATTGGATGGTAATTAATGCATTCTTTTCGATTTATAATCAAGAGGAGTTCATTTATTCTCTGCACAAAAAATCAGATGGAACGTACATTAACCGTATACATATTGAAAAAAAAAGAACATAGTGATCAAGTAATAAAGAAAAAAAAGCCCACTTTATATAGAAAGCATTCTGATCACAGAGGAACGTCAAACTGGTTTTTTATACTTATTCAAATCAATGATTGCCGATGGATCCATAATCAAGATATCTCTGATTCATCCTAAGATGATTGGCTTCGCTGACTTTTTTTTTTTTTTTTTTTTTTTTGTGAAGCACCCCAATTTTTTTTTTTTTTTCAAAAATTTTCTTTTTTTTTTTCTTGGTATCTTTTTTTTTCCGATATATTTTTGACGCGATGCGAACACTTGAAGATGCTATTATTAGTGAAACTCAAATCTTGGTGGATAATATTACAAGAGTAAAGGAAACAAACAATATATTATTAGAAAAACTCACTCGGTATTTTTATAGTTGAATGATTTAGTGACAAGAACTAATCAGGAAGAAGTACTTCAATTGATTGAAAAACTACGTCGCGTGGAAAAGAAAATGTCTCTAGTATTTACATTCTTTCAGGCATCCATGTACTCAAGTAATATTTGGCAACAAGAAGAACAAGATGAAAATACAAATCGACCTGCGTTTAGATAGATAATTAGACAGTTTAGTCATATACCCCCCTTTCACCACCCTGTTTGTATATATGTATAGATTTCAATATGTAAAAAAATAAAGTTTTTTTTTATAGATGTCTTCTTAATATGTCTATTATTGTCTTTCAATCATTTGGATTGCATCACCAATAAGATTACTTTATTCATCTTCTGTAACACCAATATTTTGAATAATAATAATAATAATAATAATAATAACAAAAACAACGACAAAAAAAAAAAATAAGGATAATCAATATGTGATTTTTTGCTTTTCTTTATTTCATTCATTTTAACTTCATATCACAGATATGACAACACAGATAAAGATGGAAGTAAAAACAGGAAATATACTAACATATAATTGATAAAAAAAATAAAGATAGTTTATTTGTTCTTGGGATTTTCAGGAGATTTGGCCCAGTTAGAAGCCTAAATGATGATCAGACACAAAAAGAAAAATGAGTATGAATAAAGATATTATATATATATAGTGAAACTTACAGCTTTCTTGAAGGCCTATCAAAAGATAAATCATAAACAAAACAAAAAAAAAAAGGTAAACGCGTCAGCAAATTCAATTTGTATAGGATTGGAATTGTATATATAATAAGTTGCGCGTAAAAAATAAAACTCCTTCCTAGTCCACCTCCTGTTTTCACGGCGCGTTTGTTTTTTTTTTTTTTTTTCCAATCTTCTATAAACAAATTTTTTTTTCTTAAAAAAAAAAAAAGAAAACTTACGTCCTTATGAGCAATACCAGGTTCAGCAGCCTTGACCTTAGCGAGTTCAGTCTATAATAAAATAATTATAATAATGAAAAAAAAAAAAAGTTCAATAAAGATCACCAGCAATCATACCACAAAAAAAAAAAAAAAAAAAACTTACCTTCATAAACTTATTATAAGGAGTCATCTTCTTAGCTGCTAAAAGAATAATAAATAAGTTAGAATACAGCACGATAATAATAAAAAGTAGATGATAATACTTACCACCAGCCTTCTTGGTAACCTTTTCTTTAGCCATTATAAAAATTGATAATAAGTATATAAAAAAGAAGATAAAAAGTTTTTTTTTATATTTGAAAAAAAAAAAAAAGAAAAGAGAAAAGAAAAGAAAAAGAAAAGGAAAAAACACTATATGGAACTAAATATTCACTATATGAGAAAAAAAAAATTAAGGCGCGTGGGTTTAAATAAAAAAAAAAAAAAAAAGCTGAGAGCCAGTGACGACTTGATATTGTATGAGCAAAGGCAAAGTCTGAGATCTTCAAACCCAGCAAAAAGGAATCTATATGGAGTATGCAGACCATTTTTTTTTTCACCTATCTTTTTTTTTTTTTTCCGTTTTGTCATATGATTTTTCGTTTTTTTCTTTTATCATGGCCTCCAATAATGATATTTCTATTGACTTAAAATCTGTTACCTATGTTGATAATGTAAATAGTAATCTTGTATGTTGTATATGTCAATATCCTTTTGTAAATCCTTTAGTTTCTCCATGTGGGTAAGTTCCTTATATTATATCTGCTTAGAAATCTAACTTTTTTTTTGAAAAAAAAAAGACATACTTTTTGTGAAACTTGTATTTATCAAGCTTTAGACTCATGTTCTCAATGTCCTATCGATCGTTCTCCACTTTGTCTTCCTGACTTGGAACCAGCTGTAAAGATCATTGTCAATATGGTCAACGAACTACTTATTTACTGTCCGCGGAAAGAAAGAGGATGCGACTTTATCGGACAACGTCAATATATGGAACATCATATGAACAATGATTGTCTTTATGTCTTTCAGTCTTGTCAACTTCAAGAATGTCAAGAACTTATATTGAAAAAGGATCTTCATAGTCATGTCTCTACTTGCAAATATAGAGAAACTGTTTGTAAAATGTGTAAAAAGAAAATGCCTGCTTTTGAATTGGAGGTATCTATTAAAAAAAAAAAATGAAGTATATCCTATTATATAATCAATCATTTATCTTTATTTTTTTTTTTTGTTTATTAGGATCATTACAAGCTTTGTCCATCAGAAATCATTCAATGTCCTCACTGTGATTCTTCTCGTTCAAGGTCAGAACATGCTACTCATCTTACCACTTGTCCCAAAGTACCTATGACTTGTACACATGCTGAATTTGGTTGTCCATGGACTGGAGAAAGAGCAACAATGGAAGAACATACAACATCATGTACTTATGAAGCGATCAAGGATTATTTACATCAACAGCAACAAAAATATACCCAAATGAAGGAAGAACTTCAAGCTGTACGCAAAGAAAACGAATCATTGAAACAACAACAATGGGAATCACGACAAAAACTCGAAACGATGACCAATCAATTAGGTATTCTCTTTCCTGCTCATTTCAGTATAGATCCTGATTTACCTTTGGATACACAACAAGAAGTCGTCTTATCTGAAACTCAACGATTACAAAATGACATTGATACCTTGTCTGCCAATATGACCAATTTGGAACTTAAACAAAATATGGCTCTGATGACCGAAACATTTCGACTTCAAGAAGAATTACAAAGTGTACGAGCTATTTGTCATGGGATGCGAATGCAAATGCACTACTTGATGATGGAACGAAGAGGTGCTATGATGATGCAAGCTACTTCTGGTACAACTAATACTCATTCCGATCCTCCTCCTCCTCCTCCTCCTTTACCACCTCATGATCAAGATGCTACTGGTTCAACATTCCAACGTATGAGATCTTGGCTAGGTAATCTTTTCATTTATATATATATATATATATATATATATATATATATATATGTTACTGATCATTTTTTATTATTGAAATAGATCCTTCTGGATCCAGACAAGACACGAAACTGTGACACAAAACAATGATCATCAAAAAGATTATGTTACCCCCTTTTTTATGCCATATACTTTTTTACTTTACTATTGTATCATATATATATTCTTTCATTAATAAACAATGTCAATACCATCCTAAATATAGTTCATCCCATTAATAAAAAAAAAAAAAGAACAATAAAAAAAAAGGTGATTTTATTTTTTTATTATAAAGAAAAGAACTATAGAATTTATTCTTCGTCTTCTTCGGCATCACCACCAGCAGCAGCAGCAGCACGCTTTCTCTTGACACGACCAGCACGGCCACCACCATAAGGAGAGGTCAAAGCAAAGTCAATATGCTTTTGGGATTCCAAACGGACAATGAAAGAAGGTACGTTGACGATTTGCTTACCAACACGGATGTGACGTTGACGGATCAAGACACGAGCATGATGGATAGACTTGGCAAGACCAGACTTGAACACTTGAGTTTGGAGACGACGTTCCAAGAAATCTTCAATCTTGAGACCCAAAACGTAATCGAGCTTCATACGGTCTTCAGTCAATACCTATATATATCATATCATCAATCTCTTTTGTTTTTTTTATTATTATTATTCAAAAAACTTACACCAATACGAACAAGACGACGAATCAAGGCATTACCTTCGAAAAGACGACGAGGATCCTTTTCATCCAAAGTCAACAATTCACGAGCAGCACGACGGATCTTGGACAAAGTCAATCCAACACGCCATACTTCCTTCTTGTTCTTGAGACCGTATTCACCGACCAACTTCAATTCTTGATCGAGACGAGCGGATTCGAAAGGACGCTTAGGGACCTTGTAGGTCTTGGAGTCTATATATAAAAAATAAAATGAATATCTATTTTTTTTTATTGTATGTTGATATGATTCTTACAGGTTCTGGAAGCACCGGTCATGATTCTACTATGAGGGGAAAAGAGGGAGAATATCTAATGTTCAAGAAAAAATTTTAGATTTATTCTCAACTTTTAAGCCACCTAAAAAAAAAAAAATGGGCAAAAAAAAAAAAAAAAAAAAAAGACATCTTTCGATGACAGATTCAACCCAGAAGTCCAAAACCTTCTTACATATCATCACTTATATCTTTGTATGATGATATAAAATCATCATCATCATCATCATCATCACTACTATGATGATTATTAATGGTATCAATGATTCTTCTTTGTGGTCATCTCTTAAGTGTAAATCACTAGGGAAATTTTCAACCAAGGTGACTTTGATCTGAGACTGAAAAATCTTTTCGCCTTGTTTGATCAGCCCAAGAAGTTTGGTTCTATTGTTTTGTTCCTCCTCTTTCACGTTTGTGCGTTCTATCATAATCGGTACGTTCATTTTTGAAGGAAATGAAATATATTTATATTGATGGTTACTTTTTTTTTTTTTTTTTTTTTTAGAAAATGCCTCACTCATTCGGTCGTAAGTTTAACGTTTACAACTTTTTTTTTTTTCTTCAACATACAACACCAAATATCCATCGATGTCTCACTTCAATATCACTTTTTTTTTTTAATATATAGTTCGTGCTCGTACTCGCCACATGTTCTCCCGTAAGTTCCGGGAACATGGTGCCATTCCTTTGTCTACTTATTTGAAGACTTACAAGGTGGGTGATATTGTTGATATCAAGGCCAATGCTGCTGTCCAAAAGGGTATGCCCCACAAATTCTACCATGGGTAAGTGTCTCTTTTTTTTATTATTATTATAATCTAAAAAAAAATCATTCTTTTTTCTAGTCGTACTGGTGTTGTCTATAATGTTACCAAGTCTGCTGTGGGTGTGATCATTTACAAGAAGGTTGGTAGCCGTTATATGGAAAAGCGCGTGAATCTTCGTATTGAACATGTCAAGCACTCCAAATGCCGTCAAGAATTCTTGGATCGTGTTAAGGATAATGCCCAAAAGAAGATCGAAGCTCGTGCTGCTGGTGGTAAGTTGATTGAAAAATATAAAAAAAAAAGTTCGGATCAAGACCTCATTCATGGAAATCTGTTTATTTTTTATTTTTTATTTTTTAATTTACATATATAGTCAAGGTCAACCTTAAGCGTATTCCTGCTCAACCCCGTGAAGCTCGTCATGTCTCTACTGCTGACAATGTCCCTCAAACCATCACTGCTATCCCCTATGAAACTCTTTTGTAAAAAAAAAAAAGATCATTCTATAGTCAATTCTTTTTTCAATTCCATTCATTCAATAAAGAAAAAAAAAATTCATCATTATTTCTTTTGTATTTTTTAAGAAAGAAAAAAAAAAGTAACAGCATCATCCTGTTTTGTTTTTTTTTTTTTGTTTTTTTGTCATACAAATGTATTATTCCATTCATTGTGCTTGTCTCCGTTTCTGCAGGTTTTTGTCAACTTTGCCAACCTTTTTTTTTTTTTTCATTGTCCGGTTGCTATTTTTGTCTCATATTTCGATTCTTCTATTTTTTTTTTCTCCATTCTATTTCTCCTCTTCTTCTTTTCCAATTCATTCATTATTCTCCAGTCTATCATGTCACCTACTGCCACCAAAGAAACAACAATAGTACCTGAAGGTGATGATGATGCTCAAGTACAAAAATGGTTAAAGGAACTAGAACGTGCAGAACAACTTATGGATGAACTGGAAGCAAAAACTGATAGATTGGATGCCAAGATGGATGCTCTTCTTCATAGTTTGAACCAAGAAAATGACCAAGACATGACCAATGATAAAATGGAAATAACACCTACTAGTCCTCATCAAGATAGTCGACAATGATGACTTGGATCTGATTCAATATATATCTTTGTTCTTTCTCGTTTATAATTATCCTCCCATTTTTTTTTTTATTTTTCATCATACACTTTTATAAATATAGTCACTAGTGATATCCTTTTCTTTTTTATTATTTTTGTATATGTATTCATTGACCCCTTTCCTCGTCTGTGTATATATATTAATCTTTTTTTTTTTTGTCATGTTACCTTGCTTTGCTTTTACAAATAAAACCCCGCTAAAGTTATTTCATCTCTTCTTTTCTTTTATATATATATTTCTAACATGTCCTCATTACAAAAAGATATGTTTAAGAAAGGACGACTTCCTACTTTGGGTAGTGTGATAGAAGACGATGATGATACTTCAAGGTAATAAATAAAATCACTATGGAAACACTCTACCTTTTTTTTTATTATTTCACTGAGCCTCACTATGACCTTTTTTTTTTTTTTTTGTATTTATTCAATATGATAAGTCCTTCTATACCTTCATCATTAATGACAAATAGTAAAAAAACTCGATATGTTGCTGATAGTTGGGATCTTTACTTTGACCGTATGACCCATGTTCAAATAAACTCTGATACCTTTTGTGTTTATTTCCTGGACGCAAGACTTGAACAAACAGACAAACCATTACCAGTTTTTCTCATGCATCATGGTGCTGGTGCTGGAGCTCTTTCTTTTGCTTTGGTGGCTAAACGGATTCATGAACTCTTGAATGGACAATGTGTGGTCATGGCGATGGATTGTCGTGGTCATGGTAATATTCCAAAAAAAAAAAAAGGATAACACCAACCCATATTATCTATGATACTTTTATTTATTTATTTATTTGATGGACGGACTCTATTAGGTGATACCATTAGTTCTGGTGAATTAAGTTTCAATGTAAATCGATTATCCGATGATATGGTGAATGTTGTATCCAAATTATATCCAAATCCTGATCCTTATCAATTCATACTAGTTGGACACAGGTAAAAAAAAAAAAAAAAAAAAAAAAATGAACAAAGGATACTCATTCTATTTCTTATCAGTATGGGTGGGTCAGTGGTAGTGGATATTGCTTATCGTCAAAGACTTTCCAATGTCATGGGAGTGGTTGTGATGGATGTGGTGGAAGGTTCGGCATTAGAAGCAATCCAACTTATGGACAAGTTTCTTAGCACAAGACCAACGGAATTCCAATCTATAGAAGAAGCTATACAATGGAGGTAAAAAAAGGAAATCATGTATTTCTCTGTATTTCATTTTTTTTTTTTAGTTACAAGTCAAAATTGGTACGTAATTTACAATCTGCCAAAGTATCCATCCCTCCTTTGGTGAAATTGGAGAATGACAAATACAGATGGCGAACCGATTTACATTTAACAAAACCATATTGGAAAGGTAAGTAACGATATGATTATATAACGTTGATGATTTTTTTTTTTTTTTTAGAATGGTTCACGGACTTATCGGACAAATTCCTTGGTTCGCCAGTTTCCAAACTTTTAATGTTGGCTGGTACGGATCGGCTTGACAAGACGTTGACCATTGCACAGATGCAAGGTAAAAAAAAAAAAAAAAAAAAAAAAAAAAAAAAAAAAAAAAAAAAAAAAAAAAAAAAAAAAAAAAAAAACTATTATAAAGAAGGGACTTTTTTTTTTTTTACATGAATTTACCATTGATTTTAGGTAAATTTCAATTGACGGTGTTAATGGATTCTGGACATTTTTTACAAGAAGATTCTCCTGACACAACTGCAGCTACTTTAATGGATTTTTGGTCAAGATTTTCAAGAATGGTTTTACCAAAACCTATGGATCGTATTTAGTTGACTATAGTTTATTTTTATTTTTTGTTGACATGAAAATAAATCATAAAAACAAACTCGGTGATGATTGAAATTAGAATCAAATTGATATGACAACCAGGGAGACTACTTATGCGTATATTGACGTTATGATGAGATAATGTGACGATGAATGACTGATTTAGCAAATTGTCGTTTATGAAAAATGACTTAACTTCATGATGGATAGTTGGGACGATCTGTGATACAAACAGAGAAAAGATGATGATACTTTATGATTCTTTCCTGGGCGGAGATACGAGAAGAGTTATCTCATTCGTTCCCTTAAGGAAATAAAATAGTGTTATTATTCTTATATATATAAAAAGTAGAATATTATAAAAAAAAAAAAAAGGTGATTTCATCAGGTCATGAGGTAGGGAACCAATGCAAAAGGATGATGACTTTTATTATATATATTATAATATTTAGTTGGAAAACAGATGTTCACGAGAGTGATGATACCTATGTTGGGAAAAACTTTCCGTAAAAAAAAAAAAATCAAACTACTCAAGTGGGACGAGATGAAGAATGGAAGCGATCATGAGTGATGGGTATCGTTTTGATCTGATGGTTCAATGAGGGTACACAGGACCTGGGTGCAGCGGAGTACAAACAGCTGACTAACTTGCAGGGAACATTCAACATAAAAAGGGATATTTTTTTGTTGTTTTTTTTTTTATTTTCATTTTTTTTTTTTTTTTTATACATTCTTCTACTTGTCTTTTTATTGATCAATATGCAAAACGGAAACGGTTGTGGGTAAGTGATCTTGAATGAATGGGAAAAAAAAATGTATTACTTTTTGACACGCGTTTCCTTCTAGTTGTGGTTCTTCTTGCGGTTGCGGTGCCAATTGTTCTTGTCCTCCCAAACAATAAACGGACAATACAGAAAAAAAAAAAAAAAAGCTGGATACAAAGTAGGTTTTATATCATATTTTCACCAGCATATACTAATTCCTTCTGTTCTTCTTTCTATAGTTCAAGATGTTTGTTTTCTTTTAGAAATACCCCTCTTACACCTATCCTAGTCCTCTTTTTTTTTTTCTACCGTTATTTTATCAAATAAACAAAAAAAAAAACTTGTGACATACTGTCAAAAAAAAAAAATGAAACAACATTGTTTTTTATTGGAGTTTTGTAAAGTCAACAACTTGATAGATAGATATATATATAAAGAAGAATATGCAAAATAACAAATGAAATATATATATATAAAAGGTAAAGTATATAAAGGTCTATTGTGAATTGTCCCCAAAACCAGCTCGTCGTCGCAATGTTTGTCCTTTCCATTTGACTAAAGCAAAAGATATCATGCCCATAATGTTCAATCCAGCCAAAATCACCATGAAAAATCCTGTACCAATCGATTGAACTGTAGGTCGAGCGATCAAACTAAGAATCCCAGCCATGGTCATCCGTAATAAATTGGCAGCAGCAGTAACTGAGGCACCTTTACCAGGAATTGAATCAACAAGGTAAGCAGATCCAGCAGCATATACTATCAAAAAAAAAAAATATTAAGTTCTTTATTTCTATCTTAAGCTTAATTTCAATGAAATTCCCAAGAATAGACGCACAAAAACACTTACCTTGACTCATACCGAAACAGACTATGCCAAAACCAACAATGGAAACCCATACTACGAAGCCTGCTTGAATACCCCAGCCAAAGATAAGTACACCTAGAGGAACAAGTATAAAACCACCAGGCCTATTCATAATAAAAAAAAATCAATAAGCTTTTCTTTCTTTTTCTTTTTTCTTTTTTTTTTTGGTATAATGCAAAGGATGACTGAATTTTCTTCTTCTTCTTCTTACCAAGCATTCATTGTCAATCGATCTTCAGTCAAAGGCTTGCCACCACGCTTTGTTCGTGCTCTTTTCAATAGATAATCTGAGATAGCACCAGAGATAAAAGAACCAACAATATTGCCTAAACCTGCACCCAAGAAACTTAAACCTATAAAATGTTTTTATTAGTCTTGATTTTGAAAAGAATTGGTTTTTTTTTTTTTTTTTTTTTTTTTTTTTTTTACCTGTTTGCCAAGATTCAAAGCCATAATAAGTCGCGTAAAGATCAGGAATAATAGTTTCGATGGTAAACATTGTACCAAAGCAAATACCAGTTTGTACTGCGATCATCCAAACAAACATATGTCGTAGAAGAAGTACACTTCGTACAGGATTGAATCCTGTAGACTGAGATGTAGGAGTAGGAGAAGGGGAGGATGGATTTTCTTGATAATAAGCTACATCACTATTATTGATATTTCGTTCCAAATCGCCATCATCATATTGAGTGTGACCACCGTGAGCAATAGTACTTGATAAACTATCTCTTCGAGGAGTTTTGACTGATTCAGAAGTATTCAAGCTATAATCGCTGCTGCTGCTGGCAGATTGTAAAAATGGATACTGCTTGTTCTCCAACACTTTATTGTTGACATGAGTAACGTCACTAGGGTAAGTAGAAAGTCGTTCTATAGGAGGTGCCACTTGCTTTTCTTCTATTGCTGGTAATCGCCAATCTTGATCCAATCGATATGTTTCAGGTAGAAACATGAACAGAAAACAGAATAGAAACATCCCATAAGCAACACAAAACCAAAAAGTAGAACGCCAACCAAGTAATGTTGTCAAGCCGCCTCCAATGATGGGTCCTATATTATAAATTATCATGAGTACAATAATTAATTGTATTCTATTCTTTCTTACCAACAAGGGGACCAAAAAATTGACCAACAAATAAAATACTAAAAGCTGCACCACGTTCAGTTACTTCCCAACAATCGGATACTGTACCTAAATACAGAAGAAAAAAAAAAAAAGGGTGAACTGCTGAGCACTACTAAAAATAAATACAACAAAAAAAAAAGCTTAACTTACCAGCACCAACAGACATAGTAACTGAAAATACCAAGAAAAAAAAAAAGGGTAAGAATGTGAAAAAATAAAAAAAGGCTATTTTTAATATTACCAGAAGTACCAACAGATTGAATACATCTTAAAACCACCAAAGCCCAAACATTGCTCACTAAAGCACAACCTGTAGACGCGACAGTGAATACAAGTAAAGATATCAGATAAAGGAATCTATGAAGAAGAAAATAAAATAAAAAAAAAAGGAAAAGAAAGAAAAAAAAAAGAGAGAAAGAGAAATATAGTAAGTATTATGAAAAGATATATATTTGAATGACCGCCATGCATGTATTTTACCTTCGAATATGATAGAAATCAGACATGGATCCCCACATGATAGGCTGATTGAATGATCATTTTTTTTTAAAAAAAAAAAAAAAAGTTAATATTGTTGTTATGGTAGATGTTGTAATTGTAGTAATAATATTTAGTCGATGTTGAGATGATTATATAAAGCATTAAATATTAAAAAAAAAAAAGGACAATACAAATGAGAAAAAAAAAAGTCATCATCCATACCAAAAGTTTGGTAATAATCTTTTTTCTTTTTTTTTTTTTTTCTTTATTATACGTACACCAATGCCACCAAATAATATGAATAAGGAAGTTGTCAATGTAATAGCCATAGGACTTGCTTTTAATTCGGTTTCAATATCCGGTAAACCTGGTAGCTAATAAAGAGAGGGGAAAAGAATTTGAGAATCCAAATGTGAAAAATAAATGTGGTGTGATTGGATCATCAAACAGATTTCCAACCGGTTGGGCATAATATATATACGCCATATTTCATATACTTACAAAGATAGTGGAGCATAATCCATTTAAAGATGAACCCATGGCGAGACAAGCTAAAATCAACCGCTTTTTCTTGATAGAGAAAAGTCGAGGATCATCCGGTACTGGTGGTTTAAAAGCCATATGTGTTTGTAAAAATAATAATACTCTATTCCATAATCGTTTCATAAAATGATGATAAGGTTTATGATAACTATTCTTGTCGGTAGTTGCATGATGTGTACTCGTCGTCTCTGCTTCACCGTTTTCATTGGATGATGATGTACTTGATGTGGTCACTACTTCTTCAGTAGGTGTCAAATTAACTACGGTTTTGTTGATATCTTTGTTATAAGTGTTTTCGTCCATTATTCCTTAATATATATATACAGAAAGAGAATGGATAAGTGATGAATGGAATAATGAATCAAATGATGATGAATGAAAATAGAAGATATTATATATAAATAGATATAAGAATGAAGAAGAAGAAGAAGAAAGGAAAAAAAAAAAGGAAAGAAAGAAAAATAAAAAAAAAAAAGGTTGAAATAGATATATCAAATGCTCAAAAAGTGGATACCAAAAAAGGAAATGAGATCCAGGGGTGAATTAGACGGGGTAGTGCGGATTAATGTTATTTGAATCGAAAACAAAGTTGCTATTAAAATCATCTACTGTTATGTCCTGTTATAATCTTGATGTACTATTACTGTTATGGTTCAATGCAAAGTATAAAAATAAAACAAAAACAAAAAAAAAAAAAAAAAAAAAAAAAAAAAAAAACTGAGTAAAGCAGATGGCAGATTTGTTTACTATCTCTATTTTATTACTGGGTAAAAATAGATATCTTGAGATAACAACAATAAAGCAATGATAACATGAACATCAAAAAAAAAAAAAAAAAAAAAAACTTTCGTGATGATGGTAATTTCTTCTTCCCATTTCATTATGTTTGCGATTGTCTTAAAACACAATGATACTATTTCATCAAATAATACGTTTTTTTTTTAAAAAAAAAAAATCTTCCTTTAATTATCGGTAAACCATCCTTCTTTATAATACATGACGACATGAAAATTCAAATATTACCCAGCAAAAAGGATAGGAGTACCATCTTTTTTATTTTCAATAACTAAGCAATCATTAAACTACTTGGCTTTTTTTTTTTTTGACGTAAATAAAGTTTTATTCAAATATAATAATGGATGAAAAAAAAAAAAAAAAAGAAAGGGGGGAAATATAATGATGGTATCATGGTGCGTGAGATATGTAAAAATAAATAAAAAAAAAAAGGAAATAAAAATGGTATCAAACTAAGAATAAAAGATGTCATAGATGGCAGTAAAAATGAAACTGTACAGGTATCAATGATATAATAGTAGAAGATTTATATATGCGTATGTGTGTGTGTGTGTGTATGTACGTGTGACGGATAAGGGTAAATAATCCAAATTCAATCTACTTGTATAATGACGAGTATTTTTTTCTTCTTCTTCTGTATGTATGATTTGTTGGCATGTTAAGCATATGAATTGAGTTGATTGATTGTGGTATCATAATAATTGTTCAATTTGCTGTAGAAGAAGGTCGAGAAGATATCTTGTTAGGTAACCATGGTGATTGTTGCTGACTAGCTGCATGTGATAATAAACGTTCCAAAGTCACTTCATTCAAAAAAGTACCTTCTGTAGCCGCTTTTCGTAAAACAAGTGTCAAATGTCGCATTTGTTGATTCACTTGCAAAGTATGATCATTTCTCTTTTTCAAAAGTGCTTGTTGTTGTTCATTGGTATCATCCCATTTCTTTCGTGCTTCCATATAAAGACTTTCCTTTCGCTTGAGTTGAACAATATCTTGTTCCGCAATGGCTAATTGTTCGCGTAATCTATCATTGTCTTGTTTCATGGTGCGTTGGAGTTGTTTTTTATCTGCTTTCATTTGATCTATGGTGTTGCGCAATTTAGTGACCACTTGTTCTGCTTTGGTACGAGCTAGAGCCATACTGTTGGTCGATTGGGTATATTTACGTTTCCATTCTTGATTTTCAGTTGTGAGCCTTTTCAATTTGCCTTCATATTGTAATCTGATTTCCTTGATCTGACGTGATATGGCATCAGTTTGTTGTCGCCTTTGTAACCCCTTTGGTGGTGGTGGTGGTGGTGGTGATGGTGAGGGTGATGCGGCAGTATGCGGCCTTTGTTGACATTGAGGTTTACTTTCCAAACTGATGGCTGCTGGTTGCTGATCCTTGTTCAGTTGTTGAAGTTTAGTTGCAATATCTCTATTGTTGATTTCAATATCTCCAATGGCATAATCCCGTTGATATCGCATGTCGACAAGATGTGTTTGTAGGAGTTTAAGTTGAGCTTCATAATTGATGCGCATTTGAGTATATTCATCTTCCGATTTTTCTAGTTGGCCAACTAATTCTTGTTTCACCAAAAGATCTGCTTGTACCTGGTGTAGCATTTTTAGTAAATCTTTATTTCGTCGTCGACCCAAATTTCTTTTTCCATTGTTGGCTAGAGTCCAATAGGTTGAAGAGAGACGTGAGGTTGCAATAGAATTATCGGAATCATCGAGGAAAGAGTCGGTCCATGATAATGACTCTCGTTTGGTTGAGTCGGTCATAGATTGAGCTTTCGGTTCGTCGGCCCAAGCAGGTACTGACTAAAACGAAAGAATAAGATAAAAATAGTAAAGAAAAGTTAGCATGAAAGTAATATTTGTGAGGATAGAGAGAAAGGGACAATTCAATTATCACTTCCTTGTATTTTTTTTTTTTTTTTTTTTACCAAGGCTTGTATTTCGTCTTCATTGTTGTTGTTATTGTCATTGTCATCAATAGGTGACGCCAAGTCATGACATATTGTGTTCCCACTAATAGGCGAATCTGGTAATGTGGATGGAGAGGAAGGAGAAATAGAAATACCAGTAAGAGCATCCAGTTTGGAAGAGGAAGGCGGCGATAACGAAGTATTCATAAAATCAATACTTGAGGAATAAGAGGCGAATAAAGGAACGTCACTGTTGATTTTTTTATCATGTTGTTGTAGTTGTTTTTTTTGTTGCTGCTGCTGCTGCTGCTGTTGTGTTTCATCTGCTATCTGTGACTCAATATAAACAAAAGAATAAACTTTGTGTTTAAATACTAAAAATACTCACTTTATCCCTCTTTTTTTTTTTTCTCTTCTTTCTTATGTTACCTTTTGCTGAGACGTGTACATATCATTGTTATTTTTGTTGTTATCCACCTAAAGAAGAAATGGTAACGTTAGTAATGTATTATAGATATACATATCTATATATATATGCCTATGTATTCTCTTACCTTGAGAATAAAATCTTGATGATGATTTCCCATTTCCGTTGTACTGCTGTCGCCATCATTGGTGTCACTATCCAAAAAATGCCATAGTTCATCCAGATCGGGTAAAGTCGATTCGTTCATTACTGTTGTATGTTTCCGTACTGATTTCATTCTGTGTCCAATAGGTAAAGAATGTTTTCTTTGTTTAACTGTTCGTCTTGTACCAGTATGTGCGCCACCAGTGGAGACAGAACCCATTCGCATATTTTTATCCAAAGTTGTTTTTTGCCGTCGATGTGTTGGACTATTACTACCAAACCGACCGGGGACAGCCATTGAAATTGAAGGTTCATGATCAAAAACATATTTACGATTGGAGTAACTTTTGGAAGAAGTTGTTACCGACGGATGTTGACCGATGTGATAACGTTGCTGAGTTTCCAGATGAACCAGACGATTATTTGCTTCAAGTAATTCAAATTTGAGATCTTGTATATGTTGCAGATAATTTAAAACTAGAGGTTGGACCTGTACAGGATTGTCAATATCCGAGGATTCTTGTTGTTGTTCTTGTTGTAATCGTAGGGTATCACGTTCACCTTGTACTTGGATCAAATCCTTTGATAGAGCATCGGCATGAGCTTTGACCCGAGCTAATTCCGCTTCCATCGCACGATAACCGTCAGATATACCATAAGAACCATGGTTTTGTTGATGTTTGAGATCCAGTAATTGCATTTTCAACTTGATCATTTGACTTCGTAAATAAGAGACTTCTTCAGGGCTACCTTCATAATCCACGTTAATTTCTACACGGTTTTGAATATTCCTGGCACGATTGGCATATTTAAGAGTATTGAGAGTTTCCATATAATCGGATGGACTAGGACTAATACAAGCTAACATTAAGGTATGACTATTTCCACCAAGACTATCTTGAATTAATCTTGTCAATTTGCTATCACGATAAGGAATATGAGATCCGCATTTTGAATGATCACCAAGAGCCGAAATAACATTTCCAAGTGCTAATAAGCCAGTATTGATAGAAATACTTTCTTTTTGTCTTTCACCCAAGGCATTGGTTCGTTTGAGCTGCAATAATAATAATAAAAAAAAAAAGTGAGTTAATTATGTTGTTTTTTTTTTTTTTTTAATTCCTGAATTTTACACGTTCTGATCCTGCTAAATCGACAAAATGAAATTTGGATACCAATCGTTTGACAGGTACTTGTTGATTATCCAATGGATCACCTTGTTCACATATTTGTTGTTTCAAAGTAATGGAGACGATAGCATGAGATCTTGAGGAAGAGGAATTCATATCAGTAGATCCAGTAGAACGGCACATTGCACCTTTTCGGATATGACTAGGAAAATAAAATTAAATAAATAAATAAAAAAAAAAAGGTTAATCATTTTCATAAGAATGAATATATTCTACTAACTTTAATAATTCAGTTGAGCTTTGCACATGAATTTCACGTACACCTGTCCAATATATTTGTCGATGACCATCTTCACGTACAGCAGGATGAACAGTATCATCCTTCTTGTTTTGGCAAAAGAGATCGATAATTTCTTCATTGTAGAGTTCCAGAAATGATACATATATTTGATAAGTAGTTGTGCTTTCCCTTTCCCCTAATCGTTCAAATAGTATTTTTGCAAATCGTTGGATGATTCCTAATGACAAGAAAGGTATTAGACAATAAAAATTTGAAGATTTCAACATTTTTACCTTCAGCATCACGGTTAGGTAGAGGTTCTACACCAGTTCCAATACTATAAGTTTTCCCAGAGCCAGTTTGACTAAACGTTCCAATATAAAAAAAAAGAAAATGATATTCAATAAACAAAACTTATCATATATATATATATATATATTCATACCCATAAGCCAATACAGTAGCATTGTTTCTAGGTAATAAATAAAAAGGAGAGAAAGAGAGGGAGAGTTAGTAATAAATGGGTAAGTTTTACTCGGAGACACATAGAGACTTTACCCTTCTAAAAAACAATCCAAAAGAGGTATGATGCTTGTTGTAAACAGTTGATTTTGGTCAGTTTGTGGAGGGAAAACATGATCAAAAGTAAATGCCCTGTCAGAACCAAGAAATATTTGAGGTTCATCTTTGGCATAAGTAATACAGTCGGTAGGTCCAGTAGTTTCTTGCTCCTTTTCTGACAAAGGACGGATTCGTAACGCTACCCTATGAATAGATACTATTAATGATAAAACAAAAAAGAAAGAAGAAAATAATACAAACCAACTTTTTTTTTTTCTTTATAAACATTTACCTAACGGCAGTTGTTTCCATTGACCAAAAAAAGAGAGAACAGTAAAAAAAAAAAAAGAAAAGAAGAAGAAAAAAAAAAAGATAAAAAGTAAAAAAAAAAAAAAAAATAACAATCTGTGTAGTAACAAGCAACAAATGAGACTGAGTTGTAAATTAGGTACAGAAGGGGTTCCCTCATCAAATTATAAAATCGAACATATTTCCAATTTTTTCATTCTTTCCTTTTCTTTTTTTTTTTTTTTTTTTTTTTTACATTTTTTAAAATATCCATTATGAATTCATCTACACGATCATCATCTTTATCATCTCTTGTTAAACAATTCTTTATATCGATATCACCTTCTACAAATAATAATCGTAAATCTACTCAATCCAATGATACCACTTATGCAAGTTGTTTATTTCAACAAGAATATGTTTCTTTTCCTTCATTAGATGATGATCAAGATAGAATGTACAAGGATCCTACAAGATTTATGGTGGAATCTAAACCAGTATTATGCTAGATAAATATCTTTATTATTTATATTTCCCAATCGTTATATTTATTTCCCCTTCACACTCTTTTGTATATACAATTTTATATCAATATCTATATATATCTCAAAATGAATAAAATATCCTCGGATGATTATATGACAACCTTAGAAAGTGATGTATTCGTGACAAACCCTTCATCTCTCTGATGAGTATTCCTTATCACCTGAACCACTTTATTTTTTTTATGAATACCCACCATTAGTCACATGATGTCTTTTTGGTCTTGTTCAACCATCATGATTTTATTTACCCAATAAATGTCAAAATATATATATTTCCCCATTTACTTTTATCTAAATAAGGAACACCATTCCTTGTTTTAAAAAAAAAAAAAAAGAAAAAGAAAAAAGAAAAAAGTTACTTTCAATGAATAATATTATTAGCCATCATGATAAAGGAAGTCATCCTAAGGAGTGATAACTTTGAATCCTAACGTCATTATAAATGTCATCATTCATTGTCATCGGTTCATTATCATAAGAATCATCACCCTTATAAAAAGAAATTACTATTAAATCATCCATGTAGAAATATCACCGGAATCATCATAAAAACTGTCTTTTTTCTATCACTCACCTGCTTTTGCATGATTTTCTAGCTTATGAACTCCGCAAAAAAAAACTTGAAGGTTGTGCCAAGAAAAGAAAAAGGGAATGAAAAACAATAAGGGAATTTCATTCTCATTTTGGTTATGCCTGCCATCTTGTTGCTACACAGGGGATCCAGAGTTTTATATTTCAAAATAGGTCCATTTCTTTTTTTTTTCAAACAAGGTTAAATAAAAAAAAGAGATCTTCATCTATGTATCACTTTTCCTTCTTTTTTTTTCAAAATCTATATTTACATTATTTATCTATCTTTATATATATTTTTGACTTGAACATCATTCTAATCTGTCAAAAAAAAAAAAAAAATAGGCTTACGTTCCTATTTTTCTCTTTTTTTCAAACTCCAGATGAGTTTCTTCCCACTCCGGAACCAATTAAATAGGACGATTACTGGCGATCCATTTTCCCGTCCAACCATCATTTCTTTTCCATTTAAAGATAAACGGCAAAAAAATTTTCGTTTTCCCTTTTTCTTTTTTTTTTTTTTTTCCTTGCTTTTCCTTTTTTTTTTTTTTTTGACATTTCTGGAACCATAGAACATGTTAGGCAATCGGTTTCATGATCCTGGTACACCTCCACCTTTGGACTTGCCTATCATTGGTTCTCTTGGTGAAAGTACCGCTTCTGAATTATCATTGACAGACGAAATATCATCAGCAAACGAAGAAGATAAAGAACGACAATCCGTTACACCCCGACTGATATTTCCCACGAATGACAACAACAACAACAACAATACTTCTTCTCCACGAAGACCAAGTCATGCTGACCATGCCCTTGCTCTTGTTGAAAATATGACAACTAAAAAGAAAATATCCAAAACCAGAAGACATTCTACACGAACAGGTGTTTTGGCCAACTTGCTCAAACTGAAAGATGTTCCAAACAAATCACCACCATCAGATACTACCATCACTTTGGATCCTGTTCGACCTGCCTTTAAACGCCACTATTCATTACGTCAACAACATTTGCGACCACTCAATTCATCAAGGCTTCTTTTAGAATCTATGGGGAGATCCACTCAATCAGCAAGGAACTCGGGTTACTTTGATGACGACAATGATGATGACATGGACAAGGCTGAATTAGGTTCTTACCATCTCAATTCGGTGGCGCAAAGGATGCAAATTACAGCGGATATCGCCGATATACTGGAACGTCAAGACTTTATCATCAAACTTGGGAAATCATTGGTACGTACTGGAGCTCCTACACATCGCATAGTAAGTGGAAAAATATAATTATATATATATATGAAGATTCATAAAAAAAAATCTTTTTATTCTAGGAAGCAGCCATGGAAACAACAAGTAAACGATTGGAAATTGATGGAAGTTACTTTGTATTACCGGGATTAATTATGGTTAGTTTTGGTGATGTGGAAACTCATACATCAGAAACACATTTGATCAAATGTTCCAAATCCTTGGATATCTCAAAATTAGCCAAAGTAAATGATATTGCTCACAAGGTGGCTAAAGGGAAAATCGATGTATCTGAAGCATCTACTGAATTGGATGATATTAAGAATTCACCTCCTACTTGGAATGTATGGTGGACTTTGGTTGGTTATACTATTTCATCTGCCTTCATTGCTCCACTCTTCTTTGGTGGTTCCTGGACTGATTGTTGGGTTAGTGCATTATTTGGTTTAGGAGGTAAACAAAAAAAAAATCTTTTATTTATAACTAACCTTTAATGTTATCTTGAATGGTTTTTTTTTTTAGTTGGTTTGGCTACTTTTGTTTCTGAAAGAATACCAATGTTCGGTAACGTGTTTGAAATGGTAGTGACGATTGTAGTGTCATTGATTACATTAGCCATCAATAATCATGTTTGTTATTCTGCTGTGGCTTTATCAGCAGTGGTGGTTGCGTTACCAGGTAAAAAAAAAAAAAATGAAAGGTGATCTTCCTTCATCTTTGCTTATCCTTTCTTTTCTTTTTTTTTTCTCTCTCTCTCAGGATACGCACTCACTTCTGCCGTACTAGAACTTGCAGCGAAGAATCTATGTAGTGGTGCAGTGCATTTGATTTATGGTATCATGTATGTCATGTTTCTAGCGTTTGGTATGGGATATGGTAGTACGATCTGGTCCTTAACTCATCCTGGTGTTGCTGTTATCTCAATGCAGGCATGTTCCAAACCTGTGGATCCCTATTGGTATTTCCTCATGTTACCCTTGACTTGTTTTGGTATCTGTATCTGTTTCGGTGCCAACATGCGACAATACCCTATCTTTACATTCAATGCTGGTGTAGGCTTTGTAGTTTATTACTTTATGAACAAACTAGTTGGTGCCAACTCCATCATCACTCCAAGTGTCGGTGCCTTTGCTCTAGGTTTAACTGGTAATATTTATGGAAAGGTGACAAAACAACTGGCCTTTGTTCCTCTTATGGGTGGCATCATCATATTGGTACCTGGCAGTTTAGGTAAAAAAAAAAAAAAAAAAAATCAATGAATTACTCATTTTTTTTTTTTTTTGATGATATAGGTGTCCGTGGTGCCGTCTCATTATTCGAAGATGGTTCTAATAACAGTGCAAGTGGCATGTTTGCATCTCAAATCATAGGTATTGCACTTTCTATTACCCTTGGATTATTCTTGGCCAATATGTGTGTGTATCCATTAGGTAGAAAACGATCTGTATTTTTAGGATTTTAGTCTTTTTGTTTTATATCTTCCCTTTTTTATACTCTTCATGTATTTTACCCATTTTTTTTTTGATCTTTTGTATTTTTATCATTTTATTCTTCACTACTTATTCATCATGTATGTATCATTCCATCATCATTCAATCATAGAATAGATATCATTTTAAACTATGTTTAGAAATGCATTGCTTTTTATTGAATTTCATGTCAACTAATAAAAAAAAAAAACGATTCCACTATCATACACTACTATCACTAAACTAATTATTATTGTTATCCTTTGGTTCTTGGAAAGAAGATTCACGTTCTGCAGCATTCACCAAGTCTTTAGTGATCTGTTCCTTCATTGAATGAGCATCGTTACTATCGCTAGGAGAAGTGGGTGTATTGGAGGGCTGTCGTTTATTGATCGAGTTGTAAATAGTCAGTGCCTATACATAAATAAAATAAAAATGTGAATCTATGCTTTTTTTTTTTTTGATCATGATTTAATATTTTCATTACCTGAGATACCATGGAGGCCGCATCATTGGCTGCAGCAGGTACAATCAAAGTAGTTCCTTCCTTAGCCATTCTTCCAAATGCCTCCACATACTTTTCAGCCACAGCCATAGACACAGCATCATGACCATGTTGAAGAGCAATTGCCTTGGAGATATTTTCAATACCCCTTGCCGTTGCTTGTGCTCGTAGTAAGATAGCTTCCGCTTCACCAGATGCCAAATTCACTTGTTCTGCTTTTTCAGCTTCAGATCCCAAAATTGTTGCTTGTTTTCGTCCTTCGGCAACATTGATCGCTGCTTGTCTAGCACCTTCAGATTCTAGAATTTGAGCTCGTTTTGTTCGTTCTGCTGATACTTGTTGATGCATAGATTCCACAACCTTACTAGGAGGATGAATATCACCTAAGAAAAAAAAAATCATTATTCTTACTGTTTAACATTATCATCATCATCACTTACGGATTTCATAACGTAAACACCTGATACCCCAATCTTCAGCAGCAGAGTTGATGGCAAGTACGATATTTGAATTCAAATGAGCACGCTCAGCAAGAGTCTTGTCCAAAGTCATTTGTCCAATTTCTGCACGCATGGTAGTTTGAGCCAATTGAGTAATAGCAAATTCCGCATCTTCCACACCATAAGAAGCTTTGAAGGGATCCACAATTCTGAAATATAACACACCATCCAATTCTAATGTAACGTTGTCTATTTTCATAAAAAAAAATAAATAGAATATATTTAGTTTGTAATGTTAACACCGTCCAAATGCTTATCACCACTTGTTCTTTTTTTTTTTTTACATCCTATTTACCTTGAGTAATGGCACTTTGACTTGGTACTTCAATGGCGGTTTCCTTGAGACTCTTAACATATTTGATACGGTCAATGACAGGCACAAGAATATTCAAACCAGGATCCAACATACGATGGAATCGACCCATACGTTCTACTATCCAAGCTTCTTGTTGAGGGACAAATTTGATAATCTAACAAAACAAGGAATAAAGATGAGTAAATTTCTTTTTTTTTTTTTCCTGTGATGTTGATCATGTTCATAATATATAACAAAGGTTAACTTACAGTATTGCGTGGCAGTGATTTCCGTTCGTTACCCCAACTTGATCCAGAACCTACAGGACTACTTCCATATTCATAATCATTGTTGTATCCATAACCACCATAGAACGCGACTCGTTGAGAAATAATAGGTGATACCTACATGATAACATTAAAAAAAAAAAGGTCAACATGTCAAGTGCGTGACATTAAAAATAAACAAAACTTATTGGACAAATGAATCTTTTTACCTTGAGGGATGTACGTAATAAAGAAGTTGCAAGTTGATTGGTTCTCCTTACAGACGTCAAAGATGAAGACTTTAATAGACTATTCATGCTAATATGTACTATGTCAATTTAAAAACCAAATTGGGAATAAAAAAAAAAAAAAAGAAAACAAAAAGAAAAGGAAAAAAAAAAAAGGGGAGCTTCCGGTATTTAAACGATACAACATAAAATCACACTAGAAAGAAACCGGCATTCGCACTCCGTCATAAAGAAATTGACTCATCCTCAACTATGGCCGGAATCCATTGTTTTGAGTTTTTGTCAAACAAACGTATTATTATCTTAAAGTTGGATTCAAAGAAAAAAAAAACCATTATTTTATGGGAATAACATGTGTTTATTGAAGTAGATCTATTCACATTATAGTGAGATAATAATAATAATAAAAAAAAAAAAACTAATCTCTACAGTATGAATATGTCGATTCATTGTCCATTAGTATTGAAGATCATATCTACCATTGGATCATCTATTATAACACCTTGGATGTTGTCAGTTATGGTTCAATAGAGTCAAATCTAGGATATTGTTCTTTCACTTTTGTCGTCAGAGCTTATATGGCATCGCATGAATTTCTCTAGCATCAACTCCGCTTCATAGTTGCTCGAATGACGGATGCAAAGTACTTTCTATACCGAAATGCATAACGACGAAGTTATGTTTGATGAAAATAAAAAAAAAAGGTTTATTCATAAGATAAACTTCAATTTCTAAGTTTTCAGTAATAGCGGATGGAAGTAGAGAGGATAAAATGGTAATAATAATAGTAAATCATGAATATTATTCTAACAACAACATTAATAATAAAAGTAGACGATAAACAAAAAAAAAAAAAAAACATCTTTATTAGAAGTTTTATATACAGAGAATCGTCACTGTTCCAATTTTGTCGGGTAATACTCATATAACTATAGTATGGATTCTAAATCTATATCCTGGTATCATCGTATGCCATTTGTAGTCGAATAAATGGATGATATCAACGAAAATTGGATGATGGATGATGAATGACATGTAAATGCATTTGTTGATAGTATAGTGACCAATAAGTAGGAGAAAATGGGGAGATAATCAACAAATTCAATGTATAAAAAAAATCAGAACGGTTCGGTGGACAGGTGATAGAGAGATAATTTTGTTTTTTCAATTTTGGCAATACCCATCATGGTATGATATAAAGCATATGATGCCTATATAGCAAAAAAAAAAAAAAATCGAATAGTAAATCATTTTAATCTTTTTCACTTTTTATTTCATGTACTTACATAGGCATCCTTTGCGGCATAATCAATTTGTTTTTCACTAAGTTTTGCAGTATTCCAATTACTTAACCTTACAGATCCTTTTGGCATGTTTGTTCCCAGCTATACAACAACACAAGAAGAAAAAAATCAGAATCATTCTATTTTTTTTTATTGGATTTATTTGTTGACTTACAAAGATACCAGTTAAAGCACGAAGAGATTTACTTGTAAATTGCTGTTCTGTAGGTGATTGAGCCATTGCCAAGGTAGAGATAGGTCGAAGATCCAATAAACCATCCGTAAGCACATTAAAGTCCCTGTACAATTTAACACCATCACCCCGAATATTGACACCTGCTTTATAAAGTGAACGATCTACAAGAAATTTTCGTAATACATCCGGTAGTCCTATACCAAAAAAGAAAAAAAAATATATAAGTACAATTCTCTCTTTTCCTTTTTTTTTTTTTTGTTTTTATTTTTATTATTAATATCATTACCATTCATTTGAGATACTTGTATAAGAAGGATAGTAGATGCACCGCAGATTTGTATTAATCCAGTTTTGTTTTCAGGTGCATATTTTCGGAAAGTAGGTCGCCATTCCATATCCAAACCAAACACAGATTCTTCACTATTATAACAAGTTAAGTTTCCAACACAAATATAATATTTATCTAATATTACCTGATCATTTTTGACAATGTTTCATCGGCATCTTTCTTCGATTTTGTGCAAATAAGAGAATAGTGAGGAGGAAGTTCAATAAGAGGTAGACCAGTCAGGTATAGTTCCAGTGGTGAAGGTTCTTTTTGGTAGAATGCTTTTCTTATCGGCTTTGGTAGAGATACTTTCTTTACTGTCTGGCTTGGTTTGAACTTGTGTTGATGATGATGTACTTGACTAGCTGGTATGACTTGTACTGTTGTTTGCCTATAAAAGTAACATTCAAAAAGAAGAAGAAGAAGACGAACGGTCAGTCATCTCAAAATGAATAAAATTCAGGTCTAATCATATACTTTACTTTGAAGCTGGAACATTTGTACTGAATGACCTTTCAGTTGTGAAGGATAAATGTTTCCATCGCTTAGGAATAGGCAGTGAAGGAAGCAATCTAGCTTGATCTTCAAGATCGAGGCAATTGTTCGATTGTTTTAGTTGTGTATTCGTCAAAGATGTAATCGATTGGCTAATAGACTGTTGAGATACTGTTGGCTCCATAAAGATTCTAGGTATAGCGAAATAAATACGATGACGATAACAATGATTGGATAATAAAGCTTTACTGATCATAAAGGTAAAGGATAGAAAAAGAAAAGGAACAAAGGAGAAAAGAAGACAACAACAGAAAAAAAAGAAAAGTCCAATGTCGGTTGTTGAATAAGAATATTTTATTTTGGGTCAATATATATAAAGAAAGTATAAAAGAAAATAATGATACAATAAATAATATATGATTCCTATATAGCTAAATGAGTTCTACAAAATTAGCAGGGAACTATAATAAATAAAATAAACATATATATTTATATATATATTAGAGAATCTTTTATCACGATGGATATAATAATTTTTTTTTTTATATACTTACAATTCCTTTTCGAGATCCGATTTCACCTGTCCACCAATCTTGTTGCGTTTCTGATTTCTTGACAATCACAATGGTATCACCCTTTTTAAATGGAAGATCACCAGCTTGTTGACCAGCAAAATTGAAAAGAGCACGAGCACGTGGTTTTCCATCAGTAATTACTGGTCTATTGTTAGAGTTAAATGACGAATTTCCAGTAGGTGTTGTATCAGGTAATCCTAATATATCATCATCACGTTCACCGAATCTTGGAGATGATTGTTGCCATCGATCTGTTGTACTGGATGATCGAGATCTTCTACCATAATCCATAGTCCCTAATCCACCACCACCACCACCAGTTGCCATACTTTTAACTGCTGCTCTACTGAAGGTTTGTGATCGACCTAATCCATTGGTTCCATTTGATGCATTATATCCACTGTCAAAATCTCGAGTATCATAATTGTAACTACTATTGTTTGGTTGATGATATCCTTGTTGTCTAAAATCGTAATAACTATTATTATCATATCGGAATCGATTATCCAAAGCCTGATATAGGGAGGATGCTTCGCTTGGAGGAGGAACACTACCACCCAATAGGTCACGCGCCTTAACCTTGTATCCATACATCTTGGCATTCGCATCAAATCTCTCCATAATAACTGATCCTTCAAGTGACACACCAGCAAATAATCCACGAGTTTTACTATAAGAATAGATAGCCGCTACACTTTTAATAGATGCAGTTCCTGATGCTTCTGCATTTCGTCCGACAGGTCCAGCAGCCACTATGATATAATAAGAAAAAGGAAAGAAAAAAAAAATATGAGTCATAGTCATATATGAAATAATAAAAATCATACCTGAAATATTTCCACCTAAAGTGAGATTTCCAAAACTCATGAATGCCTTGACAGCAGCTTGAGTTTGTAGTACCATCACAAAATCAGTCAATTCTCCACCTAATATAACAAAAAAAAAAAAATCAGTCAGTCAGTCAGTCAGTTCCATCCTTATTGTTTCGATCCATCCAATATGATAAGTCAGCACCCCTCCTTGGCTCTTGGCAAAATTACCTATTTGGCCACCAAATCCCATTCCTAAAGTACCAATGGCCGAAGGTGCACTCCAAGCTATATCCGAAAAGTAAAAGAAGAGAAGATGAATAATATGAAAAAAAAATTTCTAATCTGTCTATATACTACTCTTATTTTTTTGGGATATTCAACTTACAGCCATCTGCTAGTCTAAATAAACAATAGATGATCAATAACTTATTGACAACTATTCCTTTATTATTTATTTATTTTACCTTGCAATAACTAAACCAGAACCTGCTCGTCCACTAAACAAAAAACCACCTTTGAGCACAGTCAAGATAGCAAGACCTTTGGCATTACGAAGAATACCACTAGGAATTATTTTATCTAGACCTTCACCGGGATCTATTCATTTAAAATAAATAAATAAAAAAAAAAAGAAATATTGTATATGCATTTAGAAACTCCTTTTTTACTTTTTTTTTTTCCAATTAAACCATTTCCGTAGTTTTAATAATATGCTTACCAATAAAAGAATTGAGAATTCTCGAGGCTTTTCTACATTCACCTAAAATATAGAAATAAGTTATAAAGGTTCTGGTCTATCGTATATATTACTTACTTCCCAAACTGGCGGGTAAAGGAGAATTGAATGGCATTGATAAGTATTGAGTATAAAGAAAAAGAAGGAAAAAAAAAGAAAAAAGTATAAAGAAGCGGGAAAAAAAAAAGAGCAAAATAGGATTTTTCCATAAAGTTTTAGTTTCTGCTTGTTGACTCGCTGAGTATGAAACGCTTGGTCAGGGAATACTGAAATGAACTAGATTGGTGGTACAAAAGTAATAGATAGTCGCGTTAAAGATGATCATATTACAACATCCTTGAATATGAATATTTTACCATCATTTTATTATTATTCTTATTATTCTATTCGCATTAAAAAGAATTATTTTTCAATAAAAAAAAGATTCATTTCTCTCTTCATTTTTAAAGTGAAGGAAGCACTGCTTTCTTCCTTTTAAGACCTTTTTTTTTTGTTTATTGTTGATAATAGTAAATAAAAAAAATTCCAAATTACATAAAAGAAATCAAAGTATCATTTTTACAACTTGGACTTGATAGCTTTATTCACCATATCCTTATTTTCCTTAATAAAAGCAATAGCAAGCTAAAAAAAAAGGGGAAAAGAAATATGAATCATATTATTATTATTATTATTATTTTCTCTTGATGATCTTACCTCTCTAGCACCCATCTTTTCTACAGCTTCTTCTAAACGTTGAGCCAATAAAAGATCACCTTTGACCTTCACTTTTCCAGTCATGAAAGCTTTGATACCAGTAACACTACAATGTAATGAATAAACGATGATGAGTATAAATAAACCATAAACCATTTGAATCAAATTTTATAAATTACCCTCCTGTGACTAAATTCAAAGCATCACTATCTTCCACTTGAATACGAACAGTCTTGACCTTGCCTTTCACAGCTGCCTTGGCTACTTCTTCTTGATTGGTGATGACAGGTTTAATATCCTTACCTAGTCATTTATCACAAAAAAAAAAAAATGAACTCGATAAAAATGATGATGATCAATCTATTTCTTACCTTGCAAAAGACAGTACCAAACAGTAGCAGGCTTCTTTTGTTTAGTGACAGTAAAAATGAATAATCCTTTGACATCAGGCCACATTTCCTTGCTATCATCCATTTGAGCTTCAATCACGGGTAGAATATATTGAGCGAGTTCATCGTAAGCATTAGAAGACATGATGAATTAATGAAAGGTTTTTTTACTGTGTTTAGAAAAAAAAAGAAAGAACTAAAAGATAAAGAAGAAGAAGAAGAAGAAAAAAAAGAAAAAACCCTAGGATGATGTATTTATTTTATATTGTTTATTATCATTGTTTGCCACCGTTTTTGCGTAACACTCCCTCTTTTTTTTTTTTATTTTTGTGTGGGGGGAAAGTGTCAATGCTAACTCATATGGAAGAAAGAAAAAGAGGGGTAAAAAAAAAAAAACAAAGTTGAGTTTAATTTCATGTGAAAACTTAAGCAATTTGATAGTTTTAAGGTTCATAGCTACTTATTGTTAATGGGAAGAATGTAAGTTTTCCCCCAAAGATTTTTTTTTCTTTTTTTTTTTGTTATTTCCTACTTTTGGAGGGAAAGAAGAAATTTTCACCTGTTACTATAAAGTCATTCTATAACAAAGTTTAGTAGTGAATTTTTAAGAAAAAGATGGGGTAAAACGATCATCATACTCCGCATATTCAGTCTAATAATGTGAATAGTATCATATTAGATCAACTTCTTTTTTTTTTTGTGGATATATGTATATATTTCTATGCGTGTGTAAAAAACTTACAACCAGAGGTTACTTACCCCTCTTTGGGTCATTTCAGATACTGACCTACGACACACTAGACACGCGTTGAGGAGGAAATCATATGTATTTATTGAAAAAGACATCGAATATTCAATAAAAACTTTATGATTTGATGGATGATTGCATTTTACATGAATCAAATGAAAAAAAGCCAAGTCGATATCTTGGCCTTGGCAATGATCGTGTTATTATTTTTTTTTTTTTTTTTTTTGGTTCATATGCTACCCAATTTGTTACCTATTTCGTTCTTTTTTATATGACAATCTTTCCTTATTAACCATATGATTTGTAAATGATCACTAAAAACAAGTATGATATCTAATAAGACAAATACAAAAAAAAAAAATCTATGTATGCATAGAAAAAAAAGGGGTCTATTTATTTCATGTACATCTAAACATTTTCTATAAAATGCTACTCTAGACGGATTGAATAAAATACAAAATATAAATGAAGGTAAACATATAAAGAATAATAATAACAAATAATAGAATGGGGTGATATAGAACAGAGAAAAGAGAAGGGAGAGAAATGTATAAAGAAATCCATCTATAGTTTGGCAGATAAAGTTCCATCTTCATTCCAACGATCAGTGGTTTGACCAGCATGAACAAAAGGCTTGATACATTCCTCATAACTGCTGACAACTTGAGTATGATTCAAAGGTTCACGTTCTGCCATCTCAGTCATAGCCTTGTATACGTTACCATCAGAACGTCCAAGAGCAGAATGTAAGTAGTAATCAGGCAAAGCAAAAGCATCCACCAAAGGTACAGCTTGAGGTCGAACTTGTTCTAATAGGACAATCACTTGTTCCTTCAACATGGAAGTTTGATCACCATTCAAATAACCAGATAATAAAAAGTCAGACAATTCCTTTTCCATCGTATGTAAAGCAAACAATGTAGCTAGGTTGCGTAACACAGCCGTGGTTGCTTTATCCAAATTGGCGTTTTGTAACGCAATAATGAAGGTACGCACAAGAAGGAATTGACAATGAGCACGAGAGATACGATTGATTTCAACCAACATAGAATTCCATGAACGTCCTTGATTATCGATTTGTTCAGCAGCCTTAGCAATACCATAAGCAGCACGGAATCCAAAAGCAGCAAGAATAACTTCAGGATTATTAAAGTCAGTAGGAACAGTAACAGGACACTTGGCTTTGGTGTTTTGAAGATATTGAGTCAAGTAGTTCACAGTTTGATTGTATTCAGAAGGAACAGCCTTGCCAGCGACAACATTACGATAAGTCTTGAGAAGATAACGAGCAGTTTGTTGAGTAAGAATGTAGTTGTCTCCTTCCCACTATTTTTATTTTTTTTATATATATATGTATATAAAAGATCATTAGTTTGGTGAATCATTCTTTATTTATATTCAAACTTACAGTGACATTAGGAAGATAATCTTGATAAAATTGACCCAGACCAGAGAATAAACTATAACCATGACCACCACAAGCACGACGACAATCTTCAATAGCTTCAGCAGCCATAGTAGTAGTCAAACTCTTGAGACCAGAAGAGCTAGCATGAAGATCAGCCAATAAGCCAAAGTTACCTTTTTGCATTTCCACTTGATTGAGATTGTACAAACGGATCATTTCAGTACCAGTAAAGAAACAAGCATAGGCAGCAGCGACAGTAGGTAAAAGACGATATTGTTGCATGGTATAATCCAAAACAGGAGTTTCAACCACCTTATTGTCCCATTTTTTAGGGTTGGCAGAATCGACGAATTGTTGACGAACAGCAGAATAACGAACTGCAATAGTGGTGGCTTTGGCAAGAGCATATCGAACACCTAATCAAAAAAAAAAAAAATAGAAATGGATTAGATGAGTTCGTTTTAAATAAAGACATATAGTAGTATAACACACATATTGGCTTTTTTCCTTCCTTCTTTTTTTTTTTTTCTCATCTCTTTCTTACCCATAACAATATTGGCACGTACGTACACCATAGTACCATAAGATAGCTTGGCATTGGGAGGTTTAGAATATTCACCAGTACCAGGTTTGACTTGAGAATACTTGGCCAAGAAAGCAACATGAGGAATTCGATAATGATCAAACATGATAAAACCATTATCAACAGAATTGAAACCAAACTTGGGACCAATATCACCAACTGTAACACCTTCCAAAGGTCGATGATCCTTCAAACTACGAATTTGGACACAGAAAGGATGAGGACCAAGATCCTTACCATTAGTAATCAAACGAGCCATCACAATAGCATGGTTTGCAACTTTGCCTAGTCCACCAATCCACCATTTTGAAGCAGTCAAAGTAGGAGAGTGTAATTCGAATTCGTTAGTTTCTGGGATATAAGTAGCAGTGGTTTCGAGACCTTGGACATTGGACCCGTGACCAAGCTAGATCAAAAGTAAAAGATAAGAAGAAGAAGAAAAAAAAAGTAATATTTATCAATATCACATGTAAACCATATGTCATCCACTTGAATAATAAAATGAAAACTTACTTCAGTTTGAGCATAACAACCAATAATTTGATGTTTCAATGCAGGTTCCAAGAACAACTTCTTTTGTTCATCAGTTGTTTGTGATCGTAAAGTAGGAATAAACATGTTGTAATGAAGAGAAAACTAGATTAAAGATAAGAGAACAGTTGAAAAAGGTACGAATAAAAAAGTGGATATAGGGTGAGTCATCATAATTACCAATACTACATTCTAGTCATGTCAATCGATATACTTACAGGAGTGCTTTGATCATACAAGAAAGTGGCAATGTTAGTTTCAGTTTCGTCCCAGTTTTGTTCCCTGTAGTAAATATAAAAACATTCATTAGATCCATTCAGGTTCCTGTCATTTTATGATTGAAAAATTTGCTTACTTGACAAGTTCTATCAAACGTTTATCTTTCTTGAAACCATTGGCAACACGTTCTTGACGACTTTCATAGTAACGACCAGTCTTGTCAAAAGCAGGTTCATTGCTAATAACATTGAGTACCTTGTCCATTTTGGCCAACCATTGTTCACCGTACATAAACTTAGATAGTTCCTTAACGTCAAAACTGGCTTTCGCACGTTCACTTGCCAAAAGTAATTCCCCAGCAGGGCCTCTAGGTTCGAGTTTAGGGAATTTGGTAGGAATATTGTTATCAAAGGACATGGTAATCGTAGTAATAATAGTAATAAAAAAAAAAAAAAAAGAAGAAAGAAAAGAAAGGAAAAAAGAAAAATGAAATGGGTAATATATCTGACGGCCACGGGGTTTAAAATAAAACTGCTTATGCTAGTTTTTTTTGTCTTCGAGAAAACCTCTTACCCGTGGAACCAATGACTTCCTTATTCACGATTCTCCGCTGATGTTGTCAATTTCCCACATTGTCATCATTGATAATCGTTATTCAAAAAACACTAATTATAAAAATGGAAAGTCTACGGCAAATAGCATACAATTTCGACCGAGATCATTGACATTTCTTTCTTTTTTTTTTTTTTTTTTTTTTGTTGTCAGTTACTGTTAACTTTTTTGATTCAAATATTAAAAAAAAAAAAATATCACTGGTTCGGGAAAACTTTTTTTTTTATTATTGCAGTGACTACCCCTGAATAATCTAACTGATTGAATAGTTTGCATGTGATTCGTCAAGATTAAAGTCTTTGTTGTCAATGGAGCTCAAATATTGAAAAATGATCATACGACTTTTTTTTTTCTTTCAAAAATATGTCAACGATCAATGATCATTTGTATCTTTGTTTTTTTTTTTTATGCAGATCATCTGTCATTATAAATTGTTGGATATTCTTCTTTCAGTAGTATAAATTTTGAAGTTGACCTAAAAAGGGAAACCTTAAGATTCAATCAATCATATTCATTCAAAATATCTATATAGATGCAATAAAACCTCATTCACTCATCCTAATTAGTATTATATGATAGAGTATGATAGTTATGTATAATGATGATTCATAATATGATCCATACATATGATACTATTTTTCTAATATAGTGATGATTCCTAAAAATACAGTATGTAATAAGAAGAGTTATTGTGCACCATTGATAGTAATAAATTATAAACACAATAATATTAACCATTTATCATTGATTATCAAATATTTCGTTGATCAAAATCATACCATCAAATATCTAACATTATCATCAACAGGTATTTTATGCACCTTGATATGTGTCAATAGGGTAATATGTAAGTATTTGGTTTTGAAACACCGATAGTTAAGCACACACAACCAGTCATCTAATTTTTTTTTTTTTTCGGTTGGCGTTTGTTGTTTCTTTTTCCTCTTTTTTTTTTTTTTTTTTTTTTCCTACTGGCCTTGAAATCAAAAGGAAAACCAAGATATTATTTCAATGTAAGTATAAAGAGAATCTATGTATTTACATGTATATATTCAAAAAAGCGAACAAGATAAAAAGAAAAAAAATGAATACGGAAAAAAAAAGAACAATAGATGAGACGCGGTTGAAATATATACTAATTGCCTTTTTTTTTTTCTTAAAAAAAAAATAAAATCTATGAAAAAAGGGCTCCTGCATCAAGATCACCTTCACCACGAGGTCGTCGTATTTCAAGATCACCGTCACCACGTCGTAGTTTAAGGTCATACAGTCGATCACGCTCTCGAACACCATTGTCGTCTCGTAGTCGCTCTCGGTCTTATTCCATCGACAGTCGTCGTTCGTATTCGTCCAGAAGCCGATCATATTCGTCACGCTCAAGAAGTCCTTCACCACGACGAAGAGGAAGATATTCTGAAGAAAGACGAGGTCGTTCCCCTTCACCACGTTATCGTCGTCGTCGTTCTATTCCATCTCCTTCTCCTCCTCCTGTGAAACCCAACCGACTGATTGTTACCAATCTCACGCGAAATGTCATCAAAGGTCATTTGGAAGAAATATTTGGTGTATATGGTAAACTTGTAGAGGTTGATTTTCCAAAAAATCGTAAATGTAAGTGATTCAACAAAAAAAAAAAAAAGGATGAATATATTCTCATAATGATTCTTTTTTCTAGTCAACACAAACACTGGTAGGGCATTTGTTGAATTTGAAACCACAGAAGACGCTGAAAAGGCAATTTGTCATATGGATGGTGTAAGTTACAATAGATGTGTATATTGTATTTAAACTGACATGGTTCTATTTTATTTAGGGACAATTGGATGGTCAAGTATTAAGTGTAGCTGTAGCTTCTCCTCGACCTGTGAAAAAACGTCGACAAGGTAATGAATAATAATAATAAGAATTAAGGATGATGTATACTGACTTTATCATTTAGTTGGTCGATATAGATCACCTCCTCGTTATCGTCGTGATTTTGGTGGTCGCCGGGGACGTGATTCTTACGTTGGTAGTGGGAGAAGATATGGCCGGTCAAGAACAAGATCTCCTACTCCTCCTCCTCGTCGTGGTAGGGGTAGAAGATATTCAAGAAGTCGATCACCTTATAGTCGAAGTCGAAGCTATAGTAGAAGTTATAGTCGTAGCTATAGTCGAAGTCCAGTACGTCGCTAGTAGTTTAGTTGGTTAAGTGAGTTGGTTATTTAGTTTTTTTTATTTTTATTTTTATTTTTTGCCTTCTATATTAATTAATTCTATCAAACTCGACTTATTACATATCAAATAAAAGAAAACAGATGATTTAACTTAATTTGTTATTTGTAATGGAAGGATCAAGGTAAACCCGGAGTTACAACATCTGACTAAAGTGAAGGGGTTTTTGCTGTTGGAAAAAAAAAAAAAAAAAAAAAAGTGGTTTCATACAATTTTATCGTTTCATTTTATTTTCCGCATAAAGATAGAAACCTTCTTTTGTTCCTTCTTCTTTCTTTCTTCGTTATCATCCTTGTTATTTCGAATAACTTTATATATTCAAACAACATTATGATCAGATCTACATTTCTACCGAGACTTGACAAGATTGGTTCTCGTTTATGCATGACCAGTGTACAAAAGTCATTATCTCCATGCACCCGATCTTTTCATACGACACAAAGTCAAACCCTGTATTATTTTGATCATCTTCCTGGGGAAAAGTCAGAGAAAGTCAACAAAGGACTTGAACATCTTTTAGGACCAATACGTGAAAAGAACTATCGTATGGGAAATTTGGCAACAAACTCTGGAAGGGAAATCTTTGACGTATGTGTAGGTAAAGTGATCATCATATCTTAACCAAAATAATAATAATAATAATAATCATTCCATTTTTTTTTTTTTTTTTTGATATTAGTGGGTGGCGGTATCATTGGTTTAGCAACAGCTCGTGAACTCTTGAATCGATATCCAGGAATGAAAGTATGTGTTCTTGAAAAAGAACCTGAAGTGGGACAACATCAAACAGGTCATAACTCTGGAGTTGTAAGTTTAAAAATTTTTTTTTGATACTAGTTATTCTAATTTATTCACATTGAACAATAGATTCATGCTGGTATTTATTATGAACCTGGTACCTTGATGGCTAGAACTTGTGTACGTGGTGCTGATATGATGTATAAATATGCTGAAGAACATGGTCTTCCTGTGGAACGATGTGGTAAATTGATTGTTGCAAGTAACAAAAAGGAACATGATCTAGTAGTTAAGCTCTATGAACAAGGTGTCGCCAATGGAGTCAAAGATTTGGAGATCGTTTACAAGGATCAGGTGATAAAAAAAAAAAAGGTACACAACACACATCGGTTATTGAGTCTCCTTTTCTTTATATAGATTCGTGAAATGGAACCCAATGTTGCAGCCTATAGTGCTTTACATTCACCAAATACTGGAATTATCAACTTTTGGTTGGTAGCTCAAAGCATTTTACGAGAAATCATCGATTCAAAGTAAGTGATGATGTTGGATGCTAAAAAAAGAAAAACGATATCAACGTTTTTTTTTATATATATATTTTTTCGTATTATAGGCGTGGCGATGTTAAATGCTCGTTTGAAGCGAAAAAGTTTGAAAAAACATCTGATGGACTTGTCAAGGTAATCAAAGCAGAGGGAAAAATAATAATAATAAAAAGAAGAGTATAAGATTAATATGGAATATGAAATTTAGATCACAGGAAGCGAAACCATCATGAATGGACCAGTATTAGAAGTATATGCAAAGAACGTGATTACATGTGGTGGATTTTATTCTGATCGACTTGCAGGAAAGGCAGGAGGTAATCCTAAGGAACATCGCGTAGTGACATTTCGTGGACAATATTATCAAGTCAAGGCAGACAAGAAAGCTCTTGTTCGTCGTAACATCTATCCTGTACCTTCTGGAGGTGGTATTCCTGTCGGTGTCCATTTTACACCTACTGTTGACGTGCGTCGTGGTCATCAATTGATTGTGGGTCCTGGCGCTTGTTTCACCACGTCAAGAGAAGGTTATCGGTTTTGTGATTTTAATTTGTACGACGTTTGGGACACTTTTTCAAATATCCAATTTTGGTACTTTGCATTCAAGAATTTTGGCCTCTCTATCAATGAACTTTATTGCGATCTTAACAAACGTGCCTTTATACGAAGAGCTAGAAAAATCATCCCTGAATTGACAAATGATATGGTTGAACTTAGTTTTGCTGGAGTCATGTCTCAAGTCTTTGAAGTAAGTAAAAAAAAAAAAAAAAAAAAAAAAAAAAAAAAAAAAAAAAGATGATATAGAAACTCAAAACAAAACTTTTTTTTTCTTACTAATTCGGTCTTGACAGAATGGTGGAATGGCTGCTCAAGATTTTATTATTGAAAGGAAAGCAATGGATGGATTGGTCCTCAATGTTAGAAATGCACCTACTCCTGCGGCTACAGCTTCCTTGGCTATTGGCGAATTGGTGGTGGATGCGGCAAATGAAGATTTTGGATTCAAGGACAAATATAATATTTAGCATAAGCTTTTTTTTTTTTTTTTGATTCATTAGACATAGTTTAAGATAAACATACAAAATAAAAAAATAAAAATCAAACTTGACTCTCATGTGATCCAACTCATGATGTTGACTCTTTATGATGTGATGGTATGATGGATAATAATCGTTAGAAGGGGATCAAATGTTAGTCCCAAGAAATATTTGTAAGAGGAATGATGATATTTTCTAAACCACTTTTATTCTTGCCTAAAAACGAAGAAAACAATCCCTGAACTTCTAATACTTAGGCAGCCCCACTTCAAATCGACTTGCCACACTCATCGTCATTTGTCAATAATCACAAACTAGCCCAACACAGCATTAAATTATCTTTCATCATCATTCCATTTTTCAACATTCTTCTATCCTTATCATTCAATTGCCTTCCTCCCATTACGCAACTTTTTTTTTTTTTCAGGTAATAGACGAGTAACTTCCATGTTATTTGTTACTCATAAACTAAGAATACATTTGGCTGATCACGTTCCATTCACATTTATTTTTTTTTTCTTGTTATCCACATCTACTATACAATCAGAACAGAATCATTAGATGGTATCAACTATACAAGAAATTTTTTTATTAAACATTGAAGCAGGGGATACACAAATAAGGTTATAAAACACGATGAAATCAATGGTAAACTAACAATAATAATGATAATAAGAAGAATGAAGTGGTGGATATAGAATAATAAAATGCAGGACTATTGTTGATGTTGTCGTAATTTTTCCATAAAGCCAATAACACGAGCGAAATCCAAATCAGGAGGATCATTTTCAATAGCAAGAGTCAGAGGGCCAATAAAGTCATCGATTTTGTCCATAGGTAGATGAATACATGCTGAAATCAGTCGTTTACACTCTTGTTCCTTTTCCAAGGATTTTGAATAGGATTGTTCCAATGTTGCCATATGTTGAGTTTTGTCGTTGGCAACCTTTAGTTGTTCTTTCAATTCTTGTATATGTTGTTCCAACTGATGTTCTCGTTGTGTCATATTATCAAGTCCTGCCAATGTTGTAGCTGATTTGTCTAGAATATTAGAGATCCAACCGCTGCTACCCTCATTTGATCCTATTTCCAAATCATTGATTCCAGATTTCATTAGTTTGCTTTCCAGTTGTTTGATTTTTGCATCCGCACGTTTCAGTTGTTCACTATTCTTCCGCTTCAATTCACGTGTGTTTTTTCGTTCGTCAGTCAGTTGTCGTGATAATTTGCGCACCTCCTGTTGTAGTCGTAACATATTGGCTTCCTTTGTTTGTAACTTGTTTTTGAATTCATTATCCATGGCTTCCACAATACGTTGCACAGCTATATATATAAATATATATTAATATATCAATATGATTCCTTGACTACTTTATTATACATTTCTTTCATCTTTTTTTTTTTTTTAAAAAAAAAAACTTACTTGATATTAGCTCTTGACCTTTTGCACTTGGAAATTCATTGGTATCGGTACTTGTTGATCCAGCTTTATCGTCTTGTTTTTCTACTGGTTTTTTTTCGACCTAAAACAGAAAGAAACGAAAAATCAATGATTAAATAGGATTGTCTTCCAATACCTTTTTTTTTTTTTTTTTTTTTTTTTTTTTTTTTTTTTTTTTTTACCTGTGATAGCGTTCCACCAAGTGAGCTACTTAGCGTATAATATTCATCACGTTCAGAGACAAGGCATCCAGCTTGAACCAACAAATGACATAAATCTAAACATTTTAATCGAGAGGCCAATGCAAAAGGAGATTCACCAGCATCATCAGGTTTATGAAGAATGTGTATATGTTCTCTATATTGACGGATCACTTTCAATACAGTGGACATATACGTTTTGGCGGCAAGTAATCGTTTTTCTGCTGGATCTAATGATAAAGTTGAGATAGATGAGGATAAATAGTATGATGATGATGATGATGATGGTGCAGAAATGGTGGCAGTTGCTGTAGATTTTGATTCCAAACATCCTAAAATAATATGATGTAGCACGGATCGGCCTGCGTCGTCTACAATTGAAATTGAATCTCTGAGAATATCCAACATATGAGGAAAACATTCATTGTCATGAATGTGCGTCACCATGACCCCACGCATAAGAGGTGTTTGACCTATTGAATTGACCTTGGAAATACTAGCACCTTTGGAAATCAACCATTCCGCTGTATGTATTCTTGCCAAAGAGACTGACCAATGTAATGCTGTATGCCCTTGATCATCTATTGTCACATCCATGTCCATACCAGTAGTTGCGCCTGCGCCACGAAGGAAGGAAGGAATTTGATCTTCCTCAGCTGATAAGAAGATTGACATCAATGATTTTCTGAATCGTCCACTATCTGAATCCTCCATGTCATCCTTTTTACTGATAATTGTAGGTCTTCCGGGTGATGATATCAACATTGTATTATCAATATTATTATTATTATTGTTGTTGTTGTTACTGTTGTTGCTATTGTTGTTCTTGTTGTTGCTGCTGCTGCTGCTGTTGTTGTTGTTATTATTATTGCTGCTGCTGCTGCTGTTGTTGTTGCTGTTATCATTGTATTGTTGCTTTTGTTTTGGTTTTTTCTTGACAGTGATTGGTAGCGATGACGTACTGGATACATCATCAACATCAAATGAGGAAATTTTCCGTTTCAGAGGTTGAGAAGAATTATTTGTATCTGATGTTGATGAGAATGGCAAATAAGTTTGTTGTGATGAATAAGAGGGTGATGAAGGTGGAGATGACTGTGATGGTGTAGGGCGACGTATGATTCGTTGCGGTATATGTTCTTTTTCTGGTAATTCATCCCAAGTAGAAGTATCAAATTCAATGAGTGGTAGCAACAAGTCCAATACTTTGTATCGATCTGCGAGTTCCCGTCCGCTATCAAGAGGTACCCTGAATATATATATATATATATTTAAATAGCATTAGAAATCAATTATTTAATAAAAGAAGATTAACTTACCAGGTACCTTGATATTTTCCATATCCACCTTGTATCTTTTCATGAGTGTTGGGAATAATTTCTCTTTCCAATATTTTTGTTCGTTTTCCTTTTTCTATTCCACAAAGTTTGAGTATTTGAGTTGCATTAAGATAGGAGTCACTTCGGCGTCGCATCACAATCAAATCGTTGACAATCATTTCAAATACTTGAATACCAGAATAAGTTGCTGTATAAATATCAGGTTTATTTTTCTCCATTTGATGTATTTTGGTGTTTTTCTTGAGGTAAAAAGCTTGGTTATAAGGAATAAAGTAGATGGAGATGACGCTACAGCCGTATAATAAGGACAAGGGAAAGCAAGTGTTGTCGTTGTTGTTACAAATAATATAATGTAATAAGTAATACACAATAATAGTAATAATAATAAAATAAGATGAAAAGATGAAGTGAAAGGAGAAAAAAAAAGTAGTAAATAAATAAAAAGAAAAAAAACCGGAAGAGAAGTGCAAAAGAGAAGACGCGGATGGTGGTACGCGATTTTTTCCCTTTTGGGTGTGGCTTTTTCAAGAACCGGTTCGTGTAGACTCCGTAATAAAAAAAAAAAAAAGAATCATCAGCATAAATATTGTCAATATCGGATGTTTTTATAAAATAAAGATTGTACTTTTACTATAATCTCCAAAGAGTTCGAATTTATTTCTGAATATATAAACAAAGAAGGCAATAAGAATAAGAAATAAAATGTATAATGATCTGTATGTGTGTGTAGATATCTATTAACATTCAAGGAAATCAGCTGTCATCAAAGTTTCAAGTACAACTTCAGGATCAATTTTGAATTCTGGTATTTCTGTAGTAGAACCTTCATATTGCCATTTGTAATAAAGGTATCGACAAACTATTTCCAGTATAACAGCTCTAAAAAAGAAAAAGCAATATCATGAGTTTTGATTACAATCACGTTGTAAAATTTGATATCTTTTTTTCTTTCCTTACTTGATATCACGAAAGGGTATTTCATTTTCTACAGATTCTCGAAATTGTACTATGAATAAATAAAAAAAGGAAGAAAAAAAGGTGAGTATTTATTACCTTGTTCTTCATAATATAATGTTTAAAAAAAAAAAAAGAAAACGTGGATTACCTGGCCCACTAAGCATATTCTTAATGGTACCCGAACGCATGGCAGCTTCACGATGAATAATAAATTCGAATCCATCACTGCTAATGAGTTTGACATATTCTGTTTTGTTTTGTTCGTTTTCATCCATTAGTCCAAATACGTTTTAAAAGGAAAAAGAAAGAAAAAAAAAGGATAATTCTCTCAACTGTGATGGGAAATTGAGGAATTTCAAAGTCAGTTGCGTTTGAAGGCAAAAGGATGTTTCTCCTTGCAGAGTTTAATGATCAACTAGAATACAGGAACTCAAAAGATCAAGATATAGGAAGATCATCATGCATCATCATTCAATAACTATTAATGTATCAATATCTTAGTCATTATTCATTACAATGACAAAGTTGGAATGCAAGGTGATGAACATTTGAGCCAAAAAAAGGTGTAATGCATTGGACGCATGTTTTTATAGGAATAATAAAATCCAGCAGCAAATGAACCTAAAACGACTTGGATAGATAACAAAAGACAAAAGCAGCTATCTCCTCACTTTGATTTTTTTTTAAGTTCTATTCACCATTTTAGCCAATAGGAAATCATCTGGTATGATTTGTATATAAAAGTAAATGATCTTCAATATTTTATACTATATCATTGTCTTTTTTTTTTTTTTAAAAAAAAAAAGAAAATACATTATGGTATCATCATCACCAGAAATCGTATATGACAATGATGACATTGTTTTCCAATATAAAAGTGGTAGAAAATTAGTAGATGATGAATCAGTAGCATATATTTTACCTAGTGATGCAACAGAAGTCAAGCGACTTGAGCTAAATCACAATTTATGGAAGTAAAGATACAACAATATATTAAATCATCAGATAAAAAATTAAATTCACAATTTTATTGGACAACACAATAGAATGATATTAGATGGCCTATACAAATCGTCTGTACATGAATCGTTGGTGGAAGGAATCACTATTCTAGATGTAGGATGTGGACCAGGTTTTTGGATAAGGGTAAATAAATTAAAAGAAGGGTATATCAACTATATTACTAACAAAAAAAAAAAAAAAAAGGATATGGCTATACTGTATCCAAATTCCAAATTTATCGGGATTGATATGGCAGATGTGTTTATCACCAAAGATCTTCCACCCAATGTTGAATTCCAAATTATCAATGCTGCTATGGGTCTACCTTTTCAAGATGAATCCTTTGACTTTGTTTTTCAACGGTTCTTGGTGATGGGATTTCCAACCGATACCTATAAACAATCGATCAAAGAGATGAAGAGAGTATTGAAACCAAATGGTGCCATTGAAATACTTGAACTAGTAAACCACTATACTAACCCATCTCCTGCTTTAACCAAAATATCAGGATGGAGTAAGTATACCTTTTGAAAAAGAAGAGTTTGTTTGTTGTTGTATAGCGAGTTGAATATCTTTTTTTTTTTAATTTAGTTGATGATGCGTTATCCTGTCGAGGAATGGATTCTTTTATTGGTGATAAAATATCGTCGTTTTTGAAGGATGCTAGTTTTCAACAGATAAGAGATATTAACTATAATGTTCCTATTGGTAATATATATGAAAAGAAAATAATATGAAAATATTAGTAACATTTTATCTTTTTCTTTTTTTTTTTTTTTTTTAAAAAAAAAAGGAGAATGGGGAGGTGAACCTGGTAAACTTTATCTTGCTATTCAGCGTTTAGCATTACCTGCTGTTGGTATCATGGTGATACAATTGACTTCAGTGACAGAAGAAGAGTATCAAGAAACATTAAAAGAAGCTTTTTCTGCTGCAAACCAATTTCAATCTTCTACTCGCTTTCGCTTGGTCTATGCCAAAAAATGAGTCACATCCGACATAATTTTTTTTTTTTTTTTTTTTTTTTGCGGAACTCTTTTTTTTTTCTTCACTCCCATTTTTCTTTCTTTCTAATAAAAATGACTTTGGACCACATGACTGATTTCGATGTGGTATCTTCCTACCAAAATTATTTGGAAGACAGGGTATTGTATTATATTTATTTATAGTTTGATTGGAAAAATGAATATTAATACAAGTTTATTCTTATTAAAGGAAATTTCGACTCCTGTGGCTGTTTTCAAAGCATTGACAGATTTGGTTCGACAAAGCACTGGTACGAATATATATATTTTTTTTATGACACTGAATCCATATTATATACAAAAAAGAACAAGTATTGATACTCATAGGATGTTTTCTTTTTTTTTTTTTGTTGTTGTTTTTCTTTAGCACCTACCATGTCAGAGTTTATGCAAACTTTGGAAAAGGCTGCCAAGTCACTCCGTGATGCTTCAGAAAATATTGGACTTCGTTTAGCAGAAAAACAACAATACCAACATCACAAAGCCACTATTGCAACACTTGCTGGTTTGGATCTTTTTATGCGCTTTGTGACAAGAAACTCTCATGACTTTGCTGTAAGTTGTGGAACCAAATAAAAAAAAAAAAGAATGGAAGTAGTTAACATTTTGTGTACCTTTTTATGTATATAAATTGAATAGTCATCTGCGGAAGCCAAAACTTTTGATGAATTCAAGGCTAATCTTTTATCTAGAGCTATACTGATCTTGGATAAAGCGTCTATGGCAAGGGTTAGAGCGGCAGAATTTGGAGCTCAATTCATTCATGATAATGCAGTTATCTTGGTACAGGCTTACTCACGTGTAATTATGGGTGTTTTATACCATGCTGCCAATGTACAAAACAAACGATTCAAGGTTTTAGTTGCAGAAGGACGACCAAATAGTGAAGGGTAAAAGAAAAAAATAAATAAATAAATAAAATAAATTAAATAAATAAATAAATAAAAAAGTAATGAAAGAGATTAATGATGATTTTGTATGAATAGACTTCAAGCGGTAGAAGAATTAAGAGCAGCTGGTATTCCATGTAGAGCTGTATTAGATTCAGCAGTAGGATATATTATGGATAAAGTAGATATGGTATTTGTAGGTGCAGAAGGCGTTGTTGAAAATGGTGGTGTGATCAACCAAATTGGAACATATCAAATCGCATTGGTGGCAAAAGCTCTTGGAAAACCAGTTTACGCCGTGGCTGAAAGGTAATTGAAAAAAAAAAAAAAAGAAAAGAAAAAGGAATATAATGAAGTTGTATTGAACTTGTTTTTTTTTTATAGTTACAAGTTTGTTCGTGTTTATCCTTTAAATCAATATGATTTACCATCAAGTACTCCAGAAATTGTTAGTTTTACATCACGTAGAAAAACATTTAGTAGTAATAATCAACAAGATATTGTAGAATTAGCCACATCGAATCCTTATGTAGATTATACTCCCCCTCAATATTTGACATTATTATTAACTGATTTAGGTGTTCTCACTCCCAGCGGAGTTAGTGATGAATTGATCAAGTTGTACCTATAATAATAATAATAAAAAAAAAAATCTGTTGCTGTTAAAGTCCTCACATCTTTTTTTTTTTTTTTTTTTTTTTTTTTTTTGTTTTCCGGGTTATTTTTTTATATATATAAAATATATATATTTTAGTTGTTCCTTTTTTTTTTTTTGTTTTCTTTTCTTTTTTTCTTTTATTTTATTTTTCTTTATCATCTTGATGCTTTTGTGATTTTATCTTTATTCCATTATTATTTACCTTTTAATTATATACCCTCTTTCTTCTTCTTCTCTCATTCTTAAACAAATACTTTTTTTTTTGTTTTTATTCTCTTTACGCATACATACCCTGTTTCATTAAACCAATTTTTTTTTTTAAAAAAAAAAGGCAAAACGTAAGTAACTTTATTTTATATTATATTTCTCTTTGTTTTCTTTTCTCTCTCTTTTCTTTTTTTTTTTTTTTTTTTGTTTTTTTTTTCTCTTATACTTTTACTTATATTTATTATTATTATTATTTCTTTGAATATATGTATAGTCAATCAAACAAGAACAATGACACCATCAACAGAAGATCTTTGTATATCAAAACTCAATACTTTGACATTACCTGACAAAGAAAGGGATATCTTATTGAATCAACATACCTCTCTTACCTATGAAGAAAAAACAAACCACTTATCTACTATAACTAATACTGTCTCTGAGTGGATTGAAACTATACACCTTGCTCTATTCACTATGGAACAAAATATCAAACAACATAATACTGATATTACAAATGATACTCATTTACTTGATGAAGCTGTTCAACGTATGGATCCTATTATTACTTCTTTGAATGATATTGTGGACGTGATGGATGATTCTAGTGATGAAATCATTTCACTCAGTACAAAAGCAAATATCACAAAATTACAATCTGAATGGTCTGGACTTCAACATTTTCTTTCTTCTGTCAAACAATCTTTTTTGGCCATGGATGAAGAAAAACAATTACGACAATGGATGGATCAAGTATTGGTACAAATTGAAGATTTATCTACTCTTGTATTTCGATATCAAGAACAACGTACTGGTGTTCAAGAAAAATCAACCATTTCATCAGTATTATTGACATCATCAACATCATCTTCAACATCTTCTCCATCTGCATCATCAACAACTTCAGCAACAGTAACAACATCTGATATGATCGATACTACTACAACAACAACAACTAATGAAGATATTATAGTAGAAATTGACAATCGCGTTGGACCACTGTTTGATCAAGTAGACAAGATTTATAATCGAATGATATCTGATTCACCTCCAACGGATACTACTGGCATTCTTGTCAGACGACATCGAAAAATTCAGGAACGCTGGGAATGTGTACGTGTAGAAATCGACGAACTCAGGGCAGATCGAAAGGAAGAAAGATGGTTGGCTGTATTCAAACAAGTGGCCGATCAAGTAGAAGCAATGATGGACGGACTCGACAAAACTGTAGAACAATGTCAAGTGATGATACAACAAGTACGCGAATGGCAAGGTTTTCAACATGTCGCATCTTCTTCTTCAACAACTACTGTTACTCCTCAACAACAATACCCTGTCCCACCAAAAGGAATCCTAAGATCATCAAAATCACATCATTCTTCAGCATCTATATCATCCAACTCATCATCAGGTTCTGCTGGGTCTTCTCCTCCTCCTCGTCCTGTAGATCATATCAAATTACGATCTGTGGAAAAGAATTTTGAAGCCAAATACAAGTATTGCACTCCTCTTATTACCAAAATGTTATCCATGCTAGGTGATGGTATTGCTGCACGAGTGGCAGAAAACAATTATACAGTAACGCGACATCAACTTATGGTACGACGCTGGCAACAACTCAAATCGAATATGGATGATCTCCGAATACGTGATTTACCTGATATTGAAAGATTGGTCATGTTTGAACGTCCTATCAGTCCTGCTTGGTCCAAGGTTAGTGATCGTAGTGACAAGAGTGGTAGCAGTTCCCAACGGTATAAAAGTCCTGAACCTGCATTATATGATATGTTTGACTATCGATCATCAAACAATAGTATTGGATCTTTGGGTGGACGTGCACGAAGTCCCTTATCATTACAACAACATGGAAACAATGGATATATGTCGCCCACTTCTCAACTCTATGGAATGCAAGAAGAATTACGCCGTGGAAGAAGTGTTACTCCAAGTAGTGGTACGGGTAGTTGGGATCATATCAGTTTATGGCGATCAACAAATGGATCTAGTCCAGTACATGGTAAATCTATAGGAAGAACAACAAGTCCTTTATCCTCTTTTCATGATATTATGAAACCAAGCACTTCTGATACACCTTCCATTGATTCAAATTCTCATCGGTCCACTCAACAATATTCTACAACATCTCCTTCATTATGGCAAGAAGATATACCATCCAGACAGGTAACCAAAAAAAAAAAGAATAATCATTATTTTTTGAATATATATATATGTATGGATGATTGATTGATTGATTGATTTCTTTTTTCATTATTTAGTCACCTGCTTCAGTTCCTAGTCGATGCAGAAGTAGACAAGAAGAGTTACCATACGGAGGACGACGATCTGTAACACCAGTACGACGTTCTGGTACACCATCCATGATCCCACGACCTAAAACACCATCTCAAGACCACGGAGCAAGTCAAATACCAAGACCAAGATCTTCTATGTTACAATCAGCACCTTCTAGCCGGGTTATGATGACACCTTCCCCTTCATCATTTTTATCATCATCATCACCACCACCAAGTCCACCACATGTACCAAAACGAACATTAAATAAGAAATATTCATCACCCATTTTGAATCAACAATCACGGATGATGATGCATGATGAAAGACGATTACATTCTCAAACACCTCCAACAACACGACGTTATTATGATTTGGAAGAAGAAGATGAAGATGATTATGATGATGATGATCTTGTATTTACTCAACAACATCAACAACGACAACCATACATACCTGATCCAAAAGATCCATTGGATGTAGAAGTAGCAAAAATCATCAATGGCAATCCTATCCGAATATTATGTGAACGTGGCTCTCAAAGTGGAAGATATTATTTTGGACATGAATTGAATCCAACTCCTGGTGGTGGTAGAAAAGTATATACATGTAAATTGATGACTTATTCTGATCGTGATCGACGAACGAATGGTTTTGGTGGACATACAACAACTCCTGGTAAATCAACAAGAAAGAAAGTTCTTACTCGAGTAGGTGGTGGATGGATTGATTTGGAAATCTTCTTATTGGAACATCACAATCTTATGTTATCTCATTGATGTTTATTTTTTTTTTTTTTTTGAATCATTCTTTTCATCACAATAAATTGATGGATTTTATTTATTTACTTATTTATTTATATTATTTGATCATATACCCTTCTCTTTTGATCTACCTACTTATTTACCCTTTTCTATTTTTACATATATTATATTATTATTATGGTTGGTGTTTTTTGTTGTGAAAATTTTTTTTTTTTTATCAATAAAAAAAAAAATAGTACTGTTTTTGGTGATACTGATTTACAATCATAAAAAGATAAGATTGTTTCGAAAATGTCCCCAAACCATTCAACAACCAATGACATCGAGTTGAGAGAAATTATCCAATGAAATCAATGCCCAACTCTACAAAATTTCAATCAAACTCAGTTTTCGGCAAATCGTTATTTATCAAAAAAAAGCCCTTATTCTCCCTCTCTGTCTATTTTTTTTTTCCCACTTGATTTTTTTTTTTTTTACTTTTTCTTTCTTCTTTTTCTTTCTTTCATTGTCTTCTTCTTTTTACATTTCTTTTTCTTTTATATACGAAGAAGAAAACCCATAACTTATACACGTCCTTTATATATATCTATATCGGTAAGTGATCTTCTTTTTTTTTTTTATATACTTTGCGTGACATGGATGGGCATAAGTTATGGTGGGTGGAGATGGGGGAGGGTGAAAAAGTGCCGGCACTTACTACCAAATACGGGATGATCGATAAAAAGTCGGACGGACCCTGTTTTCCATATGATGACATATGAATTCAACATAGACAAGATGATTTCCGGTCTTTGCCTCGATCAAATGGATGATAGAATGTATTTTTTTATGCGTGTAAATGGTTGGGTTTTTGTTGGGTGAATTAAAAAAAAAATTGATGTGTGTGTGTGGGGGGGGGGACAATTACGTATAAAAAAAAAAGAAATCTGGTCTGACATTTTCTAATCTTTCTTTCTCTTTTTTTTTTTTTTTTCTTTTAGTTTTTTTTTTTTTTTCTTCGTCCTTTTGGTGGCTCTTATCTTTTTTTACATATCTATTATCACAACGTTTTAAATCAAAGCAATGCCTCATCAACGTGAACATTCAGTTGAAACGATTCGCCGAAACAGTGAAGTCATGGGGAATCTTCGAAAATTAATGGTGGTCAATCGTGGTGTAAGTATAATAAAAAAAATAATAGGGAGAGATCAGATGATACAAAAGGAAGAAGTATGAGGTATTGTTTGGAAAAACAAACAAAGAAAATGTAACCTTATTATTATTACTAGGAAATTGCTATTCGTGTTTTCCGAACAGCTCATGAACTCTCTATGCGTACTGTGGCCATTTTCTCTCATGAAGACAGACTTTCGATGCATCGTTATAAGGTAATATTAGTTCTCCGAATCAAAAGATGAATCACCAAACTTCTCTTTCCTTTTGAGGGATGAAAATGGTTCTTTTTTTTTTTTTTTTTTTTTAATACTTAATATTGAAAAAAATTTCTTTTATTTTTTCTTTCGGCGATGATAATGGATTCTATTTAGGCTGATGAATCATATCAAATTGGTCAACTTGGACAATATACTCCTGTGGCTGCTTATTTGGCTCAAGATGAAATCGTAAAGATCGCAAAAGAACGTGGTGTATCTATGATCCATCCTGGTTATGGTTTCTTATCTGAAAATGCCGAATTTGCTCGCAAAGTAGAAGCAGCTGGTATCACTTTTATTGGTCCTGCTCCTGAAGTCATTGATAGTCTTGGTGATAAAACAAAAGCTCGACAAATTGGTAAGATAAATCTTAAATTGGAATCAAATCAAAAAGATGAACTCTAATTATGTCAATTTATAGCTATGGATTGCAAGGTTCCTGTAGTACCTGGTACCCCTGGTCCTGTTAGTGAATATGCTGAATGCAAGGCATTTATTGAAGAATATGGATTCCCTATTATCATCAAAGCTGCTATGGGTGGTGGTGGACGTGGTATGCGTGTGGTTCGTGATGAAGCGTCCCTGGAGGATTCTTTCCATCGTGCAAAGTCTGAAGCATTATCTGCTTTTGGTGATGGTACTGTGTTTATCGAACGATTCTTGGACAAGCCTCGTCATATTGAAGTACAACTTCTTGCTGATCGTGCCGGAAATGTTGTCCACTTGTTCGAACGTGATTGTTCAGTTCAACGTCGACATCAAAAGGTAGTAGAAATTGCTCCTGCCAAGAACTTGGATAATAATGTCCGTGAAGCTATTCTCAATGATGCTGTCAAGATTGCCAAATCCGTCAAATACAAAAATGCTGGTACCGCTGAATTCTTGGTCGATAACCAAAACCGTCACTACTTTATTGAAATCAATCCTCGTATTCAAGTGGAACATACTATTACTGAAGAAATCACTGGTATCGATATTGTAGCTGCTCAAATCCAAATTGCTGCTGGTGCTTTATTACCTCAACTTGGTTTGACTCAACAAAGAATTCGTCAACGTGGCTTTGCTATCCAATGTCGTGTCACTACTGAAGATCCCGAATTGAATTTCCAACCTGATACTGGTAAGATTGAAGTCTATCGATCATCTGGTGGTAATGGTGTACGTTTGGATGGTGGTGCTGGTTATGCTGGTGCAATCATCACTCCTCATTATGATTCTTTGCTTGTCAAATGTACTTGTTCTGGTTCTACCTATGAAGTGGCTCGTCGCAAGATTGTTCGTGCCTTGGTGGAATTCCGTATTCGTGGTGTAAAAACAAATATTCCTTTCTTGCAACGATTGTTAACCCATGACACCTTTATGACTGGTAACTGTTGGACAACTTTTATTGATGATACTCCTGATCTCTTCCGTCTTGTTCAATATCAAAATCGTGCTCAACGTCTTTTGGGTTATCTTGGTAACATTGTTGTCAATGGTTCTCAAATCAAGGGTCAAGTAGGTGAACCTTCTTACAAGCATGAAATTGAAGTCCCTGTTATTCGTGGTCATAATGGTAACAATGTTGATGTCTCTGCTCCTCCTACCGATGGCTGGCGTAAAATCATTGTTGAACAAGGTCCTGAAGCCTTTGCTAAAGCTGTACGTGCTTATCCTGGTGTATTGATTATGGATACTACATGGCGTGATGCTCATCAAAGTTTATTGGCTACTCGTGTTCGTACTGTTGGTAAGTCTTTTTTTTTTTTTTTTTTTTTGTGGATGGATCTAGATCAAAAAAAAAAAAATATTAGAGACATATTTATAGATGAACTAACTTCCTTTTTTTTTTTTTTTTTTTTTTTTTTACCAAGATTTGTTACGAATTGCTGCTGCTACTTCTCATGCTCTTAGTAATGCTTTCTCTCTTGAATGTTGGGGTGGTGCTACTTTTGATGTTGCTATGCGATTCTTATATGAAGATCCTTGGGATAGATTGATGGAATTACGTAAGGCTGTGCCTAATATTCCTTTCCAAATGCTTCTTCGTGGTGCCAATGCTGTTGGATATACATCTTACCCTGACAACGTGGTGTATGAATTCTGTGATAAGGCGGTCAAGGCTGGTATGGATGTTTTCCGTATTTTCGATTCTCTTAACTATGTTGAAAACATGAAACTTGGTATTGATGCTGTCAAGAAGGCTGGTGGTGTTGTAGAAGCTACTGTATGTTATACTGGTGATGTATCCAATCCTAACAAGAAGAAGTACGATCTCAACTACTATCTTAATTTGACTCAAGAATTAGTGGATGAAGGTATTCATATTCTCGGTATCAAGGATATGGCTGGTTTATTGAAACCTGAAGCTGCCAAGTTATTGATTGGTGCCATTCGTGAAAAATTCCCTGATTTGCCAATTCATGTTCATACTCATGATACTGCTGGTACTGGTGTTGCTTCTATGATGGCTGCTGCTGCTGCTGGAGCTGATGTCATTGATGTTGCTATTGATTCCATGTCTGGTATGACTTCACAACCTGCTATGGGTGCTTTAGTGGCTGGTTTGGAACAAACTAACTTGGGTACTGGTATTCGTATGGAAGATATTCAAGCTCTCAACTCTTATTGGGAACAATGCCGTATGCTTTACTCATGCTTTGAAGCCAATGTCAAATCTGCTGATTCGGGTGTATATGATCACGAAATGCCTGGTGGTCAATACACCAATTTGATGTTCCAAGCTCAACAACTTGGTCTCGGTACTCAATGGAAACAAATCAAAAAAGCATATGAAGAAGCAAATGCTTTGTGTGGTAATCTTGTCAAGGTGACTCCTTCTTCCAAGGTGGTGGGTGATATGGCTCAATTTATGGTATCCAATGGATTATCGGGTGATGAACTGATCGAACGTGCCAAGACATTATCTTTCCCTACTTCTGTTGTTGAATTCTTCCAAGGTTATTTGGGTCAACCTCATGGTGGTTTCCCTGAACCACTACGATCCAACATTATCCGTGATCTTCCTCGTATTGATGGTCGTCCTGGTGCTTCACTTCCTCCTCTTGATTTGGCCAAACTTAAGGAAGAATTGACAGAAAAATATGGCAAGAATATTCGTGATTATGATGTGATCTCTGCTGCTCTTTATCCCAAGGTATTTGCTGAGTATCGCGATATGGTGAGCCAATATGGTGATTTGTCCAAGGTACCCACACGTTACTTCTTGTGCAAGCCTGAAATTGGTGAAGAATTCCAAGTGGAAATTGAAGAAGGTAAGACATTGATCATCAAGTTATTGGCTGTGGGTCCCATCAACAACACTGGTAAGCGTGATGTGTACTTTGAACTCAACGGTGAAGCTCGTGTGGTGGGTATTGTCGATACCAATGCTGCGGTGGAACATGTCACTCGTGAAAAGGCCAACTCTAGCAAACCTGGTGAAGTTCCTGCTCCCATGTCTGGTGTCGTTGTCGAAGTCCGTGCTAAAGCAGGTACTCATATCAAGGCCGGTGATCCTGTTTGTGTTTTGAGTGCTATGAAGATGGAAACCATTGTATCTGCTCCTGTCGCTGGTTTGGTGGAATATGTTCCTATTATGGAAGGTGATTCTTTATCTTCTGGTGATTTGGTGGCAAGAATTGTCAAGGAATCTGATTAAATCTTTTTTCCTTTATATATATATATATTGTTTTCCTTTTTCCTTTCATTTGTATGTGCATTTCGTTTATTATTAGTATTCTTTTTTTTTTTTTTATTTTCATATTTTTCTATTTACTTCCTTTTTTTATTTTTATGTTCATCTTTTATATATATATTCTTTCAATGATCAAATCAATAAAAAAAAAATGGATTTCTCAATCTTATGATGATGGGTATTTGGAATGATAGACAATCGAAAGGAGCTTTTGAATGAAAACGGGCATGATCGAAGAGTTCTCTCTTCTGTTTAGGTTATGTCCACAAAAAAAAAAAAAAAAAAAAAAAAAAAAGAGAAACCTCCTCAACCATGATTGGATTGATGATAATGATGATTTCTAATGATATATATGCAATGAAAATCTATCTCTAACTGAAGAGAATAAATATATTGAATGAATGATTGATTATAGGATCATAGGATATGATAGCGATCGCTCTTGATGACGATCCAAGAAATGGATTGAATGATACGGTATACTTGAATGTACGATGATTTTATCACAAGTGACCCAATGATCCTTTTGATTGATTGAGCATGAGAAAAGTATGATGCTAAAAAAAAAATCAGATGTGAACTTCTTTGAAGATGTGGGTATGTAAAAGTGACATCCACGAAATAAAAATGTGATGTTCTTGATCTCTTAACTTATCGGCTGCAACCATAAAAGGAAATCCATGAAAACTGTCTATCATCACCCTCTTTTTCTTTTCTTATGGTAAGCCTATGATCACTAATGAGAATAATCAGAAATATTGATGAAATGTTGACATGACTGATATAGTGAGATCATTATTGATAAAAGATCATCATCATTTTGACAACGAAAAAGAAAAAATTCATTGCGACAACAAAAACCTCTTTGTTAACAAACAGCATGATGATCATCATTTATTATCAATGCAGTAACAACACATATCATCATTCAATAAAACCACCTGTAGTCATCATACTTTATTTGTATATGTATTAATAACAGTAATAAAATAGGGAGGGTAAAGTCTTGTAATAAACAAGCAAATAGAAATATCACAATTTGGAGGAAAGAGTCAAGTTATCACCATTGTGCAAGAGCTTGAAAAGAATGGCCTACATAAATAAATAAATAAATAAATAAAAGAATATCCATATGAATGATCGTCCACTTACATCAATCTCCTTTCGACCAGCTTCGGTATTCAAAGGATTTTTTTGAACAGCTTCCCAAAGACGTTCATAAGACCGACCATCGTATGAACCCAAAGCACTAGATAATTCTCGATCAGGGAAAGCAAAAGCATCCGTGAAAGCTACCGCATTGATGGCAACAGCGTCTAGAAGTTGACGGAACCGAGCTTGAATACGATCTATGTCCATGGATCTAAGAGTACCAGTAGATAGAAAACTTGCTAAAGACGTTTGGACAATCATACTAAGAGCAAACTATAGGAAAACATAAAATATAAGTTTTTTTTTTTTTTTTTTTTTTTAAACAAAATTAAAATCGAAACTTACCAGATTGGCAAGTTGAGTAAGAGGTTCAGCCAAGACAGGAGTAGTGGAAGATACCGAAGCAACACGTTCATTGAACTGTTTAATCAGGTTATATTCAGCATGAGCAAAACAAATATTCCAACATTCCATATTGACATCCGACCAAGGGCGACCAGCTTTCAGTTGTTGTCCAAGATCAGCCACAAGTCGAGCAGCACGTAAACCGTAGATGTGTTGTTGCACTTTGGGATCCAAAATATCGTGATAAGGATCGTTGAATTTGTAAGGTGTATGTGGTGTATCGGAAAGCAACAAGTTGAGATAAGATGAGTTGGGCGTTTCTACCTTTTTACCAGAAGAGATCGTTTGGAGTTGTTTGAGTAGAGATCGACCGACTTGTTGACATAGGACATAATTATCACCTTCATATGTATTGGAAGGTACCGCCATGGCAAAGATTTGACCCACACCACTAAATTGAGAGTAACCATGACCACCCATTGCTTTGCGACATTCTTCTTGACCATCCGTAGCACGACGGGTACACCATACCTTGAGAGAACATGTAGTGATATGCATTTCAGGAAGCATGGATGCATCTTGATTCAGTAATTGTTTGGTCATCTTTTGAAAATCAGCTCCCACAGATTGTCCAGCAAAGAGTAATGCATAAGACACGGCAATCAAGGGAAAAAGTCGATGTTTGATGGAAGAATAGCTGATCACCTGTTGTTCAAGTTCATCCTTCTTGCTACCATCCTTTTTTGCTGTATCATGGAATTGTCGTCGTACTGTACTATATCGAATAGCAATTGTCACAGCCTTGCCAAGTTTTATTCCAGCATCGGCCACCATGCCTACTCGTAATTTCACCATACTACCATAGGATAACTTGTCGTGTACCGGACGAATATACTGACCATCTCTTGTCACTTGTGCAAATCTCATCAACATGTTTTCACGAGGGATTCGAACATGATCAAAGAGTGCAACTAAAAAAAAAAAAAAAAAAGGTCAATCTCAATATATTTGATCAAATTTGCGAACTTTTATTCTTACTTACATCCGTTATCCACAGTTGCAAATCCACCATAAGCCTTAGGTCCAATATCACCAACAGTGACGCCTTTGAGAGGTTTACGGTCCACTAATGAATCATAAATAAAATGAAGCAAGAATTTTCATATATATTTTCCATTGCTAATAATTAATAGTAACTTACCAGGAGATCTAACAGGGACAACAAAGATATGAGGACCATATGACTTTTGATCAATCACCAATTGGGCCTGAATCATAATACATATATAATAAGATTATTGTTAATTCATGCATATTTTTCTTTTTTTTTTTTTTTTTGAATTACCTGAAGAACACAATGAGTAGCGGCAATACCAAGTCCTCCAATCCACCATTTCGCTGCCTACCAAATAAAGAATACCATGTAAACATTAGAATCATACAGATTTGTATACATAAACAAGATGAGGAACATACCGTTAAATCAGGACTATGAATAACAAATTCATCCGTATTAGTATCCAATGTTGCGGTTGTTCGTAGTCCTTGTACGTTAGAACCATGCCTACCATCAATAATGACACGTATATAAAAAGAGTTAAAAGGGGGTTAGTATAAAACTTGGGCGGTGGCGTTTTTTCCTTTTGTTTTTGTATCCATTCAAGGGGGTAACGGAGAAAGAACTTACCCTAATTCAGTTTGAGCGTAACAACCCATAATGGCAAGTTTTTGAGCAGGTTCCACCCATTTGGCAATTTGTTCATCAGTACCTTGAGATTGAAGAACAGGTATAAAGGCTACATATATAAATAAGAGAGTAAGTCTATTAGTTTACATTATATAATAATTATTAACCTACCAGAATAATGAAGACCAAGTGGAGACATGAGATCAGCAAGCATAACAAGACCTTGGAATTCTAAATCGGATAAGTCATGTTCATCAACTAGTTCTACCAGACGTCTATGTACAAGAAGAGAATGATGTATTAACTAAAGAAAAAGAAAAAAAAATGTAAGATGAAGTACTTGAGAGTTATCACTATTTTCTTACTTGTTCACGGTTCATGAAATGTGTTTTAGAAGGGTCCAATAGAGGTTCTTTTTCCATGAGAGTTCGTAGCTTCTTGATAACGTGAAAGACAAGTTCACCACCGTATAGCAAATTAGTTAACTCTTCAACAGGAAAAGTTGCATTGTGTCTAGCAGTTTGAAGGTCAGTAGACATCTGGTCCAAATATTTGGTTGACATGATATTTGAGATAAAAAGAGAAAGAAAAAGGAGAAGAAATCTCAAAAAAAAAAAAAAAAAAAAGAATCATCTTATATTTTAGAAACCAGCATGAACTTTCTTTTTTTTTCACATGAATATATATATAGATATTATTCTTATCCTTCTTTCTCAAAAATATAATTGTAACTATCATTTTTCACACAAAAAAATTATTACTTGTCATCCTAAATTAATACAAAATTATAGTGGTAATATCAATTACTACAAAAATTGATAACCACTGTTTTTATGCCGCCGTGAGAAATGTGTGGGGTTAAGCTTCTCTTTTTTTTTTCTGTCTCGGTTGAACAAAATAACCGTTTTTTTTTCTCTCTTTTTTTTTTTTTTTTTTTTTTAAATTGATAGAAAACAAAAGAAAAAAATCACTTGTTGCATCATTAAATAATACAAAGTACATATTTTTCAATATAATGGAATCTTAAACTGATTTTCTATTAACTTTTTCAACTTTTTGATCTTTTTCTTTCTGTCTTGCCCTGATGAAAATGCGTATTTACACTCCGCGTGGCTTTTCCTCTTTTTTTCTTTACTTTTTTTTTTAATATCTCTTTCTTTTTTTATTACTTCTTCTTTTTCATTATTATTATTATTATTCATAGTCAGTCGCCATGCCGAAATTGACAGCTAAACAAACTAAGAAAGATACTAGTGCTGATATGAGAGCCTTTGGTCCTTTATTCAACAAAGATCTCGGTCAACATATCTTGAAGAATCCTTTAGTTGCTCAAGGTATTGTGGATAAGGTAATAGATATATATATATATTAAATCATTTAACATTAACTATATATCTATCTTTGTTTTTAATATTAGGCCAATTTGAATTCAAGTGATGTTTGTCTTGAAGTAGGTCCTGGTACAGGTAATCTTACTGTCAAGATCCTTGCTCAAGCTAAAAAGGTTGTAGCGGTGGAAATGGATCCTCGTCTTGCTGCCGAACTTCAAAAACGTGTGAATGGAACGTAAGTGATCAAAATAATATAAAAAAACATTTCATTGATATGTTTTATATCTCTATCTAGTCCTGAACAACGAAAATTACATATTATGTTGGGTGATTTTATGAAAACAGAACTTCCTTACTTTGATGTTTGTATCAGTAATACCCCATATCAGATCTCGTCTCCTTTGGTCTTTAAACTTCTTGAACATCGACCTTTATTCCGGTAAACATAATATAACAATATTACTTTAATTTTTTTTATTAATATTGATCTATAGTTGTGCTATTCTTATGTTTCAACGAGAATTTGCTTTACGATTGGTAGCAAAACCAGGAGATGAACTTTACTGTCGATTATCTGTCAATGTACAATTGTATGCAAAGGTGGATCATGTTATGAAAGTTGGCAAGAATAATTTTAGACCTCCTCCTCAGGTAGAATCTTCTGTTGTACGACTAGAACCAAAGAATCCTCCTCCTCCTGTGGATGCCAAAGAATTTGATGGTTTATTACGTATCTTATTTGTACGAAAACATAAGGTAAATTATTTATAATATAAATAAAATTGGGTTATTGATTTTTACTTTTTATATATAGACTCTTGCTGCTAACTTTAAACAAACAACTGTTTTGAATATGTTGGAACAAAATTACAAAACCTATTGTTCTGCGCATGAATTGGTAAGAATATAAAAATATTAAATGGTGAATTTTATTCTTATTATTATATTTTATATATAGATGGTGGATTCTGATTTTGATATCAAACAGATGGTACTTGGTATTTTGGATTCTATTGATATGTCAGGAGCCCGGGCGGCCAAATTGGATTTAGATGATTTCCTCAAGTAAGTTATATAATATCAAAAAAAAAAAAAATAAGAAAAATTGTTGACTAATTATATTATTTTATATAGAATTCTTCTCACCTTCAATCGTGCCAATATTCATTTCACATAATACTTCTTATTTTTTTAATCATTCCCTCAATACATGCATTACTTTTAGTTTAATCATTCTTCATATAACATCCATTTACATCTATATTATTATATATCATTGATAAAACTATTATTTTCTCATCCATTATTATTTTTTTTTCTCATGCTTTTTTGATCGGTCATGCTCGTTTTACGTTTTATCGGGATTATTTTTGTGTGACTCAGTGAGATAACTATTTTCCTTTTTTTTTTTTTTTTCTTTCTTCGTCTTTCCTTTCAACTCTATGAATATGTATAAACCACCAAAACCTGGATCGAAAATTATTATTGTTGGAGGTGGATGTTTTGGTCTTTCTACAGCTCATGCTTTAGCATTGAAAAAGATATATCAAGTGGTAGTATTTGACCGTCTTCCTATTCCTGTACCTGACGCTGCTTCCTCAGGTACCTATCTTTTCTTTTTTTTTAGTTTTTTTTTTTTTTTTTTGACTCCTTCCCTTCAACTTTTTTTTTTTTTTCAACAAGATATTAGCAAGGCTGTAAGATTTGACTATGGAAATAACTTATTATATATGAATCTCACCTTGGAAGCCATGCCTTATTGGCATCAATGGAACAAAGAACGTGCTATACAAAATGAACCACCAGTATTTCATCAAACGGGTGTTTTACTATTTGGCCATCAAGGCAAGTTTGGTGATTATGAATTGGAAAGCATGAAAGCTATTCGTGAAGCTGGTTATGGACATTGTATTGAAGAACTATTAACACCTGAAGCTATTTTAAAAAAATACCCTCATTTTGAAGAAACTGTCAAGAATAGTTATGATATTGCGTATTTCAACAAAGAAGGTGGTGAGTCTTTAAAGTTGTTACTTGAATCAAATATCTAATCAGAAACTTTTTCAAGGTTGGTGCAATTCTTCCGAAGCTATTAAACATCTCTATGGAAAGTGTATCAAGGAAGGAGTACAATTTGTGATTGGACAAGATCAAGGCTGTTATAAGGAACTTTGGATAGAAGACAACTCGGATGTTCGAGGTATCATCACACGGGATGGTCAACATCATATTGCTGATAATGTTATATTCGCCACTGGAGCTTGGACGGCTGGTTTACTTGGTATCAACGAAGAACTATTAGCAACCGGTCAAGTCGTCATGCATTTCAAACCAAACAAATCCAATCTTCAAGCATTGATGGATCAACCAGTATGGTGTGCAGATGTTGCTAATACCGGTAGGATGAATCAAAAAAAATAATGATAATAAGAAAAAAAAAAAAAGTTGGTATTGACACTTCCTTTTTTATTTTATTTTATTTGATGGAAATTAGGTTATTATGGATTCCCTGCTAATGAAGATGGTAAACTCAAAATTGCTCGACATCATTCTGGATACCTGAATCCTAGATCTGGTGATGATATTTCAATTCCAAGAACTCAAGTCGATCATGCCAATGATACTATTCCTATCAGTGCTCTTCAACATGCACGTACTTTTCTAGGCAAATTTCTTCCTATGACTTCTTCTATGGATATTACTTACACACGTGTCTGCTGGTAAGCAAAATAAAATAAAATCATATCTTGTATGTTGTTTCTCAAAAAACCTTTTATCTCTTGAATTAAAATAATATATTGTAGGTACAGTGATTCGAAAGATGGTGATTTTTTGATTTGTCCTCATCCAAATTATAGTAATGTGGTTATTGCTTCTGGAGATTCCGGTCATGCGATGAAGTAAGAATAGAGAAAAAAAAAATAGACACAAATGAATGAAAATAAAATACAGGATTGATCTTTTTTTAATTTTATTTTATTTGAAGGATGCTTCCGGTCATTGGTTACAAGATTTGTCATGTCATAGAAGGGATTGATTCGGATTATTCTAGAGCCTGGTGTTGGAGGACGACTATAGAAGAAAAATTTGATGCATTCCGAGGACGTATCGAAAATGTACGGACTACTTTGGGTGACCAAGATGGAGGTGGGCGATTTGCAACACAACACGAATTATTAGCGGCAAAACATCGACTGTAGCTTGTCACTTTATCTTTTATTGTATTTTCATTTATATTCCTTTATCTTTAATTATTCTGTACTATCCAATAAATTTGTTACTTCTTCCTATTGATAGTCTTGTTTGTTCCTTTCTCTTCTACATGGAGGAGACAGAGTTTGACAGATATGATGATTGTATAATGATTGTATAATGATTCTCGATGGAGTCCCTATTGAATAATATAGAAATTGGTAAAGACACTGAAACAAATGACGATGAAGAAGGAAAAAAAAAAAAAAAGAGATGATCTTATTCAAATAACAAAAAAAAAAAAAAAAAAAAAGAACATATCAAGTAGGTATACTAAGATAAAGAGAGGATCGCATATTGCTTTGTATATATAACGCGGATATTGGAGATAACTTTGTAAAAAGGATAAATTTTTATTAATATACAATAGCAAAAGCTATTATAATGATTAAAAGAAAGGAGAGAGAGAAAAAAAAAAGGAATAAATCAAAATAACAATGGTAATAATAATAAAATAATGATAGAAAGGTAATAATATATTTGGAAAAAAAGATAATAAATAACATACATTAAAAGAGAGGATATTGGAACAAAAGAATCACGAAAGAGAGGCTTGTGGTTAAAAAAAAATAATGAAGAGAAGGAAGTAAACTGACTCTACATCATAATTATTTGATTGGTAAAGATAAATAGTTGTTCAAAGCTTGCTGTTTTTCTTGAAGATAATATTCCAAGTGGCTGACCAAACAGTCATCAAGGTCTTGAATTTGGCAGAAGCAGTAGAGGGCAAACCATAAATAAGGAAGGAAAGCATGGTATCTTTATCATCAGTATAGGGAGGGTAGCGGGCAGCCAAAACGCTTTCGAAACCAGTGGTCTTGATCATAGTGGAACGTTCATGTACAAAAGTATCAAAGGATTTGTCACCATGATAAGAACCCATTCCAGAAGCACCCACCCCACCAAAAGGTAAAGATAATTCTTGTAAATGCATCAAAGTATCATTGACTACAGCACCTCCAGAGTTTGTCTTGTTTAAGACTATAAAAATAAGAGGGAAATGTGAGAAAGTTATAAAGTATAACAGTAAAAAAAAAAAAAAGGACTTACTGTTGTTGTAAATAGCAGGGCTCTTTGCAAAGATATACATGGCCAAAGGATGATCTCTAGATTTGCATAAATCAGGGAATATTATGATAATTAATGATTATTGATGATTAGGAGTGAATACTTCTTTTTTTTTTAGTATTATTACCTTGTGTTAATGATTTGAATAGCTTGTTCCATATTATCTACAGGAATAATAGGTAAAATAGGACCTAAATCAAATAAGGAAATGGAGTTAACGCGCACAGTCTAAAAAGAAAGGCAAGCTATCACATGTGGAGAGTGTATCAAGTGGATTTTGTGTCACTGTCATTGCGCCTTAAATAATAAACCAGATCCTTTTTTTGCGTGTACTAAAATGATTTTCACTTACCAAAAATTTCTTGTTGCATGATATGTTCATCTTTATAGGAGATCGATTTGAGGACAGTAGGTTCCATATACAAATCATCACGGTCTGATTTGCCACCAATAGCGATTTGAGTTTCATCATAGTGATCCAAAAGTCCCTTGAGACGATCGAATTGTCGTGTGCTGACAATACGACCATAAGATTCACATTTTTGAGGGTTGGCGGTGTAATATTTCAATAATGTACGTCGTATAGCAACAATTAACTTTTCTTGCATGTCTTTGGTAACCAAAACATAATCAGGTGCCACACAAGTCTAAAAAAAAAAAATTGAGTATTACCGCCAACAACGTATTTGGATAAAGTATAAGACATTTCATTTACCTGACCATTATTGAAGAATTTACCCCAAATCAATCGATTTGCAGTTACATCCAAATCAGCATCTGGTGCCACAATAGCAGGACTATATATACATATAAAAAGAAAGAATCATAAGAAAATAATAGTTAAGTTTGTACTGATTAGTAATCAATGATTGACTTACGATTTACCACCAAGTTCAAGAGTTACAGGAGTCAAATAGTTAGCAGCAGCTTTCATCACAATCTTTCCAACAACACCATTTCCAGTATAAAAGATATGATCAAATTTGTTTTCTATAATAAAATCAATAGCATTAATAATGAATAAAAGAGGAAGAACTATTAGGGTATTTTACCAAGAACAACCGTTGTTTCTTCTACTCCACCATTGACGAAAGAGAAAGCACGCTTGTCAAGGTAATCAGGCAAGTATTTAGTGATCACAGCAGCAGTATTAGCGGAAACTTCAGAAGGCTACATAAAAATCATTGAAAAATGAATCAGTATTCATGTACTCTTTTTTTTTTATTTATTGGTTACCTTGAGGAGGACACAGTTACCAGCAGCAATAGCACCAACCACAGGCATCAACAATAAATTGACCTAACAAAAAAAAAAAAAAAAAAAAAAGAAAATAAGAAGAAGAATATTAGTCTATGGTAACGATGATGATGATGATAATCCACGTGTCATATCAAATCAGACATACAGGATAATTCCAGGCACCTAATGCAGAACAAAAAAGGAAGAATATTAACGACTAGAATAACGATTCACCATTATAAAGCCGAGTATATACTTTACCAATAACAAGGACAACACCTTTAGGTTCTTTGCGAATGATGGTTTTATCGAGAGCATTCATTTTGAATCGTTTATTGGTAGTGGTTGGTTTGGATAGTCGATGAACATTCTAAAAAAAAAGGAAAGGAAAATGTATTATAGTTAATAAAAAAAAAAGAAAAAAGTATTGTGTTGTTCATATATTTTACCTTGATCATATATTGACATTCATCAACAATACTGGAGATCTCACCAACATTACTTTCCATTCTGTGTTTATGTAAATCTTTATATAAAGCATCCATCAAGTCTTCCTTCTTTTCATTCATAAATCGAAGCAAGTTGGCAAGTTGTTGTTTACGGAATTCCAAGTCCTTAGTAAGACCTATTCTCAAAGTTCCCCACAAAAAAAAAAAAAAAAAAAGGTTAATATATTTATTTTATGATCTTTTTACTATGAATATTTTTTTTTTTTGTTTTTACCTGTATTGAAGGTTTTTCTTAAAGAATTTACAATATCAGGGATATCTTTCACAGGAGTATAAGTAAGTTCAGACATGTTTGGTATAAAGATTGAAAAAGAAAAAGAAAAAAGAAAAAAAAAGAAAAGAGTGTGAAAGAGGGATCCAAAAAAAAAGATTAAAAAAGGTAAAAAAACCATGATGGTGATTTAAAGTTTTTCTTATGTCGAAAAAGGTTTCAACCCCGCATTTACAAGCGATTTTGTGTTGTGTCAAATGTATATACTAATGAAACTTTAACAGGCGATAAAATACATCAGATTTGTAACTCCAAGGTGGAAGATGGTTACCTAAATAAAGAAAAGACGCGTACAGAACTTCTTGTACCGCCTTATGCTTTTTTCCAACTACGATCATACTACACCTTCTTTTAGTCTAAATCAAAAATATGCTTTATGATGAAATGGAACATAGTATAAACTTTTTTCATATGAAGTTTATTCCTGAGGATAATCGATCGTCTTTCTTTATTGAAACACCTATTACACATACAGTACTGTTTAGGAAAGAAAAAGAAATTCACAACTTTTTTTTTTTTTTAAATCCGAATATATCATAGATGCACATGGAATCATTAAAAACATCATTACCGTGCCGATACAATACAGTAGTATATGATAACGTGTTAATCAACATAGAAAGACCGAAGAAAGAAAGCTGTTGTATGTGATCATCATTTACAATGATATGAATATATTGATTATTTATTATTCATATATCATGATGTAGGTAATGTCATCACATCACTTTAATACATGATGATTGTACTATCATAAATAAACAAAATAAATAATCAAGTTACTTAGATGAGCATCATATACTAAAAAGGGTATATTGAAGGATATGAAGTGATGATACATATTATCATTATCATCTGGTTCAAACTATCATCATACTCTTACTCTATTTTCGCCTATACAAAATCATCATAATAAGTTTAATCATTATATTGTGACCATACATCAGTGTTCTTCTTTTATATATAGCCCTTTTTGAGATATCATAAAAAAAAATCATCATCATCATCATCATGATTAACAAAATAATAAATAAATAAAGCTTTATTTCCAGTACATAATAATAATAATGATAATAATAATAAAAGAAGTTATTGTAGATAATAAAAAGAGGGAATCATTTGTATAAACATATTAAGCTAGTAAGTTGTTGAAGATATTCTATCCAGTGATGAGGCGTGGTTTCCCATGAGATCTTGATGCTAGTATAGTAATGATAATACAAGAAAAAATATATCCACTAAACTTGAAAAAGGCCGAACGAGAATATTGTCGTTCTTCTTCAGGTGTTCTAAAGGATGCATATATCTTCCAAAGATTAGGTAACGCCATGAATCGAATAGAAAGAAAATAATAAAAAAAAAAAATTAATGAAAAAACAATAATAAAGCAAAAAACATGCCCGACTGGGTCTAAATATTGACGCCTCTTTTTTTTTTTTTTTTTGGTGATTTCCAGTAAGTTCTCCTTACTTTTTTTTTTCTTTTCTTTTTCTCTTTCCATCTTCTCATACTGTTATCAAAACTATTATGAAAGAGAAAAAGCCATTATCCGTTGTTAGTCGTTTCTCTCTATTTCTGAATACCATTGGTTTAGTTTCCAACCTCACTTGTCTTTATGCTGTACATTATGTCTATCATAATCCTTATGCCAACGGTTTTGGTGGTCACTTTCAGGTAATCTATATTGAAAAATTATTATATTTTTTGAACTTGTTTTGTGTTTTAGTATTTGACTATACTTGGTTTGACTTGGGCTACTTTTGCTTTTGCAATAAATATTTATCGATTCTTTTGTCCAACAAGCTTGACAGGTAAATATAGAGAAATAAATAAAATGAAGAAATTGAAAAAAAATGATATCTATCTTTTTTTTTTTTTAAAAAAAAAAAATAGGATTACATGACCTTGTTATTCATGTGGCTATACCGGTAAATGATTTTGTCAAATTAAATAGAATGTAAACTTATCTTTATTTGTTATTTAGTTGGAAGCTATTGTGAGCTTTTTGTATTGGGGAATGACCTACATAGACCCTGAATTATTAATCCCTAAGGAGGTGGAACCTATCCCTTGGGTGATGGATGGCGCTTTACATCTTTATCCCACGGTACTTATTTGGATGGATTTTTTACTGTTAAATACAACATTCAGAAGAGCATGGAGACATACCGTTTATATCTATGGATTTGTATTTGCCTATTATGTATGGTCTTGTTATTGTCAATCTCGGAATGGTTATTATCCTTATGGTTTTTTGGAATCCTTTGAATCTTCATGGACAAGATTTAGTTTTTATTTTGTCTCTGGTACTATTGCATGGTTATCGTATGAAGCAGGTAAGAAAAATTATATATGATGATGAATTTTCTTATTTTTTTTTTAATTAATATATATAGGTGCCATGGTTCATTCCAGAATTCATTCAACTATTCATGCTAAAAAACAAGTTTAAGGCTGCCTTTGAAATAATACTTTTTTTTTTCTTGGTTCAATCCTGATTCTCTCTTTTGGTTGGTGGTTTTTTTTTCCCCTTCATCATCTCACCCCAGCTGCCATTGTATTTTATCCTCTTCCCACGTCACATCAATAAACAATTTTTTTTTTAAAACCTCGAATTCTGTTTTCGTTTGTTGGTTTGCCTGACCCTGTCTGTCTCTATCTTTTTTTTTCTTTCTCCTCTACCTTCTTTTTTTTTTTTTTTTTATTTCTTCACCCCCCTCCTCTTCTTACATTCTTCAATATAGAATCATGCATTCTGTTCGAGCTATTCTTCGACAGACCACCAAGGTCCCTTCTACTCGACGATTCCTCCACTCTTCTCCTGCTGTCAAGTCAGACGCGTTGTTTATTGTAAGAACTTATCATAATAAATTTAGGAATTCATCTTGAACTCATCAATCTATTTTATATATATATGTTTAGCATCGTGATACACCTGACAACAATGCTAACTTAAAGTTTGAATTCAATAAGGAAAATCAACAACGTGTACAAGAAGTTTTGAAAAAGTACCCTCCTCAATACAAAAAGGGAGCCATCATGCCTTTGTTGGATCTTGGACAACGACAACACGGATTCACCTCTATCTCTGTTATGAATGAAGTTGCTCGTATTTTGGAAGTACCTCCTATGCGTGTATATGAAGTCGCTACCTTTTACACCATGTTCAACAGGTAAATAATAATAAGGAAATGAATTTCTATATTGATCTTTTCACTTATTATCATTTGTTATTAGAAACCCTGTTGGAAAACACTTTTTGCAACTTTGTACAACAACTCCTTGTCAATTGGGTGGTTGTGGATCTACCAAGATTTTGGAAACTTTAACAAGTGAACTCGGTATTCAACCTGGAGAAACAACCAAAGATGGCAAGTTCACTTTGGTCGAAGTCGAATGTGCTGGTGCCTGTGTCAATGCTCCTGTGATGGCCATCAATGATGATTATTATGTAAAGTGAAATAGAACATATTGTATATTGTTAGACTCACATTTGACATTTTTATAGGAGGATCTTACTCCCGAAACTACCAAGAAACTTTTGGATAACTTGAAGGCTGGTAAACCTGTAACACCTGGTCCTCAATCTGGTCGTCATACCTGTGAATATGCTCCTGGTGTTTATACTACTTTGAATGAAGAACCTTATGGTCCTGGTTTCAAGATTCGTGATGATTTGTAAAGATATTTCCCTCCTCTCTCGTTTCTATTGTCGCATCATCCATACACATCCATCCTTATCACAAATATCATGATTCTCTCTCTCCCTTTTTTTTTTTTTTTTATTTATTTATTCTTCCATAGCAGATATCAATTATCATTGGATTATCTCTTTTTTTCTTATACATATACTACTAACGTTTATGACCTTACACAATCTTACATACAACATTGTATCCTCTTTAGTTATTCACTAAAAACTACACCTAGTACTTTACTTTTTTTTTTTTTTGTACCCTTCTTGTTTTGTCAATAAAGAAAAAAAAAAGATCATATAGATTCAAATTGAAATAAACATGATTTTATTAAATGATTGAATGTACATTTTATGATAAAAAAAAAAAAAAAGACGATGATCCTCAAAAAGAAAAAGAATAAAAAAGAATAGTGTAACAATGGAATAATAATAAAGGATGAATCATCATCATAAATAATAGGTATATCTAAAGAAGGATACTAATGATTAAGCAGGAGAATGATAAATAAGATAAGAGGGAATACCATAGATACCATAACCCATAGCATGCACCATTCGAGCAAAACCTTCGGCATCAACTTGATGTTGTAATGGATAACTAGGGAAATTGGCGCCTTCACGATGTACTTGGGCCTTGACTAAAGTAAAAGTAGTACCGACCCCATCCAGCTCCACGAGATGATCATGACCCAAATGAGTTGGCATATCGACCATCAATGTTCTACCAGTAGCTAATTCCTTGAAACCTTCCAACATGACAAAGTCTTCGCCCACCATACGCTGGAACCGTAAAGAACCATCGGTCTCTTGCCAATTGTTGCGATCGTATGCCCAAAAGGATCCATCTTGGGTGGCTACCAAACAGTTAGGTACAATCACATCCTTATTATGTGCCATCAGGTCTTCAAAGATCGTCAAAGGATAATCCACCAGACCCACATCTATCCATGCTACCCAGCTATGATGTTCTTGTAATGCTGCTGAAAGCAAATAGTTCCGTGCCCGCGCCATGATCGACCGTCGGTAGGGTTGGAGTTTGAATGGTTGATCTCCAAAATCAAAATGGAAATCGCGTTGATAGACTGTGATGTCATGGAAGGCATGGAACCATCGTTGTTGTAACCGTTGGATTTCAGTAGCCAAGGTGAGCATCATCCCTTCTTGTTCTTCTTGTGTGTCCATATTGGAAGAGACAAGTAAACCAATGGATATCAAATGATTCGGATAACTGGTTCGATCCAATAGGTCAAAATACGTCGATAAATGTTTAGCAGTATCTTTTGTAAAGAGAGGAGTCAATACCAATATATGTTCTTGATTCTGAAGAGCATCAGAAGTGGCATTCAAAGCATTGAGATCTCGATAATGAGGAGGTGATGATAAACTGTCATGTCCTTTCCATATCATCACTTGTTGAGAATTCAGTGACCGAGTGTTGTGACATAAATTATTATTATTATTATGTGGTGAGATACCTTGATAAAATACATATAAAAATAGACAAGTCAATAATAAGGTGACCATGCCTAATCGCTTTCCACCTCGAAACGTGTATACGGATGACATGATGGGTATAAGAATAATAAAAAAAAAAAAAAAAAGGATAGGAAGGGAAAATAAAAAAATAAATAAATAAATATAAAAAAAAAAGGGAAGAAAGAGAAAAGAAAAGAATAGAAAAGAATCAAAGGAACAAGGAGAAATCTCAAAAAAATGATTTTATTGGATAATCCCCAATTTGGTCGATCAAATCACTGACTGACTTTCTTTTTTTGAGCAAGACTTTCTTTTATGTGAATAGTAAGAAAAATTTGATTTAAGCCTTCTTTTTATTATCAAATGAAATCTTAAAAAAAAAAAATAGTCTTCTCCTTGAATTCATCCTAAAAAAGAAAAGTTTTCTCCTTTTTTTTTTTTTTTTCTGTACTTTCAATTCATTCTTTTTAATTGTTTGAGCTTTTCCCTTTTGAACAACACTAAAATAAAAAAAACACACTTATTTCGTGTTACAAATTTTCTTTAGACTTGACTTTTTTTTTATTATTATTTTCGTCTTTTTATTATTTTGAAGAATATGTTTTTCTATGAAAGTATTTAAATTGATAATTTATAAATAAAAAGAGGCATCATTATCTCATCTTTTTTTTCGAACGAGTTATCATGTTGACATCGGACAATGAAGTAACTTTTTTTCTAAAAAGAGATCGCCAAGAATACTAAAATGAACTTTAATTATATCTATCCAAATGATAAAAAACCTCATATATAAACATATATAATATCACCGTTTATTTATTTATTTATTTATTCATTCCATTCTTCTTTTTATTTTCTCCAGAAATAGTAGATTCCAATTGTATTAATTTGGTGATGATGATAATTCAACTTCCGTGATCAAGGCCAAAAATAGATCATATAAGAATAGAATAATAATAATAATAAAAAGACCAGCTTTTTTTTATTTGATCAACATAATGAATATATCTATTCTGCTCCTTCGATATCAAACAAATAATGATAATGTAAGATCAAGTATTTGACAATGTTTTGATGATGACCAAGATTGGACATGGAAGTAGTAAATGCTGCAGGTCCAGACATGGGTTGTAAAAGTGTAGGTCCAAACACAATCGCTAAATTAGTAGCATACATATGATTGATGGCTTCATAATCCGTCACACTAAAAAAAAAAAAAAAAAAATCATTAGTTAAATCTATTCTTCATCATCATTCTCTTTTTTTTTTTTTTTTTTTGTAATATATTTACATGACAAAATGTTCCAATAATCTCTTCAATAATTGATAATTTACCGGTGGTAATTTTTGAATCACTTGTTTGATCTTATATACTCGATCATCATGATCATCCGAGGCTATGATAAAGAAAAAAAATCAGTCATCTTTTTTTTTTTTTTTTTTTTTTTTTTTTTTTTTTTTTGTACCTGATGCATTAATAAATTCTTCATATAATGCAAACGTCAAGAGTGGTTCAGGTAATTCACGTAAGAATTGTTTGAGAGCATCGGCCACGACATTGATATCCGGATAATGATCTACATCCACATTCACATTGGTTTGAGTATTGAATTCTTTCTTCAATTGTTGCACAACAGATCCAGTACCAGCCACACGATAGATGCCCACTTCTTCTAAACCACGTAATTCAATTTCCTTGATACATGTCGTCACCAGGTTTGGTACTTGATGATGTTCACGTTCTTGTAATGTTTCCAAAGGTATACCATATACAGTTGTTCTTGTAGTTGTTGCGATTTTTTTCTTGTTTTTCGTCGTCACTTCAGGTGTCATTGTCATGGTTTCCTTGGATTCTGCCGCAAATACACTACGTCGTTTGGCCGTTCCATGTCTTGCTGCTTGATTGATTTCATCCATCCAACTTTGCATATCATCCACATTCGCCCCTTGTAACAAATATTGTGCCCCTTCTTCTGTGACCACCCGGAAAACAAACGCACGTTTTTCGTACCCACTGGCAATAGAAGTCGTTGCATGTATCAAATTAATCACCATGGCTGCCCTAGCACTATTGGAATCATCATCCATACGTAGTTTGCATGTCTTCGCTGTTGTGTCGATACTCGAATCATCCATGTGGAAATTGGCAACAGAGGGAGGACGGAAGGTACGTAACAAAGCTGGCCATTTGATACCATGAGGTGGAGTTCCACTTAATGAAGAAGTCGGTATCACTCCAACATCTTGCTGTTGTTGTTGTTGTGAAGATCCAGTATTCAATGATGAAGAAGATGCATATCGTCGATGATATCCGTGCTTTTTTCCATGTTTTGGTCGCATTTGTTCTAATTGTCGTTTTTGCCATTTCTGTTGAACTTCTTTCCATTCCCGATCGATTCGTTCACGTTCTTTGATATCACGTCGAAGTTTTTCCATTTGTGCTGCAACTAGTTTACTGAATACACCATGTTTGAGAGAGAATGAAGATGATGATGATGATATTGTTGTGGAACTTGATGAGTGACTTGATTTGATCTTGTTTCCATGACGATGTTGTTGTTTTGGTGGTGGTGGTGGTGGCGGTACTGGTACTTGGTAATGATGATTTTTTTCTTTATGAGCTTCTTCCTTGAGCATTTTCCATGTTCGCTTCTTGTCATTGGGAGAGATCAAAAAGGACATAGACATTGCTTGAGTAGTAGATTGTTTTTCCAATTTCACTTGCGCATTCATCATCAGTTGTAGGAATTTGAACATATACCTACCCTTGTCAAAATGAATCATTCCATGATACGTATCAGGCACTACCAACGAAAGTTCAATCATACGTTCGAATACCCAACCAATACTAGGAGCAAAACAAAAGTCAGTCTGCTGTTGTGAAGATAATCCTGGAGATTCCATCGTTCGAGAAGATAAATTTTTCATCAAAGGTGCTAATGTATCCAAATCAGAAACACCATATTTTTGCCCAATCACTTTCCAGGCCTTGGTGAATAATCGAACTTCAGGACTAACAAGTGCACTTGCAATGGCGTTTTCTACAAAACCTGGTACATAAGTAGATGATTGTGCTGAGCTGTTGGTAGAACTGGTTGCTGTTTTTGGTGGTGGTGGTGGAGGTGGTGATGATGATGATGATGTCGCCGATTCCTTCAGTTCCGTAAATAATTCCATCTTTTGACAAGATCGCCGAGAGAGTCGCATCATCTGTACAAAAACATCTATCCTTGCTACACGTGTATTCAAATCGATCTTGGAGGCAGTCACTTCATGAATCACCCAACTACGAATAATGTAATGCATACAGTATAGATATTGAATGGAACTTGGGAATGCTAAAAGTAAATCATCTGCAGAAAAGGCCAAAAGTGATATAATCGAACGTCGAGCACCTTCAATCCCAGTAAAGATATCAGAGATAATGATTTCATCCGTATGAAGATGGTGATAATCAGAATAATGGGCAGTAGGACAATCTGCAACAGGAGAAAGTGCTGAAGACATGAGCGAGGGTCGCTGATGTTGTCGTTGTTGTTGATGTTGTTGTAAATGTTGTCGTGAGAATGGTGATGATGAGGATGATGATGATGATGAAGACGATGATAATGAATTGCTGATCCCAATATTGGCTGATGTTGATTTTCCATTGTTTCGAGTAGGTAACCATGCATACAAATCATTTGATTGAGCCTCGAATACATCCATTGTTTGAATCCAATCTTGTAATGTCACAGAACTAAATAGTTGTCGTACAGAACGATCCGCTTGTTCCAATAAAGTGATTGCCGAGTATCGATCCACTACACTACCTGCTGTATCATCAAGTGGTGTCCTTGTCAAAGAGAATGTTGAAATCTTACTTGTTGCCAATTGTAACATGACGTTGAATTGTTGTTTCCCATTAGTCAGTTGTCGATAGAGTTCATCCGCATTCCTACTTCCTTGTGTATCGAATTGAATGGCTTTTAGATCGTAGCATGGTGAAAGAGATTTTTGTGCCAGTAATACTTGTAACTGATCCAACTGTCGACCAATCTTATCACCCATAGCCAAAGCTGCTTGCATATTTTGTCCAATGGTATCCATATCTTCCTTCATTCCAGTCTTATCTTCTTTGTACTTGCTTCGATCATCATAGTGTTGTTCGTAATATTGTGATAAAGGTAGTTGCCATAATGCCAAGGATGTTTTTGCCGTCATCATCAGATCATACATACCACTAAGTAAATCAACTTGATCAACTACATCGTAAAAGTATTTTTCAATCCAGTACATGAGAAGATGGACCACACGAAGTTGAGTCTTTGCTACCACAAGCCAATCAAAAGAGGACACATGCAATTCTTGTTCAATAAAAGATGTATCTGTAGTCGTCGCCATTTTTTCCAGTTTTTCAGAAGTAGAACCCGGATCCATCATTGTCATCCTTCGACGTTGCTTCTTGGCTTGTTGCTGTTGTTGTTGCCTTGCTTGTAATCCTTTTGATCTTGCTTGAGTGAATTGATCTTGCAAAAGTTTCATCAGTTGCTTCGGAGTACAGTACATGCGATACGTCGTAAAAAATACTTGAACATATTCATTGTGATCCATTGATAATTGTGTCAAATCCAGTTTGTCGCCTTTCGTCATTGTCATGGAAGTTGGTCCAAGAGCCCTCCATTGTTGCTGTATGATCGTTTTGTATTGATCTATGCCATGAACTAAAATATCCACCAACGGTATAAGATTTCCAGCGCGAACATTCACCAATGCTGTTGACATAGTTCGTTTATTATCTTTCTCTGAGGAATCATCAGTAGTTGGTAATTCTAATAATCCATCAACAGTGAGTACAACAGAATTGTCTTGTATATGAAATATCCATCCACTACGAGCTTTCTCCGATGTGCTGTCATTTTGTTGCTGTTGTTGTTGTTGTTGTCGCGTATATGCCAATTGTTTCTTTGCTATTTTCGCTTTTTGTTGTTCAACCTTGCAAGTATCATCATCTATATATTGTACACAATCTTCATTCAGTGTCGCTGTGTTGGTATCCGTTTTTTCCAATGCGTATAAAGAGGATAGGGCCAGAGGAGAAATAGGTTCTTGACGATGTACAAGTTGTATCTCATATCCAAGTGATTGTTGTTGATGATCTCGCTTTTGCATGGCTTGACCATATAAATTCAAAGAAGCCAGCTTGGGGAATAAAGTATAACATGAGTCGACTGTATCAGGAAATATCAATGGAGAATGTGCAGGACCGGCCACTTCCTTCGACGGACGATCCACCAGAGCTTGACCAAATATACGAGGTTCACATAATAGAGAGCATTCATGAAGATATTTGAAATCATGAGGAACAGAGGAAACTTGATTCACAATAGTATCAAAGTAGACTTGTAAAGGTCGAACAATAGGAAAAGGCAAGCATCCTTTGGTTGTTGATATATCACCCCATGTCAAATGTCGTCCTTTTTTCCAAGTACCCAGACCAGATCGAATAGTATCATGTACGCACCAGCTAGAAATAAAGTTGATTACATCCATACCAGAGGATAATCGATTTGTTTGTTTGCAGGAAAGATGCAGAGGTACATGCCGACGCAGACGATCAACAGATTGCTTGATGACACCAAAATAAGGAAGTGAGCGCACAGACGAAGGTTCTTGCTTTGTATTGTCATCTCCAGGAAAACAATTTGCTGCTGATAATTCCAGTGAATCCACGTCCAACACTTGAGAGAATGCATGTTGTAATCGACTATCATGTTCCCAACCTTCCATCCAAACATCCAAAGAATAAATCCCATGTTCTGCCAGAAGAGGACTCCAAACAGTAGAAACTATCTTCACCAGAGATCGATCTACCGTTTTCCATGCTTCCTTTAGTCTTGCAATTTCCATTGAACAAATACCCATCGCGACACTGCACCAACCAGTCATATCCTTCAATTTCATCAAGGCCACACCAACACGGATCCAATGCTCCAATAAACTTGTTCGAAGTACCATTGCATTTTCAGTTTGTTGCATATTCGCTTCCACCAGGATATGCCGCCATATCAAACGTGTCAAGAAATGAGGCGAAGGTGAGGTAAATAGTAGAGTATTCAACATTTGTGGAGGTACTTGAGGTCTTGATACATAAGAAAGAGCACTGAGAAGTTGATATCGATGATGATAATGCTGAGTGTGATGAAAAACATAGATTTGTTCTGCCAGTCGATCGGGATCCATGGTAAGAAATAGAGAAGGTGACAAACCAGTTGCCACTAAGTCTGACAAATCAATACCAGTATCATCATCATTTGAAGTCTGACTTTCCATCATTGGCGAGTGATCAGTTTCATTTGTATTAACATAACGTTGAATAAAGTCCACTACTTGAGTCCCTTCATTGTACTCCCTGCGAGCTTGTGCATGTTCAATAATATGTTGATTGTCTTGTACAGTCTGTAAAACCAAAGCCTTGATATCCTTGCCACGATTGCGTAATTCCAAAGGTAGATCTTGATTTGCTGCAAGACTATCGAGTCGTTCCATCATACTTGTTACCAAATCTCCAACAACATCATATGCGAAGCGAACACACCAAATCCGATAGAGATCCAATACTCTGTTCCAAAGCATAACACCTGAAGATGTGTTTTCCAAGCGATCCAAATATCCTTTCATCAAATCAGATACTTCTCCAACAGAGGCGAATATATTGTAAGTCAAAAGAAAAGCGTAGGTATATTCTTTGCCTTGATTCTGCGTTTCAAACAATAATTCATGGACTAGAGCTGGTACAGTTCCACCTTGTACTGGACGATCATCTTGAGTATGAAGTACTAAACCTGGATGGGGAGAAGCTTGTTCAAAATAGATAATATCCATTGATATATCAGTGGGGCTTGAAATTGCTTTCTATTATAAAAAAAAAAAAAAAAAAAAAAAAAAAAAAAAAGAGGGATGAGTATGATATGATGATTCCAATTCTTTTTTTTTTTTATTATTATTATTTATTTATTTATTAACTTACTGCTGATTTGAGACTTCCAGAGTCTACCATCATTTTCTTTTCATCATCAGTAATAGCCTCAATTGAAGTAAGTTGTGTCCTAGTCATATCATTCTTCTTGTCGACGTATGTTTGTTGGGCTTCATAAAACGTTGTCATCCAAGAGCTAACTAAATCCTTTGACAGTGAAACGTAGGTTGATTGTTTCCATGGTTGAGCGATATAGGATAAGGTGAACCTGTTGACACGAGTTGTGTTTGATGTCGATAATGTAGCAGTACCTGAAGACTGTGTTGAATTTTCAGTTGAATAAGCAGTCGCTGTGGAAGACGAAGAAGAATAGGATGGAAAATAGCTATCATGGTGAGGAGATCCATAAAATGTGGTTAACTTGTCGCAATTGGTATGTTCTACAAGAGACGAGGATGTTGTTGACTTCACTGTTAAGGGTGCTGTTGATGTCGTTGGTGATGATGAACCAGAAGCAAATCTACAAGGGGCCAAAGTCAACTTGGAAAGAGGTGTACTAGAGAAAATATGCCAAAGACCACTGTCGTTGTTTGAGGAAGAGGACGAAGACGATGAGGATAAAGGAGAAACATCACTTGAGATTTGTTTCCGTTTTTTGCAAACCACGAGACGATCTGAATAGATCAACAAATAGACAGCAGTGGCAGTTTGTTTTCTTTGACGATCCCATTCAGTAAAGACTGCAGCATCCAATAGATCTTGAGAAGTTGAAGAGAATAATTCTTGTTTGGCTTGATCATCAAAATCTTTTGGGTTCAAAGAAGCAAGACATTTTTCCTTGATAGTCATTCCTGGTGAAGAAGTGAAAGTAGAAGATGGCGAGATCAAAGTGTTTGATGAGATAGAAGGAGAATGTTGAGAAACCAATTGTAGTGAAGATGCTGAAGACGAAGAGGAAGAGGAAACAAGTAAAGTACGCAAAGACTTGAAATGATCTTGTTGTTGTTGAGAGATTCGATAGAGATATAATTTATGTCCACGTAAAATCACACGATATAACTTCCATCCACGATCGGATTTGTGAGTATGAAATGGTCTGAAGTCAGTCCGTTTGTACAAATAACCTTCCTTCCATATGATTTGACTTGCCCGGTTTGTTGTTGTTGTATTGCAAGTTGTCTTACTATCAGGTGATGAGTGTAGGTCTGAAAAGGAATGAAGAAAGGTGGGTCGTTGCTGTAATAACATGTCATTTTCCAATGATTTTGAAACCGGTCGTTCCAAGGCTAAAGAAGTACTTGTTGTATTAGTTTTTGGAATATCTAGGTGAGAAGATGTTGTCGGACAAGCACTAGAAGAAGTTGTAGAGTGATTACCGATATGTTTTTCTGTCAAGTCTTGATCAATCACAGTTGGTTTGCTGGAGTGGAAAAGTCGATGCTTGAGGTAAGACAGAGCACTAGTTGGAATACGATGTTCGTCTGGTGTTGTTGTTACTCCTGTTGGTGAAGTAAGTGCTTGCTTTTTAGACTTTGACTTCATTGCAAGGAATGAAGAAAAAGGAATCAAACGAAAGAGGCAGAGGAAGAGAAAGAGAGAGAAAAAAAAAAAAAAGAAAAAAAGCGACTAGTTAAGAAATTTTGGCGGGAAAGAAAGGAGAAAAAAAAATATTTTTAAGTGTGTCTTATAGGCTCCTTAAACTCAGTCAACCCAATGGCTATAGAATTAAAAAAGTTGGCTCAAATTACACTATAAAAAAAGACCTTAAGAAAAGAGCTCTTTTCTTATGAATTAAAATTAAAACCTAACAACCTTCAAATATAATCTAACACTGAAATATAATACGTGTTTCAACTCTCTCTGAAAAAAAAAGACTAAGCTACACTACAATCATGTTATTGTTATGCATTGTACAACCTTCAACGGATTCCTGGGCTACACAAAAACTGCAACTTGGTTTTAGCAGCATTTGCGGCGTTTTATGACTTTGGACCCAAATTGGGTTATTGCCGCTTTGACCATCTATCTATTACTTTTTTTTTTTTTTTTTTTTTTACATTTATAATAATCCGTCATGCTTACTTTCCAATTTGGCAAGACTATTTTTGTAGATAACCTTGAGAATTGAACAATAAGATAATATTATGCCTATTGATTAAAAGATGAATGGGATGATGATGTAATAATATGATGATATAAAATGGATGAATGATAATTGGTGATACTTTAGTAGTTAATAGATTTAAAGAAGAACTGGTAATAAAATTTAACACATGTTTTATTGTTGTTTAGATAAGAAAGATATGGAGTAGAAGAATGAGTATATATATATATAAAGGATATATGAATGGAAACTAATTCAAATGGAGGAAGAGTAATGAATAGACTAGCTATGGCATTTCAATATGACGATGAGTAGTTGTCCATTGATAATAATACATCAGAGCGATAGTTGGTTGACCGACGACACAAAAAGTAATCCTAATAATTCCAAATGTAAGGTTAATTTAAACAAATCAATTCTTTTTTTTTTTTTTTTTGTTGCGATGATATTCACTTACCAAAAAATAGTATTTCCTAAAGCACTTTCTTTGCCTCTCCATTTTTCCAAAGGTTTTGTAATAGCAATCAGAGGAATTTGACCAAGCATACCCCAAAAAGCGAAACCGTTGACAGAATGAGTAGGAATACCAACCATGTATTCATGCAAGACAGCCGAAACAAAAAAGACCAAAAGTTGACCAACATAAGGAGGTAATCCACGTCGAACGCTGGGAAGATAAACATGTCGTTTAAAGAAGAGATAAACAGGTCGATTCCATAATCTCCAATAGGTAGCCAAATTTCCAGAATTCCACCAAGCCAAATAGAATGTACGATCACCAAAACGAAGTAATTCACTAAGAGCATTGAGATAGGCATGGAATAAAGCATAAAACATCAATAACCAGATGACCACAGCGGATGTTGACAGTTTCAACACACGTTCTACTATTGTCACAAAATTCTTTTCTTCCAATGCTTTCAAAGAATTGGCTAAGGTTGGCTTCGCATATTGTTCCGTCAATACATACATCATCACCAGACAAACAATCAATTCAGCAACACGTTTCATAAAGAAGGTAGGTCGGAATACTTCAGTGCGTGGATAAGATGGTTGGTAACACAGAGTTGGAGCAAAAAAGAAGTAGAGTAGATTATTTGGTTTGATATTGTTGGGGTAAGCTACATCTTCGTCATAAAAATCATCCGTCTTGCCACTAATATATCGTTCGCGTAATTCACTATTTACCAAGAAATAAGATGTCAATTTCAAAAAGGTGATCAAACAAATAATCAATACAGCCGATCCAACTAGGAGAAACAAAAAAAAAAAAAAAAAAAAAAAAAAAAGGAAAAGTGAATACATTTTTTTCTATTTTAATGATAATTATATAGGATAACTTACCCATAGGGTGATAGATATGATTGTAAACAATATAAGAAGAGAATGATAATAGGAAGAAGAGATGACCAATATGAGTCAAAGTAGCCACCTTTTCAATCACTGCCAACTTTTTCAAAAAGTCAGGTTTCGCGTTTTGAGCTTGAACGGCGAGTTTTGTCATACCATATTCAACAATGAAGGAAACAGATAAACTAAGTGGGACACTAAGCCAAGCCAAGGCAAACAGTCCATAATCTTGTAATGGAATATAACTATGAGGAAGACGAATCAATAGTCCATATTTCATCCAGTTTTCAATCACCAAACGAATGTTACTCGCTCCAAGTACAAGCACTATATAAATAATAAAAAAACTTTATGAATACAAACCGGCAACAATCACCACTTTGAAAAACACGAAAATATATATACTTTTCAAAAACACTTACTTCCAAGTCGAATAAAACCACTATAATTTTCAGGAGGAGCTTCTTTTGAGAGAACTGAGGCTTTTGATAAAGTATGAATAGGTATAGTATGATGAGGTCCAAATGTCACAGCCACTGGTTTTTTCTTCTTATCGTCCAATTTTTCTTCTTTGATACTGGATATGCGTTTACTTGTAATACGTAAATCCCGTTTTTGTCTTGAGTCTGACTGATCATCTTCACTATCGGTTACCACTTTTGCTCGACGATAAGTGGTTGTCATCGTGATAAGTTAAACTATATATAACAACGACAAGAAGAAGAAAAGAAAGAATGGAAGGGGAAGGGAAAAAAAAAAGAAAAGAATCAAAGATTTGGAATTTTTTTTTTCTAACCACTCCGCCCTTTTTTTTTTTTGTAATCACATGCCATCTACTCGTGTTTGAATAACAAAGCAAGTACCATAGCAGGACTTTTCGCTGCATATGATTATTTGATATAGAGTACTTGGTATGACAATTGATGATGATGATGATGATGATTCTACCAAAAGGATTTTTCTTTTTTTTTTTTTTTTATAGTTGTCTCGCTCACTAACATCCGAGCGGTGTATCAATAATTTTGCTTGCCCATGCCTGAAACGCTATTTTTTTTTTCTCTTTCACTTAGTTTTTTTTTTTTTTTGCTTCCTCAAATCATGTTACGATACTCTCTCTTACGACGTAATTATACATCTTTGAATCGGTCTGGTCCTATTCCTTTAGGTGACAAGAAAAAACAAAAAGAAATGTTGGATCTTATTCGTAAAAAAGCACAAAAGGATGCTCAAGATCAAGATGGACTCCATGCTGATGCTCGAACTCCTTTGACCCCGGAATTTGAAGGCCATGTCAATCCAAAGACTGGTGAAGTCAATGGTCCCAAGAATGAACCTGTGAAACATAATGATTGGAGTTTTGGTGGTCGAGTCACTGATTTTTAGATATCCCCTGGTTAAGTTTTTCTTTCCATAGTTTACTTACACAACACACACACTTATATATATGCAATATATAAATTTACATACATATTATTCACATCCATTTGTACACATATAATAATAAAACAAAAATAAATATATTATGTTAATAACTATTTATTGAAAACTTTGGTATACATCTAAACTAATATATATATATTTCCCTATGTACAAAACTGTTCATCCTAACTATTTTCAGTTTGTTTTGACTTTATTGGCTTGTTGTCGAGCTTTCTTTCTTGCATGATATTGTTTTCTATATCGATCAAATCCATCTTGTAGTTGCTTTGGTATCATAGGATAAAAACTGAGTTCTCCAGATTCACCTTTCTTATTGAATTGTAAGTTGAATGATTGTAAAGCACGATTACAATGAGGAACAAATCTATAAAAAAATAATTATCATATTAATGTCTGTTGAATATTATATATATATATATATATATATTGTTTACTTACTCGGCAGCATATATGATCTTTTCAGAATACATGCCAGATCGATAAAAGAATACTAGACTACCTGCAGCAATCAATAAAGCCATAGTATTCAATAAATGATTGGTGAAAGCCTATAATAAATACATAAAGTTAGAAAAAACAATGATAATGAGTAATTGCTTCACTCTACTTTGCTGGGATCGACAAAAACGGCATAAAAGAAATAGGCAAGTAAAAGTAATAAACAACATAAAAGAGCTATTGACAAATGGATGAAGAATGAGTTTTATAATAATAATAATAATAATAGTCGTATACCTTCAAATTTTCTTTTTCGTCTTTGAAGTCGTATCATGTTTCCACGTAAACGCTCTTCAAAAATGACAAGATCTCTGTATATTACTTGATCAGCATGTTTGGAGGCTTGAACTTTAGATTGTTCTAATGATGAAGTAGCTTCTTCATGTTCTGGTGTTGAATTGTCGGAAGGAATGTGTTGCATGGTTTCAAATTAAAAAAAAAAAAAAAAAAAAGCAGAAAGAAAAAGAAATAAAAAAGGGGAAAGAAAAAGCAGGTAAACCCAGCTGAACTTCAAATGGCAGATGGAATAGACTTAGAAAATTCAATAATTTGATTGGTTTCCATATTGTACCAAATATGGGAGATCTCTCTTTTTTTCATCTATGAAAAAAAAAAGTAAATGATTATTACAAGGTTTCTTTCAATATTCATGCAGATTTGACACCAAAATGAAAACATAAGTAAAGGTCTACTGACAATATCAAGTGGTTTTTTGAAACACAGTTAAACTTTGTTGATTTACTATGTTTCTTTTTTTTAATAACCCCCCGGTTATGCATAAATACTTAAAATCAATTCAATCATGTTTTAGTATTTTATTTTTTTATTTTCTTTTTTTCTTTTCTTTTTTTTTTTTTTTTTTAAAAAAAACACTATATTAAAGATGAAAAAAACAAGTACAGTAATGATGGTTCGATATCAATATACCAAACCAATCATTCGAATAAGTCCTGCTGCTTTACATACATCATCTATTCAAGTAAGTAAATCATCATCATCATTCTATATTATAACTAATCATTATATTAGCAAAAAGGTATTCTTGAAAAAGCTAAAGATTTACGTGAAAATGTAAAAAAAGCAGGTCATGAAGTCAATATGAAGGTTGGTAAAGGATTGGCACATGGTATAGAAGAAGTAGAAGCTGTTGCACATAAAGTACCTCATCCTAAAGATATAACTGAAGCAGTGAAACATGCAACTCATGAAGCTAACTTGAAAGCTGGAAAGGGGTTAGCCCATGGTATTGATTCTGCAAAAGCTACTACTGATAAAGTCCAACAGTCCGCTCAATCCTTAAAAGGTAATCAAGTTTTTTTTTTTTTTTTTTTTTTTTTTTTTTGTAAAAGAATGTTTGAATTGATAAATGATTTTTTTTTTTATAGGCAAAGATAAAATGTCAAAAGTTAAGGAACAAGTAAAAGAAAAATATGATGAAACAAAAGAATCTGCTTCAAAAGGGGTCGAAAAAGTAGAAGATGCTTTGGGTGAAACTAGTGAAAAAATTGGTTCAGAGGAAAGAAACTTTAAACAAGCAGAACATCGATTGGAAGATGAAGTAGAAGATGCTGTTGAAAGGCTTCAGCATAAACGTGATTAAAAAAAAAATAGTCGTAGTTTAGATTGGCTGGTGTGGGTATTGTCTTTCTCTTTCCTTCTTTAGTATCAGGCAGTCACATCAATAAAATTCGTTCTTTTGAATTCGAGTCCTCCTTTTTTTTTTTTCTTTTGTTTCTCTCTCTCCCTTACGTTTTCTTTATTTTTGGTTACAAAAAAAAAAAAAAAAGACTACACCTTTTTTCATACCTTATATCCCCAAAAGCTTTCCTTTTTTTTTCTTCTTTTTTTTTTTTATTTTTCTTCTTTTACATTCTCATTTTATTTTTTCTTTCTACATATATATATTTTATTCATCATCAAAAAAAACAACAAATATATTACAAGACACTATACAATACAGAACAATGCATCCAAACTCTCAACTTCATCAATACTTACAACAATCACCTTTGTCTGCCAATACGTCAAACAACCCTTTAGCTGCTGTTTTACAGTCTGCCAGTGCAGGCGCTGGTGGTATTAACTCTTTATCTCAACATTATTCAGCCCTTGGAAGTGGAGCTAATCAACCACAAAATTTGGCAGCCATGCAACAACAACATCCTGCTATTACTCGTACACCTGTTACCAATGGAAATACTGATCCTTTCGCTACTTATGCTGCTTTGATGGGAAACAATCCTGCCGCTGCTGCTGCTGCTGCCGCTGCTGCCAACCAACAACAAATGTCTAATCCTCTTAATACAAACTTCCCCTTTATGCAACAAGACCATCAACAAGTACAAGGACCACCACAACAACAGCAACAACAACAACAAAAAATTGGACAACTTGATGAAGAAAAGATATATGCTTTAGTATTGGATCTTTTGAACCCGGTTTTACGTGAACAAGCACTCTTGGACCTCAGTAAAAAACGTGAACAGTATGAAGATTTAGCTCTAGTACTTTGGTATTCTTATGGTAAGTAGTTACTAACAGTGGATTAAAAAATAATAAAAAAAGTTTGACTAAATAGTTTTATTAATTATTATTATTATTATTATTCTTTTATAGGTGTTATGTCTGTTTTACTTCAAGAAATCGTATCAGCTTATCCATTATTGACACCTCCAACTTTGAGTGGCGGTGCCTCGAACAGGGTTTGCAATGCTTTGGCATTACTTCAATGTGTGGCAAATCATAATGAAACTCGTACATTATTCTTGCATGGTAAAATGACAAAAAAAGAGAAATTGTGGAAAAAGATGAAGACTGATGATTATTTCTATCTATGTCATTAGCACATATTCCTTTGTACTTGTATCCTTTCCTCAATACATCAAGTAAAACTCGACCTTTTGAATACTTGCGTCTGACTAGCTTAGGTGTCATTGGTGCATTGGTCAAGGTAAATAACTAAAAAAAAAAAAAAAAAAAGAATGGAAATGAAAAAAAAAAAACGGTTAATTCATTTATCGTTGTATTATAGAACGATAATCCTGAAGTAATCAGCTTTTTATTGTCGACTGAAATCATCCCTCTCTGTCTTCGTATCATGGAAACTGGAAGTGAATTATCGAAAACGGTGGCCATCTTCATTGTACAAAAGATTCTATTAGATGACACTGGACTTGTAAGGATACTAAAGATAAGATATTGATTTTCTGTATGTGTATATATGATTCATAAATACTCAATCGTATATATATATTTTTTAGTACTATATTTGCCAAACTTATGAACGTTTCTATGCTGTTGCTACTGTCTTGAACAATATGGTCAATCAACTAGTTGAAGCTCAAGCAATGCGTCTATTAAAACACGTTATTCGATGTTATTTGCGATTGTCGGATAATCCAAGGTGAAAAAAAAAAAGAAAAACTTTGACTACATACATAAGAAATACTCAATTTGATTTATTATACATAATAGAGCACGCGAGGCACTTCGTCAATGTTTACCTGATCCTTTGAGAGATACAACTTTCCAACAAGCTCTAAAGGATGATATTCCAACAAAGCGATGTTTAGGACAATTGTTACTCAACCTTTCAGATGGAATGCACTAGGTCAATAGGTTAGATGAATAAAATTATAAAAAAAAAAGTAGGAAAGAAATAGAGGGAAAAATGTTATTAAGATATATCCTTTTTTTTTTCTCTTTGGATAATTAGATTCTGGCCCCTTCTTTTTTTTATTATATTATGTTACCCGTGACCCTGTCTTCCTTGGATTCCTGTTGGTCTTCCCCTTTTTATTCACTACTATTATTATTATTATTATTTTGTTTTACTCCTCCCCACATTTGAAGAATATTGTATACAAGCTCCCATTCACTGATTCTTCTTTTATTTTACTCAAACATACAATGCCTCTTCCATATCATCATCATTATCATTATCATCATGTACAAATCTTTATTATTAATTCTTTTGTTATACATTTTCCGCCTCGTTATATTCATTGCTCTCATTTTTTTTCCCTTCTTCTCAAAAACACACACTTTAAAATATCAAAAAAAGAAAAAATGTCATTCGTTCCCTATCCTCTTTTTTTTTATTTTTTTTTTTTTATCAATCATGTAAAGTGTGAATATTAGCTTTTTTTTTATTATTATTATTTTTATTATCATTATTATTACTATAGTCTTCTTCTTTCTATATATACTTATATATATATAAATTGCCTTTTTGTATTCTATCCTTCAATAAAGCTGTCTTCATATTACTTTTTATTTTTATCAGGTCATCTTGTTTAAAAAAAACACTGTAGTAATAAAAATAATTTAAACATCATAAATACTATCCTATACTAAATTGAAGTATATCCACCATCTACGAATAATTCGGTACCTGTAATATAGGAACTCTGTTCACTAGCTAAAAACACAATCGCACCTTTCAATTCTTGAGGTTGACCAAGTCGTTTCATGGGAACTCGATCTGCCCACGCTGTTTCCAATTCAGGTTGTTGTTTGAAGATATCACCAAGCATATCCGTTTTCATGTATCCTATTAGATGGAAAAAATCAATCAATCAATCAATAAAAAAAAAAGGTATAGATCATAATAAATAAAAAAAAAAAAAATTCAAGGATATCATTAAACCAGAATTTACCTGGACAAATGGCGTTCACTCGAACTCCTCGTGTAGCCCACTCTGAAGCTAAACATTTTGTCATCATGGAGACCGCGGCTTTACTTGAATTATACTATGTGAGATAATGATGGATAATATATGATGATGAATGACAGAATAATGGAAGAAAAAAAAAAGATGAGTTAGTTTCTTGTTGAATATATGGTTTATTTGCAGGATAATCTCTTTACAGCACATTGAGCTTGTGGAACATTGGCTATTTTGGCAGAAATGGATGATATGATGATGACATTTCCATGACCTTGTTCCAACATATATCTTGAGAGAATATACAAAAAAAAAAAAAGAAAAAAAGAAAAAAAAAAGAATTGTTAGCAATGAAAGAAGTTGTATCAAATAAAAGGTTTGCTTTTATCATACTTTCCAGCTGCTTGAACTCCATAAAATACACCATGTACATTGACATCAAAGATGGTTCGCCAATCATCCAAATCAAAAGTCTTAACGATTCACAAGGAAAAAAAAAATTGTCATTCATCTTTACTTTTTTCATATATATTTGGTTCTACCTCTGCTTTTCCTAAATGAGAGATCCCAGCATTGGCGACAAAGATATCTATTGATGTCATCTCTTTGTAGATACGATCCACCGTGGCCTTGACTTGATCAGCATTGGTGACCTGCATAGCATACGCTCGACATTGTACCTTATATTTATCTTGAATATCCCTGACAATTTGTTCGGCAGACGTAGCACTTGTGTTGTAAGTGATCATGACATTGGCCCCAGCTTCTGCTAAAGCGTATGTCATTTCCACACCCAATCCACTTTATTACAAAAAAAAAAAAAAAAGAAAAAAAAAAGGGATGATCAGTAAGTTTCTCTAAAATAAAAAAGAGATCTACGTTACCGAGCTCCACCAGTGACAATAGCTGTTTTGCCTTTAAGAGAGACCATCCAAATGAAGTCTAAGAGAAGAAAAGATTAAAGATTAAAAAAATAGAAAAAAAAAGAGCGGATCTATTTAAAGTTTCTTGATTATTCTCCAAAAAATTACCCGGTTGGCTGAGATCATTACGCCCAATGGAATTCAAACATTCACACCCAAATTTTCACTTAAACCCATCATCAATCTATTCATAATATAAAAAAAAATGCATAATTTATTGTACTCAAAAAAAAAAAAAAAGAAAAAGAAAACGGGTCATCTAAACAATTAATTGATACTAATCATCATCGTTATCACTAAAGGTTCTAGTCTTGTCATTCTTGTCCTGTCGTTGTTGTTGATTTTCATCCACTTGGGCTTTATTGTCATCTACTTCTATTGCTTCCAATGTAGGCAAGATCTTTTCCCAAATAGAAATACCCTGTATATATATATATAAAAAAAAGAGTCAATATCATGCATTTAAAATCATTCGTATGCCTTCGATATTACTTTTTGATAAAATTCAATATGTGAATCTGCATAAGCAGAAAATCCACGCTTGATGTCATTGGTTTTGCATTGTTGAAAGAGACTAAATTCATCCACCACTTGTTCCGAGAATTCATGAGAGATATCATTGGTTCTTGCCACTTCATCTTGTAATTCCTTGATCTTCATTTCTAATCGTACTAGCTTCTCCCTCCTTGCCTGTTCCATATCTACACCACGAACTTCTTTGATCTTATCTATCACCATTTCTGAAATATGTAATGATCCCCCTTCACTAAGAGATCGGCCAGGATACTTTGTTCTTTCTTTTTCTTGAATTGTTTGTTGTAAATAGGCTGATAATTCTTCAAAATCAACTTGCTTTTGATCTCTGACCCGGAGTACTGCCTATGATAAAATAATAAAAAAAAAAAAGAAAAGTTGTAAATGAATAATGAAATAAATATATGAATATACAAATAAAATATTTTGATATTGTGATTATTTACCTTGGCAGATCGACAATAAGATAATAATTCATGAATTTGATTCAGGTACAGTATTTCTTCTTGATCAGACTATACATAACAAAATACAATGTTAGTCATCATCACCTCCCTGTTCTTCTTCTGATCACTCCCTTCATTCACACATGGATTTTTGTATTACCCTAGTTTTCATAGCCTTGGCATATGCTTTGGTGGTCTCAGCAAATTGATGAAGAGGTTGGTGAATACCAGATTCCAATGCAGATAATCCTTGAATACTTTGTCCAAAACTGGTGTAATCTTGCTGTAAATCTAATGAAAGAAAATAGATATGAGAAAAAAAAAACGAATCCAATTATTTATATTGAATTTTTTTTTTTTTTATTACCATGTTGCCGCTTTCCAATCCTTGTATATAACCGTTCCACAGTATTGAGATTATCCTCTAATTTATCAATGTTGTCTTTCATAGTGGTAAATCGTTCTTCAGGTTTCTTAACCTTGGCAAATGCATTTAGTAATGTATCACTTAAAGACTCTAATACAGTAGTAGTGGGAGGCATATGTTTCGATTGAGCACGTTTATCATTTTTCTATAGGAAAAAAATAAATAAAGAAATAAATAAAGGATGATGATCAGTACGTTATACAATTTCTCATTCAATCCTACTTACAAAATCAGAAGATTCCAAAAACAAACGAGTACATTGTGATTGCTGAAGAATTGGATGTCTTGCTATTCTATCCAAGAACCATTGTAAGCTATAATCAAAAAAAAAAAAAAAAAAGAAAAATTAGATAACTGCATACCTTCTATATATTTCATTTACCATAACATCCGTCGTTCAATAAAGTCAGAGCTAAATCTATCCCCTTTAATATATTCTTAGGTAAAGTAACAAAAATAAAGATCAGTGACCAATCTTTATCAGTATGTCAATATACATACCAAGACGATGTTTTTCAGGTAAAGGAGGAATAATACAAGCAGGATATTCCAAAGATAACGAGTTATATAACCAAACGAAATCTTGAAACCTTCGTCGAACGGGACGTGGATTGGTGGAAGAAAAGATATCTACAGAAGTCTAAAGAGAAAGAAATAAAGAAAGAGAAGTGATTATTATTTGAGAAACTGCTCTTTTTTTTTTTTTTTTTTTTTTTTTTTTTTTTTTTACCGTTGTTGTGATCAAATAGGACACATATGCTCCTTGAGTGCCATCTGAGTGTTTCTGGGCATCTCCGATACGAATAATCATTGGCTTGGCGGATTTTGGTTGTGGTGGCGAGTATATATTATTATCTACCTGATAGTTAGTAAAAGATTCTGGAGTACGCGTTGGAACTGGAGAATGATGATGAGTCCATCTTGTTACTGGTGATGATGGTGGTGAATTGGATGTTGTTGTTGTCGTTGTTACTGCGACTCTTGGTGTTGGAGTATCGAATGTTTCGTCATTATTAAAAGATGAGACATGGGACGAAGTTGAAAATGAGTTATGCAATGGATTTTGGTCAGGGTATAAAGGTGAAGAAGTAGGTAAAAACTATAATATAAAATAAAATTATTTAGTTGTTGAAAAATGAAGAAATTCCCTTTTTTTTTTTTTAAGTACCTGGTTGTTGTATGGGGTATCATAGGAAGATAAAGGATCTGGCGTATCTCCTAATGGTGTCAAAGAATTGCTTGTGGCGTGAACATTCCATTCTATATTTTCATAATCATCACCCATTATTTCTGAAATATATTCCTTTGTTTAATTGAAAAAAAAAAATAAAAAAAGAAATCAAGACAAATGATAAAAAAAAGAAAGGAATTTAAGAAAAGAAAAGAATCAGAAAGGGAGCAGAAACGAAATATATCAAACACAAAGGAGATAAAGTGAGAGAAGCGAGCTATTTAAACTCAGAGATTTAAAGTACTATTACAGCAAATACATACACTTATATCATATCGATCATTCTTCAATAAATCCATATCATAAAAACCGTTTTATTCGAACTAAAAAAAAGAAAAAAAAGTGATATCCTGCTATATAATATATATATATATATATATATATATATATTAACGGTATAGTAAACTAATCTCGATGCAATTGAAGGAATTGAGTATTGACTAATTGTCGAACCTGATCCAAGAATTCTTGAGTGGAGGTAGATTCCAAGTGCACAAATCGTTCAAGGGAAGCCAAACATACTTCAGTGCCTAATTGACCATTAATCTTGCTAGACATATCCACTTTTCTAAAATAAATCAAATCATCGTATCAGTTATCTTCATCTTTTTTTTTTTCCTTCCAGTTTCGTTACTTACTCTTGATGATCTTTGTATTCTTCGACAAGTTGTTCAAATTTTCGTAATACTTCATCGACATTCAGGATACTTGGAATGATTGTTGTATCGCAAGTGTAAGGAAGGCCTAAAATAAAATCAAATTATTAGTTTGTTGATGATTTTTTTTTTTTGTGTAAAAAAAAAAAAAAAAAAAATCATCATTTATCCTTACGATAAGTTAGAGTAGGATCCACTTTGTTACTGATATGAAGATAAGTCATTGTCGAATGGTCCTGATTGTCATCATAAGGGCTTACAATGACTCCAATAAAAGGTTCATCAGTTTCATTGATTCTGAAGAGATCCTATCAAAATTAAATAAATCAGTAGATATGTATTATATTTTATACCACAATCTCTCTTTTTTTTCTTTTTCTTTACCTGATACGACATTTGAGTTTCGATATCTCGAATACTAGGTATAGCAACAAACGAAGGATGCGAATGATACCAACCAACCACCTTCAAATCTCTTTTATCGAACCATTCACGAGCTTCCATTTCTGACACTGGATCCATTTCGCACTATGTTGATAAATGAGAAAGAATCAGTTGTTTTATTTTCAATTTTTTAAAAAAGAAAAAAGTTTACCTGAATGTCGGTACTTGTACTTTTGCATGGAAAGACACATTCCACAGTAAGTGTCTTCTGTCCATTTTCATCAATTTCAAATGTACCACCCATCAATCCAATGATTTCAGTCATCACCAAATGAGAATGAAAATCCATGATTGCCTAATAGAAATATATGTTAATCAAATTATATTAACATTTTATTATTTTTTTTTTTTTTTTTACCAAAGCATCACTTTTGACCATGACTTTGAAAGGTGGTGGATATTCATCATCAGTAGTATAATCTTCCAAGTGAACCAATTGATACGGATCATTTTCTCCATCACCATTACCGTTGTCATTGTATCTTGGTCTGTTGATTCGTCTTCTGCTTTTTGTACCTATACGATATGCAAGAAAAAAAAAGTTAGAATCTGTATTTTGACAAAAAAAAAAAAGTTCGTATCTATTACCTTGTTGAGTAAAACCAAAGCCTCCCCTATCAATATATATATATATATATATATGTAAAAGAAAGAAATAATCAGTTTATAAAGAAATCACAAAACATTATATGTTCCTTACCAAGTTTCTAGATCGCGTCGTTCTTTTCTTTTTTTACCACTTTCAAAGTAAAAAAAGAATAATAAATAAATAAAATAAATAAAGGTATTGTAAAAGCGGCGATTTCCTTTTATAGGTTTATTTGCTTTTTTTTTTTTTTTTTAGTTTATACATTCACTTACGTCGAAGAGGAAGAAGTAGAGGGCGGACGAGGAGCACGTGGCTTGCGTTGTTGAGATGTACGAATAGGACGAGTTGGTACTGGACATCCGACATTGATATAACCATGAGACTCCAAAAAGGCATGGACACGACCAAAAGAATTGACATCTCCACAATTAGTCATTTTCTTTCTGAGAGCAGATTTGGACACATACTTGGGTTTTGTTTGATGCCAATTATCCAAAATAAAATTACGAATAAGAAGATACTTTTGAGGTGTCTTTGCGGGTTTCCCAACCATAAACCATTCTGGATTCTTTTCTTTTTCCAAATCAGTAATAACTTCACGTTCCAATGGCTATCAAGAATACATATAAAAAGATTGTTGTCAATTTATTATTATTATTATTAAATAAATCTTACAGTTTTTTCTTCTGTAGGAGGAATGATATTTTCAGGAACTCTGATATCAAGATTATCTACAATAGTTTGACTATCATTCACAAGAGTCGCGTCAATATTATCCTGTATATTTTAAAAAAAAATCAAAAAAAATAAAAGATAGTATGAGTATACATTTTTCTTCTTTTTTTGTATGGTATATTTACCATTTCTTCAGAATTTTCTTCTTGAGAGTCAGCTTCAGTACCATCGGTTCCTACAATGTTTCAAAGGTTATTTGAATGAGGTTTTGGCAGGTTTCGTGTCATGCATATATGTAATATTATACTTTGGTCAAGTTGATAAAGTGGAGTTGTTTGTAATATTTTTGGTACTTCTTCTCCCAAGTTTGTAGGGTAACTGTATGAACCAGATATAGCAAATGGATTCATAATATTTATTATTATATAAATAACAAAAGAAAAAAGAAAAAAAAAAAAAAAAAGAAAAAAGAAAAAAAAAGAGATTTTTTTTTTGTTTGTTCCTTTCCAAGATACGCCTATTTTTTCAACCAATCAAAACGCGTATTTTCTTTCATATTGATTGACAGAAGTGATGGAGTCTAAATTCAAAAAACTTATGCATGACTGTCCATGTTTCATATTTAAACCCATGCGATTTATTTTATGATCTTCAACGATATTTTATACTCGGTCTATTAAGCCCATGATCTTATAACAACCTTTTTTTTTTTTTTTTATTGTAGGGGTGGATTTTTTTCTTTTTTATTTATTCAAAAATTTAATTTTTTTTTTCTTATTTGTTTCTCACTGTCTTTTTTTTTTTTTCCTTTTTTCTGGATTTTCATCATCATGGCATCTAATGATCCACCAACTAAAGGTGGAACAATAGAATCTCAACCATCTATTCACATTACTGGAGATTCTTCTTCTAATCATCCTCTAGATCCAAATCCTTCAACTATGGATGATTCAAATGAAAAACTTGAAAATACAACAGCAAATAATAAAGAAGAATCAACATTAAATCAAGACAATATCAGTCATCCTCAATTGGACGTCAATGGAAATTTACCTGGAATGAAATCATTGACTGTAGAAGAACTTTATGATAAAGAAAAGTTTGATCTTTCTACTATGCAACCTGGTGATGTCTTTACTCTTTTACAGTAAGTAAAAAAAAAATGAAGAAAAAAAAATGAGAAATGAAAAGGAATTGAATCACCGATGATGGTATTTGATAACTCCAATTTCCCTTTTTTTTTCTTTTTTTTTCTTTTTTTCTTTTCTTTTCTTTTATTCATAAATGTTAGAACAACAACAGATGGTCTTACTTCAGAAGAAGCTGCTTCTCGTATCGAAAAGTTTGGTTACAATCGACTTGAACACAAAGAAATCAATCCTATTTTACAATTCCTTGGTTTCATGTGGAATCCATTATCTTGGGTTATGGAAGCTGCTGCCCTTGTTGCTATTGCGGTTTCTAATGGTGGTGGTAAACCTCCTGATTGGGAAGATTTTATTGGTATCGTCCTTTTGCTTTTAGCCAACGCTACTATTGGTTTTTGGGAAGAACGCAATGCTGGTAATGCTGTTAAGGCTCTGATGGCATCCTTAGCTCCTGAATGTAAAGTCAAACGTGATGGTAATTGGTGTTCAATGGAAGCTGCCGAATTGGTTCCTGGTGATATTATCAGTATCAAGTTGGGTGATGTTGTACCTGCTGATGGTCGTCTTGTTAATGCTCACGGTGATGTATCGATTGATCAAGCTGCTCTTACTGGTGAATCCTTACCGGTTGGAAAAGAGGCAGGTGATGAAGTATTTTCTGGTTCCACTGTCAAACAAGGTGAAGCTGAAGCAGTGATCATTGGTACTGGTCTCAATACTTTCTTTGGTCGTGCTGCAAAATTGGTGGGCGAATCTGGGGACGATATTGGTCATTTGCAACAAATATTAGCCAAGATTGGGAATTTCTGTCTTTGTACTATTGGTATTTTCTTGGTGGTTGAAATTCTAGTCATGTATGCTGCTTTCCGTTACGACTATCGACGTGGTATCGATAATCTATTAGTCTTGCTCATTGGTGGTATTCCTATTGCTATGCCGACTGTACTATCTGTGACTCTTGCTATTGGTGCCAAACAACTTGCTGAACATAAAGCTATCGTTACTCGTATCACTGCTATCGAAGAAATGGCTGCTGTCACTATTCTTTGTTCTGACAAGACTGGTACCCTTACTTTGAACAAACTGATTGTGGACAAACCTACTATCAAATGTTATGCTGAATTTGATAGTGATGGTATCATTCTTCTCTCTGCTTATGCTTCACGTATGGAAAATCAAGATGCCATCGATTTTTGTATCACCAATTCATTACCTGATCCCGCTATGGCAAGAGAAGGAATCGAAGAATTGGAATTCAAACCATTCAATCCGGTTATCAAGCGAACAGAAATTACTTACAAGGATAAAGATGGTGTTCTTAAACGTGCTACAAAAGGAATGTCTCATTTTATCTTGGATCTATGTACTCGTGACAAGGATGAAGCTCAAATCAAGGCTCTAAATGATGATGTGGATGAATTTGCTCGACGTGGATTACGATCTCTTGCTGTGGCTATAAATGAAATTCCCTCTGGAAATCCTGAAGATGAAGGAAAAGGTTATCGTTTGGTTGGACTTTTACCTATCTATGATCCACCTCGATCTGATACAAAGGAAACCATTGATCGTGCTATTGCTTTGGGTGTACAAGTCAAGATGATTACTGGTGATCAACTCGCTATTGCAAAAGAAACTGGTCGACGTCTTGGTATGGGTGATAATATGTTCTTATCGTCTACTCTCAAGGAAGGTCCTCCTGCTGGTTCTGGTTATGATGATGTGGATGATATGGTATTAGGTGCTGATGGTTTTGCTGGTGTATATCCTGAACACAAACATGAAATTGTTGAACGTTTACAAGCTCTAGGCCATATGTGTGCAATGACTGGTGATGGTGTGAATGATGCTCCTGCTCTCTCCAAAGCCAACGTGGGTGTTGCTGTAGCTGATGCTTCTGATGCTGCTCGTGCTGCTGCCGATATTGTATTGACTGAACCTGGTTTATCTGTGATTATTGAAGCTTTTATTCATTCTCGTCAAATTTTCCAACGTATGCGAAACTATTCTATTTATACCTGCTCGGTCACCATTCGTGTTGTTATTGGTTTTGCTATCTTAGTGTTTGCCTTTCAATCGGATTTCCCTCCTTTTATGGTACTGATTTTGGCTATTCTCAACGATGGTACTATTATGACTATTTCGACGGATCGTGTTAAACCTTCACCTCATCCTGATCGATGGAATCTATTTGAAATCTTCTCAAGTGCTATTGTTTATGGACTATATCTTGCTGCGTCAACCATCGCCTTTGTCTCTACTATTCTGAAAACAAATTTCTTTCAACGCAAGTTTGGTGTTCATCCAATCACGTATCCCAACGATTTTGTTCTCCATTCAGTAGTGTATCTTCAAGTATCCACCATCTCGCAAGGATTGATCTTTGTTACACGATCTCAAAGTTTCTTCTTTTTGGAACGTCCTTCCGTACTCTTGATGTGTGCATTTATTGTTGCTCAATTGGTTGCTACCTTTATTTCCGTTTATGCCAACTGGGGATTTACTCGTATTGAAGGCTGTGGATGGGGTTGGGCAGGAAAGTAGACTAAAAAAAAAAAAAAATTGAATGAATGAAAAAGTAGTAAACCCAAATTAATCTATCTTTTCATTATATATAGGTATTGCATGGATATGGAATTTTGTATGGTTTATGCCTTTGGATTGGATCAAATTTGGTTTACAACGTCTTTTCAGAGAACAACATCCAGCTATTGTTGATGAAACTGGATCCCTTAGACGACGACGATCTTCAGCTACATCCGCCATTTCAGGTACCAGCAATTCTGCCAGATATTATCGAAACCGTACTAGATCTCTTCGTGCACTTGAAACTCCCAATAGTTTTAGACGACGTTTGTTTGGTAATGGTCGATCTGTTTCCATGAATCCCAAGGAACTTCGCCGATTATCATCCGTTCAGGTAATTAAAAAAAAAAAAAAAAAAAAGAGGGGTAAGGATGACCATACTTAATCATGAATATATTTCCTTTTTTTTTTTTAAAAAAAAAAAAAACACTCTGTAGGCAAACAATGCTTCAAGAATCTTATCTGGTGGAGAACCAAGTGTCTCAAGGGTTTGAATTTCCTTTTTGTTATTATTTATTTAGTTTTTAGTTTATATATTATCATTCTTGTTATGAAATTATCTATTATGAAAAGATGTAGTTAGTCTCTTTGTTATTATTATAATTATTATATGTCATATCCACTAATAAACAGAAAAAAAAAGTCAACAATGTACCAAATCATTTCTATTAGGAAACTTTTTTTTTTTTTTTATAAACCTCGAATGAAGTTTAGATTATTGATAGCTAGTCGAGTGTATGTTTACTAGATGATATCATCTTTTATACGATTGAATCAAGACACTCATAACTAGTACCGAGGTACTCGCAACCTAGAACATCACTATCGTCTTATATTACTTGTGTCCTACCTGTTTTCAAGTCATCGCACCCATCATCCTATTATCATTCTATTGTCATCCATCATCATCATAGAGACTTCATTTTATAATACATGTATTAAAGATATATGTACATTTATTTTTGTTAATTGATCTATACTAATATAAACTATACAGAATCTAACTAAAGACATCATTCTATTGAGGTATGACTTTCCACATTGTTGATAAAATTGCAGATTAAGGATAAGAAGAGTTCCGGGTTCTCGGCATGTAACCAATGGCCACAATTAGGCATGACTTCCATGGTAGAATGAGGGAATTGTTGATCAACCAAGTCAGGATGGGCCAAGAAGAGTTTTCGATAAGGGCTGATACCACCAGTGATGAATAACGTAGGACCATGATACTGATGACCTTGAATGAATTCGCCCAAGTTACCCAAAGCATTGCCTAAGATATCTATAGGTACACGGAGCCTATACACCCCATCTTGACGTGATTTCTTGACATTGGTGAGTAAGAACTGTCGGATGGCTGGATCGGGTTCATATTGCATCATCAATTGTTCAGCATCAGTTTGTCGTGTCGGTTGTCGAGATTCAATCATTTTAAATCCTTCCACATACCTTGGAAACTCGGATAAAAGTGGCATATGCACAGGCGCAATATCCGCAACAATCAATTTGGACACTATCTCGGGACATGTCAATGCCAAAGTCATCACTGTTTTCCCACCCCTATATTATATATAAATAGAATGAGTTTTATAACAATTAAATAAATAATAAAATAACTTACATGGAATGACCAAGAAACGTTATATTTTTTAACCCTTGATCAAGAACCCATTGCTTGAGATCGTCTGCCATGACTTGGTAAGTATGTGGTAATGAATGTGGACTTTCACCGTGGTTTCGTAGATCCTATTTGAACAATAAAGATCAGTACCTTCGATTGTTCTGTAAAGCAAACCTTTTTTTTTTTTTTTTTTTTTTTTTTTTTTTTACCATTGCATAGACATCTCTTGATAAACGTTGACTCATTGCCTTGGCCAAACCTCTCCAGTTTTGCTTACTTCCAAATAAACCATGACATATGGCAAGAGGTGATGAGTTTTGGATAGAGCCGCGTGCTGGGTATTTTGTAAAAGAAAGAGGAATAGTATTGGATGAACCAGTTGTATAAGATCGAACAGGACAAATACGAAAAGATCGTGTAATGTGATATAACATGATAAAGATGGTAATAAAAAATAAAAAAGGAAAGTAAAGAAAAGTCAAAAAAAAAAAAAAAAAAAGAAAGATTTTGTCAGTTACCCCCTTTTATAGTCTTTTTTTTTTTTTTATCCGGAGGAACGGAATTTCCTTTTCCCTTTCTTATTTTTGACAGATGGATCGTTCCACACTATTTGTTTTTCCGTGTTTCTGGAGAAATGGCATTTATTTTTTGATGAAAAGGTGGTGATGGTACAATGGGAGGAAGAGGTAGGTGGGATGGATTGGACTTCCCAGACAGTCGGAGCAATAAAGATCAAGTCTGATTGTTTTGGCCCATGATATTCAGTGAAAAGTGGAGGTCGACCTCGTCTTTTTTTCATAGACCGACCTCCTTCCTCAACAGATGAATGTACAAATTGGATAGGATTGGATGTTGATTTCCTTTTTGGCGAACAAGGTTTGTTGCGGGTGGGCGGAGATGAACAAAAGGAAAGATGACTCAGGTCATTGCTATCTACATAGGTTGTGGCTGTGGGGACAACGGACAATAGATCATCATATTTCGTAAATGACGTTTGTCTTTCGTATTGAGAAAATGTTGTCATAATAGGGGATGCTGATGGTATTGAGACTGGAGAAGGTGGAAGAAGTCGATCATTTTGTTGTCGTACTGGAAAAATTCGTCGATCCACTTGCTGCTGTTGGTGTAATGCTGATGATGATAACGGTAATGATAACGGTAATGATGATGCCAATGGTGATGGTAGTGACAATGGTAATGATGATGATAATGGTGATGATGACGGCAACGGTGATGGCAACGATATTGGTAATGATAATGTGGATGATGACGGTATTGGACAATTGCTGATACTTTTATTGTGATCATCGACAGGAACGATAGATAATAAATTAGTTATGGAAGGTAAAGTGATTAGCTGTTTCATCCAAATAAAAATCAAGGTATATATGTCAAAAAAAAAAAAAGAAATGATCAGATAGAAACAAGGAAAAGAACCAAAAAAAAAAAAAGATAACTACACTTTTTTTTTTTTTTTTTATGTATCAATCAATAGTGAATGATCAAGAAGGATTGAAACTCCATCCTTCATTCTTGTACGTCTTCAGTCCAAAAGAAGAAACCCATTGTTCTGGTTTGGATCAGTAAGCAGTAGATATACAGATGAGTTTTCCTTTCCTCGGTCATCATTGGTTTGAACTGCGGTATCAATTTTATCTAACACTTTTCCTACTAAGGAACATCACGATTTCAGCTGTGCCTCATATTACTTTAGGTAAATAATCGCAATGTGATCTGGAGTAAAGACTATTTTTATCAATAACGATTAATCTAATCACGTTTCAGATATTATCCTCTTCGTTTGTTGTTTATCTTCTTTTTCATTGGAAGTAATCGTTATCTCCTGGTTACATCATAGTTAATACTTCAATAAAAAAAATCATTTTATTACATACGTACAAAATAAACGTGATGAATAGAGCTATTCCTACCCTTCAAAGATAAGTAAACAAAAAACTCCTCTTGAAATCACACTCTGCAATATACCACTGGACTTTTTGACTACCATTTTGAGCTTTTAACGATGAGGTTGGTATGACGAAAGATGATATAGTATAAATAGAGGACCTTATAACTTTAATTCACGAGATGATGTTGTTTCATGGGTTGCTAAGCATGACGATTGTTAATATCGGAAATGATGATAACGACATATGAAGATCCTTTTATTGAATGATATAACAGAAAACTAACACTAACTACCAATAAAAAAAAAAAACTATCACTATAGGACCTAGACAACAGATATATATATAGATATATATATATAGAGAGAGAGAGAGGGAGGGAGAGAGAGAAATCAGGCAGATCAGAGAAAAAGACCACCCAAAGGATACTCTTGCACCATTGATTTGTCCTTTTGATATCCAGTTGATTAATACTGCAAACCGATTCCGTTGTTCTTATAGTAACCCAACCGTTGACGTGAACACCATCATCGGATTCATATGTAGATTCATCGCATTTATTAGTAGTCGATCCTATTATATATCCAATCCCTTGATCCGTTGATCCATTTCAATCGATCCGATTATTGGTCACATAGTCACTCTCTCCATATAATAGGCACACTAAAAAGAAGAAAATAAAAACGATCATTAGTATTATATTCGTTGAGTGAAAGGAAGAGTAAATATATGAGAGATTGGGAAGGTAAGAAGTATAGAAGTGAGAAAAAAGTAACAAGAAGAAGAAATAAAATACCTTGAGAAAGAGTAATAGTAATAATAAAGGGATTATTTCGCTTGGGATGACTTACTAAAGAGAGAGAGAGAGAGAGAGAGAGAGAGAGAGAGAGAGAGAGAGAGAGAGAGAGAGAGAGAGAGAGAGAGAGAGAGAGAGAGAGAGAGAGGAAGAAACGATAATTTACTATTTGTCTTCACTATAGACTTTAAAGTTGATCACGCAAAAAAAAAAAAAAAAGGTAGATTAGTACCTTTATTTAATATTTTTTATTTTTATCCTCCTCTGGTTGACATTACCTTTATCTCCTTTGAGTATACATACGTTCCTTTCCGCAACCGGGTTCGATTCGACCACCTATGTTGGAGTTAGGTTTGTAAAGAATAGATGTACCTTGAAGGAAAGAACAAACATATTTAGTTCAGTCTTGATCTTGATACTTACCAGTATAATTGATTTCTATCGTAGAGCCATTGGTCACCTTTTCCAAACGTTGTAAAAGTTTCGCCTCGTAATCTATTATATATTTGTATCAACCAGTCAATCTTTTATCATCTTCATCGTCAGTTCTTGTCAATACCAATTTCTGTCGAACATAATTATGCACCTTCAAACTTGAGCAATTTGCTCATTATATATCAGTATATAAAAAAGTTAAAAAAAAAAGTGGAGATGAAGGGATTAAATTGAAGTGCTTATTTTGTCACAATAAATTTTCCATGCATAGTGCGGAGATTCAAGTGGCAGAGGAGGGACGTCTTTTTCCCAAATTCATTCATTGTTGTTTCTTTTTCTCTCTTTGGAAAATTGAAAACAATTGCCTTGTTCAGTCAAATACAAATCCCTCAATATGATGTTAATCTCTACTGGAACCTAGTTTCTTTTTTTTTTTTTTCCTTTTATTTCTCTTTACGATTACCGTTATTCTTACTATGAATACTCAGGAACAACTAGAAGCCTATGCTCGTGATATGCTAACATCGTATTGGATGCAATCGCAACAACAACCACAAGCATTTACACCTTCTCCTTTTCAACAGCAACCACTTGGAATGACAATGCCTATATCTTCTTACTCACCTATGCAGCCTGATCCTTTACAGTCCTGGCTTCATCAACAGCAAGCATATGCACCATCATCACCTCCAGCGTCTGTGGTATCGTCTCTTGGTCATCAACAGCCACCTTCACATCACCAAAATATTTCTTCTCCATCATATCAACAACAACAACAACAACAACAACAACAAAATTCCCTACCTAGTCCTGCTCCATCTCCACCTGCAGCTTCTCCACAAGGTAAGGCACAATCGAAACAAGAAGAATCAACGTTTTGGGCACCACGAAAAACATCAAAGAAACGAACTTCATGGTGGAAAAAATCCGACAACAACAACAAACGATTATCCAATAATGATCTATCCAAAAAAGAGGAAACTAAAGAAGAACAAGCTGTTACAATGTATTCATCATCTCCTGTGCAACCAGCATATTCATCACCACCACCTCCAGCTCCTCCAGCTCCTCCAGCTCAACCAGTAACACCTCCACAACAACAGCAACAACCTGTAGAGCATCATCAAACGGTACAAACACCATTTTCAACATTACCAGTGCCTTCTCCACAAAGCGGTTTCTTTGTCTATTACACTCCACCTCCACCTCCTCCACCTCCACCAGCTGCTCCCAAACCTGAGGCTCCCAAAGGACCCAAGACAACCATGGCTAATCCAAGAGTCGATACCAATGATAGATGTTTGATTATGTAGCGTCGTATAGTTTACGTATATCCTAGTTATCATATTGTAGCCAATCTATACTTATTATATTTATTTTCTAAAATAAAATATTATCATCCTTTTTTTTTACATATATATACCAATGCTGTTGTTGCTATTTTTCTTTCTAATTATCGTATGGTCCAATCGTATTCCATCTATTGTCATAGAACTTAATCGATAATACATACATATATATATATGAAGCATATGTATCATCATGCAAAACCCCTTATTCCACAAATAATAACAAATGTTTATTTTTCATAAATCATCATCAACATATTAACTACTAAGACTAAAAAGAAGAAAAAAAAATAAAGGTAAAGGTACTTGATTATATCTTTCTTTTCCAGATATATGACAGAACAAGTATGCAGATTTCAAGAGAGTTGTTCAGCTAATATAATATTTAGAAAAAAAAAAAAAAAAGGTGTGAGAATTGACAATGAGACACAATGAAGATGATGATGGTCCACATACATCACACACACACACACGGTAGATGATGCCGATTTCTTTTTTTTTTTTTTATTTTTCCTTTATTTACCTTGTAAAATGCCTTGATTCAAAAGTGTATTTTTACTTGGACGGTCAGCAATCTTTTGTTCCAAATTTTTTTGCACTTGAATTTTTTCTGTATCATAAATAGGTTTTTGGAAAGCAGGTGCTACAACAAAATCTAAATAAAGGGAATAATTTTAAAAGATGTCATGCAATACACTCCTGTCTGAGTCAAAAAGACACTGTTTTGTTGTTGCATACTTTGTAAAATATTTTGTTGAACTAACGATTCAGGTGAAGGACGATGACTGTGAGAGATTTTGTGGCGTAAAGAATCCTCTACTCTACGTTTTGATAATTCATCACGTTGTTGTTGAATAGCTGGAGCTACATGAGGATCTATCAAAAAAAAAAAAAGTATATGGCTTTATTCTATATGGAAAACGTGACGATAATCACAAATAATTTCTTTTGATTCTTTCTCTTTCTTTTTCTTTTCTTTTTCTATTACCTTTAAGGATATTTTTATCAACAAGGTCCTTGGCATCAGGTCGCCGAGATAGGAAGGATTCAAGAGGGCTTTCGGGTACAGCTACAATAGAATATAATAGTCTTCTTGTTAGTATTATGTTGATGGCTGATACAATGACAATAGTATAGTAAAAAAAAAAAGAAAATACTTACTCATAATTAGGAATGGTAACAGAGTATAGTAAATAGAAGGAAGGGAAGAAAGAAAAGAAAAAATAAAGATAAAAAAGAAAAAGCGAAATAGAAAAAGAAAAAAAAAAGAAAACGCGAGCTTTTATTTTTTCCCTGTTCATCTCTTAGACAAACCAACCAATCATCTTTGTTTGAACTCATCCAGCGAAAAAAAAATATACATATATATACAACCATGCTTGTTCCTTTTTTTTTTTTTTTTTTTTTTTGTTACAAACATCAGTTTGTTTGTTCCTTCCCTTACACTTTGTTCAATAATAAATGACGGTATTCAAAAATAAGATGTCCCAAAATTAGGAAATAAAATATCATAAGGATAGAAAATAAATGACAGAAAAAAAAAAAAATAAGAATTGAACGCATAATCAAAATTGAGGGTATAAGAAGAAGGCAGTGGTTTCATTGAGTATAAGAGATTTTTGAATAATAGAAAAAAAAAATATATTTAGTTAACATATCCATTTTTTTATTATATTTATTTTAACTTACCTGTAGACAAGCATTAAATACATCCTCAAAAGAGGTGATAACATATGTTTATATGTTGCTGTTACAGATGGATTATTCACTTTGAATCGGAAACACCAAGAGAGATTTCAAAAAGAAAAAAAAAAGAAGAGAATAATTAATATACTCAATCATCATCAATCATCAATCAATGACATACTCTACCGACATCTCTAGAGCGACATCTGAAAAAGTGGTAATGCGACATCCATTTTGGGAAAGTACGATATTTTTTATTTTATAACATCACGACGTATATCTGAGATGACGTGCTGCTAGTCAATATGTGAGTTTCTTTTTTTTTTTTCCATACTCCCTAAGTGATCAATGCAGTAACGAACCCTTTCAATCCCAGTAATCCAAAAAAGGCAGGCATTTTTTTTTTGTCCCGGAAAGGATGATGCTACGGAGAAAAGATGAAGCTCTCTGTTTCTTTCATTAAAAGTGATTGGTTTTTATATTGTACGCTTTTTTTTTTCTCAGTGAATAAACGAATGTCATATGTCAATTTTGTACTACCCTCATAACGAATTTCTTGGATTTTTTTTTTCTATTGTTTTCTCTCCCTTGCCTTTCTTTATTACGTCCAAGATAGAAAATGAATTGGGTATTTATCTTGAGTCTTTTATTTCCTTTATCTTGCAAGGCAGATGGTACAGCTTCTACAACTTCAAACAATGTTGATCCTAGTCCTACAGTTGATGTTGAGAAAAAATTACAATACTTTTTGATTAGTTTAACTATATTGATTGTATTTATCGCAGGTAAAAATCATCCACTCTTTATGCAAACGATCAATTTAATTTTTTTTTTCTTTAATGAAGGTGTCCTTTACATTTATGCATGTCATTCAAGACGAAATAGGACGGAAATAGTTGAAGAGTATCATGTCTATTTTCCATCCAATCCTACAAGATATGTTCCACCTTATACATCACGCATCACGTCATCGAAAATCGATCTTGTTTTTCCTCAGCATATATTTCAAAATCCAATCAATACTAAAGATAAACCATCTTTTGACGAACATCATGATGAACAAATATCCTTGCATCATTTGTGGCTTTCTAGTGCTTCTCAAACGTGTATTATATGTTTGGAAGAATTTATACATGATCATTCATCCATAAGGCAATTACCGTGTAAACATATCTACCATGTTCATTGTATAGGTAAATCACCTCATTTTTTTTTTTTAGAAAAAAAAAGTATTATTTGCGAAACTTATTCCTTTTTTATTCCATTTTCCAAAAAAAAAAAAGACTCTTGGTTGGCACGATCACAAGTATGTCCACTATGTAAGACTGATTGTACCATCATTCAAAAACAAGAAGGTGTACCAGCATCATTATCAAACGAAAATCCAATATCCCCTTCGACCTCTAGATCCGTTATTTTCCCACCCAACGTAACCATAGTATAAATCATATATTTATTGACACTGTGTAAATTAAATCTACAATCATACCTAATACTAATCCTACTATTTCAAATAATAACATGATCAAATGTAATAATATATAATAATAATATGCAATTCATTCCCATACATGATTCCTTTGTTGCGGTAACACTGTTCAACATGTGGTGATCCATAATAATACGAGAATCATATCAAATATCCAAACTAGTCATGAGGGCGTTATGTTGTACAGCAACTGAAGTGGTCGTAAAGAGTTGATGATGGATAAATGTTTACCATTGTCGTGAAATGGCTCTTTCTAAAATATGCAGTTCATCAAGGAATAAAAAAAAAATCAGTACAGGATTATACTCTAATTTGCTGTATCCAACTTGCCTAGCATATAGATTACCTAATCATCAGAAAAAAAAACAACAAAGCACCATATCTATTACACTTGAGCCTATGTGTGCGACTATCCAAGTAACACCAATTATTCAGTTATAGAGAAGAGTGATAAATCAAAAGAGACATACCTAATTTGACCAAGGATCCAGAATCTATCTATAAAGTAAAATTGGAAACCAATATATGGATAATAATAAGTGTTGCCCCTTTTTCTATTTGGTATGTCTTGACGTTGACGTTGACCTATCTATAATACTATTCATTGCGAAATGAATCGTTATACATATATACAGAAAAAATAAAAAGTAGATTAGTTAACAATGAAGCCCAAGGTAGTCATTTCTTTTATCAATATGCCCCACCTTGATATCAAAAGTGATGACCAATAAAAATACCTTCTATACTTGTCGCCAGGAACCACATGTAAATAGTAAACTCTTCAAATAGATAGCCACTGACCAAGAGATAAAAAAAAAACAAAGGACAGCCTTATTGACATAAAACAACAAAAATTGAAAGAAAGAAAGAGGAAAAAAATGGGATGCTTTTCCAACCAAATGTATCAGAATAGATTGGAGACCCGATCATCAACAAGGAAGGCAGATATACAAAAAATAGAGTGTTTATTTGAATTCAACGTGAAAAATATAGATACAAAAGGGAGTAACAAAAAAAAATAAAAGGAATATAAGAAAAAGGCATCAAAAAAAAAAAAAAAGGATAACATCATCGTATGAGAATAAAAAGGATACTAAATAAATAAGACTCTATTTTCTACTACTACTACTACTACTACTGAGAACTACCACTGAGAATTTGAGAAGCATGGTTGGTCTAAAAATGGAAAATAGTAAAAGAAACAAAAAAAAAAAATCAATAACCTAAATAATTTTTTTATTTATTTATTTATTTATTACCTGAGCAGATGAAAATCGACGCATTTCATGAGGATCCATGGACATTTTCTTGTTCAAACCCAAAAGACGTTTTCCAAAATTGCGAGGACGTTCAAGAGCACGGAGAGATTGAGTACGGTTAGCATAATAACGAGCTGAAGTAGAATTGGACATCATAGATGATCGTCGAGAGCGGCGACCACCGGATGCTTGATCACTCAAAGGAGCAATCAACTTGGGCTTGAAGACACGTTGCATACCAAACTTGATAAAATCAAGAGGTAGGAACCATACAAAATTCCAAATCCACGCAATACCTAGATAGACAAATAACACAAAAAAAAAAAAAAAAGGTTTAGCGTCATTGAGAATTTGTTCCTTTTGTTTATATATATATATGCTTACCTCCCAAAGTCCATCCACAACCGGCAATCTTTGTGAAACCCCAATTGGCATAAACAGAAATAAAAGTAGCCACCAGTTGAGCAACAATAAACGCACACATCAACAACACAGAAGGTCGTTCAGTGAAGAACCAACCTTGTGACCGAGTAACAAAAATAAGACCTTGAGAAATGGTAGAGACTTGAAGATAGATGACCGAATGTAGGACAGGATTGTTTGGACCATCGGTGAAAGGTTGGACACCAAACTTGGTTTGAAAAAAGTCGGTCTTGTAAAGCACAGCAAAAAAGGAGATGGTAGAAAGAGCCAGATATAATCCATACACAATAGCATAAGAGAAGATTTCAAACAAATTCCATTGATCAGGATGAGGAGAAGGTCGTACGCGATCAGTAGAAATTGTCATAATGGTACCATCATTGAGAATGGCCAAAATCAGCACCATAAATGGAGGAAAATCATACTGGAAGGCAAAGCACATGATGGCGAATCCAACCACAACACGAATAGTGACAGAACAGGTATAGATTGAGTAATTCCGCATACGTTGAAAAATTTGGCGAGAGTGGATCAAAGCTTCAATAATGACAGATAGACCAGGTTCTGTCAAAACAATATCTGCTGCAGAGCGTGCAGCATCGGATGCATCGGCAACAGCAACACCAACGTTGGATTTTGACAATGCAGGTGCATCATTCACGCCATCACCAGTCATCGCAGTCATGTGGCCAAGGGCTTGTAAACGTTCAACAATTTCATACTTGTGTTCAGGATATACACCAGCAAAACCGTCAGCACCCAATACCATGTCATCCAAAGTAGAATACCCAGAACCAGGAGGAGGACCTTCTTTGAGTGTTTTTGATAAAAACATATTGTCACCCATACCAAGACGTCGACCAGTTTCTTTTGCAATAGCCAGTTGATCACCAGTAATCATCTTGACTTGTACACCTAAAGCAATAGCACGATCAATGGTTTCCTTTGTATCAGATCGAGGAGGATCATAGATAGGTAAAAGTCCAACCAAACGGAAACCAACACCTTCACCATCAGGTTCACCAGAGGGTACTTCATCCACAGCAACAGCAAGTGATCGTAATCCACGTCGAGCAAATTCATCCACATCATCATTCAAAGCTTGAATTTGTTGTTCCGTTTTGTCACGAGTACATAGATCCAAAATAAAGTGAGACATTCCCTTGGTTGCACGAAGTACCTTCCCATCAGATGTTTGCTTATAAGTGATTTCAGTACGCTTGATGACTGGATTGAAAGGTACAAAATCCAATTCTTCTATTCCGTCACGGGCCAATGAAGGATCAGGTAAGGAATTCACAATACAAAAGTCAATGGCGTCTTGATTTTCCGTTCGTGAGGCATATGCAGAAATTCTAATCACATCATCCGTTGTTAAATCGCTGTATGTCTTGATAGTTGGCTTGTCTACAATCAGTTTGTTCAAAGTAAGGGTACCAGTCTTGTCAGAACAAAGAATAGTGACAGCAGCCATTTCTTCGATAGCAGTGATACGAGTAACAATAGCTTTATGTTCAGCAAGTTGTTTGGCACCAATAGCAAGAGTCACAGATAGTACAGTTGGCATAGCAATAGGAATACCACCAATGAGCAAGACCAAGATATTGTCAATACCACGTCTATAGCTGTATTTGAAGGCTGGATACATGACTAAAATTTCCACGAGGACAAAGGTACCAATAGAAATAAGACAAAAGTTTCCAATTTTTGCCAAAATTTGTTGTAAATGACCAATACCATCATTAGCATCACCCACCAGTTTTGCAGCACGACCAAAGAAAGTGTTGAGCCCAGTACCAATAACCACAGCTTCAGCTTCACCTTGTTTTACAGTAGAACCAGAGAAAATTTCATCACCAGTATCTTTTCCAACAGGTAAGGATTCACCAGTAAGAGCAGCTTGATCGATAGATACTTGACCATGAGCTTTCAGTAAACGTCCATCAGCTGGAATAACATCACCTAATTTGATGCTAATAATATCACCAGGGACTAATTCAGCAGCTTCCATTGTACGCCATTCACCATCACGTTTCACTTTGCATTCAGGAGCGAGAGAATCCATGAGAGCCTTGACCGCATTACCAGCTTGTCGTTCTTCCAGAAAGCCAATGATTGAATTTGCCAATAATAAGAGAATAATACCAATAAAATCTTCCCAATCAGGAGGTTCATTTTCACCATTTGACAAGGCAATAGCGACAATGGCAGCAGCTTCCATTACCCAAGATAAAGGATTCCACATGAAACCAAGGAATTGTAAAAAAGGATTTATTTCTTTGTGTTCAAGTCGATTGTAACCAAACTTTTCAATTCGAGAAGCAGCTTCTTCTGATGAAAGACCATCTGGATTTGTACTAAAAGAATGAGAAAAAAAAAAAAAGATAAGCTAAAAAAAATCTAGTACCACCTATTACCATTACTAAACTTATGATTTCATTTTTTTTTCTATTGAGTTATTTTCATTCATCGTACACTCTTTTTTTTTTTTTAAAAAAAAAAAAAATCAGTTTTTCTTACCGTAACAAAGTATAGACATCACCTGGTTCCATAGTAGATAAATCAAACTTTTCCTTGTCATAAAGTTCTTCAACTGTCAAGCTTTTCATATCGGGTACATCTTGTTGTTGTTGTTCATAATGATGTTGACCTTTTTCATTGATATCATTGTTTTGATCAATAGGTATCACCTTATCTTCACCAAAGCTATTATTGACATTGACTTGACCTTGTTGACTTTTGTTGGAATGTTCAGAGGACGACATGATAGTCGGTTCAATGAATAAGGGCGAGGAACAAAACGAATAATAAATATAGTTTTCAGAATAAAAAACAAAGTAATAATAAATATAAAAAAGATAAATAAATTTATATGCGTTTATAAAAAAAAAAATAAAAAAAAAAAGAAGAAAGAAAAGAAAAAGAAGTCGTGGAGTTTCAATTCCTTCCTTTTATGTAGAAATAGTAGAATGAAAAAAAAGTACCTTATCCTTTTCTCCATAGTAGAGAGTGTGTGAATCAACGAGTTCAATACCCGATCTACCCTATTTTTTTTTTTTTTTTTGGTCACCCATAGTAATGGTTTGAAACTCTATCAATTGACTATATATGGTTGTATTTCCCCTTGTTATTCTTGTTATCAAAGTGTTGTACGAACGCGGTATTTTATGAATGATGATACTTCAAAAGCTAAATATCTCCATCATTTTCTTCTGGAAATGATATAATAATCTGTACCCCAGACTTATCCAAAAAAAAAAGTAAACTATGCCATATCTTTACTGTTAATCATCGTCATAATCATTCAATCTGTTTTTATTTTGTTGAACAAAAACAAAAAAAAAAAAAAAAGGAGGGAATGAATGTCATGAGCCATCACAAAACACCTGATCATACACGTGTTGACACTAAAATAAAATGGGTTTTGGCAAAAATTTGATCCACAATTGATACAACAAACAAGAAATCTCTACCAATAAGAAAAATCCCGTACCAAATTGGATCAAGAAAATCGAACCTTATTCAATGTTTCACGACTAGTTTTTTTTTTTTTTTTTTATTTGCCCATCTTTCTTGGCGATTTCTATCCATTCTTCTTTAGAACAAAAATAAAAGAAAATGAAAGGAGACATCTTGAAAAAGAGAGATTTTTTTTTATTACCAGCATCATCTATAGGATGATCCTTCATGAATATTATGTCCATGTCCCATTTCATGCAGTTTTGAATTGGAGGCGCGTGCTGACTTTGTAAATCAGTTCATTCAAGGTGAGGGCCAAATACAGAGGACAAAGAGGGAAAAAAACGAGTCTTCTTGTATCAAATTTTTCAATAACCGCATCTTTCCTTTTTTTTTTTTTTTTTTTTTTTTCTCTTTGTTATACTACTACTTTGATAGATGACGGATGAAGAGATCATAGATATTGGTGATACTAACTCTATTACTGACTCTCCTCCATCTTTACCAGTAGACAAGTAAGCTGTTTTATTATTATTCATGATCCTCAATTATAAGGAGACTAATCTTTCATATCGTTTATATTATAGTGAGCCAACAACAACTACGATACAATCACCGTTGACGATCGATGCATCCTTTGAAAACGTTCATCATAACAATGACTGGACAGAAAATACGGTAATATATATGTATATAATATAATCAAAATAGAAGGAACAATTCTAGTCAAGCCATGAAAGGGGATAAAAAAAAAACTCACTATATTACATTTTTGTTTGTTTTTGTATACAACAATCACTAGTACAAAGACATGGATTCGGATTCTCGTGCTCTTATTGAACAAATGTTAGCAGAAGAAGAGTTTTATTATGGACAGAATACTATGAGTACAATGAAACGGCAAAAGAAGCTGGAACTGACGAAAAAGAAAAAATCAATTGGCAAGAAGCGAAAAGTGGATAACAGTCAGCGAGACTATGAAGGTAATTCTGAAAAAAACAAAGGAGAAATTATTATGATGCATTGTATTGATTCATTATTTGTCCTTTTTTTTTTCTTTTTTAAAAAAAAAATCAACGATTCCGTAGCTGAAAGATCTGCGACCATCTCTTCTTCTTCCTTACCTTCTCACAAGACTCGTTGGACTTCAGAAGAGGATGATCAATTGAAATTGGCTTTGGTAAGTGATTTAGAAAAGAAAAAAAAGAAAAAAAGTTTAATCATAATGTATAATATGTAGACCAAATTCGGATACGGGAACTGGAAGCCCATAGCTAATTTTGTCAAGACTCGAAATCCATTACAATGCAAGAATAGATCAAGGCATTGGGTTGCATATGAAAAGGTAACTTAAATATACTTTGTTGAAAATATATAGTAATAATAGATAAACAAATTGCTTACTCATGTATTGATTGATTAGCTTGTTGGACCTACTGTTTCACCATCGTCTTTATTAACTGGAACAGAAACTTCGACGATAACAACAGAATCTAGCAACGACTTGAACATGGAAGAAACAAAGCCACGACCAAGCTCTCCTGAAAGAATACCAATAGAATCACAATCCAGTACTTCTGTAGAAACCACTATCAAGAACAATAATGTATCACCAATGGATGAGAATCGACCAGTTGACGATGAAGATGAAGAAATATCAGTGGAAGATGACGATGATTCAACAAGTTTACCAGTATTAACTGAAATCAAGGAAGAAATACTATCATCATCATCTGGCGAATCACAACATGACACAAAAGAACAGGAATTATTAAATAGTACGGATGCTAAAGATGGATCTACTTTTATGGATACGGATAAGAATGATAACATCTCTACTACTACAAGCATTGACAATGCAAAAAAGATACCTGAACAAAGCAACAACGAAATTGATTACAACAAGGTGGAAGAAAAAGAGCATAAAACAAACGGATCGGCACATCCATTCTCTCCATCTACAACAGCCGTCGATGATACAATATTACGTTCCAATACTCATAGTGATGATATTGTTGATCGGGAAACAAAGAAGCAAGATACCAACTCATCAAATCAAGAAAATCAAGAAGACATGATGGTAATAAATTAAAAAATTGGGTTAACATTTTAGATGTGAGTGATTAATATTTCTTTTAATTTTTTTAGTACTTTGATCCATACATTATTTCTGAAGAAGAGAAAATCAGTAATCCAGAATGGTTCAAAAACAAACACAACAAAACACCTGATCGATACTTGAAAATTCGTAATCATCTTTTGGCTTGTTGGCAATCATGTCGACCTCGTTATATGACAAAGACAAGTTCACGTAAAGGTCTCAAGGATTGTGGTGATGTGAATGCTATTGGCCGTGTTCATTCTTATTTGGAAAATATTGGCGCCATCAATGTCAATTGTATAAACGCTGCACCTCGACATCATAGACGAACTTCCGTTACTGACAAGAATAATAATAACAACAATGATGATGATGACAATGATCCTACAATAATGTATTCAGCAGCCGATCTACTTATTGGTTATGATGGGTAAAAGAGAAAAAAAAATGCATGATGACATTATAGGTTTCAATTACCACGTGGACTTAACCTGTTTTTTTTTTATATATATCTCTTTTTCAGACCTAGAAAAAGAAAAGTTCGAAACGAAAGGGGTGAATGGTAAATATCATATGGTGCATAAAATGCAGGGGCTAAGAGAGTGGGTAGCTTACGTATTATTATTATTATTTTTTTCTTGTATTGTGTTTTATGTTAGGGTGGATCCAAAAGAATTAGAAGGCCGTGTGATTGAACATGGACAATCGAAACCAATGAATAGTAAGTTAAATATATAATTTGATTGCTTTAGTTGAGAAAAAAAAAAAAAAGGAAACCACTCAACTTTTTTATTATTTTTATTTTTAGATACAAGACCCAAACGAACGGTAAAGCGATCACAACATTATTACGGTGGTGATGACTTTGGAAGAGGATATGATCCATTTCGATTGGTACCAGTGGCATATTATGACGATCAACATGTAGCCCCTTTCACAGTTGAAATCAGTAGTAGCTCATTATTGGTGATGGACTTTCACTCTCATTTGGCACATACGGAAATCATTGGTCTTTTAGGTGGAACATTCGTCACAGATACTGACAACAGAAAACAACTCAAGGTGGAAAGCGTATTTCCTTGTAAAAGTACAAGTACAGGAATTCAATGCGAAATGGATCCTGAATCAGAAATGAGGGCTAGAGAAGTATTTGCAGAAAATGGTTATACAGTTGTTGGATGGTATCACTCTCACCCAACGTTCGAGCCACATCCAAGTATTCGAGATATTGAAAATCAAACATCATACCAGGTAAAAAAAAAAAAAAAAAAAAATCATATTATTCATCATTTAGATTTGACTCTTTAATTTTTATTATTAGACATTGTTTCGGCATGAAAAAACAGGGGACGAACCTTTTATTGGAGTCATTGTGACACCTTATGATTTGACGGTAGCAAGCGAACATTCACAAATTCAATATCTACATATTAGCAATCAATGGGATGATAATCATTCATTTCGTAAGTTTTTTTTTATTATGGATATAAATCAAAGACTGTATATTCATCTTTTTTTTTTTTTGATTAGGTGTTCCTTATGCTTGTCGTCGACTGGTCAAACAGGATGATCAAGTCCCAACTATTGTTATGGACCAAATGAAGGAATTGGTAGATGAATTCAAGGATTATGAACAGTAAGAGACTTGAATCATTTTTTTAAAAAAAAAAAAAAAAAGTGAAGGGAAACATGATCGACGGATATTTATTTATTTATTTATTTTGTTTTGGATAGTAAAATGAATATGTTGTCATTATATGGGACACAATCTCGATTAGACAAACTACTAGGCTCATTACGATCAAACCTATTTATGGAACTCAATCGAGCGGAAACATTTCTACAATTTGTCAATTCCTTGATGCTTGAACATTTTGTAGACGATGAAGACAAAAGAATGCAACAAATTGGACAAGAGGAAAATAAGAGTACTACAGAACAAACATCAAAACAAATTGAACAAGATGAAAATGTTACATTATCACTTCCACAACAATCAAAACAAGAATTAACCGATCATCTTGAAAATCAACATATGGATGAACAGTCATCAGCAACACCATTATTATCATCATCATCACCATCATCATCATCAGCATAATCAACTTCATCATTATTAGCATTAGTATTCAAGTATAGTTTCATTTTTAATAATATATGTATATATTATTATTATTACCACATTTCAACTATCTTGATCAATTATATCTCTGCATCTTTTTTTTTTAATTTTACCTTCTTTCTCCTTTAATAAACATACTGTTTTTTATATATATATCTTTTTTTTCAATGGATGTACCTTATGCATCTGGGCTTAAATCTGATACACGTGGATATTCCACCAAGATAATCTCTTTCCCTCTTTTTTTTTTTTTTTTTCTCATCCTCTACCTTTTTTCATCATTTCCATTAAAATGACTATATCACGTAAGTTGACTTTTTTTATTCTTACTTTTTAATAAGAAATAGTGTTTTATATATATGCAAAAAAAAACTAACTAACCATACGTTATTATGATGTATATATTCCATGATAGCCCAAGATAACAACAATACTACTGCGACTTTAGATAGTTTCTTGAGTCACCGACCTGATGCTCAAGAACTAGTGGATAGGAACATTATGAAAGGTAATAAAAATGAAAGAATGTGACAAAGAAAAATAGGGAATCTTAATAATTGTTTTTTTTTGTTAGATCCAAAGTTAGCACCTAGTCTTCAACAACAAGCTGAAGATTTAGCCAAACAAAAGGTACAAGATTCTCTTCGGCATAAAATTGATCATCGTCCTACTCGAGAAGAATTAATTGAACATAATATTTTGAAAGGTAAAAAATGATTTTATTTCTCTATATATTGATAAAATAATCACAAATATTATATATATTTTATCCTTATTCTTTAGATAGTGATGTAGCACCCGCTCTTCAAAGACCTCAAGCGGAACTTGAACGAAGTCGACTTGAAGATAAGTTGGAACACAAAATCTCTGATCGTCCCAAACCATCCACTTTGATCGAACAAGGCATTCTTCCCGGTAAAATATCCAAAATAGGGCTGTGTGAAAAGAAAAAAAAAAAGATTAGAATATACTTAGAGTTTGACTGACATTTTTTTTTTATATATTCCTTTTTTTTTTATTATTATTATTATTATTGTTCTGTAGCTGATCAAGCACCTCCTCAGTGATGATACTATTGATAAATATTCTTTTTCTTTTTTTTTTATCAATTTATGTTAGTTTATATGTTACCACTCTTTTATTTATTTATTCCATTATCTCTATTGAAATAAAAATGATGACTGCTTCATTACTCGATAAAAGATGATTCAATAGGACTCTCAACTCCGACTCCGGTATTCCCACGGGAAGTGATTGCATTGCTGGTCAAAAAGGAACCAAGCTCAAAGATTTCCCACGCAGTATTTAAAAAAATATTCTTTTTTTTATTTCTTTTTATTTCTTTTTCTTTCTTTTATATTTTCAAAAAATATATATATCAATCATGTTGTCTAGATCAGTTTCTCTCCTTACACGTAGTGCACGTACTTCTTCCTCAGCTTGGCGTCGTCCTTTATTAGCTAATACTGTCAACTCAACTGTTCGTCAGTATTCTTCTACTTGGGATCAACATAGTCAAGTCTTTGAACAATTAGGATTACAAAAGTCTGGTAATCTCGGTGTCTTTGATGGTGAATGGAAAGGTAATGGTGATGTGATTCCTTCTATCAATCCAGTCAACAATCAAGTTATTGCTGAAGTTAGACAAGTAAGTACATGTTATAAACAAGAAGAAAAAACAAAAAAAACATAGAACTCAAACATTGTATCTTTATTAGGGAACTACTCAAGATTTAGATGTTGCTTTAGATCGTGTTGCTGAAGCTCAAAAGATTTGGCAAGAGGTAAGATTTAAAAAAAAAAAAAAAAAAACCCAATGAATTAATCAATTCATTTTTTTTCTTCTTAGCTTCCTATTCCTCAACGTGGTCAAGTTCTTCTCGCCATGAGAGATGCTCTTGTTAAAAATTTACAACCTTTGGGTAAATTGGTTTCTTTAGAAATGGGAAAAATTCTTCCTGAAGGTGTCGGTGAAGTACAAGAATACATTGATATTTTGGAATATGCTTTGGGTTTATCTCGTATGTTGAACGGTGCTCTTATTCCTTCTGAACGTCCTGGTCATGTCATGTTAGAAACTTGGAATCCATTAGGTACTGTGGGTGTCATTAGTGCTTTCAACTTCCCAGGTAAAAGAAAGAAAAAAAAGAAGTGATCAGCCATTTTCTGTCTCTGTGATATTTACTTTTTATATTATCATTTTTTTTTTTTTTAGTGGCTGTCTATGGTTGGAATAGTGCTATTGCCTTGGTGACTGGTAATGGTGTCCTTTGGAAACCATCCCCTACTACACCTCTTGTATCCATTGCAGTGACTCGTATCCTAGAACGTACTTTACGTGAACATAACCTTCCTCCTGCATTATGTTCCTTGGTGACTGGTGGTACGGATGTAGGTCAACAATTAACTAAGGATAAGCGTGCACAAGTCCTTTCATTCACAGGTTCAACCAAGGTGGGTCGTGAAGTTGGTCAAGTGGTGCAAGGACGATTTGGTAAATCCATTCTTGAATTGGGTGGCAACAATGCAATTATTGTGATGGAAGATTGCGATTTGGATCTGGCAGCACGGGCTATCTTATTTGCCGCCGTTGGTACTGCTGGTCAACGATGTACGACTACACGACGATTGATTGTTCAAGAATCAATTTATGATACTTTGATGGAACGTTTGATCAAGGCATATGGTCAAGTCAAAGTAGGTGATCCTCTTCATGATGGTGTGTTATGTGGTCCCTTACATACCAAGGATGCAGTTGAAATCTATAAATCTACCTTGGAAAACATCAAGCGTCAAGGTGGTGAAATCCTCGTTGGTGGCAAGGTATTGGATGATGGTCCTTTGCAACATGGTAATTTTGTCGCTCCTACTTTGACCCGTGTTACTCCAGATATGGATGTTGTCAAAAATGAAGCCTTTGTACCTATTTTACATACTATGACATTCAAGGTAAAAAAAAAAAAATCATTGACTCGTTTTTCCTAATTTGTTCTATTCACTCTTTTTTTTTATTATTTTTATTATTTTTGATTGTATTCATCTTATTTTTTTTTGTAGACTTTGGATGAAGCTATTGCCATCAACAATAATGTTGCTCAAGGTCTTTCCAGTTCTATTTTCACAACTAATCCTGCTACCATGTTCAAATGGATTGGTCCTTCTGGTTCAGACTGCGGTATCATCAACGTCAATATTCCTACCAATGGTGCAGAAATTGGTGGTGCATTCGGTGGTGAAAAAGAAACTGGTGGTGGTCGTGAAAGTGGAAGTGACAGCTGGAAGCAATACTGTCGCCGTGGTACTTGGTAAGTTGTTCAATCATGGATGAAATGTTCAGTAAATTAAATATGTTTCTCTTTTTTTTTTTTTTTCTTCGATAGTACTATTAATTATTCTGGTGCCCTCCCCTTGGCTCAAGGTATCAACTTTGGATAAAACTCAAGAACAAGGGACCGAAAATGAAACAAATTATTAGAATAGTTTTTTTTTTTTTTTTGATTTCTCTATTTTTATACAATCAACAACGAATAAAGAATGAATTTTTTTATTTGATTAATTGTTTAAATATATATATATATTTAGTATGTATGTGCGTAAAAAACATATGATTTATCCAGGAAGTACAAGAATGATGAAAAAAAAAAAAAGTGAAACGATGGAAGATAAGAAATAGCGTAACAATAGGTGCATGACTAATGATGATGGATGATGACTGTATTGATATGATGGTTGAGAATAAGTAATTCTTTTTTTCTTCTTCTTCATGAAACTGACAACTACATAATATGACATTGCATATCATGAACTTCTTTTCCTTCACCAGTAACCATTCGTGGATTGCTCCAGTTAGGACGAGCTTGAACCAAAGGAGGACTGGATGGTTTTTCTGGCTTTGCTGCAGGAGGTGGCAGTGGTGGCGGTGGAGGAGGAGGTGGTGGTGGTGGTGGACATGGTGGATGACCTGGTGACATGATATAAAAAATATTGGCTGCTGGTGGAGGTGGCGGTGGAGGTGGTCCAGTCATGATAAATAAAATATATTAAAAAAAAAATGAAAAGAAAAGAATAAATGAACTTTTTATCATCTCTTTTATAGTCACTTGTTATTATGGTGAGGGTTCTTTGGTGATACCAAGAACTTGTCATTGAGGAACATTCAAATGAAAAAAAAAAAAAAAAAATACAACTTTCCTTTTATGGTACCGCGCAAAACATCGTCTCGTTTCTCCTTCCTTGATGGCTTCATATTCTTAGGTTTGTTTTTTTTTTCTTTACAGTAAATGATTCAGAGTGACTTATTTATACGATGATGCTTGTTTGGATGAATAACTGTTTTGATGGTAGACTGTACAAAAGAAAAAAATAATCAAAGGTGGTCATTGCACTGCATGATGGAAACGATACAATTCAATCAGGTGATGCCATCCAACAGCGGTTGTACACTCAAATGATGAGTTTAATCTTTTAATACATATGATTTCGCTTATGATATACTGTTAAAAGAAAAAAAATCGCTTTTCCTTTGACACGGACCAGCTAAGCCAAAAAAAAAAAAAAAAAAAGAGTTCACTGAATTATTTTTTATTGGAATCTTGGTCTCAAGTATAAACTTTGAAGGGGAATATCTTTTCCTTTTTATTTATATTATAGATATAGTGTGATTCATTTGATCATCAGGGGAAAAAAAAACCATATTTGAGATATTTTTTGTATTACTATATGGATGATCATTCAAAGTCTACTTGCCTTCGCCACTTACAAAAACTGGGTACCACAAAAAAAAAACAAGTTTTTTTTCTCTGTTTTTTATTTTTCTCTTCACATCAATGTATCGATGTTTCAAGGGTGTAGGTCAGCACAACAATAAAACTTCCCCCTCAGTCCACATAGTTGGAATTTTGACAGGTTTTTTTTTTTTTTTTTTTTTTTTTTTTTTTTTTTTAAGCAACAGTAGAAAGAAATATTAATCATAGTTCACTGATAAGAAATAATCATGACATTATGCATAATACCATGCTTGCAAAAGGTAAAGTTCCTGAGGCGGGTAACTAGATTATCCTTTCTCTTCATTGCCTAGCTGCTTTTGAACACATATGTTCTCATTCCATTTTTCTTTTTTTAGTAACGTACACTGACATAGAAAGTTTTTGTACGATATGAAAGAACCTTGTTTTATTATTTGAAGGGAAGCATGAACTCTAATGATTTCCTTTTGAAGCTTACGTTCATATCCAACTGTCTCACCTTTCGCTTATTGTCGCCTACCATCCCATCACCCCATCATCATCCCATCATCATCATCCCATCATCATCCCATCATCCATTTATCCATTCATCCATTCATCCATTCATCCATTCATCCATTCATCCATTCATCCATTCATCCATTCATCCGTTCATCCGTTCATCCATTCATCCGTTTCATTATAATCTGACTTTTATAATAATAATAAAAAAAAAATCTACAAATTTGATTGTTTATTTTCGACTTTATGTATAAAATATAAGAAGAGATAAAAAAAAAAAGATCACAGAAAGAATAACGATGATGATGATGATGACAGATCAAGAAGAGGATGATCCATAATGAGTTCCAAGACAATCAACAGCCACAACTCGGAAGATACTAGGAAGACAAGAGTTGATATAGGATGCAGCAGTTGTATGGTCATCAGGGAAGTTAACAAAAAAGGCCAATGTCAGACAAAACAGAGCGAAGTACCACAATATCGTAAAAAAGAATCCATCATGATATCCAGTTTCAGGCACATACTTGAATTCATCTTTTTCTATACCTTCATCATGGGTGAGGGAAGAGACACGAGGACGAGGTTGTTGACCAAAGTGATGACATACTTGATCCGATGTAAGTTTGCTTCCAGCCAAGACAATTGGAACACCTGTACCAGGATGAGTAGAAGCACCGACAAAGAACAAATTGTCATAACGACCAGTGGAATCTTGGGTAGATGGACGGAACCAGAGTACTTGAAAGATATCATGAGATAAACCAAGTATAGAGCCACGCCACAAGTTGAATTTTTCTTGCCAAACGCCCGGATGATTCACTATTTCATGATCAATCCATTGTTGAAAATTATTCACACCCAATCGACGTTCCAAGACAGTGAGTACCATTGTTCGTGCGCGTGCCACCAATGCAGAATAATACTCTTCCATTTCTTCCTTGGTTGCTTGACCAGATGTATGTCCAACGGGAACCAACACAATCATGGCATCCTTGTCAGCAGGTGCGGCAGATGGATCGATACGAGAAGGTATATTGACGTAAAAAGAGGCATCGGATGGGAGATTAAGATCTTGGAAGATTTCATCAAAGCTTTCCTTGTAAGTTTCAGCCAAAAAGATATTGTGTACATCCAGCTCATGTACAACTTTGGAGAGAGACCAATAAAATGAAATGGAGGATGATGTGAGTTTCTTCTTGGCAAGTGTTTTTGTTGTCCAACGGCAAGGCGGAAGTAGTTGATGATAAGCGTAAACAAGATCAGCATTGCACACCACAGCATCTGCTTCAATCACAGTACCATTTTCCAAGGTCACACCTGTCACTTTCTTTTGCTGATCATCCGTATTAATTTTGGCAACTGATGCATTGTAGATAAAAGAAGCATTGTATTTGTCTTTGGCAATGGATTCTAGTCTTTGAACCACAGTATTGAAACCACCACGAGGATACCAAATACCTTCAGCAAATTCAGTATATTGTAACAAACTATAAACAGCAGGAGCATCATAAGGAGACATACTTCAAAATAATAAATAAATAAAAAAAAAAGAACAGTAAGATGATGACTGACAACAATGACAATGGGATTTCAATCACCGAGTACCCCTTCCTTTTTTTTTTTTTTACCCCATATACATCGTTTGAAAAGTAAAGGCCATTCGCATTTTCTTTGTTTTGAAATATTTTGCAGCACGAGAATAAATTTTATCAAAGAGATGAAGTCGAATGATTTCAGGAGCATATTTGATTTTGATCATATCCCATATAGATTCAAAGTTGCGTTTGATGGCCATCAGAGTTCCTTTTTCATAATGAACATGAGTTTCTGACATAAAGTTCAAAAATCGAGAAAATCCATCATCACCTTCCACACGTTCCATTTCCGTCTTCATACGCGTCAAATCAGAAGTCAAATGAATCTTGTCACCATCATCAAAGTGTACCTTGTAATTGTTGTTACATCGTATTAAATCAAGATGATCTTCTAATTTTTCATCCAAGTCAGCAAACATATCTTGATATAATTTTGGCATCAAATAAAGAGAAGGACCTTGATCAAAACGATATCCATTATGATGAATCAATGAACATCTTCCACCATTAAAATCGTTCTTTTCCACCACTGTCACCTTGAAACCTTGACGAGCCAATCTTGCAGCAGTAGCCGTTCCACCAGCTCCAGCACCAATAACAATAACATGTTTTTTAGACATGATGATTGGATTTTTTTTTAATAATATATATAAAAAAAAAGAAAGAAGAGAAAGAAAGAAGAAACAAAATGAAAGAAATGGAAACGAAAATGGAAATACTTTATAGGCGGTGATTGAATCTTTTTTTTTTTTGTTGTTAATGGTAGACAATGACCAAGATTGGTAGTAAAAGGAAGATCATTACTTTTTTTTTTTCCTTATCCCTTTCAATAAAATAATACAAAATAAGAATATACTATAAAAGAATAATGACTGGATTTTCGATACCTTTATTGTTTATTGAACTCCTTTATTTAAAACCTTTCCCCTTTCTGATGAAATGATCGATTTAAATATTAGGACCCAACCAATCAAAATGCTCAGATCTCTGACCGCTACTTTGGGAAAAGAGGGGGATCTCTTGTTTTTTTTTTGTTCTTTTCTCTTTTTGTTCTTTTACTTTTACTTTTTTTTTTTTTTTTTTGTCTTTGTTCTACCCTATGCAACTATATCACTTCAGTTTTATCTTATTCCTACTCCTTATATCCGTTAGCAACCCGATATTCATGTCAGAAATGACAACATTCCATTTTTATTTTAAATAAAGACAACATGTTGCTTTTTCTTTTTCCTTTTTTTCCCTCTTTTTCCTTTTTTTTTTCTTTTGTTCCCTTAGACAAGATTCCCTTGTCAATTGTTGACACTTTTTTTTTATTGACATATAATATATATCCTTTTTTTTATTCACTCATTCTCTTAATTCATTCTTTTATTAATTCATTTATTTCGTATTTGCCATAATTATTATGCTGTCTTATATGGAAGTTCACCTTTACTATACTTTACCAGTAGTTGGATTCTTGTTACTTGGACTTCGACCTTTCTATACTTCTCAAGATCGACTCAAATATTATTTTCTTTGTGGTGTGGCCTTTTCGACTGCAGCTCCATGGGATAATTATATCGTTTTTCATCGCGCTTGGTGGTATTGTCCTCGTTGTGTTATTGCAGTCATTGGTTATGTGCCTTTGGAAGAATATATGTTTTTTATTATTATGACTCTGATGACTGTATCCTTTACTAATCTCGTTATGCGGTGGCATCTACCTACTTTTTATCTCAAATCTACTCTATCTTCTTTTCATTCCAAATGTATTCGATATATTCCTATGTTGGCGTTTCTGACTATTGCTGTGAAAGCCTGGGCAAGTGAATATATATATATATATATGGTCACCTAAATTCTAATATCTTTTTTTTTTTTTATTATTATTATTACCATTTTAGTTCGCTGCTGTTCCTGATACTCCTTTTTTTTATGGTGCTTGTATTCTTTGGTATGTGTGCCCTGTTTTCGCTTTACTCTGGTATGGTGCTAGTGAATATATCTGTCGTCGTTGGAAAGGTGTGATGATTTCTGTTATCGTACCTACTTTATATCTATGTTGGGTGGATACAATTGCTATCAGTGCTGGTACATGGCATATCTCTGAACGGACAAGTACTCGACACTTTTTATTCTCACATTTACCTTTGGAAGAAGCTGTCTTTTTCTTTATGATTAATATTGTCTTGGTATTTGCTACATGTGCTATTGATCGTGCGTACTCTATTCTTCACCTTTACAACATCAATCGACAACCATCATCCTCATCTTTCTTAAGCACTGTGATAGATTTGACAAAGGCATTTTGTTTATCCGATCAAAGTTTGGACCCTCAACCTCTGAATGATTTATATACTACTTGGGCTATACTCAAAAATAGTTCTGCTTCCTTTTACACTGCATCAGCCGTATTTCCAAGCAATGTACGTCAAGACTTTGGTGTCCTATATGGTTTCTGTCGTGCGACGGACGATCTGGCGGATAATGAATCTGTGTCTGTGGAACATCGAAAACAACAATTGAATCTTGTTCGAGATTTCATTAATGATTTGTTTACCCAAAAGACAAATTGTGCCTCTGAATTGGATTGGACCCCTTATATGGATTTACCTCATGAATGTTTGGCTTCTTTTCGTAGCTTTGTTCGTTTACGTCATGTACTTCGATTGGAAGCTGTATTGGAATTATTGGATGGTTATACTTGGGATTTGGAACGACGACCTATTTTGAATGAAGAAGATTTGAAACGATATTCTGAATGTGTGGCTAGTAGCGTTGGTGAAATGTGTACTCGTATCCTGATGAACAATGATTTGAAGATGATGATGATGGATCAAACAACATTGGCTTGGACAATAGACCGTGCAAGAGAAATGGGCTTGGTACTTCAATTTATCAATATAGCAAGAGATATTGTGACAGACAGTGAACAATTAAAACGATGTTATATACCCTCAACATGGTTGGAAAAAAAAGAAATGGAGTTGATCAAGACTGGCCATGCAAGACAACTTGGTGATCAAAGATTGAAAGAACTGGCTCTCCGATTGATTCATGCCGCTGATGATCTTAGTCTCCGTGCACGACGTGGCGTTGAAAAATTACCATTGAATTGTCAAGGTGGTGTTCGAGCAGCTTGTGCAGTTTATTGTGCTATTGGTCAAGCTTTGAAACAAGCGGATGATTATCCTATACGTGCTCATGTGAAAGGTTTACAGCGGGTCTGGATTACTCTTCAAAATGTATATGATCTTATTGGAAATAATAAAATGATGACTCCTTCAACTATTAATCAACCCAAAACCCGACAAGGAAAGGTTCGTAGCTTTATAGTTGATTAGTGTGTTTATTATTAGTACTTTTTTTTTTTATAATTATTCTTCTTAGTATAATTCTTTATTGATTTAAGTCTTGTATCAAAAATAAAATCCTTTTTTTTTTTGTTTCTTTTGATTCAATTGTTTGATTTTGTATATATTCATCAAATAATAATAATAAAAAAGAAAATGTGGAAATTTTTTTTTTTTAGACAAAGAAAATGGTAAAAAAAAAAAAAAAAGGTACCAATACAAAGACTCCGCCACTTGTACCACGTGCTCTAAAACAGGGTAGGTGTACTAAAAAAGTGCCGATTATCCCAAGAAAATAGCAAAGTTTGGTTTTTCTTTTCTTACTTTTTTGGAAAAATTAGAAGGACAGGAAGATCTTTTTTTGCTGAGACTGAATTACCAAGAAACCATTTTCTAAGGAAGCAAAAGAAAACTGAGAAAAAAAAAAAAAAAGACTTTATAAAAGTACAATTACCGATTATTTTTTTATTTATTTATTTTTCTTTTCTTTTCCTTTTTTTTTTTCTATCTATTATTATTATTATAATGAAATTACCTTCAATTCATTCTTTACTTAATCCTCCACCATCACCACCAACAACATTAACTTTGGACAATAATGTAAACCAACCACCTTCTGTACAAATATTCCCAGCTTCCCCTATGGAAAATTCGACTTTATCACCCATGTTATCACCAGCTTTATCGTCTAGTAGATCACCTTCTATTAGTTCAGTTGGTTCTATTTCACCTGTTTCTATGAATTTATCAGAATTTCCTCCTATTCATGGTGATGATCCTCCAAGACGATTAGTACATTCAACTCCTACACTTCATCCACGGTCTCCTTCTCATTATTTACATCATCATCGTCTTCATTCTTCTGAAAAGCATCAACAATCATGGTCGTCTAACTGTTATTCCAAGGACAACAATTCTACTCCCCCTTTAGGTACTCTCCCTACTCCTCCTCATTCATTATCTCCTCCACCTTCTATTACCATTTCACCTTCTTCTGATACTCCAAAGATAGCAACAATAAAATCAACAAAAGAAGAAATACCAGCCCCTCCTCCTTGTACACAAATATTTATATCACCAACGGGTCAACCTATTTTGAAACGAAGACGTGGGAGACCACCAACAAGATCACCTGGTTACGATGAAGGTGGTTGGACTTTTTTATCACCTACTGTATGGGATGTCACATCAACAACACTTGGACCTCATCAACATGAACGAAGGACAGAACATGAAGACGATGGTACTATGAATGAATCTATGGCGGCGTTTACAAGTGCAAATATGGATACCGTTTTACCGATGCCCAAGAAGAAACGAGGAAGGAAACCAAAAACTCATATTGAAGGCAATTCTTGTTTTGTATGGAAAGATATATCTGCTGCAAGACGAACTGCCAAGACTCCATGAATGTTACAATTTTATCTTTATTATCATCATCATCATTTTATTTTATTCTTATTTACCTGCATCTTTATTGTATATAGCACTTTAACTTCTTACTATTGTTTATATATACATATACAAATATTCTTTCCCCCCTTCTCCAATTTATTTTATGCTTCTTTTCTTATAATAAAAAAGATACCAATTTTTTTTTTTTATGTTTATCATCCTTTTACTATTTACTATATTTTGATTATTTTGATTAGTTCGCGGGGTTTGGGCACGAACGAAAAAGAAAATTTTTCAATGAATATCATTTTCTTATTTTATTATTTCTTTTCCGCTTTTTTTTTTTTTTTTTTTTTTTTGTCTTTTTCCCTTGACAATGCGACCTTTTCTTTTATTATCACGACGTACATTCACTTCAACAAGATCTTCATCTAAACATATTTCATTGGCTTACGATACTTATCCTTCAAAACTTACCCAGTCAACAACCAAAAAGTCACCCCTTATTATTTGTCATGGTTTATTTGGCTCAAAGCAAAACTGGGCTTCTCTTTGTCGAGCTGCCTCTCAAAGAATAGACCGTGATATTTATGCCGTGGTAAGATAATCTTATATAATTTGTAATGATATTAATCATCATGAAGAACCATGTTATGTTTCTCTTCCTTTTAACTAACCTTTTTTTTTTTTTTTTAGGATTTAAGGAACCATGGTGATAGTCCTCATCATCCTGTACATGACTTCCCTGCCATGGCCGAAGATTTATTAGCTTTTATGGATGAACACGATCTTAAACAACCTATTCTTATGGGTCATTCAATGTAAGTACATGAATATGGATAGAGATATACAAGTGATATTCATTTTTTATATATTTTAATATTATTTGTATGTACAAGGGGAGGTAAAGCGGTGATGATGGCAGCATTACAAGCACCAGAACGAATCAGCAAGGTGATATCTGTGGATATGCCACCAGTACCATTGACATTATCTCAGGGTTTCTCTAACTATATCCAAGGCATGCAACAAGTGGATCAAGCTCAATGTACCAAGCAAAGTCAAGCAGATACTATTTTACAACAATATGAATCCAATATCGGCATCCGTATGTTCCTTTTAACCAATCTTAAACGACAAAACGGTGTACTTTCTTTCCGACTACCTTTATCCATTCTCGCTAATTCTCTCGATCACATTGGTCAATTCAATCCTCCCAAAGCCGTTTATCCTCATCCTACATTGTTTATTGCCGGTGGAAAAAGTCCTTATTATCCTCCATTTTCTCAACATAAAACTCAAATCAATACTTTGTTTCCTCAATCTGAAATGAAGGTGGTACAAGATGCTGGTCATTGGGGTAATTTATTTTTTTTTTTTTTTGTAGTCATTGAAACTTATATATCTTTTTTTTTTCTTCTTTTTCTATGATAGTTCATGCCGAAAAACCTGAACAAGTATTACAATTGATCACTACATTTAGTCAAGATGAATAAAATAGATAAATAGATAGATAGATTTTTTTTTTTAGACTCTTTTGAATATATGTATATTTTGACTGGCTTGATTACATTCATTTTCTTTGTGTGATTCTTTGAATTCCATGATAAATAATGGATTGTGTCTCCTTTCTTGTCATTCCTTTCATGGACAATAGGCCTAAAATAGAGAGCAAATCTGTTTGTATCACCACCATCCATAGAGAATGAATTGTACCTAATTAGGTGGTTTTTTTCCATGATTTCTGTTTGTATCACTTGATTCCGCCGATAGAGAACTAAATTTAGCTTGTTTGGTTTGTTTTGGAAATGGACCGGAAGATTTTCTTTTCCAATAAATCATCCATATTATTCAAAAATATCTTTATTACATATATATATATATATATATATGTATATAATATAAGCCAATATAACACATAAAATATAGAATAGGAAATAGTAACAAATGAATATATTTATGAAATAAATAAAAAAAAATAAAACTAATCACAATAAACTATGATAATAAAAAAAAAAAGGTTAACTAGTAGGAGAGGAAGAGTGAAGCATATCAGATCTTGTAGGTAATAAAAGAGCAGCAGGATTGGTTGAAGAATATTGAATGGCCATATAGTCTTTTTGATGTGATGGTATGATATTAGTAGAAGACATAGCTATGGTGGCACCAGACGAAGAAGAAGAAGTGATAGATGAAATAGAGGGTGATAAAGATGATGATGATGACGATGATGATATTGATGAGGTAGTCCCAATCGAATGATCAATCACACCATTGTTGATTAAAGAATGTGAAGTAAATGGAGGTGGCATCATGATAGGTTGTCCAGGAGGTAAAGGTCGATTCAGGAATTTTAATGTAGCATGTTTGTTGGGATGACAATCCTTGTGAACCCATAAAACATTACGAAGTTGTATCAATTCATCTCGCATGATATTACTTTGTATTTGTAATTGTTCATTGTCATTAGTCAAATATTCCACTTTGGCTTGAAGATTATTTAACCATTGTTTTTTTCTTTGTCTACATTTCAAAGCAGCTATTAAACAATTCAGTATACCCCTTTTTTCATTTTTTTTTTCATTTACCTTGTCGATTCCGTTCTAAAAAGTTCTTTCTCTTTTCTTCATCATCCATATATTTTGATGATTGTGATTTCCGTTTCTTGATTAACTTTTTATCTTGTTGTTGATGACGAGATGTGGCAAATGACGCTTTTGTATTGATTTTATTGGGTAACGAATCGTTGATGACAGGTGGGTTAGAGGGATACATAGAGTCTGACCAAAGCATGATAAAGGCGATCCGGCAATCGTGAAAGGTGGAAAGAAAAGGAATACATAGAAATGTAAAAAGAACAGTATCATGATGTTATAAGAAAGAAATCAATCACACAAAATATATCGGATAATGTTTCGGTTATGCAGATATAAAGTAATAAAAAAAATATCATGTTAGTAAAAACAAAATATTTTATTCCTTCTTTACAATCATCGCTCAAAGTTCAATAGGTTCGCCGAAATCGGCTTTTCTTCTCTCTCTTTTCTCTTTACTTACCAGAATCCCAGTATATATATATATATATATATATCGGTAGTAATGGTTAGTCAAGTTTGAGGTTGAGCTTGTTAAAATGGTCAAACGAGATAAATTATCATTATTATAAAAATTTTAGATCAAATGGATTGAGTTTTTTTAACAGAATACAAGTCATAGACTATAATAATAGTAATAAAAAGGAAAGTTGGACAGGAAGATCTCAAAAGAAAATCAATGCAACAATAAGAAAAAAAAAAAAAAAGAAGGCAGGAATAGGGGAATTCCCTCTCCGCTTCCTGTGACTTGCTGCTTATTCTTCTCTTTTCTTTTTTTTCTTTTTCTTTTTCTTTCTTTAACGTTTTGCACATACTTTTTTATAACATAACATGTCTGATCCACAATATTCACCAGGAAACAATTCTCTAACGCCAATGGATATCGACGTAAATGGTAATGCAACCACACCTGAAATGAATACAACCACTTCCACTGAATTTCATAGTCCACATCAAGCGAAAACCATCAAACAAGAAACCTCTTCTAATACAACCACTTTAGAAACACGACCATCACAGCAACAAAAGAAGACTTCTCAGCAACCTGAAACTCTATTGAAGGCAACCATAGCAGACCGTGCTTCTAAACTTCCCGAAACTGATAAACGAGAAAAGTCTTTGGCTGAATTTCTGACGAAAATGGATAACTATTCACCTATTGTAAAGTAGAAAACAAAAAAAAAAAAAAAAAAAAAAATACCAATATACTGAGAGACTATTACTTTTTTTTTCTCTCTCTCTCTTTAGATACCTGATGCTGTTACAGATTACTATCTAAGTCGAGCTGGTTTTGATTGTGATGATGTTAGAGTGTAAGCAAAAAAAAAAAAAAAAAAAAAAAGAATAGATAGGATATTACAAAGGATTATATATTTTTATAAATGACTAATTGTATTCTCTCTATTTATTGGATGAAACATAATGGGGGGATATCTCAATAGTAAACGACTACTGGCACTGGCAGCACAAAAATTTGTTGCAGATATAGCTACTGATGCATTCCAATACTGTAAAGTTCGACAATCTGGTAATCGAAGTAAAGTGGGCAAGGTAAAATAACAAAAAAAAAAAAAAAAAAAAAAAAAGACAATGAATATTAAACAATATTTTTCTATAGGATCGCAAAACAGTATTGACAATGGAAGATTTATCAGCTGCTTTATCGGAATATGGTGTTAATGTCAAAAAACCGGATTATTATTCCTAGTTTAGTTGATTGTACATAATAAAAAAGGATATTCTTATGTTGTGTACTTGATTATGCTTTTTTGTATTTAAATCTCCACTGCGTTTCATCTCTTTTTCTTTTTGTTTTTTTTCTTTTCTCTTTTTTTCTTTTTTTCTTTTTATTATTATTATCTTATATATTTATATACCATGACCTCACTTGCCACCAAGTTTATGGAAAAGAGGGTCAAGAAGTACGCATCAGTACAAGCAGCAGATATTCTTAATCCAAAACAACAATTTATCAATGATCCCGAAATCAAAGCAGCCCAAGAAGAAGCCGCCAAGACAACCAAACGACATTGGTGGAAACGACAACAACAACCTGATATTATTCTTAGTGAACGAGATCGTCAAGTACTTCGAGCTGTCAAACGTCGTGCTACTTATCTTGATAAAGGTTGTTCTTGTTGTTGTTTTTCTTTTGGATTTGATTTTATTATAGGTAAAATGAAAAGAATGGTTTATCAATCCTTATTATTATTATTATTATTATTTAGGCTTGATTCCTGGTGTTGGGGATGCCATAGGTTTGATTTTGGGGTTGGAACTCATCAAAGTGGCATCACGCGCTGATTTACCGAAACATATTCAAATACAAATGGTTATCAATGCAGTGATGGATTTCTTGGTAAGCTTTTATATATATATATATATCCGTTACTAATATGATAAAATGATAGATTGGATTGACACCTTTTGTAGGCGATCTCTTGGATGCTGTCATCAAAAGCAATTGGCGCAATGCAATGATCTTGGAAGATTATTTGATGTTACGACGACGGGATGAAATCAGAATAGAAAGAGGTCATCATAATGAACCTAGCGGTAGTGGTACGTCAAATGAACCAGCACAACAAGTTGATTTACACAATAATGGCTCTCCACCCATACCAAACGAACATCATTTGAAAGGTAAACCTTATGGCTCTTTCTTACCACGGTTTTGATCTTTGGTGATATTTATAGTTACAGCCGGATGATTCCTCATGTGTTTGATGTACAAAAACAGATTCATTCACTAAATCTTTATATTTTTTTTCTACCTGTCATCTTTTGTGTTACATCAATTCATTTTTTTTTTATCCCATTCATCAATGTTGTTCTACTTTACATCCTCTCTTCACATATAATGTTTGAATAAAAATACGCTTGAATTGATACTGATCTATCTTTAAAACTTTTTTTTTTTTTGACAATTGATTCTCTTCATTTAATCCATGAGGCATAATGTTAAGCTTATTTGTTCTCCTCAAAACGGAACTACTTTTAAAACCGTCCACGCTATGGACACAAATCACAAGTTTCAGCCTTTATCCCGTCTTCACATATTACTCATCACCTCATTTATAAATTATAGTCAGTCATTCGTTACTGTCCATCCATCAAATCATTCATATAAAAAATAACATACTTTATTGCTAAAGAAGACATAAAGGTAAATATAAAATATACAACCGTTAATATATGTGATTAAAACTAATTTAAGACACAATGGAGTAAAATATAAAGTTATGTGAATAGTGAATGGAGTAGGATACAACAAAAAAAAAAAAATCCATCATTCATTATTTTCATTTTCGACATCTTTCAATGCCAACAATGTAGAAGAAGGTACCAATTGAGTAGTAGCATCTTGTAGTGCCATAAATGAGAGCATCCAATGTACCCGATGAGTTGCCCTAAATAACAATAATAATAAACAATGAGAAATAATAATAATAATAATAAATGATTGATCGATAATATCATTTTACCAAATTCCTACTTGCCACCATTGTAATTTTTCATGTTCTTCCAAATGCTTGATTACCCGGAGTCCATCATATAAACGTAACCCAATAATGTTGTTACGAGTACATCCATACTCGGAGATAGATTCGTCCAATTGTTGCTTTGATTGTTGTAACAGAGGAATATGCGTGGTACGTACATATTTTGTGTAAATCGGTAATGTCACAAGATCAGTCAAGGAACGATAAATAAAAGGGAATCGATAAGGTGAGGTGAAGGGTGAGTATCGAATATGAAGAAGCATAGCGGTGAAGAGTGATGTTAACCAAGAATATCCGTTGCTATGAAGCGCTATAGATATACAAAGAGAATGAGTCAATCGTTTTCTTTCTTTCTTTCTTTCTTTTCTTTTTTTCTTTTTTTTTTTTTTGCCAACTTACTAGACAAGGTGTTAAAGATCGTAAACTTGTTAGGATATTGACGATTTTCCTTCCTTTGAATAATATTTTCCTTTTTAGTCTGTTGTGCTTTTTCTGGGGACTTTTTAATTGCTTGTTCTTCAGTGATTCCAATGTCTTGTTGATTTTCTCGTAGTAATTTCTCCAATTTTTCCATTTCAGGTGTCAAGTCTATAGAAAATAATAATGATATTGAGCCATTCGTTATTTCTTTTCATTCTCACCTTTTGTGTTTCCAGAGTTTTGTAATTGTTTCAATTTTCTTGTTTCCCGGCGAGTACTTTCAGTCATCATATCGTGTTCATTGAAAACAGGTTGTAAATGAATACGGGATTGGGCTGAAGGAGGAGCTTGATCCAAATCTTGGCTAACAGCATCTACATACGATTGAGTAAATGGGACTATATAGGAGAATATATGGATGGATGAGGAAAAAAAAAAACATACATCATCGATCTTTTTTTTTTCTTTACAACTTACCAGATTGTTTTGTTGCATCCACGACTTGTGTCGATTGATTTGAGATAGATTGTAAAGAAGCCAGAGTATCGGAGCCGAGCCGTGTCTGTTTGGTGGATGATTCGAGAGAAGGGAAGGTGGTACTGTCATAAATAGATGGTGGCTCAGTCATTTCTTCTTCTTTTTAACTTGAACAAAAGGAGGAGAAGGAGGAGGTGATGGAGCAGGTTTGGAAGCCATCTTTGCAAAACTTGCTGAAGGAGGAGGAGGAGGAATCCTTCGCGCTTTTATAAAAAAAAAAAAGTAAATATATATATATATATTGAATCAAAAGTATATTATTATTACCTGAAGGTTGTTCTTGTAATTCTGTTATAGAAGGAAGATCAGATAGATCATTTTCTTGTGGAGTTTGTCTTTCAACTGATTCTTCCAAAGTAGGGAATCCTTCATGAGAAGAGACATCGGCATACGATCTTGAAGGATTAGGAGGTGTGTATTCTATTAAAACAAGTCCATTAGTTTTTTTGTTTTTTATGAAAAATATTTATTTATTATTTTACCTGGTATTTGATGATCTAACAGTTTTCCTTTAATTTGTTCAGCTGGGGTAGGATTATTTTCCAACAAGTGAACTTCTTGACCAGCTGTATCTGCATAAGATGGTTTCAAAGAACTATTTTGTGAAGGCGAACGTTGATCGACTTGATCCAAAGACGATTCCATGGAGATATTATCATTTTTAAAAGTTGTATTATCTTGTAAGTTTAAAGGTGGAAATTCACTAGGATTCATACTTTTGTCGTTATTGTTGTTAAAAAAAAAAAAAAAAAAAAAGAAAAAGAAAAAAAAAATAGCGAATGGGTCTCAATTCATTTTTTTGGTAAGCGCGTTATTATTATTATTATTTTTTTTTTTTTAGTTGAGATCGGGGTTTGGTTCTTTTTATGCGTTTTTTTTTTTTTAACATGTTGTCATATTCTAGAATGTCTCGTTCAATAGAGAAAGAAAAAAAAAAAAAGAAAAAAGTTACCATCGTTTTTGATCACCATGTTTCTAAAATAGTATTAAGAATGAAATGGAAGAAACTATATATGATATTTTTGTGTAACTATATAATGTAGACTTCTCTCTTAAACGCTCAAGCCAAAATGCATGTTTTTTTAGCTTTATAGATTCACTGAGTTTGAAGGCAAAAGAAAGTCTCCCTCTCTCTCTTTTTTTTTTTTCACCAATTTATTAGCATTTTTATAATAAAAAAAGAAAAGAAAGATCAATAATATATATTTTGATTACTCTATTCCAAATATGAATAATATTCAGGATTAAAATTTCTTTTTTCTTTCTTCTTTTTTTATTATTTTGCAATGAAAAGCAAAAAAAGGGTCTGGACGTCCTCCTCTCTCTCTCTCCCTATGAAAAATAAAATAATTGATTTCCCTCTTTTTTTTTTTTTCCTCTTTCTTTTTTTTTTCACTTTTCGTTCACTTTTTTTTTCCTTTTCTCTCTTTTTTTTTTCTTTCTTTTTGTCAATCTTTCCAAAATACTTTCCAGTATCTTATTTTTATTATTCTTCATCATTATCATTTTCAAATTGAAACGTACTTCACCCATTTCCACACCATCCTGTCCTGAAACATATCGACATTCCAAACGAAGCAAATCAGATAAAATAGACAATTCCAACAACGAAGAGACTGACAACCAAGTAGAAGACCAGTCATTAGTTCAACAACAAAATTCATTCACTACTTTATCTCCGGTGTCTCCCTCAATGGAAACACCTCCTTCTCATGAAAAGTCAAGGTCTCCACCTCGCTATACTCTATCCACCAAAACGACACCAACAACAACAACTACCACAGCCACAACTCCTGCTATATTATCACCTAGTCGAACAAGAATACAACAACAACAACAGGAAGAATCTACTATTACTTGTCAACCCACCAATTCTTCCAGTAGTCAATGTAGTAGTTCCAAGAAACGTCCATTACCAAAGGAAACATCTTCTTCAAAGAATAATACGAAAAATGATTTTTCAATCGAAAAAACTACCAATAATACAACAACAACAACTCAATCAGTACCACCAGCTTCACCAACAATAATAACAACACAACCAACACAATCACCATTATCATCACCAACAACAACAACAGTAATATCAACTACCTCCTCACCATTATCGTCAACTTCACCTCGACCAAGTGCTCCTTCTTATGATATTTCCCAGGTTACTCATGATGCTGCAAATTATATGTTCAAAGTTTGCCTGGATTCCAAAGGAAATATTGGTAACTATAGAGACAGTATATGCATAGTGTTTTTTTTTTTTTGAATTGTATGTCTGACTTTTTCTTTGTTTTTCTTTTTCTTCTTTTATCAGCTGCTTTATGTTACCTTCCAACAAGATTTCCCACTTTGGTTGAATTTTATCATACAGTAAGAAAAACGAAAATAAAGGAAAGAATGACATGATGATTATATCTTGTGATTTGTGATATTGATTTCCATATTTCTTTATAGGAAATACCATTCGCATATCGACATTTAGGTATTGGGGATCTATTGGTAAAACGTGCATTTCAATGGGTGGAACAATCAAACATGTTGGTGATCCCTTCTTGTCCTTTTGTTGTACGATACTTGAAAACTCATTATCCAAATGGAACAAGTGGTGATTGGAAATTCATAATGACTGATGAACAAACCGGGTTAAAAAAAAAAACTACCTCATAGGAGATGATATACTATATAGATAGATGTGCGAAAGGGACCACTTGGTTATTATCACTTTTTTTGTTTTTGTTTTTTGTTTTGTACCAATGTTTGCTTGTATATCAAATTTTATAATTTAATAAAAAGAAAATTATGTCTCCTTGTTCTATTACTATTTTTTGATTGATTTAAAATGAAAAAAGTTCTATATTTACATTATTATTATTATTATTATTTGTTTATCGTATTGCCATGTGTTCACCTGATCTATACTTCTTTATAAAAAAAAAAGGAATATTTGCGGATAGACATGTTACTCAGACTGTTCAGACGGACTGATCGTTCATCAACAATAATTAACCCCCTTTATTATTATCATGTTTATTCATCATGATGATCATATACAATTATTATATATTATACTTATTTTATGTCTTGTTGAAATCTTTGGTAAAAGAGTGAAAAATGCGTGTATGTCAATATAAATGTTTTCATCAAATGACCTGCATGATCTTTTATTTTCAATATGTCCCTTTAAATTTAAACCCAGCATAATTATAACAGTTTTTTATCTCATGAATCAAACGGGTCTCTTATTTTTCTATCTATCTTTATAATACTTTTTTCTTTTATCATAATTTTTAGTTATTTATTATTATTACTATTATTATTATTATTATTATTATTATTATTATTATTATTATTATTATTATTATTATTATTATTATTATAGAATGATGATAATATAGCTTCCAATCAACTTTTACTCTCTTCCCCCAAATGGCATACCTACTTACTCTCGTCTGTGCTTATCCAATCATTTTTCTTCATCGTTATATTTGCCCAGGTTTTCACGTTCCGCTGACTTAAACTTTTTTTTTCTTATTTTTAGTTTTTTCTCTCTCTCTTTTTTTTTCTCTTTGTCCTTTTTCTTTACTGCTTCTTTTTTTTTTTTTATTATCCTCTCTTTTATTCATTGATAATTATCAAAGAAAGATATCTATATATATATATATTAAATATATATATATTTAGAAATAATGACTGCAGTGACTTCTCCTACTTATACTCCACCTATGCCTTCATCATCACAGAACACTACTAGTCGTAAGGATCAAGTCATCACACAGAATTCGTTGAATATACCTTCACCTACTCCTATGGAAGATAATAAAACTATGCATCGTAGTCATTCAACACGAAGATCCGATTCTCTTCATCGTAAAGCAAGTAATATTAGTAGTAATAGTACTCAAAATACATCATCATCAAAAGTTCAGGAACTACAACGACGGTCTTCTGAACCAAGAAAACAAGCAGTTAGAATTCAAAATTATGTCATTTATCGAAAAACCATTGGACAAGGTAGTATGGGCAAAGTCAAATTAGCTGAATGTTTGACAGATAGAAATCAACAAAAGGTAAATAATTGATATAATATTAAAGTAAGGAATTAATCATTTATTTATTTTATATATATAGTATGCAGTGAAAATTATGCCCAAGGTGGATCTAAACAACGTTCTTGTGACCAACGAAAAACCAAAGGATCCAAAAGATACCCCGAAGGAACGTGAACAACGCACGGTACGAGAATTGGCTATTATGTATTTATTACGACATCCGAATATCTGTCAACTCAAGGATTGGATCACCGAAGGAGATTATTATTACATGTTTTTGGAATATGTGGATGGTGGACAACTCTTGGATTATATCATACGTCATGGCAAATTACGTGAAAAACAAGCTAGAAAGTTTGCTCGTCAAATCGCAAGTGCTTTAGGTAAAAAAAAAAAAAAAAAAAAAAATCAACTTTACAATGTCAAATAAACTGATCCTTTCTCCCCCTCTTTCTCATTACATATATATTTAGATTATTGCCACAGAAATTCTATTGTTCACAGAGGTAATGGGACACGAGTAATTGAAATCTTATTTTGGCTTAAATTGGCTTGATCCACACACAACCCATTTCCTTTTCTGGTAGCTGACTTTTTTTTTTTTTTTTTTTTACAGATTTGAAAATTGAAAATATTCTGATCACTAAGGATGAAAATATCAAGATCATTGACTTTGGTTTATCAAATATTTACTCACCATCAAAATTACTCTCTACTTTTTGTGGATCACTCTATTTTGCTGCTCCAGAATTACTCAAGGCAAGACATTATACTGGTCCTGAAGTCGACGTATGGAGTTTTGGTGTTGTTATCTATGTTCTGGTATGTGGTCGCGTTCCCTTTGATGATACAAGTTTACCAGCTCTTCATGCCAAAATCAAATCTGGTATTGTTGATGAATACCCTGATCATCTCAGCAAAGGTAAAAAATTATATATATATATATATCCAATGGAACTGATTTTATTCTATTTTTTTTTTTTTTTTAGATTGTGTTGATTTGTTATCCAAGATACTGGTAGTAGATCCCAAGAAACGTTTGACATTATCCGCTGTTGAAAATCACCCATGGATGAAAAAAGGATATGAAGAACCTATTTACAGCAATATACCCCAACGACAAGTATTAGAAACTGTGGATATGGATATTGTTAGAGGAATGCATGGATTTAGTCTTGGTGATGAACAATTGATACGATCGAAATTAGAACGACTCATCAAAACTCAAGAATATAGAGAAGCAGTTAGCAAAATTGAACAAAATCAACAATTGGAATGGCAACGACAAAACCAGACACCAATACCTCGTTGGCGACGAAGCATCACTCCTATTGGTAGGAAATCTGGGCAAACTGATGATGATCCTTTATCTCTACCAGCTATGTATGATCCGCTACTCTCTATTTATTATTTGGTCAAGGAACGAAAGGAATACGACACTAGAAGGCAGTTGGATATGGTGGAAAATAAACCTCTTTACCACTCAGCGGGTGGACTCAGCAGATCAACAAGTACAGTGGCTACTAGACCCAAGGCTGTTAGTGCTATTGATGGCAACGCAAGTACGACTCTGGTACGACGAAAAACCGACGGATCCCGTAGCTCACCTCGTGTTGCTCAAACCTCCGGTGACCCAATCGCTCTCGATCCTGATCTTACGACATCCACTCATCAGCGTAAAGCATCAACAAGTAGTCGTCTCGGCCGTAATAGTAGTGTACGCTTATTGACCAGATCAGTCACTGAACGCACCAACAGTATCCGTGAAAAAAGCAAAAGTGCTGTCAAGATTCTTGGTTCCATGTTACCCAATCGTCCTTTGATGTTTTCTGATGTGAAACCCAAACCAGCATCCACCTTGACTACCAATGCTTCAGATGTAGGTCCAACTACTCCCGATTTACCATCTCCCTCTTCATCCTCTCGGTCTACACCACCCAAAAAATCATATCAACAGTGGTTACATTCTGATCCTCATGCTGATTATCCAACCAACAATAACAAGAAGAAGAACATGGAAAACAACAAATCTTCTTCTCCTCCATCAGTTCCCAAACATTATCAACAAACCCGTCGTTCATGGCGTCAATTATCTCTTATTCGACAAGGAGGAAACAATCATCCATCTATGGATCAAGCGACTTTGACTGAATCGGTATCAACAAATGAACTTGTATCATCTGTTCAACCAAATAGATTTTCTGAAAGTGATAAAGGTAAAAATACAATATTTCCCTAATGTCATTCATTCACTCTTTTTTTTTTTTTTTTTTTTTTTGATGTATCTAGATCGCCTCAGTAATATTCAAGACACCAATGATACACCAATGATCAAATTCCATTTCAATCGAGGCACTCTCTTTCGTAGTGAATCAGCACGACAACTCATGGCGGATTTACGGCATGTACTTGTGGGAATGAACATTATGGTACAAGACGAGGTGTCGCCATTCAAATACATATGTCAATGTCACTATCCAGAATGGACGAAATTCATGAAACAACAACAACAGCATTTGGACTTATCATCTCGTGTGGACAGTCGATGGGATGAATCCTTGGATGATCGACAACAACCTCTTCTTTTTACCGTCATGATCTATCAAGCACGTTGGGCTCATGGTCGATATGGGATCAAGGTCAAGGAAAACAACATACCTCAAAAGGATGAATCTACTGTGGATACTGGCTTCCCTTCTCGTATTTATAGAACCGTACAACAAACTTTGGATACAGAATTGGATCATTGGATTCGTACTCGAAAGTTATCATTAGCCATGGCTTCCTAGGAATTGATTGACACTCCTTTATATATGCTCTTATTTATTACTAGTATACTTTATTTTTATTTACCATTATTACTATTATTATTATTATATTATTATTATTATTATCTTTATTATTTATATTACTTCTATTTATCTTATTGTTGTTAATGTATTTTTTTTTTTTTTGGCTTTGTTTGAATAAAATAAAATGAAAAAAAAGCAATGGATGAAAGGAATATCCCAATGTCACCATTGCTTCTACACTGCTATCTCTGATATGTATTGACCAATATGTTTCTTTTTTTTTTTTTTTTATTTTTTACAATGATTTCTTGTGATCATCATCAAAAGATAGGCTCTTTTTTTTTTTTATTATTGGTCTTGTAATAGGATCGAAGCAATATACTTATTTTCTCTCTTTTGTATGCAGGGGAGAGGGTTTATCAAGATGATGATGAATACTTATGAGGAACGGGTATGAAAAGATAGTACAGACGAAATTTCACTGTATTTTTGTCTTTATGGCTTTTCCTGTTTTCATTTAGAAAGTGTTAGATAAATCATAGAAACCTTCTTTAATAAATGGATGCATGTCAGAGCATCTAAGAAAAAAAAACACATGAAAGAAACGTGATGATTATCCAATTTACATGTGAATGATATACATTTGAGATGGTGATTTTTCATAATAATTCTCTACTGATTCCATAGAAAGATCATGATGAAAGAAAATGAATCATTGGGTTATTAAACCATCGGTAAAATAAAGTGAGATAAACATATTTTTGAAAAACTACCGGATAAAATATTTTTATTTGATAAAAGGGGAGTAACTAGTATAAAGGGAGGAAGTTGAAAAAAAAAAGGGATAAAGAGAAAGAGAAAAAAAAAAAAATAAGACTAAAGGATAAAAAGGTAAAAGTAAAAAAGAAAAGAAAAAAAAAACGGTATATCAAAATAGGGAAACCATGGTTATTTTTCTTTCTGATGTAATAAAGTAAAATTTAAAAAAAAAAAAAAACACCATGTATAAAGAGGGCCTTAAGCAAAAGCAGCAACCGATCTATGACCAAAAAAAAAAGGAATTATTATTTTCAACTATATCTTTTTGTTTTTGTTTTTTAATACCTAGCAGAAGATGGAGCAGGACTAGCGGCATTGGAAGGAGATGCAGGGTTTGCGGTGGGGCTAGGAGAAGTCATAGGTGAAGTAGTAGTAGAAGGTTGAGCAGACCCCTTGATAGCCAACAATTGTTTTGCACGGAAAGCCTCATAGTGAATCATTGCTGTGGTTTCAATCAAGTCTTGTAAATGAGTTCTTGTCAAAAAGTTACGAAGATGAACAAATTCACAATGGTTTTCGTCTTCAACTATAATAATTATAAAAAAAAAAAAATGAGTGAATGATAGAAGGTTCTTCTCCTATTTTATTTCCCTTTACACTAAATTTCTACAAGTCCCCTGTATTCTACTCCTTTTTTTTTTTGTCTTCTTCTTCTTTGATACATACCACTGATGACACCCCAACGAGTTTTACGTCCACGAACAGCTTTACCATCAATGACAACATTACGTTCAGATCCAACAACAGCAAAAGGAATGAGTTCCTAAATCCAAAGATTGGTTAGATAATACAAGATTGATAATTATATTAATTTACCCTGATGCTTTCATTGAGAGATTGTTCTTGTTCATCATCTTCTTCACTAGCATAGGGGTAGAGATTGATATTGTGGAAATCTAATTCAGCCTTGATCTATATATATAAAATAAATAAATGATGATTAAAATTCAATGATTATATATATATAATTTATACTTACTCTTTGTCTAAAAGCTTCACGTTCTTCCAAAGTAAGAGAATCAGATTTGGCAATAACAGGAACAACATTGACAACTTCAGATAGTTTTTGAAGAACAACAATATCAATAGGTTTAAGACTATATAAAAATAATAAATGAATATGATGATAACGCGTATTTTTTTTTTTTTTTTGTGATTTACGAGTGACCAGAAGGAGTAACAAAGAAAAGACAACAGTGAATTCTTGTATCTTGAATATAACGTTCACGTTGAGCGGTCAATTCTTTACGAAGATAAGCAGAATGTTGATCCTTAATATATTTAATAATAGGTTCCCAACTAAAAATAATAATTATTTTTGGTAAGTAAAAACTATACATATATATATATATATATATATTCTTACCAATTTTCATTATTAACTTGGTCACCATAACCGGGAGTATCAACAATATTCAAACGAAGACGAACACCATTTTCTTCAATCACTATATACATATATATAAATATATAAAAAGATGATATTAGAATTATAAATATATATAAGAAGAAGAAGGAGATGAAACTTACAATGAGAAACAGCTTCAATTTCAGTTGTTTGACGAGAAGGTTCATCAGCATCCAAACGACCTTTACTTTCAATAAGATGAGAAGCAAAAAGGGTATTAACCAAAGTAGATTTACCAAGACCAGATTGTCCTAATAATAATTATAATATTTATTTTAATATAAAGAATAATAAATAAATAAATAATAATATTTACCAACAACCATAACATTAAATTGAAAACCTCTTTTAAGAGATTTCTTTTCAATTTGTTGAGTAATGGTATCAAAACCAACATAAGAGTTTAAGCTAGTCTATAATAATAATAAGAAATATATATTAATAAATAAGTGAAATAATAATAATAATAAAAAGAACTTACAGGTTGTGTTTCAATGATTTCAGCCATAATAATATAAAAAAAGTGAAAAGGAGTGGGAAGAGATGATGAGAAACGGGAAAAAAAAGGGTTAACCTTTCAAATATAAAAAAAAAAAAAAAGAGAAAAAAAAATGAATTTATGAAAATTTGAGAAATTCACCCAGTTGGCCAATCATCAAAGGAGGGGGGGAAAACTTGGTACTACCATGAACAATCTTTTTTTTTCTTCTTTTTTTATTCCTTTTTTTTTCTTTCATATATATATATAGTAAAAAATGATAGAATCTTCTTCACCAGATACTCATTCTAATATTTCTTCTGATACTGAACTTACTAATATATCTTCTAATACAAAACAATCTTCTATTGATGTTGACCTTCAAAGACGTTATATGAACTATCAACCTGATATTGCAGCTGAAATGGAAAAATGGTATGCCATGACAAATAGGTAAAAAAAAAAAATAATAATAATAATCTCTCTTCTTTTTTTATTCGGAATAATTAAATAATATTATTTTTTTTTAAGATATGGTTTTATTGAAGAACAAATAACTGAACCCACTGAAAGGTAATAAAAATAATAATAATAATAATAATAAAAACTTATTCTATTATTTAATATAGTCAGAAACGACGCGAAGTAGAACGTGCTACTAAATGGGCTTCTATGAAAAAACAACTTTTGGTGGATGGAACTCATGATTTTCACTTTAATTCAAAGGTATTATATATTACAATTTTATTTATAAAACTAATGATTATAAAATAGTTTGTCAAACGTATTTACAAAGGAATACCCGATTCTTGGCGAAGAGATGCATGGTAAATCACTGTTAAAACTCAATATATCTCATAGTATATCTTTCATTTTTTTTTAGGTATTATCTATGTACTGATCGACTTCAACAAACGAAAAAAGATGATGATTTAAAATCACTTTATAAAACTTTATTAACTAAAACAACTTCAAACGAACGACAAATCGATTTGGATATACCAAGAACAATGCATGGTCATATTATGTTTCGTCAACGTTATGGTTCAGGGTAAGAAACAATGAATGATTTCTATATTTAGATAACTCATATTTTTACTTTTTACTTATATAGACAAAGAGCATTATTCAATGTTCTTCGTGCTTTTGCTGCTTATGATGAAGAAGTCGGTTACTGTCAAGGTATGGCCAATGTTGTTGCTATGATTCTTATGTATTGTGAAGATGAGGTAAATAATATAAATATTTATATTCATATCATTGTATTAATAATATCTTTATAGAAAGCCTTTCAAATGTTGGTTCATATGTTTTTACGTGATAATTTACATGATCTTTTTAAACCTGGTTTTCCTGCCTTGATGGAAAGTTTTTATATTCAAGAAAAACTTTTATTAAGACAAGCTCCCAAATTGGCCAAACATTTGGTAAATAATTAAATAATTAAAAAAAAAAAGAGAACTAAAATATCCCTTTTCTTAGTCTACTATCGGTCTTACAAGTGATATGTTTGCAACTCGATGGTATATTACATTGTTCACTGGCGGTGTGGTACAATATCAAGTATTACTTCGAATTTGGGATCTTTATTTTTTAAATGGTTATGATATCTTTTATTGTGCAGCTGTAGCTTTATTAATGATCCATAAAGGTAAAAATGGAAAAAATGTTTGACTTTTATGCATTAATCACATTCATTCATGGATAGATTGGTTATTATCTTGTGATTTAGAAGGTGCTCTAGCATTCTTGGGAACCACTTTGACGGTACCTGAAGATCCATACATCAAATTAATCCACAAGTTATATGAAAAATCAAAATCTCAGAATTATTTTAGTACCATCAAGCAACAATATAGAACTACTGCTTAGAAATTATTATTCCCCTTTTTACAAACAACCACTTTATTTAGTTAGATTGTAGTTTATTTTTTTTTTATACCAATGATTTATCTATTCTAGTCTCATATTGATTTGTAAATAAACCAAATACCAATCATTTTTGTTTTCATTCAATCATCTATATACATACTTTTTTTTTATTTATTTCTATAACGAAAAGTATCAACAAATAACTAATTACAATATCATACAAACGAGACTTCAACTGAAAAATCCTTGTCAAATTGCTTGCATAAGGTATCTTTACTTGCTTGATCAATATCTTGTTTTGATAATACACACGGTGAATGATTCATGAACTCCGAGTTTAACCAAAAATGAAAGAGAGGACGTTTCTATAATAAAGAATGATTTTTCTTCAGTAAGACAATATTTTTTTTAAGAAAAAACTTATTACCTTCCACAGTTGATAATGATAAAATTGGACCTTGAAATCCTCATGGATAGTTTTGATTCCATTTGTTTCCAAGATGAGTTGACCTGGAGACCTTGTCATACGACATTGTTGATCTTCCTGGCTATAGATGAGTTTATTTTCGTGGTCTACTATAGTAAACATCACCCATCTCCCTAAAAGAAAAAAAAAGATCAACATTCACACATTCGCTCTAAACCATATTCTTTTATTATTATTATTATTATTCTCTCTTTATATTACCATCATTGCCTTGATACTGTATCGGTATAGTATGTAAAGTGATACTTTGTAATATCAAAGATTGATCTTTCTTTTGTTTTCCATCCATCCATAATTTGAAATAACCAATATATCGAATTTGACTTGGAATCGTGATTCCCTATAAATGTATATAAAAGTAAATAAGATTTTCGATTTGGATCATGTTTTTTTTTTTTTTTACCGATCCATTCTTCGTTCGTTTTCTTCCATAAATTCCTATTGCTTCTTCAACATCCTTTGCTTCCCCAAGATAAATCAATAACGAGGCAATCATCACTCCAGTTCGACCTTTCCCAGCCTTACAATGAACTACTACCACATGAGAAGCATCACTATCTAGCCAATTCGCCGCATCTTGACAAAACTGTTGAATCATGCTAAGCGGAGGCACTTGATGATCCTCGAATGGATAATCCGATACATTACCATCAAATCTGTTTTTATCGTATAGTTTCTCTGCTCGCCTAAAGACAAAAAAGAAAAAAAAAGTAGTGAATTATTAATTCTGGTTTGACATTTTTGTTCCTAATCGTTTGTATATATTCTATATGTCAATATATCCAAAACACACACACACACATATATACACACACAGAGGGAAAGGGTATCTTACAGATTGAATATCTTGTACTTATTCTTATGCTGAGTTTCTAGAAAACTAAATGGTAGATATATGCACATAAAAAAAAAGTGTTAAAAGAGTCAAAAGTTTCTAAGCACAGTACCTTTTTTTTTCTAAAAATATACATATACACAGCGTAATCTATTAGTTACCTTTTGACATCTGCTAAGCTATTTCGATAGAGTCCTTCTATGCCTTCAGAGGGATAACTCATGGCGATTATCCTGTCAGTGATATCTATAAAATAACTTGGTGAGAATAAGCAAATATTTTCTTTTTTTTTTTCTTTTCTTACAACTCAAGTCTAGATCAAGTTTGCCATGAATAATACGTTGTCGATTTTCAGACACTAGACGTTTCAAAGGATTCAACATCAATGTAACAATAAAAAAAAAAAAAGGAAAAGGAAAGAGTAGATTACCAAAAAAAAAAAAAAATCATTGCAGCAGAAAGAGAGAAAAAAAAAATCCGGAGATCGAATAATACAAACTGACACTCTTCTTTTTCGTTTTTTTCTTTTTTTTTTTCCACTCTCCCTTTTCATCGTTTACTCCAGATCGCGTAGTATGTCACTACACGTGAACAACGAGATGGATCACGAAACAACCATGGAAAAGGGACTAGTAGCTGATATTGTCACTTCCATCATGACTCCTGGATACACAGCCACTGGTGTGATCAAAGCCATGTTCTATGCATTTTATGCTTTGTTTGCAACCTTAATTGTCATGGTGGTTATCACAGGTGGTAATGGTCATGTCATTGCTCTTTTACTTTTGGCCTTTTGTTTATTTTTAGCTATTCGATGGTAAGAAAAAAAAAAGGAACCACTGCTGATAAACTGAATCTCTCTCTCTTTTTTTTTTTTTTTTTTTTTTCTTCTTATAAATAGGTTTATAGCGGAAATGGACAATCTCAAACGACAGCATGACAAAAGTACAACAAAAAGCATCAAGAAAAAGTCAAAAAAGAAGAAGAAGAAACATTCAAGAAAATAGTTGATCTAGCATCCATTCTTTTGTGTATTATTTAGATAGATTTTTTTTTTACAATAAAACAGAAAAGGGTATTGTAGGATTATTATTATGATTATGGTTTGAAAACGTCTATTGTTATAATCTATTGTTATAAAAGTGGAGACATGCTTTCATTTGAGAGGGAGTTGTACTTGAAATGGATTCATGCCATTGATATCACTGAATAGTTTGCTCCCGTTGAGATGAATGATTCTGATGATGATTTTGTTTGTTTGTTTATCACAATGGTTTTTACTCGGAGACTGTACAAATGAAGATCACAATTGAATGATGGTAAACGAATAATGTTTATTTTTCTTCATATCTTTCATATTTAGTAATGGATCTCTTCAACAATGGACAGTCCTTCAGTACTGTACACACCGATATCAAAAGAACTTGATTCTCTTACTCTCCTCATTTTGTTTGGCAAGACAAAAAAAAAAAAAAAAAGGTATTGATATATAATATTGATGAATGCAATATAGAATCAATTATAAATTAGATCCTTTCTTTGATCTTCAATCATTGTTTGAACTGAAAATCCACCAAAAATGGAAATCTATCAAGTACTCCGCAAAGACCCAAAGTAATGATATCAATCTAAAATCGTTTATAAAAGCTATATATGTATTATATAGGATCATTCATTGACGATGATCATTTGAAAAAAAAAAAAAATACTGGAGGAAGAAAATCGGACCGTTATGTTCGGATTCACACCAATGAACGTCTCATTGTTCGGTTGCAGGAAAAAAAAAAAAAAAAAAAAAAGGGTTCATTCAATTAAAGTTAAAAAAAAAAAAAAAAAAAAATAAACCCACTTTTGAAAACGGACGAATTTATCCTAAATAATGAGGAACTTCATTGTGTCTATTTGTAGAGTACTATAAAAAAAAATCAATTAAATAGAGAACTATTTAAAAAAAGTAGATATCTTCTTTGTTCAAATCAATCATCAATAATAAATATGAATAGACTAACTATAGAACTAATCGGACAATACAGCGTAGCATGGATGAATACAGGTACTTTAGCCATTGGTACAAGTATAGCCACCTTGTTTTCGTTGTATTCTGTCGTTGATGTTGTATTTCAATCCACAAAGTCACAATTCCAAGATATCTGTCATCATATCAATCAAACAGCTGAACAAATCCATCAAGTTCCATCCATGATGCAAGCATATCTTCATTCCTTGGAGCAATCCATCCGTAATCAACTTTGTAAAGCCTTGATGATGTTGGTAACTATTGTTGAATCCGTTCTACTTTGGTTGGTTGATATGTACAAATCCACATACCGTTGTCTTTTAGCATTTGCCATCAACACCACTTTAGCCGTCGTCACAAGTATTGCCGAACCACTCCAAAAAGCTACAGAAACTGTCTTGAAAGGTGTCGATTCAGCTACTAATACCATAGGTGCGTTGTTCAATCATCCTGAAGCATCATCCATTCCCACCAGCCTTTCAAATTGGACTCTGTCTATGGAACAAACACAACAAAAAGTGAATCAATGGACCAACGGCACAGATCAGCTTCATGAATGGTTATCAACTCCTTTTGAGAGCCTCAAACAACATATCAATGCCACTTTTGTTGTCGCTAGTCAAAACAATAACACATTCAATAGTTCAACCGGCTTACCATCAAATTCATATTGTAATGCCACTAGTGTCATCCAAGATATCCAAGATATTCAGAACCAAATCGTCTATTGCTTGAATGTCACCATCGGTATTCTATTTGGAGCCATTGTTGTTAGTACTCTTATCCGCATCCTGTATCTCTGGTATTGTCATCGTTACCTTCAACGCTTACGATATAAAGTGCTTGAATCATTGGCATCCCATCCTACTTACCAAGAAGAAGAAGAAGAAATCCCTGCCATCATCCATCGAAATCATATTTCTGCTCAATCCGCCATGCTTGCTCGGTATGGAGATGCTCATCAGAATGCCCTTGTCGCGTCCATCACCTATCGAACCCAGGAAGAAATCATTCGACCGCCCACGTTGCTAAGACGCTGGTGTGTGTTTGTATCGCATTCCCCCATGTTATGGTATTGCCTCTTGGTGTCGTTGGTTGGACTGTGTACTACCTACAGCATGATTGCTCTTGTCCATCATGGAGTGTCCAATAATAATAATGACTTGTATCAACTTGACCAACGTGTTACCCAATGGTTCCAAGATACCATGCAAAACTCCACAAACAAAATTCAACAAGATATCAATACACAATGGCAGACCACTAACCAATGGATAACTACTTCAGAATCGACCATCAATAATGCTGTTTTTGGTACCTTGCGAGAATTTGCCTTGCCAATCAATTCTACTTTGGATAATATCATTCAACACTTATCAGATTTGATCACTACTGCCGTAGGAGGAACCATCATGGAAACACCTGCAAAGGAAGTACTTGACTGTTTGGTTTTGAATAAACTGGATACACTTCAACAAGGCATTGAATGGATTGTAAGTGAAAGAAAAAAAAAAATAAAAAAAAAAATAAGGAAAGAAGAAAAAAAAAAAATAAAAAAAAAAAAAATAAGGACATGACCTGATGTCATTTTTAAAGATCCGCAATAGTTACATCGAATTACCTCGTATTGAAATCATGCATCCATTCACATTGGAACCCAAATTGCAAGTAATGCCATCCCAGACCATCTTGAATGCTTTGGAAGGACATCTACAATCTCAAATCTATTTCTTTTGGATCTTATTTTCACTATGGATCATTTGTGCCATTATTGGATTCATCTATGTGAAATATACGGACGTATCTGACATTACCCAACCCATCAACAAAGTCTTTGTAAAAGAAATAAATAAATAAATAAAAAAATTTAATCATCATCAAACGATAAAAATAAAAAACGTTTATTATTCCTATTTTCATCCACAACAATCCTACTGCTAATAACACTAATAATAATAATAATAAAAACTAACGATAATAATCTAATCAATGACTAAAATAAATAACTAATCTATTCCTTCAACTTTTGTTCCCGTAAAAAGATCCATTCCAATTCAATCAATTCACGCCATTGATCCCCTTTTTTCCCAACACAACAAGCAAGAGCTTCTTTGGAAAGCATGAGCCATCGTCGTACACCACGTTCATAAACAGTTTCCAGTGCCTTGCCATCGCCTAATAATTCTGATTTGATGATGGAGTTCCAGCTACATTTTGCCAGTAACAAGATATGTTGTGCCAATATAGGATGATAAGGAGGGTAGATCCAACAGTATTGTATCAACACATACATACCCAACTTGACCGCGTTTCGCCAATTGCCCGCATTCATTTCATCATACAGCAGTTGTGTTGAAGCCGAGAGGGTCGTCAGATGGAAAGGTACAACATCAGGATCCACAGGATAAGATCGAATCATCGACATCACTTTCTGGAGAATAGCTTGATAAGAATCAGGTACCATGGGTCGAGCAAGATGTGGTAAAGGATCATCGAAATGAGAAAGTCCCCTTGACGGTGGTGATGGTAAAGGTGGAGGCGTGCTAGATCTTGATGAGCTGCCAGCAGCAGCACTAGAGGGAGAACGTTCATTGACCAAACGTATACTAGGATTGTTGACTGACCAGAGATAAGGGGCAAAGAATTGAATGACAAAATGGGTATAGGTTGCCAAATCCAAAGGCTTTGTAGGATCAGGGATTGCATCATGTTTCCGATCGTATAAGCGACACATTTCCAATAAATCCCAATCATTCACTTGTTGTAAGATCTTGCTACGTAATGTGTTGTCGTTGTTTTCCATTAATAATGCTTGAGCACGATCCCAATCAGATGCTTCATTACCCAAGAGAGAATCAATTTCACCATAGATATTTGTATCATCCAGACAGCGAACACAATCACAATGAAAAAAGTATTTTCCAAAGAGTGTTGATTGGCGATGGGATCGATCATGAGCAGCATCTACATAAGAAATAGTCACCTCTTGATCTGGTTGAATGTTTTCGATAGCCACCACACAGAGTAAAGCACCATCAAACATAACAATAGCATTAGGTCGACATGAATGATTGATCAGTGAAGCCACAGGGTAAGTACCTTCGCCAATAGTGAATAAATGATCATCGTGAACACCAAAATTGTTGCATTGGAATCGACATAAACACTGTACAAGTTCGTTGGTTGTCAATCCACTATCTTTCAAATAAACACGAGAAAGCGCCTTTTGAGATAATTGACTGAATCGTTGTATTGTGTGTTTTGGTTGACTTTGTTTATGATCCATCAAACTATAAAAAGCTTCCATTGTTGCATCCACGTTTTCTTCCTGTCGTTGTTCTTCGGTAGAAATTGTTTCCAATTGAACTTGTTGATTTAGTTTCCGTTTATTGTAGCGCCAACAATTCAAAGCAACACGTTCTAGCATTTCCAGATCTAAAGCATCTTGATCATCATCGTCCACTAGTTGTTGAGTTGCAGAGTTGGGTCGACAGACATATTGATGGTAGGTCAGCCATGCATTCTTGAAACAAGCTTTGTCACAAAAATAAGCGGTTTTACATTGAGAACATCTTTGTAAACTGGTTGGTTGTTGTGGTTTTCGGAAACAATAATTGCAGATTTCTTGACGACGCGAGGGTAAAGGGATAGTTCCAAGAGGTTGTGAAGTAATAAGGACATGACCTCGTTCATGGTTTCGAGTAGAGATAACTTTTCTTCCTTTTGTGATATCCCCAGTTTCTTGAAGTATTAAGCCATGACTGGTAAGGTAGTTATCTAGTGCTATTGTAGACATGAAAATAACAGGATATTAAAAAAAAAAAAAAAGGTTTAAGAAAAAAAAAAAAATGGGTGTGAAAGTACCTTTTTCATCAAGAATTCTCTCCCATGTGACGTATTTCGAAACCCGCTTAACTGGTTTTTTTCTTTCTTTTTCAACTGTTGTCACTTTTTTCTTTCTTTTCTTTTCTTTTTTTTTTATTTTTTATTTTTCTTTCCAATAATCTATCAAAAGGAACCTTTGTATTGCTGTTATCCATTCTTCTCCTTGAAGTATATACGGCAGGCTCCCATCTTTAATGGCGAAAGAAGATAATAAACAAACCAGTAAACGTTTTGATAGTGGGACATCTGGTGTTCCATCTAGTTCTTCCAATCGACAACAACGCATCACATCTTTGGACAGCAATGCCTCTCGTTTTGGATCTTCACATACTCTTGTTATATCTGCTCGAGATAAAGCTATTGGTTTGGCTAACAGTGCACGCGATTGGCTCCAACCTGACTGGTCAACCCCTATGGCTCATTTTGAATCCTTGACAACTGTTATGTTTAGTCCTTTGGCTGCTCATCCGGTTTATCGTAGCGAATCTATGGTCAAGGCAATGCAAGTAGCTCAACAACAGCAACGTCATCGTGCTTCATCTTCTTCTACAGCAACTTCACCAACCTCTCCAAATACAGCAAGGTCGGAGCTTGTCTTACATTCTTCTTCTACTACATACCCATGGCCATCAAGTTCGGTGTTACTCAAGGCAGACATTCCAGAATCTACTTGTTCATTATCACTTTTTCAAGGATTTGCCACTACATATCCTTCTTTAGCTTCCTCCAAGTCTTCATCCTCTTCTCCCAAAAAGTCAAGAAATAGACGCAAGAAACAATCCATTCCATTAGATGCTAACGATTTGGCAGGTATACATATATATATATTGATATCAAACAAGAAGGAATACACATTTAAATATCTTTTATCATTATTATTGGTAGAAAAACCTGGATCATTAAAAAAGATTTATGCTGAACGAGAAAGGAAAATCCGTGAAAGTGATAAACTGGAAATGCAAATGGTAAAAAGCGATCTTTTTTTTTTTTTTTGGTCTAATCGTCTCATTTTGATTTTTGTTTATATTAGACATCTACTAGCAACGAAATACGCCAAATTGATATGCAAATCGATGAATTGATCAATAAAAGAAAGGCATTGGAAGCAAAATGGGCTAAACTGGAAACAAAGGAACAAGAAACTCAACTGAAAAGTAAAAGAATTTTATTTTGATATGAATCATTTCTAACGCGTCTTCTTATATATATTTATACTATAGTTGAAGACTTGACGGAAAAGATTTTGGATGAATCGGAAGATGCTCAATCTGTTGATGGAACAACAAAACGTCTTCGACAATATCAATTAGAGGAAGAATCGGATGAGGAATATGACTTTGGGGAATGTATTATGGTAATGTTGAATTTAAAGGGAGATATTCACTTTTTATTATCTATGTACTGATATTTAGTTATATATAGTCACTTCGAGGTCATGATGGCGGTATCCTTTGTGTAGATTTCAATCGTCCAAAAGGATTACTTGTATCATCTTCTCTTGACGACACTATACGGGTTTGGGATTTACGAAATGGACGCAGTTGTGGACGATTGGAAGGTCATACAAATTTAGTTCGTTGTTTACAACTGGATGATATGCGATTACTGACAGGCTCCGATGATGGTTCAATCAAGCAATGGGATTTATCTGAAATATCTTCCGCTCCAACACCAGCTTCAAGAGATTCCTTCTCTGAATTTTCTAGTGCTCAAGCATCACCGTCCTTGTCTCCTGTGGTATCTGATGATGTATCTTCATTGAATGATTATTGTGTAGCATCTTTTGATGGTCATCAAGGAGAAGTGACAGCTATGCATGCTGATCAGGTTCATTTGGTAAAGGATATCTAAGATCAAGTGCAAAATGTTTATCATGTGTATATGCTAATCTTTCTCTCTATCTTTTCTTTTTCTTTTTTTTTTTTTTTTTTTTTAAAAAAAAAAGGTATCAGGATCAAATGACAAGACAATGAAATTATGGGATTTAGAAACTCAAAATTGTGTATTAACAATGGATGTCATGTGGGCAAGTCAACATTCTAGAAGTACGCATTCTTCTTGGTCTTTGGATAGTTTGAAAGTGAATTTTTACGAACCAGCAAATGATTATATTGGTGCTCTTCAATTTTGGAATTTTGCTCTTGCAAGTGGAACTACAGATGGCAAGATTCGAATGTGGGATCGTAAGTCAAAAAAAAAAAAAAAAAAAAAGAATAGAATAGAGAAAGATACTCATATTGGATTTATTTATAGTACGAACTGGTCAACCTCATAGAACTTTACCTGGACACAAAGGTATTACTCTTTCTGGTATGTTTGATAATACTTATTTTTTTTTTTTGTTCTTTTGTCTCGTCTTTTTGATAGGTGCTATTACTGCATTACAATTTGATGAAGTTCACCTTGTTAGTGGAAGTGTGGATAAAACAATTCGTGTAAGTTTTCTTAAAAAAAAAAGAGTGATATCGAGTAGGATCGATACGATCATATACCCTTTTCTTTCTTTTTTTTTTTTCTTTTTTTTTAGGTATGGGATTTGCGTACTGGATCTGTTTTTGATACCTTGACTTTCAATGGACCCGTATCAAGCTTACGATTTGATTCTGGCAAGGTGATCAGCACTACAGACAGTAATGATATAGATGTAAGTGGATAAATCTATACAACAGGGACATATCATCTTATTTTTTTTTCTTTCTTTCTTAGGTATATAATCGAACTTCCTTCCAACATACCAAATTACATGGTCATATTGATTCTGTTAACACGTTACAACATAAGAACAATATATTGGCTAGTGGAGGAAAAGACAAGGTGGTGAAACTATGGTCAATGTAGTATAAATAGATGTATTTAGTTTTAGAACAATATTTTTCTCCCGTCTCTTCATATGATTGTACTTTTTTTTTGATTTATTTTATTTTATTTGATTTTATTTATTTATTTTACCAACCATTATGTGGTCTTGATAAACCCATTCTTCTTACCCCCTTTCATCGTGTTTTATATATTCATCTTTATTTTTGTCATGCAATAATGTTTGATTTTTCTTTGACTCAAAATAAAAAAAAAATAATCTTATGTATATCATATCATTACAGTCATCCATCAATGCATTAACCATTTAATATCTTCTAATAAAATCCAAGATGTGAGAGTTCCAAAAAAAAAAAAAAAAAGGTGCGTGTAACTGTATGATCATGTAAGTTTACGTAAGAATTTCTGAACCCAATGAACAAGATTGAATTGCATTTGTAGTTTAAACTGACTGAACAAGGATTATTGGATGATATGCATAACTTTGTTATCAAAACTAATTATACAGTGAGGAGAGATGAATTTTTATTAAGAAATAGAGAGGAAAAAGACAGGTATGATAACAAATGATATAATATATATAATAAATAATATAATAAAATAAACAACTACAAAAGGATGATATATATATAGAAGAAAAAAAAAAGAGGATCAATCTTCATCAATTCGCCAAGAGAGTCTTGATTGTGATTTTTGTATAGTCAGTTCATGTTTATTCTTGTTGGCCGCACCACGTTGAACATAGGGTTGTAATCCACGTTCGAAATTCCGCATACAAAGGCAACCCAATACAACTGTACTAATATCCATAACCACACCTAGCCATACTATATAAAGTAACGGAGTTAGAAAAAGATCATCAGGACAAAAAAATAAATTAAGAACTTACCAAGGCAAATCCAGACATACCAACTATTGTAAGGACCCATAGTTTGTAGAAGAATCAAGACATAATGAACAATAACAATAGCTTCAAATGTAATAAAAATGATCATTCGTCCATAACTTTCGTTGCTACCCTATATAGAATAATAAGAAAGAAAAAAAAGAAAAGATCAATGAATGATATGGATAATTTCTCTTTTTTTTTTAAAAAAAACATACAGCAGTTCTGGCAAAATAAAACATTGGTAACATAAGTATAGTGATGGCTATTTGAATCCCTGTTTCCCATTGAATGCCTTGTTTTATGGCATATTGAATAACATAAAAGATGGATACCAAGAATTGAGTGAAGACATCAATTTTGAGTGATAATACAAAGAATTGGAATACTCTATACATTTCTAAATAAATAAATAAATAATAATAATAATAATCAAAAAAGATTAAAATAATAATAATGATGATGATAATGATTTTTTTAGAATTTACTTTGAATACTAAGTTGTGCACCAAGTTTTTTATATATATTCCAACCAAATTGTCTTGACATTTGATAACTAAGATAGGCCATAACACAAGCAAAAATCAAGATAACCACAGAGAGAGCAATTTCTAATTTTTCGGCGAGATCCAAAGGTTCAATAGAAAAACGAGTATTAGATAACTTCGTTAACCATTTATTTCCATCTACAACTTCAAGTGCACCCAATACAGCACAAATAATATTAATATTTGCCAAAGCTAAGATTTCCGCGGTATTTTGATAAACAGTCTAAAAAAAAAAAAAAATGAATTAAGAAATAAAGTTTTGATTTGATATTAAAAAAAAATACTTACTGCATCAATAGCCATGACTACAAACCAAATTTCAAAACCAATAAAACAAATATTTTCCCATTTGATACGACCTAATCGATCGGCAGCCATCATAGGTATTTCAGTTTCGGGGATACTACCGGTAAGTAAACCTTCACTAGGAGGAGTCGGTAATAATCTTGCTTCAGTATCATTAAGTGAACATATCACGCTTTGTAAAATCACTACAAAGATACATTGTAAAACTGCCACTCCAACATAACATTTTGACCACCTTGTTTCTGTTACTCGATGTATCTATTAAAAAAATATATATATATATATTAAATATAAAAAAAAATTCTTCTCTTTTCTATTTTACTTACAATCTTTTGTAATGTCACCATTCTTTTTTTTTTATTTATTTTTATTTTATTGTTGTTGTTGTTAATAACGTGATATAAAGAAACAATCCAGCTGTTTCTTATTGATATATAAGAAGAAAAAGAAAGAAGATAAAAAAAAAGAATAGGAAAAAAAGGAAAGTAAAGGGTTTAGAGAACAAAAAAAAAAGAAAAGAAGGAAACAAAAGAAAAAAAAAAGAGATTAAAAAAAAAAGATACAAATTTAGACTTATTTCTGTGTTACTTCGCTCAGTCTTTTTTTGTCTCTATAAATATATATTAAATAATACGTGTTGTCTAAGTAGATCTTTAACAATCATTATTACCTACGAGTCACTTTTTTTTTATTTTATCTTTTTGTGTACCTTTTTTTCATTCTGTTTCCCCTTGATCACCCGCTTTCACTTTTTGGTGATGACTCAAAAAATTTGCCTTCTTCTTTTTTTTACTTCTTTTTTTTACTCTCCGATACTATCGTTGTATAAATACCATTGTTATTTTTTTCCTTTTTCCTTTTTTCCTTTTTTTTTTTTTTTTTTTTTATTACTATTGTCCCATGTATACTCATATAACCACACGGTCTACTTGTAGATCTATTCGACCTTCTAATAATCTTATTCAACTTTATATTCGAGCTATTGATTTACGACAAAGACAACCACGTACTGTTGGTATTCATACTACTTCTATCACTTCTCGTTCTTTTCGTACTGCCTTACCAAATGAATTACGTATCTTAAGAGCAGAAAAACCAAAGGATATTCCCAAATCAACTGATGAAAAGGATACTTTAGCTTCTCGTGCTGTCTCTCTTGCCAAAGAACGTCTCAAAGAACAACAAACCTCTGGTACTTCTGCTGCTACTGTGTCAAAACCTAAGAAAACAATATGGCAAAAAGTCAAGGAAGAAGCTGTACATTATTGGCATGGAACAAAACTTTTAGGTTTAGAAATTCGAATTTCTTCAAAACTCACTTGGAAACTTTTGAATGGTGGTCATTTAACTCGTAGAGAAGCTCGTCAGGTAAAAATAAAAATAGAAAATAGAAAAAACATACTTACATCTCCTCTCTCTTTTGTAGCTTCGACGTACAACTTCGGATCTTTTACGATTAATTCCTTTTGCTGTGTTTATCATTGTTCCTTTCATGGAATTGTTGTTACCTGTAGCTTTGAAACTATTTCCCAATATGTTACCTAGTACATTTGAAAACAAGTCTCTCGAAGTAAGAATTTTTCTATTATGATTTTATATCACTCATTTCCCTTATTCTCATTTTATCAAATAGGAAGAAAAGAAACGAAAACTACTCAAGGTACGATTGGAAATGGCTAGATTTTTACAAGAAACTATCTCTGAAACTGGTTTTGCTGGATCTGACAATGAAGAATCTGCCAAAGAGTTTGCCGACTTTTTCAGAAAAGTAAAATAAAAAAAAACAAATACCATGATTCATATTAACTTTTTATTATTATTATTATTATTATTTTGATGATAGATTCGTATTACTGGCGAACAAGCCTCTACTGAAGATTTATTAAATGTTGCCCGTCGTTTTGAAGATGAATTAACTTTGGACAATTTATCTCGTCCTCAACTTGTATCCATGTGCCGTTATATGAATATCAATGCCTTTGGTACAGACAACTTTTTACGTTTCCAAATTCGTAATCGTATGCGTCAAATCAAGGCTGATGACAAGGTAAGTTTTAGATAAAGAAAAAAAAATAGATGTGATGGCTGGTTTGTTTATTTTATTTTTTTTTAAAAAAAAAACAATGATTAGGTTATTCAAGCTGAAGGTATTGAATCATTGACTATACAAGAATTGCAAGCTGCTTGTGCTGCACGTGGTTTCCGCTCTATTGGTATTTCCCCTGGTCGTTTACAGGATGAATTGGAACAATGGGTAGATCTTCATTTGAATCATCATGTCCCTTCTACACTCTTGGTATTATCTAGAGCATTCAGTTTCACTGACCGTCCCATGACCACTGAAGAAGCTCTCAAGGCTACTTTTAATAGTTTACCTGATAATTTGGTAAGTGATCTGTTTATTTATTTATCCAACAAAGACTCATTTATTATTATTATTGTTTTTTTTTTTTTTAAAAAAAAAATCTAGGTCAACGAAGCAGAACTTCAAGTACTTGAAATGGTGGGCACCAGTACTTATAAACAAAAATTGGATGTATTAGAACAACAACAAGAATTAATTGAAGATGAATCTGAACAAGAAGAAAAGGAAGCCAAGGCTAGAGCAGATGCTAAAGAAGCAGCAGAAGAAGCGGAAAGAAAACGTCAAGAAGAAGAAGAAATCATCAGAAAGCAACAAGCCGAAGCAGATAAACGGGATACCTTTATTACTGAAGAAGAAACAGAAGAAGAAAAGAAAGAAGAAGCATTATCAAAGGAACAACAAGATGAATTACATGAAGCTCTTGCCAAGTTACGTACTAAAGTGGATGTTTTGGAAGAACGGGCACAATTGAATGAAATCAAGATTCAACATGAAGATTACAAAGAGGTAAAATTAAAAAATAATGGAAGAATGAATGATTTTAAATTTTGAAATGATTATTTTTTTTTTTTTTTGTAGTTGATTGAAGAATTAAAGGAAGCTACTCACAAGGATGCTGATAAGACAACTGCTCGACTTGGTAAACGACTTGAAAAGATGTTGACTCAAATTGACAAGGATATTGATGCTATGGAAAAGGAACATAAAGAAAAAGAACAAAAATCCGAGGATCAAGGTACAAATCATGTAGACAAATAGATTTAGTTTCGACAAAATAGATATAATATAGGCAAGTTTTTTCTCAATAAAGTTGGTCATTTACAACTCAGCAGAAGCACAGTGTATTTTTTTTTTTGTTTATTCATTTTTTTTTTTCTTTGACGCATTCCTTCCTTTTTTTTTTTTTTTCTTTTTTCACTTCGAATATATCTGTACTTTTATTGATTCCTCCTCCTCCTTTTTCCATTTTCTTTTTACACGTAGTTTATTAAACTTTAGTTATACCTTTATTTTATTTATAATGTTGACGGCGACTCCTCAACGACCATCGGCCACAGCGACAACCAGTAGTAGTACTCAGACTTCATCTGAAAAAGATGAAATTTGGTCTACTATTTTAAAAGGTGTAGCTTCTTCCAAGATGGTTCCCACTAAGAATATTTTATTACTTGGTAAATAAGTTTTTTTTTTCTTTTCTTTTAATATCATCTAATAAACTTTTCCTTTTTTTTTTCTTTTCTTTTAGGTGACTCCGGTTGCGGAAAATCAACCCTTATTCATTACCTCAAAAACGATCCTGGACCTCAACCTGTTATGCCCGAAACAGATAATTTGCCACCTTCTTCATTTAACGTTTCAGCTTCTAACAACTATACCCCTATGCCTATTGAAAATCTCGATGATGACATGTCCAATAATCTTGCTCTTGGTTATACTTTTGTTGATATTCAAGATGAAGAAAATGAAGGCAAGTGTTGTACCTGACACACATTTTTTTTTTTGAAAAGTTTTAACGTGTTTATTATTATTTATAGTGATTGCACGACTTGGGTTGTATCAATTAGGATTATCAGCACCTGAATATCTTCCTTTACTCAAATTTGCTCTATCAGCAAATACTTTGGCAGATTCTATGGTGGTACTTGTATTGGATTGGACACGACCTTGGAAATTTTTAGAATCATTACAACGTTGGATGAATGTATTGGAACATACAATGAATGAAATACGAAAAGAAGGTGGTAATCCGGATTCTTCCTGGACTCGAGGAAAGGCTGTATTGGATGAACTTCGAGAAAAAGGTAAAATCATAGTATGATTATTTATTATATTCTAATACTTTTTATTATTTCATAGTCGAGCTTTATCTCAAGACTTACACAGAACCTGTACCAAATAGTAATGGATTCAATTTGACGGCTTCAACTTCGACAAGTTCTGTACCATCCACTCCTACCAATAACTTTGTTTCCACATCTCTAGTCACCACCACTACTGTTGCCGATCAAGTCACTTTACCTCTCCCTACTGGATGCCTTACTTCAAATTATGGTATACCTATCACTGTTGTATGCTGCAAAGTAAGAAAACAAAAAAAAAAAAAAGGAAATGTTGGATTGTTTTATCTCACTTTTATCATTATCTACAGAGTGATCATTTTACAAAATTGGAACAAACTCATGATTACAAGGACGATCAATTTGATTTTATTCAACAAACTCTTCGCTGTGTATGCATGAAATGTAAGTTTTCCAAACAATTTTTTTTTTTATTTGTTTATTGATGTCTCTTTTTTTTCCATTAGATGGGGCTGCACTCTTTTATACTTCCACATTGAAACCTTATACATTTCATAATTTACGACAATATATTCTTCACCGTGTACTTACTACATCCAGCAAAACGTACCCTTATTTGATGAAAGCACAAGTTGTAGAACGTGATAGTGTTGCAGTACCTTCGGGATGGGATTCTTGGGGAAAGATTAGAGTGTTACGTGATGGATTTGATTGTGAAGCAGTCAATCAAGGATGGGATGCTGATATGGAATCTATTTTGGATCGACAACCACATAGTGCTCATGGTGCAAGGGGGATTTATGAAGAAGTCATTATTAGTCCAGATACAGAAGAACAGGTAAATAATATACTAGTTAAATTAAGGATGGAAATGTATAACCGAATGATATATGTATATTTTAGCCTTTAAATATTCCACCAGCTGTGACCTGTGAAGATGAACAAGTGTTTTTGGAACGTCATTTTGAAACATTGCAACGGGCTTCCGATGGACCTAGTCGACAAGGAACAGGTGCCTCAGCTACAGCTAGACCAAGTGTAGTGGGTCCTTTGGGTGTATCATCAGCTACTATTGATTTGATGCAGGTTGGATCAGACAAGGAGAATGATATTACAAGTCGATCAAGTAGATCAAAGGATGATAAGTTATTAAACATGGTAAGAAAGAAAGAAAGAATGCGTATAACTGAATGAATTCATATATATATATCTTTTTTTTTAGGGTCCAAGTCCTATACAAACAACACCATCTGTAGTTGGATTAACATCTGGTACAACAAGTCCATTGGGTGCTGGAGGTGCGGGTGGTGCTGGTGGTGCTTCTAATGAAGTATTGGCCAACTTTTTCCAGTCTTTACTCTCCAAAAAAGCAGCATCTGGTGGTTCACCTACAAGTGCCTCTCCTACTTCTAGTTTATTGAATGGTACTCTCACTTCAAATGGTGGTGGAACTGGTGGTTCAATTGGTCTAGGTGGCGGGCGTGATGAAACTGGTTCTGGAAGAAGATCGACATTGAATAGAAAAGAAGTACATAAGGAATTGAATCGTATGCGTCAAAGTGTCAACAAACCATAGTTAGTTTTCCTCTCTCTTTTATTCATTTTTACCTTTTTTTTTTTTTTTTGGAGAATCCTGCGTACATTATTCCTCATTCTCTCCCTCTCGCTTTACATATATATATAAATTTATATATATATAACCTTATTTATACAAATCAAACCACTCAAATAAAAAAAAAATATCATTATTGGAAATTCATTATGTTAAATAATATAGATTATTTCAATGCTCGAAGATGAAAAGCAGTATTTATTTGGGATGAATCAAGAATTTTATGATGTAATATATAGTAGAAATAAAAAAAAGGAATCCATTTCCTCTTCACATTGATTTTATTATACCCAATGCTTACATTGAAATTACCTATACTTGAAATGCTCTATTGAAATTATGTTTTACCCTTTTTAAGTGTTTCACCAGATTGTTTGCACAGGTACAAGGAACCTATGAATTGATTGGTCAACGGAGTTTTCTGGGATCTCGTTTTTTTCTCTCTGGATTGCAAAAGAGTTTATTTTTTTTTTCTTTTCTTTATTTTTTTCTTTTTCTTATCATTGTATTTCCTTTACCTATATATCTATCTATCTATATATATATAATCATGACCAACAAACACGACGTCAAGATTGCTGTTATTGGTGGTTCTGGTCTTTATAACCTCGAAAACCTTGAAGTAGTAGAAGAAGTGAATCCTGAAACTGTAAGTCAGTCTTTTTATGTCAGGGCATTCTTTTTTTTTTTATCTATCATTCCTCTTAATACTTTATATCTATATTTTATAAATAGCCCTGGGGTTTTCCTAGTGACAAGATCATTATCAGTAAATTACCAAGTGGAGACAAGATTGCGTTTTTAGCCCGTCATGGTCGAGGTCATTACTTGACACCTACCGAAGTACCTGTACGAGCCAACATTGCTGCCTTGAAGCATCTTGGTGTGGAAGCGATCCTTGCATTCTCAGCTGTTGGATCCCTTCGAGAAGAAATCCCTCCTTGTGATTTCGTGTTGCCTGATCAATTGATTGACCGTACAAGAGGATTGCGACCTTCCACGTTCTTTGGTGAAGGATTGGTGGCGCATGCAGGATTTGCTGATCCTTTCCACAAGGGTATTGCCGACTTGGTATACAAACATCGAGGTGTGATGGACAAATGGACAATTCATCAAAACAAGACGGCTGTGTGCATGGAAGGACCTCAATTCTCCACTCGTGCTGAATCCCATCTGTATCGATCCTGGGGTGCCGATATCATCAATATGTCTGCTTTGCCTGAAGCCAAATTAGCCCGTGAAGCCGAAATCGCCTACCAAATGGTTTGTATGTCTACCGATTATGATTGCTGGCGTGTCGAAGAAGAAGCTGTCAATGTTGAAACCGTCATGGAAAACATGGTCACCAACTCGGCCAATGCTCGCAAGCTCCTCAATGCTGTCCTCCCTGATCTCGATGCCGCTGTGCGTGCTAATGAATTGTTGCCTGATCTCAAGGGATCTATGAAATTCGCTGGTATGACTGCAAAGGAAAAACGCAATCAAGACACCGTCGCCAAATTGGAATATTTGCTCCCTGGTTATTATATTTAGATTCTTGATCGTTTATATATATATATATATGTAGTATTATTATTTTGTTATTCTATCAACATTTGACTTTGTAGAAATAAAAAAGGATTGATATTAGAATGATGATGATCTTTATTAAAGAGGAATGATAACTCTCTATTCAATATGAAGGAATTCAAAAATAAGATGTCGCAACAATAGGAAATAAAATATAATAAGAATAGAAAATAAAAAAAAAAAAAAGAGATGAATTGGACGCATAATCCAAATTGAATACAGGAAGAAGGAGTGACAGTGATTTCATTGAGTATAAGAGATTTTTGAATAATAGAAAAAAAAAATATATTTAGTTAACATATCCATTTTTTTATTATATTAATTTTATAATATTACGAAAAAAAAAAAAATTGAAAACACTTAAAAAAAAAAAAAAAAAAGGGGAATACAGAAAAAAAGTCATACAAAAAAAAAAAGAGAAATAACCAAACAATAAATTAAATAACTTGATGATGATCAAGGATATGAAGAAAATAATAAAGATAGAAAAAAAAAAAAAAGAAGACCAAGGACGATAAACACAAAAAACAAACAATAAAGGAGAAAGTCTAAATGGTCATGATACTACTATTGGAGGTTTTGACTACGCCACTGGAGGTCACACCACGAGAAGTCATAGAAGAAGGCCAAGACATTTTATCGTCATCCATAGGTAGATAAGAAGGTGCCCAAGGAGAAAGGGTTTTTCGGCAATTTTGATTCGTAGAGTAAGTAGAATGGAGTCGACGATTGTTGTGAGGATGACCTAATGGAGGTACCATTACCCGGAGTTGAGGATGTCGAGCCTTGTTCTTATTTGATAAAGATAATGATGGATGAGATAGTCGTGTTGATGATGATGTTGAAGAATTTGAAGAAGATGATGATGGTGAAGATGATATCAAATGTGTGGATAATGGATAATGATGATGATGTGAAAAATGATCATATAAAGAAGAATGACGAGAGGATAATGGAGAATGATAGTACACAGGATCAGAGGAATAATCACATGGAGAGAAATCAGATCGCATCAACAAATGAACTAGATCCAAAGGACATTCTAATCCAGATACTTGAAGTAAAGCCATTTTTTGTCGTTCCGTAAATGCTGGACAAAGTAATCCGGCGCGTACTAGTCGTTCAAGCAAACTTGGTTCAATTTGTACATAATCCTTAGTCAAATGATTCATCAACGATTCTAAAAGGATAGAGATTAGTATATATATATATATTAACCTGTCATCACTTACCAATGGCCAAATTTAACATTTCATAGACTTGATCTCGATGTAATGTTGTAATAAGATGAGCTTGATGCCATGGATATTTTGCAATAATAGTAATAATGTTTTCAAAAGGACGTTCAGCACATTTTCTTGAGAAATGTAACTAATAAAAAAAAAAAAGAAATTAAAGTTATCTTTATCAAAAAAAAAAAAAAAAGATTCTATTTACCTTGTAATTTTTACAAACTACTAATAATGAATTGATTTCTTCTCTTGTAATAAAAGGAGGACATGTATTACCACCACCACCTGCTGCTGTTGACATGGATTTGACCACTTTAGTATCTGGAGGAATAGCAGTTGTTCCACTAAATTTACCACGCCATTTAGGGAATATCACGGTCAAAAGTTCTTCTTGTTGACATTGTATGACAGATACGATGCGTCCTTTCAAAGGTTTTTGGTGTTTTGTTTCAATGGCGTATCGTACATCTTCCATTGTAGCTAGTTCAACATAGGCATCTGATAAAGTTTTTCCAGTAGTTCGATCCATAAGAATCTATACATAAATATATATAAAGAAAGAAAGAATTAAGTAATGATAAAAAAAGAAAAAAAAAAGCAACTTACATGAATAGCTTGAGTATAAATGGTATTGGAAGGAATATGAAGGTTACCAAGAAACTGTTTGATATCAGTTTGAGAAACATCCCAAGGTATCTAAATGTAATAATTATATGAAATAAGTATATTTGTATATATAAAATAGACATTTTTTTTTTTTTTTTACATTTGTGAGTTTAACACATGGAAAGAAAGAAGGAGAAATGACAGTTGGTACGGTTGACTTTTAAAAGAAAAAAAAAAAAGAAAAGAAAACAAAAAAGGAAATCATGAGTTTTTTTTTTTTTTATGCATTATCTATAAGATATATATATTTTTTACCTTTGGAGGACAAAGTGAACATTCCTGAAAAGAAGAAGAGTGTAATAAACAAGAAGAACATATATAATGTTTTTTACAAATAGCATTTATCAAATCATTATTATTATTATTAGATAAACATTGACTACAAACATAATAATCATGTCTGGGTTCAAATAATGAATAAGGATGTGAAAATGCTGTAGGTGTACAAGGTGTTGGAGGTCGAATAGTAGTCATTGTATTCAATGATTCTATTGGATAAATTGGTTCTGTCAAATTTAATACTAATAAATAATAAATAAAAACATGATGATGATGATAATGATTTATATATATATTTTACCTGGTTCCATAATGATAAAAAAAAAAAAGAAGAAATAAAAAAAAAAATAATAATAAAAACCATTCAGTTTTTATAGATTCAAAAGAGTTTCTTCTCCCCTTTTTTTTTTTAAACATTTTCTTTCTTTTTTGTTTTGGGTATTTTAATTAAGCTTTTACCACTATTTTACCATTTTGGTATTTATTGTCTATATTTAACCCCCTTTTGGAATGAAGCAACAAAAAAAAAACAACTTGAATATATCAAAAAACGTATTCATCATGGAATTCTCCTATAATACTTTTTCATATATTCTGTGTTTAAATCTTGTTCACAATTCATCACCTTTACCATCGTTCTGTCTCGATTGACCAATTAAAATCACAGTGTGTAACATAAGAATAAGAAATTGAGTTTTTTTTTTTTCTTCTTCTTCTTATAGTTTATTCATTTTTTTTTCTTTTAATATTTTTTTTATTTTTATTTTTACTTTTTTTTTTTTTTTGTTTTTATAAAAGGAAGATGCAAAGTAATAACAATTGGTCAACAGCTTCTTCACAAGATACAAACTATGGACCTGGAAATTATACTTATACCAATACATATGTACCAGTTACCAATGGAAATACTCCTTCAACGTAAAAATAGAAAAGAAGAAGAAAAAAGAAGAAAAGAGGGTTTATATAGAAATATATCATCATTTATTAATGATGACTTTATTTAATATAGGTTAATGTCATTATCTCAACCAAATACACCAAGACCTGAACCTAACCTTCCTTTGGCACAAAATGATAATATTGACAACAATGCAACACATAAATCAAGATCTACTGAACGCGCTTCAAGTTTCTCAACTAATAATTTTCAAACAAGTCCTTATCCAACATCACCTATTCGACGAAGACGAACTGAATCTTCTATGTTTACTTTTGAAACAGGCCCAACTTTCTCTTCAACAAAACAATTACTTGAAATATGGAATATGGATCAAACTAATAGGTAATCCAAAAAAAAAAAAAAAAAAAATTGGATGAATCAAAAAAAAAAAAAAAAGATGATTAATATTTTTTTTATTATTATAGTCATCAATTACAAATTCATGTCAAAATGGATCGTGGATTCTTTCGAGCAGATCAAGATTGGACTTGTTATCGCCGCAATTATTTTCAAGTTAATGCTACATTTGATGTTCATGGTGTAAACTATTTGATTCAAGGCCCTGAAGTACCATGTCTTGTACAAACGGAACAACGTCAATTATTTCAAGTGGATTACTTCTCTATTGGTGTTAGTGCATGTGTATCTGGAAGTGATAAAAAAATCGATCTTATTCAACATACTCCAAAACGTGACAAAGGTCCACAAATGATACCCCAACCTAGAGCCTTACGTTCTGGTGGCAATCTACACTTGGCTCCTGTCGGATCAAATCATAATATTGTTACGTTTGAACGTATGCAATTCAAGACGGCTACTGCTAATAATGGAAAAAGACGTGCCGCTCAACAATATTATGAAATTGTCGTTGATTTATATGCAAACACATCCAATGGTCATTCTTTACGGGTTGCTTCTTGTTCTTCTGCTCCTTTAGTCGTACGTGGAAGAAGTCCTGGTCATTATGCTGATTTTCATTCTCGATATCGTGGTATGGATTCTGATCAACCTACTGTTGGTATACCTAATCATCCTGTTTCTTATGCTCCACCACTACCACCTCCGCCTCCTCCAAATCTTGGTTCTTTACCTTCTCAATCTACTATCGATGATCGATTTCAACAACCTCCATCTCGTTACATGAGTCTTCCTACATCTCCTTCTCATGATTTTGGTCATTATCAATCATATCCTCCTCCTCCTCCTCCTCCTTCTTCTTTTTATCCACCCATTATTCCTCCTTCTGGTACAGTTCCTTCGTCATCAACTCGTTCTGGTTATCAAGAATCTGATTATGTGGTACCATCATCTGCCTATCCTCAACAACAACAACAACAACAAGGTTATTATCCTAGTTCTCAAACAACTCCACTCACTTCTCCAACAACAGATGATAAATATACTCGACAAACTATGGTTTATGGTGATCGTTCATTTAAACCATCATCTCCTGAAATCAAATCCAATATCATCCAGGCACCAACATCATCATCATCGTCAGCATCATATTATACGGATCAATATCATCCACCAACCTCATCATCAGAATCATCCTCTTCTTCAACGAATACTCCTTATTCTTCCTACACAAACAATTCAACAAAAATCTCTCCATATGCTTCTTCCACTTTGGACAAATCTTCCTCGGTGGACGCTGGTCGCTCTACTGAATGAAACCTTATTTTGATCTTTGTCTTCCTCCACTTTCTTTTTTTTTACCACTTATTATTATACTTTACTATATTATTTCTATATTTTACTTTTTTATGATTGTATTCTTTTCTCCATTCCCTATTTCTTTTGTATTCTTATATTCCATGTTTGAATAAACTTTTTATTATTATTATGTATAATCGCGTTCCTGTGTGAAAATTGACCTGTGCTTTTTTTTTATTTCATGTTCCGTTTTTTGAATCAAAACCATTCATAACTACCCCTGTCAAGCCACAACAGCCAAAAAAACATAAATAAAACGCCGATCACTGCCTCTTAAACTTTTTTTTTTTCCTCTTACTTTCTTCTTTTCATTCCCCTTATTCATTCTTTTCTTTTTCTTTTTACTCTTCTTTTTTTTTAAAAAAAAAAACTGTAATATGTCAGGTTATCGTCTTCTTTTAACTTCAAATGTACGTTTTCCTCGATCGACAAATGCTAGTCAAATGATGACCGTACGTCATTATAGTTCTCCATTCAAAGTGTTTATGGATACAATCAAAGATCAAATCAACAAGAGTAAAGAAGTCCAACAAGGTGTCAAATCTTTACAAGATGAATCTGGGAAATTTGCTGAAAGTGAAACACTTAAAAGAGCCAAGGAAATGTTTGAAAAAGCAAAGGTAAAAAAAAAAGACTTGGACGATGACAAGGAATACAATATATATATATATATGAAAATGACAATGGCATTGACTCTTTATTTTTTTTTTAATGGTTAGCTTCAACAAAGTGCATCTCAAGAACGATTGAAGCAAGCAACCGAGAAATTCACAGAAACAGCCGGTAAAGTGGGACAAAGTGTGAACGAGTCATGGAAAAAGGCATCAGAAACGGAATTTGCAAAGGATACCAGTGAAAAGATCAAAAAGGCAGCAGAAAACATCAACAAGCAAGCAGAACCTTTGAAGAACAGTGCTGTTGCTGGCAAGATCTCTGAATCATTCCGAACCGTAGTGAAGGATGAATCTGGTCGATATTCTGGTTTTGTGGATAAGGAAAGTCGCCGAAAGTTGCGTGAAGAAGCTCAAAAACAAGCTGAAGCTGCTAATGCAAACACAAAGAAAGTGGTCGAGGATCCAAATGCTGGGGCTAATATGGTTTTACATAAGGATTCAAAATGGAAGGAAAGTTGGAACAAATTCAAGGAAGATAGTCCTATTATGCAAGGTAAAAAAATATATTTGATTATTATTATTATATATTGGTTGATTAACCTTTTTTTTTTTTTCTTACAAGGTATCTTCCGAGCAAGAAAAAGTTATGAAGATTCTGACAATGTATTTGTGTCATATACCCGTGCTTTTACCGATCGTGTATCAGACGCCTTTGGTAAATTATATATATATATATATAAAGATTTATCCTAACTATATCTTATTATTATTATTTGTAGGATCCATTTTTGAAGAATCTGATCAAGCTCAAGCCATTCGTGCATTCCAAACCATTGATCCTACTTTCAACATGGATAAATTTATGAAGGAAGCTCGTGGTTTCATTGTACCTGAATTAATGGAAGCTTATTTGAAAGGTGATGTGGAAACATTGAAAATATGGTGTTCTGAAGCTGTAAGTGAAAAATTGAAAAAAAAAAAAATGAAATACTGATTTTATGGATTACCTATTTTAGACATACAATGTATTGACAGCTGTCATTCAGGCTCAGATGCAACAGGGTCTTATTAGTGATTGTAAGATTCAAGACCTTCGGGATGTGGATGTAAGTGATTAAATAAGAATGAATGAAAAAAAAAAAAAGAGAACTGACCAAAATTTTTTTTTCCCCAAAAGCTGGTTGCTGCCAAGATTTTGGAAAATGATGTGCCTGTGCTTGTTTTGTCATTCCGAACACAAGAAATCATTCTTTTCCGAAATGCAAAATCTGGTGAAGTTGTTTATGGCAAAGAAGTAAGTAAAATAGTATTATAGTAAGAAATTCATATTTATTTATTTATTTTAGGATCAAATTGAACAAGTAACATATGCTTGTGTATTTACCAAAGAACCTGAAGACCTTCAAAACCCCATTACATCTGGTTGGAGAATCATTGATATGGCCAAACATGACTCTAGACCTGTATGGTAGATAGATTGTAGATAGATAGATAAATTATATATTATTATTTAGTAGTAGGCTCTATTTTTTTTTTTTTATTCTGATCTTTTAGACATACAATCACATTCCCCTTCTCCCTATATATGAATCAACCTTTCCCCTCATGATCATTAACCCCTCTCTCTCTTTTATTAATAAACACATTTGTATTCTTTTCATTTATTAAATTTGACCTTTACCCTTTATTTGGTTGATTCGGAGAACAAAGTTGGAACACAAAAGTCGTACGTTTTTTTCTATTCATTTTTTTTTGATCGAAGGTACAGACCATACATGATGATGTAAGCTCCATTGTTTTTTTTTTTAAGAAGAAGCATGAGCTTCACACTAAAAGAGGAGCATAATTATTTATCCTATGACAAAAATCAATCTTTCTCCTTAAATTTTTTTTTTTTTTTTTTTTTGCTCCCGTGAGTCATTATTGTCTGCTTGTCATTCCTTACTATTCATTCCGAGGATGATCACTATAATAAGTTGGTGATACTTTTTATCTTTTTAGGCTTTGTTGTGTTTTTTTTACTTTCATACTGCATACGTAAAAAAAAAAAAAAAAAACTCTTATGTAGGAAAAAGTCTATCATTCTGTCTTCCGATTGGCTAGACAAAGTCATGCCATTGAAAAAAAAGGTGGAGAGTAAAAAATCATTAGGCTAAATCATGTTCACCACGTTGTGGAATAAAATAAATAAAATATCTTTTTTTTTTTCGATCGATTTACTTTCCTTTTTTCTCCCCTCTTTTTTTCTTCTTCTTCTTATTATAAATAAAAAATAAAACGTGGGGAAAAGAAGAAACGTGTCAAACTTATTATGGTCTCTTCTATACATTCATCTTCACCTCCTACATTCTCCTTTTTATTACAACGAGTACTTAGTGACCCAAAATTATTATGCGATTTTGAACAATTCCTCGGTCAGACCTGGTGTCATGAAAACCTTTTATTTATTGAAGCCATGTCTCAATTACGTCATGAAGAAAATCAACGATCTATTGAATTATCTTTACAACGGTAAAATATTACATAAAATATATTTATATATTGATTTTCTTTTTTCTTTTTTTTTAAAGTATTTACAAGACATTTATTGCTATTGGTGCACCTATGGAATTAAATATTACTACTCAAGATCAAGTTAAACGAAAAATGGATTCTTTGAAATGGTCTATTATTGATCGAGAGGAAGCTTTAAATACACTTAAAGAAACTGAAAGTGAAGTTTTAACTATGTTGGTAAAATATCATCATGTTTTTTTTTATTATTATCCTAACCTTTTTTTTTTTTTTTTTAGCAAGCCAAACTGTCAGAATATATCCAAACTCAACAAGCTATTATTCAGGGCTCCAGGTAAAGTACATATTTTTTAAACAAATTGTTACACAGCTTCCTAACATCAGGTCATATTTCCCGTCTAGTCAAATTTGTCCCAACAAGAATCAAATCCGGATCTGTATTATTGGTGGTGGATTTGTTGTAAGTAAAATAACTCTTTTTTTATTATTATTTTTGGTTTGATGATTGATTTTTATCTATTTTAGGGATTCACTGTTGCCTCTATTTTAGATGCCATGCCTATTTTTCATGTGACTCTTATTGATACCAAAGGTAAAAAAAAAAAAAAAAAAAAAAAATACATTATAGATATTGATACATTTATTTTATTTAGCTGCTTTTGAATATACTCCTGGAATTGTTAAGAAATTGGTGAATCCATATCAATCTACATCTTTACGAGTTCAACATGATTCTTATGTACGAAATGGGAAAGTGATTATTGGTTATGTGGATGAAATTGCTAATGATGCTAAATCTCTTCTTGTCAATGATACAAAGGTAAAAAAAAAATGATTCTCTTTTTTGGAAACTAATTTTTTTATTATTATTATTTTAGATTTCTTTTGATTATATGGTGATGGCCACTGGTAGTTCTTATAGCTCTCGTTTGAAATCAGATGATATTTCCGCATTGTACCGATTAACTGGATTAGAAGAAGCTTATGCTGAATTATTGACTGCCAAGACTATTCTTATTGTTGGTAAGTAAAAAAAAAAAAAAAAATATTTTCTATTTTTGGTCAACTGATCTGTTTTTTTTAAAAAAAAAAAAAAGGTGGAGGTCTCGTTGGATGCGAATTAGCAAGGTAATCCCCCCCTTCTTTTTGTTACTATATTTATACTTACAGTTTTCATTTCATTTAGTGAAATCTCTCAAACCAAGTTTCCGGGTCCCTATCCTCACAAAAAAGTTACCATTGTGGAATCAAATTCATCTGTAGTTTGTCGTAGTTCATTGGAACAACAACAAAAGGCAACAAAGTACCTTCACAATCTAGGCGTAGAGGTTATCTGCAATGAACGTATCATTGATTTTGATGCTGCATCCACAAGCAACACTTATATTGGATCAAGTGGAAAATTATATCAAGGTTATGATAAAGTATTTCTGACGACAGGTACCATTCCAAATAGTCATCTGTTTTCCATGTCACCCAATCTCAGTGCATGTGTCGATACCTGGGGTCGAATTCAAGTCAAACCTACTCTTCAAATAGCTCATTGGGAATATCAACATATCTTTGCTGGTGGAGATGTAACAAATGTCACCGAAGAAAAAACTGGCTATGCTGCTACTCTCTCTGGTGTATGTATTGCAAGAAATATCTGCCGTATGGTGAAAGGAAAGGAACCTCTCAAACAAGGTAAAAAAGGTACTCTTGCTGCTCCTAGTAAACCTCTTCATGGTATTTCCTCTCATGGTGGTATTGGTAAACGTAAGTTTAATATATATATATATATATATATAATACTAATCCTATTGTTTTATAGAAAAACTTGGTAGTTTTAAGAAAGCATTCTCCTTTTTAAATCCATCATGGGCCGCCTTGAAATACTTTGACGAACAACAGTTTTTACAATTGGTACAAGGACAATTGTTATATACAACACATGGAGTGATTGGACGACTTCCTCGACTATTGACCTTCTCATCCTTAGAATCATCATCCACTCCTTTACTTAGAAAATCATCCAGTAGCCAAACATTTGCATGGTATGACAATAATGATTCAAGTCGCCTCAGCAGTAGTATGTCATTACACAGCGATAGTACTATTCGTTCTTCCCGATCCTCCTCATCACATAGTCAAAGTCACTCCAGTCAAGGAGATGAGATCATAAACTCACAACAACGACCCATCAAGACAATCAAGGATCAACCTCAACAACAACAGCAACAACAACAACAACAATCTATCTTGGATTCTCCTTATATACAACAATTCATCTCGGATCATTTTCCATTTCAACATGATATCAGTAATAACCGTATTCCTTCACCTGCCTTGGCTGTCAAGCAAAATTCGGACAAACAACGTTAATTCTGTATCACCTCATTCCTTTGGTATTCCTATTATATATATATATACAACTAGCATTTCTCTCTCTCTCTCTCTCTTTTTTTTTTTTTTTTTATTATTATTCTTTTTATTTTCTAATATCATGCATCATATACATAGATAATTCTCCATGCTTTTGATCATCCCCATTTTATAGACCTTTTTTTTTTGATTATTATTACCATTTACTTTATATATAGATATATATACATATATATATATATTTTACCCGTTCCCCTCTCCCATTATTTCTTTCCTTTTATATATATATATATATATATATTCCATTATGTATTGATATCATTATAATGCTCATTCTTTTCTAATGTATATTTAACCCTTTGTCAATAAAATTTACTTCAGCTTTTTAAAACTCTTGTATGATGATTTATTTGATTTTCCTATAGGTCACCTACAACAATAACAAAAAAAAAAAATACATCACTTTTGTTTATTATGATTTCAGTGAAGACTATACTAAAGCGGAGAATGGTGCTAAATGTATAACAAGGGGATCACTAATGACAATGGTAGAAAAATGTTGGATAGGAGACAAGTCGCCACGAGAAGTCTTGTTGTTTTTCGTGGACTTGGTAATATAATCATCCAAACCAGGTAAATCAGGATCAAATGAAACAACAATACGACAAATCACTACGTCCGATTCTGGATCATCCCATTAAAAAAAAAAAGTTAATGATCAGTTTTTTCCTTTTTTTTTTTTTATTATTATTTATTTATTTACCTTTCCAAGAGGGTAAATTGAAAGTAACCGATGCTAAGAGTTGATGACAATCAGAATAAGTAGGAACAAATTCACTCGATTTGGGCCAGAAAAAGAAAGAGGATTGATCAGGTAAAATGAACTCAATACCAATTTGACTAGTATCCAAAGTATGTGTTAGATTGGCTTCGATCGTCAATTCAATAGGAAAAATAGGATCAAATTTGATGGGTTTGTCGGGATCAGGAATGGGAGATGTAATAATGGACCATGTTCGTTTGACTGCAGACGTGAATTCAATATCCAAGGGTAAAAAATCCTAAACAATAAGATGAGACTCCTTCTGATTTAATTTTAAGGTTTTTTTTTTTTTTTACCATGATGAATGAGTAGAGCTGTGACATATTGGTAGTAGTAGGTCGTTCAGAGGCTTTGATGAGATTGGATCGTAGATCGATGATCGCTGCATAATGTGGTTGCCGAGGATTGAAATATCTATTGTTCGATTATAATAAGTAAAATTCTTGATGAATAAACAACCATTCTTAAACTTACTTTTGAATCACATCAACACGGCACACAAATGCATTCAACATATTTCGAATAGTGGTCGGCGAAGTGGTAGATCTATGAATTAACAAAAGGTATAACTAATTTTTTTTTCTTTTCATTTATTCATACTTACATAGGGGTCTGTTTTAACATGCCAAATAACCAGATCATATTTGCCAATAACCGAAAATACATTGCCACTTGAAGAGTTTCTGTAGATAAGCCTAGAAAGGAATGTTGCATTTTGTATGATTGTTGTAGTAACAAAGTTGCTGACTTTTGCGCAGTGGATGCATAGGAAGATGTTGATAAGTTCTTTCTTGCCTACATATCATAAAATAAAAAATAAAAAAAGTTTAAATAATATATTCATATATTAACATTAATTTACTTACTTCGATGACAATTTCATAGCATTGTAAATAAAGGATGGCCAAATAAGATGTTTCCGCATGTATTGGGTCTAATGTCGATATATATTCAAAATTCCTAAGATAATAGGATTAGTATATTCAATTTGATCTTCTTTTCCTTTTACCTTTTTGCAGTACTGATAGTAAGAAGTGCAGCATTCAAATCCAAACGTTGTACTTGATTCCGAAGAGTCTTTAACATAGTCATTGTAATCCCAATATATTCCTCTACATCTACTGCTATCGCATCCGTCATCGATGCTATATATAGATAATTAAACAAATTAAATAAAGTCATTCCAAAAGTAATCCTGACGCATGACTTACAAGGTAGCTGAGTCGGTAAATAATTATCTCCATCATTAAGAGATATAGGCGTGTTTTTGCATAGTTCCTATATATTAAAATCGACATAAAAGGGTAAATGTTAGTGATCTTTTTTTTTTTTAAAAAAAAATATTCTAAAGTACCTGTAAATCTGGTATACAATCAGGATATTTTCTCTTGTAATAGGAAAGTTGGGCAAATATATGATTCGGTAACATGGATAATATAGTTGTATCGTTGGTACAAGCATTGATGATAAGAATCACGCTGGAGGTATCTATCATAAATGAAGTATATGAATTGTATAAAATAATTTTCTTTATAACATCGACTCTCTTTTTTTTTTCCTTTTTCTTTTCTTCTTATTTACAGGTATAATCAGAGATAGGTTGTTCTCTTGCCAGAAATCGTTTATCCAAATGTAATAAACTTGGGACCAGAGATACTACATAAATAAATAAAAAAAATGAAAAAAAAAAAACAATTAGACTTTTGATCCCTCATATGAATATACCATCATTACTTATAAAGTCACTGTGCTTCTTGCCAACTTCACACAAGCACCGTAAAATAGAGAGTTTGTCTTCGGGATATCGTTTCACATTCGCCATGAGTGCCAATAGTAATTTTTCTAAATCATTTGCATTGAATAATCTTGCCACCCTACAAAACGATATAAATTGAGTCATAAGGGTAAAAAAGAAAGAAAGAAAAAAAATGATTTCAAATTACTTCATTAAATCATGAGCTGCTTGCCTAGCCACCCTATCACTATCTTCAAAAGCACCTAATGCCACTTCCAATTCTTCAGAGTCAAATTTCAGAGTTGCTTTGGAACCAATTTTTCGTAAACTTTGAATAGCATTGATTCTAACCTTGTCAATTTCATCATTGAACATATCTATTTGAAAAGAACATTTAGAATCAAGAAAAAAAAGTCGAAATGATATATATACTTACCGACAAGGCATAATACTGCTTGTTTGATAAGACTTCCATGATACATACAGAGTTCACAAATTGAATCTAAAAAAAAAAAAAAAAAAAAAAAAAAAAAAAAAAAAAAGTTAGGTATTTTTAATCATATACTTTTTTTTTTCCTTGAAATCAGAACAATTTTACCTATGGAAGCATTCCGTACTTCTTGATATTCATCTTCCAAACCATGAATGAATGCACCACATGCACCAGAATCCAAAATTCGAAACTCCTCCGAGTCTACATTAAAGTCGCCTGATGCTTGGATTTTGGAAGTTGTCTAAATAGATAGGGAAAAAAAAAGTAAGTATTGTTGTAAATAAGAAAAAAATCTTTTTACCTTTTTGAAGGAGTGATCCTTTTTGGAAGGAATCTTGCGTCGTAAACGAGACATGATTTGTTTGCTAAATGTTTGCGCTAGAACATCAGCTTCAACATTGTGATAGGAAGCCAACATCACACATGCTTTTGTTCTAACCACTACAGAGACATCATTCACCAAGTCACAAACTCTTGAGAATGCATCATCAATCAATCGCACCTTTTCTTTCACATGTTCATTGGCCAAAGGCATTCGATAATCAGGATATAAGGAGCAGAGTGACCTATTATAATAATAAAAGAAGAGGTATCAGTATATATGCATAATGGAATGGAAAACTTACCAAACTAAATCAAGACCACGTAAACGTACTTCTTCAAAATCATCAGATAAAGATTCTACAGCCAAATAATATAAAGGTTGATCCAAAGAACATCCACATAAATGCATTTCTACTAACGAATTCAACGCACTCTACAAAAATACATACATTAGATCAGTTTCCATTCCTTTCATATTTCTACTATTATTATTACTACTATTGCTTACCCTTCTAACACGAGGATCGGCATCCAAAACATATTTGCTAATTACAGTTTGCACTTCCATTTCCGACATGATCTTGTTTTTTGACCCTGGAAGGTTGTGATGATTGATAAAAACCCTTGATAACACAGATAGTAATCCAAGACATTCTGATCGTATCCGATGGTGAGGTTCTGATAGTTCGGATAAGACACGTTTGAATAAATCATAAATTTTGTTTTCAGTGGACACATCGCAAATAACTTGACGGATCTACATATATTATATAAGTATAAATTACATATTTGGATGTTATTGGTATTTTTACCTTTAGAATGTTCGTGATAGCTTTATATAACTGACACCGGACTTTGACAGATTTGCAGGACAGGTGAGATACGAATTGATCAAGAAGGAAAATAGGGTTGATGTGAGGTAAAGGAGTTACCTTTTGAAGAATAACGATGACCATGACCTATATGAAAAAAATATAAAAGTTATGTCAATAATAGAAATACAGTGACTTAAAACATATACCTTCAAATCGTTGCGTTCCTCTTCAACAAGTAGACGATTCAGTAAAATATTCATTATATGAGTATGATCCCTTGCATCTAGTTGAAGTATGAGTTTCGATATCTGTATAAGACACTATTTTTTTTTTTTTTTAAAAAAAAAAAAAAAAAAAAAAAAAAGAAAAGAAAAGTCGTAAGTCAAGATCGTTCATATAAAAAAAAAAAAAATAATCCACATAAGAGGCATTTACTCTAGTTCGCTTGAATACTTCAGGATCTGCTAGTTCTGATAGATGAGTCTAATGAGAAAAGAATAATTATTAAGTAAGCTGATACATTGTAAGTTGTAGTATTACCAAGTGTCTTTGAGTCCTTGTTGTCACTAAACTTTTGTATTCTTTTGGATATGTGAGCATAGTTTTTAACATTTGACTGTCGATCGCATAACTATAAATAAGAAAGTTAGTGTGCAAGTTGAAGAAATACAATGGTTTTGAACTTACGGACTAACATGGCTGTTCTGAATAGAAGGATCGAGTTGATTTGAACTTCTTTTCATGGTTGTTGAAGTAGTATAATAATACTACCTGATACTACTTTTAGATATTTGTGAAAGAAGTGGAAGAAAAGAAAATTGGTGGTGGACGGTGTTTTAAAGGGTGTACGCGCTTCAATTTTTTTTTTTATTTTTCTTCCAAAGCTTTTGATTTCTTTTTTTTTATTTTTATTCTCTGTCATTCTCTTTTTATCTGTGTGTCTTTTTCTTTTTCTTTTTTTTTTACTGACTGGTTAATTTATTTTGTGATTACATTAAATATTGATAAAAAAAAAGACAAACTATTATCAATATGATGCCACAACAATATCAACCTATTAAATTACCAACTCCAACTGGACATCAACAGGCAATAGACCAACAACGGCAACATATATTTATGCAACAACAACCACAAACATCGTCTTCTTTACGATACCAATCTTCTGCTCCTTCGTATATTGGAGTACCGTCGTCTCAAACACAAGGTGTATATACAAGCTATCCAGCAAGACTTTTACAATCGGAAGATAATGCACTATTACTACCTTCAAGTTATCTAAGAAGAACAGGTGGTGGGTCTGATGATGAATTTGACGATAATGACTCTGAAGTTGGATCACGGACAACAACGCCTATTACTTCTAGTACAAGATCTAGAACATTGACAACGAAAATGGAAACAGAGATTGATGTTGGTGATGATTTTTCTTCGTCTGGAGGACAAATGAAAGCCATTCCAGTGGGGGTAGCCAAAGAATATATGAATTTACCAAAGAATATGCGAACAAAAAGTCAATTATTACCTAGTCAACAAGATATCGATCGAGCTGCTGCTATGAATGAAGTACTGGTACCAATTCGATTGGATATTGATGTGGATGATGTCAAACTACGAGATGTCTTTTTATGGAATATGAATGGTAAATAATAAACTATATGGATAGTGATGATGATTCTAATTTTTTTTTTTTTTTTTTTTGGTTCAAGAACAATTCCTTACACCTGAAAAGTTTGCCGAATTACTTTGTCAAGATATTAATTTGGAACCTTATCGATATGTACCATTGATTGCAGAATCTATTCGAACTCAAGTGATGGATTTTGAAGCAATATATGATATTGAATTACCTATGGAGAATCATGTTCGAGTAGTGATCAATGTAAGTATATATATAAAAAAAGGAATCATGGATCATTTATCCTTTTACATATATAAATATATAGTTGGATCTTCAAGTGGGCAAAGTCAATTTACGTGATCGATTTGAATGGGATCTCAACAATACTTCCAATAACGCACCTGAAGTATTTAGTCAACAAATGGCTGCTGAATTAGGTTTAGGTGGTGAATATGTTCCAATCATATCTCATGCTATTCGTGAACAAGTTTATAGACACAAACGACAGATGGTGGATGATGTAAGTATTTTTTTTTAAAAAAAAAAGACAATTTAATATTTAAAATAACTCACCTTTTTTTTATTTATTTCATTGAACTTTTTATAGTATGTAACGGATGGAGGAATCACTGAACCGCTATCATCTGCTTTTAGAAATGTAGAAAATGCTGCACAGTGGACACCACAAATGGAAATTTTATCGAATGAAGAACTTGAAAAGCTTTTAGTTGCTCAGGAACGAAACATCAGGTAAAATACAAAAATATACAGGATGGATAACAATATATCTTATACCTTTTTTTATTTTTTTTTTTTTGAAGACGACTTCGACGTGAAAATCGATTCAAACGGTCTCGAAGGCGTGGATCAATACCTAGAACATCTGGAAGTAATACTGGTACACCCTCTTAGGATTGACTATTATTATTATTATTTTTCTTCCCTTTCTTTTTTGTGTATATAATTTTAAATTTGTTATTTGAATAAAAGCTCTTTTTTTGTTTCAATCTCCGGAATAAAATAAAAAAAAGTACAAGAATTTCTCGCCAAGAAACTCTTTTGTATTTATGCACTCTTTTTTTTTTTTGACATTCTCAATGATTAACTTTCTTTCTTTTGTATGATATGTTTGTCCAATCTTTTATCATTTCTCTTGTTTTTTTATTTCTTTGGTGGATATTGAAGGACTATCCAATATGGCGGGAAAAGCAACTACAGTTAAACAACGATCAGACAAAGAACAATACACAAACGACAGTGCAACACAATGTATCAGCGACACAACAACAACATACGAATGATGAACAAGATACCCCAAAACACACTGATCAAATACCAGCATTACCACTTACACAGTATATCCTGATGATACCCATGGCAGTTTTTTATTTGGTTGGACGGTTCTTGATGGATATGGTTCGACTGTGTTTGTACCATATAATCTACAAAGCTGAACAGAAGGCTCCAGTAGTAGATGCATGGCTCTTTGATAAGGTGACAGTATGGCTTCCTCAAAAATACGAACAAGCTGACAATTGGTGGACGACGCAAGGACGACCAAAGTGGCACCAATGGCAACATGAGCTAATATATCATACGATTCCTACCACGATCAATTATATGGATTATTTTTTCGCTCATGTTTACAATCTGTACCAAACATTGGCGGAGGAGTTGGGAAAACTCTCAGTAGCATTGCAGACTTTCAGGGAAAAGCATGACTGGCGACAACTTGGTTTGGATCTAGGCAATATGATGTATTTTCTTGTTTGGCAACCATGTGTATTTATTGTGATGCATACCTATACACTCTCCGTGCTTTTTTATCAAGGCTGTCGATCTGGATTGGTATCTACTTGGAAGGATATACAATGGTTGTTTACTCAATGCATTCCTCATGTGATTGATTGGGCTCGAGAAACACGTGGATGGATCTGGTTTAACAACATACGACGTCGCTGTCAAGCATCTATCATGAAACTGACAATCAAATTAGTGGCAATAGTATCACTTTGGATTCAACAACTTGGTTCATATGGCATATGGATAGTAGAGAGCTTGTTTGCATGGATAGGTTCTTCTGATTGGATACGAAAACAATGGAAACATTTACATTATGCGACATTAGGATATGGTATATGGATTTGTGGAGAAATAGTGGTCTTGATGCAAACGATGCAATATTGTGTGGACAATGGATTGGTTCCTCTTGGTCAAGCATTTATGAATCATGTGCTCCCTCGATTGTCAGATGGTTATCAACGGCTATTACTTGAAACAGGCATGATCTATATTCGGTATGTACAACCTAAAGCACAGATCGTCGTAGTGTGGCTTGGCAAGATGGTGATACCTTTATCATTATTCCTGGAACGCTACTATTTAGTCATTTTGTCCTCCCTGAAGTTTTTTGTCATTGGATTGAATTGGAATGGTATCATGAACACGTCAGCAACAATCATACGGTATTTTCATTCGGTTTTGTTATGGTTCACGAGGTCGCCTAGATTTAAAAAATTATTGGACTTTATCTATCATCAAGGTGTGATATTTATCTCAAATGGATGGAAAAAGATGATAGGTGATTTGGATTGGTCAAGATTGATCTTTGCTGCAGAACAAATCTATGTTATCATTCAAGAACAAGGTTCTCTATTGTTTGCTTCTTTGGAACGGACTTTGAATGATTGGAAGCAACGACAACAAGGACTTACAGCGGATATGCGGGCCGAAAAAAAGAAAGAATGATAGGATCTGCGTTAGTTAATATTTAGTTAGTTAGATATTTAAGTTAGTTAGTTCTCCTTGTTATTTAAATCAAAAGTAATCAATAAATAAAAAATATAAAAAAAGAAGGGGGGAGAAAAAAAATAGACACTATTTTAGACTATAGAATTGAGAAACAAAAAAGAAAACTATTTTGTGGTGAACTTACTCAATTTTTTGAATCTAGTTACACACAAGTTTGAAATCTAGGGTTTTTGTCAAAGTTTTTAAAGAAGCGATGAGTACAACAAAAAGTTAAAAAAAAAAAAAAGAAAAAGAAAAAGAATAAAAAAAAACTGAGTTACGATGAACTAGAAATAAAGTCTTTGAAAAAAAAAAAGTTGGATCTAAAAATACAATCTAAAAAGGACATACAGGTACCATCTTGGGATACTATGTTCATACCCCGAATACAAATCATTGGTAAAAAATGAAATTGCAATGGTCGAATATGGATTGGTGTCCCAAACGTAAAAAAAGACAATATTAAATTACAAAAAAAAAAAAAAAAACTAGTGTAAATGATTTATTTGATTTATAAAAGTTCTTTTTTTTTTTTTTAAGAAAATTAAAATAAAATGGTAATGCACGTTTTATATAAAATGAAACAGTATATAATCTCCATAGTGAAATGCAGATGATTTTTTTTTATTTTAAAACTACTAAAAACTGGATCAATAAGAAAGGGGAAAAAAAAGTCTTTTTTTTTTTTTTTTTTTTTTTACCAGGCGCCCAGATGGACTTACCTTATTTGGCCCAGTACTTTTTTTTTCGTATAGTTGGAGAGAGAGAGAGAGAGAAGGGAGGAAAAAAAAAAAGACAGAGAGGGGTAGGTCTGGACAAATCTCAGACATAAACCCAATAAAATCTGGGATTTTTTTTTTCTTTTTCTTTTCTATTTCTTTTTCTTTTTTTTTTTTATATATATTCTTTTCTTTATTTGTTGTTTTTCAAATTCTTCTTCTTTTTTTTTTTTTACTATCTATAAAACTATGCAGTTAAAACGACGTTGGCTTAATCAACATTCACCTACTTTCAATGACACTCATTCCCTTTTATTATCCTTACCAAAAGAACTCCTATTTCAAATTATTACCAACGTCGCGAATTCTCCTTGTGTAGACAATTTATATCCACAATCATTGATCGAACTTTCTAAATGTTGCCATTATCTTCACCACCTTATTCATTATGATCCTTGGCGATTTAATACTCTTTGGCCAAATGCATTCCATGAACGATTCGATACCCGTGCTATTTACCGAAGACGACTTGATGGTTGGGATTGGCAAAAAGTTATGAAACTTCGTTGTAAAGCTTTATATGCCTGTAAAGCTTTTGCTAGTCAACCTACTGATTGTCATTTATTGGATGCTATTCGATGGGAAATTATTTGGGATATGATTACTGAACATGGTAAGCCTCCGATTGGATGATCCAATAAAACACGGCTTGTATTTTTTTTTTTTTTACTTATTCTTTTTATTTATTATAGATGAACGTAACATACCACATCTTTTAAATTATAATGTTCATTCTGCTGCTGTTGCTGCCTTTCAATTAGATCAACATCGTGATCGTAAATTATTCCCTGTGGTTCTCCCCATTTTATCACTCTTGGTCAATTATGGTAAAGACTGATTCTTGGTAACGAACTAAATGAAACTAAAAAAAAATCTATTTTTTTTTTTTTTTAGATTTCAATATTACTTCTCATTTTCGAGCACCCATCCAACCTAATTCAGCACAAATTGTGTCAACAGAACTCAGCAGATTCGCTTACAATTTTGAAGCAGCCGATTCATTGATCACCAAACATATGCCATTACGACCTTTCCATGCATCAGCTCAACATGGCAATGAAACACCTACTGATGATGAATTACCGCTTACTTTTTATCCCGCCTTGGATGCCCCTGCTGCTGCTTTGCATCTCTTCTTTACCACTTTTTTCGCCTCTCATCCATCATTGTATTCTATCATTCCTGGTTGTATTCCAATTCCTTTGTTTCAAATTAGTTCTGATATGTTTGATGTGGAATACCTACGACGCTATGAACGTAACTTATTTATCAATTCTCATGTTGACGATCAAACTCGAAAAAATGAACGGCCTTGGGTGGAAAACGTCACCACCTTACCTTCCAATAACATTTATGCCAATACTGGATTTGCAAGTCCTTCTCATTTTGTCAGTGAAGCTCATCATATCGAAGGTGATTGGTTAGGTTATTATTCATTTGTGGATCCAGAAGACGTTGCTACAGAAGCCGAAGATTGGTTTGATGGTCCCATGCGTTTATCTATTCGAATTGTACCATTGGAAGACGTCAATGATTCTACTACTTCTCCAGCATTAATATCTACCTCTACTGCAGCAACAATGGCTGCTTCTTCATCAACATCATCATCATCATCATCTTTAGCATATTCATCATTGTCAACATCATCATCTTTAGCATCATCATCATCATCATCATCATCATCGTTGACTTCACCTTGGCCATCAAGGTGGTATAATCCTCATGATATAGACAACAATGGATCAAGAAAACGACGAAAATGTATTGTAGAATCATCTAATAGACATGATGCCTTCCCAAGCATGCATTTACAAGAATGTCCATTAACGAAATTTGAAGGCACTGGTGTTGACAATCTTGGTAGTTTTACTGTGGTGGGATTGATTGATGATACTGAAGATGGCCAAGTGACGTGGGAAAAGACCTATGTAGAATCTGGTGAAACTTGGGAATATTCTGGTCGATTTGCTTTACCTATGGGGATATGTGGTCGTTGGGGTGATGAAGAATATGGTGGTCCTTGGTGGATGTGGAAAACATCCAATTGTAGCAATAGTGAATCTGTCCTTACTTCTTATAATATCAAATAGTTTAGTATAGTTTTTAATCATAATAAAAAAAAAATGTTTTTTTTTCTTATCTTTTCCATTATCATTCCTTTGGTATTATTACGAAATAACAATATAATTGGGAACTTTTTGAAAACCGTTTTTTATTATCTATGTAAAAGTGCAGATAAGTTTTTATTGGAGGAATTTTTGAACCTAAAAGGGCAAAGAAAAAAAAAATAAAATAAAAAATGATAAACTATTCTATTTAATATATATTAGGAAGAGCCAGCAACAGCAAGTCTATAATAATAAAAATAAAAAGTATCCGTTAGATCATATTGATTTTCTTTCAATTTGTTCATTACTTTTTCAAATGTTCCATAAAGACTTGTAAACTAACATCATCTGTGAAGATGGCGGCACCAGTAGGAGCACCATAGGGACTACTTGAAGCATGAGTAGTGGAAGGATTCAATTTGGATAAAAGGAATCGTGCTTGAGAGCCTCCTTGATCACAGTCAATGTATCGGGGTACAGGGAATCGATCGATCAACAAGTCTTGAGCATCATAGACAGGAGCTTCCAATAACTGTTTGAAGTTTTCATAACCTTCTTGGTTTTGATAACCTTCTTTACGCCATTCTGCAATTGTTTCACCATGGAAGATCAAAATATGGAAGAAAGTATCAAGGAGAAGAATCTTGTCAGGTTTAATAGAGACTGAATCCAATAATACAGGTTGAGGAGCTTCGTCGAAACCAAATGATGTTAAAGTGGGTTGAATCATCACCAGAGAATTGTCCACATCTTCTCGGAATAGTATATGTCTATAAACATAAAAAACCAAATCAAATCATCCCATCCTATTATCATTATATATATATATATATCCTTACCTATAAAAGGCTGTTTCATCAGGTGAATTGTTGAAGACTTGTAAAAATTGACTACGACGAAGATGGAACATGAATTGAGGATAGATGGAGAAATTTTCGGTCAAACGGAAACTATGAGGATCATCCTTGCGATAATCAGCAAATCGTTGACAAAGACGAATCAACATTCGATCAAGCCAGCGCAAAACATCAGGACCATCATCCAATTCACCCTTGAATGCAGCAATACGAGACATGAGAACCGCAGAAGTTTCTTGATCAAACGAATTGGCAATTTCAGGACTTTGACCATCAGCAAAATTGCGAGCAACAGTAGTGACACGAAGTTTGAATTGGCCACTAGCATGTTGATAATGCGTGACAAATTGAATAAGTCCTCTAGATCCAGGTTGCAAAGGTGCTGTTGGTTGGTTGACCACTTCAAAGTAGATAGCATTTGTTGTATTTGGAGTGATCGAGCACATTTTCCATGATGATGTATTACCAATACCAATTTCAGTTTCACCAACACAAGCGGTTTTCTTCTTGTTAGAAATAACATGACCAATCATACCACATACCTTGATTTCACGACTAGTCTGTGTATATATATAAATCATGTCAGAAAAAAATTGATTTCTTTTTTTTTCTTATCATCCTACCTGCACATCTGTAGTAGCATTGAAACCCATACGTAAATTGCCTTGACTATCCTTTTGGAATATACGTTGGAAACTTTGTTTGAAAATAGCAGTATTGAAGGAATCCGCCAAAATCATAAAACCACCAGTACTGTTCACCATTGATTTCATTTCCAATAAACCAATTTGATCCAGGCAACCAGCAAAGATATCAATAGTATGTCCATTTGTTGATGCACGCTTGGCAAGTCCTTCATAAAACTATGCAAAAAAAAAAAAAAAAAAAAAAGAAATAGTTTAGATTCTCACGTGCATGTGATCTCTTAATGGATTACCTTGACAGCCTTCTTGTAATGTTTGGCAGCATCTTTGTCAATATCATGATGAGATCGAATGGGTTCACGAAGTTCGGTACTAACCACAGTACCAGGTCCTTCAGTAGCTGGTCCACCACTGAAAAGCATCACTCTAGCACCAGTATTTGGGAAAGTAGCCTAGTTAAATTAATTTAGTATTATAAATACAGATATTATTTTATTTATTATTATGATTATTTTACCTCCAAAAGTCCAACAGCAATGCTCATAGCAATACCTGTACAACGTTCCGGACGTTTATCAGTAGCAACAGGCCATGGATCACGTTGTAAACTTTCCAAGATAGATGTCAAAACAAATTCACAATCTTTGACAGGCATCAAAAACCTAAAAATAAAAAAAAAAAAATGAAAAATGAGTCTAGGCCTTTGACGATATTGTTATCATACCTATTAGCAGCCATGGATGTTTGACCATTAGGTTGCATACCAGCAGGAGGTTGACCAGCAGGTCGAACAGTATTTCCAGCTAGACCGAGAATATCTTGAATTTGCTTCGGGGTATACTCTTTGGTGCCACGGAAAACATATGATTTGGGACATTCAGCAAATCCAATTTCATGTACTTGAGCCTACAGGAATAAAAAGAATGAATGAATATCTAACATTAAATTTCATTTAATAATAATATTTACCATAGTTCCATAAGTAATCAAACCAACCCAAGCATATGATGGTAATAGACTAAGACTGACAACAAGAGCATCCTTCAAAGCTTGTAGATCTTCTTCATCCAAACAAGTATCAACAACAAACAAAAAGATGGGAGGAAGGTTGGCAACACGATTCAAGTTGTATTCAATAGTGGTGTATTTCGGTAATAATTCAGGAGGTAGATTGAGATTGCTGATATCCTTGTATTGAGGAGGAAATGCATTACGTTGAAGACAGAAAGGACAGATCCATAATTTACCGTGAACGTCAATTTGACTATATATAAAAAAAAAAAAAAATTGATGAGTTATGAAATATATAATATTGAAATATATATATTACCAATAAGGATTCAAAATAGCACGACAAGGAGCCTTACAAGTGACAGGTTCATAACAAATAGGACTATTCAAAAAGTCTTCACGTTCCTTGAGAGGAGTATAGGTACAAGAAATAGGAACAACAGCTTTAGTGGCTTCCACGCGAGACGAAGGCCAGGCATTAAAGGAAAATCTTATACCGTCCTAGAAAAGATAAAAAAAAAAATATAATAGAATAAGAATATAATGTATATATATATTGTGATGACTATCATATAAAATAGTCATACCTGTTCTTCAATTTCGCTAAAGTCCATCAGGATGATATTTTTTTGTATAAATAAAAAGTGAAGAAGAAAGGATGAAAAATAGCGGAGACGGAAATCATCAGTTTGGAATTTATTATTCCACTCACAAAAAAAAAAAAAAAAAATCTCATATGAACACCTTTTCATGATTTTTTGTTCCTGAATGACCAACCATCCCATTCAACAATGAAATTGTAGTAATATTATTCACGTATTTCCTTTTAAAGACATATCATAAAATAATAATAATAATAATAACTTATGATCCTTATTTTGTTGAGAATAAAATGAAAAACTACTCTGTAACCGTTTTAACACAATCAAGGATGTCAGAAAAGAAAAAATTAGCTCCTTGGAATACCAAAAATGGGATATTTATCTGCAACATGTCTACAAGATCCTTTCTTTCCTTAGCGTGTTACCTTTGACGGACTTAAAATATTGAACAGTGCAAACAGGTTATATAAACACTTTTTTCCTCTCCCTTTTTTTATTTTTTTGTTCTCTTTCCTACATATACGCGCACTCATACACACAGACTCTCTTTCCTTTTCTTTTTCTTTTTTCCTCTTTTTTTTGAACTTTTATGGATATACCCAATAATTCTTCTTCTGAAGAAGGACTACGAAGGATTCGTAATATCCATCCTTCTCAGTTATCTTATGGTGCTACTTCTTCTGGAGATACTGACATTGTTTATCACGATGATGATCCTTCTGGTCTATCTCGATCCATCACTGGAAGCTCATTTTCTGATCGGTTAGGCTCATTTGTTACCTCTTATTCAAGGACTTCTATGAACTTTATGGCCGAAAACTTGTCAGTTCCAAATACCCTACCTATGGTAATATATTTATATTATGCTTGTTTTTTTTTTATTATTAACTAACTAATATTCTTTGTGTTTCATTTTGTAGGAAGATAATATATCAAGTTATAGTGGGTAAAGTATAATATTTTTGTATTGGCTATGAATCATATAAAAAAAAAAAAAAAAAAGATAACACTAATATTCTATCTCCTCTATCTATTAGTTATCGTCGATTATCAAATGATGGTCAACAATCTATTTTGACAAGATATGAAACAACTAAAAGTGACTATAGTCATTTTGAAAGGCCATCACTCTATTTCAACCAACTAGATCAAGTTCTTTCTCAACATAGTACCGTGGCTGATGTTCAATCACTTTTGGCTGCTCATCGTCACGATAGCTCTTCTACTATTCCACTTCAAAAAAAATCTTCATTTGCCCAATCGACTTTCAATTCAATCAATGTTTTATGTGGTATCGGTATATTGACTCTTCCAATGGGCTTCAAGGTAATAGAAAAAAAAAAAAAGAGGAATCATTTGCGATTCTCATTGTTTTTTTTTTCCTATTTATGCTGTTGTACAATATAGTGTGCTGGATGGATTGTTGGAATGATTGTATTTATATTTTGTTGTGGATTAACCAATTATACTGCCAAACTACTTGCTCAATGTTTGGATGTCGAACCTGATTCAAGAACTTATGGTGATTTGGGTTCCTTGACCTTTGGTCTTAACGGACGTATCGCGATTACTCTACTCTTTATTACAGAATTGATTACTAGCAGGTAAAAAAAAAAAAAAAAAAAAAAAAAAAAAATTACATAATGAATGGGATAATCATCTATTTCCTTTGTTATTATAGTGTCGCTCTTGTTGTTCTCTTGGGCGATGGTATTGATTCTTTATTTCCTGGTTTTTCTGTTGAACAAATTCGTGTCCTCTCCTTTTTGATCTTGACTCCAATGCTCTTTTTGCCGGTACGACATCTTTCTTATACAAGCTTACTTGGTATTATTTCTGCTTTCAGTATTTTGGGAGTTGTGGTTGTGGATGGTGTATCAAAATCGGATGCTCCTGGAAGTCTGATCTCTCCTTCTGTAAGTTATATATCTTTGTATGGGTAATACCTGTTAGATCTTTATAGTGTACATTCTGGACGAAGGTGTATTTAATTTAATAAATCTGATGGTTATTATAGGAAACGTCCATGTGGCCAGTCGATTTGATGAAAGTACCACTTTCGTTTGGTCTTATTATGGCGGCTTTTGCTGGTGGAGCAGTATTTCCTACGGTATATCGTGATATGGCCAATCCAAAACAATTCAATACAGTGGTAAATTTTAGTTACTTGACAACAGCACTTATCTATTTCGGTGTTGCTACCAGTGGATATCTTATGTTTGGATCACAAACAATGCAAGAGGTAAATGAAATAAAAACAAGGAATTTCGAGAACCTTATTTGTATTTTATTTAGATTACACAAAACTTGGTGACTATACCTGAATACAATCAAGTATTAAATCGTCTTGCTGTATGGTTGATCGCTATGAATCCTATTGCCAAATATGGTCTTACTTTAAATCCTGTGAATTTAACGTGGCAACTTTGGCTTTATCGAACACCAAAGATGGAGAGATGGTGCCAAGAACATGTATGGGTAGAACCGTTGATATCAGTGGTTGGAAAACTAATGGTTAGCGCAGGCATTGTTTATTTGGCTTATGTGATACCTGGATTTGATAAAATCATGGGATTGCTTGGTGCTTTTTTCTCTTTTGTGATATCTGGTATCTTCCCTCTGATTTGTCATCTGTACTTGTTTAATGACAGATTGTCTCCTTGGATCAAGATGATCGATTATATTCTATTGGTGATCGCAATATTGATGGCTACCAGTGGAACTGTAGTTAGTTTTATGTAGATTATTTATTGAATAGAATCACGACCTTTTTTTTTGTTTGTTTTATTTATTCTCTCTAACTTATTCCAATCAGATATTTAGAATATCATAGTGACTTTCCTTCTATTTATTATTGTACCCTGAATTGTTATATTATTATTATTCCATCATTGTATTCAATCACTTTTATCATTCAAAATAAACAACCACAAAAAAAAAGGCATGATCTATATTCATCTTTATCATAAAATGTTTTTACCATTCCCACAGGGATCATCCATCGTTTGCAGCTGACCATCATACAGTGACATTCATTATCCATTATGCTCATTACTACATATATCGCCTATCATTATTCAACCATCATGATATATCATTCATTACAGACCATCTACTCCATCAGCCAAATAAAAAATAACAATAAAACGATTACATAATTTATTGAACATCAAATATAAACAAGGGATATATAAAAGAAGAAGGGATTAATATACACTGAAGGGAGGTAAATGCAACGAGGTATCTAACATACTTTATCTAATTTAATGAATCCAGTCAAATACATCGCTGTATGCACTTGAAATATTTGAAACTGATTGTTGTTGCTGTAGTTGCTGTTGTTCTTGTTGTTGTTCTGAGGATAGTATTGAAGAAGGCGGTTGGATGGAACAAGTGGTATCTAAAAAATCATGATGTACTGAAGATTGAAGTCTTTCAATGTATTTTGCAGCAAACAGAGGAGATATGGTCATCAGTAGTTTTTCCATACTATCAAAAACATGTTCCAAATGGACTTGTACCACTTTTAATGCTTCCACGTATTTTGGTTCATTGATGATTTGTGTACATGATGTTACCTATCAGAAAAAGTTCAAGTCAAGCATAATATAAAAAAATACAACTGAAGAGACTACGTACCATAAACCCTTCTTCAGATACATCAACTACTATCATAATACCTTCCAAAAGAGTTAAATCCAATTGTCCACATTGTTTAACTTTGTCTCTGACAAACACAGTAACCGAGCCGGGAACAATACCATAATCATAAAGTTTACAAATGGCGTCAAGTTCATCGTCCAAAGGAATCCGCATATTGTGATGGTATTATAAAAATATATAAACCAGAGAAGAAAGGAAAGAGAAAAAAAAAAAAAGAGAGAGAGGAGAAAAAAAAAAAAGTAGGATTTTTTTTTCCCCAGAATCTAATAAAAAAGGAAACGGAGTGAATTGCCGGTCGTTGAGGGGTAAACCTAAGCTTAGCTTTTCAAGCACTCAAACGATTTTGACCAGTCTCGGAGCTAAATGAGCCCTGGGAAAAGAGTTTTTTTCATGAAAATGATTTAACTAGGAAAAAAAAAAAAGCTTTCAAAGTCGAATACGTTCTTTTTTTTTTAAAAAAAAAAAAAAAAAATATTATAAAGTTGAAGATAAAAAGGGATCCATCAAAAGTGTCACAGAAAGGCAAAAAAAAAAAAAAAAAGAAATTTATGGAAAAGAAATGAATAGTAATAAAAAAATATCTAGTATCTTTTTTATTATTCCCTTGTATGGGATACGAAACGAGCCACTTTATTATGATGGGATACTAATGATGAATCTCTTGTTATCAATAGGATGATGGGAAAAAAAAAGATGTATTGTGTCACCCATAGCATCGGTAGAAGCGTATCATTTCTTTTCCCGCGGCAAATCAAATCATCAAGTCAATGATATTAGATAGATGATGAATTTTTTTAACATATTGATTCAATGCGATGTGTCCTGGGCTTTTTTTTTTTGATCATCCAGTGTTCGTCATGTTAGTTATGATTTTCCCTCCATTCAAAAGAAAACAACGCAAAGATAGAATGATGAGCGAAATGCATTGCTTCTTAGACAAGAGAAACTTTGTTTTCATTAAATCTCCATCATCTGCGTAACCAACCCAGTACTTTTTTTTTTTTTCTTGTATCTCATCACTTGCAGCAAAGTTGAGCTAAGATTGGAGATGATATGTTTTTTTGGTTTTATTTGATACTATTCTTAATCAGGTTTTTTGCCAGATATGTATGTAACAATTATTCATTAAGTAGCTATCCATATTGGAATCATGTTAATAAATGATACGAATGTTTCATTACCATTCAGATACACATGCAAATCATCAAAAGGCAATAGGATTAACACACAGATAAAGAAGAAGAAGACCAAGGTTTCAGGGGCCGCTCCTTAGGGTGGCGTTACTTGTTTTTAGCTTTTTTTTTTTTTTTTGGCCGTCAAAAACGAAAATCTATGCATATACATGATTTTTGTTCTGATTACTTTTTTTTTTTAAAAAAAAAATAAATTATGTTTTCATCTATTATTTTCAAATGAATGATTATATTTAATTATGGATGGATGCTTATCGTTAGAATGATATAGTTTAGGCGGGGTTGAATATTGGTTGTCATGGTTCCACAGGAACAAGAGCCAAAGGATATGCATGATGAGAAAAATAGAAGATTGCGCGGAAAGAGATATTTGATTGGTGGATAGTTTTGTAGCGGGTCCCCGTTTTTTTTTAACGCAAGCTGTTAAAATTCGAAATTACCTATTTTTCTTATTTCTTCTTCTTCTTTATTGAATCCTCCCTCATTACTTTCCTTTACACAATCCCTCCTTCCCTTTTTCGCTTCTTTCTTGAAAACTCTTCACTTTTTTTTTTAGTGCACTCACTTTCCTTTAGATAAAACTACCCTCTCGATTAATTTTTTTTCCCTTCTATTCCCTTATTAAGCAACAATGAACAAACTCACTTCCGAATTCGTCAACGACTACTCATCTCCTTACACTAATCTTGAATGGAATGATCAATCTACCATGTATCCTGGTAATATATGAAAAGAATATGATAGAAGAGAAAAAAAAATTAATCTTTTTTTTTAAGGTTTCTGTATGACGACACCACCTACTACTGCTATCATGTACGATCCTGTTATGGCTGCAGCTGTTCATCCCTCTCCCCATCATCATCATCATCAACCTTCAGCTTCACCTGTCAGCTATCATCATCATCATCCTGGTAGTCCTGATTCGTTCACGTCCATTCCAACCACTCCTCCTATCCAAAGCGCACTACAAGAACCTCCCGTTTTGGTCCAATCCTCCTCCACCAGTACTCAATCCTCCTTGAATGAAACAATCGCAAAGGCATCCTCGTTACCTGAAGCCTTTTATCCAGAATTCTTACAATATTCAAAAGAATCTTACGAACAATCTGCTGGGCGTCATAATCTCAACAACAAGAAAAGAAAATCTCGTGATAATGAAGATGATCTTGTATCAGAACCAAAATCAAAGAAACAACAACGACAACAACCATTATTGGATTCTCCTTCAAATGAAAATTCTGATGATACTGATGAAAATGGGTAAGACAAAAAAAAAAATATGGTTCACACCAAGTAACGGATGTTCTTCCCGCCATCCATTTGATTTATAAACTCACTGTACTACCCAACTGTTGGATTCAAACTCTTTTTTTTTTTTTTTGTGGTTCTACTAGGTTAGCAACTACAGCGGAGATGCGACGTCAAATTCATATCCAATCTGAACAGAAGCGCCGAGCTCAAATCAAAGGTAAAGAAAGGGGTATATAGATAATAATAATAATTGACAATGGTATGATTTTCTAGATGGTTTTGAAGAATTACGATCGGAACTTCCTGCATGTTTAAACAAAAAGATGAGCAAAGTGGCTTTATTACATCGAAGTAAGCATATATATATATATAGAAGTTTCACAATATACTAATCAATCCCACATCATCTTTTTTTTTTCTATATAGCTGTCCAACATATTCAACATTTGAAAAGCACCCAGACCACGATCCTTGCTGAACTTGAACGACTTGTCCATGAAAATGAACAACTCCGGTCGTAAGTTACCAACACTCTTTTGTTACATTGATGAACTGACCCTTTTTTAAATAGATTTCAACAAACCATCCTTCAAAAACAAGCATTGGAAAACATGTACTCTATGAGTAATAGCTTGTAAATTTTGGTTATGGATCCTCTCTCTCTCTCTTTTTATCATCTTTCCTTTTTGGTTTACGTATCTTTTTTCTTTCTTCTTTCTTCTTTTGATTATATACTGACTGGATTATTGCTTCTTTTTTTTCATACCTTTTTTTTTTTTTATCTAATTACTATTTATTTCCCTCCATTATTATTTGTTTCTATGATTTTTACTTTTTTTACCATATAACAACCTTACCCTACAAACATATAGACCTTTTCTTCTGTATACCCCTTTTTTTCATTATCACGTTCTACTCTTTATGCCATCTTCCCCTTCTCTTCATTATCAAACATATTGTTTAATAAACTTATTCTATGTGAACATATTATCTTTGATGTTTGGAAATTTTGATAAACCTTCTTTTTTTTTTTCAGTGCACCCAAGCTGTTGTACTACCCACCAAGTAACAAATCACTTACACACGATATTCACTCACTGTTTTATCATCACTATCATATACAAAGCCCCAAAAATAATATAAGTCAGACATATATATATATATATAAAAAGGATATGCTTTATTGACAATCAAAACTAAGAAGAAAAAAAAAAAAGAAAAAAAGGGAATGATAATACATATACAAATAGATAAAAAAAAAGGAACCAACTAATCACTATATTGATCAAACAAAACAAAAAAAAAAAGGTATGATATAAATATATAAAGATCTAAAAACTAGAGTGAAAAAAAAAATTTGATTAATGTTGAGTTTGTTGAGGTTGTTGTTGTTGATTTCCACCACCACCACCAGAAGGAGCGAACTTGACGGCCAAAACAATGACGATGATGATGATGATAGTGATAAAGATACCAAAACAAATCCATTTCTTCCTACGAGTAGCCTTTGCAGACTGGATGGCATTGCTTACATGTTTCTCCCCTTGTTCCAAATTGTTAACGACATCATATGAATTGACTTCGATTTCACCAAGGACCTTTGCTTGATTTTCCAATAAGAATTGCATTTCCTGGAAGAGATCGGAAAGTTCCTGGACACTTTGAGCAAGGCGACGGATATCATCATGGCGTTCCTGAACAGCATCCAAGGTGGTTTGGGCGTCATAACGGCGTTGGTCCTGACTGACGGATTGTAAGAGTTGTTGAGCAAACACGGCAGGGCGACCTTCTTCTGCTTGAGCAATGGCTTGTTCGATTTCATGGGCTGTAGCATTGGGATTAGCAATACGGATTTGACGTTCCATCTGCTTGGCTTCGTCGCGTTGGAAGTCAAGGGCCGTTGTACGGTGTCGTTCGATACAATCCATGAACTGTTTGGTCACAGCAGCAAATTGATTCTTACGAATGGCCAAATCCGAATGGCGTGAGGTCGGTTCAATATCCTTGAGTTGTTTCTTCACTCGTCCCATCAATGTCTGTGTTTCCTGTGTCAATGACTCCACTTGACCCCGGTGTCGTGCTAGTTCTTGTGCATCTGCTGTTTGTAACATGGCTGCCTGATGTGTCTGTACCCGTTGCACATTATCATTGATGGTGCGAATAAGTTCTTGAAGTTGTGAAATATTGTTAAGGAATCCATCCATAGATGTTGCATCTGTAGGTGCTGCAAGTAAAGGTCGCATCTCGTACCGTCCATTATTACCATTATTGTTTTCCCCTTGACCTTCTTGACCACGGTTCAAGTCATTAAGTCTATCCACATTCATCTTGTTGTATATACAGAAAGAAAAAAATAAAGCGTAAACAAAAAAAGGGGGGGGGGGAGAAGAGAAAGAAGAAGGAAAAAAAAAAAAAAAAAAAAAAAGAGGCTGATATAAAATAAGAAATTTATTTTTAACCAGATGCCGCCAATTCCTTTTTTGTTAAGTCTACCAAGTTCTTATCCAGTCAAAAGTCACCGAAAACATCACGGTCTTGGCTAGACCAAGCCCAGCAACAATAAGTAGGAAGATCGTCTTTCTTTTTTTTATTTTTTATTTTTCATATCAACCAATCAAAACAGACATAATCAAAGGAACGATAAAGAATAATATATATATATATATACTGATATACACACATAAGGATAATCATGAAGATGGAATTAGAAAGAATAGAATAAAAACAAGAATACAAAAAAGGTAATAATAATAATAATAATAATAATAATAATGAAAAAAAATTGGGTATAATAACAATAGTGAAAAAAAAAAAAAGACGAAAGGGAAGGGGAACACTAAAATGAAGATGAATGAATGAATGCGGAGAAGATGGATAATATAATAGATAAAGATCACCAAGTATGATTTGCGTAGCGTTCACCAGTTTCCAGTAATCCAACAGCCATTTTCAATGCATTTTCAATTCGAGTACCGAGAATACCTTGAGGATCATCATCTTCTTCCTTATCATCTTCAATTTGACGTCGTTGTTTCTGTCGTGACTCAGTATTGATTAAAATAGGTAGTTGTAATAAGACTTTACACATGGTAATGGATAATTGCATTCTTCCCCATATGTTGAAGTAGGACAGTGCTCGTAATTCTTGTTGTAATTCGTAAAGTCGCATCAATTCAAATTGAACCACCTGATAGTATTGTTGAGTGGCTACACAAAAAAAAAAAGGAAGAGAAAAAAAAAATCATCATCAGTCTGTTTTCTTTTTAAATCACATGGAAGGAGGAGTTTCATATTTTTTTTTTTTTTAAAATGGGGATCTACTAACTTACATACAAACACCTCACGCATTTTTCGGAAGGCGACCTCTATATGGATGATGGCATCTTCACTGATATGCATACCAGGATTGGTTTCGTTCAAAGCATCTATCATGATAAGGATGAGTTTAATTGATATATAAAAAATTCCCTTTTCCCCCCAATCACTTACATATAAAAGCCCGCATGGTCTGAAATTCCCCATCCATCATTTCATTGAATAACTAAATGTTACAAAATAGATAATATGTTAGTATCACGATTACATATATATATATATATATATATATATTTACCTGATGAAGAACACGTTGTAAAGTATCATTTGGATTTTTTGTACTTGATTGAAAATTTTGTTTCTTATTGGAGGATAAGTCATACATCAATTTGGTGGAAGGGTCGGATAATGTTTCGTAAGCCAATGACAGGACTAAAGTTTGAATCAAGAAGTTAGTATGCATGTCTGTATATAAATAAGAATTCGAAAAATTTATTTACGTTGAAAACTTTCAGTTGCTCGAGGATAAGGTGGAACAAACTTATCAGGATGACAGACCCTACTACGCTATAAATATCATCCAAAAAAAAAAGGATGAAAATAAGTTTCATATCAATCAAAGCCTTATTATTAGTTTTACCTTGATATAGGCTCGTCGAATTTCTTCTGGTGTTGCTTTTTTAGTCACATTCAATACACGATAGTAGTCAGGGGCATTCAATATCTCTTCTACAAAACGATATTTTTGAGCATCGGAACCAGCACCGGCTTTTCCATCTTGGCTAGGAAATGTAGGAGTACTAAGTTTGTTGGTTGTTGTTGTTGTTGTCGTTGCTGGTGAAGTCGACGATGCCGAAGTTTTTGTTGAACTGACAAAAGATAAGGGATTGATAAAAGGCATATATATATAATTTTTGAGTGGAAAATATCTAAAAAAAAAAAAAATGAAGACCGACTTTCTATTTGACAAAAAGTATAAATGTTATGTCTTGATAAGTGAATAGAATGGTATACAAAAAAAAAAAAAAGTCAGGAGCGACTTAGTTTGTATATGTATCTTATGTCAAAAGGGTAATTGAATAAGTAACCGATTGATAGTGGGGAGTATTAAAAAAAAAAAGGAAAAGAAAAAAAAAAAAGAAAAAGAAAAAAGAAAAGGAAAAAAAAAAAAAGGAGACAAGGAATCCATAGAGGCATAACTTTTTTCACATGCCATCAGCGTACCAGTTGAAGACCTGTTTTCGGTTCCCGCCTAACTATGAAGAAACTGAAAAGGGCCCGTGAAATTTACTAAAAAGCATAGAACATATATAACATATGTGAATAGATGTACGTTATTCAATTATCATAATGGAAAAAATTAAAAAAAGTTGTATATATTTATCCTACCTTAATCCTTTCTTATCATATTCTAAACTATCCAATCAAACCAATACAGTGATACAGCTTTTGATTCTGTAATTTTTTTTTTTTTTTTTTTTGGTTTTACTGAAAGAATGATTCCTTAGCCGGTATTCGTTAGAGATTCTTGGAAAAACTCTTTTGTTCATCTAATGAAATACTGTAGTGTCAATTGACAATCATCCTATCAGTTGATGATAGTATTCAGTGACTATATATATATATATATATAAATATATATGTGTGTAAAATGATCGTCATCCATCTAGTTTATCATCATTTGTCATCATCATCATCATCATCATCAACATATGACGATCTTTATCATTTGTATAATCTCATCATATACTGTAATAAATTTACTTTTTAGAAGTGTTCTTCCTTTAAGTTGATTTAAGCTGATACAATGCCATTTTAGGAAAGCCTGTCGAAATTTATATGAATGCCAATATATCGTAATGACAACTGAAACATGCTTTACAAAGAAAATCTTATTCACGACCAAATCATCCCCGTACGGATAGATACGGCCAATACCTCCTATTGTTTGTTTCTTCTTTTGTATCGTAAAAGGAGATAAATACAGTAAAAAAAAAATATATATAGTTAATGTTCGTCTTAGTTTATTTACTACTATATCATATTTCAATAAGATCTACCTCAAACAGAAAAAAAAATATATATGATTATGATGAGTTTTTTTATTTATTTATTTAATTTACGTTATCATTAGTTACTATTATATCATCATCCATCAATAATCGATCATTGAATGACCATTGGTAATTATCCATCATCATAAATACAAGAAAAAAAGAAGTCTATGTTTTTATTCAATCATATCGTAAAAAAGTTTTATATACTACATTATCAGTTTCTTCTATAAAAGTATATCCTAAACTATCCAGGTATTCATTCAAAAAGTCATTATCTTCCGGTGGCACTTGCATTCCAACAAAGACCTTGCCCATGTAATCCCCGTGATGACGGTAATGGAAAAGGGAGACATTCCAAGATATGTGTAAACCAGATAAGAATTTCATCAAGGCACCGGGACGTTCAGGAAATACTAAAAGGTAACAAACAAACAAAAAAGTTAAGTCTTTTCCATTTCATTTTTATCTTATTTTTTTTTAATTTACCAAATCGGAAGACGCGTTCATTTTCTACTTTATGTTTTCCACCAATCATAAATCTTGCATGTGTTTTAGCCAATTCATTATGGCTGACATCCCAACCTTCCATTCCATGAGATTTCCATTTCGCCAACACTTCTTGTACTTCCGATGCCAAATCATTGACTTTGAAACTGATATAGATACGTGCCTTGTCGGGAGAAGAGTATCGATAGGAGAATTCTGTGATGTTTCTAGGAAGGACTTGTTCAATCATCTTATGGAAACTACCAGGTCTTTCAGGAATCAAAACATTGCAAAAGGCTTCCGATTGTTCACCTATTTCTGCACGATCACTGATAAATCGTAATCGATCGAAGTTGACATTGGCCCCTGAGATAATCGCGATATGAGCCCCTTTGGATTTCTCTCCAGGATGACTTTGTAGGTATTTCTTGACAGCCGCCACCGATACCGCTCCAGTAGGTTCACAAATCGATCTTGTTTCTACAAACAACGGAACATCAATAATCAAATTGTTATTATTTTTTAGTTCTTTTTATAATACCTTCAAATACATCCTTAATGGCAGCACAGATTTCATCATTGGTCACATTCACCATTTCATCCACTAAATGATGAGCCACTCGAAAAGTTTCTTCACCCACCAATCTAACAGCAGCACCATCAGCAAAAAGACCCACTTCATTCAATTCTACACGTTCATGAGATTCCATCGATTGTGTCATGGCGTTGGCATCACTTGCTTCACATCCTATGATCTTAATATGAGGTGCAATTCTTTTGACATAACTGGCCACACCTGCAATCAATCCACCTCCACCAACACAAATATAGATAGCATGGATATCATTCACATCATGTTGTCGAAGAATTTCAAGTCCAATAGTACCTTGTCCAGCTAGAAACAAAAAAAAAAAAAAGAATCAATTAATATCGACTTTACTTCGGATCCGATTTTTTTTTTTTTTTGAGTACCAATGACATAAGGATCATCATAAGGAGGAATATTTGTCAAACCTTCCTTTTCCATCAATCTAGCACATTCAACCTTGGATTCATCAAAATCATTTCCATGTAATATCACTTCGGCACCTAACCGTTGTACGTTTTTCCACTAAAAAAAAAATTGCAGGTGAAACTTATTATTCTATTCTAACTTTATAAACTTACCTTGATAGCAGGAGAATGAACTGGCATGACAATCTTGGCTTTGATACCTAAATGTTTGGCAGCATAGGCTACTCCTTGAGCATGATTCCCTTTTTTTTCAAATGAAAACAGAAAATAATAAGAATAATCAATAAATAAACAAATCCATTCAAAAAAAAAAAATCATATTTGATTCTTACCAGCAGAACAAGCAATAATACCAGCCTTCTTTTCTTGTTCTGTAAGGTGAGCAATTCGGTTATAAGCACCACGGATTTTGAATGAAAAGACAGGTTGTAAGTCTTCACGTTTGAGATAAATACGAGAATCAGTAGCACCTTTTAATAATTTAGCATTGATAGTAACAGCTTCTTGTAATGGGGTTTCCTTGATAATGTCATAGACTCGAGCTGTCAAGATCATACGCAAGTAATCGGGTTCTTGTTCTCCAAACTCTACTTGACGAACATTACTATGAAGATGAGGATTTGGTTCTTGTGTATCAGTTTCTACAAGTCCTTCTGATCTTGGTGGTGTCATAATTAATAAGGAAGACTTGGTATAATAATAATAATAATTAAAAAAAAAAAAGAAAAAGGAGACAAAAGAAGAGAACAATTTTTTTTTTTTTTTGTTTCAGACAAAAAAGATATAGGGATTGCCGTGAGTCATGATTTAGACATCAATTCTTTTATCCAATCAGCATAAAGTACCATGCACTTTCAACCGCGGACAATCAAAATGAATTTTTTTTTTATAAAGTATTCATCTTTCATTTTTATTGAATGGAAATATACAAAAAAGGGTAAAATAGAGAGAAAGGAGGTAGGAAGGAGGATATATAGACAAAGAATAAATGGAAGGAGTAAATAGAATAACTATTGATAATAAGTGAGAGGGGGGTATCAATACTAAAAACTATGATGTGATATCGATGTTTCTGTTGGTATCCAATACGACAGTCGAATGTTGTTGTGATGAAACACAATTTGATTCCAATTGAATTTCAAAACGACCCTTTCTAATAATAGGATGATCATTATTGTTGGAAGAGAGAGATTCACCGTTGTTATTTGGTATTGAATGCATTCGTCGTAGTTCACGTACGATGGGTAGATCACATGTACTTTTGCTTTTGGCGTGATGCACCTGAACTTTACATGCTATGTTTGGCGGAATAGGAGGTGGTAAAGAGAGAGTTTGACGATGTTGTAATAAAGCTGATCGATGTTTCCGTAAAGTCGGTGCTGTCGTTCCTGTAGGTAATGGTGGTAATTGATGCTGATTGGTTTTTATTGCTACTTTTTGTTTTGTTGTTGTTGTTATATTGGTCCCATCATCCATACTAGGTCTTCTCCAAAATCCAGTATCCCAAATTTTTGCTGATCCACTTTGTTGACTATGAATTGATCCAGAACTAAGTACTGACCAATCCGTTTCATCCCCAGCATGATATGAAGAATAAGAAGGCCGGTGTTGATGATTATAACCAGTGGTGACTATAGATGATGCAGAAGAAATAGGGCGATATGTAGAAGTGTGGCGGCTGCGTCCAGTAATAGCTGTTCCGGTAGTTGAGGTAGCTGCAGGGTCATCTTGATCCAATTCATCATCCGAGAGAATCTTGATACCAGCCATATCTGCAAATTCCTTGGCAGTTAAATCCTCGGAGTTCACAGTCATATTCGAAGCCGATATACATGATATATGTGAATAATGACGAGAATGGTGGTAATGGGCTGGTCTATTTGAGTTGGAACCTGGAGTAGAGATGATGGATGAATTTTGTAAACTACTGGTATGTCGATGATGAGATGATGGTGTAGGTGATCGTTTAACAAGAATACTAGGCGGTGATTGTATAGAGACTGTAGATGGACGTCGATGATGTTGACCAGTGGCTTTCATATATTGATTCCTTTCAAAAGAATCATCTTTGGAATAAACACTATATCGAAGTTTATTTTGAATGTTGTCATTGTCGTCATCATCGGTATCTTCGTGACCAGTGGTATCATCGTCAGTATCATTTTGGTCATCTTGATCAGTAAGATTACTGTCTTGTCTTGTAGTCTTGTAATGACATTTATTGTTTGGACGAAAAGTGTCTACTATTGACGAGTGCTTGCGTCTGTTGATAAACTTGACTAAACCACATTTGAGCTTTGAAAAAAAAGGTTCATTCGATTTTGTAGATGATGATGGACTATCAAAAGGAAGGCTTTGTAAAGTGTTTGCCATTTGTTGTTTGTAATGTAATGTTTCAAGAAACACACACAAAACAAACAATGAACGATAACAATCAACAACAAAAGAAGGAGGGAAAAAAAAAAGAAAAGAAGGAAGAAGAAAAAAAAAGAAGAAGATATAAACGGAGAATATTGAAATATGATAGAAAAAAAGAGGGGAAGGGTAGAAAGACACACACACACACAGACAAGGAGAAAGAAAGAAAAGAAAAGAAAGAAAGGGGTCAAGTCAATGGCCTAGCTTTTCAGTCCAATATAGAAAGAAATCCATGATTTTAAACACAGCTGCACCCGTATCTTATAGTTATGCACTATGAATGCATAAGGGCTTCTCCTTTGATGATTATATCATATATATATATAAAAGGGGGGAGGAGAAAGAAAAACTGATTACTAAATGGAACCATTTCCATTCATCAACATAATAAAAGAAAGAACAGGGATGGTCTCGGATAATCATCTATTTTTTTTCTTTCTCTCTTGCCGGGTAAAAAGAAATAATAATAATAGTAATAATAATAATAATAATAATAAAAAAGATTACAAGACTCTAAAAGGAGAATCAAAAGATGATTTCAACAAAAGAAAAGGAGTGAGATTTTTAGAGTGAAGAATGCACGTTATTCACTTCTAGTAAAAGACAAAATAAAAACTACAAAATAAAGTCTCAAATACAGAACATTATTTACATTATTTTTTTCTTTTTTTTCCTTTTCTTTCCATCATGTTACTATTTTTGGCGCCATCATGTTTCTTTTTAAATCATTATGATAAATGTACTTGTTTGTTTTTATCTTGGTTGATTCATCTGCATATCACCCCCAATATCCATCAACTTACCTTTTTTGTTTGGTAGAATGAAATAACAACTGAGGAAGAACGTGGGTACTTTCGGTCCAAAAAAAAACCTGTTGTACCTGATAATGAGAGATGAATTAGAAGAAAAGAAAATAAAGATCATCCATCAGTTAGTTCATCGGTGATTAAATACATCTTGGCCATTGCTTGGAGGAAAATGTTTTTTTTTCTTACTGTATAGATTTTATATAAATATAAATAAGGAACAAAGAAGCATTATTTTATACTGTTTATGAATAAGAAGGAGGAAGAAACAAGGAGGAGGCAAATCTAAAGGGGATTTGTCTTTATCTATTATTCTTATACCTGGATGATAAACTAATGGACGATGGAGTTCCATTGAACAGAAATTCCGATAGATCAGAAAAAGAAAAAATAGATTGGATAAGGAAGAAATATTTTGATATGAATGTAAAACCTATCCAGTCAAATCTGCATATATGACGTATATGTATTATGACTTGACAATAAAAAAACGTGGCAACCACACTAACCTGTTTTAGTCATCTTTTTATTGAATGTTTGCGGATAATGAACCAGAAAAAAAAAAAAAGCTTTTTATCACACTTTTTCCACTTTTCAATTTCCTTTTTCTTTTCATTCTTTCTCACTTTTCTTTTTCTTTTTAATTTCCTTTTTTTTTTTTTTTAATACAAAGATGACCAAGTGTAGTTTTATATTTGGTAAGATAAAATAAATAATGATGTTTTTACTTTAGAAAAAAAAATTCATGGATTTCTTTATAGCTGGCAAATCAGGACGAAAGATCTCTTTAGAAAATGTAGCCCATTCATGTCCTCAATGTAAAAGTGAAGCATCCGTCCGATTGACACGAACTGAACGACAATTGATCATACTCAACAAACGTATTAAGGACTCTATCTCAGTTCGTTATGAATGTGAGGATTGTAGTTGGAGAAATACAGAATTACCGAACGAAACATCTATGGCCAATTTACAACGATATCTCACCACCACCAGTTATACAAGCTTAACTAATTCAGATGATTATCCTATGACCTTTGAAAGTGGCAAGACAGCTTATTCTATCTCCTCTTTTCATTATTGATGAACGAATGGATTATCTATTGCCACCAATCATCCCTCAGCATCAATCATACATCTTCAACAAGCATTACCCATCATCATCACTATTATTTTATATATATATATATATTTATCTATATTTATTTGACCATATACATATAGACATTTAGACAGAATACATAGATAAACACTCTTTCTCAGATATCCATATATATATATATATATAGTCCTCATTATTATTAATAGATTACATAGATTCATTTTTTTTAGATACCCTTCTTTATTTCCTTTTTTTTTTTTTAAAAAAAAAAAAACCACTTGATCTCCTTAGTTTACCATGATGTTTTAATGAATCACTATCCCCTGTCTCTCCCTAATATCTTTTTTTTTTTTTTTTTTTTGTATACTAAGGAAGAAATAAAATAGAAATCCACTTTATTACCCCTTCTTTTTCTATTTTCGGTTATCCATGATGGTACAACGTGACACCTAAAACAAACAAGGTTGCATATTCCAATTGCTTCCCCCTCTTTTTTTTTTGATCAATGAATGGAATGTAAATGTTTGTTTTAACATTGTATATGTGTTTTATTTTCCCAAATATTTTTTTTAAAAAAAAAACCATATCGATCAAGCTAAAGAATGAAGATACTAACTAACTAACTAACTAACTAACTAATACACAACCTAACAGAAAAAAAAAAAAAAAAACTAGATCAAGCTATAACTATTTATCTATATCTAAACTTAGGATGATTTGCCATTATCTTCCTTCAAAGTCACAGTACGATTCATCACCAAGCGACCAATAGCATCCTTGATATTACCATGTTTTGAGAAAGCTTCCAAATCAATTTCTGTATCCCAATCCAAACAAAAGTAACCAGTACGCACGAATTGCCATCGCATGCTTTCCTTATCCTTGCCTCCAGTCTTCTTGATCCAATCGGCAATATGATCGTAGATACCCACATTTGCAATAGCCCCTTTGACCACGTGTAATGAGTTTTCATTGATATCTTTGAGATAGCCACCTTCCACTCGATCAGGATTGTCATGTTTGAAAAGTGCTTGATATAATCGTACTTCATCCAAGGCTACAGGTGAATTGTGAGCGGGTGATTCGGCCACCCAGTGAATATATGTCTTGGGTTTCTTGAAAGCCACATCGTTTTCATATTCACATACCAATTCTTGAATGTTTCCTTCACTATCCTTCTTGGCTTCTACAAATCGTACAGGATGTTTCAAGTGCAACAAACCAACAGACTTGCCAGGGGTCAAACGGTAATAATCCTTTGAATCTTCTTCACGGAAATCAGAACGATCAATGTACAACACCTTGGTAAAAGGTACCTTGACTTCACCCATGCTAGGATCCCGTGGTTTGTTGGGTACAATCACTTCTTCCAGGTAATCATCCGGTAAATTCTTCAAAACCACCTTCAAAGGTTCAGTAATTGCCATCAATCGAGGAGTTGTGTTATCCAGATATTCACGTGTCTTGGCATCAAATCGTAAAACATCAATCACTGTTTTGTTGGTTGTTACACCTAATTCGAGAACAAAGTTGTTGATGGCTTGAGGAGGTACACCACGTCGTCTAATGCCAACAAGGGTATACAATCTAGGATCATCCCTATATATATTAAAAAGAAAAAAAGAAAAGAAAAAAAGAATAAGTTTATTTGATACCATCTTTATATATACATATATACATATATATCTCCAACTTACCAATCATGAACATGACCTTGATTAACCATATTGAGAATCTTTCGCTTGGACATGATGGTACCAGTCACATTGAGTCTTCCATATTCCCATTGCACAGGCTTGTATACTTCAAGAGCATCCACCAACCAATAATAACTTTCACGAGATTGTCTGAATTCAGTTGTACATAAAGAGTGAGTGATATTTTCCATAGAATCAACCAAACAATGGGTATAGTCGTAGGTAGGATAAATACACCATTTGGAGCCAGTACGATGATGAGGTGTATATAATACACGGTAAGCGATCAAATCCCAGAACTGAGGATTGCCATTTTCCAAATCCATTTTCATTCGAAGAGTGATTTCTCCTTCCTTGTAACGTCCTTCCTTCATCTTGATAAATTGATCCAAAGTTTCTTCAATAGGTCGTTCACGATGTACACAAGCCACACGAGGTCCTCCTTCATCACCACCACGAGAAGCATGGATTTCTTCTCCAGTACATTGACAAGTATAAGCATGTCCACTCTTGATCAATTTGATAGCCAAATCAAAAAGTTCTTGGAAATAATCAGATGAATAGGTGATTTTCCAAGGTTCAAAGCCAAGCCAACGAACAGTTTCCAAGATAGAGGTAAAGTACTTTTCTTCTTCAGCTTCAGGATTGGTATCATCATATCGAAGATAACATAAACCATCGTATGCTTTAGCATAACCAAAACTGACATTGATAGCCTTTGCATGTCCAATATGAAGGTAACCATTGGGTTCAGGAGGGAATCGAGTCATTACTTTTCCACCAGTTGCTTTCAAATGTTGTTCCATAAGTTCAGGTTTGATTTGTTTATTGCCACCAGGTTTATGTAATTTGGCCAATTCACCTTCAAAGAACATTTTCGTAGGATCTTGTTTGGTTTCAGTAGATTCAGTGGCATCTTTTGTAGTATTAGCATCCTTGACTTCCTTCTTGGCTTTGGGTTCCTTCTTCTTTTTTTGAGGTACATCACGTTCATCCTTGGGACCAAGTAATGCCAAATATTGTGCTTCCAATTCAGTCTTAGTCAACCCACCATCAGCCCACTTGAGATTTGGTAATTTGCGAGCAGCAGCTAAAGAAGGACCTAATGTCTTGTATCTATTGTTGACAATGTTTTCCTTGTTGGTTTCGATATATTCGGCAATAGTTTGTTTGATTTCTTCTGGTGTGATCACCACCCCTATATTTGTGTTTGATAAGGATTCTTTGTGAGTCACTCTATATACATATTGACATACCCAATTTCCTTTTTTGATACCTCCCGATGTACACACACACACACATATCACTTTCCATTTTTTTATTATTATTTTATATCACTTACCAACGCCAGATGCTTCATTGAATGCGGTTTCATCAATAGTATCCAACTCTTCTACAAACTTAATAGCAGCTATAAAGAGAATGATATTAATGTTACTTGTAACTTGATTTTTTTTTTGTTTCCATTATTCTAATTACCAGCCACTTGATCAGTTGATTTCAAATCGCCTTTGATGATCTTGTTAACAATAAAAGTACGGTGAGATTGAGCTTCTTTGGTAATAGTAGAAGCCAAGTTGTATAATAGATTGCCAATATCCTTGTCGCAGCCAGTTTCTCGTACCTTGGCTTCATCGATGACAGCTTCTAAAGTAGGTGCTAACTTTTTGTTCTTGGCAGTATCTTTGGCCTTTTGTTCAGATAGACCAATTTTCATAAAAATAGGAATAAGTTCATCCATAGTAATTGCTGATAAAAATGACAATATAAAAAAAAATAAAATAAAAAAATAAAAGAAACAAGAAAAAGAGAAAAAAAAAAAAGAAAAAGAGGAGAAGGTTTTTTTTTTTGGGCCACTCAAAAAGATCACTCCAATCTTTGTGACTGAAGAAAAAAAATACAACTACAACCAGTAGACGGCAAGATCAAATCAAGCAAAAAAAAAAAAAAAAAAAAAAAAAAAAAACTCAGCTGGTATTTTTTTTTTCTTCCTTTTTCTTTTTATGTATGGATAAAAAGGAGAATAATATCTTTGTTTCCAATGATTAATACTGAACTGGATAATATAAATAACGAGGTAAAGAAAATATTATTTATTATTATTATACTTTTATTATAACTGGAAATGTCTAACCTCTATTATCGTTTTTCATCCACTTGTTTTATGCTTCTTTTATTAGTATGTATTATCACTCTTGGTCAACAAGCTATCGTGTTATCTATTTATATCATTCAAGTAAAAGTCTTCCAAGTAAGTCTAAAATATAATTTATTTATTTATTTATTTATCGTTTTTATTATCATAGGAATTACAAGGTCTCTATCTTTTTAACAATCACACAAATAAGCAACACTATTTGGATTGGTAAGACTGATTATATGATATTTTTTAATTCATTCATTTTCACCTTGTTTCTTTTTATGGTTATTATCATTAATAAATAGGTACCTTTTTATTGTATGGAGTGCCTGGATTCTTACTGAGACTCTCAAAGTGCAAATGGATTATCTTGCTTGGTTGCGATTAACCTGTGCTCTTGGTTATTCCATTTGTAAGTTAAAAAAAAATCAATTTCTTTTTAAATGATACTGATTGTTCTTCTTCTTATAGGGTTTGTGTTATCCATTCTCTTATTCAATACTGATGATATGATGCCACAACTGGGTCACTTTTGTTGGATGCATGTTATTCATCTTTATTCTGTCACTCAGGTTTTTATCTTATCTTTGAATCTCAGTCATGGTCTATATTGGTATTTAGCAAATGCATCTTTATTTTCCCATTTTATTGACAGTATTATTATTTGTTTATTAGGTTCTTATTTCCTTGTTCTCTTGTGATATGTAATGATATTGCTGCTTACATTTGTGGTCGATGGTTTGGTCGAACAAGACTGATTTCTTTAAGTCCAAATAAAACTTTGGAAGGTTATATTGGTGCCTGCTTCATCACTCTGCTATTTGGTTATAAGGTAATTTACATATTAAAAAATAGAATTTATCATTATATTGCATAATTTCTAATGACAATTTCTTATCTAAAAAAAAAAAAAAACTAGTTTTCGACTTGGCTTACTCAATTTGACTATTTATTCTTGAAGGTAAAACAAAAGAAAAGAAGATATAAAAAATAGTGTTTCTTTTTTTCTCACTTTTGTTTCATAGGATGCACCTCCTATCGCGCAATGGTTGGAAACGGGTATAGGTAGATGGACTCAACATCAAATTCCTGATCACATGCAATATCATGGTGTTATCTTAGCTCTCTATGCTTCATTGGTGGCACCTTTTGGTGGATTTTTAGCCAGTGCGTTGAAAAGAGCAAAAGGGATTAAGGATTTTGATCAACAATTTATACCTGGACACGGTGGAATGAGTGATAGGATGGATTGTCAATTACTCATTGGATTCTTTACCTTGGTATATCTTCATTCTGTAGTTATTTGAAAGAACAAATATTTTACTTTTATCGTTATTTTTATGCAATAAAGTTTGTACAATGATTGGTTACCAATGAAATTTTTATGTACTGAAGATATGTTTTGTATTGTTTTTTTTTTTTTTGTTTATTAAACTAATGGTTTGGGAAAATATCATGGTTGATGAGAAGTGTTATTGCTCATACGACAAGGAAATGACACGGTCTTCTAAAGGGATAGGCACCGGAAAAGACTTAGTGTTTGTTACACGATCAGCCAAAACGGCAAGCTTGGAAATAAGGCCCTCTAATGCACTCAATCTTTGCGCCGAGCGAAAATAAAAAAAGGGCTATTTTTGAACATGAAATTAAACTTGGAAAAAAAAAATGTCTAGATGATCCTATTCGGGACTATCAGTAAACTTTGTTTTTTTTTTTTTTTGTTGCCCTGATGATGAATGACAAGCTAACTTTTTTTTTTTGGAATACAGAATACAAATAAACAATATATTCTAATATGATATGGACGATGATGGAAAAAAAGGAATATAAGATGCTTCTTTTTTTATTTTTATTTTCACTTTTAACATTATATAGTATTGGAATACAAAAGAAATAAGAGAAATCATACGTTTTGCGGGTGAACGGGACCTGAAGTTCTCAGTTCTCTTTAACCAGAATAGTACGTGTGGCTGGAACTTCATCCTATAGAAAGTGATTATAAAAAATGGATGATGATAACGATGATGTTGCTTGGCAAATTTTTTTTTTTTTTTTTGTGAACTAATAGATGGCCGAGGTCGGTAAACGTTTCATAAAAGGGAACTTGGAATAATTTGCTCACTATAGTAAGATTGAACATCCGATTGACGGCTTACCTTAATTTGTGTTTTAACCCTTTCTGACAACAGAAGATAACATCTTTTCCCCCCCCCTTTACATATAAAGATGATTGGCAATAGATGATGATGTACAAATAGTCATGTAAAATAAAGAAAAACAATACAAATCACGTTATAAAGACAATCGATATAAAAATAAAAAGAAGAAACAAAAAAAAAAAAAGAAAGATGCTGGAACGCGTTCAACCTCATTTTGTGTGAGAATAAAACTACCATCCAATCAGGGATAGGTTACATGCACTATGCGTTTTTGTACTACAATTTCAACAATATATTTGGTTTCGAGTTTTGAAAAGACGAAAAGACATAAAAAGGGGCGATTCTCAAGATTTTTTTTTACTTTTTCTTTTCTTTATCATTTTAAAACACTTGATTATATTATAAAACATGTAAGTTTCTTATTTGATGATGGATGATGACAGATGATGATTGACTTTTTTTTTTTATCATAGGGGCCTCTCTGATCTCTTTGGCAAGCAACACGAAGAAGTTGAAAGCGCTTCTCATGAACACAAGGGTTCTCTTACCCACGAAGCCATTGCTGGTGCTGCCGCTTATCAAGCTCTCAAGGCTTACAATGAACACTGTGAACGTGAAGGCAAGCCCGTTGAACACGCCAAGGCCAAGCAACTCCTTGCTGGTTTCGCTGGTGCTGCTCTTGACAAGCTGTAAGTGTTTTGGAGGAAAAAAAATAAGATGATGTATATAGAAAAAAAAAAGAGGGATATTGATGAATGTTACTTTTATTTAGTGTTGAAACCAAGGGTTTGGACTTCGTTGACAAGCAAAAGGCCAAGCGTCACGCTGAAGAACAACTCTCCTCTCACTACGATTCCGAATATCAATAAATGTATTGATTGGTTATCACGTTGTACCTTTTTGTATATTCCCCTCTCCAATCCGTTATTCTCTTAGTTTAGTAAATATTGTCACTGTATAACAAAGAAGAATAAATAAAAAATAAAAAAAAAATACTCTTTGGAGTTATTTTTTTTTTGTATATTAATATTAATGTTTATCGTGTCATTCATTCATTGGACTTTCCGTCTTATGATGCTATTTTTGAAAGACATGCTATAATAGATTATTATATAAAAAAAGCCTTTCTCTTTGGTGCTGTCTTTAAGCGGGGAACGTTTGAATTAAAAGTCAGTCGAAGCTTCATGATGATGATCAATATGTTAGGATGGATGGATGATATGTGATGGAGTTGCTTAGCGTAATGATTAGGTTAGAAAATAGATGTAGGATAGGTCAGTGATTTTAGTCTATTGAAAAATAAAAAAAAAAAGTTGATTATCTTATCTACATTTGAAAAACTTGTATTCTATTATATATTCGTTTGAAAGCAATAAAACGCTTTACCATCGTGTAGTTAATATACGTTTGTTGTTAGAACATCTGTACTCTTTTATTAATAGTGTGTGTGATTCATTCGCTGATCAGCACTGTGAACATGTCAGTCTTTATCAAGGCTCATTGCTAGTGAAGCAGAGTGGTTTTCAAAGTCCTATTTTTCTTTCTTTTATCTTTCTTTGGTGATAATTTTTTTTTTTTATTTTCGTTCCTTTTCTTTTCTTTCCTTTTCTATTTATTCACTTTAATTTTAGTATATCAAATTGTTAGCCTTTAGTATTTATATTTTCACTCAATAAAGTTTTTTATTTTTTTACAATTACTTTGTTACATGTCAACAGAATTGATTCCATCTTTTAAGATGTCCTTTTTATTTTATGTTTGAATGCATTCTTTTTATTTTTTTTATCTTATCCATATATTACAGGTACGAAATACGTTGATATATTGATACGATAGGGATATGGATGATATGGGATGACGGGATAACAGGATGATACTACATACAGCACGATAAACACGACAATTGTCTTTGAAATTGAAGTTCACAACGTAACCAAGGGATAAACAGGTCATCAGAGCACTATCTTTCAAATAAAAAAAATGCTGGTGTGAGAATAAAACAGTCAACCAATCATGAACATGTTACATGCACGATGCATATAATAGATTCTGGTATCGTACAAGATGATCTTTTGGTAATGGATTAATTTTTGTTCATGATTGATCTTTTTTTTTTAATATTTGTCTTCCTTTGTGCTACTTAACTAGGTTCGTTTCGAACTTTGACAAGTGGAAGATATAAAATGGGCGGTCCTCAAGATTTTTTCCTTTTCTTTTCTCTTTATCTTTTCAATACACTTGATTATATTGTAAAACATGTAAGTTCTCATTGATGGTAGTTGTTGTTGTTGACGATGATGATGATAATGAAACTGACTTCATTTTTTTTAATCGTCAGGTCCTTCTCTTCTTTCTTTGCCGGATCTAAAAACGACACAAAGGGCATGATTACCCATGACGCCATTGGTGGTCTTATCGCTTTCGAGGTTGCCAAGGCTTACGAAGCCCACTGTGATCATCATGGCAAGCCCGATGATCATGCCAAGGCCAAGGAAATGCTTAGTAGTTTGATCGGTGCTGCAGCTACGAGGGTGTAAGTATTCTGAAAAAATAGGAGAAATAATGATGTATAGAGAAAGAGCATTGATGTTATTTTTATTTAGTGCTGAAACCAAGGGTTTGGACAACGTTGACGAGGCCAAGGAATACGCTGAACAACAAATTTTCGATCAGTACGACCAATATTATGTATGAATTGTATTGACTGCTTTTTATATTGTGTGTATCTTTTGTATATTCCCCTCCTCTCCAATTCATTAATCTTTTAGTTTAGTAAATATTATCACTATATAACAAGGAAGAAGAATAAAAAAATGGACTCTAAGGAGCACTTTTATATACCAATATCACTATTTACCGAATCATCCATTCAATGAGTAAGAAAATATAACAGATTAGATGGATTTAGAGTTTATAGTGCCACGAATTCTTTCTTTTTTTGTGTAGTTTTTAATTAGAGAGTGCATGGATTGAGGCCCAGTTATTTCCAAAACAAGCTTTTGACCTAGTCTATACTGTAATGATGATGATCGACATACGAATGATGGATGGTATGTGATTATTGATGATGATGGACGTTGGATGGTATGTGATTTGGCACTTGTTGTAGATAGTTAGTTAAATAAGAGAACAGACGTAGGGGTAAGTCAGTGATTTTCAAAGTCCTATTTTTGGTTCTTCATCTATTGCATAATTCTGTTTTTTTATTTTCTTTCACTTTCTTTTCTTTTCTCTTCTTTTAACTTTTTATAGTTTTATTATATTCATTAGTATAGTCGTTAGTTTATTTATACTTTTTATTCAATAAAACTTCTTATTTTGTTACTACTACCTTGTTACATGCCAACAGAATTGATTCCATCAAGACGTATTTTTTATTTTATGTACGAATGCATACTTTTTATTTTTTAACTCATCCATATATTGCAGATACGAAATACGTCGATACGTTGACATGATAGGGATATGGATGATATGGGATGACAGGATAACAGGATGATACTACATACAGTACGATAAACACGACAATCATCTTTGAAATTGAAGTTCACAACGTAACAATTAGCTCCAAGTGATAAATAGGTCATCAGAGAGCAGTGTCTTTCAAACAAAATGTTGGTGTGAGAATAAAACAATTATCCAATCATGAATAGGTTACGTGAACGATGCATATAGTGGATTCTGGTATCGTACAAAATGATCTTTTGGGAATGGATTAATTTTTGTTCATGATTGATCTTTTTTTTTTTTTAATATTTGTCTTCCTTTGTATTACTTAACTAGGTTTGTTTCGAACTTTGACATGTGGAAGATATAAATGGGCGCTCCTCAAGATTTTTTCCTTTTTTTTTGTATCATTTTAATACAGTTGATTACATTATTAAACATGTAAGTTCTCTTGATGACGGTTAATGATGATAATAACCGACTTTGTTTCTTAATCGTCATAGGACCATGTCTAATCGATTTGGGGAGCAGTACACACAGGTTGTAAGCAGCCCACATAAAGCTAAACTTAGTGTTGAACTTGTTGCTGATGCTGCATGCTACCGAGCCATCAAGGCCTACAACGCACACTGTGAACGTGAGGGCAAGCCCGTTGAACACACCAAAGCCAAGGAACTCCTTGGTGGTTTCGCTGGTGATGCTCTTGACAGCATGTACGTACTTTTTTTTTTTAAAAAAAAAATAGGATAATGGAAAAAAAAGAAGGGATATTGATGAATATTACTTATATCTAGTGTTGAGACCAAGGATTTGGACGTCATTGACAAGCGAAAGGTCAGGCAATACGCTGAAGAGGTACTTAACGATGAATACGACCAATATTATGAGTTGTATTGATTGCTTTTTATATTGTGTGTACGTTTCGTATTTTCCCCTCCTCTCCAATTCATTATTCTTTTAGTTTAGTAAGCATTATCGCTATATAACAAGGAAGAAGAATAAAAAAAAATGGACTCTAAGGAGCACGTTTATATACCAATATCACTAGTTACTGAATCATCCATTCAATGGGCAAGAAAAGATAATAGATTGGATAGATTTAGAGTTTATAGTGCCACGAATTCTTTCTTTTTTTGTGTAGTTTTTAATCGGGCAGTGCATGGACTGAGGGTCAGTTATTTCCAAAACGAGTTTTTGACCTAGTCTATACTGTAATGATGATGATCGACATATGAATGATGGATGGTATGTGATTATGAATGACGATTGATGATGGATGATAAGTGATTTGGTGCTTGTTGTAGACGTAGGGGTAAGTCAGTGATTTTCAAAGTCCTATTTTTAATTCTTCATAATTTTTTTTTTTATTTTCTTTCTTTTTCTTTCTTTTTCTTTCTTTTTTTCTATCGATTTTTTATAGTTACATTCATTAGTATAGTCGTTAGTTTATATATGCTTTTCATTCAATAAAACTTTTTATTTTATTACAACTACTTTGTTACATAACAGAATTGATTCCGTCTTCGACATGTCCTTTTTATTTTATGTTTGAATGCATTCCTTTTATTTTACTCATATATTATAGGTACAAAATACGTCGATATGTTGATACAATAGGGATATAGATGATATGGGATGACAGGATAACAGGATGATACTACATACAGCACGATTAACACGACAATCGTCTTCGAAATTGAAGTTCACAACGTAACAATTAGCTCCAAGTGGTAAACAGGTCATAAGAGAACACTATCTCTCAAATAAAAAATGTTGGTGTGAGAATAAAACAATTATCCAATCATGAATAGGTTACATGCACGATGCATATAGTTGATTCTGGTATCGTACAGAATGACCTTTTGGGAATGGATTGATTTTTGTTCATGAATGAATCTTGTTCTTTTTTTTAAAAAAAAATATTTGTCTTTCTTTTGTACTACTACCTTAATAGATTCGTTTCGAATTTTGCTATAAAAAGAGCGCCCCTCAAGATTTTTCCTTTTTTTTTTTTATTTATCATTTTAATACATTTGATTATACTATAAAACATGTAAGTTCTCATTAATGATGATTGATGACGATTGACTTCATTTTTTTTTTTTTTTTTGATCGTCAGGCCCCTCTTTGATCACTTTGCCGAACAACACGAAGAAGTTATCAACGCGGGACATAAAGCTAAACTTAGCCACGAACTCATTGCTGCTGCTGCTTCTTATGAAGCCGCCAAAGCTTACGAGGAACACTGTGAACGTGAAGGCAAACCCGTTGCACACGCCAAGGCCAAGCAACTCCTTGCTGCTTTCACTGGTGCTGCTCTTGACAAGCTGTAAGTGTTTTGGAGGAAAAAAAATAAGATGATGTATATAGAAAAAAAAAAAGAGGGATATTGATGAATGTTACTTTTATTTAGTGTTGAAACCAAGGGTTTGGACTTCATTGACAAACAAAAGGCCAAGCGTCACGCTGAAGAACAACTCTCCTCCCACTACGATTCCGAATATCAATAAATGTATTGATTGGTTATCACGTTGTACCTTTTTGTATATTCCCCTGTCCAATCCATTATTCTCTTAGTTTAGTAAATATTGTCACTGTATAACAAAGAAGAATAAAAAAAAAAATAAAAAAAAAATACTCTTTGGAGTTATTTTTTTTTTTTTGTATATTAATATTAATGTTTATCGTGTCATTCATTCATTGGATTTTCCGTCTTATGATGCTATTTTTGAAAGACATGCTATAATAGATTATTATAAAAAAAAACCTTTCTCTTTGGTGCTGTCTTTAAGCGGGGAACGTTTGGATTAAACGTCAGTCGAAGCTTGATGATGATGATGTTAGTGTGATGGAGCTCCTTAGCGTAATGATTAGATTAGAAAATAGATGTAGGATAGGTCAGTGGGATTCATTTTAGTCTATTGAAAAATAAAAAAAAAGATGATTATCTTATCTACATTTGAAAAACTTGTATTCTATTATATATTCGTTTGAAAGCAATAAAACTCTTTACCATCGTGTAGTTAATATGCGTTTGTTGTTAGAACGTATGTACTCTTTTATTAATATTGTGTGTGATTCATTCAATAATCAGCACTGTGAACATGTCAATCTTTATCAAGGCTCATTGCTAGTGAAGCAGAGTGGTTTTCAAAGTCCTATTTTTCTTTCTTTTATCTTTCTTTGGTAATAATTTTTTTATCTTCGTTCCTTTTCTTTCCTTTTTTTTTTATTCACTTTAATTTTAGTATATCAAATTGTTAGCCTTTAGTATTTATATTTTCACTCAATAAAGTTTTTTGTTTTGTTACAGCTACTTTGTTACATGTCAACAGAATTGATTCCATCTTTAAGATGTCCTTTTTATTTTATATTTGAATGCATTCTTTTTTTTTTTTTTTTATCTTTTCCATATATTACAGGTACGAAATACGTTGATATATTGGTACGATAGGGATGAATGGATGAATGGACGATATGGGATGACGGAATAATGGGATCATACTACATACAGTACGATAAACGCGACAGTCTTCATTTGAAAGTGAAGTTCACAACGTGTTGATTAGCTCCAAAGGATAAACACATCATTATAGGATAGAACAAACGCCACCTTCCGAATAAAAATGTTCGTGTGAGTACGAAACAATCAGCCAATCGTAAACAGATGACACGCATCATGCATATAATGGACTCTGGTACCAGTCTTTTGGGAATTCATCTTTCTTTTTTTTTAATATTTGTCTTTCTTTTGTATTACTTAACTAGGTTCGTTTCGAACTTTGACAAGTGGAAGATATAAAATGGGCGCTCCTCAAGATTTTTTCCTTTTCTTTTTTTCTTTATCGTTTTAATACGCTTGATTATATTATAAAACATGTAAGTTCTCATTGATGTGGTTGATGATGATGATGATGATTGATGATGATGATTGATGATGATGATTGATGATGATGATGATTGATGATGATGATTGATGACGATTGACTTTATTTTTTTGATCGTCAGGCCCCTCTTTGATTACTTTGCCGAACATCACGAAGAATTTGAAAACTCACATCACGGCAGTGTTACCTATGTCCTCCTTGGTGACGCTGCTGCTTACGAAGCGGCAAAGGCTTATGAAGAGCGCGGTGGTCGTCGAGGTCCGGAATATGATCGTGCCATGGCCAAGAAAGTTCTTGCAGATCTTGCCGCCGCTAACGTTGATAGACTGTAAGTATTTTGTAAAAATAGGAGAAATGACAGTGCATAGAGAAAGAGTATTGATATTATTTTTATTTAGTGTTGAAACCAAGGGTTTGCACCACATTGACAAGGCGAAGGCCAAGCGACACGCTGAAGAACTAATTTCTGATAAATGCGACCAATATTATGGATTGTATTGATTGATTTTTATATTGTGTGTATCTTTTGTATATTCCTTTCCGCTCCAATTCATTATTCTTTTAGTTTAGTAAGCATTATCACTATATAACAAGGAAGAAAAATAAAAAAAAAGGACTCTAAGGAGCACTTTTGTATACCAATATCACTATTTACCGAATCATCCATTCAATGGGTAAGAAAATATAATAGATTGGATAGATTTAGAGTTTATAGTGCCACGAATCCTTTCTTTTTTTGTGCGGTTTTTAATCGGGCAGTGCATGGACTGGGGGTCAGTTATTTCCAAAACGAGTTTTTGACCTAGTCTATACTGTAATGATGATGATCGACATACGAATGATGGATGGTATGTGATTATGAATGATGATTGATGATGGGTGGTATGTAATATGGTATTTGTTGCAGATAGTTGATTAGATTAGAAAATAGACGTCGGATAAGTCAGTGATTTAGCTTATTTTTTAAAATAAAAAAGAAAAGTTGATTATTACATCTATTATTATTCGTTTGAAAATAGTAAAAAATTTTACCATCATATGTTAAATATGTATTTCTTTTCGATCACATATGATATATTTTAATATGATTCATTTCCGATGATCAGGATGATAAATATATTGACATTATTTATGAAGAGATTAAGCTCATTTACTGCCTAGGAACACAGGAGCAGGATGATTTTCAAAGTCCTATTTTCAGTTCATCCTCTTTTAATCTTAAATCTTATTATTTATTTTCTTTCTCTTTCTTTCCTTTCTTTTCCGTTGACTTTTTATAGTTCTACTGTATTCATTAGTATAGTCGTTAGTTTATATATATTTTTTATTCAATAAATTTTTTTTCGTTTTGCTACAACTACTTTGTTACATGTCAACATAATTGATTCAACCTTCAAGATGTAGTTTTTATGTTTGAACGCATTCTTTTTATTTTACTCATACATTATAGGTATCAAATGCGTTTATACGATAATAATAAATGGATGAATGGATGATGGGATTGATAGAATCACGCTATGATACTACATACATTACGATAAACACGATAACCGCCTTGAAAGTGAAGTCCCCAACGTGAGGATTAGCTCCAATTGATAAAAAACCGTCATAGAATAAACAAATACTACCGCTCGAGTAAAAAATGCTGGTGTGAGAATAAAACAGTCAACCAATCATGAACATGTTACATGCACGATGCATATAATGGATTCTGGTATCGTACAAGATGATCTTTTGGTAATGGATTAATTTTTGTTCATGATTGATCTTTTTTTTTAATATTTGTCTTCCTTTGTACTACTTAACTAGGTTCGTTTTGAACTTTGACAAGTGGAAGATATAAAATGGGCGCTCCTCAAGGTTTTTTCCTTTTCTTTTTTTTTTTTTTATCGTTTCAATACACTTGATTATATTATAAAACATGTAAGTTCTCATTGACCGTGGTTGATGATGATGATGATGATGATGATGACGACTGACTTTATTTTTTTTCTAATCGTCAGGGGGGCGTTCTCTCAAGCATTTTCCCAGGAAGAAATTCAAAATGGAACAACTCATGACCTCCTCGCCGGTCAGACTGCTTACCAAGCTGCCAAGAAGTACGACGACTACTGTGAAAGTAATGGCAAGCCCGATGGTCATGCCAAGGCCAAGGAAATGCTTAGTAATTTTATCAGCGCTGCTGTTAACGAACTGTAATTATTTGAAAAAATAGGAGAAATGATGATGTATAGAGAAAGAGCATTGATGTTATTTTTATTTAGTGCTGAAACCAAAAGTTTGGACTTCATTGACAAGCAAGAGGTCAAGCGTCACGCTGAAGAACAAATTTTCGATCAGTACGACCAATATTATGGATTGTATTGATTGATTTTTATATTGTGTGTATCTTTTGTATATTCCTTTCCGCTCCAATTCACTATTCTTTTAGTTTAGTAAGCATTATCACTATATAACAAGGAAGAAGAATAAAAAAAGGACTCTAAGGAGCACTTTTATATACCAATATCACTACTTACTGAATCATCCATTCAATGGGTAAGAAAATATAATAGATTGGATAGATTTAGAGTTTACAGTGCCACGAATTCTTTCTTTTTTTGTGTAATTTTTAATCAGGGAGCTCATGGATTGAGGGTCAGTTATTTCCAAAACGAATGTTTGACCGAGTGTATACTCTGTAATGATGATGATCGACATACGAATGATGGATGGTATGTGACTATGAATGATGATTGATGATGGATGATAAGTGATTTGGTACTTGTTGTAGACGTAGGGGTAAGTCAGTGATTTTCAAAGTCCTATTTTTAATTCTTCATAATTTTTTTTTTTATTTTCTTTCTTTTTCTTTCTTTTTCTTTCTTTTTTTCTATCGATTTTTTATAGTTACATTCATTAGTATAGTCGTTAGTTTATATATGCTTTTCATTCAATAAAACTTTTTACTTTATTACAACTACTTTGTTACATAACAGAATTGATTCCATCTTCGACATGTCCTTTTTTTTATGTTTGAATTCCTTCCTTTTATTTTACTCATATATTATAGGTACAAAATACGTCGATATATTGATACAATAGGGATATGGATGATATGGGATGACAGGATAACAGGATGATACTACATACAGCACGATAAACACGACGATCGTCTTTGAAATTGAATTTCACAACGTAACAATTAGCTCCAAGTGGTAAACAGGTCATCAGAGAACACTATCTCTCAAATAAAAAATGTTGGTGTGAGAATAAAACAATTATCCAATCATGAATAGGTTACATGCACGATGCATATAGTTGATTCTGGTATCGTACAGAATGACCTTTTGGGAATGGATTGATTTTTTGTTCATGAATGAATCTTGTTCTTTTTTTTTAAAAAAAAATATTTGTCTTTCTTTTGTACTACTACCTTAATAGATTCGTTTCGAATTTTGATATAAAAAGAGCGCCCCTCAAGATTTTTCCTTTTTTTTTTTTATTTATCATTTTAATACATTTGATTATACTATAAAACATGTAAGTTCTCATTAATGATGATTGATGACGATTGACTTCATTTTTTTTTTGGTCGTCAGGCCCCTCTTTGATCTCTATGCCGACCAACACGAAGAAGTTACCAACGCGGGACATAAAGCTGAACTTAGCCACGAACTCATTGCTGCTGCTGCTTCTTATGAAGCGGCCAAAGCTTACGAGGAACACTGTGAACGTGAAGGTAAACCCGATAACCATGCCAAAGCCAAGGAAATCCTTGCTGGTTTGACTGGTTTTGCCGTTGACAGGATGTACGTATTTTGAAAAGCAGGAGAAATGATGATGTATAGAGAAAGAGTATTAATGTTATCTTTATTTAGTGTTGAAACCAAAGGTTTGGACTACATTGACAAGGCAAAGGCCAAGCATCATGCTGTACGAGAACTTTCCTCTCAATTGGAGAACGAATATCATCAATAAATGCACGGATTAGTTTTTACCTTTTTGTATATTTCCCTCTCCAATCCATTATTCTTTTAGTTTAGTCGATATCACAGCTATTTAACAAAGAATAAAAAAAAAAAACAAAAAAACAAAAAGAAAACCCTCAAAGGAGCATTTTTGTATACCAATATTACTATTTGTTGAGTCATCATCCATTTGCCTTTGATGAAGATCGCCTACTGTCATAGGAGAATGAGGGAGATGCGGCGGGAAATAAAATGACCAGCAATTTTTTTTTTTTTTTTTTTTTGCCTTCTCACCGTGTTGTTAGTTTTCCGCATCTTACTTTCCCATCCTCTTTTATTAGCATAATCATGGATGATCAGCAAGACGTATACGAATTATCAGACAATGAATATGAAGTAGAAGAAATTATTGATCATCGTGGTAAAGTAAGTCAATTCTATTTTACTATTTTTATTTTCACTCAACTTTTTCCCCAATATATATTTTTTTTTCTTTGTTGTGGGATAGGGTCCGACACAAGAGTTTTTGATTAAATGGAAGGATTATGACGATGAATATAATACTTGGGAACCTAGAGAAAACCTTGAGTAAGTTGATATTTTTTTTTTCTTTTTTGATGTAAACATAGTAATATTCGTGTTTTTTTTTTTTTTATTCATTGCTTTTTAACAGTTCGGCAAAAGATCTACTTGACAACTATTTCCAATCCTTGAAGAGCGCGCCAACTTCCAAAAGCAAACCCACTAAAACAAAGAAAAAAGGTAATAAAGAAATATAAAATAAGAACGACAATCGTGACTCATTGTTAATATTTCATAACTATAGAAATTCGTCAAGCTGAAGTCTCACCTGTAGAAAGTGAATACGAAAATAGTGATCAACAATTAGACGAACTATCCGAAGAAGAATTCAAATTGGACAAAGATAAGAAGGACGATATTGATGATGAACCTCTCTTCCAACAATCAAAGATCAAAAGTATCGTTATCGGTACACTCTCATCAACCTCAAAACCAAAGGATGTCACCAAATCTTTATCACCATCACCAACACCATCAATAAAACAGAAAAGGCAGTATCGACCAAGGACGACTAGCAGTGATGAATCGGATGTGGATGAAAATGATAATAGTTCTGAATACAATGTGGAAATTAGAAGAAAACGACCAAAGCGAAAAACAACAACTAGGAATCAAGCAATCACGTCTATTGATCTTAGTGATGAAGAAGAAAGATACAAGGAAGAAGATGACAAGGAATCTCAAGACGAATTCAAAATAAAAATCAAAAATGATGATGATGGGTTGACTCGGACATCTTGGAATACGCATTTGGATGGAGAAATGAAGAATATCTCAATTATTTCTGATGATGGCTATAACGAAAATATCAAGAATTGGGAACGAAAAATTAAAAGAGTCGCGGCCATGTATAAAACTGATAATGATAGTATTTTAGCTTTAGTCGAGTGGTAAGGATATCAAAAAAAAAAAAAAAAGATCCATATATCTAAAATGACAAACTTTTTTATTTTTGTCTTGTCTATATAGGAAAACTGGTGATTTTTCATTACATGATCAAAATGTATTACATCAACATTGTCCTCAAGCGGTAAAAAAGAAAAATGATCCCACTCTACTTACAGTACTTATTAATGAATTTCTTTTTTTTTCCTTTGTATTTATGTAGCTTATTAATTTCTATGAAAATCATCTCACTTTCCTCTCGGATGACAAGACTGATTCCAAGGCTGATTGCAAGACTGATTCTAAGACTGATTGCAAGACTGACAACTGCTTGGACGACAAGACTCATATCCTCTCAGATGGCAAGACTGACACTTGCTCGGATGACAAGATTGATATCCCGTCTGATGACAAGACTGGAACCCCCTCATCTCCCAAGGTTGAAAAACAGGCAAAGCAAGACGTTTTACAATCGGCATGAAATTTCAGTAGTATATAATGATGATTTTTGACATCTCTTCTTTTTACAACATAACACAGATTACCCACTTGATACAATCCACCTCTCGTATTATTGCGTTTTTTTTTTTCTGATTGATATTAGTTTAATAAAAAATGATCTATCCTTTTTTTTTTTTTTTAATCTATCTAACTTCCAATATGTAATCAAGCCAGTTGGTGATCGCTACCAATATTGCTGCGGTGGGCAGACGGAGGCCCAATAAAAAAAAAAACTATATTTGTACTCGATTTTTTTTTTTTTTTTTTTTGGCCTTCTCTTTTTTCCAATTGACATAGAAATCATAAACATGACTACCAAGTTACTCGTAAGCAAATAATACATATAAACTCAATATGAAAGATGTGATATTTCTTTCTTTCTTTGACCGTTTTTATTTTCCTATTTTAAAATTAGTTTGTTGGGCTAGGCAATTATACTCATCCTAATACTCGTCATAATGTCGGTATGATGGTTCTTGATTCTATTGTCAAACAGCTTGATCTTGTATGGACTCAACATAGGCCTTGGAAATCACATATGGCACAAGTATCACTATCGATTCTCAATAATAAAAAGAAAGAAGTAATGGATGTACAAGTAACTTTCCTCAAACCTCGGTTACTTATGAATATCAGTGGATCCTGTGTAGCAAAAGCTGGTAAAATAAACAACTATCATCAAAACTGGAATAAACAAGTATTGATTGCTTTCTTTCTTTCTTTTTTTTTTTTTTTCTCTCTCTCTCTTAGTTAATGAACTCTCCATTCCTCCTTCCAATATTTACGTCTTTCACGATGATTTACAACGACCTCTCGGCAAACTCTCCATGAAAACGGGTGGCTCAGCGAATGGTCATAATGGAGTCAAGTCAGTCATGGAAAAATTGGGTACAGATGCTTTTCGACGAGTACGGATTGGTATTGGTCGTCCTGAAGATCGATCACCAGATGTTGTTGCCGATTTTGTCCTGAACAAGTTTACAACGGTAGAAATGGAGACTCTGGAATCACTTGTCTACCCCTTGATGGCCCCTGGTCCTGGTCTTGGCTTGGAAACCCTTTGTATTAGAGGAGAACTTTGGAAAGCTCCTAATCCAGTCAAAGAAAAAAAGAAGAAGCAAGACTCTACAGTTTCAACTGATATCGATCCTCAGTCTATTGCACCTCCATTGATCAAAGTCCCATAGAGTATATACCATTTATTTCCATTCATCATCATCTTTATCTATCATTCATGTTTATATCCATTAGAATAGAAATCATACATATAGAGATCATACATTCACATCGCCATATCATTTTATTTAAAAAAAAAAAGTCAAACAATACATTTTTTGAAACTTTCTAATAAAGTTTCCCTATTCAAATTTTTGCCAATAAAAATTAATCTATTCTTTCTTTCTTCTCCATCTTTCCACGGTCTATCTTGTTGTCCATCAAATAACTATGTATAAAAAGGTATAGAATGATGAGTCCCTTTTTTTGTTTTGTTTTGTTTTAAAATTATATACCATGTGTACGCCTTGAAAGATAAATCGATCTCGTTCACCATGCACATTTAGAATGCCTTTCATACGATAAATGTTTGGTCCCATAGAAGCCAATATAGACTGAATCCATCGGTTGAGTCGATCGAAATCCAACTCTCCAGCAATACCAATACCCACGGATATAATTTCTTGATCACTGTGATGGTGCTGGTTGTCTGGTATCGTCATGTGATCCAAATCGTATCCTTTCACATCCAAGATACAATCCAGAGGAATAACACCATACTTTGTTGCATGAATGGGTACGTTTTTGATTTGAGAAAGTCGTTGTCTCAATGAATGGATTGCATGAGTGTCAGGCAGGAGGTCGGTTTTGTTTAATAAGATGATATCAGCAAATGCAATTTGTTGATACGCTTCTGTTTTGTTGGTCCATGCTGCATCCAGTTGTTGTGAGATATGATAGGCATCCACCAAGGTCACCACGGCATCTATTCGGTAGTGCGCCAATAACTGATCATCCATCATCACTGTTTGTAAAACAAATCCAGGATTTGCCAAACCAGTACATTCAATCAAAACCATATCAAATTGATCTTTCCGTTCCACGCAGAGTTCATGTAAAATCCTAGAAAGATCACCACGTACTGTACAACAAAGACTACATATACAGAAAAAAAAAAAAAGAAAGGTAAGTTTAAAGAAGGGAAAAAAAAAGAACCGTTTTTGATACACTCTTGCTTTTTCTTTTACCATCCATTTTGTGTTTCAAATATTTCTTGACCAGCATCTAAGACAAGTCCTCCATCAACACCAACTTCCCCATATTCGTTTTCTATGACTGCCACCCGTTTGTTGTGCCGACTTTTTAGAATATGATTCAACAATGTTGTCTATACAATGGATATTGAGATAATGAAGATACTAGCCATGTATCTTTTTTTTTTCATTTACCTTTCCACTACCGAGAAACCCCGTGAGAATAGTAATAGGTACGCGACTTGTCATGAGAGAAAAACGAAAAGAAAAGGAAGGAAAAGGGGATGATCAAAACTTTTCATTTTCCATACCTTTTTTTTCCCCTTCATGTAAAATTCCAGCCAATCATGGAAAATAGGCATTTGAAAATCAAGCGGATAATCATCTCGGAAAAGCCATGATCTCATTTCTTTTTTCACCTTTTTTTTTTCCTTCTTTTTCTTCTTTATTCTTTTACAATGTGCCAATTCTGTGGGGTCGATCCTGAATTTGCCTCTTTTTTTGATAAGGATAGCGAAAAGTCTACAATGGAAAACAATAACCCAACTTCAGACGCACCTAATTACTTTCGTTTGAAGCCTGATCATCCTCGATATACCAAATTGACAACACCTCAACTCACAACATTTGCTTCCAAATTATCTCCTCAAGCTCAAGTTTTACTTTCATCTCATCAAGGTGATGAATATACAAAGGCTTCTCAACGGTGGTCAAAACAAGCTATAAAATCCGCGTTAGCCATTGTTCGTGTGGCCACCCCTGAAGATATATCCAAAACGGTAATCGAAAATATATCAACAAAATAGAAACTTATTACTAATACTGCTCTCTCATATGATGTTCTTTTTTTTTTTTTTTTAGATTGTGATGGCAACAAGTCATAAAGTACCTTTTGTTGTTAAATGTGGTGGACATTCCCCTAGTGGTGCTTCCAGTATAGAAAATGGTATTGTGATTGATCTCTCGTTAATGCGGCAAGTCTCTGTCAAACCGGATGAACAAGTGGTCATTGCTGATGGTGGTTGTCTTTATGGTGATATCTGCAAAGCATCAGCAGAGTATGGCCTTGCATGTGGTAAAAATCGAAAAAAAAATAACTTCCTAGCGATGATGGCTTACTAATCCATGAATTCTTTTTTTTTTTTTTTGTTTGTCGATTTAGTTGGGGGAACCACCAGTCATGTTGGTATTGGAGGTCTTTCTCTATCAGGTGGATATGGTTATTTGACTGGCGAGCATGGGTAAAAACTCCCATATAACAAAAGATAAAGAGAAAGAAAATGAATTTCTGAATGTATTTTTTTTTTTTTGTAGATTGGCTGTAGATAATATTATCGGCGCTCAAGTTGTTACAGCAGATGGGAAGATTCTCTGGGTAAATGAAAAGGACCATTCAGATCTGTTTTGGGGTCTCCGTGGAGCTGGTAATCGATTGGCAGTGGTGACTAAATTTGTGTTCAAAGCGCATCGTGTACCTTCTCAAATCTGGGGTGGCTTGATTCAGTTCAGTGGATCTCAAGTTGAGCAAGTTGTAGAAGCGATCAACTCATGGTATCAACAAAAGGATGTCAAGGCAGCGGCAGGTGTGGCATTTGGATCAGTAGCGGATGGCAAGACTGGATTGACGGTTTTCCCTTTTTATAACGGATCACAAGCAGACGCTGAAACCAATTTTACACCTCTTTTGGCTCTTTCTTCTCTTCAACGTGATGTATCTTCTATGCCTTTTTGGAAAATCAACACACTCGGTGACCAACCTGGTGCGTTTTCTGGTGCGTTTATTGAATTTGATTCGGCAAATGTAGCTCCTCCTCTGCAACCTCAACATATCAAGTCGATGCTGGATCATCTGGATCAGTTCACTACCAAATTCGATGGTGATTGCAATGCAGGTGCGTATATTTTATTGATCCAACCCGATGGTATCTCGAAACATCAAACTGGCGATATGGCTTTCCCTTGGAGAAATGATCGGTTCGATATTGGGTTATCAACAGCATGGCAACATCCAGATCAAGCAGAACGATGCACTACTTGGCTTCATCAACACTTCCAACCCCTGGCAAACGCGCAAGGAGATCAGGATCGACTATACAGTAACCATTCCGACTTTAGGGGTCCAGGTACCAATGAATTCGGCTCAAACTATACCAAGGTCATGGAACTGAAATCAAAATGGGATCCCAACAATGTCTTCAAGAGTGTATTGTAGCTTTTAAGTTTAGCGATTTTTATTAGAGTCTATGATATTCTTTTTTTTTTTTTTTTTGAATAAATATGAAACCATTTGAATTCCCGTGATATTATACCTTTATTCCATAAACGTATTGGTGCTCTTTATGGTCTTTTTTTTTTGAAACCATAAAAATGTGAAGGATGATTTTTTTTTTTTTTGTTTATTTCATGTGGAAGATCTGTTGGTTAATAATGAAAATGAATGTTATCGTTCAGCGACGATAGCTTTCTCCTTTAGTATGTATGAAAGATCATATGATAGAATAAATTGATTACCTTCATTTGATAAAAAAAAAAAAAAAAAAAAAAAAAAAAAAAAAAAAGAAAGAATCATCATAGGGGTGCATATCAAAAAGAATTTTTATTAGACAAAAAAAAAGGGAATAATTGATAAGAGTGATTCAGTAAGTAAGACGAAGAGGAGGGAGGGGTTGTATGCTGCATGGTATACATTTTTTTTTTACTTGTTATAGCTATATATATGTAAAAAGAAATGACCAAAAAAGGAATAAAGAGTTGAATAAAAAAAAAAAAAAGGAGGAAGTGAGAGAGAGGGGAAGAATCTAAACTAAAATATCAACCATCCATTCGAAAAGAAAACCGATCGTTTGCTAGCATTTGTCCCATTTGTATATGAAGTAATTGTTGTTGTTCATGATGTGATTGCTGGTGATCAATTTGTTGTTGATGTTGTTGTTCTTGTTGTAAGAGATGATTCATCATGACACTTTCACTACTATTTGGCGGTTGAGAGGGGCTGATGGTATTTGGAGTTCGAGGAGAGATCGCGTCATCATCAGATAGAAATGCATTTGGGCTGACGGGAGTTGATGCCATGGGTGTATGATAATTGCTATAAGGAGATGTTGGTGATCGACCATCACTAAGAAAATTCATATCCATTGGTGATGAAAGGTTTTGTGTTTGAACAGTGAGTGGAGTATTTCGTCGGAGGTGATGCTTGCTATTATTGCTATTGTTGGTATGCTGATGGAATTGATTGGTTTGTGAGGATAATACTGGTGCTTGCATGAATGGAGATGATGATGAAGATGAAGATGGTGATGATGGCTGTTGTTGCAATGTCATATAAAAATTATCCATCGTGGTAGTGTTTCCAACATCAGGTGAGGTAATAAGAATGGACGGAGGCTGTTCTATACTTGATTTCACCATATCAAAGTCAGGTGGCATTTGAACTATAAAGATGAAAAAAAAATTGAGTGAAACAAGATTATATTATTTATTTTAATAACTTACAATGAACACCTTGTCGTTCTGATAAAAATTGCATCATTGTCTTCATCATCTCTTGTTGAGTATTTTGCCGTTGTTTCGTTTCAGCCAACTCTCGGATAATTTGATCAAAGCCTTCTTGTAATCTTCCCAATTGTTGCATCATATCAGATTGAGCCATTTGCATCATAGAGAGATGAGAACCCATGTCATTGGTATCTCGTCGCATATTGTCTGATTCCAAAGCCTTTCGTTTGATCTCGTCCAGCAAGTCATGTCGATCCCGCATAAATTTTGGATGTGAGAACTCCCATATTTGATTTTCGGCTAATGTTCGATGGCCACGAGGTGATTTATTGACCTTGTGGAAACCATACCTAATTGATCGGTAAAAGTAAGTTTTTAATACAAAAAAAAAAAATAAAACAACTTTTTTTTTATCATCATTTTTTTACTGTCAATGTTCTTGTATTCAAACTTACATATTCAATTGGCGGACAAAACTACTAAAATTGTTATGTTTGAAGTGTTTTGGTAATACGTCACGAGAAAACTCAACAATGTTGCAGACTATAAATGAAGCACCAGTATAATTCCAAGCGATCAAATGTTGATATTGGTCATCAAGAACTGTACTATATATTTGAATAGAAAAAAAAAAAATAAACATGAGGACAAAAAAGAAAAGATAGTTTGATTGTTTTTTCATCCCACTTACTTGAATAGCTTGTGTACAAAAGTATTATTGTTAGATTTGGTTGGTGGTTGTTGAGAAGGAGGCTCTAAAGACATTTTCTGTAAATTTGAAGGATCACTTGGTGAATCTGTTGGGGAAACATATGGTGACACAGTAGGTGATGGAGAGTTCATAGGTGACCCTGATGATATTGAGCTTTCATTCTTGATTATAGGGGTACCGGAAGCACTAAGGGACGACAGTGATGAAGATCGTCCATGTTCCATAGTATATAATATGAGAATATCCAAAGTGTATTTGATAAAATGGAATAAAATAAGATATATAATAAGATGAACTCAAGACTTTTTGTATGAGAAATAGCTGAGAGGAAAAAAAAAAAAAAATGGTGAATCAAAGAAAGGGAGTGTATCAAAAAAAAAAAAAAAAAAAAAAAAAATAGGGCAATAAACCTCAAATTATATTTGCGGATTTAAAGACCGAATAGATCACAATTGACCATGTGTATTACACTTTATTCAGGGTATCCCTCCTTTTTCCTATCACTCTTTTTTAAAAGAAAAATAAAAAAAAAAAAAAGATATGAAAAAAAAGGATAGAAAGGAGCTGTCTATCTATGTACGCGCCACATAGGAGAAGTTGACATATAGACGTCAAGTGGCGTATCTCCAAAGCATTGGATGTTATCGGTTGATCTAAAAGCCGATATTCACTTACAGAACGTTAGTAAATCAATAAAACTGATGACATTTTAATGCTATTTAAAGAGGATCCAAATGTGTATACATATATTTTAAGATATAAACTATCATAATCATTCAATGTCTAAGGATTTAGTTTCATAGAGTTTTCGATCCTATCATTCCATGAAGCATGATGCTCTACCGGCTTTCTAAACCCAAGTACCGCGCATCCGATATCGTGATACCCAAGCTATTGGTAATAAATCTTGATTTAGTTTCAACTTGCAATAGATACTACTAATGGCAACACTAATACTACTGATGATGATGATTGACAGAGATTGTTAGTAATTGATAGTTATATGAATATTTGATGATGTTTTTATGATGATGCCTATAAGGATTCATTTCATGTGTCATATAGTACTCTATGATTGTTGTCATTTTTGCTTGATGGGTACAACAACCGATGATGTTAAATAAGAGCATCATAAAATAAAGGATATTTTGTAGATTTAACACATCATGACCAATTCAAGTCATCAAATATTATTATTCAACCATCATCATGAATATTTTTAAAAGAATTACCATAGTATCAATATTTATGCTTGTATGGAAATGCGGCGGATAATGAAATCAACAAAATTTTTCAATTCTGTAATTTTTTTTTTTTTTCACTTGGAGAGTTTCTTTCTTGCCAATATACAATGATGGCATCACAGAAACCTAGTCAAGGATTACCTTTACCCAGTATCAATGCCGTCCATAGAAACGACAATTATCTTCCTTTGATTACTACTATCTATATATCAATATCATTTTCATCAGTTTTTATCAACAAGTATCTTACCACAGCATCAGAGTACAAATTCCCTTATTCTTCGGTAACTGTTTTTTTGCAATTGATTATCACGGTTGGTTTTTTACAAATATGGCGACAGTGTCAAAAAAGGTAAAAAAAAAAAAAAAAAAAAGATATATATATCCATTGAACTCATTTTATTGATTGTTCTTATGAAAAAGGTATTTACCCAGTTGGTTACGACTTTCGAAAATGACATCCACTGGTTGGCGTCAAGTACTTCCTTGTACCGTGATTTATGTGATGATGATGTTATTGGATCCTTTCTTTCGAACACGAGTAAATGCCACCATGTACACAGCAGTTCAAGCATGGTGTATCCTGTTTGCTTTGGCCTGGACAATGAAGTTTGGTCACAAAAGTACTGGTCAGCAACTACGACGACGACGAGGACAAGCACAATGGGCAATGGAACGAACGGCATGGGGATATTGTCTGGTACAATTTATTGGTATATGGTTTGCTAGTGAAGTGACAAGTGAATCATCATGGTTCTCTTTCTCTCTTACGTCTTCCTGGGTGGGTCTATGTTATGCTGCCTTGATGGTCACATATGCTGTTACCATTCAAAACGCTCTTGTAGGTCTTCGACATGATGTGACTCTCTTGTTACAATGGCATCTTACTTTGACAACTGCATTAACGACATTGATTGTATTGGTATCTGGTGAATTGATGGATGCCTATCGAACTGTGTTATTCTGGGATGAACTAGGTTTTTGGATTCAAATGGTAAGAAAATATAAAATAATAAATGGGAGGACTCATTCTCTCTTTTTCTATTTAAAAGATAATCGGGTCTTTATTGGCAATGGTGATACACATTTTCATGATTTTATTGATCAAGTACTCCTCACCACTTTCATATACCGTAGCAGCAACAACCAAGGTAAGTTGGAGGGGACTGAAAAATATGTGGATAAGTTTGATTTGATTCTTTTTTTTTTTTTTTTTATGATGTAGACATGTTTACAAGCTATTATTGCCTTTCTTCTTTTTGGAAACCTTATGACTGGATCTGTAAGTGATATCACATATTAGACATATTGATTGTTATTTTTTATTATACTGATTTTTTTTTTCTTTCGTTTACTTTTTATTATCACTTTTTTTTTTTGAAATGAAAAAGCAATTTTTATTTCTTTCTGTGTCTTTGATTGGTGCCATTTGTTATGCCAAAAAGTCGACTTCCAAAACGATTGATTCCATCTATTCTATGTAGTTTTATTTTATTTATGATACCATAGTTATCTTTTATTATATAGTTTCCTGTATCTAGATTATTACCCAAAATTACAATAATATAGATAATCAAATAAAAACAAAATTATTACCTATTTGATACTTTTTTTTTCATTGTATGTTCTGTATGAACGTGATATGTTTATTAGCAAAGCTTGAGTTTTAAGGTTACCCATTCGTAGAGATTGAAAATATCACATCAACTATGATGATTAGGAAGACGAGTGGTAATATTGATGCTCATCTTTTTTTTTTTTTTTTGATTTAATCTATAAAATAATATGATGATCTAAAATAACATGAGGGAAATTTCAAGAAATTGATTTGTTTTATGTTGTGTTCAAATGTGGTGGAATGATGATCACTTTTGAGCGAGAAAGAGAAAAGCAAAGTTTTGTATGCAGGATGGAAAAAACAGGATCGACTTTTGGATTCTACAGCCAAAATTTTCGAATTCCTCAGCCAAATTTTAGCTGTAAAAATAAATCGTCAGGGGTTCATCAGGCAATTTTTCAAAAAAATGGATGAAATCTTCTGGTGATGATTGAACATGAAGCGGCAAGTTAACAGATAAAATGAGATTAGATGATATTAAACTACTTTTTGGAGAGGAATCGAATGGTGGTAATTTTATTGAATGATGATCATTATTGGATGAAGGATGAGATATTTATTTTTATTTTTTATTTTATTCTATAGATTGGGAGGTAAGGTATAAATTATTATTAAGGATGAGAATGATTCCATCTATGTTTGTTTCTAGTTTGGTGCAGTGATGATGACTTTTGAGGTATTCAAGGCCAGATTTTTTTTTTTGTGTTTGACTGTCTCCTCATTCAGGAAAAGCACCGGACTTAATAAAAAAGCATTAGAAAAAAAAAAATCTAATACTATTTTCTTCTTTCCTTCATTTCTCTTTGAAATATGGATGAAGACAAAAACGTCAAGCTCATCCTAGGCAATGACTTATATTCTAAAGTATCCTCTTGTCGCATATTAATGGTTGGAGCTGGAGGTATTGGCTGTGAACTATTAAAAAATTTGGTGTTATCAGGGTTCAAGAACATTACTGTGGTAAGCAAACAATAACAAAGCTACAAAGAAGAATATAAATATTTACTGAATATATTGTCCTCCTTTTTTTTTTTTTCTCATTAGATTGATCTTGATACCATAGATATCTCCAATCTCAACCGACAATTTTTATTCCAAAAACAACACGTCAAAAAGGCTAAAGCTCATGTAAGAAAAGTCAACAACTACAACAACAACAACAAAAGTGTATACTCATTATTTTTTTTTTCTTTTTCAATAGGTGGCCAAAGAATCCGCGTTACGATTTAATCCATCAGTGAATATAGAATCACACCAAGCTGATATCAAAAATACTGAATTCAACGTCGAATGGTTCAAGCAGTTCACTATGGTTCTGAATGCTTTAGACAACTTGGGTAAGAATTGAAATATATAGATATATATATATATATATATATTATAAAGAGTAGATTACTAATGTATTATCAACCCATTTTTTTTTCTTTTTTCAGATGCTAGAAAACACGTTAATGCCATGTGCTTGGCTGCCAATATACCTTTGATCGAATCTGGTACTACCGGTTATTTGGGTCAATCTTATGTTATCAACAAGGGGATCACTGAATGTTTCGATTGTCATCCAAAACCTACTCCAACTACCTATCCTGTTTGTACCATCCGAAGTACTCCAAGTGCACCTATTCATTGTATTGTCTGGGCAAAAAGTTATCTCTTTACTCAACTTTTTGGTAACTCAGAAGATGATGAAGCTTTGGATCAAGAAAAATCAGAAGACAATGGTAAAATGATCCACTTTACAGTTCGTTTTTTTTTTTTTTATTTAACCTCATGATATATTTTTCATAGCTCAAGAATTAGCAGCCTTGGTGAAAGAAACGGAAGCTTTGAAGAAAATCAAAGATTCAATGGGAACACCTGAATATCCAAAACAAGTATTTGATAAGGTAATGATATGAAGAAGAAAGTTAGAGTTTGATTAATGATTATTATTATTAGGTATTCAAAACGGATATTTTACGATTATTATCTATGGAAGATATGTGGAAAGAGCGACGGAAACCAACCCCTTTAGATTATGAACAATTGGCAAAAGGACGACAGATCGAATTGACCAATGAAACCGTCGAAAATGATCATTCGAAATCACATGGACTCAAAGATCAACAATTATGGACACTTGGTGAATATTTTGATGTTTTCCGATCTAGGTATATAAGAAAAAAAAAAAAAAGAAAATGGTATGTTCCCAAATATAACTAACGATTTTCCCTTTCTTCACTTAGTGTCACCAAGTTATCCGAACGATTACGAAAGCAACAATCAATCAAACCAGATGCTATCTTAACTTTTGATAAGGATGATGAAGATGCTCTTGAATTTGTGGCTTCTGCAGCTAACCTTCGTGCCAAGATATTTGAAATCCAGCAAAAGACATTATTTGAAGTGAAATGTGAGTTATATGCATTAAGGAAGATTGAAGGACTAACATGTTTTCTTTTGAATAGCGATGGCTGGTAACATTATTCCAGCAATTGCCACCACCAATGCGATCATTGCAGGGGTTGTAGTCATGAAAGCTTTTCAGGTCCTCAGAGGTTCTATTGGTGATATAAAACGAGTAAGTACTTGTATGATAGATTTACAAGTGATGTTAAACCTTTTTTTGATCCACTAGACTTACTTAACTACAGTGTCAAGACGGCCTCATTTACTCATTCAAGAAGAATCATCAGGTCCAAATTTGGAATGTCAAGTTTGTCAATCAACAGGTGCAACAGTTCTAGTGGATTTGGAAAAGGCAACACTGCGTGATCTGATTGACAAGATTCTTTTAGCTCCATTGGACCAAGGGGGTGCGGAAATGACAGAAGAAATAGCTGTGATGGATGGTGATAGGTAAAAAAACAAGAAAAAAGAGAGAGAGAAAAAAGACAGTTTGATTAAAATGATTCACCGTTTGATTTATATAGAATGTTATACGATATTGAATATGATGATAATTTGGATACTTTACTGAAAGATTTGAAGGTACAAAATGGCACTATCTTACGTATTGACAGCGAAAATGGCGACCAAGATTTAGATCTTGTGATTCAATCAAGGTAAAAAAAAAAAAAAAAAAAAAAAAAAAAAAAAAAAAAAAGTCATGTGGTCATAGTCTCATTTGAACTTTACTTTTTTTTTTGTGGGGAAACACTTGGAACAAGGCCATCATTGGACACGGTGATTCAATTATCAGAAACATTAAAAAAGACCAACAAAAAAAATCAACAAAAGCGACGATTAGAATCGAATGAAGCATCACAACAAGAAGAACAAATACAAAAGAAACCAAAATTGGATAATAATACCATTGTAGAAATAGGCGAAGATGATGAAAATGGAACGATTGTATTAGATTAAACGTTTTGTATATGGATTAGGTTTTTTTTTTCTCACACATCGCACATACTTTATCTATGCTAGTACAAAACAAGACCCCGCATCAGAATAGGATTTTCTCCTTTATTTGAAAATGTCTCAATAAAAAAAAAAATTATATATATTTCTCTCTTTTTTTCTTTTTTCTCTTTTTTTTTCCCTCATTTCTTTTTTTTTTTTCTTATTTCTTCTTTGTATACATAACTTCACTTTTTCTTTCTTACTTGTTTTCCAATTGTACATATAAACTTATTATACCAAATGATCACTATTACCCCTACAGAAGAAAGAAAACGATCTATGGATGATGATTACTTATTACAAGTATTTCAGAAAAGAAGACCAAGTCTGAACTTTACGGTACCAGATTTCAAATGCGATGCTTATTATCAAGAATCACTTCAAACGTTGAGTCTTTCAGATATTTTACAGGAGTATCACTCTATCATCTTATTCTTTTATGAAAGGGATTTGTAAGTGTTTCCTTTTTTGATATTTTTTACTCACGGGATTTTTTTATTTTTCTCATAGTACCAATAGCGCTATTAATGATATTCTTCAAGTCAGGTACATCCAAAAAAAAAAAAAAAAGAAAAAAAAAAGATAAACTGGCTTTGGATTTAGATGGATAGATAAGAGATACAACTAAAAGCGTAGTATATATATATATTACATATTAAAAAAAAAAAAGACGGGAAGTTGATTAGGGAAGGTCATCGGAGACTGAAACCATCTATCTTTGTTAAGAACCTTTCATTATCAAGTATGTGGAACACGGGAATCTAAATAAGCTTCTTTTTTTTTTTTTTTTTTTTTGTAGAGAATGTTATAAGGAATTCATGGACAAAAAGGCATTACCCATTATGATTTCAACCGATACTGCCATGGTTCATCGAGGATTCTGTTCTTCTTCAATTCAAGGTGGATTAAATACTGTACCTGAATTTCCTTTACGTAAATGTGTGATTCATTTTTCTTTTTTTTTTTCATTGTACTCATTTTTTTTTTTTTTTTTTTTTGATATTCTGATCAGTCGGAGATGCAACACGGTTGATATCAAGGCATTTTGATGTTTTAGAAAATGAAACCGGTAATGCTCGACGGTCTGTATTTGTGATTGATCATCATCATAAAATCAAATATAGTTTCATGCCATTGGATAGCGAACAACCTTATTCAATGTCGGTTATATTATCTATGGTAATCACAAAAAAAAAAAAAAAAAAAAAAGAAACATCAATTAAATAATAACATCCCACTTTTTTTTTTCTTTTTCTTTTTGGAATTAGGTGAGTAATATCACAAAATGATGTCGATTTTACAATCAAAGTCAATCACACACATATCCATCGTACATAGTATCCATTTGTGAATAGTTTAGTTCTCTTTTTTATATATCATCCACGTTTCAATAAACCAACTTTTGCAATATGATTTTTTGTTTTAAGGAAAGGAAATGATATTTTTTATTTTATTCTGATAAGACGCACAGGTATGTCAAAAGATAATTATATACGTATATAGTAAAAAAATATAACAACAACTTAAAAAAAAAAAAAGAAGAATGTGATTATAAGGGAAAATAGTACACAGAACATATATATATATATGTATAAAATAAAACTAACTGACTAAAAAGAATGTATAGGGAATCTATTTCTTCCAAGTATAATGATGATTAGTCTTGTAAATCACACCATCCTTCCGTACCAATAAAATGGGTTGTTGTTTGTTGGGACCAGTTTTCAAATCAGGGGATCCCATCAAAGAAGAAGGAATCACACAAACAAGGGCTTCAGGAGACTTAAATTCAGTAGCTAGACTTTGATCACCTACATAGACCGTCAATGTTGAAGTAAAACCTTCACCCCATAAACATAAAGTTGCATCGCCTTGAGATATCGAACTCACCATAGGGAAGGGAGACACCTCGGATTGTACCAAACCATTGTCGCTAGGAGGAATGGCAAACGTATACCTGACGCAATCAGTACCCACTATTGTCCATACAGCCGCATCCGATACATCTTGTTCAAAATAAGCTCCTTGTGAGGTATCGTTCTGATCCAATGAAGATGATGCTGCACTACTCCGCCGCCTTCCACCTAATCCATTGCCAGTAGTTGTAGTAGTAGGAGGAGGAAGCATATTTGATTCTCGTGGCGTTCCATTTTTGTTTGTTGTAGATGATGGGGATGATAAAGTGGATGCTAAACGATGAGGAGGACTATGACATTTGTGACGACCTACAACATCATTCAAACAAGCTAAAAATGTGTTACGATGTTGCTGTGGTTGCTGCTGTTGTGATTGTTGTTGAAGTCCTCTACCTGTTGAATATGAATGGGATGGTGATGGTGATGAAGGTACATTTGTGTTGGAGACAGGTGGTTGGATTTCAAAAGCTACCTTATGAAGTTGAGAGACTGGATCCCCGAGAGCTTCGCTTGTAGATGATAATGTAGGTTCCATTACCATGATTCCACTAAGAGCTAAACTTCCTTTATCCACTTTTCGAATCGTCATCACTGGACTAACCAATCCTGTTGTAAGACATTGTAAGACAATAGGTTGATTGTAATGTACTGCGAGTTGTTCCTTTCCAGTATGATGTAAAGCCATAGCAGGTGGTGGTGGATAATGTGTTGTTGTAGAATTATCGGATGTTGGTATTGTTGATTGTTGAGTTCGTTGAGGGTCAACAATCCATATCACAAAAGGATCCCATACATTTGTACGTGCAACAAAACAACAATTGCTGGCTGCATTGGTATTTGATGATGATGTTGATGATGATGAATTTGGCTGTGATGAAACACCTAGGTATTTTGTTGATACTGTTTGTGATCGAATTCGATTAAATAATGAAATAGTAGTACCATGATGAATACATACTAATTAGAACGAAAAAAAAAAAAAAAAAACTGGACATGAGTATTCATTCTATTCATCCCTTGTAGTATAACTTACAATCAATGTTTTTCAAACTTTGTCGTTTTTTACTTGGTTTGCTGATGACTTTGATTCCTTTGCTTGCAAATGTGCCTATATTTTCACCATTAGGGAGTTGAATATTAACCATCACCTGCACACGTTTTCTCTTTTCATCAGCATCGTTGATATGAAGATGTTTGGATACACATTTTCCAATAGTCGAAGGTGAAGAAGAAGATTCATCAGAGGTAAAAGTTGACGGTAATACAGATGGTGGTGGCGTTGACCATTCCAAGAGTCCAGTTTGTTGTGTCGCTTCCCCAGAAATTTGAATCGTCAATCTAGGTTGTTGCATAGGTGCATTTGTGATAGGTGATGGTGATGATAATGATGTTGAAGATGATGATGGTATAGAGGTACACCATGTACCACTAAGCACAGTTGTAGGAGGAGGACATAAAAACCTATCATAGAAAAAATAAACGTGAATGATTGATAACATATACAGGTTCCGCTTATCGCTGGTTTTTTTTTCCGTTTACCTTTTTTCCGTTCCATAACTTTTTTGCGCTACACGACTTGTCAAAAGCATCACTGTACGTTCTCCATAACGATCAGTTACATATCTCTTCACCAAGGATCGAATGGCGTCATAAGGTATAGGTGAAGGTGAAGAAGGATGTAAAAGTTGTTGCTGTTGTACGATATCAGAGGACGCTTCCTGTTTGAGAAATGGCATCGGTTCCAAACCCATTGTAATCGGATCCATAGTTGTAGCATTCGTAGTAGCCGAGTGATTCTTCTTTTGCCGTTTCTTTTTTGGTTGCTGTTGGTGATCATCAGTATCCTTTGTAGTCGAGACAGAATCTGCACCAGTTGTCGTGGTCGCAATGGAAGGTGGAGAAGATGATGTTGAATCATTTGTGGTGGAGGATGTTGTATTTGATAATAACCATGTTGGAACCACGTCCCCAGGTGGATGAAATATATCCATATTCATCATCATATTGTTGTTAAAATCAGAGGATGAAGTCATGAATGAAGTAGTTGGGTGGAGTTCGGCCAGCGCGTCCTTGTTATTATCAAGATCATGATGTAAATGTTGCTGTTGTTGTTGTTGTTGTTGCTGCTGCTGTTGTTGTTGTTGATGATGATGATACGTCAAGTGAGGATGGTGTAAAAAACTATCAGTCTGTTGCATAGACATAGCTCGACGATGAGGTGTAAAGTGATAAAGATGATGGTGAGAATGGTTTAACTGGTGTTGATGTATTTGTTGTTGTGGTTGTTGTGGTTGATGTTGATGTTGTTGTTGTTGTTGTTGTTGACTAAGTTGATGTAAATGAGACATGGCAGTTGAAAAGTTCAAGTCATCAACAGGATAGGCAGGTTGATCAAACCAAGTAGAATCCATTCCGTGTAAGTCCAATTCACCCAAAGCTACAGAATGACGTCTTGAAGAAGGATTTGATTGATTAATAGTTTGATCTTGTTGAGAAGAATCATGAGTAGGTTGAAAGATTGACTTCAATATAGCATCCAAGTCTAAAGTTGAAGTTTGTTTGTTTTCCAATTTGGCGTCGTCCAATACATTATTGTTTGTTAAAGAGGTATGTTGTGGTGTAAGTACAGTATCTTCATCATTGTTATCCAAAAAACTTTGTGACATCGTCCAGCGATTCTCTTCCTATTGTTTTTATATATAAGATAAAAAAGGAGACAAAAAAAAAAGTGGAGAAGAAAAGAAAAAAAAAAAAAAAAAAAAAAAAAAAAGTTGGGGTAAGAGGTTAAGATTTGAAACGACAAAAATCTTTTCCTATCCACCAATCCAGTTCCTTGTGTAACTAATCTCAACCAAACGAAATTCGCTTTGCCTTACTGTTTGCAGCGCCTTTTGAATAAAAAATACTGAACTACCCTCGCGTATCAAAATGCGGGGGAAACCTTCTTAACCATTTCCCGCCAAAATCAAACTTCATCCTTCCTTTTCATCCATCATTATAGAAAGGGTAAAGCTTTACTCCGATACCTTTTTTTTTTTTTTTTATCTTTCGGGTTATACTATATATACACACTTTGAATTGAAAGAATCCTATCTTGACAACTATGTTTATTATCATAGTAACGTCTAAGCGGAGATCACACCTATCAATTTTAACTACAAAAAAAAAAAAAAAACATTCCTTTTCACGCAAAAATTACAATTCAAACTTTAAAAACAACGTTTCTTAACAAGCATTCTTTGTTGAAAGCTACTTTCTTTAAAGAACTCTACGATTATTACGGAAATTTATTTTATAAGCTTGATTGTTGAAAAATTCTCCCGTGATCATCTTTTATATCGCCACTAGATAAAGAATGAATACCTTTTTTTTTTTTCTTTGGATCGCAACATTTATCACTAGTCAGTATTTGAAATTTTCTGCCTTAAAAAGACCTCTTTTTTTTTTCCAAACATCTTTTTTTTTTTTTTTTCCTTTGTATCAATCCATTTTTTTTTTTTTTTGAATCAAACTTTTGGCAAAGGATCATCATGCGATTCACTATTACTTCTTCTATTGCTCTTTTATGTTTGGCTAACTCAGTATACGGTGCTGATCTTCAACATGCTTCATCAGCTGTAGGTCTCTCCAGTGCAAGTGCTAGTGCAAGCCACTCTCTTTCTGCTTCCAATTCAATTTCCGCATCCTCTATGATCACTCGTCCCTCTGATGTTCCTTCTCATCATAATCAAGTGGATAAACGTAACATCATCGATTTTTTCAAGAGATTGATCGATCCTAACGCTGAACAACAAGCCAGTGCTAGTCAAAGTGTTCATGCTAGTGCTAGTGCATCAGCATCTATTTCTGCCGCTTCATCATCTGCTTCTTCCGATGTGCATCCATCATTAGAAAAAAGAGAATTTAAAGACCTTTTGCAAATGCTTCGAGGTGAATCACATGTCTCTGTATCACTCTCCGCCTCTGCATCTGCTCCTGCATCAGCATCTGCTTCTTCTGTTTCGGCTCATGCTCATGGTAAGCGTGATATGATGGTATCTGTATTGGCTGCCAAACAATCTGCCTCTGCTTCCAGTCGTCTTCAATCATCAGCATTACCTTCTCCATCATCCGTCATCAACAACAACAACAACAAAGCTCATCATCGTTACTCTGGTCATCACCTCAAGCGTCAAAATAGTAATACCGATGATGATCATCATTCTTCATCTGCTTATCATCGTGCTTCAGCTTCAGCATCTGCCTCAAACAGTAAATCTTATTCCATCAGTGCTAATCATCATGTTAAACGCGCTCCTAGTAGCAGTATTGCACCTTCTGCCTCTGCCTCTCTATCTGCTTCTGCCTCTAATCTTTCTTCCCGTCGTCATGTCAAGCGTGCTCCTAGTAGCAGTATTGCTCCATCTGCATCTGCCTCTGCCTCTGCCTCTGCATCCGCCTCCAATATTTCTTCCCGTCTTCATGCCAAGCGCGCTCTTAGCAGCAGTATTGCTCCATCTGCCTCTGCCTCTGCCTCTGCCTCTGCATCCGCCTCTAATATTTCTTCTCGTCTTCATGCCAAGCGTGCTCTTAGCAGTAGTGTTGCTCCATCTGCCTCTGCCTCTGCCTCTATCTCTCAATCCGCATCTGCCTCTAATCTTTCCGCTCGTCATCATGGTAAACGCGCTAGTATGTCATCCTCTGCTGGTGTATCTGCTTCTGCCTCTCATCAAAGTGCTCCCATCAGTGCTCGTAAAATGGCGTCTGCTTCTGTTTCTCCCTCTGCGTCCGTTTCTGCAAGCGAAAATGTTCCTGCTCCCACTAATATCCCCACTGATGATGAAGAAGATTTGATTAGCATTGATGATGTTGCTGAATTGTTTGGTGATGCCTACTTGGAACAAGGTGAATTGGATCAAGTTGAAGATTTTGCTGAAGTTGATGATCCTTTGTCCTGGATTAAAGATGATGTTGCTGAAACTAAATGGAAGGGTTATAACTACAAGGAATATTAAGAAATAGATTAGGATCTGCTTTTGTTTGATCTTTTTTTTTTCTTTTATTTTCTTTTGATTTTCCTTATATATCTTACCTTTTATGATTCTCTTTCATTGCCCCCCCTTTTTTTTATATATATATGAATATCTATATATAAAGTATAATAATAATAAAAAAAATATTTGATACATTTACCTACATAATCATAAAATATCGTCACATTCATTGTCTTCCAAAAAAAAAAAAAAAATCTTCACTACATTGGACCATCCACCAGGAGAAGACCGTATATGAGTATGTATATGTATATAGTTTTATTTCAAGAAGAGGATAAATAATAATAGCTTGATACAACAAAGGGGATGAGGGGAAGGTAGAATAAAACACAAGGAAAAAAAAAAAAAAAAAAAGGAAGTAATACAAAAGAAGGAAGGAGAGAAAAGATAACTAAATATACGCGTAGGGTTTCTCCGATAGGGGTGAAGGATGATAATTACCATTGTTGTTGTTGTTGGCACGGCCATGTGAGTTAGTGTTGATGGTTGTAGAGGTAAAACGATGATCTTGCTGGTCAACAGAAGTCGTCGTAATCGTATAAGGAGATGTCTGTGAAGGATCGTCACTGTATCTGAATGGATTGGAGGAGGAGGCTGTCGAAAAAGTGCTATATTGACTAACATCGGATACTGTACTGTCTCTGTTGGTGCCAGTGTTATTGGTTCCAGGGAAGTATAGTTTCTTTGATACTTTTGCTGTAGATTGAGCTGAAGTCGATGAGGGAATAGTATTATGCAAAACATGTCCTTGATGCAGTACTTTGCCTTCATTGTGTTCATTGTACAGAGTGATACTTGGCGCATCCATAGATGATGGTGATGATGATGTTGACTGTGTTGTTGGAGTTGGTGATGGTGCTGATTTATTACGTTGGAAAAGAGGAGCATGTAGAACTGTAGCTGTAGATTGGCGAGTGTTTTGTGATATCTCTGGTGAAGTTGTTGAGGATGACTGATGTAACAAATATTTTGAGTCTGAAGAAGGTGATGGTCGTAAAGTGTTTGAATCGGTATTGGCAACAGGATCAGGATATTGGATATATGGAAGATCAGCTTGAGTTTGGGGATTATTATTGCTGTGTTGTTCTTGTTGATCTTGAGTAGCATAACTTGAACGCATTTGGGAAAACGCTTGAGTCAAATAATTGTATTTTGATAATCGTGCACCATTCACAGAGAGTTGACTTTGAGTACGGTTGTCATTTTGTTTTTCTGTATCAGGTGTGTTGTATTTTTTGATGCAATATAATTTATCCAAAGTAGCAGTTGTATTTTCAGAAGGTGAAGTTGGTGAGAAGTGAGGCTGTTGTTTATCTACTAAGTGTGGTGATGATGTTGATCCAAAAGCGTTATGAGGCGAGTTGAATGAATAAGTACTTTGCTGATCAAATGGACGATCAACATATCCCATTGAGGTTTGCTTTTGAAATTCAGTGCCTTCGAGTACCATACTTGGAGTAATACCTCGTCCACGTGGAAATGATTTTGGTTTGTTCCTGCGATGATACATAATACATCCAATCAAACATAATAGTAATAATAGACCACCTGCCGCACCACCAATGATTCCCCCAATTTGTGCGTTGGTTAAACTAGAGGTTGTATTATTTGTGGTTGATAATGTAGTTGGTGATGTAGTTGATAGGGATATAGATAAAGGAATTGTTGAAGTAGGCGTTTGAAGAATATTAGAAGAGGTTGGTAAAATAGATGTCGTTAATGGTGTTGCCCCAAGAAGACCTCCATAATCACCAGTGAGAACAGCAGTACCACCAGTAGGAAGAATCATAACCGATCCAGATATAGTGTTTCCACCACCTATTATTAAAAAGAAATAAGTTTAATAATTTATATCTATATATATATATATATATTCTCTTTATATATATACCTGAACTTTTGATTGTAGAGGCTTCCACCATAATTGTTTAAATAAATAATAAGAAAAATTCAATAGGAATAAAATCTTTTATATATAAATTGAATGTTAATGTAGAAGAAAGAAAAAGAAAGAAAAAGAAATAAAAAAAAAAGAAACCATAATTTACTATCAATTACGCGCGTTGTACAATGGTGGAACCCCGATTTACAGGTGTAACCAAAATCAACCCTCAATCTTTTTTTCATTTCTTACCATTTTTGGATACTCCTTTTTGTTTAAGAAATTTTCCTTTAATTGTGAGTTCATCCTCTTTTAAGAATGATTCCCGGTAATGAGTTCTTTTTTTTTTTTGGTCTCATTATTTAACATTACAAAATGTATTGGTAGCATTAAAATGTTAAAGAAAAGTTATAATTGGTTAATTTTTTTTCTTTTTTTTTTTTTTCTAATAGCCTATCTTCCGCACCCCCAAAAAAAAGCATGACTTTTTTCTTTCTTTTCTTTTTATTTTTTTCATGTCATTTTTATCCAAAAATAACCTTACTGATATATTATGGATTGAAACCTCTATTCCTGTTATTGCTTCTATTTATTATCACCTTCACTTAAAACAGACTCATTCTCTTTATTGTCCGGATGATGTTATTGATCATATCAACCACCAACACGTACGCGATCTAGCCCGTGATATTCTTTATGTGATAGATTCGGTATACAATAGTAGAGAAAAACGTTAATCACTTTAATTTAATATTTACTTTTATTATTATTTATTATTATTGGATAGAACAATTATAAAAAATTGGCTCTTCATTTTATACACTTCATATCCCTTTCGAAACGAGACGATCTTGTACGCTTTCTTCTCAAACGACGACCTCATTTGACAGTATCTTGTTTGACATTACCAGTTCCAGTTATTCAACAGTTTTATTTATCAGGATGGTCTTTCTCTCTTGGTCCTAAATCTGAACCTTTATGGTATCGTCAATGTCTTGCACCATTCAAGGAAACATATACTCCAGCGTTATCACTTGTACCATCCGATGCATCTCATACTAGTCAAGACTTTCTCCAACCATTCTTGATAGCTTCAAAGGAATTTACAAAGAAGGTATTACCAGACAAACAAAAGAAAAAAAAACAACATTTCGGTCGACATATCAATAGTAACTTTGTTTCTTTTTTCTTTTTATTATTTTTATTACCATGAAAGGCTCTTTTTGTACATATGACTCAAGATATGATTCAATTCAACCCAACAAATACAACTTCTAATAGTACTCAAACAGACAATTTATTTCAAATAACGGATGCGGCATTACTGGCAATTCAAGGATGGATGGACGCAATATCTTCATTACCAAGGTAAAAACAATGAAACATATATATATAAAAATGAATTAAAACTAAAAAGAAATCAATCTCATTCATTATAGTGAAGCTGGAAATTCACTGATCTTGATTGCAGATGAATCCATCTTTTTTAGTAAAACAGAACAACTAGAACTACAAGAAATAAATCATGAACACCAAAATCAAAAATTATCCCTTAGACGGCAACAAGTTCAGCATATGATGGAGTCATTAGCATATCAACTTCCAGTTTACCTTTATCTTAGTCATTACAACACATCACGGAATAATACAATTGACAATAATTTAGCATGGCTACAACAGCGACATCATATTTCTATCGCCTATTCTATACTGATGACTTGGGGTCCCTATCAACAAACTGTGGAACAGCTGGATCAATCAGTCAGTATGCCTATTCATCTTGATTTGACCTGTATTGCGAAATATGACCGATCTAGGTGGAAAACTGAATTGTAAGTCAACAAGTTCAATTTCCTAGTAACTAACATCCGTTTTCGTTCGCTGGTCAATATAGTGTTGAGTTATTAAGGAAACATGCCTATCATCCTCATTTGGAAAAGGAACGGTATATTTCACCTGATAAATTGTAAGTACACCACTCACTTTATATATGTATACTGATATTAATATATCTTTTATTTACTTAGGAATCTATCTTCATCTAATGAAGACTATGTTACACCAATGTTGAATCTGGACGATCATCATTTTATATCAACAAGAATGGAATCTGGTGAAACATTTAGTCATAGCGTCTCCTCTATGGTAATAAAAAAGAAAGACATAATTCACGGATAGAGTATTGGTAATGCATATGTTTTTAACCTTTTGATTTATCTTTTCATTATAGAATTCAAAAGTAATGGAATCATGGGTGAAGGTACAACATATTACAACTGGAGAAAGTGATCATGATAACAATGGACAGAAAAACAATATGAAAATAAATGACAGCGAGAAAACTCATCATGATATGACAGGTGACTTTACATCAGACGCGTCTACACAAGAAGAGTCGACATTGAAACTGGAACAGCTGGTGAAGCAAATCACTCAGGACAGAATACAGAACTACATAGCCAATAGCGGTGCTTTTACAAGGGGACAAGGTCTTTTACATACATTCAGTGAATTATCGTGTACTTGGAACGATGCAAATGATACTCTTCTTTTATTTGCCAAGGCTAAGGGTACAAGCGAAACACCTTATGATGTACATATTGTTCTCGATAGAAAGGGCAACGAACGAGGTAAACAAAAAAAAAAAAAGAATTCAAGAAATGATAGGAAAGGATAAAAAGTAATATACAAAATGAATTGATGTATCATATCTATAGTGATCAGAGATGGGAAATGTACTTGCCCAGTTGGACGGAATGGACGATGCAAGCATTGTGCAGCTTTATTATTACTATTTATGAACGACAGCGATGGATTTAAACGTAATAACCAAGGACAAGAACAAAAAACGACCATGACCACGCAAAACATATCGACATCAAAATCGTCTCCTTCCACAACAGAGACAATACCAACGATAACATCATCATCTGTGGCAAATAACACTCTTATATCTACAAAACAACATCTCATAGAAAATGATTCAGCAAGAATACTAGCAGCTCCTTCACGGTCATCACCATCATCAACACCATTGGAAAAATTTAGTGACAAGGAAACAGATACCATTACTCCTGATATTGACGATTCGATGACTAGCAGCAGTCCTTCTACGACAGAGCAACACAACCCAACTGATACTGCAACTGATCATGATCTTCCTCCAAGGCGACGTCGCGTTTTACCATGGGCTCAAGATCCAACACAGAAAGGGACGAAAGGTAGAAAGAAGCAACGAGTTAGTAAGAAACAGTCAATACCATCTGACTCTTTCCATGATCCGGAGGCCAAGAAAACAAGTCCTTTATCACCTAGAACTGGAAATAACAAAAAGAAGACGGCACATCAGACAGATAATTCTGAAGATGATGACGGCAATGATGATTTTGAACAAGAATTCCAAGGAGACAAAGGGACACCAATGCGACGACCGAGAAGAAATACTCAACAAAAAATCAAATTGGTGTCAAATATGACAGGTGACGATCTCGATAAAATGTCATCAATGATGGACGATAGCATGGATGAAGGAAAACAAAGTCAAACATTGGAAAATGAATGTTTTAACTACCAAAAATCTTCTCTTAGTTTGGTAAGTCATCATCAAAAATGAAATACAAAAAAAAAAAAAAAAAAAATTGGATGTATGATATTGATTTTTTTTTTTTTTTAGCCCATGACAAACCTAGATCTTCTTTCGTCAAATGATAATGATGGCTCAGAAACTGAAGATGAGGATCAATCACTTTTACCACAACTTGATTCCGGAGAGCTGGCAAACGCAGACGAAACAAGATCTTATCCTTTGGAACAACCGCAACAACATCAACACCAAAAAGATCATATACCTAGTCGTTTTGCTAGATCAACTACTTCAGACTTGTTTGATGAATTAGATCTTTAGAGCTTCATCTTCCTTCTTTTTTTTTGGCGGTTTTTTTTTATATATATCTTTGAATTTCAATAAACTTATCTATATGTATAGTGATTTTGTGAACGGTCTGGATATGATGGAGGATGGATGTGGGTAAAGGATGCAGTAATTGTATAGCTGTATGGTATGTGATGACGGATGATAACATAATATCTTACATGAAGGGATAATGATCCTATAAAAGGTTTACTCGTGCTCCATGTTACTTTATTCCTATGAATAATAATACAATGAATAAATAAGAACATGATATTATTAATAACAAAGTAAATAAAGAAACATCATAGATGATTAGTCTTGATCATTAAAATCTATGACAATGATAGATCGTCTCTAAAAAAGGATAATTGAAGTGTGATAATCGTATGATCAATGATGATGGAGGAATTGTGAAGATGGATATGGTAAACGATATAAAATATATAAAGTTGCTTACTACTTTTTCGTATAATTTAAACACTCACGCGTCTCAATCTACACCTATCTTTATTCAATTTTTTTTTTTTTTTTTTTTTGTACGAAATGTTTTGTGTATTTTACCACTGATGCTGATTGTCATTGAATATATGATAAAACTATTTCTATTGAACAATAATACTAGAAACATAATCTTAAAAAAAAATTATTTATTACAAAATGTCTAATACAAAAAACATATGGACTGACAATTACTAAAGTTCTAATCATTCCCAATGGTCTTATGGGTTCGAATATATGTCCTACTGTCTTGATCTGCGCGTCGAATAGGTTCGGGAATACGGTATTGAGAGGTTGCCAAGATAATCCTAATAGCTGTATCCAGAGATATCCGATGACCTTGACTGATATAAATAGGATTTGGTGCTGTGTCTACTGTTCGAACGGCTGCTCCATAAATGATACCTGATGATCCTTTTAGTAGCCATCGATCACCTCGTTTGTTTAAATACTGCCTTGTCTTTTCCTTGACGTACTGCATCTGTAATTCAGGTCCATCTTCAATCACTAAAAAGTTCTTACCGACACCGATCGTAGGTATATCTGCCACCACCCCTAAATGACAAGCAATCCCACACTTCCGCGGATGTAATCGACCGTTACCTACACTCATACATCCACAAAAAAAAAAAAAAAAATCAATTCTTCTTTCCATTCTTTTATATTGATTCTATTTTTTTTCCTTACCATCAACAAGAAGAATTTGAGGGTAAAATGAAGGTTGATTGGTTTTCAAACGATTCAATAATGTTTGCAAAGGTTCCACTTCACGAAAAGCTAGAAAGCCAGCAATGTAAGGTAAATATAATCGAGTTTCCAAAAAATCAGTGTATACAACCTAAAGAAAGAATATAATTAATATTTGATTCAAGTCTCCAGTTCTTTTTTTTTTTTTTTTGACCTCCAAAGATGGATACTTCATCACAACTAGACAGGCCACAGCATGTTCCATATCATCCCCACCAGGAAAACTGAGATCTACACCACCAATATATTGTAGATCTTCAAAACTATTCGTGTCAAAATCTACTTGGTCATCTAATACTATCATGTTCCGCAGCTGTTCTTGTATCCTGTTCAAATGAAAGAGTCCTATTAGTGTTTCTTAGAGATGATCAGAGTTGAGTAAATCATTTTCTGTTCCACTTACGATTCCCATTCTTTCCTTTGTTGGGCATTGGGGTCTTCAATATATTCATTTAACGCGAGTGTAGCCATATTATATTATAAAAATAAAAGAGGAAGAAAAAGGGTAACCTATGTGATTTCTGCGGGGACTAAAAAACTGGTCGATCTCCAAGACCTTCCCTTTTTTTTGGATTTTGAAAATGGTACATATATCATTATTTACTAATAGATGGACAACAAATAATAGTATGAATGTATGTATGGGCATTGGAATGAAATAGGTAGATATTGTGGATTGATATGACAAGAGAAAGTAATAAAAAGAAAAAAAAAAAGGTAGTATCAGACTGGAGAGTCCGACATATACATTTTTTTTTATTGCATGGAAGAATACAAGTACAAAAAAATATAGTAAGCTATACTAACGGAAAAATCACTAGGGCTGACTATCATCTATCATTGAGATCTAAATCTATTATTATTGTTGTTGTTGTGGTTGATTGATCTTGGCTGCAGCAATATAACCTTGATCAACAAGGTACTTGATGACAGCTTGGACACCTTCTTCCACAGACACTTGATCCGTCTTGATATGAATTTCAGGACTTTCGGGAGCTTCATAAGGAGCAGAGATACCAGTAAATTCCTTGATTTCACCCGCCTTAGCCTTTTTATATAATCCCTTGGGATCACGTTGTTCAACTACTTCCAAAGGTGCATCAGCAAAGACTTCAATAAAAGGAATGCCAGCTTCTTTATGAAGTTGACGAGCAGAGTCACGATCTTGACGATAAGGACTGATGAATGCAGTAATGGTAATTACAGTAGCATCGGCAAAAAGTTTGGCAACCTAAATAACCGCAAAAAAAAAAAAGTGAGTAATGAATGATTCAACAGTCATTCCTTTTTTTTTTTTTCTCAGTTTTTTTTTTCATTACTTCAGAAATTCGACGAATGTTTTCAGTACGGTCTTCAGGACCAAAACCCAAATTCTTGTTCAAACCAAATCGAATATTATCACCATCCAACCTGTAACTAACAATACCAGAATGAAGTAATGTTTGTTCAAGAGCAGTAGCCAAAGTGGATTTTCCAGAAGCTGACAAACCAGTAAACCAAATAGTTAAACCCTAAACAATTCAAAAACGAGAGTTTGTACCTGTAATTCGTAATTCTTTCACTTTTTTTTTTGCAAAAGAATGTTTTACCTTTTGTTTCAAAAGTTCTTGTCTTTCACTCAAAGATACTGATCCAGCGTGCCAAGTAATGTTAGTGGACATAATAATATATGATGGTTAATAATAATAATAATGTAAAATGGAAGGGAAAAGAAAAGGTAAAAAAAAAAAAAAAAAAAAAAAAAAGTGGGAAGAAATGGAGACCAAAGATGCCTATTTTCGCGGAGATGAAATGTTATCGTGGGAATGAAGGTTTCTTATTGGAAGATGAATGATGTCGCCATAGTGATTGCGCATGAAGTAAGGTGATGTGCCCTTCTGGCGGTTGCGGAGAAGTAAGTGATATCTTTTTTGGTTCCTACACTTTTTTTTTTTTTTTTTTGTTACTGTAAGTGACCGAAACGTGACATTTCAGGGGTGAAGTATGAATAAACTTGCATGATTTATTTCCATCGTCTTTATATTTCTTTCTTTTTCTTCTTTTTTTTTTCTTCTCTCTCTATATCTTTATTATGTCTTTTATTAGGAAAACTAGTTATGAGAGTTTCTCTCTCAATCCTGATTTATTGGATATTGAAAGTTATTATTATGCTACTCAAAGAAAAGTAAAGAAAAAAACAAAGATATTAAAACAAAAAAAAGGACTCACTTTTTCATATATATCCTTAGAACGTAGTGTATCCTTATCGATACAATCATCCATTCTCTTGGTTTATTAGTATTTTTTCATTGATGATGCTTTCGACATTGTTAATGTTCATTTACCTTACGGATGATCAACGCGTATTTTTTAATTCTGTTCAATCTGAAGGTAGGTCAATGAAACAAAACAGATCTTTTTTTTTTTACGCCACACGCACGTCCTTGTTTATTTGAACTAAACAAAAAAAAATTCTTTTATTTATAGGTTCAAAAAATATAGTGATGATGATATCAGATGGTTTTGGTAAGTGTTTTGAAACTGTCATACTTGATGTTTGTATTAAAAACCTTATCAATAGGTCCAGCATCCGAAACATTTGCAAGACAATATTATACTTGGAAAAATGATTTGGAAGTTTCTACTTTACTTCCTTTGGATGAAATTCATATTGGTCAAAGTCGTACTCAAAGTTCATCGAGCTTGGTCACTGATAGTGCGGCAGGTGCTACAGCTTTCTCCTGTGCAAAGAAATCTCATAATGGTGCTATTGGTGGTAAGTTGATTATCTGCGGGACCTAAATCCTTCCTACCTTTTTTTTTTTTTTTTTCTTATTCTTCTTTTTTTTTTTTTTCCTCTTTATCTATTTCAGTGAATCCTCAAGATCAACCATGTGGTACTGTATTGGAATCAGCCAAAATACATCATAACATGTTAACTGGACTTGTTGTTACTTCACGTGTGACTCATGCAACTCCAGCCGCCTTTTCTGCTCATGTACCCGACCGCGATCAAGAAGATTGGATTGCCGAGCAACAAGTTGGCTTTAATCCCCTTGGACGTACAGTGGATTTAATGTTTGGTGGTGGATGGTGCTATTTTTATGGAAACTCTTCAAAGGACTCTAGTTGTCGTGCTGATGATCGTGATTTATTAGAAGAAGCAAAATCTCTCTTTAATTGGAATGTCTGCCTGGATCGTTCACATTTTGATTCTCTCTCCCAAGATACTGCATTGCCTTTAATGGCTATGTTTAGCCCTAGTGTAAGTGATGCTTTTCCTTTTTTTTTTTTTTATCATGATGTATGTCATTTTATTGATTATATTTGTTAGCATATGGATTACGAAATCGATCGAAATCAAGAATATCAACCTTCTTTGAAAGAAATGACTGATAAGGCTCTGTCGATTTTGGATCATGCTTCTAAAGAATCAGGAAATGGTTTCTTTTTGATGATTGAAGGTAGTCGAATTGATATGGCAGCTCATACGTAAGTTATACAATATTATTCACTACAAATATTCATTTTTCTCTCGTTTTTCTTTTTTTTTTTTAAAAAAAAAAAAATCCCTAGAAATGATCCTGCTGCTCATGTCCATGACATTTGGGAATATCAACAAACGGTGGAACTTGTAAAATCATTCATCAAGGATCATCCTAATACGGTGTTAGTGTCAACAAGTGATCATGAAACTGGTGGATTCACAGCTGGTCGTCAAGTAGGTGATGCTTATCCGGAATACAAATGGCAAGTAAAAAAAAAAAAAAAAAAAAAAGAATTTGAACTAAGAGAGGTAATTATTTACCAGGAATCCGGAAGTCATCGATCGTGTCAAGAGTTCTTCAGAAAATCTAGCAAATGTATGGTCAGCTGCAGTCAATGGAAATTCTGCAACAACACGTTATTTACAAGATATCATTTTCGATAAAGGTCTTGGCATTACTGATGCAACACCAGAAGAGATACGTTGGGTCTCTGAATGGAAAAATGACAATCCTCAAGCGATGTATCAGTTATCATATCAATTTTCTGATATGGTTAGCCGACGAGCTCTGATTGGTGTAAGTACAAAATAATAATAATAATAATAATAACAGTAATGATGATGATGATTTACTTCACTTATAGTGGACAACACATGGACATACAGCTGTGGATGTGAATCTTTATGCAATGGGTCCTGGTACTGAAGTTTTACGTGGAAGCCATGAAAATACCGATATTGGTGACTTTATTACGACTTACTTGGATTTGGATCTCGATGATATCACTGAAAGATTGAACATGCAAGTTCTCCAATCAACGAAACAATTATGAAAAAAAAATGATCGGATTGTTTCTCATATTTTTTTTATTTTCATTTTAGGGACAAGGACTTTTTGGATGGCACCCCTCATCATATACCCCAAAAACATGCAAATGATTATTATCATTAGTTATTTTTTTATATTTATTTAGTTCTTCTTTGATATGTTCACCTTTTTTGAAATAAAAAAAAAAGTCAATACTGAATCATTGATTTGTACTACTTTGTTTGCGTAGAGAACCGGAACCGGATGAATTTTTCAAAAGAGGATCTTACTAAGTTTTGCTGGGGCCCTTCTCGTTGGCTGGATTCAACAACCGATCTTACTAAAAAAACGCGTTTTAATCATGTTTTCTTTTTTTTTTTTTCTTTCTCTTTCTCTTTTTCATTTGCACATATTCACTTTTTTTTTTTCTATTGAATACAATGTTGTCTATTGCTTCTCGTGCTCTCAAGTCCTCTACCTTCAAGCCTGTTTTGGGTTCTATCTCTGCTATTCGCACCAAGGTCACTTTACCTGATCTTCCTTATTCATATGATGTAAGATATACTCTTTATTACAACCCTTGTCTAAAAAAAAAAAAAGTAAAAAACAAAAACAATATGCTCATACTTTTCTTTCAAAACTAGGCTCTTGAACCCTACATTAGTGCAGAAATCATGGAAATTCATCATAAGAAGCATCACCAAACTTATGTCACCAACTATAATGCTGCTGAAGAAAAACTCGAAAAGAGTTTCCAGGCTAATGAATTGACTGAACAATTACGACTTCAAAATGCCCTCAAATTCAATGGTGGAGGTAAAGTTAGAGCTTTGTGATAAGATAGAAAAGGAATACGAAGATTATTTTTGATTTATCTCATTTTATTTTTTTGCTATTGATGATGTCTCCTTTTTTAATTAGGTCACATCAACCATAGTTTGTTCTGGAAAAATTTGGCTCCTCATGGTCAAGGCAGTGCTACTCCTTCAGGTAATTTGGCTGAAGCCATCAACAAGCAATTTGGCTCTTTTGAAGAATTCCAACAACAATTCAACGCCGCTGCTGTGGGTGTTCAAGGTAAACAAGTGAAAAAAAAAATTGACCAATCACTGACTAAGCATTGTTGTCAACTTTTTTTTTCATATCCCTGTTTTATATAATACATTTCATTCTATAGGTTCTGGTTGGGCTTGGTTGGTAAGATTACCAAAAAAAAAAAAAAAAAAAAAAAAAAAAAAAAAAAGGATACGATCTATGAGAAATAGAGATAGGATAGTGCAAGTGTTGTATGATAGTGGGTTACAATGGCTAGGTAAGATTAACATAGTTATTATATAGGGTTACAACAAGCAAGCCAAGCGACTTGAAATTGCTACCACTAGCAATCAAGATCCTTTGCTTCGTAAGTGATTTTTTTTTCTTTTAGAAATAGAAAGATTATATATATTAATCCGAGATGATGTCTTTATTTTCCTGATTTAGATTTGACTCCTCTTTTAGGTGTGGATGTTTGGGAACATGTAAAAACAATACAATAATTCATGCCAATCGAGTAAACAATGAAGTGACTCACTTTATTTTATTTTATTGTTATTAGGCTTACTATTTACAATACAAGAATGTTCGTCCTGATTATATGAAGGCAATTTGGAATGTCATCAACTGGGAAACTGTGGCTGAAAGACTCACCAAAGCTCAATAGGTTGTAATGGAATTTTTATACTTTAGTTTATTATATAGTTTGGATTTAGTTCCACTTTTTTTTTTTGGTTTATGCAAAAATCAACAATAAAGGAAAAAAAATAATCTCTTTTCCACTCCATTTTACTTTCCCCCTTTTTTTTCAATCACTTTTCTTTTGCCTTAGTTTGGTGAAGATGACCATACCATGATTTCATGCTCAAACCCCCTTTTTTTTCCATGTTTACATCCGTTCTCCTATAACAATCCCTTTTAGTATACAATCAACTATGTTTCTCCTTTATTAGAAGATATAAAGAGTGAATAAAAAAGAGGATGCATTTATTTTATTATTTTTTTTTATTGTTGTTGCTTCTATTCTAACTCTATTCTATTCAAGAAGGTCATGACAAATAAGAGTCTACTACTACAAGATTTTGGATTATCTACATTTGCACAAGATATATTCAATTCTACATCAAGCCAAGATAAAGTACAAAAAGAAGAAGAAGAAGAATCAAAAAAGGAGAGCCATTTCACGTTAAACACGGACGACAATGACGATGATGATGATGATGATGATATTCCACTAAGTAATATTCTTGATCAATCCATACCATCATCAAAAAAGAATCCATTCAGTCAAAGTGCACCTCCTTCTAGACGACCTAGCCAAATGACCAATATCATACCAACCACTACCGTACTTAAAGCAACAAGCCAACAACCCTATTCGATTCTTGAAGATGACAGCTTACATGAAGATGACGATGAAGACTTGGTGCCCATTGCCGTGTTACAAGATCCTACTATCAAGTTGCGCCATCCCTTCCAGTCAGCAGCCGAGAAATATAAAAACAGTGTTCTATGTCGCGATCCACAACTAAAAGTAATGACACAAAAAGAACAGTTAGATACTACTACGAGCGACTATGATAGAAGATCCTCTTTGGATCCATTGGTACGTCATCACTCTACTTCGTCTCCCATTTCTTCTCCTACTTACTTTCATCCATCAGTTCATCCAGTTGTTATGCGTTCAGTATCTACTAATTGTTCACCACAACCCTATGAGACCAAAGGAAATAACTATTCGTCAAATAAAAGTCAGGAGATGAATAATTTAGACGACGATGACGACGATGTACCACTTTTCCAAACTTGCCTTGGTGCACCTTCATCCATTCAGACTAGTTCATCCAATGTAAAAGTAACTATGCAACAATAATCGATAATAATAATAATAATAATAATAATATGATATATATATAAACACAATAAAGACACAATTCAAAACAAAAGAAATAGAAATGCAAAAAAGGGATTCTTTTTGATTTCTTTCTCTTTTGGTCTTGGCTTTTCAAGGCCAGCTGTCTTAAATAGATAATTTTTATTTTGAGTGCCTATTTGTACCTATTTTGTACTTATGGTCCTATTTATTTTTTTATTTTTTTCTTTTTTGATGGATGATAATAAATGACAAGTGACGAATGAATGAATGGATGATATGTGATGGTGACTTGAGTGAATTGATTGATGGCTGATGATTACCATCACTTCTCTTCAAAAACTAGAGCTACACCTTTCCATCAAATCAATAGCCTACACGTTTCCAATATCAAACCAATAGTTCAAAAAATAAACATCCCATAAATCAAAGATTTCGAAAAACTCCAACAGACTGCCAGAGCATTTATTGTTGTAAAAAAAAAAAAAAAGAAGTGCTGTGCTTTGTATATATATAAAAAAAGAATGAAAATAGTGAGGTGGAAATATAAAAAAAAAAAGAAACAAGTGGGTGATAAGGAGACTAAACTATCAAAATTATGGTGAAAAAAAAAGAATATGGACGGATATGATGAATGTTGTCTAAACGTATTGGGATAACCAGCGGAAACCATCACCATAACCTTGTCTCATCACCACAGAGCACATAAATACTTCAATAGGTCGAATATCCTTCAATGGCACTTTACCCTATTAGTAAAAAAAAAAAAAAAAAAAAAGTCAACACCTTTTTCATGTGTCCACGTATTACACTATTTTACCTTTCCAGTAGTTTGGAATAAACCAAGTTGTTGTCGAATGCCTTCTTCACTGACAGCACCAGGAGCATCAATTTTGTTACCAAGAATAAGGAATGGTACACTAGTAAGTTGTTCAATAGCAAGAAGAGCCTAACAATGAAAATTAAAATGAGGTGAGTATTTGTTTGTGATCATTATTTATATCCTTTTTTCAATCGATTGTTTCACCATGTACAAAATAAAATCAATGAACACATTCACTTCTTTTTTTTTATCCATCCAGTTAACTATCTTACATCTAATTCAGCTTTTGCTTCAAGGAAACGAGAATGATCAGCAGCATCCACCAAGAATACAATACCAGAGACTTCGGGGAAGTAATCTCTCCACAATCTACGAGCCTGTAAATGCCCACCCAAATCGTAAGTTGTAAATTTAACGTTACCAATAGCTAATTCTTCAGAGGCTAAAGAAAAGAAAAGAAAAATGAAAAATATTAGAACGCGTTGAAGGAAATCATATATCAAGTGCCTTTTTTTTTTTTTTTTGTTTACGAAAATGTATATCAGTTGTACTTACTAGGATGAAGAGTAGGTTGCAAAGTAGCTAAACGGTCGTTCTTCAACATATGAAGTAAAGTAGTTTTACCAGCATTGTCGAGACCCAAAAAGAGAATTTTGGCATTCTTATTCAATAAACCTAAAAGAGTTATAAGATGATGAATATAAGCCCATCATTTCACCCTTTTTTTAATGTTGTTTTACCTAAAGAAGATAAGACATCATAAAACCAATTGACAATAAACATGATAATATGAATAGATAGAGTAGTCTTGAATAATAATAATAATAATAAAAATAAAAATAAAAAAGAATTAAAAAAAAAAAAGGGAAGAAAGGAAAAGAAAAAAGAAGAAGAAAAAAAAAAAGAATTTTTATCTGGCGCGTGGTTGAACAGCGCAAATATGATACCACGTCATGAATATTAGTGAACAAAATAAAGAGGAAAAATTATCGTCGAGAGATAATATTGAAATACCGAAAGGGCCGAGTTCTTCCACACAAAAAAAAAGGGAATCTCATTTTTTTTTCATCTGACAATTTGAACAATCATTTTTTTTTTTTTTTTCAAACAGAAAAGGATGATTGTTATTTTTGTTCTGGTAGTACAATATGGAAAAGGATCAGCCATATTTAGTGTCTTTTGATATCCTGAGCTTTAAATCAAAGAGGCTCGAACCAAGATTTAAAAAAAAAAAAAAAAAAAAACCTGTTTATCCAATCAGATCCATTTGACTTCCAAATTTGTACAAATAGGATTTATTTATTGCTGATGTTTTTTTTCATTTCTCTCTTTTCTTTTCCTTTTCTTCTCTTTTTTTATTTTTATTCTTTATTTCCCCACTTTTTTTTTCTATTATTGTCTATATTATCAATAACCTTGATCTTTTATATTTTTTCATAACTATAAAAATAAAAGAAAAAGTAATTTGGTAGTTTGTTGATTCTTTCTCCTTTCAACTTTTTTTTTCTCTCTCCCTCTCTTTATCTCTCTCTCTCTCTATCTATATTCTCTTTTTACGCCACTCTTCCAATCCACTATTATTATTATTATTATTAATACATATTCTACCAATGCTTATTCTCAAATACAATGAATTACCTGCCCATGATTTGTTTATCATTGAAAGGGTAATAAAACAGAAAAAAAAAAAAAAACAGGAAACTAACATGAATTTTCTCATCATTTTTGTGTAGCATCTTGTGCGATGGTTAGATCACAAAGGACCCAAGATTACACCAGAATGGCATGTGTTGGATCTCAGTCGCACGGACTTGTATGGTCATTTGTTAGGCATCTTTGCTCATCTAAAAGTGTTTGACACTCTTAATATCACTCCTTCACAGTTACTTGATTTTTTGATTGATGTTGATACTGCTTATCTTCATACTCCTTATCATTCATTTTTTCATGCTGCTGATATTGTGGTGATGTTATATTATATCTTGATGGAATTGGATGGACTTAAACAACTTCAACCTATCGATATGCCTCGTCTACTGATTGCCGCTTTATGTCACGATATGGGTCATGTAAGTTATTTTTATCATTATTTTTTTATTGGATATTAGGCGTTTTTAAGGAGGGAAATGTTATATGTGTGTGATGTATATGTATGGAAAGAAAAAAAAAAAAAGAGGAGACAAGACAAAAAAAAAAGGGGCGAATTTGTTACAAAAGTATTCATGTCGATCTCTTTTTTTTTTTTTTTTTTTTTTTTTACTTTTAGCCTGGATACAATAATCTTTATCAAGTCAATTTCAAGACACCTTTGGCTCAAAGATACAACAATAAATCTGTATTGGAAAATTATTCAGTAGATATTACGCAAGATTTACTGAATAAACACAAACTATTTGACAATGTATCATATGAATGGAAGGATTCTATCAAGCAACTGATCCTATCTACTGATATGGTATATCATTATGAATTACAAGAAAAGGCTGGTGCTTTGGAAGAAGTCATGTGTAATTCTTGGTCAGACGATGAAGATGACAATGATCAGAATCACAGCAACGATGTCATTTTTGGAAATGACACCAATGAACAACAACGTTACGACATTCAGTATGATAGAAAAGGCAGTAACAACACCAATGATGACGATGATGATGATGATGACGACGATAGTCACGATAGTAGTGATACAGAGTCCCTTGGCTTTTCTGAACCACCTACACCAACTGTTGATCAACACTTGGATCAACATTTTGAATCTCAACCACAGCGTCTTTTATCGTCAAGCCAATGTCATGATTTTTGCCGGATCATCCTTCATGCTGCCGATATTAGTAACACAGTACGTCCATGGGCCATTTCCAAGCAATGGTCAGATTTAATTGTTCAAGAATTTTTTCGTCAAGGTGATGCTGAAAAACAAGCAGGTCTCTCCGTATCTCCTGGTATGGATCGTGATGAATCAAATCAAGCCACTATTAGTCTCAAGTTTGGTGATTTTGTTGTCAAGCCCTATTTTGAAGCCCTTGCAGGTCTCCTTCCCAAATGCCGTGTGTTCTTGACGACATTAGCCGACAACCGAATGGAATGGATGCAGCTTAAGGATAACCCCATGACAATGGCCCTGACACCCCCTCCTCCTCCTCATGAACGCCACTTTCCTTCAAGATTACTTCCTTCAGTACCTGTTCCTAATCCTTCTGGTCGACGAGTTAGTGTACCTGCTGGAATAGTGATTATTCCTGATCATCATCATTGGCAAAAACAACGACAATTGAATAAACGACGTTATCATCAAATATATCATCATCATAGACGACATCATCATCGAATCAATAAATTTATTTGGTCATCTTCTCAACAAGTTCGACAACGTTTTACAATCCGTAGTGCCAGTCATCCCATTGTGATTCCAGATTTACTTTTTCGGCATTCTGATTCCACTACATTGATTGGTACAGATCATTTATCTCATAGATTTGAAGCTCAACGGAAACACAGTGACGGATCATCTGAAGAAACCAACAACAATGATAGTGTCAATCTTATTACTTCCTTGGAACAATGAAAAGTTTTGGCTTCTTGTATTATTATTATTATTCTTTTATATTATTTTTTTTTTTTGTATTTTTATAGTTTAGATAGATCTTTTTTTAGTTGTACATATTTCATTGCTTCAATCCCTTCTCCCATCTCTTGTTTTTACTCTTTTAGGATTTGCTTTTCATCTTTTCCTTTATCTCATTTTTCCCGTATTTAGACGTTCATCTTATATTTATTCACTTTACCTGTATTTCTTTGTTTTATTTTTCTTTTCTTTTTTTACTCTTGTTGTATTATAAATAAATATTTTTGTTAATCCCCTTAATATAAACTTCGGTAAAAAAAAAAAATATCTCGTAATAGAGTAAAATGACCTCAACCAATGAACGTAATTTTCTATTCAGTGCCTGAGATTGTAGTCATCCATTTTGGGATGGTGTAACCGGTACTTTTAGGGCGGTCAATGAAAATAAAATCAACCGATACAGTTAATAAAAAGATGAGGAAAACGTTTTCTTTCTTTTCCCACCTTTTTTCTTTTCTTCCCACTTTTTTTTCTTTGTGTATATATATTATATGACAATATTTATTATTATTCAATCAACATAAAAAATACGAAATGGAAACACCATCACAATTTACACCATCTTTACCACATACTTTGGAACAACTACTTGGAAGCACTGAAAGTAACTTATTTCAAGATTTCCAACAATATCTTGAACAATCTTTTTGTTGTGAAAATCTTTACTTTTGGCTCGATGTTCAAGAATATATTGATCTTTGTCGACAATTAGATCATGATGGCTTTCAGTTTTCAACAAAACAACAACAAGAAGAAAATATTCTTTTCCACGTGGTCCAACAAAAATGCCATGCGATGATTGACACTTATATTCGACCCAACTCTAATCAAGAAATCAATATTCCTTGTGAACTTCGACAAGACCTCCTGGATCAAGTATTTGGATTAGGAAATTATCACCCTCAGGTGTTTGCAAAATCAACAAAGAGTGTACTTGAGTTGATGCGTGTCAATGCTTTTATTCCATGGATTTCTTCTTACATGGCATCTCCTCTTTCACCTCCTTTATCTTCAACTATCACCAATTCTCCTTTTGTCAATCCTCTTATCAATGGTCATCAACTACCCCTATCTCCAACTTCACCATGCCGTCCAAAACATCGTCAGATAACTACCAACACGGATCGTACTATTGATTCTAGTAGCAATGATAATCTTTCTTCAACTCAATCCTCTCCTACAAGCTTATCGTTTTCTTTTATGGTGGATAAATGGAATTCTTTCAACAGGATGAAATCAATGAAGCGAAGTAATTCAATGGATTCAACAACTTCTGTAGAATTGATGGATGAAAGTCAACAATCAGTCAAAAAAGGGAACATGGATATGACTACTTGTTCACCACCTCCATCTCCAACTGTATCTTCACCTCCTGCATCAACTCGATATAAATCCATGTTACAAAGAGTCAAGTCTTCTTTTCTGCCCAATCCCTCAACTATCAAACCTACCACAACTTCTTGGAAAAAAGATCAACAAGATTGAAATGGATTAATATTATTATTTTTTACTTTAGATATCCTATGATACCCCCCCCCTTCTCTTTCCATTCATTTATATACACATCCAAATTAGATTATTCTCTTGTACTTTTATTATATTTTATCATTACTTTTTTTTTTATTTAGTCTTTATTCAATTCCCCCCTCCCCTTCTCCTATTTTTTTTTTACATCAAAACTAGATACATCTTTTATACATATTCTCATATACCAACTTTTTTATTTAGTTGATTGATCTTTCTTCTTCACAAAGAAATAAAAAAAAAAAAAGATCTTTATCACAAAAACAGATGATAATGATGTTATTTTATTTAAAACCACTCATGTTCCATTACTTTGGGCGGCGACTTCTTTTTTTTAACTTTGACAGTGTAGTACGGACCCCTTCTTTATTTCAGGCAACGACAAATTCGGATCAGGTACCCCTCTCTCCATTTACTCCAATTGATGATAAGAGCGTATGATTGACTGTTCGTTGGGCAATTTCTGTTTCCCGTTTTTTTTTTTTTTTTTTTCTTCGTTTTTTAAAATGAAACTTGGGTGTGATTTATATGTCCGTTAAACAAAAAAAAATGAAGCTCTCTCTCCCACGTGGCTAAAAAAAAAAAAATCATCAAACTCACTGGGTATATCATGTGGTAAACTGATTTTTAGTGGCGGTGATACACAACGTCTTCAAGGGGGATCATATGATATCCTTTGTGTTTTTGTTTGTTTTATTTTATTTTATTTACTAGAGTGACCTTTTTTTTTATAGTTATCCTATGATGATGTTTTGACTGACAAGATTATGAAAACAAGATCATCATCATTCGAAAAAAAACACCAGTCTGATTCTTTTCGATCTACTCCTAAAAAAGAAAGAAATGGATCGAGAGGGTCCACCATTTGTAGGGGAAAAAAACGTGCCAAGATAGAATAGATAGATTGAAGGTCCGTCTTTCTTTCAATCATCAAGTGTTCGCGAAGTTTTTGAAAATTGAATACATTTCTTTATCGGTTGTTGATTTTTATTCATAGATTTGTTAATAAGAGAGGTTGTCAAATGAGAATGATAAAGATCTTCAAGCCAAGTCAAGTCATGTGGGAAATTGATTTTGCGGGGTAAAAGTAATTCCAGGCAGATCGAGCTTTTATTTATCTACCCTTTTTTTTTTCTTTTCTTTATATATTCTAAGGATTTTACCTCATTCTCTTTATCTTTTTTTTTTTTATTATTTTTAAATGTCATGTCCGTTACACTAGTAGAAACATCACGATTGGGTTCTTTAAGTACTCTTCAAGAACCTTTGAGTGAAAAAAATGAACCATCTATGTTATTAACTCTTTGGAGAAGGTTTCAGAACCCAGTTGGAAATCCAGATCCAAGTTCATTTTCCTCCACCAAGAAAAATGTCATTTTACTCATGGTAGCCGTTGGATCAGGATTGTAAGTATTGTATTTTATGATCATCCAGCATCACATATTATCCATCATCCAGCTTGACTTGTTTTTTTTTTTTTTAGATCACCAATATCAGCAACTATCTATGTAGGCCCACATTTAAAGTCCATCTTATATGATATTCACATCTTTCATTTTTATTATAGTATCCTGCTATCTTCAATATACAATCAGAATTTCATGCATCCGATATTCTCATGAATGCCACCAGTAAGTCAGTCAATATGGTATAGTTCTCTATTGATGTCTTATTCCCGTTACTTTCATGTATCGTAGTTTCAATTTTTACCTTTTCAACTGCAATCTTTGTAAGTTTTTTTTTTTTTTTTTTTCTATCATTCCTTTTTTTTTGTCTCAACTATCTTTGTCATTATTATTATTCCATCTCTTAGCCATTATTCTGGGCGCGTCTTGGTGAAAAATATGGCAAGTACTTTGATATATTCTTTCTGATATTGGAAACAAAGATTGTATACATGTTACTCATTCCACCTTTTATTGTATGTAACAGGTCGACGACATACCTATTTGATATCGTTTTTCATCGCTATTATTGGAAACGTATGTTGTGCTCTTGCTGTCAATATGCCTATGTTCTTGGTATTTAGAGGTGTAGCCGCCATTGGATCCTCTTCAGTCATGTCAATGGGTGCCGGCACTTTAGGTGATATTTTTGATGCTCATGAACGTGGACGTGCAATGGCTTGGTACAGTAACAAATCCATCTTTTTTTTTTTTATTTTTCTCTTTTCATTAGTTCTCATAGTTTCTCTTATAATAACTAGGTATACAGCACCACCACTTTTGGGACCAGCATTAGGGTAAAAAAAAAAAAAAAGGCAGGTCAATGGAAAACTGATAATTTTATTTCTTGTTTATTCTATAGACCAGTAGTTGGAGGGGCATTGAATCAAAAATTTGGTTGGCGAAGTAATTTTTGGTTTGTAGTAGCAGCAACTAGTTTGGTTTGGTTAGCCATGATCTTTTTTTTACCTGAAACAAGTCGACGAACAGCATCCATGGATAATTCTATGAATAAGAAAAGAAAACGACCAAATCCTTTTGCAGCCTTGGCCATGTACAAATACCCAAATATTGCTTTAACGATATGTTTCACTGGAATACTGTAAGTAGGTATTCAATGGATCATTCCTTTTTACTGATTCTTCTTTTTTGTAGCTATATGGTTTTCTTTACAGTGAATACCATCTTTACCCGTACTTATTCCCAACAATATGGACTGGATACTACAGTGACAGGATTATGTTATCTTCCTATGGCAGCTGGAACTGTAATTGGAGCCATGGTAATGAAAGCATCTTTTTTTTTTCTTTTAACCTGTTTATTTTGATTAGGTGGGTGGACAATGGTCAGACCGAATGTATAATCGTCAAGTAGCCTTAGCCAATGGTGAATCCAATCCAGAAATGCGACTAGGAGGATGTGTATTTTATGCAGGTATTGTCCTTCAGTGTATTGCCTTTGTTGTTTATGGTTGGTGTGTTCAAGCAAATGTATTTTGGGGGTATGGTCTCCTTTGTCTCTTTTTCGGTAAGATGATGTGATTACGATGATATAGAAAAAAAATAAATACTGAACCATCGTTTTATATGTATATATGTTAAGCTGGTATTGGATTGATGGTACCGTACGTTACATTGGGGACTTATATGGTAGATTGTTTCAGAGCAAAAGGCGCGTCTGTCACTGGTAATGTAACACAAGGAGAAAATATAAAACATAAAAAAAGCAGGAAAACAACAGAGATCATTATTAATATATCTTTTTTTTTTCTTTTTGATATTTTATAGCATGTAATAATTTGGCAAGATACGGATTGGCTGGAATTGGATCTTTATTTGCTTCTCAAATCCAAAATGCTCTTGGAAATGGTATTTTGTTTACTGTGTGTGGTTGTTTGATCTTACTTACATCTGTTAATTTGATCATTACCAAAAAGATGGGTGTTCGATGGAGAAATGCTAGATCAATGAAAGAATAGTTTTAGATGTTATATTATAGTTTGGATAGAACTGTTTTACGAATAATAAATTTCTTTTTTTTTTTTTTAGATGTTGAGTTTTTTTGCCCTGGAATCATGCGAAATTTTAGTAGGCGGACGTTGAAATAGTTGAACCATTGTTTTTTTTTTTCTGCTCTGCAACTTTCCCTCATTCTATTTTCTATTTCTTTTTCATAGGATTTTTATTTACCCTTATTTGTCTTTTTTTTCCCCTTCCTTTTTTATTATTATTATTATTCTTTTTTATTTTCTACGTTGTTCTGATATTTACATCAGTTCATCGCTATCTATTCTACTTATATACCTTTCAATCTCACTTTTACCCTTTGTATTTTTTTTTCTTTTTAATATTTGTATATCCCCCTCCAAAAAAAAAAAAACATGAGTCTATCCGTTGGTGACATTTTTGAAGAATATATTGAAAGTAAGATTTAGGATCTAAACCTACTGAATACTCTAAACTGACTTGTTTTTTCTTTTGTTATAGGTTTGACTAACTTGCCATCAGAAATTGACCAAAATATGCATGAACTTCGTAGTATGGATGAAGACTTTCAAAGTAAAATTAGTTTTTTTTAATCTTTGTTACCATGCATACTTACTTACATTATATTACTTTAGGACATCGTGATGCTTATTCCAAACACAAACGTTCCTATCTCAAGTTGATCAGAACCAACAACAGTACTTCTACATCGTCCTCACCTTCAACGCCATCTCCAGGATCCACAGTACATATGACTACATCAAGATCAGTGCTTGAAAAGGACTATAAGTTGGCTATCCAAAAGCAAGATCAAAAAATTGAATTGGCGATGCGTATGTATGATTTGGTATCTCGACATATTGAAAGAATTGATTCTCAAATGGCTCAAAACAATATCTCGATTACTATGCCAAATGAATGGATACAACAACGACAGCAACACCATAGATCAACTTTACATACAAACGGATCATCAACAACTCACTTAGCTAGTTCATCCGCTTTGGAAAATGTTTCAGTATATCAATCTAGGAAAGGTCCTCATTGGGATGATTGGCGTGGCGATGGTAATTTTTTTTTTTACAACAAAGTGGATTGACATTCGATGAATAATTGTCTTTTTTTTTTTTTTTTTTTTTTTTTTTTTTTACAGGTAATAGGAAACGATCTTTATTACATGGTACAACAGGTCCAAGAAAAAGGTAAGTTGTATAGAAAAGGAAGAGAGATTATAATTAATGATCTCACTTTTTTTTTTGTTTGTTTGTAGGACGCATCATTCGACTCGACCTAATCCAGCAATGAATAGTGGAGCATTGGTGGAACATGATATTGATCCCAATGAACCAAGATACTGTTATTGCAATCAAGTATCCTTTGGTGATATGGTGGCTTGTGATGGTGATAATGTAAGTACATAGATATGATTTTCGCAATACTTTTTCTCACTCTTTTTTTTTTTTTTAATAATTTTGTTTGTAGTGTGACAAGGAATGGTTCCATTATGCTTGTGTTGGATTGGCAGAACCTCCAGCTGGAAAATGGTTTTGTGATGATTGCTCAGTGGACGAAAATAATCAAAGGAAATTGAAACGTTATGGCTGATGAACGATATCTTAGTGTAGTACTTTTTTTTTATGAAAATAAAACTTCCCCTTTTTATCATTTGTTTCTTTGGATTCTATCTTTTTTTTCCCTCTCCTGTTTTGATAGATGATTCCTGACATATATTATTTATTGGATATATTTTGGATGAAAGATGATAATGCATTCAACCACCTAATTGGGAAGGTGAGATGACTGGATCAATGAAAATCAGGGTCTTTTCAACTGGCCTGAGTGCACCACTCTGATTGCACGAAAAATCTTATTTTTTTTTTTATATATCGAATTCATCGGTAGGATAATGCTTTTGAGATCATATGGTTGTCCTAAGAAAGTAGCCCTTTTTTTTCTTTCTTCCATCTCATCCCACTGAATCGATGTATAACGAATATAGTATATATATATATACATGTTGTGTGAAGTACTCTTCGGAAACGTTCTGGCAATTTCCCAAGTAACACTTTATTCAAGAACCGCTGCTTTTTTTTTTCACTTCGATTCTTTACCAACCAAAACGACCAAGGCACAAGTCACGGAGTTTAAGAGTGTATTTTTTTTTCTTTCTCTTCTTTTTCTACATATTTTGTCCCTTTTTTTTCTTTTCTTTCTTTCTTTTTTCTTCTGTCTTCATTATCATGTTTTTCTCACGTACAGCATGGAAGGCGGCAGCATCAGCATCTTCTTCACATTCTCTGAAGAATGTTCTCAAAACATCCTGTAAACAGCAACAACACCATCCCTTGTATATATTAACAACTGCCAGTGTCAAAAGTAATGAGCAAACAATTTGACTCTCCATAGTCAACAACCAAACAAACATATAGATACTCATGTTTTATTGTTCTATTTCACCTCTTGCTTTTTTCTTTTTAGACAATGCTCCAGCTTTAGGGGCGATCCCTAGTGTTTACAGCCAAAGGGTAAGAAGGACACATGAATCATATATTTATGCTAACCTTGTTCTATTTTTTTCCATTTTATTTTTGTTAAATAGCGTTGTTTCCATGCTTCAGGTAAGTTCCATTTTTGAAAAAGGAATTCAAGTTATGTGGAATAAAGAGGAATAACAATTATGACTCATATTTTTTTTTTTTACAGGTTCCTCTATGATGAAAAAAGATCCTTATGAAGTACTGGGTGTCAAGAAATCAGCAAGTGCCGGGGAAATCAAGAAAGCTTATTATGCTGTAAGTTTTTGAGGAATTGGATTTATATAAACAACAAAAACGCTGAATAGATATAATTGAATGCAAACTTTGTTTCTTATTATTCATTATCCTTCTTTAATGTTTTTAGCTGGCTAAAAAATACCATCCAGATACCAATAAGGAAAAGGATTCTCGCGAAAAATTTGTACAAATTCAAGAAGCCTATGAAATCCTGTCGGATGAACAAAAACGTCAACAATATGATCAATTTGGACATGGTTTTGAAGGTAAATATATATATATATATAATGTGATTGGATGATTTAAAAAAATGTTTTCATTCATTGTCAGGTGGAGGTCCTGGTGGATTTCCTGGAGGCGGTGCTGGCGGTGCCTATCCTGGTGGATTTGATCCCAATGATATCTTTAGTCAATTTTTTGGTGGTGGATTCCGTGGTGCTGCTGGTGGATTCGGTGGTCAGGCAGGTGGAGATCCTTTCCGAAATGTTCGTGGTGATGATCTTCAGGTAAAAAAAAAAAAAAAAAAAAAATATATTTTTTTCTTTAAAGTGGGATACTTTTCATCTGTTTGTTCAACATTATTCACTTTTTTTTTTATTTATTTATTAGACACCATTGACTCTATCATTTATGGAAGCAGTAAAAGGTGCAACCAAGTTCGTCCAAATCAACCGGGTGACGAATTGTTCAACATGTCATGGAAGTGGATTGAAGACTGGAAAACAAAAGAGTACTTGTAGCGTTTGTCAAGGATCAGGTGTACAAACAATTTCCATGGGTGGATTCCATATGCAAACCACTTGTCAAGCTTGTGGTGGAGCTGGATCAGCTATTCCTCCAGGATCAGCATGTTCTCCTTGTAGTGGTGTTGGAAAAGTACGGGAACGAAAAACGGTGGAAGTCCATGTTCCTCCTGGCGTAGATCACAATTCTCGTATTCGTGTATCTGGTGAAGGTGATGCTCCTCTAAAAGGTCAAGGTCCAAATGGCGATTTATTTGTATCTCTCAACGTAAGTTCCTTCATCAATAAAAGAAAAAAAAAGAATGTATACTAACAATTGTGTTGATAGGTATTGCCTTCCAAGATCTTCCGTCGTAGTGATTATGATATTCTTTTGGATGCCAAGATTCCCTTCCATAAAGCTCTTCTAGGTGGCAAGATTCGTATCCCTACTGTGGATGGTGATGTAGAACTTCGTATTCCTTCTGGATCTCAACCTGGTGACAACATCGCTATGCGTGGTCGTGGTATTCAAAAACTTCGAAGTACAGCTCATGGTGATCAAATTGTCACATTGAAAATTGAATTACCAAGGTATTATATATAAAGATCATGAAAGGCAAAGAAGGTTGATTATATTATTTTTTATTTATTTATTTATTTATTTAGATCATTACGTGGTGAAGCTCGTGAAATCATTGAAAAGTATGCAAGCTTAGTGGATGAAGATTATCGAGTTGAAACACCTCCATCGCCACCACCATCACCAAAACCACAATCAAAATCTAAATTGATGGATGATCATGAAGATGTGACGAACAAAGATGACATTAACAAGATCAATGAAGAAAAGGATAAAAAACCCATTGATGATGCAAAGGACGATAAGAAACGATCTGGATTTTTCAAAAACGCGTTTGGAAAACTCAAGGATAAGGTATGCCATGATGACAATGACAAAAAACCCAAGGATCAATGAAATACAGGTTTAGATAGATAGTTATATTTTTTTTTCTTTTGTTATTACTACCCCTCTCCTCATATTCTGTTGTATTATTTTACTGTTTTTTTTTGGATTTAGTTTAGATGATATTTATGTACAGTTTTTTTTTTTTCTTTTCTTCCTTTTATTTTCAAAATAAAAAAAAAATTAATAATAATAAAACAATCAAACAAGGTGAATGGATGAACATTGAAAGAATCCAATACAAAATCAAGACTTTTACATACGAATTATAGTCATGGATTAGTTATTATTACTATTATTGATACTATACATATGAATACACTATAAGATATTGATTTTAAAAGAAAAAAAAAATAAAAATAAATCTAAACACTTGATTGTCGTTGGTGGATTTCTTTAGGATGGACCCATAGATGTGAACGGAACAGAGCAACAACAACAGCAAAGAAGATCGCCACATCGTACAAAAAGAAATTGGCATAGACTATGCCTTCATGGAAGACTGGGGTAGGATTGTTAGTATAAAGAGCAAGTTCAACAGTTTGGATGATCAGGGGTAAAATCATCAGGAGATTATAGGTAACAAAGGAACCAAAAGCATTCAAACCTAGCGAGCGACCGGAGAGACAGATGAAAAAAAAGGAAAAGGCATGGAACCATAGAATCAAGTAAGAGGCTTCACTAACGTTAGCATATGTCTTCGTCATGGTCAGCAAGTCCTTTCGAAAGTCATCATCGAGCACCATCGTTTCCGTTGTATTGTAACCGACACCCATGGTTGCGTTGATCCTACCTGCAATGGCTTCCGCGGTAATAAGTAAAATGAATCCAAGCAAAATACAACCATAACCGAGATAAAGGATGACTTTTGAAAAGCGAACGTCTGATGATGATTTTCTTAATTGATGAATGATGATCACAGGAAGGAGATAGAGAGCCCACAGATGAATGTAATCGAAGAAGTAAACAACAAGAATAAAGCTTGGATAAACATAAAGTGTGTCTCTGTCATCCATCGGTGCCGTTACGCTAACTGATCGACCAATGATACCTCCTATGCATGCTATGATGAGTAATGCCATACAAGAGAAGGATCGAGAACGACGGACAAGACATGTGCATGCGGATGCTAACAATAGTATACCATACACAACGGCAGAGAGAATATAAGTAACAATGGCAAACTGGAAGACAGGATACATAGATCAAGATTCAATGGTAAAAAAAAAAAAAAAAAAAAAAAAAAAAAAAAAAAAGGAAAAAAAGGAAATGGCATTCATATATATATATATATATATATATATATATTGTGATGCAATGATGGTCTTATTCAATGATAGAAAAACTACGTAAATGAGAAGGTCTAATATCAACGCCGTTTTAATTTGTCGTTCTGAAATAACTCTTAAAAGGCACTAGTCTTTTTTTTGTTTTTTTTTTTTTTTTTTTTTTTCTATTGCGCACATACGCGCAGCATGTCAAGCCATCATCAGTTTATTCTGTGTTACTTTGACAACTAAAAAATGATTGATCATGCTGTGCTCAGTCAGCTTTTTTCTTTAAAATATATATATATATTTAGGTGGGATGATTATACTATTGTACCTGGTCAAAAAAAAAAAAAAAAATACATGATTAGACCCTTAATATTTACAACGTGTTAATAAAAATGGCGGATGATTTTGTGTGACTACAGCATCGATGTATTACCGGGTTCTAAAAAGACATATTTTTTATCCTAATATGGCAATACATCATCATCGTTACTGTTTTCACAGGAATCGTTCATTGTTGATGATTTGGGAATGATTAGATCATTGAAGGGGGTGGACTGAGCGTCTTCACAGGTCTTTGAAAGATTTTCAGGGCCAACATTAGGTTCTTTCAAGAGAAGAAATTAGATTCATTCAAAAATCATCATCATCACCATCATCATCATCATCGCATCAAGTTTGGATTGAAGATCCATAAAAATATTCTCTTTCATTTTTATTAATGATAATCCATATGTTATCTCCCAATTTATATGTAAAGTAAGTGAAAGATGAAAAGTCATCATACCTCGTCCAATAACGATCATCATTCAATAAAACCACCACCATTCAATTCCTCTTAAAAAAAAGTAGTTTAATATCATCTAATCCCCATTTTATTACTTATCTTGTCACTTAACGGTCATCAAAAGAAAATTCATCGATTTTTCCAAAAATTGCCTGATGACCCTACGACGATTTATTTTCACAGCCAAAAGTTGGCTGAGGAGTTTGAAAATTTTGGCTGTAAAGATCCTTTTTTTTTCATTTTCTCCAAACCTCAAACTCTCTTTCCCATTGGCTGAACCTTCTTTTTTTTTTTTTAAAAAAAAAGTTTAATTTCTTTTTCTTTTCGTTTCATATCTTTTTTTTTTCTTTTTTCCTTCTACTCTAGGTTGTTTAGAAAGTTCACTCATTGGTTTGTTTATAGGTCGTCAATATCTTTTATTCATTCTTATTTGCACTCAGGAAGCAAAGGCAATGTTAAACAGAAAATGAATGATACTAATTATTCTATTTCTTTCTTTCTCTTAGACATACTTCTTAAAGTCCATAGTGATCCACAAACGATTTCTTCTTGCCTTTTTTTTTTTATACTTAGGTCGTTCTATTTTGTCTCATAGTGAATGGATATGAATTGGATAGACGTTACTGGATCAACAGAATGAGTATGCAACAGTATGCAACAGTGGATAGATACAACAAGGTGGATAGGATTCTTCTGGTTTAGTTGGCACGCTCTGATTTTAGACTATACTTTTTTTTTATATATATAGCTAGTGTTGTTAGTTATGTCATTTATTTACATCCGGTTTTTAATAAAATCATATTCATTACTGCTACCCTTATTATTACCGTCGTTTTATCATTCATTGTAGAAAGTACAGCAGTAAGATATGGGGCATCATCAACTCGTCAATCATGATGATATGAAATTTTCACTATGGAGGTATTAACAAAATCATCTCTTCAACAATCATAGTATCTCTGGCTGAACAAGAGGAGTGATATAATATTTATATGAAACAGGAACCAAGTCTAATTAAAAGAGTATTATAATACACTGAAGTTTATTGTGTCATTAGCATAGAGCATATAAATAATAGTAGAATAATAATAATAAATGATATCTATCATATAAAAAGGAATGGATAATATATATCATACAAGATACAAAATAAATAAATAATAGGAAAGTACTACAGCTAAATGATGAAAACACAAAACCTAAGCCCATTCACCAATCAAAGACATGAGACCGGCACCAATGTACAAAGAGGCGAAACAAACGATTTTCTTGATAGCAGATTGGTTATGGAAGGCATCAGATAAGTTCATTTCTGCACTCATCAAAGAGACATAACCATTATACAACAAGATCCCAGCTGATAAAGAGTCCAAAATAGCCGATGCTAAGACGGCACTATAAGAATTGGCATTAAAGGATGATCGAATACCAATACCAATGGCTGATCCAATAGGTGTGGTTAAAGTGAAAAGAAGACCCATGAGTATCAACTTGATCCAACCCACATTATTCAATTTAACCAATCGAGTTCCCAAAGCGATCCCTTCAAAGAACTATTACAAAAAAAAAAAAATTAAATATATTAAATCTTTTTCCTTTCTCATGATTACCTGATGAAATACAAGAGCAATCAATAAGGTGGTGAATTCGGCTTGAGAAGTGGTTGCCAAGGTAAGTCCAATAAGTACAGAGTGCATCACGATACCCAATTCAAGCATATAGGTAGCCACATGACGATGTGCATCTTCATGTTCTAATAAACCAGAGGTGTGTACATGTTCATGTAGATGTTGATGATCATGACTATTTTTGCTGATAATAGATTGTTGAGTAGTTGAGCCTGATTCCACATCATGCTTGCCAGCTTGAGGAGCAGTATCATTGTTCTTTTTGCTTTGTTTTTCCAAGTTCTTAAGATGAGTCACCGTACCGATTTCCAAGAGTTGTAAAGCAAAAGAAGCAAGCATACAAAATACACCAGCAAAAGCACCATAGGACAACCATCCTTCCGTCAAACATGGAGAAGCGAATTGATTGAAACCATCAGGTAACATATGCACAAAAGCAGTAGCAAGAATAACACCAGTACCGACTATTGTGCATCAATAAACAAAAAAAAAAAAAATGAGCCTTTTTTTGAAACACTATCTTTTTTTTATTTTTTTTTTTTATGACACTTACAAAACTTTCCAACAGTAAGAATCCAATCTCGAAGACTTCCTTCAGAATAAGGTGAGATTTTTTCCATGATCATTGGAAAGAAAACACCTTATAAAATGATAAAAATAAGTCCATCAAGTGAGCATTATTTTTATTTTTTTTTTTTTTAAATCAACTTACCAATACTACTTGTTCCAAGGATAATAAACATAGCACCAATACGCATGCCAAGATTGTATTCTTCCAATGGTTCAGAAGCACAAGCATCTTCAGGTGCGGCATCTAATATAAAAAAAAAAAAAAAAGAATTAAAAAGAATCATAGAAAGGGGATCATCTTTTTATTTTATTTTATCTTGATTTACCTTGAGCATAAGTAAGAGTGGCCATCATCATTAGCAGTAATAAAGCAGATATTTTTCCCATCTTGGTAATCATCGTTGATATTGATTATTTTGATCTTTCTACAAAAGAAGAAAAAAAAAAAAAGAGAAGAAAAAGTAAATAAATAAGAAAAGAGACAAATAAAGTAAATTTATATCAGGGCCTTGTATAGAGAAAAGATGAGACCATCGATCAAAATTTCCAAAGTATTGGATAAGAGAAGTGACTTTGAGTGTAAATTTTTCCCATTGATTGGCTGAACAAAAAAAAAAAAAAAAAAAAAAAAATCCCAAGACATAAATTTTTCAATTCAGGCACCATCTCTCATTATCACTAAGACAATTGTTTCCCAATCATACCATGTTTTGGTGCAACCTGTTCCATTCTATTGTGATCCATCCGTACTACCACCATCGACAACAAAAAACAATCAAGACAAGTCAAAAAACAACGTGTATATATATATAAATAGTCACCAAAAAAAAAAAAAAAAAAAACTAACATCCAGTTTATTCATCCATATCAAAAACATCGTCTTCTTCTTCATTGAGTAAAGCAAAAGGGTTATCTATATTGAAACAAAAAAAAATCAATCATTCATCTATATATATATATATATATATATATATTATCACTTACAAGTCTTCTTCTTTTCTTGTTCTTCCTTCTTTCGTTCAAGTACCTTGCGATAAGGAGAGGCACCAACAAAAGCGGAGGTAGCACTAGGGGTGGATTTTTCTTGAGGGTTTGATTTAGTAATACCAGGAACATGAGCCATACGGTTGGGAGGAGTCTTTGCAAGTTGACTATTTGCCAAAGCTAACAAGGTAGTACGATCATAAATAACACGAGTACCTATTCAAGAGAAAAAAAAAAGATATCATGTATATCAATAACACTATTCTAAACAAATAAAAGGAATAAGTTTGGGGGGAAATGGATCTTTGTGTCTTTTCAAACGGAAGATAAATGAAGAAGGATGAAATGTGAAATAACCATATATATATATATATGAGTATAGGTGAATGTGTGTTGAGTAAGTGTGTTGAGTAATAAAAAAAAAAAAGAAGGAATAAAGAAATAAGAATCTAACTAATGTGATGTTTTGCCTTTGTATCCAAGTGAGTTAAGTGTGTGAGAACAAAAGAAAAAAAAAGAAAATAAAAAACAAAAAAAAATACCTCCGGGAGTAGAACCGTATATGGTACCGTTGGGAGTAGTAGAGTATTCTGATGAAAGAGATCCATCAGCATCAGTTCTATGGATGGTGACAGGTTCAGCAGTAGACATTGTTCGTTTTTTGTCGTTGAGCGAATGTGAGTAGAAAAAAAAAAAAAAGACAAACACAAAAAACAAAAGAATAGAAACAACGGATTTGATTTCTTTTTTAATCACCGACCGACTTTTTTTTTAGAGTATCATTTGAATAATGACAACCAAAAAAAAAAAAAAAAAAAAAAATCTAAACTATATCTAATCACTACAATCAAGTAATAATACTAAAAAATGGCATGAGCTGCTTCACTACCCACTATAGAAGTAAAGGCAAAACAAACAAAAAAAAAAAAGAAAAGATCAGTCAATAATAGAGTAATAATCTAAATTTTCATCTGACTTACAAGTGGCACCAAATCCAAATACGGCTGCTTCACCTACTTTTGATCCAAATTTCTTGGCCATATTCTGTACCTTGCCATTACCTTCACCATTTCCTTTGTCTTCTGTTACATTTGAACCACCAGCTGTAACAACTTGTGGAGGTGGAGTAGCATAAGTGGATGATCCACCAGAAACTTGATAAGGTGGAGTATGATATACCATGGTAGGTGGAGGAGGATAACTGTATGGCTGTTGTTGATAATTATTATGATTGTTTACCTGGGGAGATGAATATACTTGAGGTGTTGTTTTTGCAATACTTGTTGCTGGTGATGATTGTTTTTGAGCTGGCAAACTAGAATGAATTCAATTATACAAACAAATAAATAAATAAACAATGAAATCATTATTTATACTTACGGTTGAACATGATTTTGTGGGAAGATACCAGTTTTTCCATGAAGACTACCTCGCCACCAATCATCATTGACTGTAAAAAAAAAAAAAAAAAAAAATTAGAGATAAGATAGATTATTCTTCAGGATGTATTTCATATTTTTACCATGTTCAGTGACTTCAATCATATCACCTTTACGGAAGGATAAATCAGTAGTAGGGTCTTCACCAGTATAATCATAGATAGCCTCTACCATTTGTTTATTTTTCACTGTTGCATTGTAACTAGGAGGAGGTTGAGGAGTGGAATCGCGTGTATTCAATATATCTGGTTGTTGCCAATCAGGAGTACGACGAGCAGGAAGTTTAGGAAAAGATGGTGTTCGAGGAGCGGGTATGGGAGCAAGACTAGGACTGTGAGAACTGGCGGTAGATTTGCGAGTGGGTAAAGGAGGTCTAATGTTATTACTAGAAGGTGTTGAAGTAGTTGAAGAAGTGGTTAATGTTGGTTGTGATAAATGGTTTCTTGGCGCTGGTGTTGGTGCTGCTGTAACTTGTGTTGGTAATAAAGCCAAAATGTTTTGAAGAGTATTGTCATCTAATACTTGATGATCTTTCAATATCCTCAAGTCCTTCTGAATAGACGTGAGCATATGATTGGCAAGGGGAATAATATGAGGGTCTGTCATGGAATATGGAAGGAAGAAAAAAAAAAAAGGAAGTTAAAGAAAGGAAAAGTGAAAAGAATGGATGGGGAGCAACATGATAAAATTAGACGCATTCATTTAGATGCAGTAACTAAAAATAGAAATAGTAGCTTTTGGATTTTTTTTTTTTTGTCTCTGTGTTAGTGGCTTTTTCTGATTTTTTTTTTTCCAACTGACGGGGATTTGGAAAAAGTGGGCTCACAATGAGTCTGAAGTCCCTGGAGCTTAAAGAATCTGGCTTGCCTGGTTTCTTTTTTTTTTTTTTTTTCTTCTTGGTAAACACTTTTCTTTTTTTTGACATCATGACTCATTGGAAACAAATCACTAGAACGACACGATCGATACCAAAATCAACTGTATTTCCAAGAAAACAACCATTCAGTCCATCATTATGTTCGCCTTTATTATCCAAACATATCATCCCTACGACAATAGCAACAAACCATCGCCATTTGGCAGTTCGATGTATTTCATTCAAAGGACTTTTCTCAGCAAAAAGAGAACCACAACCAGAAAACAAGATACTTTTAACTCAAGACAATTTATTCCATCCATTATCCAAGTCTCCTATTCCTGAATTACGCGACCGAGCGGCCATTATCAACAAATATGGTGTATGTCCTGTATGTGATCAAAACTCGGAACACCATAAGCACCCTCCTACTTTTGAATGTCCTGATTGTGGTTATCCTACTCATTGTAGTGAAGATCATTATCATCAAGGTAAACAAGCTCACCAACATATCTGTAGCATCCTACGCGAACAAAATGAAGACGACCATGATTTAAGATCTGGACGAACTATGAAAGAATTTGAATTTCCATGTAAGTGACAAGAACAAAAAAAAAAAAAAGTGATTTATAAAAAAGGTAATACTAATTGAATATTAATTATTTAGCATCACAGGGTTTTGATGAAACTGTCAATATGGGTAATTGGGATATGTATTTTTATACAAGAGGATTCCCATCCATGGATTCCCATCGATCAATGCGACATGTCTCCAAATTACTGACTTATCCTATCACTGTGGCCTCTGTTCTACATGAATCGTGTCCGTACAAATTTGGCAAAGAAATCACTGTAGAAGGGATGCGATCATTATCTGGTAAACTGATAAAAAAAAAAAAAGAAAAAAGAAAGGTAACTAATTGATGATGATTATTTAGCTTTACGTACTATTTTGTATCCTCGAAATGAAGTGATCAAGAATGGAGTTAATTTGATTCGGTCAGATATGATCAATATTTATGTAGTTGGAGCAAGAGCTGAAGCGACATTACCTCAACATATCTGGTTACAAATGGCTTATCTATTCCCTCGATCTCCATTCCATATCCATTTTGTTGGCCCTGATTGCTTACCACCCAATACAGAACCCTATACAACTTCTTTGAATGAACGCCTAATGTTTACTTATGACAATTCTTATTACCACGATTATCATGAAAAGATTGAAAAGTTTGATCCTTACACTGATCTTTTCTTTTTATTCTCACCGGGTATTGGACACGATATGGCACGTGAAGGATGGAAACCAACGATTCAAAAGGCTCTAGAGACGAAATGTCCTATCTTTTTAACTGGATTTGATGAACATGATATGGGTACCGACATTGAAGCTGTGGAACAAGATTATAGTGGTGAATTCGATTGGATCTTGAAGCCTACTGAAAATGAATTCCGTAGTTTGAAACGTGATGTTAACTTGATGGATTTACGCCAAACTATCTTTGCCAATTGGGGAATCTGGGGTATTCGTGGAAAACGGTATGATGTGACCCATCATCCTGAAGATGAATGATTGATTTATACAGTTGTAGTACAAGTAGTAGTAATAGTAGTAATATAGTTTTAGATTATTATTTTTTTTTTCTAGATTTTGTCCTCCCCTTCCTTTATTTTTTTTTTTTTTTGATCATGTATTTTATTCTTTTTTTTACATTCCCATTGATATCATCATTCAATAAAAGAAAATGTCAATTCAATTACATATTTTGTTGGGTTGAAAGGAAAAACCGGCCCGGTTGGTAATGGCGGGGATATAATGATGGTCTTCACGTGTTGCTTTGTCCCTCCCCCACCCAAAAAAAAAACAAAACAATATAATTAAACTTTCTTTGTTTTTCGCATTTTTTTTTCATTTTCCTTCTTTTTTTTTTTTTACTTTCTTTTCTTTCTTTTCCTTTTTTTTTTTTTTTGTTATTGAATGATATAAAAAAAAGTCATTAAATATATATATATACATAAAGATACCTGACATGGGCAACAATAAACGAAGATCTTCACCTACAAAAGAAACCAAAGAAAAAGAAACCGCACCTGTTTTACTGGCGGCTGAACCTTCCAACAAGAAATGGCAAAACTGGTGGATCCGGACCATTACTACTTTTATGATGATTGGAACTTTCTTTACGATATTGGCATCTGGGCATATTTGGGTTATTCTTATGGTGATTGCTATTCAAACAACTGTTTACAATGAAGTCATTCAAATCGCTGATATCCCTGCAAAGGAACGCAATGTCAAATGGTTTAAAACTATGAGTTGGTAATATATATGTTTATCTATAGAAACGTGTTTACTAACTCTTCTATTATTTATTAGGTACTTTTTAGTAACAACTACATACTTTCTTTATGGGGAATCTATTATCTATTACTTTGAACAAATTGTACTTGTGGATGCCTTCTTACTACCTTTTGCTGTCCATCATCGATTTATCAGTTTTGTTCTCTATACCATAGGTAAGGATGACTTGATCATATGACAAAAACAGAGAGATAGAGAAAGAAAAGTGTGTGATACTCATATGTTATTGTTGTTTTATATATATAGGTTTTGTATTTTTCGTGATGAACTTACAAAAGGGATTATACAAAAGACAGTTTGCTCAATACGGATGGACTCATATGGCCTTATTATTGATTGTTTTTCAAAGTCATTTCATTGTTAATAACATTTTGGAAGGATTGATTTGGTAAGAAGATGACTCGTGATGAACATTGGATATAGGATGATGGAACGGAGACTCAATTTGGTTTTCATATGATGGATTATTTTATTTTAGGTTTGTTTTACCTACATCTTTGGTGATTTGCAATGATATCTTTGCTTATGTGTGTGGATTCTTTTGGGGAAAAACTCAATTGATTCAATTATCACCAAAGAAAACTGTAGAAGGATTTCTTGGTGCCTGGATTTGTACTTTGATTTTTGGTTTCTTGGTATTAAAAAAAAATTCTCTTCTTTTTTTTGGACGATTGACATATTATAACTTCTTTTTTATATACATATTTATATAGTGGACTAGTTTATTGATGCGTTGGGATTATATGGTTTGTCCAGTCAAGGTAAAAAAAAAAAAGAAAAAGAAAAAAAAATTAAAGAAGAATGCATTGACCATAATAACTCATGTGATTTGATTTATTAGGATCTTTCTACATCCGCTTGGTCTTCAATCTCATGTGATCCAAAAAATCCAGTATTTATTACCGTACCATGGTCCATCCCAGAAACTTGGTCTTGGGCTATTAGCTATGTGGTAAGAAAAAAAAAGAAGAAAAAAAACAAAAACAAAGAAAATCAAAAATACTAATTCTATTCAATAGTTTAAACAACAAGTAACTCAAGTATGGATAGCACCTATTCAACTTCATGCAATTGTTATGGCCTGTTTTGCATCACTGATTGCACCTTTTGGAGGATTCTTTGCTAGTGGGGTGAAACGTGCTTTTAATGTCAAGGATTTTGGAACTAGGTAAAAAAAAAAAAAAAAAAAAAAAGAAAAAAAAAAAAGAAAGAAAAACTTAGTATTGATTATAATATATATATATAGTATTCCAGGACATGGTGGACTAACAGATCGTATGGATTGTCAATTCTTAATGGGTCTGTTCTCATTTATGTACTACCAAAGTTTTATCAAGGTAAGGTTAGAAAGAAAAGGTAGATCAAAAATAGTCAAACTTTAAAAATAACCATTTATTTATTATAGACTTACCATTTATCAGTCGGATCTATATTGGGAACGGTGATTAATGGATTACCTTTGAAAGATCAATTAGAATTATTGGAACGATTTTTGACATACTTTGTAAATCAAGGAATTCTGGATCCTAGTGTGGTAGAAAAATGTGGTACGCAAGCTCTTACTGAAGCAGCCAAGGCCGTATTTGAACAATAAATGATGGAAGTGCAATACTCGCAGGCGAACATTTATTCTCTCTTCCTGATGTGTTTTGTATTGTCCTTTATTCAATTAGTTTAGTTTTTTAAATCAATAAAAAAGAAGAAATTTTTGATGATCAATATTGTGTTACTTAAATTTGGGTGGCAGCTCAAATTGAGTGGGGCAAACCTTTTTTTTTTTTTTCTTTCCTTTCACTGATTTCTATTTTTTTTTTCTTCTTCTTCTTCTGCTTGTTCTCAACGGTACTCCCTTACATTCCTCCTCTCTTACTTTTTTTTCTTTACAAGTTCTCCTTTTTTATTTTTCTTCTTTACTTCCTTATTCTTTTTCCATAACAATTGAAAAAAAGCGGGTCCTTATTTTCCTCTACCGTCCTCCTTCTCCACATGAAAGAAGGTTTTAGTTGTTAATATTACATATATATAGTCATCTATATTCAACTTTATATTATCTTTATATTATTCTTCCATCTTATTCTTGAGGGAGGACCGGGAAAACTCTTTGGCCTTTTTCGTTATTACATTCTTTATCACCAACAAAAACAACACGTCTCCTTTTTTATTATTATGGAAGTCAACGACCCAATTTGTAGTGTTCAAGGTTTATACAATTATACTTCAACTGATCCTGCTTCACTTTCTTTTGGTCAAGGTGATATTATTCATGTACTTGCAAAACTGGAATCTGGCTGGTGGGACGGATGGTAAGACAAGAAAAAAATAAAAATTGCTTTGGTTAAATCATAGTTTTCTCTTCGATTACTTGTACACTTTTTCCCCTTTTTTTTTTTTTTTTTTCTTTGGTGCTTTCTCCTCTTCCCCTCTTCTCTCCCTCACAACCAAACTATCTTCATTTTTATTTTTATTATTATTATTATTTATTGAAAATCTTTTATTTATATTTTTGATAGGTGCAATGGTCGAAGAGGTTGGTTTCCTAGCAATTATGTGGAAGAAATAACTACAGAAATGTATTTATCTACAGAACAAGATATTCATTTGAATCATACTTCTTTGGTAAGTTAGAATAAAAAGAAAAGGGATTTCCTATAGAGTAAGCATGACATACCTTTGAATTAACTCCTTTTTTTTTTCTCTGTTTCTTTTTCTTTCCTTTCCCTCTTTTTTTTTTCCTTTTTCTTTTCTTTTGGTTTTGGTTTTGGATATAGATACAACAACGTCAAGAAAATCCTCATCAACAACATCAAGAAGAGACGTCAAGACGACTTGATTCTACCATATCCATAGGTATCCACAACGAACGAAACGACGAAGAGGACGACGATAAAGTAAACGAACAAATAGACGGAATGGTACACCGATCACATCGTGATGATTTACAACATCAAACTATACCAACCAAATCCAATTGGATATTACAAACAACAGAAGATGGATCTGAAGTTTATTATTATAATGTAGTCACCAAAGAAATGCGATATTCTCTTCCTCCTGATACTCATTTTGATCCTAATCTTCCATCTACTTCTATGTCTCAACAAAATGACGTTATCAACCCGACAACAACAACATCCACAGTGATAAATCATCACAATAATAGGTTACAATCTGATATCATCAATACAAATCAAAAAACAGTATCTCCAGCACCACCATCACTACCATCCCAAACAACAACAACAACAGTAACAAATTCAAATATACCTTCTTCAACAAACTCTATTGCTGATCCTGATGAAATCCCTCTACCACCTCATTGGGTTCGAAAAGTGGATACCAAAGGTCGAGTGTATTTCTGCAATCTTTTGACCGATGAAACGACATGGAATCTTGATCAAATCGATCCACAAACTGGAAATCTGGTAAGCTGATGAACAAAAAAAAAAAAAAAAAAAAAAAAAGGAGAATAGGAATAGGAGTGCTCTATATATTTTGTGTGTATGTGTGAAGGGGGATGATCTTTGGACTGACGCTTCTTTGAATAACTAACTGAATTTGTTTATTTGAATTATAGAATACAATTTCTACCACACAGAGAAGTCGTGGTCCTACTTCCAACACCAATGTGGCCAACCAAGAAAATCAACCATTAAGTTGGAATCAATTATCCACTTTGATTGCTCATGCTATTCATGGTCTCAAGAATTCTATTAAGGAAGGTCAAACCTCACTATTACGAGATGATGCTATTATGGTTGTTCATCGTATTCGTCTGATGTTATATGTTTCCAATACTGTTGACAAGGAAAGCTCTTCTCATCTTAAAGCCAATAAATCATTGCGTGTCTTCCATCGGGCTCTTCTGGCTTCTTTGGCAAAAACAGTATTATCAACAAAAGCAGCTTCTGGTACTTGGTCACAAGAGGATGCTTTACACAAACTTCAAATGGATGTCGATCAACTTTTGGTGGATGTAGGTAATTTTTTATCGGCTGCTCGAGATTTACGACTAGAAATATACGATGATAAACCTCGACTATTATTACCCGATCTCAAAACATCCATGTCATCCAATGGACATCGATGGCGTCTTGCTTCTTCTAATATGGATAATATCAATAAACCTGATCCTTCTACTACTCTTTTGGTACTTGCCGACAATATTCGTGGTGCTATGTCTTCTTTTATGGAAAGTGTTCATAGTGCTTTTTCCTCTTTGAATGACCAAGTCTCTGTTCCTAACAAGGTGAAAACAACAGCTCCTCTCTTGGTGGCTCAATTCCGAAATTTATCCAATACGGCTAGTCAATTTTTGAATGCAGTGGATGATTTACCTTTTCTTCCTCAACAAGGTCGATCAACTAGTAAGAATAACAAATCAACGCCAAAAGGATATCCGGCAAGACAAGCTATCTATAATGCCATGGGATTATTATTTATTGCTTCACAAACAATTACAAATGGTGAACTCACCATTTCCATGATCAAGATGACTTATCGAAGATTGGAAGACTGTATTTATGAAATCGAAAAGAATGTACAAACCATTTGTCAAGATGTTACCACAGCAACAGCAACAACAACAACAAAAACAACAAAGACAATCAATCATAATAAACCGTCATCATCATCATCATCAACAACGCGTACTACTACTCGTGATATTACTCCCCCAACACCAGCGTCTAGAACTGATACGATATCGGAACAAGATATGCCAACAAGAGATATTTTGGATGAAATCTATGCAGATGAAGAAATCATGGGATCTGGTTTTGATAGTATTCACCCAACTGCAATAACACCTGGTAGTACACCTCAATCACCACATCCTTATCATAGTCCAGCTTCTTCAGCAAAATATCCACCATCATCATCAGCATCATCATCTTATTATCATCCTCATCCATCTGTGTATTCTCCATCCTTATTACCTCATGATGATGATAATATGGAAGTAGATTCTTATCATTCAGCTACTCCTTACAATGGTTACAATAATGAAACGTCTAGTCCACCACCAACAACACCTACACCTCGACCACCCAAAGATAAATTGGCAAAATTCTTTGGTGAAGATACTTTATTGGCAGCCAAACGACGTGATACAGTACTTGGAGGACCTTCATCCATGGTTGCTAATGGTATGGCATCCCCATCAACAACAACAACTGCTACTACTACTACCACTACTATTACTACTGCCACTACTACCAACACAATGGTGACAGCAGGATCTAGTGCAACCAATACAACAGGAGTATCAGCAAGTACACCTACGACTGCACATCATAATGGATCTTTATTGATGGGCAATGATAAACCAGAATATCTTTGTGCAGATTACAAACAAAATGAAATCATCTTTAATATGGAAGGCAATGTGAAAGGTGGAACCGTATTGGCTTTAGTCCAAAGATTAACACAACATGATCAACTTGGTAAAATAGAAAAAGGGAGGAAATGGGAAAATTTAGATTTAGTGATACCTATATATAATATATTTTTTTTTATGTAGATTCAAAATTCATCACTACATTTTTATTGACCTATCGATCATTTTGTACAACGGAAGAATTATTTGATGCATTATTTTCTCGATATACTTTACAAGCACCTGCTGGATTGACCGAAGAAGAATTGGAGATTTGGAGTGAAAAGAAATTGAAACTAGTACGATTACGGTAAGTGAATTATTTTATATATATATATATATATATATATTGATGAATGTATTGATTTAGTGTATTCAATGTGATCAAATCATGGCTTGATTCGTACTACCTTGAAGAAGAAGATCGAGGCATGCTCCCAACGCTTTTGAACTTTAGTGAAACAGTAATTCGAGAATCGATGCAATTTGGTGCGGAACAACTAGGCAAGGCGATTCAAAAACGGATGGATGCGGAAGATTCTAGTCAATTACGAAAGATGACATTGAATGTACGAACAACGGAAATGCCACCGGCAATCTTACCCAAGAATATGAAACGATTAAGGTTCCTTGAAATTGATCCTTTAGAATTGGCTCGACAATTAACGGTGATGGATTCAAAATTATATAGTCGAATTAAACCTGTAGAATGTTTAGACAAGAATTGGGGTCGTGCTGATGCTCAACATACAGCAGCTAATGTCAAGGCATCTATTGAATATTCTAATCAAGTGACAGCATGGGTGACGGATTCTATTCTTAGTAAAGAAGAATTAAAGAAACGGTCTGCAGTAGTTAAACATTGGATTTATGTAGCTGAGGTACTAATGTTGGATCAACAAAAAAAAAAAAAAAATAGGAAATGAATTCGATTTTTTTTTTTCATTCAATTTAGAAATGTCGTTTGTTACACAACTACAATACATGTATGGCTATTCTATCGGCGTTTGACAATAGTTCTGTGGGAAGATTAAAACGTACTTGGGAAGTAAGTTTAAAAAAAGAATATGATGATATTTTATTTAATATTAATTATTATTTTTTGTTAGACAATGAGCGCTAGGACGACGGCGATATTAACGGGGATCCGACGACTGATGGGAGCCAATCGCAACTTTACGGAATATCGTGATATCATTCATAAAGTGAATCCGCCCTGTATTCCATTTTTGGGGATTTATCTACAAGATCTGACATTTATCGAAGATGGAAATAGTAATTTTCTAAAAAAATCTAACAATCTGATCAATTTTGCCAAGAGAATGAAAACTGGAGAAGTGATTAGGGAATTACAACAGTACCAATCAACACCTTATATTTTACAAATTGTACCTGATATTCAAGAATTTATCAAAACTCATCTTCAATCAAGTCGTGATGAAGAAACTTTATATAATCTAAGCTTGGCAGTAGAACCTAGGTAAAAAAAAAAAATCATCATTTTCTTTTTTTTTTTTTTATTAATAATATTGATATTATTTATTATTATTATTATTATAGAGAACGAGGTGAAGATACTATTGCTCGAAGATTAAAGGAATCTGGATTATAAGTTTTTATTATTATTATTATTATTCTCCTTATTATTATCATCATCATCATCATTATCATCATTATTTTGTGTAGTTATTCCTTTAATAATAATAATAATAATAAAAATCATGTTTTTTTTGTTTGATTTTTTTTTTTTTTTTTTTTTTTTTTTTTTTTTTTTTTTTTTTTTTTTTTTACAAAAATATGGTTTTTTTTTTCACGCGGGTCATTCCATTGAAATGCAAGATAATAATAATCCAACATATTCTGTCAATTTATTTTCAAGTGACAAAAAAAAAAACCATGATCATTCCAATTAGAACCTGTTTTTTTTTTTTAACTTTATGAAGAAATAAAAAAAAAAAAAAAAAAGGGAAAACTGGTAAGAAAAAAAAAAGGTTTTGTGTTACTAAAAGGCTTTTTTTCCAACACCGGTATTTCCTTTTGTCTGTCACTTTTTTTTTTTTTTTTTTTTTTACTTTTTCCCTTTTTCTTTTTTCTTTTCATCTTTTTGTTTTTTTTCTTTCTCATCTTTTCTTCCTTTTTTCTTTCTTTCTTTCTTCTTTCTTTTATATATTTTTCTTTTTCTTCTTCTTTTCTTTTTATATATATTTTATTTCAGCTAGTTTATTTGGTTTTCATTTAGTATATTCCATATTTACAAGCTAGATTCTTTCTCCTCCTCCTTTTTTATATATATCCTTGACTTTAGTCACTACTGTCACTATTTACTATCAATATTAATTCGATACTCTTCTTCTATTGCTTTTTTTGATTTCTAAACTCTCAATGCTCCGATGGATGACACTGTCTCTTACCACTTTGCTTCAGTGAAACAACGACGTGAAAACAGGGACGAAATGTAAGTTAAAGAAAAGAAGAAGAAAAAAAGAGATTGACACGTTAACATATATTACATATATTATACATATATGTTTAATGTTACCTTTATATTTGTGACTCTCCTGCTTCTTTTCACACACACTGTTACTTATTCATTTTTACTCACACTACTTTTTTGGGTGTTGCGTTTTACAATATAGTGAATTTCGACTATCTCTTAGGCAACAACCAAAACAATCTCGTATGTGTGGTGTTGGAGAAAAAGGTAACAAAAAAAAAAAAGGGAAAAAAAAAGAGAGAAAACTTAAGGAGAAAGAGTGTCAAATAAGAAGATATTATACGGTTGTTTACTATTCATTTATGTACATATTTGTTAATATGAACAAGTCCGTGGGTCGAATCAATTCTTATTTGCAGCCCTTTTAGTTATATTAATGGCTAATTTATATATATATATATATTTTTATTCTTTAGCTGACCGTCGACCTATTGATCCTCCTCGTAAGTTTTTTTGTTATTTTCAAAATATATATATATATTCATTTCATTTTCATTTTAGCCATTGTACAACTTCGCGTCATTGATCCAACATTATCTCCTCTGGAAGCAAAGTAAGTTACGAATATATATATCATCATCTCCTTGGATACTTACTGTTTTATTTATTTCTTTTTTAGTTCTTATCTTCAAAATCCCTATTATTTTATGTATGCTTCATTAATGGCAGCTGATTTGGAAGAAGAAGTTCATTTATTACGTGATGGAAAAACTCGAAGTACTACTGGTTCCGTGGTTTCATCTCTTTATCATCTCAAGGATACTGATAATACTGATGCTGGCTTTTTTGTCTTTCCTGATTTATCCGTTCGTATGGAAGGCAAATATCGTTTGAAACTTAGTTTATTTGAAATTATTGGGTATTTTAACAAAAAAAAAAAAAAGAAAAAAAAAAACTCTATTAATGTATTCTTTTCTTTTACTTTTTATAGCAAAGAAGTCTTCCATTGTAAATCAATCTTATCCGATCAATTCATCGTTTATTCCGCCAAAAAGTAAGTTTTTTTTTAAAAAAAAAAAAACAAACTTTGTTTCACTAGTCAATTTAACGTTTATTTTTGTCGTTATTGTAGATTCCCTGGTATGGAAGAATCTACCTCTTTATCAAGATCATTTGCTGATCAAGGTTTGAAAATACGTATTCGCAAGGAACTTCGACAACGCCGTAAATCTGGGAAACGAATTGAATCTGATGATGATTCACCTCATTTACAATCACGCTTCCTTGACAAACGACCTCGACAACAACAACAACAAACTGATTCAGTTGTACCTACCTCTACCAATGTCATTTCTCACAATGTGAATACCTCTTCGTCGTCATCTTCATTACCTTCCTCAACCATTGTCAATTCATTACGTATACCGCCACCTCCATCCTCACAAACAATATATTCATTGCAATCTCCATACAGGTAAAAATAGAGATTAGAGAATATGACTAGTTGATAAATCTTTTTTTAAAAAAAACTACTTTTAGTGAGCGACCTCCAACATATTTTGATCCAAATGATGTGGGATTGCACTGGGCTGGTTCCAGACCTCAACAACAACAACAACAACAACAACAACATGTTCATCATCATCATCAGCAGCAACAACAACAACATCATCATCACCATCGTCATCAACAACAACAACATCATCATCACCAGCAGCAGCAACAGCAACAACAACAACGACAACAACAACATCACCAGCAGCAACAACATCATCAACAACAGCAACAGCAACAGCAACAACCACAACAACAACAACAACGAATTTGGCCAATGCAACATACCGCCATTACATCAGTAGATCAACAACACTATTATATGAACGCTCCTATGGCAGATCAAAGTAATTAAAAAAAAAAAAAAGAAAGAAACTGGGTAGTGATTGATTTTGTTTTGCTCTTGTTTCACACATTATAGGTAGAAGATATTCAGCGGAAACTTATGGTGACTCATTACAACATCCAATTCGACAATATCATTCATCGCTACCGCATCCACCATCATCATATACATCTTATGCACCATCATCTTTATTACAACCATCAATACATCAATCACAGCAGCAGCATCCAATGCAGCAACAGGTTACGCCTCATACATCATTTGGCTTCCAACAATCATCTACAAGGTCATCACCTACATATCAACAACAGCATTTCACTGAAGAAGCTATGCAGCAATTGCGAATAAAACAGGGCGATCCATTCATCAAACGACCTTAGTTTGGTATACTCTATCTTCTTTTTTTAGTATAGTTCATTTTATTCTTATTATTTACTTTGTTTCAAGAAGAAAAAAAAAACCTACATGCTTCTGTTTTGATGCGTTGGCATAGTTTGATGTTCTCAACACCCCTCTCCCATCTACCTCCTTTGTACAATTAATATCATTCTCCTTCTATTTTATATACATATCTTCTCATTCTTCTTTCTCTTTCTATTTTTTTTTTTTATTTACCCTTATATGCTGATGATGATGTTTAGTTGTTATTTGAAATAAAAATATATATATTTACCTTTTTTTTTGGTTGTTGTTAATATGCAGTTTCATTGGAATAATTGTTTTAAAACAAGTTTGGCAATCCGACCGAGATCACCTCCCCCTTATTATTGCTTATCAGTTGGATCCGAACCCGAGGAACCGGAAAGGAGAAGAACAATGTAAAGGTGGCACAAAATGTTTGAAGATCAAAACTAGAAACAAGTCTTCTCCCCTTTTGAAGTTATATTAGTTTGAATTGTTTAATACAAAAGCATGTTAACACATAACAAACAAACAAAAAAATAAAATAAAACAGGTTGATAGAGAAAAAAAAAATAATAAAGAGAAAAGGGTAATGCAGATCTCTTTGAACCCGTGGATTGGGAACCATTCCACCCCTTTCTTTTTTTCTTCATGCCGATGTCAAAATGATTAAAAATATTCCATTCATGTCGATCTCCCGCAAATGCTTTTCGATAAAGAAAAAACGGGAGAAAAGTTTTTCTTCTTTTCCTGCACCATAAAAAAAAATAATCCATTCCTTTGGGCAAAAAAAAAAAAGGAAGGGTTTAGTGTCAATCAATGTACCCGGTTGATCGGGAAACCACTCAACTTGGCCTAGGCGTTTCTTTTCATATTTTTTTTTGGTTAACCTGTTTTTGGCGCTCACTTAAGCCTGTCATTTCTGAAAATGGAAGGTAATAGGAAACTTCTATAGTTGTAAAGAATTACACTCACGAAAAAAACAAGAAAAAGAAAGGAGCTTGAAGATAGCCACACTATCTATATCATAAACACACATGAATTAACACATGATTGTAAAATCTAAAAAATAATTTTTTTTTTTATTTAATGATCGGCCAAAAAAAAAAAGTAATATAACAACAATGACGTGTATAAAAAAAGGAGCAAATCATTTTTATTTATTGAAATTCACTAGCAATCTACCAACAATCCTGTCCGCCTTGCATGCCATAAGAACATCTTCGTCTGATAAATTCAAAGTAATCCGCATACCTAGATCCAAGCGACCTCCTTCCACCACCAAAGCGCGAGCTTGTCCTAATGATTCGCAGATCCGCATCAAATCACTTGTTGTAGGAGGTTCCAAATGATTCCATTGACAGGTATGTAAATGATGTTGTGCCACATCGCCGAATTCGATTTCCGCCAGACCAATTTGTCGTACCCTTTGCATGACCGAAACCAAGAATAACTTTTGATGAAGAGATAACGATTGAATAAATGATACGGAAGGTGATGAGAACATTTCCTTGATCGCTTGATTCACTATACCAATCGTCACCGTCTTTTTTGTTGATTGTTGTTCGACAATTTCTACTGCACGACGACAAATATCCAGAGCTCGTCGAGCATCTCCACTGACCGCACTCACTTTTCTTGCTGCAAATTCAACCGCATCTTGTTCAAACGCTTCAATCCCTTTCAATCGAGAAGATACAATTTCATGAAGTTGTTGATGACTATATGCTTGAAAGTTGATCCGCTTCAATCCCATTCGACTAGAGATCTTATTGCTAAGCATTCGTTCCGGTAAATCCATCGTATTGGCAATCGCTACTACTATCAACTTGGAATGCGGTCGATTAGGCCATTCAAAAAAGTTATACATCACTGTTTGTTTCTTCGTCACCAATAAATCCAATTCATCCATAAGTACCACTCTAAAAAAAAAATGGATTGAGCTTTTATACATAATATATATATCTACTTACGTTGTCTTTCCATTTTCTTGTTCATCACTAAATCGAGTTTCTAATAATTCTAATGCATGTGCTGGCGTCACTTTTTTCTTATTATTGCTGTCATGATTCAACGAATCCCATAATAAACTATAAGCATGATTGGCATCTGTCAATTTCATTCCATTGATCTCAACAAAATCGAACGCCGGAATATCCTACAAATGAAATCTCTAGTCAATCTTTTTGAACTTCTTTTTTTTTTTTCTTTATTATTACTTCATCCTCTTGTTCAGATCTATATTGTAAACCACGAATAACTTCCAAAACAGTGGCTGTTTTTCCAGTACCAGGAACACCAGAGATATCTAATCCCAAAAAAAAAAAAAAATAATCAGTTTCAATAGAAATATTTTGATGGATCACTTACATATACAAGTACCAGTGCCTTCCTGTAAAGCACTTTCTAAATAACCAGAGATTTCTTCAAATTCATCTTCACGACATGGTAAAGAATCTGGTATAGCAGAAACATGAAGACGTTCTCTAGCAAGTTCATAAGAAGATAAAGGACTAGCATCATGATTGACTTTTCGAAGAGGAGAGATATCAGAAAGCATAGAATTGACTCTATTAAAAAAAAAAAAGAAAACTTTAGTCCAAAAAAAAAAAAAAAAAAAAAGAAAAAAAAAACGGTACCTTCGTACAGATCTTGTTGAAGCAGCTGCCAATTTTCGTTTACTAATAGTCTTGCTTGTTAATTGTTTGATAGGAGTCCGTCGACGTGCTGGTAAAGAAGCAAGTAAATTTTGTGTTTTCTGTCGTCGTTTGGGTTGTTCGTCTTCTTCAGAATCATCGTCACTAGAAGAAGGTTCATATGTTCGGTTTTGTCGATGTTTCTTTTTCTCGTGATCGCTATCACTGTCATTATACGTGACTTTTCGTCTTGATCGCTTGCTGTCAATAATATTGTCTCTTGTCACATCACCATCGGTTCGTTTGGATTTTCGTGCTGTTCTGGCCATAGTTTTTTTTTTTATATAAAGAGATATGAAAAAGGTACCAAAGAGTTTTTTTTTTTGCAGTAGTTTTTTTTTTTTGGCGTATTCCCCACTCCGGTCACACTTTTTTTTTTGGAACTCAGGGTGCCTTTTTTTTTTTTTTGGCCTGACTGCATTGGCCGTATTTTTTTTTTTCTTTCTTTTAACAACAAAAATATCATGGCAGACGCTGGCAACTGGTGTCTTATTGAAAGTGATCCTGGTAATGACCATATTGATATATAATAGAACATATTTTTATATATTATATATATAAATAGGTGTGTTCACGGAATTGATCTCAGGTATGGGTGTTAGTGGTGTTCAAGTCGATGAAATATGGAGTCTTGACGATGTTGCAGAATTAAAGTAAGTAATAGTTATATTTCTTCAAATATTTAATTAACTTTTTTTTTTTTAAAAAAAAAATAGACCTGTGTATGGATTGATCTTTTTATTCAAGTGGCAAAATGGACAACCTCAACCCACCAACGATACTGAACCTACTGACCATATCTTTTTCGCCAACCAAGTAATCAACAATGCATGTGCTACTCAAGCTATTCTTTCCATCTTGTTGAATCGCGATGATATTGATCTTGGGGAAGAACTGACAAACTTTAAAGAATTCACGGCTGATTTTGGTCCCGATGTAAGTTTTAGAAAATGAAAACCATAACATTGTCTCACCCTCCCCTTTATGTTTAGATGAAAGGATTGGCTATATCGAATAGTGACTTGATTCGATCGGTTCATAATAGTTTTGCTAGATCTGATCCTTTTGTTAATGAAATGCAAGATCCCAATGCTGGCAAGGATGAAGATGTCTATCATTTCATTGCATATATGCCTATTCATGGTGCTTTGTATGAATTGGATGGATTAAGTCAAGGACCTGTTAATCTTGGTAACAAAAAAAAAAGGAATTAATATGGACAAATTTGACTGAATTGATGAAAATGATTTTTTTTTTTTTTGGAATAGGTGCATGTGATGAAGAAAATTGGACATCCAAGGCAAATGAAGCTATTCAAGATCGTATGGCTCGTTATAGTGCAGCAGAACTTCACTTTAGTCTTATGGCTTTGACCCGGGATCGAATAGAAATATATGAAGAACAAATAGAAGAAGTGGATGGTTTATTATTATCATTACCTGAAGATGCAACAGAACGAACACGATTGAATGGTGAAAGGAATGTTTTGGAACATAAACTGCATATGGAACGTGAAAAACGAACAAGGTGGCATGTAAGTAGATGAAAAAAATGAATGATTTCAAATAGAACTAAATTTATATTTTTAGAGAGAAAATACTTTACGCAAACATAACTTCATTCCGATGGTGTATAATCTTTTACGTATTCTGGCAGAACGAAAAGAACTGGATCCTTTAGTGGCATCTGCGAAACAAAAGGCTATCAACAGAGCAAACGATAAAAAGAAATGATTTGACTATTCTTATGAATATTATTAGTTTATATCTTTTTTTTTTTTTTGTTATTCATTCCCTCTTTTGTATATTCACTGGTAGTACTTTTTTTTTTTTTGTTTATTTGATCAACCACATATAGTTGTGTACGAAATTAAAATAAAGATAAAACCTTGTTTTCATCCGAAATTCCGGGTTTTATGAGTTCATAATAAATCCACATAATAGGACGGATCATGTAAGATCTAATGCACATTGTTTTTGTTCATTAAAATGAATGGTAACTATTTATATCTGATGATGATCCATGATGATCAAGAAAAATGAATAACAAATGATACCATCATTAAAGGTACAGATGATGCGAATAGCGGCACTAATTTTGAAGGGAAAAAATTAACCCGGTCTAGTCCGCAGTTGGATATCTTCACTTTTCTTTTTTTCCTTTTTTTCTCCTTTTCTTTCCTTTTTTTTCTTTCTTTCAACTTTTTTTTTTTTGATAGCATCATGGAGAAACATACCCTTCCTTATAGACAATTATTCATTCTATGTGCTTGTCGATTTGCCGTAAGCGAACTAAAAGAAAAACTGAAAAATAAATGGCATACTATGCAAATACTTCCATATTGATTCCTTTTTTTTATCCCTTTTTGTCTTTTCATTGAAATAGGAACCGATCTGTTTTACTGTCATCTTCCCATTTATTGTTTCAGTATGTAGGAGTGTTTTAAAAAGAAAAGCCAATGAGACTAGAATAATTCTCATTGTGATCAGTCAAGTAACTCCTTTTTTTTTTTATCATATTTAGATGGTCCGTGACTTTAAGATTGCCAAAGAAGAAGATATCGGTTACTATATTGGGTTTATTACTGCCTCTTTTGCCTTGTCTCAACTTTTGACTGGTAACTACATACAAAAAAAAAAAAAAAAAAAAAAAAAGGATAGGATGGATAGATTCAAGTTGATTCACTTGGATATTCTTTTTTTTTTTCTTGATCTTGTAGGTATTCATTGGGGTATCTTATCAGATAAGATTGGTCGACGACCTGTGATTTTGTGTGGGATGGTTGGTACTATTGTTAGTATTACATTGTTTGGATTATCTAAATCCTATATATGGGCTCTTCTTTCTCGAAGTGTTTGTGGATTATTGGTAAAAAAAAAAAAAATGAATATAATGTACAAAATACATACTAATAATTCCCATTTAGAATGGAAATGTCGGTGTATTGAAATCAATGATGGGTGAACTCACAATCACATCTCCTCCCGATCAAAAAACTCGAGCTTTCTCTTTATTACCTCTGATGTATGGTCTTGGCTCCATCATTGGTCCAATATTAGGAGGTAATGAAATGACATAGTCTATTAGTTTCACTTTTCTTATTATTTATATATTAGGCTTTTTGTCCCACCCTGTTGAATTGTATCCTGGTATTTTTGATCATCGTGGCGCTTTGACTGATTTTTTGGTGGAATATCCTTACTTTTTACCTTGTTTTTTATCGGCTTCTATCTGTAGTGTTGGTCTTGTGGTTGGATTTTTCTTTTTGGAAGAAACGTTGGGTGGAGTGCATCTACAAAAAAAGAAACAAGGCGAACAACAACCTTTATTGGAAGATACAGGGTCGGATCGGTATCTAGCAGTTGATCAACACAAAGGAATAAAGGAATCAGATCCTCCCACGCTGAAAGAAGCTCTCACACCTACTGTTTGGGCCATTTCTATTTCCTTTGCCATTCTTGCTTTCCAAGTGGTATATTGTGAAGGTAAAACATTATCATATGAAAAAAAAACCATATATTGATCTTCCTTTTGATAGAATTGTTTCCTATTTGGACAGCAAGTCAAAGATCTTTTGGTGGACTAGGGTTTACGGCCAATGAAATTGGAACGGCATTAGCAGTAGCTGGCTGTACTACCATGGTAACTCAACTGTTTATCTTACCTAGCTTGGTACGTCGATTTGGTTTTGTACGATTATATCGATTTACTCTCTTCAGCTTGATCTTTGTTTACTTTGCTCATAGTCTGGTTCGACATTTATACAACGTACCTGATTGGCAAGGACATGTAGGTACAAAATATTGGGTTTGGATAGGTCTTTTCACTGTAGTGATTCTCAAAACCATGTGTCAAACCACCGCCTTTACTACTTCTACCTTGTTGGTCAATAACTGTGCTCCTTTGAGAAGTTTAGGAACTATCAATGGCTTCACACAATGTAAGTATAAAAAAAAAAAAAAGACATGAGATTTACAAATAACACATACTCTTTTTTTTTATTATTATTATTATTATTATAGGTTGTGCTTCTTTAATGAGAGCTATGGGACCTGCTACATGTGGTATCGTATGGTCACAGTAAGTAAAGTAAAGAAAAAAAAAAGGTTTGGATGATTAAAACTTTTTTTTTTTATTATAGATCAGTTGCAGCTACATGGATCCCCTTCGAAATCCGAACTTACATTCCTTGGTTCTCTTTATCTATCATTGCCTGGATCACATTTTATACAAGTCAGCGTCTGGATGCATCCAAATACGAAACTGCACAAGGTCAAGAGGTCGTGGATCTTATTGATGATCAACAAAGTGATGATACTGTGTAGGTCAACACGTTTAGTCTAGTTTTTTTTTTTTATATTATTCCTTTTTTTTGTAGTATATATCCCCACAAATAGAAAAAGTCGTATATAGACATGTTTAATAAACAACAAATCTTTCTTTATATGGATGATGATGACACTTGTCTATACGATGGATCTATATCACCAAAAAAAAAAAAAAAAAAAAAAATCGGGAAATTATTTTTTTTTATTATTGAAAAAAATAGAGATTTACAAAAAAAAAAAAGTGATAAACTAAAAAGAGGAACTAATGATGAATTAACAAACAAAAAGGAAATATACTAAAGGATACATCTATAAACACGGAAGAAGAAGGAAGAGAAAAAGATAAACCAAAGTGAATATATACGATAGGAGACTTTTTTTTTCAAAGAATGATACATTTCTTTTTCAATTTCTTGTCCTTGAATCTGGAGGATTGTCGTTGCTCACCAAGAGGAGGAGGAGGAGGTTGTTGAGGTGAAATAGAGGATGGTAAAGATGAATCAGTGGCAAGAGCAGGAGGAGGTGCAGTGATTTCCGTTGGTGCTGTTGTTGTCAGTTTTTGTCCATCCTTTGGTAGAGTACTTGGAGCCGCTGGAGCTGGGGCTGGAGCTGGGGCTGGGGCTGATGTCGTCGGTGGCGCTCCTGCTACAGCTGGTGCTGCTGGTTTCTCTTTCTTCACACTTTTTGTAGCGTTCTTACTGATATGGTATGCGTCCAGATTGTGAGAGGCTACCACGGAAGCTATAGCTGCGGATAAATCGATGCTTGAGGAAGAACTTGCTGTTGGTAAAGAGCCAATAGTTGTTGGTGCTGATTTTGCTGATGTTGTTGTTTTTGGTACTTCTTTTTTAGTTGTTGCTGCTCCTGCTGATTTTGTTGTAGTTGTTGATCCTTCTTTTTTGACGGTTGCTGCTGCTGCTGTTGCTGTTGTTGCCGTGGCCGCTGTTGTTGCTGCTGCTGCTACTACTGGTACTTTATCCACTTTAGTTTCTGTTTCCTTTGTCGGCACTGTACTAGTCTCCATTAACTTGACATTGTTTTTGACAATAGCATGTATGTCCACCTTGTGAGATTTCACTACAGCATCAATAGCTTCTTTCACAGCAGGAATGGTTTCAGGTGAAGGTTGTTGTTGTTCAGGTGCAGGTACTGTTGAAGGCGTAGTCGTATTACCAGTGGTAACGTTGGTATTCTTCTTCTTTTTATTCTTGTTTTTCTTTGATTTCGCTGGGGCCATGATGATTATGAAGAGAAAAAAAAAAACAAAAAAGAAAAGAAAAGAAAAAAAAGGGTGAAGTTTTTTTGGCCTCGTCTCTCTCTTTATATTTCCGACCAACTACCAAATTTTTTGCATGAAAAACCCCGATGTATGATCATCATTGGCTAGATTTCAAGTTTCCGTGTTTTATTTTAAAAAAGAAAAAGAGGTAAAAGCTAAATATAGTTTTAGTATCATGATTCTATAGTTCTAGAACTACTATGAAGTATAAATCTGAATTGACTAGGGAAAATCAAATAAAGAAATGAATCATTTGTCTAAAAAGGATCATCAGTAAAATCAAGAAAAAAAAAAAGAACTTAAATATGGCCTATAGTTAAATCAACACGCGTTGGCATTTTATTGTTACGCGAAAACCTTTTTAGGATAAAACAATCGTTGATCATCCATCTTCCTGTCAATAAAAAAAAAAGGATGTTGGTCAATGATTATTTTTTTTATTTAGTTTTTGATTATCTTTTTCTTTCTATACATGAATGGAATGGACAATTGACCGGGATGACTGTGCTGAAGTATATGAGGTAGAACATGAAGTTCAATGTACTGTATCGCCTTTTGTAAAGTAGCAGGTTGAGTTTCATAATAGTATTCAAGTCGTCCAACTAGATCCTGAATCGTAGTTAAAAAAAAAAAAAAAAAAAGTTATTTTTAGATTAGTCTTTTTTTTTATTACCTGGCGCTGCTGAAGCCCGATCTTTTTAGGATCAGGGAGACGAGTCAAAGCATTATGGATTTCTGACTCCAATTCAAATGACGATTGATCATCGAATTCTTTCAAAATGGCTTGGATCACTTGTTTCTCCGTACCTGATGCATCAATTAGGTCTAGTATGAAATGAAAGTAATCAGTAATGTAAAAAAAAAAAAAAAAAAAAAGGTCTTACGAAATGGAAATGAATCGGCTAATTGTAGTAGTGAGCCATAATTGGATTCAAAGGTATCATATCTCGCGCGTATCAGCTTTTTTTTTTTAAATGATGATGATGATGATGGGTCGATGCATGAATGGATGATGATGGTATGATGAATGATAAAAAGTAGAAAAAGGATGCAAGTTAGTATATTTTTTTTTTGGGTACATGATGATTATTACTCTTTCGTCGAAATCAGTTACTCGTTCCTCCAAAAGTTCACCTTGACCAATGGATTTGACATGTTGATTATGCTTTCTAATTTTTTGACCTCTTTCTAATTGTCTTTGGACTGATGTTTCTTTATCTACATACAATACACAGATTCTAAAACTTGGCCGTCTAATGATTGGAATGTATAAGTGGTTTCATGAGTGTCATCCTTTATAATAGAGATCAAAAGAACTTACGGAAAATGATGATGAACAGTAGTATTTGCAAACTGTGATCGTAGCTGAGTCCACTTTTCATATAACAAGTGTAATACTTCTGCTTGAATTTCCGTTCGTGGGAAACCATCTATAAGGACACCAGATTCAGGATGTGGAGATTGTATGATAGCATGAAGCATCAATTCAATAACATAACTATCAGATAATAAAAGTCCTTGATCCATAAATTGTCGACATTCAGGTGATTGTACAAGTTGAGAAATCCCTATTGGGGAATTTTTTATGCCTCGAGCATTTAATATCAATGGAGTATGAGTACCTTTTCCAGCTCTATTTTATAAAAATAAAAATAAAAAAAAAAAAAGAAAGATGAGTATACATCATTGATCCATCCATCATTATTAATATCATTACCCTGGTGCACCCATTAAAAAGAAGAGTTCACGGGGTAATCTTATGTTTTCCATCCCATAATACTGTTCGATATTTTTCCATGCTTGATGAAATAGGGTGTTGGCCTTTGATCCACCAATAAATCTATATTACAATAAGAAGAAAAAAAATAAAAAAGTAGATGGATTTAGTCAATGGATTGTTATCATTTTATTTTATTTTATTGCGTTACTTGGGAGATGTTTCTACTTCAGTTTCATTCAAAAGTGCCCCTATTTTCAAATACACATTGGTTTTATTGGTTAATAAAACAAGTGATCAACATAGGAAGCATCATTATAAGAATCACGAAATTATACCTGATTGAGAAGATCTAAGTAAAGGCCCTGTTGTAAGAGAACGTCGATGATAATGATGATGATGATGATGATGATGAGGATGTTGAGGAGGAAGGCGGATCAAAAACATGGTAGATCGTTTGTTAAAGTTAGAGATGAAGTTCTTGGTAGTTAGACGAGTAATCATGGAAGCTGTAGTGGAAGAAAATGGATAAAGAAGCGTTGGAAAAAAAAAAAGAATTGGTATTTAAATAAATCAAGTGAAATAATAATAGAAAAAAAAAAGAAAGAGAGGGGGGAAGATTTTATAGTTATTACTGTTATATTCTTTATCGGTGGTAATCGGGGACAAGGAACAATTTGGTTGGTCAAAGTTGGTAAAGTTGGCATGAATGAAAAGGAAGAATTTAAGATGTTCTATGTCACATGTTTCTCCAGCTCCATAAAGATAAACCATTTTTATTCCATCATCCTTATGCAAATATAATATAAAAGATAGAAAAATAATTATTATTTTTTTTTAGAGGCAGTAATTATTGGTGGTAAAGGTAAAAAAAAAAAAAGATTTGACAGCAGCTCATCAGGTTCCGACACTCCCTTTTTTTTTTTTCCTTTATTATTTTCTTTTTTCTTTTATTTTATATTTTCTTTCTCTTCCACTTCATTTTCAGGATTGATTTTTTTTTTGAACTCCATTCTATGGAAAAAAGGTATTGAAAAAAAAGAAAGAGAGAGAGGTCTGTAATGGAAGTATGTCTAAGATCGTCTAAATTCATTCATGTGTTCATGTGTATTTATTTTTTTTTTTTTTTAGTGGAAACAAGCATGCCAGCTACGGATATAAACACTACAAAGGTTTCGAATAGAAATGATATATTCGATAACGATCAAGAGAACGATATGACAACAAATGAAGAAGCCAATAGACGAATGGAAGCTCTTATGAATATGGTGGTTGTTGAAGAACAACAAGACACTACCAACATGGATAATCAAGGTAAAAAAAACAAAAAAAAAGAAAGAAAGAAAGAAAGAAAAAGAGAACAATAATTATATCTCTATCTCACTCATTTCATTTCTAAATCATTTAGAAACAATGGAAGAAGAAGAAGAGGAGGAATTTGCGTTTAGATTGTTTTCAACTGGATCGGTAGCCAAAGTGTCTATCAAGGAAAAGGGTGACGACGAAGCCAACGCATTATCACAACAAATCGCAAATCAACAACAAATAGAACAGGATGAAACTGATCCTGATTTTGTAACCCGGATCACTCAAGCCAGTATCAGTTATGATGACATTATGCAACAATCCACTTGGGCGTATCCTGCTCTTCGATTACCAAAGCGGGTTATCCACATCAATAATAACGACATGAAATCAGATACCACTACTTCAACAAAAAGAAAGCGAAAAAGTAAAAAACGACGAGATTATGAAAAGGCAGTCAAAGAAGGACGGATCATACCAAAACCCAATATGCGTGATACTCGTACTCCTGGTGGATGGCCTGGATATCCTGGTGCTCGTACTCCATGTGCTATCATCAAAACTCAATCTCACAAAGCAAGATCTGGTGGATTTAAATCACGACCTCAAGTGTTTAAGAATAGTTTTATTAGTCGTAGTAGTAGTGGTAGAGGTGGTAGAGGTGGATCATCTCACTTCAAAAAAATGATCTCTGTATAGCTTAGTTTTTTTTTTTTTTTGACTTTTTCTTTTTTTTTTTTTTGACCAATAAAAATTGTTGACTCGGGAACTCAAAAATTTTTTCTTTTTCGATCCGTTATTTAAATCTTTTGGATACGGCCAACTTATATTTGTTCTTTCCTTTTTACATTTTTTATTAACAGGTATGTACCCATAAACATCCATCCATCCATCCATCCATTCTTATTAATGTATTATCTTTTTTTCTATTATAGTCATGGGTAAAGAAAAGACTCACGTCAACGTCGTTGTTATCGGTCACGTCGATTCCGTAAGTATTTAATTATTTATACTAAGTCTTCTTGCTAACTTGAATGTTAATTATATAGGGTAAATCTACTACTACTGGTCACTTGATCTACAAGTGTGGTGGTATTGACAAGCGTACCATTGAAAAGTTCGAAAAGGAAGCTGCTGAACTCGGTAAGGGTTCCTTCAAGTACGCCTGGGTTTTGGACAAGCTTAAGGCTGAACGTGAACGTGGTATCACCATTGATATTGCTCTCTGGAAGTTCGAAACTCCCAAGTACCACGTTACTGTCATTGACGCTCCTGGCCATCGTGATTTCATCAAGAACATGATTACTGGTACTTCTCAAGCTGATTGTGGTATTCTTATCATTGCTGCTGGTACTGGTGAATTCGAAGTAAGTAAAAAAAAAAAAAAAGAATGACGTATTTTATGGATGATGACGAAAAATGATGCTAATTATTTATTTATTTATTGATAGGCTGGTATCTCCAAGGATGGTCAAACCCGTGAACACGCTTTGTTGGCTTTCACTCTCGGTGTCCGTCAATTGATTGTTGCTATTAACAAGATGGATTCTACCAAGTGGTCTGAAGCTCGTTTCAACGAAATCATCAAGGAAGTTTCTGGTTTCATCAAGAAGATCGGTTTCAACCCCAAGTCTGTCCCCTTCGTCCCCATTTCTGGCTGGCACGGTGACAACATGTTGGATGAATCTACCAACATGCCCTGGTACAAGGGATGGAAGAAGGAAACCAAGGCTGGTGAAAAGTCTGGTAAGACTCTTTTGGATGCTATTGATGCCATTGATCCCCCTACTCGTCCTTCCGACAAGCCTCTCCGTCTTCCTCTTCAAGATGTGTACAAGATTGGTGGTATTGGTACTGTCCCCGTTGGTCGTGTCGAAACTGGTATCATCAAGGCTGGTATGGTCGTCACCTTCGCTCCTGCTAACGTGACCACTGAAGTCAAGTCTGTTGAAATGCATCACGAACAATTGACTGAAGGTCTTCCCGGTGACAACGTTGGTTTCAACGTCAAGAACGTCTCTGTCAAGGATATCCGTCGTGGTAACGTCTGTTCCGACTCCAAGAACGATCCTGCCAAGGAATCTGCCTCTTTCACTGCTCAAGTCATTGTCCTTAACCATCCTGGTCAAATCGGTGCTGGTTACGCTCCTGTCTTGGATTGTCACACTGCTCACATTGCTTGTAAGTTCGCTGAATTGTTGGAAAAGATTGATCGTCGTTCCGGTAAGAAGCTCGAAGATGCTCCCAAGTTCGTCAAGTCTGGTGACTCTGCTATCGTCAAGATGATTCCTTCCAAGCCCATGTGTGTTGAAGCTTACACTGATTATCCTCCTCTTGGTCGTTTCGCTGTCCGTGATATGCGTCAAACCGTCGCTGTCGGTGTCATCAAGGCCGTTGAAAAGGTTGACAAGGCTGGTAAGGTTACCAAGGCTGCTACCAAGGCTGGTAAGAAATAAGTTATTACCCATCACTACACATCTACATAGTATCCATACATACATATCAAATTGAATTAGTATAGTTTGATTATTTGAAAAAAAAAATTCACTAGTGTTAGTCCTTTTTTTTTGTTGAAAATAAAAAACAAAAAATAATATCAAAAAAATAGTTTTTCTTCTTTTTTTTTTTTGATGAAGTGTAGAGTGCATATTAATTATTTTTTCAATTGCTGTCAATTTATCTTTTTTTTTTTTCTTGTCCCTCCATTCTTTTTTTTTCCCTTGATGTTTTTTTTTTTTTTTTTTTTTTTTTTTTCCTGGATAGTTTCCATTGAATAGGTATGATGGTCTTACTTTTGAATACAAACTTTGATATAACTCATTTGAAGTTCCTTCATTCTTTCCCTTTGTCTATACGGTAAAATAGATTATATATCTGTTCACATCTCTTTTGTATAGGATTCACACCTTCAACCCTACAGCGACAAAGAAAATAACACCTGGGAAAAACGCAACACAATGATTAGGTAAAGAATGATACTACCGCTCTTGTGTGGATAAAGTTCTGGCACTCTCTCATTGTCTTTTTTTTTTTTTTTTCTAGCTTGACATGGATATAGTAGGGTTGACCTGGAAGGTCATACGACAAGGTGGTTCTTTTCAACATTTGTTATACTGGTCTCTTTAGTGCTGTTGGTGTAAGCAAGAAAAATATCAAATAATTGTATACACGTATTGAAAGGAGTCATGACAATGAATGATGAAATATTTGGAGTAAACTAATCATTTTTTTTTTATAGTAAATTGGTTCTGGACAAGAATATATGTCGTTGAATAGAATATAGGATGCTTATTTGATGGAGAGGATGATACTTTTTTTTTTTTGAACAGAATAGGATGATGTAGGAAAATCTGTTTTCTCTTCTTGGAAGGATATGCTCTAGTAGTAACAAAGGTTGGGAGTGGATATTAGTAGTATAGTTTTGAATAGTGTACTTTTGAATTGTTGATATTTTATAGAAATAAAACATATGGTTATTCAATGCGCTAAGTCGACTGGAAGAAATGCATCATGCTACACAATGATGGATGTATCAAGGGATAAGTGGTGGTCTTGTTGTGATCTTTTCAGAATTACAAGCTCTTCTTTTTTATTTATTTATTTATTTATTCAATGTGAAAGATGATTTAATTTTTTTTTTTTTTTGCACGATAGATTCACATTGTTGGTCAGTATGAAAACAGTTTGGTAATGGAAAGTCATTGGTGATTGCCGATAATTGATTGACAATCGATCGATCGACGATGATGGATACTGAAGATGACTAATGAGGATGATCATTTACTATTTACAATGCGTTTGTTGTCTACGACTATCCTATCCATGCTGATCATCCAGAAAAAAAAAAAAAAGAAAATATTCCTACAAAGACGAATTATTGAGATGACGCGTAAGGCATGACCACTGCAAATAAATGATAAAAGGAACCTCGATGAATACAAATAATATGATAACGAAGGCATATATATCATACAATTTTTTTATTATTATTTTTAATTTAAAATAGGATTGAATAAATTTTATAAATATGTATATGATAGGGAGATATGGAGAAAATGAGGGAAAGACGGTAAAAAAAAAAAAAAAAAAAAAAAAAAAAAAAAGGTGAATTGTACTAACTAACTAGAAAATAAACGCACAAAACTAAAAAGCTGGATCGATCAAAAAATATAAAAAGTACCTAACCTAGCTTCTTTGTAAGTTTGGGATGCACAACAAAATCATCCAATACCTTGCCAGCATGTACAACAGGGAATAGATGTTCATCCTTGCAAACCACAGCATCCATCAACACGGGACCATCATGTTCCAAAAATTCCTTCATTTTTTCTGGGATTTCAGATGCCTTGGTAACACGGATGGCTTTGACATTCATAGATTCGGCTAATTTGACAAAATCAGGATTCTTCATCAAACAACCAATGTATCGGTTTTCATAGAATAATTCCTGCCATTGTTTGACCATACCTTGGGATGAATTGTTGAGAAGTAACACCTTAACACCAATATTGAATTCTGCAGCTGTTGCTAATTCCATTGCCGTCATTGAAAAAGAAGCATCACCATCAATATCCACCACAATATGATCAGGTTTTGCCACCTTGGCTCCAATAGCGCTAGGTAATCCATATCCCATTGTTCCAAAACCACCAGATGAAATAAACGTACGAGGATGTCGACATTGATAAAGTTGAGCTGCCCACATTTGATGTTGTCCCACACCTGTTGTCACAATCACCTTATCCTTGATATCCTTTGTCTGTAGATTGAGTTCTTCAATGATTTGTTGAGGTTTAAGTACTTCATCACCAATGGCAGGTTCATAATAGAAGGGATACTTTTCTTTCCAGTTGTTGATAGTGTTGAACCAATCCTTACGTTCGGTTGACGCAATATGAGGTAACATCCGTTGAATATTTTCAGTCACATCACCTTTGATTAATTCTGTTGCTTCCACCACCTTGTTCATATTCTTTGGCAAGATTTCAAAATGAAGAATACCACCACGACCTTCTTTGCTGGCCTTGATAGCTTCAGGAGCAAACGCCTTGACATTTCCAGTGACACGATCATCAAAGCGAGCACCAAGAGCAATGATCACATCGGCATGTTGCATAGCGAGATTAGCATAGCACGATCCATGCATACCAAGCATATGAAGAGATTTTGGATCTTCTTCGTCAAATACACCAAGACCACAAAGAGTAGTTGTAACAGGGATATTGCCTTGATTTGCGAGTCGAGTAAGAACTTTGTGACCATCTGGATGACCCATAATACCATGACCAGCATAGATGACAGGACGTTTCGCTTGATTGATGAGTCCTGCTGTACGTGTGAATAAACCATCATCAGAGAATGTAGCAATAGGGGTAGGACGAGTAGGTATCATTGAATTTATAGGAATAGGACGACGTAACACACCAGCTGTCACATCCTTGGGTAAATCCACCAATACAGGTCCAGGTCGACCACTAGTGGCAATAGTAAAAGCTTCATTGATTCGACGAGGTAATTCAGCAATATCTTTGACCATCACATTCCATTTTGTACATATTTGAGAGATACTAATAATATCAATTTCTTGGAAAGAATCAGTACCAATTGAAGCAGTAGGAACTTGACCAGTAAATACAATAATAGGAACACCATCAGCTAAAGCATCTGCCATTGCAGTAACAACATTAGTTGCACCAGGACCAGATGTCACTAAAACCACACCAGGTTTACCAGTAGCTCTAGCATAACCTTCAGCCATATGTCCAGCACCTTGTTCATGACGTGGAAGAATAAAATCAAGATAATTGGATTCGTGGATTGCATCAAAAACAGGAAGAATAGGACCTCCAGGAAAACCAAAGATATGTTTTACTTCATGTTTTGACATCATTTCATGAAAGATTTCACCACCAGATTTGCCCACAAAAGAATGATCCATTTGAGATTCTGTTGATTTCTTGAAAAGTTGACCTTTTTTATTTGGAATATCAGCAGCGTGATTACCAGCACTATAAATATAAAAAAAAAAAAAAAAAAAAAAAAAAAAAAGAGAAATAAAGAGGTTACTATTAGATCTATACATATATATCTAGTCATATTTTTGTTCTATTACTTTGAAATAATCGTAGAAGTAGCGCTTTTTACTTTTGACGGGTTGTGTATTGTTCTTAAAGCAATGGGATATAGCAGACTGGATCCATAACGACATCTTGATACTGAAGATCGTAGAGTTATTTGATTAATCATGAATCTAACTTTTATAAAAAAAAAAAAAAAAAATTGGAGAAAGAAAAATGAAAAAAAAGAAAAAGCGATTTCTTTTTTTTTATGACTTCCTGATTTGGCCACAGCCAGAAATGGAAACGGAGTTATGGATATGATTTCTGTGCAAATCGAAAGGTATGTTTTCTACTGTGATAGACAAAAAGAAAATATAACATATGACTCGTCCCTTTTCATCCATAGAATATTATTTGTCTAGCGAAGGACATATGATATTGGGAAAAGAGATTGGCTATTCATTCCAGTAGTTCCAGTATTATGGATATAATGTACAGAAAAAAAAATAAACAAGAGTTCACTACAATTTCTAATCATCGGTATCATCATCTGGACAAAGTAATGTCTACAGCATGATTTGTTACTTTAAAACGTATCCACTTAGTTTTATTGACCATTGAAGTGTAACAATAATAGAGAATATAAAAACAAAAAAAAATCATGATTTTCAACATAAAATCAATAACACTAGTTGTATGCCATTCGAAATCGATATGAATGATACCATTCAGTTCACTTTATTTCATAAAATCAAAAATTAAACTAACGAGAATGATCATTTACTATCTAGCTATGATATGCTTGTCGTAAACAACTATCCTATCCACACGTATTATTGACCTTCCGATAATTTTCATTTGCTGATGATATCTTCCTGCCGATGCCCAGTGGATGATGCCTTTCAGAAGCCAAAATATCATTGCCTATCCTTTAGTACTTGATAATATATCTTACTATATCCTGCATAAACATATATATACAACAACTACGTGAAAGGCATTCCTCCATGGAAACAAAAACAAAAAAAAAAAAGAAGAAGAAGTAAGCATATATAAAACAGTCTTTCAACCAAAAAGTATTAGTCACCCATTCATTACTGTTCGTGTTTACCATTCATTATCTACTTCAACGGAATGTTCCTTTGAAAAAGGTCGACCAATGTCTTGGATTATAAACGAAGTAAAAACAGAGTATGCCGGTAATACATTCCACTTGCCCATTCAAACCTACAGGTTAGTGAATTGAGAAAACAAAAAAAAAAGAAAAAAAAAAGAAAGAAAGAAAAGAAAAAGGAAAAAAGCAAAGAAAGAAAGAAAAAAAAAGTAGATAATGAAATGAATCATCTGAATTCAACTCCGTCGCGTTTTGAGGAACCAAACAGAAAATCATCCATCCAAGAAAGAAGAAGGGTTTCAAAACATAAGGTTTCTGTAGATATCAAAAGGTACAATTACTTTATAAATAGTAAAAAATTATTTCGAATAACCATATTCATTCAGTATTCTCTATACCAGTAATTAACTCAGGATTTTCATCCGAAATACGGTAGATAAGTCATTTCATATAAAGGCGAATCATGGAGATGACTCGTAAGATAGATTATGCACGATTATCGTACATCACACATAAAATAAATCTAGATAGACATGAATATATTATGATAACTATGGGATATATGATACAACTTTTTTTATTGAAATGATCAATTGAGATGTGATTGAATAAATTATATAAATATGTATAAAGTAGAGATGATGATAGGAAGATATGCAGAGAAGAAAAAAAAATAAAGGTAAATTGTACTAATGAAAGCAAATAAACACATACTAAACTAAAATGAGTAGATCGATCAAAAATAAAATGTGGATCGATTTAAAAAAAAAAAAAAAAAAAAAAAAGAATCTAATCTACCTATTTTATGAGTTTGGGATGCACAATAAAATCATCCAAAGCTTTACCAGCAGGTACCATAGGGAACAAATGCTCTTTCTTGCAAACCACAGCATCCATCAACACGGGACCATCATGTTCCAAAAATTCCTTCATTTTTTCTGGGATTTCAGATGCCTTGGTAACACGGATGGCTTTGACACCCATAGATTCGGCTAATTTGACAAAATCAGGATTCTTCATCACAGTACCAGAATATCGGTTTTCATAGAATAAATCTTGCCATTGTTTGACCATACCTTGGAATGAGTTGTTGAGAAGTAACACCTTAACACCAATATTGAATTCTGCAGCTGTTGCTAATTCCATGGCCGTCATTGAAAAAGAAGCATCACCATCAATATCCACCACAATGTGATCAGGTTTTGCCACCTTGGCTCCAATAGCACTAGGTAATCCGTATCCCATTGTTCCTAGACCACCAGATGTAATAAATGTACGAGGATGGCGCCATCGATAAAGTTGAGCTGCCCACATTTGATGTTGTCCCACACCTGTTGTCACAATCACCTTATCCTTGATATCCTTTGTCTGTAGATTGAGTTCTTCAATGATTTGTTGAGGTTTAAGTACTTCATCACCAGTGGCAGGTTCATAATAGAAGGGATACTTTTCTTTCCAGTTGTTGATAGTGTTGAACCAATCCTTACGTTCGGCTGACGCAATATGAGGTAACATCTTTTGTACATTTTCAGTCACATCGCCTTCGATTGCTTCCGTTGCTTCCACCACCTTGTTGATATTCTTTGGCATGATTTCAAAATGAAGAATACCACCACGACCTTCTTTGCTGGCCTTGATAGCTTCAGGAGCAAACGCCTTGACATTTCCAGTGACACGATCATCAAAGCGAGCACCAAGAGCAATGATCACATCGGCATGTTGCATAGCGAGATTAGCATAACATGATCCATGCATACCAAGCATATGAAGAGATTTTGGATCTTCTTCGTCAAATACACCAAGACCACAAAGAGTAGTTGTAACAGGGATATTGCCTTGATTTGCGAGTTGAGTAAGAATCTTGTGACCATCTGGATGACCTACAATACCATGACCAGCATAGATGACAGGACGTTTAGCTTGGTTGATGAGTTCGGCTGCACGTTTGAGTACGGGGGAAGGTTTGGATAAAGCTTCTTCAGTGAATGCACCAATAGCAGTGTTGGGAATAGCAGCAGGACGAGCAGGGATCATTGCATTTGTAGGAATAGGACGACGTAACACACCAGCTGTCACATCCTTGGGTAAATCCACCAATACAGGTCCAGGTCGACCACTAGTGGCAATAGTAAAAGCTTCATTGATTCGACGAGGTAATTCAGCAATATCTTTGACCATCACATTCCATTTTGTACATCCTCGAGAGATACCAACAACATCGGCTTCTTGGAAAGCATCAGTACCAATAGCAGCAGTAGGCACTTGACCAGTAAATACAACAAGAGGAACACCATCAGCTAAAGCATCTGCCATTGCAGTAACAACATTGGTTGCACCAGGACCAGATGTCACTAAAACCACACCAGGTTTACCAGTAGCTTTAGCATAACCTTCAGCCATATGTCCAGCACCTTGTTCATGACGTGGAAGAATAAAATCAAAATAATTGGATTCATGGATTGCATCAAAAACAGGAAGAATAGCACCACCAGGATAACCAAAGATATGTTTTACTTCATGCCTTAACATCATTTCATGAAAGATTTCACCACCAGACTTGCCCACAAAAGAATTGTCCATTTGAGGTTCTGTTGATTTTTTGAACAGAGGTTGAACTTTTTTATTTGGAATATCAGCAACATGACCACCACCACTAAAATAATAAAAAAAAAAAGAGGTTATTCATATATTTATTTATTTCACTTTTTATTTTTCTATATTATTTACCTTGAAATAGCTGTGGCAGCAGCACCTTTTGTTTTTGACGAGTTGTGAATTGTCCTTAAAGCAATAGGAAGTAAAAGATTAGAACGCTTGAGAAACCTTGGTGCTGTATGTCGTAGAGTTTTTGAAGCAATCATGTTGTTCACTGTTATAAAAAAAAAAAAGTTGGAGAAAAGAAGAAACGTAGAAAAAGGAAAAGAAAAGTTTTTTTTTTTTTTTATCTCTTCAGATTGGACCTCAAATAGAAATGGATGCGGAGTTGTAGATATGTGACTCAAAGCAGATCAATAGGAAAACAGGCTTGCATTATTATCATCATATGAAACCAAAGTTTATATAATAATTCAATCATTATTAAATATAACTAAACATCATATTCTTTTTTTTTATTATTTATTTTTTTATTTTTTATTTTTTATTTTTTTTTTTTTTTTTTACTTTTTGATTCTAATATATTTTTTTATTTCTTATTTCAATATGTTGGTTTTGCATGTTCAATGAGTCATACACCAATAAAATGCAAGAAATCAAGGGAGATAAGATTACGAACCTTAACGCGTATTATTGGCTAAACCCTCGATGAGACATTGTTACAAGTAAGCCAATCAAAATCAAGTATAATTTAGTCACCGATTACCTTCTCCTTTCTAACATTTGAAAAATAACAAAGAACAAGAGAACATAAAGCGTATTATATATTCCACTATTTGATGATTTAACTTTAATATGATAAGAATGATGATGTTTTATGCATAACAAGTGATTATCTTTTTTTTTTTATGTTTCTGCATTGGTTTCCTTTAGATTTTGATTTTTTGATCTTGGAATTAAATAATTATACTTTTATCTCAATGATAGTTTTTCTATTTTTCATATAAATATATGATGAACACATTCATAAATAAAAAAAAGAAACACTATGGATACTGCATTTCATTGACATTTGGAGTAGTTGAATTTGATTGGCTGTCATCCCTGACTCTTAGATCTTCTGAGCTCTAAATTCTTCCTTTTAGAAAATCCTTCTTTCCCCCTAAACTAAAAGGGAGATCCAGTTCTTTTTTCTTTTTTTTTTTTTTCTTCTTTTTTTTTCTCACACTTTTTATATATAATAACAACAATAAACGCGTTCTTATTATTATGTCTGCTAAGCCTATTACTATTGTTTGTTTGCCTGGTGATGGTGTTGGTCCTGAAGTCGTTGGTGAAGCCGTCAAAATCCTTAATGTTATTTCTGCACATCGTTCCAAGGCTCTCAATGTGGAATTCAAATTTATTAATGAACTCATTGGTTTAGCAGCTCTTGAAAAAACTGGTAAGAAAAGGAGAAAAGAAAACAAGAAAAAAAACATGTTTGACACCAATGACTCAATTATATTCTTTTTTTTTTTTTTTTTAGGCGAACCTCTTCCTGATTCTGCTTTGGAAGCTTGTAAAAATGCGGATGCTATTTTACTTGGAGCTGTAGGTGGACTTCCCAATGCTCAAATTGGTAGTGGACCTCGACCTGAACAAGGATTACTCAAATTACGTAAATCTTTGGATCTTTATGCTAATCTTCGACCTGTCACGTTTGCTTCAGACAGTCTTTTACCTTTATCGCCTTTGAAAGATCATGTGGTGCAAGGTACGGAATTTGTATTTGTACGTGAATTGGTAGGTGGTATTTATTTTGGTGATCGTCAAGAAGCTGGTGAAGATGGCAAGGCTTATGATACTTTACCTTACTCCCGTGAAGAAATCCAACGTGTCACTCGTTTGGCTGCCCTTTTGGCTCAAAAACAAACACCTGTAGGTCAAATCCATTCCATTGATAAGGCAAATGTGTTGGCTACCTCTCGTCTCTGGCGTACCACTGTCACTGAAACCTTGACCAAGGAATTCCCTGATATCAAGTTCGATCATCATTTGGTGGACTCGGCTGCCATGGCCATGGTGCAAAATCCAAAGAAACTCAATGGTGTAGTATTGACAGAAAACATGTTTGGTGATATTCTTTCTGATGAAGCCTCTGTGATTGTTGGTTCCCTTGGTCTTTTGCCTTCTGCCTCCTTGAATGGTTTACCTGATGGAAAGAGCAAATGTGTTGGTTTATATGAACCCATCCATGGTTCTGCTCCTGATATTGCCGGTCAAAATATCGCCAATCCCATCGCCACTATTCTTAGTGTCGCTCTTTTGTTACGTTATTCCCTTGGTTTTGAACAAGAAGCTCAAGCTGTTGAACAAGCTGTACGTCAAGTCTTGGATGCCAATATTCGTACTCGTGATCTTCATGGGGACAATACTACTACTGAAGTCGGGGACAAGGTGGCCGAAGCTTTGGCTGGACTTTTGGAAAAATTATAGAAATAGTTGGATTGGTATGTACGGATAGTTTTATTGTACAGTTTATGGATATTGGTTTAAAAAAAAAAGCGTGTTATCAAATCATTGAATAAAATATGTGTTTATACTATAAAAAAAAAAAAAAAAAGAGGACATCCTAGTTTCATGATAAACGTGATTAAAGAAGATTATTGATGGCAAGGAGACTCGGAAGGGGTATGATGGAAAAAAAAAAACGTTGATTTGGCATCAATGCATTGGAAAACGAGATACTTTTTTTTTTTATTTTATTTAATATATGGTATTGTAAAAAAAAAAAAAAAAAAAAAAAAAAAAAAAAAAAAAAAAAAATGGAAAAACGTGGATGAGGCAATAACGTGGAATACAAAAAAAAAGGAGGATACTTTCATCAAAAAAGAAAAAGAATATATCTAGGAAGAACAAAAAGGGGTAACCAAAAAAAAAAAAAAAAACATGGAATCAATGATGATGATGATGAATTTTCCTTTCTAATCGATACAAATGAAGTCCTTGTCTTGAATATACAGGACGTTCTGGATCATCCATGATATCAATAATATTGAATTGTTTTCTTGCCAAGCCAAAGAATCGTTTGTCTGCCTTTCTTCTTTTTCGATAGGACATATAGATTTGCACATTGTTGTTGTTTTCAGTCAACATCACCAACGTATCCACCAAAGGTTGAAAGGCTACTTCCAAATACACACAATCTGATGCAAATACAATATCCACGGTATGATCAGTAGGTTCACCCCTAAATCAATCAAAATAAAGCGAATGAATAAGAAAAAAAAAATCAATATGTATATATATATATATGCCTTACCAGTTCAGAACAGAAGCACTTACTTTGTCTTGCAACTGATTCAATAAAATATTGTCATGTAAAAGGGACATCATGGGGATCTGGTCAGTCAATTCCATATGAGCCAAACTAGGACATGCTTTCGCCATGGCCAAACCCACCAAACCTGTACCACTACCAAGATCAAGGATCTTCTTGCCAGACAAAAACGAAGTTTCTCCTTGTCGTTCTTTCCACAGCATGTACTTGATCATCACATAAGCCGCTTCCCATGTCCTTCCTCCACAGCCACCACTGACATCTTGCCATAATGCCACTTGTACATTGCCCACTGTTTCCTTTGTAATGTGTCTTCCTTGTTCCGAATCACTACTATTGTTGCTGTCGGTTTGATCTGTATCTTCACCATTCAACTTTAATATGCCATAGATTCTCTTTTCATCCGCTTGTACATTTGTCAACGCCATGAGAAATGAGTATAAAAAAAAAAAAAAGGAAAATGCAAAAAAAAAAAAAAAAAAAAAAAAAAAAAAAAAAAGGAAAATCCTTCATACCCTCCGCTATGGATACAACAAAAAAAAAAGTTACCTTTTTTAGCAGTCCGTTGATAGGTGTGATTGAAGAAAAACCAATCCAGACCTGTGATTCCTTTTCTCGACAAAATCAAGTACCACCCGAAAAAAAAAAAAAAAAAAAAGGTCATTCACGGTTAAATTGATTCCGAGATTCACTACAAGAGGTTTTTTTTTTTTTTCTTTTAAAAATATTATACAGAATTTTTAAAAAATCATGATTACATTTATAATAGAATAAATAAAAATTGGGGTTTTGAATTATATATAAAGACAACATAACTTATCACAACATAAAAATAGCATAAAAAAAAAATAACAAATGATTTCTGCATAAATACAATAATGAGAACCGATCATCGGAGTAAAAAGGTATCAAGTGGGAAGTATTAACATAAAATAATAGTAAGAGAAGCATACAATTAAAAAAAAAAAAAAAAAGGGAATGGAGGAAATTAATTATTCGGATGGTTGTCGTCTATGCCTTCTTGATGGAATCAATGGAAAACAGAAAAACCATTTAACTTTTTTTGTTTCTTCATGATGATGAGGATGATCCGTTTGACTATTTGTTCGATCATCATCTTGTTGAGGCGTATCCATATTAGATATGATTTCTTCATTACTGGAGGAGGATGGCGTACTATTAGATATAGGTGGAGGAGAATCGGGAGAAGGTCTAGGTTTTGGATTTTGAGGTCTTGGTCGTCTTAAATTTAAATGTTTATCCATGATGAAACAGATCAAAGAACAAAAGTCAACAAAGAGAAAATGATGACAAGGAATAAGAAGATTAGCCACGTTGAAAGAAGAAGAATATATGTTGATGACAAAGTTCCTTTTTTTTTTTTAGTTTCTTTTTTAGGGATCAAGTTGTATTAAATTTTTTTGGCGCACGAACAATAATGGATCAAAGAACCTGTTAAAAAAGGAAACGATCAACAAAAAAAAAAAAAACCATTTCTTTTACATGAACCCTTACCATAGATCAACAAAACAAAAAAAAAAAAAAAGAATAAGTAAATATGCAACCAAAAAAAAAAAGGCAGGAGAGCGGGAAATTAAACCAGTTAAATGATCAGCAAAATGACAAGTGCAGTTTTCTTCTACTTTTTTTCCTTTTTTAGAAGAAGATGATCTTTTCTTTGATCTTTAACTATATTGAAATACAATAATAAATAGATACAGACAGAAAAAAAAAAAATAAAGAGAGAGAGAGAGAAAGAGAAAGAGGAGTTAAAAAAAAAAGAAGAAGAAAAAGAGACAAACTAGTTTTTTTTTATAGCTTTTATTTGATTTCATAAAAAAGATTCAGGGGCGTACACAAGGTTCCATCATAAAAAAGAAAGGCGGTATTTAAATCCCATGATGAAAGGACTAATACCAAGGTGGTTTGTCGGTGCCTGGGAAAAAAAAAGAAAAAGAACATGGATGCATGGATGACATTTTTGTTGGTGGGGGCAAAAAGAAAAAAACTCTTTTCAACTACCCTTTTTTTTCATTAATATTTCTTTTTTTCTTTTTTAACATAAAGGAGTAAAAAAAAAAAAAACCATGGATTTTTTGTTTATTTTCCAAAAGGATAATGAATAGGAGATTCTCGAAGGGAGCGTTTCTTCTTGATTTCCGTGTTTGGTAAGTACTGAATAGAATCTTTTTTTTTATTTTATTTCATTTTTTTTTTTAAAATAACATCGTCTAAATTCATTTCATCATTACGCAGATATACGCACGCATAATACGTATAAATAGCTATATATACACACACTTCTCGATCACTCCTTGCACTACTACTACTACTACTAAAAAATTTTGGCACATGTTTCTGCCATAAATGGTTTATCACCGACCTTTTTTTTAAATTATTACATGAACGTTTCCATCATCTTTAGTACCATCATCGTCATAGCTGTCATCATCTTAAGTAACATCACTGATCATCAGTATTTCTAAAATAGAACAAATAGTACATTGTCATAAATACAATATATGGTTTTATTTGATAGATAAAGGAATAACTAAATATAAATGGGTATCTAAACTATTGTTGCACTATAATACTATGTTTGGTGATATCACGTTCAACGGCTTCAATGGCTTCAGACACCTTGCGTAATCGATGATCATCCCCGATCAAATCTAATAATCCTGATCTTTCAAACATTTCCAAAGGTCGTTCTCGAAGACGTACAAAGAATACTTGAATTTGACGTTGATGATAAGATTCCACAATTTCATACAGGATTTGTACAGCACTATTAAAAAAATAAATGAAAATAAATTATCATTCCTTACAACATTTTCATTTTATTTCTTTTACCTTGCATCAATATATGGCATATGATCCACGTCAAAAATAATATATCGAGAATCTCCTAATCTTGGTGTTTCAGAAGGATGTGTTGACATATCTCCAAATTGTTCCAATCGTCGAAGTCGATCTTTCAATTGTCCAGTATTAGCGAAAAACAAAGGTTCTTCTACGCGAATAATTAACACATCTTCCATATGTTCGATTTCATCAGGTCCATCTTGAATAGGTCTAAACTTTTGATGATTTCCCTTGACTCTACCCTATTAAAAAAAAAGGAATTCAGTACCTTGTTGCATTTTGCCGTTGTCTCTTATTCTATTGTGCCCTTGCATTGTTTATCCTCACCATGTTACTTCTTTTTGCCCCAATTCATCTATACGCACGTCCAATATATATATCTATATATATATGTATACACACAAACTTTTTTTCTCGCTTGATTCCTCGCGCGATACAAAAATTCCACTCCCTATACTACTATTTTATTTCTTTTTTTTTTCCCCTTACCATGATAGATATCCGAGGGTAACTTGTTTCTTTGATAGTAAGGAGCAGAGATAACGTCACAGCCAATAACGTGCCAAATTCTAAAGAGATCATGACCGTTGCCAGGAAAGTAACCAACAGTAAAGCCAAATCACGCCAAGCATGTACTTTGAATATAAAATGTAAGTCTTCAGGTAATTCAGCCAATAATGAGAGAACGGCCACAAAAATAATAGAAGATAGAACTGCTTTGGGAAGATAATAAAAGTAGGGTAACAAGAAGAAAATGGCCAACAACGTCATAACACCTGTCATCAAACTTGCCATCTGAGTTCTAGCACCTGCACGATCATTAATTTTACTACGTGCTACCTACAAGTAAGAAGATAAGATCAAAAAGAATAGGAGTAAGTAAAACGATTTTGTCAATTCTATTCTAATTGACAAATAGAACCATCGTTCTTTCCCACTTGTCGAATTCCTTATTTCCATATTTGTACATGAAGAGAATTTTTTTTTTCCTTCTCCTCCCTTTTTTTTTTCCCAATTCTTTACATCTATCCCTTCCCCCCATTCCGTTTTTCCTTTACTTACCGAACCGAACGCAGGGATACCTTGCATTAAACCTAATTGTAAATAATATCATTGGAGTTTCATATTCAATCTCATCATCCCTTTTTTTTTTAAAAATACCTGATACTGTATTGGCTACACCAAGAGCAACTAATTCACGATTGGCACTGACAGAATAGTTGTGACGACTTGAATATGTTTTTGCAATGACAACAGATTCCACAAATCCAATAATAGCAATCATAGCGGCAGTCACCAATAGATCTTTCATATGATGATTTGCTGGGAAGGACGGAATAGATGGGAGAGGAATCTTTCCAGCACCTTCAATTGTACCAAGTATATCTAATCCTTGATGTTCCCAATCACAAAAATAGGTTAATAAAATCGAAATGACTACCACCACAAGTACTTCAGGTAAGAGAAGAATCCATTTCATGCTAGTTTTTGATTTGAGTACACGGAAAGCCAAAAGTATAGACACAGATACCCCTGATACAAAGGAAGACAAGGGATGACTTTGATGAATATTCTTGACTAAAAAGATGAATCTTGCCACAGTAGTAGATGCTTCGGAGATGCCAGCTTGTTCACTAAGATTTACCAATCCAAGTAAAATAATCGTTTGTTGTAATAAAACCACCAAGGCAACACCAGTAATAAAACCACGGAGAAGAGCACGACTCATAAGACTATCAAGGAAACCAAGACGAAAGATCCCGAGTAAGAAGGTGAAAATGCCGACAAATAAAGTCATCAAACATGCCCAGGCTAAAGGATCCACGTTATTTTCGTCATCAGGTGTATGACCTTGTGCGGCAATAGATGAACCAACTAGTAAAGAGAGAGTAGCTTCAGGACCAACTGACATTTGTCTATATGTACATTATATAGAAAACGTGAGGTTTTTCTTATATTATTATTATTATTGATTTTAACGTATATTACCTTGACATACCAAAAATAGCATATGTGATCGCAGGGAAAGCTATAGCATATAGACCATGAATCGCTTCAAGTTTACATAAAGCAGTAGCGTAAGATAAAGCTTGAGGAATCAATAAACAGGCCAAGGTCAATCCAGCGAACAAGTCACCTATAAAGAGTTGACGATTGTATAACGGTAACCATTGCAGAATAGGAAGGTAGTACTTTGATCGCACTTTCAAAAGGGTCCATTTATCTCTTGGTTCTGGATCGATATAGAGTTGAGCTGAAGGAACTAAGGTTATCGATAAAAAAAAAAAAAAAAATAAAAAAAAAAAGTAAGTATATATAAAGTGAAGAAAATTTTTCTTACAAACATTTTTATTTTACTTACTTGGAGATGCTGTCATATATCTTGGTTGATTGTATTGACCTAAACCCAAGAGAGCTTGACTTTCTGAAACACGGATAGAAGGTCCGTAAGTATCTTCTTCACTATCACTATCACCATGGGATAAACCTATAATGTTTCATAGTTTTAAATGACCAGTTTTCGGAATTAATATGATACATTGGAACAAATACAAATACTTACTTCCGTCACGAGAAGGCACATTGGCATTATGTGGTCTCGACATGACACAACAAGTAATGAGAAGAATGAAAAAAAAAAAAAGAAAAAGGTAATGAAAGAAAGAAAGAAAAAAAAAAAAGAGAGGCAAAAAAGAAATGGCCTTTTTTTTGAGTTTGGTAGATTTCAATTTCCGTCTGGCTTGATCCTCGACCTTGATGTTCTTGAGGTACCAAGTGCGTTACACTGAACTGACGCTAGACAATCGTTCAAGATCTCAAAGAAAGTGAGGAAGGTGAATCCCTATGGTTACAGAAGTGATCATCATCTACGGTATATCTTTGTAATTTGACATAAAAAGAACAATCACTATTTTTTTTTTTTTACATATCATTTGATGTTATAGGAAACAAAAACATGATATCCTCTACTTTAAAATCATCTTGTAGTTATTTCATTGAAAAACATCCAAAAAAAAATAGAGCAAGAAATAGAATATCATCCATAAAAAAAAAAAAAGGATCGATCCACAATATGAATTCGTTTATTTGATAATACGATCAAACTATTTTGTATATAAGATAATAAGGAAGAATAAAAAAGAAAGATGTGTATAGTATGTATGTATGTATGTATGTGTGAGAGAGAGAGTACAGGAGAGAGAGAGAGAGAGAGAGAAAGAGAGGGAGATACAATAGATCTATTTCAAATATGAAGGAAAATAAACAACTGAAAGGATGAATAGATCTATTGTCCTTTGTCTCTTGGAGTTTCCAAATACCAAATACTATTGTAAAATACAAAAAATATATTAGACTTTCTTACTCCTGAACAAGTTGTTATTATTACCTATTGGTGGCGAATTCGGGTGGTGCTGTAGGATTTGTCTATGAGAAAGAAGAAAAAAGAAAAAAAAAAATGAGTGTCACCAGTTTAAATAAAAATATCAAGTTTTACAGATTGTCCACGGAAAGAACCAGTTAAACGTTTATCACGTTCCATCATTTGTAAATCCCAGTTGTCAAGACCAAATCGGTGAGGCTAATAAATAATAAATAAATTTTAGATACACTTCTTATATTGAGAAATAAACTAGTTTCCTTACATGTTTATCGCTACCATAGTATTTAACAGCTTTCAAACCACTAGCAGTAGCCATGAAAAAACCGGTAATAATACCAAAAGGAAGAAGGGCTTCAAAAGGAACGGGCTATCAAGAATTAAAAAAAAAGGATGTTTGTCAATAAATGTAAAATAAAATAATATTTATCTTTGAAGTTGTACCATGATCGATTTTGAAGTTGAATGAAAGAGTGGGGGGAGGTAAAAAGAAAAAGAAAAAGAGTGCGGATTTTTGTTTTTGTTTGTTTTTCCTAGGCTCTCTTCCTTCTCCTCTCTTTGTGTAGTGTGCGGTTCTTCAATTTTCAGTGACGTTGAATTGATTTCTATTCAACATGAAAAAAAAAATGTAATTGTACCTCTTTTCATCATTTTACAATGCCTCTTGATTTACCCCTATGGCGTGCTCTTGCAGAAAAAACTGTTGTACTTGCTTCAGCATCTCCAAGACGACGTGAAATTTTACAAGCCATGGTAAGTTTTTATTATTTTCTTTTTTTTATTTCGTTCTTGGTTTTCTCATCCACAATTTTTTTTTTATTTATTATCTTAGGGACTCAAAGACTTCAAGGTGGTACCAACATTGGAACCTGATGAAAATAATCCGGCAGCTTATGATACCAAGGAAGCATATGTTTCTGATACGGCTTGGATGAAAGCAAACGAAGTATGGAAACGATGTCAATCGGACGAAAACTTACCTACAGCAGACGTAGTCATAGGAGCTGATACTGTGGTAGTGTACAAGGACCAAGTACTGGAAAAGCCAAAGGATGCCGATCAAGCTATTAGTATGTTACGACAACTCAGTGGACAAACTCATACAGCTCTTACTGGTGTTCATATTCTCGCCAAAGATGTTCACTATCAGTTTGTCACGACTACCAAGGTGACATTTGCTTCACTCAGTGATGACGATATTTTTGAATGTAAGTATATATATATAGAATATATGAAAATGAACTCATATGTTTTCTTTCATTTAGATGTTCGTCAAGGAGAACCTTTCGACAAAGCTGGTGCTTATGGTATTCAAGGACCTGCTGCATTATTCATATCAAACATTGAAGGTGATTATTGGAATGTGGTAAGTGTTGATACAACTCAATATTATCATCCAAGGATTAAAAAAAAAAAAAAAAAAAAAAAGGACTCTTATTGATCATTACTCCTTGAATATAGGTTGGATTACCACAACACCCTCTTTATCAAGAATTATTGAAACTAGCTAAAACAAAACAATGGATATGATCTTACACGATTGGTTCCTTATTCCCAGCTTCCTCTATAGTGTAGTATAGTGTTATAGTAATTGTATAAATATTTAATATCTGCTATTTGTATTTAATAAACTGTATTCCTTTTTTTTTTTCTCTTTTGGCCCATCTTAACTTGTTGATACGTGCAGTGATTGAAATCATATAGACTTTATCCCTATTTATTATCACATATTATCTCATCATACAACACTACTTTCTCTACACAACCACTTTGACCATCCGAACAAATCATTAAATCCCAAAAAAAAAAAAAAGGAGATACTTCAAGGTGAGCATCTATTTTATTTGATCAAATAATATACAGAGGAGATAGCAGTAAACAATAAGGGCAATAAACCAAGTTGACCAGCAACACCATACAATCTGTTCCGAGGATTACCAGTGACATAGCCACGAACATAAACAATGCGACCCAATAACCACCATGCATGAGCTGCAGCGGCTACTTGAGGATGAGCCAATCCACCAATCAACGATAAACTTGTCACAACAGGCCAAAATTCCAACGTATTCTAATCATCCAATAAAGTAAAATATTATTTTTAAATTATTCTTTTTTTTTATTTATTTATTTATTTTTTGACTCATATTTTTCTTTTATATAAATACCTGATGAGCACGTTGAGTACAGTTGAAGATATTCTTGAGAGGGTCCTTTTCTGCTTCTGATTTTTCCGCATAAGCTATCATAAACGATAATGAGTATATGTATATTTTTTTTTATAAATCATAACTTACCATAAGGATAAGGTACGTTGGCTTTACCACGTGCTTTACCGACTCTGGATGTTAAGAAAACAAGATAAATAGAAGTGGCTACCGTAGTAGCAAGGACCTAAAGCATGATAAGGAAAAAAAGAAAAATTAAGTTAGAGTTATACACTTACGATCATTGTTCTTTTCTTGTTTTTTTTAAGAAAAAAAAAGATCTTACATAGCCATATTCTGAAGGTACAATAATGGAAGGCATAACGATAATAGTTTAATGAATTTAAAATAAAAATAAAAAAATAAAAAAAAGGAGAAAAAAGAAGAGGTAGAAATAAAGTTTCTTTTTATTTCAAATGAAGAAAGGGAGGTTTGACAGCTGAGTATAAAAAAGGAAAAGCAACCACTAAAGAGAAGGGACTTACGCAACGCAACATCAGCATTACGAAGAATTCCGTTTTTGGTAAATGCTAGGATGACGGAAGAGAACTAGAGTTTTAAAATGATGAATCACCAAAGATATCTTGACCAATATGTTGTAACCGAATCCAATATTCATGTAAGCCGTCACCACGATGTTGTAAATTTTCTTGATATGCTAATAATTCTTCACTTGCTTCATATTCTTCCCTTTCTATTTGTCTATAAAAAGAAAGGATAAATAAAAGACCGTTTTTTTTTTTTGTTGGGTTACCCTAATTGGGCGACACTAAGATCAATTCTTTGTTTGATAGAATCATAAACATGCATCCATTCATCATAAGCCGAAGATAATGTTTGTAATTGAGTTGGATTTGTGTTAGACGATGTTCTAAAAAAAAAAAAAAAAAAAAAAAAAAGAAAAGGTAATCTAACTTTTTTTTTTTTGTTTCCAATAAATAGAGATTTTTTAAAAAAAAAATTACTTTTCAGTTTTGATGGAGACAGTGGGTAATCCAGTTTGATTATTCATAAAAGATGAAGCATCATCATCATCAATTTCGTCAGTGGTTTGTTGTTGTTGTTGTTGTTGCGATTGATGGGTAGTATGGGAAATACTTTCAGATAAAATGCTGTTAGTTTCATCTTCTTCATCAACCGTGTGGAGTTGATGACTAGCCGGTACAGAGGAGGGTGAAGTGGATGATGATTGTGTGAATGGTTGACATGGTTCATACTCGGTGAAAAAAGATGAATTTATAATAGTTGGTAATAACAATGGTGGTGTTTTTGGCATCATATAATTGAATGTTTGAATAGGAATTAGAGAAAGACTAAGAAGAAGAAAAAGAAAGAAACAAAAAAAAAAAAGAATTTTTTTTATTTTATTTTTGCATAAAGACAGAGTAATGACAGGTGCTATTTGAGCTTCCTTTTCCAGTAAGTCATATAAATATATATAAAAAGAGAGAGAGAGAGAGAGAGAAAGAGAGGGAGAGGGTATACGACACAAAAAAACAAAATATATAAAACACACAAATAAAGAATATATATATAGATATATATATATATATATAAAGATAACAATCTAACTAATCTTTCAATTCTAAAACTGAGAGATGATGGTCCATCAAAGAAGTGGTGGGTAAAGGTGGTGGTATTTCATGCGATTTCTCATGTTTTCGTAGCGATCGTAAATGATAATAAGCCTTGTCACAATTTGGATGTTGGCAGGAATAAGGTCGAATGTTGGTATGAATCTTGATATGAGTTGCCAATGAATCGGGACGGGAGAATCGTTTGCCACAACCTATTCATCACAACAAAAGTTAAGTATATATATTATCTAACTTTTTGTTTTTATCCACTTACCTTCTTCAGTACAAATATAAGGTCGTTCTCCGGTATGAGTTCTTAGATGATTGTGCATCTTGTGACGTTTGGTAAATGGTTTTTGATTTCTTGAACAATCTTTCCATCGACAGTAGTATAAAGGCTATATTGATAATATCAATGAATCAGTCTTCTCTCTTTCTTTATATATATATATATATATATATATATCTTTTTATTATAAACATTACCTTGCCACTTCCGATATGTAAAGTCTTGATATGTTCGATAAGATGATCTAAAATTGGGAACTCCAAACGACAATCTGCCCATTGACAAGTATGAGGTCCATCTGTTTCTTGTTGTTGTTGTTGACCGAGTTCATCAGGATCTGATTCATCATCCATCATGGGTACCAAAACAGGGGAAGTTGGAGCAGTATTTGTCGAAGCATGACTAGTAGCCATAGAATATAAATCATCATCCACTATTTGATGTTGCTGATGAATCTGTTGTTGTTGTTGTTGGGTTGATTGTTGTTGTTGATAACGTGGTGATGGTATGGCTGCTACTAATGGAGCTGCAGACGAAGGAGAAGATGTTTGATAAATAGGTTGGACCAAAAAGGAAGGATAAGGTGACATAGTTTGTTCACCTTCTTGAACCATCAGTTGTTGTTGTTGTTGTTGCTGTTGTTGCTGTTGTTGCTGTTGTTGTTGTTGCTGGTAACCTGGTTGTGCCAAAGTAGGATATTGATCCAAAGAAACCATCACTCTGTCCAATAATTGTTCATTTGATATACATTCAGCAGATAAAGGGCTTGTACAGCGGGAGGGACCACAGGATGAGGAGGATGGACCTGCATGATAAGCTGTATCAAGTTTTGTAAAATAATTGCTTGATACTTCCAATCTACCAAGGGAACGATGACGTCTTGCTCTCAACATTTTACGCATTTTTGCTTGCTGAGTCACATCTGGTTGTTGTTGTTGATGTTGTTGTGATTGTTGTTGTAATTGTTGTTGTAATTGTTGTTGCTGTTGTTGTTGCTGTTGTTGTTGCTGTTGTTGTTGCTGTTGTTGTTGCTGTTGTTGTTGTTGTTGTTGTTGTTGTTGTAGTTGTTGTTGATTTAACATCATATTAGTGTAGTTAGGGTCCGGTGCATTATAGACAGTGGAAACAGTATGACGACGAGGTAAAGAGCGACGAGTACTAATTGCTTTTTTAGATATTGGAGATGATGTTTTGATATTGTCTTGTATGATAGAATTGTATTGTGGCATAAAAGAATTGTTGGATGTAGAAGGTATGTCGGATAACATCATTTCTTGATAACTTGGAGAAGAATTATGATACCAAAGATCTGGTTGTTCATGTTGAGTAGTTGGGAAATAATCCATAGTACCAATATTATGATTATTATTATTATTATTGTTATTTTCATTACTTGTATTGATTGGAGGCCAAGATTGTATGACACCTGTGGGTAATGGAGTTGTAGGTACATGATAAGTAGAAGGAGGAGACCATAATTCTTCATCTTTGACTAAGGATGCTTGACTTTTGACAACAGGAGCAGGAGTGACTAAATTGGGAACGAGATCAAATTGATCTGATGATGTTGTATTTTGTTGTTGATGTTGTTGGGGACTTGTATTATTAGGGAAAAGAGTCAAGGATCCAAAAGTAGATTGTAAATCGATTGATTCTGATCCAAAATAAGTATCATCAAGTATCATATTGTCTACAGTTTCCTTTTTCCAAAAAAAATAAAAAAATAAAAAAAAAAATAAAAAATAAAAAAATAAAAAGGTTAAAATAAAGTGTCACTATTTTTTTTTATTATTTTTTATTTTGAAACTTACATAGTCAAGTATGCTGGGTCTATTTTGAACCACTACAGGGGTTACCATTGAATGAGAAGTATTGATATCCATCATAATATTGTTGTCCTTGTTCATGTAGTCCAAATGTTGCATATATGACTTGGTATATATAATAAAATAAAATAAAAAGAGAGAAAGGTATATAAATGGAGGATGTTTTTTTTATATATATAAGGTGTATTGAAAACGAAAGGTATATCTATATATAAAGAGGAAAAGTTAGTTAATATTGACAACAACAACAAAATAAAAAGTCATTTTATTTGAATTACCAAAATATAAATAAAATATATATATATATTTGTTAAAATAAGACAAAAAAAGAGTACATACAAAGGTGAAGGGGGGAAGGGGAATAATAAAAAGATATATATAAAAGAAAGAAAGAAAGAAAAAGTTGAATAAAAGACACCGAAATAAACATTTTTTTTTTTTTTGGGAAGCAGTCTTTTTTTCTTTTTTTTTGTGTCTCCAATAAATCATGACTTGTTAAAAAAAATTTCATTGACATTGAACTCAATAATAACTAAAATAAAATTTGTCTCTTTTCTCTCATTGGTTTAAAAAAAAAAATGATGATGATTTCAATATAATAATTTCATAGAGAAAATATTATTCAATCATCATAGGATTGAACAGAATGATCTTTTTTTTTTAATTCTTGGCTCTCTTGTCATACAATGAATATAGTCAACAGTTCTCTCTTCTTCCCGAAATTCCACTCTCCGCTACCGATGAAAAACGATATCCTTCTTTTCCCCTGATATATGAAACTATATACATCATCATCATCATTTGTTGTAATATTTGTTTTTCTTATATATATATATCATCATCCTCTTATTATAATCAAAATAATAACCAAAGTAATGGGAGATAATAATATGAAAAAAAAAACTATTCTCTCTTTTTTAATGACAACAAACATATCAGAACACCAACGTCGTACAAAGAACGCCACTGTAAACACCAATGAACAAACAATCCCATTTAACCTTGAAAAACTCTCTTTATGTTTTGAATTTTGTTTTAACCGCAAGGCACAATCTCATGCAGCATCATTGAATAACAATTCTGATAAATGTTAACAAGCCCATGACCTCTCTTTTTTTTTTTCTTTTTTCTTTTTTTTTTTTTGTTTTAAAATCGTTTGTTTTTTTTTTTTCTCAAACATCTATTAATATCTATTCATTCCCGACCTTTACCACTTTTAGATTATAAAATAATCTAATAAAAAAAATAATAATAAAAATAATAAAGTAAATATATATATACCAAATGAAAGGAGAAAAGAAAAAAAAAGTGCTACGCTTGAGAGAAGATCGAGCATTGACACCTTCCCCCGTTCCATTGCAGATCAATAGTTAATTCATGCCGATAGTGCGATTCTTATTGGATATGTTTCACTGAAGCCGGTTGGAGCACTTTTTTTTTTCTGATATGGAAACATGCACATGGTATACAAGATGAAGTCATTCTGATATATAAAACCCCGTTTGCTTGTGTCCATCAATCCATCTTTTGTTTTATCGTTATTTACTATCATTTATCATCATTTGCTATCCCACCATTCATCTGTACAACTCATTATCTAATCATCATGTATTACTATAACCATTAAACAATATTCCCCACATAAATCATCTCTCATAAAAACTTTTATGTAATAATAATATTAATATATAAAAAAAAAAAAGAATTTAAAAATTCTTATCTAACTTTTGATATAAACATGGCGTGATCTATTGTCACATTTTTCTTTCTCCACTTCACCCTTTCCTTCTCTCTCTCTCTTTTTTTTTTTTTTTTCTCTAACACGATATCTCAATTGAATCATGAAACCATTTGACTCCTTCAAGAAATCATTATCCGACAACAACCACTTTACATCATCATCATATCATCCTATCATCCATTCACCATTTGTAATGCGTTTATTCAAAATATAAAAAAAAAAAAAAAATACATAACTAAGACGGTAAAGAATTGGCTTCCTTGCACAAGGCGTAGAATTTTGAGTTTGTATCTTTTAGTAACGCTGTCGGGGTGTCCATTTCCGCAATCCTTCCTTCTTGAAGTACAATGATCTTGTCAGAATCCAAAATGGTACCAACCCGGTGAGCAATGGTTAAAATTGTACAATCCTTGAAATGAAGTCGAATTGTTTCTTGAATCAAAGCATCCGTTTCCACATCAATCTATAAAAAATACACAATTAAATGTATATATATTATTATTATGATACTGTTCGTACTTACAGCTGCAGTGGCCTCATCCAATACCAGAATACTTGTTGGTCTAAGTAACGCCCTAGCAAGACAGATCAATTGTCTTTGACCTACGGAAAAGTTTTCACCACCTTCCAAAACCAGACCATCCAATTGTCCTTCCATTGATCTGATAACATTGCCTAAATGAGATTGATCGAGAGCTTTCCAAAGTGCAGAATCATCCAGTAGACCCATGGGTTCTAAATTGTCTCTGACTGAACCGGCAAACAGCACAGGATCTTGAGGAATAATGGATAATCGTGATCGCAAGTCAAATAAGCCAAGTTTTGCAATCGATATGCCGTCAATAAGAATGGATCCTTGTACTGCTTCCAAAATTCGAAAGAGGGATAATGTCAACGAACTCTTCCCACCACCCGTACGACCACAAATGCCAATTTTCTCGCCACCATTGATTGTAAATGATATATCTTGTAAACATAGAGTAAGTCCAGGGCGATACCTTGTTGAGAAATCTTGGAAAATCACTTGCCCCTTGTCTGGCCAATCAGAAGATGGAAGAATACGAGGTTGTTCAGCACCATTATATTTTTCACTAGGTAGTTCGGCATATTCCTTGATTCGCTCCACAGAAATAATATTGATTTCAAATCTACAATATAATCCAATCACCCAAGTCAATGATGAAGTTACATTGAGTGCATATGATACAGATAATCCAACAAGCCCAGGATCAACCGCGGTAGCTCCCATCACCTTGAGTATACTTTTCATTAAAGACACTATCCAGTCATTTGTTGTGAGTAATGATGATGATGATGTTGATTCCAAAGTCGATGATGTTTGATAAAGAACTCCCAAAACTGAAAGAATAGCTGCCGAGAAAATAACTACAGAACCCAATAATTCCAATCGCAAAGCTAACCAACGGTTACATGCCATAGAAGGATAGTATGCCTTTTGATTTGAATCCAGTTTCCATTCATTTTGAGAGATAAATCGTTGTTGCTGTTCAAATGATCGAATAACTGCCACACCGTTGATGGTTTCTTGAAAATGGGAATAAATAGGACTTTTACCAACAGAATCCAGTCGCCTGATTTCACGAGATGCTGCCAGATAGTATTTCTGTATAGTGCGATAACACCAAAAGAGAGGAATCAGAATAACTAAAAACAAGGGAGTAGAGAATCCAATCACACACATAATAGCCACAACAACTGGGAAAACACGGAAGAATGTACCAAAAATACGAGGCAAAATTTCATCTACGGTATGTTGATCTTTGGCGAATCGGTTGAGAATACGCCCCAATGGTGTTGTATCAAAAAAAGACATAGGTGAATGTACCACAGCATCTAACATTCGAAAGTGAAGAAGCTTTGCTGATCGTATCGCACAGTAGGTACGCGTAATCAAAGTTTGCATCATCGCGAAAAAGGAAGCAGACCAACCAATGAGAGTATAAATTGCCAAGTACATCCACATATTTTGAGTTGTTCCATTTTGATCATTGCTAGCTGCCCAATTTTTAAGCCAAACGTTTGCACCAACTTGTAGACCTTGAGAAGTAGCTTGTAATATAATAGCCAAAATAACAGCCCACCAGGAACACGTATTAATATAAGTCTTGTATACTGCTCTATCCACACTACCCTTAGAAGATTCTTCAATCGTCATTAGATTCCCGGCAGCTACAATCCCATTCCCGTTTGATGTGGATGTCGCCTCCGTAGTAGATTTTCCCCGGCTGTTTGTATTGGTAGGAGTTGATTCATTTTTCCAATCCGTTTCATCCAAAGATGCCCTTCGTAAACTGCGTGTAGATGATTCATTGCTGTTGCTACTGCTGCTGCTGCTGCTACTAGGTTGATCAAGTTCCGTGCCGATTGATATATGAGCCTCATCCAGATCGAAATTATTTCCATCCATATTATCAGTTGCACTATCTGTTGTATGGTTACTGAATTCCATCAGCAATGAATATAGTTCCGTTTGTTCATCCATTAGTTTGTTATAGGTATCGTTCAAAATAATATTTCCGTCACGAAGCATGACAATTTTATCGACCAAGGGCAGATGAGTGATAGCATGAGTCACCAAAATTCGACACTTGTTCTTGAGTAATCCATGTGGTCCAATTACTTTGTCAAATATATGTTTTCCAACGTGTGCATCCACAGCACTGAGAGGATCGTCTAGTAGGTAAATATCAGCACGAGCATACAAAGCTCGAGCCAGAGAAATCCGAGCCTTTTGTCCACCTATATAGTTATATAATTAATAAAAAAAAAAAAGGAATCAGCACGAATAACAATAAATCAATAGACCATTTATTAATGTTTTACCTGATAGGTTGATACCACGTTCTCCAATTTCAGTTTGATCACCATCAGACAATATAAGTAAGTCACTATGTAAGCAACAGGCATCCAATACTTGTTCGTAAAACTGAGGATCAAATCGATGTCCAAAAATAATGTTTCGCCTAACAGTATCATTCATAATCCAAGGTTGTTGAGAGGCGTAGGCGACACTACCACGTAGAGTAACGGTACCTTGAGTCTTGATGATATCCCCCAAAAGAGCACTAATCAATGAACTTTTTCCTGAGCCCACTCGACCAACAACAGCTACTAATTCCCCTTTTTTGGCTTGAAAGTTGATGTCATTCAATATAGATGAAGATGTTGAAGATAAAGGAGTCCATTGGAAAAAGCCATGATTTATATCGACCAGAGGTGTTTCCAGAGTCCATCCAGGTATTTTTCGATAATCTTCATGTTGAACAGCTTCAGGATCCATTTCGTTTGATGTTAAATAAGATTCAATACGGCGTAATGAGACATGTGCTTCGATAATATTGGAGATCAAGTCAGGTCCCATGGCAAGGGGAAACTGTAGCATTCCGAAAAGAGATATCGCCACAAATACCACATCGCTTGTTAGAGGCTGAGATGAATAGATATAAACACCAAACGTGACAACAGTAACAATAAAAGGTACAGAAGCCCAAATAAAGCTTTGAATTGCAGTCATTCTTCCAATCTTCTTTAATGTTGCTAGTTCCAGTTTGTTTCTTATATATTCAATCTTGTCCATAAATGGTTTTTCCCAGGCATAAAGTTTGATTACTTTGATTCCATTGAGAATTTCATTCTAAAATACAAATATATAAAAAGATGATGGTTATTATATGTACAAATAAAATAATGATGTCCATTTTTTTTTTATTTGACTTACTATTAACTTTATACGTTTGTCCTTATTTCCCATTTGAATCTTTTGGTATCGACGCATAACCCTGCCAATAACGATATTGATAGGAATCGAAAGAACAAGGATGAATACACCAGCCCAGATAGAAGGACCCATAGTTTGATGTAAAAAGTAAAGAGACAAAAAGATTTGCAACGGGGAACTCCATACTAAAAGTATATAAAAGAAGTGTAACGAGTTAATACAAATGCAACTCTCTATATAGACAAACATGTATACAGATATATATATATATATATATATATTACCATGATGTAGATTGGGAAATAAGTCCATAATCCTTGTTGTATCGACAGCCATATGGTTCACAATCTAGATATATATATATAATCAGTTTACGTTTAGCTCCTTTGAAATTATTACCATGTTTGTTACTTACTTCACCAACTGTAGATTCTTGACGACTTTCATTGCTGAGAACCAACGTCTTGCGATAGATAGCTGTTACCAATACAGATCTTACTTTCATACTTGTAGAAAAACATAGATGGAAGTATTGATGAAGGCAGATAGTTTGAATTAACGAAGAAAGAAACATGCCAACTATATAAAATTGTAATATATATTCAATGAGGAATCATTCGAATATATCTAGCATTTTTTTGATCCCTTTTGTTTTATTTACCTGAAATGAGAATACCTTGATATCCAGGTTGTGGATGATCTGTAAGATAACTTCCAACCCAAAGAATTAAATACTTCAAGAATAATGGTTGCACATATTGTAAAATATCTTTCACCAGTTTCAGTATCTATTTCAAAAAAAAAAAAAAAAAAAATGAATAAAAGATATGTACATTTTATCATCATTAAAATTCTTTCTTCCCGACTTTTTTTTTTTAATTCTTACTCCAGCGAGAACATATCGTCTACCACTTATATAAACCAATGTGCGCGTCAAAGAAGGACTATGTAAATAAAAGCAAAAGAAGTGAGAATTTAATTCATATAATCTTATTTATTCAGCATTATTACTTACTTTTTACGTTTCTTTTCCAATTCCCAAAAACTTTCAAATTGCTTGCTGAGGACATCAGAGTAATCATCATAACGTAGAGGCCTATATAACAGATGAAATGTAAAGGTTTATGTTCGTATATTCACTCACTACTCAAATCAAGCTCCTCAATTTAAAGATATGTGTACTACCATATAATTTGTTGACTTACCATAAATCTTCTTGTTTTAAAGGCGCGTGATATCCTTTTTGAATCAACGGGGTCATCCATGCAAAGGTCAATCGACTAAAAATGTTGCTATTTTCTTCAGGATTCATACTGCTATCGTCCTATTATCAATAAATAAAAAATAAAAAAAAGCTGTCAATATAGTTGATTTTAATCATTTTTAACATATTACTTACTTCATCCAAAGATATATATTGTCTTTTCGGGCGTTTGATATTTTCCAGAATAAATATGGTCATTGTCAATAGAAAAGTAACACCATAAAGTACTATTGGCATACTGTCGTTACCTATAGCTAGCAAGCTTCGCAATTTGATCCCATCAATAATCAAAGCAAACAACCAATAAAATAATAACACTGCCGATTGAATACGATTTCGAGTATATTCCAAATGATGAAGGTGTATCAGAAAGACCTATAGAAGTCTCAACGTTAATAAGTAAACTAATTTTCCAGTAAAAACATACCATAGAATTAACTTACAATGACAATAGTTCCATTGACCAGATTGGTTAACCATTGTACATTAAAACCAGCTTGAGAGTATTCTAAGGCTAACGATATCATATTAGTAAGTAGCAGTAGCAATAACACGGTCTAATCATTTGATAAATAAATATTATTAGAAAAAAAACCGTATTTCCAGCACGAGAAGGAATATTCCTTTTTTTTTTTTTTTTTTACCATCTTTGAGAAGTATAGCCAGTTTTGAGTCATGATAGATGGCAATGACTCTCGTTTCTGTAAAATAGAATACCGTATGGATCCAAACAGGACCAAGTAAATCGTAGGAATGCTGACCAAAACTCTATATATAAACAAAGAATAACGTCGTTGTTAGCTACGTATCGAAAGAATAAAGAAAAAGAAACTTTTTATATAAGTTTACATGTCTTCAAAACAATTAGTAAAGTCAAGTTCACGCGTAGTAGAGAATACACCCTATGATAAGAACAAAAAAAAAAAAAAAAAAAAGAATAGTGATGAGAGCATTGTTTTTTTTTCATATAAGTTGAATGGAAGCTAACAAAAATAAATATTACCCATCCCTCCGAATCGTGACATAATGGTAAATATGCCATGAGATAGCAATATCAATAATAAAGAAGAAGAAGAAGAAAAAGAAGTAGAAAAAAAAATTAACTTTTTTAATATGTCTCGAAAAAAGGATTAACACCGCTTGATATGCCTTTGCTTTAGCCGCTCTTCCCCGCCCGCCGGTGTTCCCCCCTCTCTAAAATTAGCATATGATTGGGTATGAAATTCTGATTGTATACCTAATGATAGCAGAAAGAAAGAAAAAAAAAAGAAAAAGATGAATCCCATATCTTCGATTGGTTGATATCTTGGTATCTATTCTTGAATAATTGGTAATAGACTAAACTTTTTTTTCGAATAGTCTTTTATTCAATTGTTTCATACATATATTTTATTCAACAAAATTATAATATCTCTATAAAATCTAATCTAAATCTACGTCATACATCTCTAGTCATTGTATCAATGATCTGTATTCATCATCCATTGTTTCAAAACATACGCTGATCCACGTAACATCCATTCGAATATATGCAGATAGGGTTAATCGATAACATTGATTCAAAAAATAAAAGGATGCATCGTTAAAATATACGTATGTTTTCAGAGTTTCTTGTCGGATCATGAGAAAATCCTTTTCGTGATGTTATTAAACAAAATATCGTACTTTCCCAAAATGGATGTCGCATTACCACTTTTTTAGATATCGCTTTAGAGATGTCGGTAGAGGTGATTGATAATGGAATGATGGGTCGATGTTGGTGATGATGATGGAAAAACAAAAAAAAAAAAAAATACTGCGACTTTATTTGAAAAGTATATTAAAAAAGAAACGAAGTTCTTTATTGATATAATGGATCATCATTAGAGTGTTGATTCATCATGATGATTGGCCTGAAAGTAGTGGTTTTCAAAGTCCGTTTTTCTTTCATATTTTTTTTTTGATTTACTTTCTCTTTCTTTCTTTCTCTTCTTTTCTTTTCTTTGTATTGACTTTTAGTATATCAATTAGTAGTCTTTATTATTATACTTTTATTCAATAAAATTCTTATTTTTATTCCAACTACTTTGTTACATGTTAATGTAATTAATTCTTTTTGATGTATTATTATATTTTGGATACATTCTTTTTATTTCACATATATTTTTATAGATACGACTAGACGTTGGTACGTGATAGGATAATAGGATGTCATGAATGGATGACGGCATGAATAGATGATGATCGATTCTTTACATTATACAAAAGCGCTGAAATATAGTTTTTTTTTTTTTTAAATCATTTACTCGGGTTCTTATCTTTTGAAATCATCACTGAGACATGCAACCGATTGATCTTTTTTCCCATAGATGACAAAAGCAAATTTGCATAATAGTTTTTTTTTTTTAATTACTGAAACATGCAATCAATTGATCTTTTTTCCCATAGATGACAGATGCAAATTTGCATAATAGTTCTTTTTTCTTTTTTAAATCATTTACTCGGGTCCTTATCTTTTTTTCATTACTGAAACATGCAATTGATCATTCCCTTTTCCCATAGATGATAAAAGAAAATTTGCATAATAGTTCCTTTTTTTTTCTTTTTGAAACATGCAATCAATTGATTTTTTTCCCATAGATGACATCCAAATTTGCATAATAGTTCCTTTTTTCTTTTTGAAACCATTTACTCGGGTCCTTATCTTTTTTTTTTTTCATTACTGAAACATGCAATCGATCGATCTCTTTTCTCATAGATGACATCAAAGTTTGCATAATAGTTTTTTTTTTTAATTACTGAAACATGCAATCGATCGATCTCTTTTCTCATAGATGACATTAAAGTTTGCATAATAGTTCCTTTTTTTCTTTTTGAAGCATACAATCGATCGATCTTTTTTCCCATAGACATCAAAATTTGCATAATAGTTCCTTTTTTCTTTTTGAAACCATTTACTCGGGTCCTTTTGATTTCATAGCTAAAAAAGCTCATAATTACAGGGGTGATTTGTCTTTTTTTCTTTTACAGGGGTTTGTTTTATTATAAAAGAACGTCCTTTTTTACTTCATCAAATTCTTTTTTTCTTTTCTTTTTTTTTCTTTGGACTTGCCTGTCCTCTTTTGGGCTTGCCTGTCCCTTCCTTTGTCATCTTTTTCCGTGTCCTTTCCCTTTGGCCAATCTTCTTTTCCGCCTGTCCTCCCTTGTGGCCTGTTTCTTGGTTTGACCTCGGTCGTTATTTGCTCAGGCGTGGTTGGGGTCGCCTTCTCTTTTGGGCCTGTCATCTTTTCCGTCTGTCCTCCTTTCTGGCCTCTCTTCTTCTCCGCTCTTTTCCCCTCTGGGTTGACCTCGGTCGTTATTTGCCTAGGCGTGGTTGGGGTCGCCCATTTTTTCTTTAAAAAAAAAAATGTTGTTAACACAACGCTTTCCGGGATGGTTATCGCCATCCTACTTTCACTGTAGTGAGAAATTGCTGCAGTGATCTCGATACATGTTTAGGCGTTCGCGCTTAAATTGTAAGTGAATAAAAAGATATCATCTGGATAAATGTTACTCATTTTTTTCTTCCTTCTTTTTTTTTATATGCAAACTTGGTGAACTCAATTGGTGGATTTCTTTTTTTTTTTTTTTTTGATTGCTCTTTTTTTTTTCATGATATCTATTTTCTTATATTCTCTATTTGATTATGCGACAATTATATTTTTTTTCTTCTGTCATTTATTTTCTATTCTTACGATATTTTATTTCCTATTTTTGCGACATCTTATTCTTTGAATTCCGTCATTTATTATTGAATAAAGTGTACGTATGTTCGACCCAATCTATTATCCAAAAGTACGGTATATTCCATATATTGCATCATCACTTTCTATGACTATTCAACAATCTCCACGTCTATAAAAAAGATGGGTAAATGAATTAGCTACACCATTGTGGAATATTGATTACCTTTCATAAAGATAATGAGCACAATGTAAAAATATTGTTCGTCACGTCTTCATTTTTTCCGCGATTTAAAATAAATATTTACCTTGTTGAATAGTAATCTATCAAGTCGACTTCTTTTTTTCGTCGACGTACAAATAGTGTTTATCTAGAAAAAGTATGCTATCAGGTATTACTAGAATGAATATAAAGAAGAAGACAGAAAAAGCATGTATGAGTTCATTTTCGAGACAGATTCCTATCTATTGATAAAGTAAATAAAAAAAAAAAAAAAAAGAGCCGACAACAATACCTTCTAATGTAACTACTGTTACAATCCAATCAAGACGTCAATAATACTCCAAGCTGGTGAAGGAATTGTTGCTTCAACTATACAGTGATTTGTAGACTTTCGTGTAATTTGAATGTTTAATGTATTTCATATTGAAATATTGAATATTTGAATATGCATTTTATATGTACTTCAAACAAAGACAAAGAAGAAGAAAAGAAAGAAGAAAAAAAAAAGGGGAGGTGAAACAGACAGCAGGAACCAAAAAAAAAAAAAAAAAAAAAAATCGGTCTTTCAAAAAGAGTCAACAGCGAATCAGATTTTTCACAGAAAGGGGGGAACAACCGTGAGATATCCAGAGATCGAACCTCTTTGCCAACATACAGTATAATGAAAAAAACCGAATATCTCGATGAATACAAATCATCACGTAATGATACTTATATAAATCAATTGCTAATTGATTGCTCTATATATTACAAATAATATATCTACGTAAAATAAGAGAAAATTGTTGCCAAATTTAACGATTTGATTCATAGTGTGACTGCCAGTCTAACTGTCAGTTCTGCTCGCTTAGCTCAGTTGGTTAGAGCGTGGTGCTAATAACGCCAAGGTCACAGGTTCGACCCCTGTAGTGAGCATTCATTTTTGCTATTTTCATCTGTATTATCGGCCTTTGGAACACATCCAATCAAATACCAGGAGTTAAGTATTATGTTAAGAATTTTTTTGTTGAGTGGATGATTGATTTATGATGTGTTAAGTGATTTTTTTGTTGTTAAGGCCACAACTGAAAAAGTAAAACGGATGATTGAAAGATAATAAGTTAAATAGTGAGCAGCAGTACTTGATTTCTGTCGTATCAGCGTATTTCGTACCTGTAATATAAGCGAATAATAAAAAATAAAAATAAAAAAAAAAGAATGCATTCATACATATAATACATCTGTAAATGACCCTATTGATATGTAATAAAAATAGTTGTAATAAAATAAAAACTTTATTGAATTAAAAAAAAAAGTATGTAAACTAACGACTACACTAATGTATATAATACAATCATAAAAAAAAAAAGTCAATGGAAGAGAAAAAGAAAGGAAAAAGAAAAAATGAAAAATAAATGTACGCGTATTAAAAATAAAAAAAAAAAGGGGGGGGACTTTGAAATTTATTCTACTCTTAATCTATTATTCATGAATATCGTACAAACTAATCAGATATACCAACAAAGAGTATACATGGTATTTAATATATATGATGATTATAATTTTATTTTCAAAACATACATAAAAGAGATATAAATTTTTCAAGTGTAGATAATCAACTTTTTATTTTTATTTTTAAATAAACTAAGAAGAATCTCACTGACTTGTTACTAGTCTCACATTTTTTATTTTATTTTATTTTATCTACACACAACCTAACAGGTATATAAAAAAAAGTTCATTAGATTATCGTGACGCTGGATGACAATGTCGGTAACGGAGAGTTAAAGTGAGAAGAAGAAATTTTTATTTCTTGACATATTTTTTTTTTGTTCTCTTATCTTGATGGTGATTAACAAAAAGGATGAATGATATTATTAATATAATAATATCTTTGATATTGGGTAGTATTGAGCACAAGTTCTTTTGTAAAAATAACAAAAATGAAGTAAAGGGAAAAAAAAAAGTCCAAAAAAGGAAATGGATGTAGTAATGGATGACTTGGATGATGATCAAATATAATGAAATCAAATAAAATAATGCAACAATAGCTTGATGATTGTTATAAAATAAAATGAATAAATCTAAAGGGTTTATTATCGAGTGATGATTACTAGTTTTATGGTGGTAATAAAAAATAAAAGACGTTTTATACTGTATATGCGTATCAATCATTATTCATGCTTTATCATGCAATCATCATCACACTGCAATCTCTCATCGTAATACTCTAACCAATCATCACACTACTGTCATCATCCTATGATTCCAACCAAATATCATTTACTCCAAGGTCGCATTGGTAATCCTACTATTACTAAATGTCACAAATTCAAATTCCGGTCTTTCAATAAAGTGTGTCAAAAGTGAGACTAGATTCTTTCTCTCTTTTTCTTCTTTTGACTTATTTTTCACATACACAATATCAAAAAGATAAAAAGAACAATGATAACTAACTTACTTTTTATCTTCTTTGCTCTTCAAAGGTTCATACTACATTCTTCTTTTGTTAATGGTAAGACACTCTACTTTCTTTTTTTTTTCTTTTTTTTTTTTTCTTTTTTTTTACATGCTCTGTTTAATTGGGTCAACATACTTACTTCTGTTGAATGACTTTCCTTTCTCTCATTTTCTTATTTCCTATCCTTCTCCACAACTATTACTAATAATTAGTTATTTATTATTTTTACGTGAATAGGTTACAACCATCAAGTATACTGTTGGAATATCTGAATGGATGCTCTCTCTTGGAAATCAATTTGATAAAGGCATCTTGGATGAATGGATGTACCAACAAAAGATTGGCTGAAGTGGGTTTACAACAGGATCGATGCAATATACAACTGGATGGACTCTATTGAAAAGAAAAGGGAAAAGTCAATCGTGCAGAAGTGTATCTTCTTGATCTTTCTCTCATTCTGGTTTAAATCATGGTGATCCTTTTACTTAGTTATCCATTCTATTTATCATCTTCTTTAATAAAAAATCATATTTATTACCACTAGTGACTATGATGACATTATCGTCGTCTTCGATATTATCAAATCATTATCACCTTTCAAATAGTTATCATCCATTCTTATCGGCAATCATCGTTCATGCAATATCAACTTGTACCTGGTTCCTTTAATAAATTAAATCACAGATGAATCAAGCATGAAAAAACAAGCTAGGAGATTCTCTCTAAATAAGAGGATGAAAACAAACCGAAAAATGAAAAAACGTATTATAGAACATTCTTTTTTCCATATATATTTTAACCTTTTTTCCATCTTTTTACCAATACATGCAACATAGTGTTCCTTCTGGTCTATTTCTCTAATTCTTATTTTTTTGGCACGTCGTTTTTGTCTATGCGGACTTAGGCATGAATTTTTTTTTTGTTTCCTCATAACTTTTTTTCTTTTTCTTTCTCTTTCCGTTTCTCTTTTCCCACCTTTTTTTTTTTTTTAAATCCTTTTACGCGTGTCTCCATATTGGCTAATGATAAGTAACCTTAAAATAAAATAACGTCTACCAATAGTATAACATATCATCTAATGTAACATGACATAACATTAAATAAATAAAAACCAATGCAATTACTTTCATCCTTTTTTTATAGTTGACTTTTTCAAGATCCTTTTTCTTTTTTCTTGTTTGGAACAATGGTGCCCTTTTCTTCAAGTACTCTTTTCTTCTTGATTGGATAATCTCTCATTGCGGTGATGTTATCTTCAAGTTTGTTTTTTTTTGGTTGGACTCTCTCCCGTTATGATGGTCTATTCTTCAAGTTACTATTGGTTTACTATTGGTTTGCTTGCGGTTTACTGTTAGTTTACTTGTGGTTTACTATTAGTTTACTTGTGGTTTACTATTAGGTTACTTTTGGTTTACTTTTCTTGGTTGATCTCTTTCTTTTTTTCTTTTCGAAATCTCCTTCCCGTTGCGATGATGTTTTCTTCAAGGTCCTTTTTTCTTCTTCTCTCGGTTGGACTCTCTATTATTGTCGTGGTCTTCAAGATCTCCTTTTTCCTCCGTTGGACGAACTCTCTCATTGTGATGGTGTTTGCTTGTTGCCTGGACACTCTCCCTCACTATGGTGGTATTTTCTTCAAGATTCTTTATTCTTTGTTAGTTTCTCTTTCCCTTTATGGTGATTTTTTTTTCAAGATCTTTTTTTTTTTTCCTGGTTGGACTCTGTTTATGGTGGTTATTGCTTCCTGAACCCTTTTTTCCCTTGGTTACATACAGTCTCTCCCATTATGGTGGTATCTCCTTCAAGTTCTCTCTTTCCTCTTGGTTGGCCCTACTCTCGTCCCTTTCTGTCATCTATCTCCCATTGTTATCATTTTTTTTTTTTTTTTTTTTTGGTTCAACTCTCTCGTTATGGTGGTTTTTCTTGATTGGACCCTCACTCTCTCTATCACTATGATGGAGTTTTTAGGTAATGTTGTATAGAAAAAAGGAAAAAAAGGGGTGTGTCAAAAAATACGCGATATAATCACTTGCTTTTTTTTTTCCCTCTGGAATTGCTCCCTGGCTTTACATGGTTATGGTTCTTCTGATACGTTGACTTGCGCTTAAATCATGGTAAGGCGTAGAAAAAGAAAGCAAAAATAGGAAAGGCAATGGGCAACTAATCGTTTGATATTTGTCTCTTTATGCAGTGCAACAGTATTAACCGAACGCGAGTGGGTGGAACGATAGATGATTGGACTTGACGGCGAATGCAAAGTCGATTGTGTAGAAGTACTTTGGAATGGCCTTATTTCTTACTTCAAAATCTCTTTTCTACCTGGACGCTCTCTCACGCTTTCCCCCATCCGGCTCTCATTATATTGATGATTTCTTCTATATCTCTTTCCTTGATGATCTCTCTTCACAATACAGTATATCTATCTCATATCTTACGTTTTTATCAATGTTACTTTTTTTTTAAAAAATAAAGCAAAAGGATTATCCCCCCCTCTTATGATGGAATCTCTTTGGCAATGCTATGATTGTATGAATGGATGAACGGATTGTTGGATGATTGTGCGGATGTATAATTGGATGAATGGATGATTGTGTGGATGGTTGATTGGGTGAATGGCTGATTGTGTGGATGGATGATCGGGTGAGTTGATCGTTGGGTGATTTGATTACATATCTTAAGAAGTGGAATTGCGTCAAGGCACCAACAAAAAAAAAAAAAAAAAAAAAAGGAAAGACAAAGAAAAGAAAGGACATTCATTTTGGCAAAATCAGAAATTTTATTTTATAACATATGACAACACGACTAAACCTTTTTTTTTTTTTTTGTTAAAACAAGATCACATCATCGACGCATGGCGATTATTTTCTCCAGGTGAAACGAACCGAAGGTTATCACGATGATTGTTGTCTTTTACACCACCAATGTGATCGACTTGATTTTTTTCTGACGAGTAGGTTGAACCATGAAAAACGAAACAAACTAATTGATGAACAGCAACAAGCCTCGACTTTCCTGTGTCTATGTCGGTCATTTTACAATAGATGTATCCTTCTTTAAGTCTTGATGTGCCACAAATTTGATGATTGTCTGTTCTTCTATCTTGTACCGTCCCGTACTGGCTCACAAAATACCCGGTAAAATTTTTGCCAGGCACCTTTCTTCCAATTGGCAAGAAATACTCCTTTAGACGTAACGGTTGTGGAGTAACTGGTTTGGTAAGATTCTTTCTTGAGTTCTGGGTGTTCATGTCAAGAACAAGACAGGAGAAATGGTATAATATCAGTAAACAGACAGACAGACAAGACAGAAGTAACTATATATATGCTTACGAGAATATATTAGTCGTTTGATGAGAATATTGAAAACAATGTAAAAGTAATTGTTGACCAAAGATAACAGATAGTTCCTTTGTTGTAGAAATAAAATAACGTATTTATATTTAAACCAAATAAGGAGAGACTAACTAATGTATCATTGCTGTAATGAAGGAGAACAAAAGAGATAAGAAAAATAGGAAGGAAAAAAGAAGAAGAGAAAGAAAAAGAGAAGGTGAGAAAAAACAAAGAAAAAAAGGAGAAAAGTAAATAAATAAAATAATAATAATGTAACTCAGACACAGGCATGATTTTTTATTTTTTTATTGACTAGTTTCCTTGACAATGATATCCTTGACAGTTCACTGTAAAAGTCCCAAGAAGCAAACATGTTGTTGTCACTAAAAACTATTCGAAATTCGTTATTTTCGTTGAAAGTTCTGAAAGTATCCACCATGATTTCTGATATCGGTACATAATCTGTTCTTGATTTAAGATTCAAACAATAGAAGGGAACTTGTTTGTCGTATGAGCGTATTTCGTATCAATAATGTATGGGTAGAATAAAAAGAATGCATTTAAACATAAAAAATACATCTTGAAGATGAAATCAACTATGTCAACTAACAAAGTGGTTGTAACAAAAATAAAAAAAATCTTTTTTGTTGAATAAAAGTATATAAACTAATTCAATGGAAAAGAATTGACTTTTTTATTATTGATTACAGTAACATAATCATGATAATGATGATATATTAGAATAAACGCTTTCAAGTGAATGTCTTTATCACTTATTTGATATTCCTTGTATTCATTGAACTTTGAATAACTACAGCATAATAAAGAAAGATTACAAAAGAAAAAGGAATATCAAGCATATAGGTTAAATCAATTTGAGCAACTTTTTTATTAATATGATGGAACATCAATCACATTCATATAGAATAATAAATCAGTTTAAATATGATAAATTGATTACCTGATAATAACAAAATAATAAAGTAATGAATATAAATTATGAAAAGCGGTAGTTGAACATCCAAAAAAGGAAAGGCATAATTCATGAGGTTATATAAAATAGACCTCACTTTTTTTTATTTTCTCACACTTTCTTCTTCTTCCTCTTCTTCTTCTTTATCACTACTGTTATAAACTTCTTTTTTTTTATTTTGTATAAAAAGTAAGTAAAGGTATAATAAAAGGGACTTTATATACTTGTTAACTAAACTCTCTCTCTCTTTTTTTTTTATCTTGTTATAGAAATACCATCTCTTGACTCTTGTTTACAAACTGAATCTTCAATATATGTTCAATAGATCATGAAAATATAAAAATGAGACTATAACTATCAAAGGTACTACTATAATTCCAAAAGAGAAAAAAAGAAATAGTAAAATAGTAAGTGATATAGGTATGGCTGCGGTTCTCATTCTTTCCTTTTTCTTCTTCTCAGTAGTATTCCAGTATAATGTGTCAATGGAAAGGCTATTGAATATATCTATCAATTATGGTTATTAAACACAAACAAAACAAAATCAAGGATATTATATTTGAAGGTAAGACCTAAAATACGATAATGAAGGATTTGTCAATCATTAATATCATCTTTTCTTTTCTTTTTTTTTTTTCTGTTGATGGGTAGTGTCACAAATACAAGTTTAGCTGCTTATATATTACTCTATTCTCCATAAAGGCATCCTTGTTATCAAGATCGTTTGAATTCTCATCAGTTGGTTATCCTCGTGGAAATTGATATCGTTATCATTACTATCGCCGTCACCCATTAAATATTATTGGTGTAAGTTCCAACTGCAGTGGAATATATATTACTCACATCAGCCATCAACATTTATTTATTAAATAGATAGGTTGTTATGATACATCGTCCATCAGTCTTATTATGTTACTATTATTCATTGTTATGATCATTTTGAAGTATGGTCAATTACTGTATTCAAAGTAAGTTATAAAAAAAATGAAAAAGAATATTTACAAAATGATTCTCATTCTCTTTTTCTTCTTTCTTCTTTCTTTTTTGTTGCTTTGATGCAACATTATCCTATATATACGGATCACAGAACCAAAGGAAAGCTGGATACATAAAAAGAATCAATAGCTAATGTAACTATATTATTAACAACAAACTGGAAAGGAAAATCAATTTGTGTACAAATAGATGACATTTTTTCTATAGTTTCTTTTATTGATAGTTTTAGTCTTATTATATTATATTCTTATTCTTCTTTAATAAAGTTTATCTTTATATCATCATCATCTTATTATTATTATTATTATTATTATTATTTATTCATCTATTCAACCTTATTAAAATCATAAGTGTTTTCCATAAATGGTATAACTTCAAAGTCCGGTCTCAATGTGGGGTGTGTTGGATCAAAAAAAGTTGGACCAAAGCTCTGACAAAAGAAAAATTTGGCGCACTTTCACTTTTTTTTTTTCCTTTTGCTTTTACTTTACTTTTTCTTAACCAATGAGTCTTTGAACATTGTAAGTTACCATTATACATTATTTTACTAATCTATATTATAAAGTCACTCTTTATATATATTATACTCACTCTATACTTTACTATATACTTACTCTAACTTATTCTTTCTTTCTTTTTTTTTCTTTCTTCTTCTTCCTTAGTCTTTCGTATTATGAACTAATCTATTTTTTTTTTTTTTTTTTTTTTTTTTTTTACTCTTTCTGTGAACATATAGTAGATAGATATATGAAGAAATATACAATAAGGATTAGCTGAATATTGGATAAAAGAATAGCAAGTTAAGGAAAAGTATCCAACTCTTTATCATTGGTTTATTTAATAGTTTAGTCGTTTAGTTATAGTGTTTTGTATTATATTCTCATTTAAATAAAATCATATTTTTATTATCATTTGTTTATTATATTGTAATTTCACTATTATTTATCTATTTTTCCTTGATCATCATCATTATCAAAAGGAGTAATGAGAAAGTATAGTATGATTATCATTTTTGTTTCACTAAATAATAATAATAATGATAATAATAATAATAAAAGACTGTTGTAAAAACACCATATACACATCAGTATCTTGTTTCATGATAAATATATATATATATATATTGAAAAATTAGTATTAGTATCGACTTTACGAGAAGTCAATATCGTCAGTATTCCATCGTTAAGAAAAAATCATAGTTTTATTGACTAAAAATTAATATCTGATCAATATTGGTCGATACTAGTATTGATCACGTATCGAGTTTTGTTTGTTGATTTTTCAATATATGTATTGATGTATGTTAATAATGATCTTTCAATATATATATTTTTTAACTTACAATGTTCAAAGTGTCATTGGTTAAAAAAAAAAGTACAAAAAAGTAAAAGCAAAAAAAAAAAAAGAGAGAGCGCCCCCCTTTTTTTTTCTTGTCAGAGCTTGGTCCAACTTTTTTTTTTTTTTTTTTTTTTTAGTTCTAGATGATTTAATAGATACTTGAATCCATTTGATATCTTGGTTAGGTTTTACTTTTGAACTGACTAGATTTTGAATCAACTTGATCTTTTATGATTTTCTCTTGGAGTTAGGTCTTGATCAATCCTGCTTTAACCGTAAATAATAAACAATGAACCTCATCGCTAATTTCAGCCTATCACGATCAAGTATTGGCAATTTGGTATTACGAGTCTACTCACTTTCTTCGACGACTACAATCATGCATGAACGGAAACGAAACACTCTGGTGGAAAGAGAAATATGCCTACCTGGGACAATCGGCAATTTGCGTTTTACTGTTATAGCAAGATTCTTCTATATAGTTATGGTTACATTGGTTTATATTTTTATATTCACTTTCTTTTTTTATTACTTTGGAACAAAATAAAGAACTGCCAAATGCGCAATTCTATTTTTTTTTTTGGGGTAATGAATTGGATGATAAGAGATGGATGATAAGTGATGGATGATGATTGTGATATTGGTGTAGATAGTGATAAAAAAATAAAAAATAAAAAATAAAAAATAAAAAATAAAAAAGAGACGAGAACAAGTCTGTGAGATTTCCTTTTATTGAAAAAAAAAGATCGGGTTGAGACTCATAAGCATTTTCCTACTATGGGTGTAGATAGGTATTTTTAAAATTAAAATAGACAGTGAGGTTCCCTTTATAGTCCTATTTGGAAATAAAAATTAAAAAGATCTACACTTGAACAGACATGGACTTTTTGGCTGGGACAAGAAAAAGCAAAAAAAAAAAAAGTCAATGTTCAAATTGTTATCAGTGGGACGGGCTTCAAAAATTAATCACTCCCTTTGCTTTTTTTTTCATTTTTTTTCTTTCTTTTTCTTTTCTCCATCTACTTTTTTTTTCCACATTAGCTGTCCTCTTTGTCTGTGCGATCTTGTCAAGGTAGATTTTATTGGATTTGGAGCGTTTTGAAAAAGGGATTAACAAAATACATGGGGAAACCCTTTCATTTTGGATGTAGGATTTAGTACAGGTAAATGACAAAAATATTTTATAATAGGATGTGAATTGCTTGACCTAGATTTATTTCATTGGTAATGTGAACTGACTGGATAGGAAACTTCGTTTAGTTAAGATCTCTTGGTGGTGGATGAACGCTTCTGGTGTAACAGATACAGTAAAGTGGATAGTAGTGATAGTTTTACTAGTTAGTATATGGAAATATCTTTTTTTTGTTTGAAATAAAAATTATATTGCTTTTTATGATACATAGCTTCCTTTTTTTTTTTTTTTTTTTTTGAGCAAGAGTAACAGAGAGGTAACAGAGAATCGTTTTCCTCAACTCCATCCAATGGAAAAGATTACTATCACGTCTAAGCGACCACGAAGCAATTTATAGACTATTTTCAAGTATGGTCAATTATTCAAAAGTAAGATACAAAAAATGAAAAAGAATATTTTACAATATGATTCTCATTCTCTTTTTCTTATTATTATTTTTTTCACTATCATTGTAAAACAACAGCATTATCATCCTGGACATATATGGATCACAACATCAAATGAAAATGGATAAAACAAAAAGAAGGG